TGATGAAGCGTGAAGTAGATTTGCTAACAAATCAAAACGATCTCATCAAACGCTCTCCTGAGCCAAACAAAGGACCTCGCGCTCCTGGTGGTCGTCGTGTAGGCCCAAAAGGAATGGTTATAAGGAAACGTAGCTTAGGTGGCAAGGAGCGCTTTAGTTCTAATGGCCCTCGTTATAGCAAACGTTCAAACGATCAAGCTCTTTAATTTTCTGAATGTTACCTGCATGATGCTTACAGCACTCTTTTTTGAGGCGGTATTCAATGATTCAGATTGGAGATCGACTACCGATTATGCTCTCTCAGTAGTTTCTTCTCCTTCTCTTCGTCGTGTATAATATGTTTTCACTGTACTATCAACTTTTTTTCTATACTCAATATCATCTTTGAAGCTATTTGATGACTTTACAATGCTTCGTTCATCTTCATCTCTCCCTTCTTACCCCTCTACAGTTCTCCTTTCCATCAAGATGATGAAGCCGACCTTTACAAATCTTTTCTGCTCTCTCTCTCTCTATCTCTCCCTCTTTGGCCTTGTTGATGTTGATCATCAATGAAGCTCGACCCGTTAACGGCCAAGCTGCAGGTGGCGAAGCTGCAGCTGCTGCTGAAAAGCGTGAACACATTTCAAGTTCCTTAGTTCAAGCAATGCTCAATTGTAGTTTAGACCAATCAACCGCAATCATCACCTCGCGGTCATCTGATGCTTCATGCCCCTTCTCGGTATACAATGCAGGACACAAACAGCGCTTCTCTTGGCAATACTAATAGCAAGACTCAACTTTCACCAAGACGGTATAGCCTCACGGCTATTGAAACAACTTCAGTCTTAACATCTTACACAGCTTTCTCCTTTCAGCGAAGGCGTACTCATAGGGTCGTTAATGGGTCTGAGTATGCAACCCGATTTCATTCCGAGCTGCTCCGAAATCCGTGTGGCATATCTGGGGCTATCCTCGGATAAAGTGATGATGGTTTGCATAAATGATCTTGACAAGACAGCATTTGCTTACACTGCATCTCAGTCCATCAGGGGCAACAAAAATTTCTCAAACTGGTGGCAAATGTATGCTTTCAAATTATATGAATGAAAGGTTTAAAAGAAGTCAACTTTGACCATCTTTTCGTTCCTTCCTCCTCACCCTTCTACAATTCCTTTTCACATCATCATGATGAAGCCGGCCTTTACAAATCTTTTTTGCTCTCTCTCTTTGGCTTTGCTGATGTTGATCATCAATGAAGCTCAACCTGTCAATGCCATGCATGGGCATGGTATGATGGGTATGGGTCCACCGCATATGATGCATGGAATGCACGGAATGCACGGATTTCCTATGCATGGTATGCATCCTCCTCATGGAATGATGCATGGTCCACCACCAGCTATGGCTGCTGGCGGCGGCGAAGCAGGTGGCGAGGCCGCGGCAGCTGCTGAAAAGCGTGATATTAGTCCAACTTCATTCGATCAAGCAAAAATGGTTAAACGTAGCTTGGTTCAATCAACCACAAAGCTTGTCAAACGTCATTTCGGTCCACCGGGAATGCCAGGTATGCCTCCTTTCCATATGGGCGGTGGTCCTCCTCATATGCCGATGATGCCTCCTCATATGGGTCCACCTCCAGGTATGGGAGGAGGTGGTGGCGGTGGCGGTGGCGGTGAAGAAGCTCCAGCCGAAAAACGTGACTTGGAGCCGAGCTTTAGCAAACGTCAAATCCGTTGCTCTGCTTGAAGTGAATCCTATCGTATTTAGCGTCTCTAAAGCCTTCTTGCTCTGATTATGGTTCCTCACAATGGGAGAAGTGAAGCTTTGTCCGAGTTCGTATACAGCTAGATAGACACATATTTCTACACTTCTGTTCACTTATGTCTTGTAACGATTTTCATTTCATTCATATCTTTTATTTTATGCTTACCGTTTCTACTACTCTTGTATATATCCTTTCAACACAGTTTTCATGATATTTCCCCTTGTTTGGATGATAAAGACCGTCTCAATTGCTAAAAGCAGTCATTTCACCAATCAAAGGAGGTATACAAGAATCGATTCATTCTGCTCGTAGGCTTACATCATCTTCAAGCTTTTCAAACAATGGAAAGAACACAGCATAAGGTAATATAGTTATGCGTGCTAAATTGGCATTTCTGAATCAATCATAGCTGCGAGAAATATGACCGAGGTGCTCTGTAATGTGCACAGCAATAAAGCTTGACGGCGTAAGGCAGTGTCATGCAAAGTCAATCTGGTGTACGATATAAAAGACACATTTTTTCGAGAAATTGTATGCTTATTTCCTTAATTTTCTAATGCAACTAGCACAAAATTGACTATGAAGACAGTTTCTTCAACCGCTCTTCTTTTCACGATTGCATTAATGCTAGCAGTAACTGATGGAATCCATTCCAAGATCGCTTGTTACGGTGATGGGCCAGTTGCTGACTGTCGTAAACATTCGGCAGATCCACCTGTTGCACGTACTATTGGAAGTGACTTCGGTAAAGGTGAAGAACTCCTTGTCAAGAAACGTGATTTGAATACCCGTTTGCAAAAACGTCAGACTCGTTATCGTCGCTATGGTCTTGGTGGCTATTGAAGACCGTACCAGGACTGTATGGAGCAGGAATCCTGTCGATGCCGTGATATAAGGTCCATTCTGTACAAACGTCAAGCTCGTCAAATGATCCTGGTGGCCGTAACGATCTATGGTTCAAGTCAGCGTCTGGTACGCTGCAAGGGCCTGGTTATAATGTTTGCTCTTTTGTTTTATGGCTTTGAATCTACAGTCTATCTTTCCTTTCTGTCGTCCACTTCAAGTACATTTCCGCCTACTTTTGCGTACTTTTTGTCCACTTTTGCCGTCCAATGAGAGTTTTTTGACCTCTGCTATATCATTCGTGTGTTGATACCTTTCGCTTCAATGTACGCAATGATAGGTGTATTCATATCAGATCTATATAATCCGACCCTTGCATAACTTCTATGACGCAAACATCATCGTACTCCATGTACAGCATACATCCCCACACACTGAGTCAGATCCCGCAGATAAGGAACACATACAGTGCATACGAAGTAGTCTATCCTGTTCATTTCTGTGGTATTAATTTCCGATCGAAATCCGAAAGAGCAATAACCGCTGCCAAGATTTCTAATATTTGACCGAAGTGTAGGCTTTCATTGACGCTCGCTTGCCTCGTTTGCCCCTTCCGTCTGCGATCGTATATCAGACACTGTCAAGATCAAGATCACATCATACTTGGCAATAATCTTGACAGCGAGACAATTTGACCTTTCACCAAATCATTTGAATGGCAGTGAACATATATCCGAACGGCGAAATCACAAATCAGCCACGAATAGGGCGCGGCAATGAAGAATCATTCACCGTCAATGCCACTTTCTGCGGCTTACGCCTCTCAGCCGCGTATTGAGCACAAAAGCTGGCAAATTTGTCAAGATGATGCTCATTTTGGGCGTCAAAGGCTGTTCGAACTGAAAGGTGGATTGCAGTATCCAAGCCACTCTTTCGCGGTGGTATGAGTTTTGTCAAGATTGCTATGCGGCAATGACAAGGCTATGCAAGCAAGCACAGCTATATGCCTTTGGGCTTTTCGAACGATCAGACCAAGACCCGTAATGGCAATGGGTACTTGCTTAGAGGCGTAAGTGGTGACGAAAAAAGAGTTTCTCTTGAGAGGAAGAAAGGTATAAAAAAGCCTGTTTTTTGACTTTCAACCCTCTCTTCTCCTCATCCTCTTCAAACAGGAAAACAAACAAGCTAAGAATATCTTCTTTCTTTTTCTACTTTTTGCAACAATGATGAAGCCGGCCTTCGCAAACATTCTTGCTCTTTTGACTATTGCTTTGGCATTGATTGCCAACAATGACAATGGTATGGTTCAAGGTAGATTGGAAAACCGTAATTTGATCAAAGTCGTTAAACGTGGATTTGCAGATGCAGGTGAAGATCAACTGGTTAAACGTTTCCATCCATTGCATGCTGGTATGCCAATGGGTCCGCCTCCTGCTGCTGAAAAGCGTGATGTAAATGAAGACGCTGAAGATCAATTCGTCAAACGTTACCATCCAATGCATGGTGGTATGCCAATGGGTCCTCCTCCTGCTGCTGAAAAGCGTGATGTAAATGAAGACGCTGAAGATCAATTTGTCAAACGTTACCATCCAATGCATGCTGGTATGCCAATGGGTCCTCCTCCTGCTGCTGAAAAGCGTGATGTACATGAAGACGCTGAAGATCAATTCGTCAAACGATTCCACAACGGAGGCCCTGAACCATTCCTTCCTTCAGCCGCTGCTAAACGCAGTGTTGATGAAGAAATTGATACGGTTCAATTTGTTAAACGTTTCCCTCCTGGACCTCCGGGTGGTTTCCATATGCCAATGGGACCTGCCCCTGCTGCAGAAAAGCGTAGCATTGAAGATGAAACTGCCAACGAAGCACCTTTTCAAAAGCGTTGTGGTGGCGGAATGGGAGGTCCTCCTCAAAAGCGAGGCCTCGATTCTGAAAGTGGTGAAGAACCTTTCGTCAAGCGTTGCGGTGGCGGAATGGGTGGGCCACCTCAAAAGCGTGGCCTCGATTCTGAAAGTGGTGAGGAGCCTTTCGTCAAACGTTGTGGTGGCGGAATGGGAGGTCCTCCTCAAAAGCGTGGCCTCGATTCTGAAAGTGGTGAAGAACCTTTCGTCAAACGCTGTGGTGGTGGCGGAATGGGTGGCCCACCTCAAAAGCGTGGCTTGAATGATGAAGTGAATGAGTCCAATGGTGAAGGTTTCGTTAAGCGACATGCACACAATGCAGGTGGTCCCCCTTCCAAACGTGATGTCGTTCAAGAAACCAATGGTGAAGGTTTTGTTAAGAGACATGCACACAACGCAGGTGGTCCCCCTTCGAAACGTGATGTTGCTCAAGAAACCAATAGTAAAGGTTTTGTTAAACGTCACGCACACAATGCCGGAGGCCCTCCAGACAAACGTAGTATTGTGGCTGAAGTAGGTTTTGTTAAACGTCACGCACACAATGCCGGAGGCCCTCCAGACAAACGTAGTATTGTGGCTGAAGTAGGTTTTGTTAAACGTCACGCACACAATGCCGGAGGCCCTCCAGACAAACGTAGTATTGTGGCTGAAGTTGATGGTGAATCAACATTCGTCAAACGTCATGCTCCCAATGCTGGTGGACCTCCCTGATTGCCTTCTTGTCTTAATTTCTTTTGAACCTCTGTGCTGGCTCACAGATCTATTTTCAGCTTCTTTCGATTCTTTCATCTTTCTTATTCTTTTAATTCTTAGCCCAGATTCTTTGTTTCTTGCTTTGTATCGTTTCGCTTCAATATCATGATTCGTTATATTGTATAATGTCGCTGAGTGAAAAGGAAAGAGTGATAATGGTCATTGCATCATACGTCCTTGAAAAGTAGCTCACCATCATTCAACTTACTGCAAATCTTTATCTGAAGATGCCGAAATTTTCCGTGAGAAAGACGTCAAAGTTTAGTGTTCTGATTCCGAGCAGCATAGCTCTTTGACTGGGCGTCACGACGAGATTCAATGAACGCAAGATTGGCGTACGACCCGATTCGTAAAGAATTTCCGATCGGTTTCACTTTGGTAAGCCTCGAGGCAATCTTGATTTTAAGATTTGTTTAGGTTTGGCAAAGGGGCTGAACTATTGATAGCCTGATCCAAATGCCGCTCCGAATCCTTCGTATGCATGTACCATGAGAATATAAAAGCGACATCTCTGCTGCATGAATGCAAAAGTAGACATGCCATCTTTTAATCGTACAATTCAGCATCGCGATGCATGTGATAAATCTGCTTCTTTTCTACTTTTTGCATGTTTCTCAAGCAAGGCCAACCGTTGATGCAGTGAGTAATGTTTTGTTCATTGCATCTGTAGATCCTTTCTCTCACTTCCTTCAATCCTTTTCAGGGTCTTCACCTTCCGTTCCACGGCCATGCGATCAATCATCGAGAGATCAAAGGAGTTTGGAGTGGAACACAATTGCTATATGCGACTGCTAGTCAACAAGTTGCGAAAAGATACATTGCACAACAATTGCAAAATCATTAAGTGGCAGCAAATGCTTCATTTGATGTATATTTCCGTCGTGTATGATAGACCGTGAATGACACCTTTCTGAACAACCACTACCTTTGTATGTGGCGGTGAAAGCGAGATCATTGATTCGTCTGCAACCTCTTGGCAATGAAATTTTGTTAAGTTTATGACGTAGCTCTCGGAGGAGGTTGTGAATCCTTTCAATTCAAATCGGGGCTGTCCGGAGGACAAAGAGTGATTGAAACGATAGCAGTCAGTAAATTGTCAAGATGAGCAGTACTGCCACTTGCATAGACGCCAACACCGCAAAAGCAGGCCCACATAATTCGCCCCTTATTGACGTTGACCTGTTGAACGAGGTGTGATCGCAAAAGCATAAAAAGGGCTTGTTTTGTTCGGATGTCAGCTACCTTCTCCATCACATTTTTTCCGTTGACAACAATGAAGCTGGCTTCTTCGTTTGTTCTGCTATCTGTGGTGCTCAATGCACTATTGCTTGTAGCATCTGCAAGTCCCCAATATGATCCAGTAAGTATTGCAGTGATGTACTGTTATTCTACACCAAGCTAACACTCTCTTGCCTTGTCTGCTAAAGGAACGTCACGAGTATATTGTGCCCGTGTCACAGGACGTAGAGGAGATTATTGAGGTACCATATGAGCAAGACTTTATTGTGGGTGAGGATTTGGTTTGCGATCTTGACGATGATGATGATGATGAGACATGCGAAGAAATGTGCATTGAAGCATACGAAGTCGATCCAATGGATTCTGAAGAAAGCAATGAGGACACGGAAGAGCCAATTTTGAAGAAACGTGAGACAATCAACTATCACCAAAATCGTATCGATCATCAAATCATTCTGCCACGCAGTTTGTCTGAAGAACAAAACAAAGTGACAAACAATGGTCCAATCTTTGTCAAACGTATGGGCATGGCAAGCTCTGTGCACTTACCTCCAAAGCATCTGCTGCATGGAAAGCGCAGTATGAAGGATGGAAGCGCTGAAAGACCTGTGTTAGTTAAGCGAATGTCTATCGCTCGTCCAAACATACGGGTGCCAATTGGTAAAGGTAATATGAAGCGCCGCGGAACAGAGAATGGAAATGTTACCGGCTCGAGTCCAAATTTTGTCAAACGAAAACATATCGATTATGAAAAGACATTCAAGAACAACCACCCGGATGGCATAGTCGCAAAACGTGAGATTGGAAGTGATAAGATGCAAATCAAGATGGTTAAACGCATGGCAATTGGCAATGAGATGAGAACTGTTTCGAATGAACGTTGGAATATGCCACATCGTCGTGAAGCTGTCGGTGAATCTGAAAGCCCCAATCTGTTCAAACGCATGGCAGTTGGCCATGAGAATCGTGTTACACATAACGGTATCCCGATTTGAGCAAGCCTTGCAATAGTCAATCTGTTTGTGTGCATTTTTCGTCATGAATTGTAACATTTGTCCATAGATGTTTCTAGACAATATGTGGCGCTGGCGCTTCAGTCATTGTAGCCGTCATGTAGAATAATGTTTATGTCTTCCATTTACCTCAATTTCATTATACTTCTTTTTATAGTGATGGTGAAGATTATGATCATTTTCATGAGGGTGCTGGTGAATGAATGCGCGCTACAAACGCGGGCATATGCAATTGAGTGGTGTTGGCCAAAGCGCGTTTAATGTTCTTCTTCCATCACACCATCATCCTTCAAATTGGGTCAATCTACCAAAATGGTGAGTAGCAGCAAAGAAGGCGGACATCAGCTTTGATCCATGCTAATCAGTCGTTCCCATCACCTTGATTGCAGTCGGCTTTGTTCAACTTTTCATCACTTTTGCTAGTGATCCTATTATCGATTTGCACATGCACATACATCAGAGCAGCAGCGCCCGGATTGGTTGATAGGAATAAGAATGGACCGCTTGGCTTAGTATTCAAAGCAGCGAGGATAGGTGAGAAGAACAGCTTCATCGCACGAAAAGCATCAGCTGACATTTCACACCCTCTTCTGCCTTCACAGGTGAACGGCTATCGCCGTATGTATCGCTTGCGTGTATCGTTATGGCCTGCTATTTGATCGTCTGAACGCCATTTAATTCGAGCTCTACGATATTGTATTATTAATCCATCATCAATTCACAGCCTCGGCAAAAGATCTGGTATAAGCATTTAGGTTGTGATAAAAGTACAAGTATGATACTGAGTAAGAAGAACATCTCTCAACTTCAATTCGCCGCATCTTCTAAAAAGTTGAGGCAACCTCTCATACATCCACGCCATAAGATTGGAAGACAATCGCTGCCTTGCGCTAGAGGTCGTTTATCAGGTACGGGACTTGCATCCTTCTCTTGTGAATTCGATGGTGGAGAATTTTGGAGTGCATCTGCAGCAAGAGCTTCTTTATACACTCCTTTGTTGATCACTGGGAAACCACCGATATGACTGACCCATTCGATTCTTTGTACACATGGTTGGCCAAAAACTCGACTGATGTCATTCGGCGGCCAGTCGCATTCTTCATCTTCCTCAAATGCCTCATTGGACAATTTATGCCTGGGATTAGGGCATCTGTTGAACCATGGATTTCGCATCGCATCGTCTCCTTTATCCAATTCGGCTTCCACATCAACGACTTTTTCCGTTTGTCGTTCATCATCTGTGCTGCTCATCTCTCCGCTTGCTTCTCCTCCGTCCTCATCAGGCATCATAGTCGCATCTTCATCAAACGTTACATCCTTTGATGTTGTTCTTGAATGACGAGATCGAGTTGGAATTTCATCCTTCACTAGAATCTCTCCTGAACACCACCTATCTGAAGAAATACGGAATTGACCCCAAACGCCAGCAGCACTTCTACGAGCAGCTTCAAGTGTTTTGATCTCGTCTCTATCCACCTTATAACGCATATTCGACACACTTCCTGCCTCATATCGGTCCAGCATCGTTGCTGTTCCTTTGCCATTATTTGATGACGATTGCCCTCCACCTTGATGTCTTTCGCCATCAGGCTGCAGAAGAGCTCTTATACACAACTCTTTGATGGGTGTTAAATTTGCTAAAACAGTCTCGTTCGGCTCAATCGCCCGAACAATTAGTTGTACTGCTTTCTCGCCCCCACTTGTGCTTGCGTCACCCTGTGAGAAACCAGATGCAAAACTGGGCTGACTTGGCATTGAAGGTCTACTGCGAAAAGGAAGAGCAGGTGGACCCATACTTCCAGGAATAGAGCTAGAAGGAGCTTGTGCTTTCTCTTCTTCCAATTTCCGTATCTCTGCAACGGTCATCTTATTATGAAGTCCGAGTGATGCTCGAACGGAAAGTCTGGCATCTTGCGAAGGTTTAAAAAGATTCTTGTTTGGAAAATAGGCAAATTTGGTAAGACGCAACTTTTGTATTTCACTTGGGAAATATCGTAATTCATTTGAGGATACGTTGAGCTCTGTCAAGTTCTTCAAGTCTCCAATAGCGGGCGGCAGCTCTTTCAACTTATTCCCGCGAACAGACAATACCGTCAAATTTGTCACTGAGAATAGTGCGCTTGATATTGTACGAAGATTATTCTTTGCCAAATACAACTCTAATTTGTTGTTCGCTCCGCTGCTCGACAACTTATTTCGTGAAGGTGAATTGATCGGAGAGCCTGCCAGCCTTTCGGCATTCACCAATGAAGATGTTCTGGAAAACCCGCCTGCCGGACGACTGAGCTCATCGTCTCGCCTTAAATTTGGTATCCTAACGTATTTGGACAAATCGGCGATAGATGGATCGATTGAAGATAAGTCGGATTCTTCTAGATTCAAGATAGGCTCTCCTTTTCCCATCATATTTGAAATAACTTGGGGTATATTCACAGCGTGATGCTGTTGTTGTTGCAAATATGATCCTGATACCACCCTTTCCCATTTTCGAGGCGTTTGTTCATCACTATCGCTTCCATTTCCATTCTGAGTGTGATTTGCAAACTTTCCACCAATACGTGTAAGTTGCTGTGGAGAAGAACCGGCAAGTCGTCTTCTTTGCCGGATGACCTGTGCACGCGGTGATCCTTCCGTTGGATATGATCGGTCAGCCGAAGAAGAAGAGTGAGGTGGACGAATGCTTGAACCGCCAATCGCGCTGAAAGGGTCATGACTACTGGATTGAGTACGTTCAAATGTTCTTGCTCTAGGCTTTTTGCCTAATGTTGGCGAAGTGGGCTCTTGGAATGCAGCTCCAAGAACTGAAGATGCATCTTGACCCGGCATGAGTGATGAATCTCTGATTCCCAATCCCGCACCTTCCCATCCAGCGTTTGATGTTGATTTGCCAAGACTAAATTCGCCAACATCATCACTGCTAGGATGATCGTCTGACGAATCATGGAAATGCCGTCCTAAGATCTGATCATCTCGTTGCCAAGAAGGAGAGCTGCTAGTAGTAGCGAATAAAGCGTTTGCATTCGGAGAGTTCCGTAAATGTTTTGCTCTCATCTGATCCTTTCCAAATGATGGATGCGAATTTGGAGATGCTTTTGCATTGCCACTGAATGGATCAGGATGGGAATTGTTTGGCGATAAGAGGAACGCGTTTGTCCTTTTTGAACGATTTTGAGAACTATCATAAGACGAATCCAAACTTGTCAAAGTAGCAGTGGTTGATGCACTGCCAATAGACCTTCTGAAAGCGGGTGTGGGTGAACCAGGCGAAAGAGGTTCTGAAGATGATAGATCTTGCAAATTGGCCAAAGGTGAAGATGATGATAGTTCCGGCCGTGAGGAACGGTAAGCTAATGGATTAGACATATTGCAAAGAAAGAAGCGAGCAGATAAAAGAGCATTTGACGAAGTGACGTTGAAAAGAATCCCCTACCCACCAGTTGCAAATTGAGATGATTTCGGTGGGTAGATGAGGTAGTAAATGAGAATCTGGTTCAAAATGACCAGATTGCATTCACTCGAAACTGTTGTTCTTATTAAAGCGCGGCGCATTTTCTCGCGTTCTTCTCGCGTTTTGTTTGATTAAGGCCGCGTTAAGTGCTTATGTACGCGAAGACAGTACATAATGTACTTGCTGTTGTTGTGCCTTTCCTCAATTTTCAGCCAAAGTTGTTCATTCCCAAGTTTGGTTCGCGTCATCCGATTTGAGAAAATATTTCATCTCTGTCCACCAACATCATCATCACGGCCTACATATAGGAGAACAGATTGAAAAGACAGGGAATCGCGCTCAACTTACACCTTCATCGTTCCGGACATCTTTCAGATTCATCAACTCGCCAGTCTCCAGATAGAGAAGAGTAACACTTTCCATCAATAGACCTCGCTGGATCACTTTGGCTCCTCCAAAGGCACCCTCTCACATCTGCAAGGATGTCGTCCAACAACCCTCTTCCAGCCGTGTCTGTCACGCAGGCAAACGGTCTCAAGGAAGATGATCAAGACAAATTATCAGATTATATTCCCATGAGTGCAGACCTAAGTCGTGCTCCTTCAGCAAATCCAAGTCGCGTTCAATCCAAAGCACCAAGTGATGAAGATGAAGAGGAAGAGGATGATGCTCTAGAAGACGATGATGAAGATCAATCGATAAACAATTCACCCAGTAAAGCAGATAAAAAGCTCGAACGTGAACGTGAGCGTGAAGTGCGAAGAGGTCAGAAAGCTCAAAGAGATGCTGGTTTGTCCAATACACGTGAAGAAGTCAACAAGACCAAATTGGCAGACAGTATCAAACGGTTCAGTTATTTGCTCGGTCAGACGGAGCTGTTCCAACATTTCATAGACTTGAAGAAAGAAAAAGATCCAGAATTCAAGAAACTTTTGGAAGAAACACAAAAAGCTCAAAAGAAAGGAAAGAAGGGAGGTGGCGCAGGTGACACACGCAGAAGGAAGACGGAAAAGGAAGAAGATGAGGAAATGCTAGAAGAAGATGGAAATGACGAAGAGGCCTTCATCTTTGATGAAAGTCCCGCTTACGTAAAGGGTGGTAAGATGCGTGATTATCAAGTGCAAGGTTTGAACTGGATGATTTCGCTATATCAAAATGGTATCAACGGTATCTTGGCAGACGAAATGGGTTTAGGAAAGACACTTCAAACAATCGCATTCTTGGGATGGCTCAAATTCTACCGAGACCGCCCTCGTTTCCACTTGGTCGTTGTGCCAAAATCAACTTTGAACAATTGGGCTCGCGAATTTGAACATTGGGTTCCTGGTTTCAATGTAGCAGTCCTACAAGGAAGCAAAGAAGATCGTAACGAATTGATCCAATCCAAGCTGCTGACGCAAAATTTCGACGTTTTGCTCACAACATATGAAATGTGTTTGCGCGAAAAAGGTGCTCTAAAGAAGCTATCGTGGGAGTACATCATTATCGATGAAGCACACCGAATCAAGAACGTTGATTCAATGCTCAGTCAAATTGTGCGCGCATTCACCAGTCGTAGCCGTTTGTTGATCACTGGAACACCTCTACAAAACAACTTGATGGAATTGTGGAGTTTGCTCAATTTCCTCTTGCCAGATGTATTCTCTGACTCCGAGGCATTCGAGTCTTGGTTCCGCGGTAAAGGAGATGAAGCACAGGATCAAGTCGTTCAACAATTGCATAAAGTTCTACGTCCCTTCTTATTGCGACGTGTCAAGGCAGACGTTGAAAAGAGTCTTTTGCCCAAAAAGGAAATCAATGTCTTTGTCGGGTTGACAGAGATGCAAAGGAAATGGTACAAATCCCTTTTGGAGAAGGACATTGATGCTGTCAATGGTGTTGGATCGAAGAAGGAAGGAAAGACACGTTTGCTCAATATCGTCATGCAATTGCGTAAATGTTGCAACCATCCTTACCTCTTTGATGGTGCAGAACCTGGTCCACCTTTTACCACTGACGAACATCTGGTTGACAATGCCGGAAAGATGGTCATTTTGGACAAACTACTCAAATCAATGAAAGCCAAAGGAAGCAGAGTTTTGATCTTCAGTCAAATGAGTCGTATGTTGGACATCTTGGAAGATTACTGTCTTTTCCGTGAATACCAGTATTGCCGTATCGATGGTAGCTCAGCCCACGAAGACCGTATCTCTGCTATTGATGAATACAACAAGCCTGGTAGTGAGAAATTCGTATTCTTGCTAACCACACGTGCTGGTGGATTGGGTATCAACTTGACTTCAGCTGATATCGTTGTGTTGTTTGATAGCGACTGGAATCCTCAAGCAGATTTACAAGCTATGGATCGTGCACATCGTATCGGTCAAACAAAACAAGTGTACGTTTTCAGATTTGTGACTGAACATGCAATCGAAGAACGTATCTTGGATCGAGCCGTTCAAAAGCTACGATTGGATCAACTGGTCATCCAACAAGGTCGTGCCCAGCCTTCAAAGAATCAACAATCCAAAGATGATTTGGTGGACATGATTCAACATGGTGCCGAAAAGATTATTTCTTCAAAGGACAACATGTTGATCGACGATGATATTGACGCAATTATCAGTCGTGGTGAAGAGAGAACTCAAGCTCTGCAAGAGAAATATTCATCGTTCAATTTGGATGATTTGAACAATTTCCGCAGTGAATCTACAATGGAATGGGAAGGACAAGATTTCCGTAATCGAAACACTTCACGTGGTATTTGGATCGAGCCAAGTAAGCGTGAGAGAAAGGGCTTGGTGAGCTATAGTGTTGATAATTATTACCGAGATGCGATGGGCACAAAGAAAGCAGCCGCACCAAAAGCTCCCAAAGCACCAAAGCAAGTGGCTATCAATGATTATCAATTCTTCCCTACCGAACTTGCAGAGTTGTACAAACGTGAAACGGCTGCTTATCAAAAGAGTGTCGGATACAAAGTACCACTCAAAGTTGGCGATGATGTTGACAAAGATGAAGCTGAACGTGAACGTCAAGCAGAACAAGATTTAATTGATAATGCCGAACCGCTGACGGAAGAAGAGAATGCAAGAAAGGAAGAATTACAATCAGAAGGTTTCCCTGATTGGAACAAACGTGATTTCCAAGCATTCATTCGTGGTTGCGAAAGATACGGCAGAGAAGAGTATTCTGCCATTGCTGAAGAGATGGGTGGTGTGAAGACTGAAGAGCAGGTTGAAGTATATGCTAACGTGTTCTGGGAACGGTATGACGAATTGAGCGATTCGGACAAGATTATGCAAAGGATCGAAGAAGGAGAAAAGAGAAGAGAAAAAGTCTCAAAAACCGAAAATATGCTCAAACGAAAGATCAATTCGTACAAATTACCCCAACAGCAACTCAAGATCAATTACGGTACAGGTGCTGCAAAAGGTAAAGGATGGAGCGAAGATGAAGATCGATTCTTGTTGATCAAATTAGCACGTTATGGCTTATCAACAGAAGATTGCTATGAACGTATTCGAGCCGATGTTGGCAAAGAAGATATGTTTAGATTCGATTGGTTCATCCGTAGTAGGACACCGGTTGAGATCGGAAGACGTTGTACAACTCTTTTGACTCTTATTCAAAGAGAAGAAGAAGCTGAAGCGCCTGCAGCTGCAAAGGCAAACGGAGCAAAAGGCGGTAAAAAGCGACCTGCTGATGGTTTACTCAACGGAGATTCATCCAGTAGAGCATCCACACCGCAAGTCACTGGAAAAGCCAACAAAAAGAAAAAGGTTTAAAGCCAATCATACTCATCTTTTTATGTACTTTATAGACGCTCACACACACATATGTGGTTTGAATGAATTCGATCGATTGACGAAACATGAGAGATAAAAAATAATGAAAGAATAAGTTATAAAGAAAGAAGTCAAAAAAGGGAAAGATGTGTGTGTGTGCGTGAAGGTATGGATATGGAGAATAAATTGTGCAAATGATCAGAATGATGTTGAGATGATGGATGCGTTTTGATAAATGAAGAGCGGTTTTCAATCGCTTCAAGAGACGGTTATAATGAGATGCGTGCGAGAATAAAAAAGTGAAGGCAAAAAGGGGAGATAGAAATCGAATAATAAGAAATCGGGTATACTGCTTTTTTGGCACCTTGTACAGCCCATCACATATACCACCAACACGACACACGATAAATACTGTTACAACCTCAGCCTGTTGATGTTTGTTAGTACACAGCGGCAGTGGACGATGGTGCAATGACGGCTTGTTCGGCAAAATGATGTTGCAATTGACGGTCAGAATTGATGATAGATGCAGATGCGGATGCTGAGATGATATTGTGTTGAGGATCTTCTGCGGCAATACTTTGACCGCTTAAAGCGCTGATGTTGCTGGCATTGGATGCACTGGCGACCAACATGGTTTCTTGATTACGTACTGCCCAATCACGAGCAAAGATACTGGCTTTCAAGTATCGCCTGTTTCCGTACTTTTGGCAAACGAAGCAGTCGGGGAAACTTTCGTCGAGTAAACGTTCGATTAAGAGATTGGCACCAGGAATTAATTGTTCTTCTACTGTACGACTGTAGTAGACAAAGGCTTCATTCCATGTTCCTCCGAGCATCTTGCGTGCGAGATACATGGCAATGGCAGCGATCAAACTTGGCTTTGCTCGCAAGAACCGATGATCGAACAATGTCAATTCCATGAAAAATTTGGCCAACGTACGTGTTTGGATATCGTAATCGTCTGCTTTTGAAAGACGTCTGCACCAAGAGTATGGCGAGCAGTATGAAGAGATATTGAAATCCAAAGTGGTGAGAATGATGCGTTCTCCTTTCAAGATCTCATCTCTGGTATAGCCATTTTCGGTCATAAAGACGAATTCGTCCACGCTTGGAGCAAGAATTTCTTCGTACTTTGCTGCGATAAACATGGCCGTGACACCAACAAGCTGCAATTTGGCCAAGGAGACGACACGAGCGGACAAGAATCTATCAACAACGTTCATTGCGATCCACAATGTTTCAGGCATCATGTGATAACGCATGTGAACTTGCATTAACCAGTCCACCAATGTTGCTCGCATATGCCATCTGATCTCGCCTTGGAAGTCCATGTAGTTGGGATTGGCCATCGTACGGCATTCGCACTTTGCCATATAAGCAAAGATGTCTGCAGAATATTCGGCAACCATGCTTGTATCGCGAACCTCTTCTGGATCTAATCCCATGATGGCCAACTCATCTTCATGTGCAGCCGTGTGTGCTGACATTTCACCACGTGCGACAGCTCCTTGTCTTTCTTCAGCTTGACGAATAGCAGCATCGTGCAGGACTGTCTCTTCATACATTGCGCAAATGCGTTCTACTTTGCTTCTTGCCAGTTCGTCAATCTCGAATGGCAAAGAGATCAAACAATCTGGATCAAGATTGTTCAATTGAACAGATTCTGATTCCGATCCGTCTTCTTCGTCCTCTTCGTCGTATTCATCCTCCAACTCTTCATCTTCCACGCCATCTTCACCGTGGAGAAGGGCTGCATCTTCTTCATCAGACGAAGCCAAAGCGCTTCCTGCTTCCTTTCTTACAGCGAATTCTTCATCTGTGTCTGTCTTGCTGCTGTTGTTGTTAGTTCTTGCTCCCATGCTGCTTGAATGCCATTCAGATTCGGCTTCACTCATGTCCTCATCAACGCTACTGGCAGACGGACTGGGTCCACGAACGCCAAGAAGATTCCTTGCATTTGATTGCTGTTCCAATTGTGTTCGGTGAGAGACAGAAGCCTGCGATCCTGCTCTTGGTGCAAGTGTGTTTGAGCTGGAAGAGCTGACCATGGAAGATCTCTGAGACGATGGTGCACTCGCTCCTTCTTCACCCATTTGCGTATCGCGGGCAAGTGTGGTACCTGAAGAGGAAGAAACGCCTCGCAAATGACGTCCTCCAGCATAGCTTCTACTCGTTGTCAAGGTGGCTTCAGAGGATTGTGCGACGTTCAACTTGCTGCTTGATGCTTCTGAAACTGTTGACTGTGCTCTTGGTTTAGCAGCAGGACGTGCAATGGTGGCAGATGCAGGAACCTTGTGCTTCAAAGTGTGATCGTTTCCTCCTCCAATCTTTTCCGAAGGAGCAGATCCTGCATTGTTGTTCTGTGTATTGGTCTTATCGCCCAAAGCAGGTCTTCTTCTTGCTTGTTGATCCATAGCAGCATTTCCGGCCGCTTTGCCAAACGATGAGCTTGCGGTTGAGGACATTGCAGTTCTTGATGCTTTATTGCGCAATAAATTTGGATTGACAGCAGATTGTGTAGCATTTTCATTATTGTTGTTGATGTGCAATCTATCGCCGCTTCTTGAGGAAGGCATGCCACCAGTACGTCCTAGGCGAGTTCTGGACGATGTCGTCTGTAAAAAAGCAAATTGCGATGAAAGAGAGATGAACATGATTAGGGATGGGGAGAGAGTAAGTGGGCAATGTCAGCAAACTGGAAGAATCAAAAAATTCAATCAGTATACTCACCCTTAGTCCGGGTTGTGCCATTGCGTATGTGAAAAAAGTGACTTCTTCGGATGAAATTGTTTGTGATGCGGAAAAGGTTGAAGAATATTTTTGGCCTTCTTTAATCAGCGAATGAGCGTGATCCGGAATATTGCTCTTGACTTCTGTTATAATTTATGCTGGGCTGATTTGTGTTTCGGCTTGCTGCTTGATCTTATTGGTAGGTATATCTCATTAAATTGCGTGTGAGTGTGTATGAATACGGTCGGTGATTCAAATTCCCTATCAGTCGAAGGAATGAAAAGAACAAAAATGCGGCGAAAAGGGAAATGACGTTGAAGGCGGTTCCGTTGAAGTTAGCTTGGCTAAATAAATAGGCGTGGAGGGTGATTGTCGGATGAATTTGGGATTTGATATTGACTTGACAACCTTTTTTTGTCTATGATCGGTATATTCTCCGTTTTCGTTTGCCTTGTTCACAGCTTCACCACAACAACGACAACGACACGATCAAATAAATAAGGGAAAGAGGAAGAAGGAGAAAGAAAAAGAGGAAGAGGTTGAAGGTGGTTGTGAACAAAGCTTTTGTTGGTGATGATTGCTACTGATCAAGATTTATCAAAGGGAAAAAAGGTGTTGATTGAAGAAAGAGTGTATATCCCTAAAGGACAATCCTCCACACTGATCGAATGCCCTTTTTGGTCAAAGTGGAAATGTTACACATCCATTGTTCATATATTGCTAGCTTTCGTACATGTCCGCTGTTTCAAAGAGAGAGAGACCAACACGAGCAAGAAAAACAACAACACTACTCAGGACAATCGGAAGCACATTAAAAAGTCTAACAACTTAGGGACCTTTCTTGTTTTGGCCGTGCATACGCGCAGCACTTAAAACGCCTTCAAGCACGCACGGGTAGTGTGCTTTGTAGATCAAAAGAACTTTACCCGTGCAAATCACAAAATAAACACAGACAGACACAGAAACGAAACCTTTCTTTAGGCGTGCATATGGTATGGGCCGATAGATGTGATCTCTTTGATGAAATGTTGTGCATGAACGTACATGTGATGTTTTTCTTACTTGATGCGTGGCGTTTAGAACAAGGGAAGAAAGAAGGTTAATCGGCAGCGAGAGGCTTTTTGAGTGAAATGACTGTTGAACTGCCCCTTCATGCAAAGTAGATAAACCGACAGAACGGGAACTTACATCACAATCACCCATCCAATGGGTTTATATAGCTCTATTCACAGAAAACTGTTTTTGTGCTCTTGCAGCAATTACGTAGCCACTTTTCACTAATGCATGTAGGCACACACACCCTGGATCAACATCAACCCCTCATTCACGCTTGGAGTTTGACTTTCTTTTGTGATCATACAAAAAATATGCGGGATCGCGTATCGAGAACATGCAGGCGTAGCGTCACGTGCTGAAGGGTGTTGCTTCGATTCTGTATGTGTGCATCTAGTGATTGCTGTGAGGTTTACTAAGGATATCGTGATGACCGAAAGGCTATATAAGGATGACATCCTTTTTGCAGATTCCATTGAAAGCTTTTCTTAGCTTGAGTTCTTAGGCTTCGTACTTCTTATAATCGATTGTTCTATTCCAGATTAAGCTGCTTTGATCTTCCGTCCATCACTAATATAACTTATTCAGATTCGACTTTAGAGCTGATAACTAGACCAAGTACATTGCATTGACAATGTGCACCGCTAAGATCTTATCTCACCAGCATCCAATTCTTGCTCTTTGCCATTGATGGTATTGATGATAGATATTTGTGAGTGAGTAAGCAGTGAAGCATATGCAGCACTATAGCGCGTCAAACTGCTTTTGCGCACAGGGCACATCAAAGCAACGCGGCCTTCTTAACTTTATTCGTAAGTCACTCTTTCATTTCTTGGTCTTGGCCATCACATCATCACAACAAAGCAGAATGTTTTTGACAAGATCAGAGTATGACAGAGGTGTGAACACCTTCTCACCCGAAGGTAGACTGTTCCAAGTAGAATATGCAATCGAAGCAATCAAATTAGGAAGTACAACGATCGGAATTGCAACAAAAGAAGGTGTTGTACTAGGAGTGGAGAAAAGAGTACAATCAAAGCTATTAGAAGCAACTTCAATCGAAAAGATTATGGAAATTGATACCCATTTAGGATGTGCAATGAGTGGTTTAACAGCAGATGCTCGTACTATGATCGAACATGCTCGTGTCACAAGTCAAAATCATGCTTTCACTTATGATGAAGAAATCAAGGTTTCTAGTGTCACACAGGCTGTTTGTGATCTAGCGTTACGATTCGGAGAGTCCACAGAAGATGATGAGGCAATGATGGTGAGTATTTTGAATGACATGAAATAACCTCACAGCCACTGACGTTAAATCTCCTTTTTTCTTTCTTCCTCAGTCGCGGCCTTTCGGTGTCGCTCTCTTGATCGCCGGAATTGATGAAAAAGGACCTCAGCTTTACCATGCCGATCCTTCTGGAACGTTTGTACGTTATGAAGCAAAAGCAATCGGAAGTGGATCGGAAGGCGCTCAAGGAGAACTGCAAGAAAAGTACAAAAAGGATATGTCACTACATGAAGCAAGCCTGCTTACCCTTCGCGTTTTGAAACAAGTCATGGAAGAGAAATTGGATGAGAAGAACGTTCAATTGGGCATCGTCACTCCACGTACAGCAAAAGATGGTCGTGAAAGTGGTCAATTCCGCATCTTGCCAGAAAACGAATTAAAGGCTCTCGTAGATGCCATGTAAATTAATCAGCTGTAATAGATGCTATGTATTGTGTCATTCATCCCAATTCTTCTTTTGTGTTATGATGAAGCATTGATTTAGAAAAGGAAAGATTGGAATGTGGACAGTGCTAGAAGCATGGACTATCGTGAGATTATGAAGCTACAAAAAATTGTGTTTGGAAAAGGAGTGATGAGTTGTGAATTTTATACAAAGTATGGACATGAAGGTCGTAAAAAGTGAGAAAAAAAAATACAAAACGGTAACAATTTAAAACATCTTTCGACTGTGCTGCTTTTCAAAGCCCTTCACTTAAGGGAATTGAGCTCAAACCGATGATCGTGCCAACCACACCAGCAACGAAACCGGCCGCTAATCCAGTACGGAAGCCAACAATTCGACGTTTGGGAGTTGGACTTGGAGCATCACTAGGTTGTTTGCCCTGAGGTGCATCGAGTTCCGCTTCTTCGGCTTTTCTTTTGGTTGCCGTGGTAGTCGTTACTTGAACAGAGGTCAGGCTCACCGTAGCATCATCTTCTACAACCGCAGCGACCTTCTCTGGCTCCGTTGCGCTCTTGACCATTTCTCTCAGCTTCTCTTCAGTAAGCTTTTGCGGTCCTTTCACGCTTGCCAATGATGTTGATGCATTTTCGTCTTCAACAATGACTTCTGCCTCCTCAACTTCGCGTGCCAAGATAGGCTTGTTGACTTTGTCACTGTCTTCTGCCTGTTCAGCTTCTCGCTCTTGCTCTGTTACTTCATTCTCTGCCTCCTTCTCAGCAAGGATCTTCTTGGTGGCGTCTTCTTCCTGCTCGTCTACCTCTGTTGAGCTAGACGGAACGACATCTTTCGATCCTGTGATTGCTGAAGATGAAATCTTGTCACCAGATTGATCGTCTGAATCGACGAAACTACTCATTCTATGTATTAACTTTCGTGTTTTTGTCAAGATTTCACGATCTTCTTCCTTAATCGTTGTTACAGCCCCACCTTGATCAGAATGGTCCGTCAAATCGGTAGACGGATCTTCTTGCTCTTCCTCTTCTTCCTCTGATTGTGCTTCGCTTTCACGGTCGTAGGATTGACCTGAAATTTGACTGTCATCGTCTTGAAATTGCTCGTCGAAATCTACTGACTCAATATAGTCATTGCCCATCTCTGAATCAAAGCTATCCAAATTCTCAATCATGACCTCATAATCATCTCCCATTCTAGCCTCAGGCTCTGTAGAAGGGCCATCCAAATCATCAAGCTCGCTATCAGAGTCAAGAATGCGTGCCAACTTTGACGCGGAGCCATGCTCAGCGTAATCGCTTTCATCGCCCGATTCAATGCAGATTGGACTTCCAATATAGGTGGAATACGGTTTTGCCACAATTTCAGGCATTTTGACAGCTTTTGCGCTTTCGCCAAATGAAACATCAAAGATGACGGGTAAATAGCATTCTCCCATTTTTTCAACCTTGCGTCCAATGATGATTGAATCGGCATCCTGGATTGCGTAATCTACCTTTGGAACCAATTTTCTTGGGTCAGTTTGACCGTTGTAACGCAAAAAGGTGCCATGTGTAGAGCCTAAATCTTTCACATACAATCTGGGCTTGAAATCATCCTCCTTCAATTTCCATGCGATGCTAGCATGTCTACGGGAAACGATACGTGCATCGAGGAATTTGATGTGATCGTCAGATTCTTCTGAATCTACTGATTCATGACCAGAAATGCGAATCTGATCAGAATCTACGCCAAATTCTTTTTGTTCTGATTGTTCAGTTCCTCTTGCCAGGATTAGAGAACCCAAATGTGGACCCAATGTGAAATCTTCTGCTTGCAAGACTCCATCGGATTTGAAATGAACGATTGGTAATTTTGTACGATCGAAAGACATTGAATGAGATGATTGGATGTGATGGTGTTTAAGAAGGAGTTTTGTTTGAATGCGCTCTTTCTGATGATTAGAGTGCTTACAACCACAATTACCTATCCAAGGCGTAATCTTTAATCCAATACACGGCGCCGTTTGTACTGACTGTAAGCCTGCTGTCTAGGAGAAGAGACTTCGATAAGCAACACAATCACAGTGTCTAACCACCCTTGCTCAGCATTTTTGACCCCGAAAGTGCAGTTGTACGCTAAAAGGGACAGGAATTATGCACTCACTGCTTAAACTTGCATACGATATAAAAAGTTGCATTCGCACGGACCGCTGCAGTGTACAATCAGTCATCACCTTGGCTGGCCATTTTTGATAAGGAGCCGGTTTAAAGCGGCAGTTCTGACCCCGTCCCGCTATAATTACGCGTATAGGGGCCGAGATTCACGTGAAGATTGCGAAATTCATATCGATCGATCTATCTTATCATCACGATCCTCCGTGATAGTACCGAGTATTACCGAGAAGAGAAGGTAAAGAGCCCTAAGGAAGTCTCTATACAGATGATATCCTGTTTCATTATCAGATAATTCTGATGAAATGAGCTTTAAGAGCTTTTCATATGATTGATTTTATGTACAATAGAATAGTATATATTGTTATATTCTAGTTTTATCTTATCTTGTCGTAATTACAATTCTGATGGTTGAAAGAATTCTAGATTGATCTCTATGTATTGTATATGCTACCGTTGAGTATATTCTATAAGATAGTAGCTTTTAGTAACGTTATAAAATCTATTTTCTATTCATTTTTTATGATTACTGCAAAGTACATTATATGTACTTATTAAATGGATAAAAACAGCTATAATAAATATATTTTTATTTCTCTTCAGTCTTTAGTACGGTTTAAGCATATCTTTATCATCTTATAGTGTCGCATAAACGATAAATCTTATTCTCTAAGGTTTGTCTATATCATGATAATCATCTCTTGCCGTTTACTCAATTTACCCATTACTACTCTCTTCTTAATCACTCTAAAGGCTAAGGGGGTTCAAGTTCTCATGAAAGTAAACATACCTCTTCTTTCTCAAATGTGACGTCTATTTATATTTATGAAAAGGTGTTTCATTTACGGATGAACAGACTCAGATTTATTTTTACTCACGCAGGTCTCCCAATTTAATATTTAGCGCCGATCCGGTGAGACTATAAGCAAACAACATGAAAGTATACTGCTTCTATGCCAACAACAACAAATAGGAGACTTTTAAACGCCCATTGCGTTTTGGGGACGCGTGCACTTAAAAGCCACAGATCTGGATGCGATTTGTTTATTGCTTAGTGCAACAGGCACACGCTAGAACGATTAAACCGAAACAAGCAAGAAGACTTCCCGTGGGTGTGTGTGGGAGTAAACGGGCACACTCTTGGTTCTTACCAATGAATGAATGACCCTTACCCGGCACTCAAAGAGGTACGCGCTGCGCAGATAATGAAAAGCCACTACGTTATACTGCACCTTCGGAGTAGAACAGGGAAAACTGGGTAGAGGGACACCTTCTATTTTTATTTGTTTGGTAAATTGACTGTGCCTGATTGACTGACAGGTAGTAGGGACGAGAGAATGTCATACTGCTATTGAAGAAAGATTTCCATTTCCACCTCTCCCCCCTCCATCATCATCACCTCATCAACGAACGCAACTACTCCATCCGATTCAGGAAACACATTATATTTCGGAACGCCGTCGATCAGGTTCAGCTTCATTTCTTGCTCTATTCAACTTCCGCTCATCTTCAAAGCGGAGCACACTTCTTGAAAGGCATTGACCTTCCTTTCCATCAAACTTCATCTTGGCACGGACCTCATCGTCATCGTCACCTTTACCTCGCTACCGCTCACGCCGCCTTTTCATACCGCGTTTTGACGCCCCCGGATTTGTAGCATACGTCCAACTCCGTTGAATGGAAATCGGTCAGCAGGTTAATGATCATCCCCCTTGCTCGATCAAATTTAGCACCCTAAATTACATCCGTTCAAACTCAACAACATCACAAATAATTAGGGGTTAGGCGTTTCCAGCAAAACAAAATCAAAAATACTTCATCTTTGCATTCCACCCGCACAAAATTAGACATTCACCCTCAAACGCCAAGCCCGTCACACTCTCTTGCAAATTATACTTTCTTTTTTTCGTGATCAACCGCATCGTGCGAACATTGTTCATTCCTGATATGTGCATTTCTCTCAATCACGTAAGTAAGTGTTTCTAAATAGAAAGATGGGTACTTCTTATGAGCGGAAGACGAAATATACTGACGGCATTTTAACATTTGACGATCCTTCATTTCAGACAGTAATACTTTGTGACTTATAAAAATATTCAAGTGATCTTGCTGCATCATCTTACTGATTCAAACAAATCAAAGGCTCAATAACATTAAAGTTATCCTTCTGACCATCATTCAGGATCAACCTTTCTTGGAGCGCATTTATTCACCTCATACGCAGTCATGGCTTGCATAGAAGATGGAGATGGTCTCGGATTGGGACTCTCTCAAGATGGCGCATATGTTGCTGGCAGACATCCTATTATCAAGCAACCATCCGTTAGCCCAATCTCTTCTCACGACTCGAATGCACCTTTCTCCCATCACAGGTCGCCATCTTGGGTTCGATCACAACAATCTTTCGAGTATGCGCTACCCTCTCCTGTGCCAGAGCAACCACTCTCACCGCGTCAACGTGCGTCAAATGCGCAATTTGCCGCAGAAGCTTCGCGATCGTATTCAGATTTGAATGTTGGACAAGCTTCCGTTGAGTCGAACTACATCGATCAGCTCGAATCGTACGAGAGCGGTATTTCTCCTAAAGTTCGAAATCATTCCAATACTTCTTTTACCTCAACACTTTCCCAGATCAAAAGAGTTAGTCAACGGGTCAGGAAAGATTCTTTCAAGAAAACGCATGGGTATAGAACTGATTCAGTTGCAACCGAGATGACGATGTACAGGAATGGTTCACTGGCAACAGAAATGTCCATGTCAAATGATGATCCGTTACAGAATAATCTCGATTCAACCACCTTTTCCAACACGCCAATCCGAAACCGCGCGGCAATGGATTGTATGTTTTCCGAGGGTATTTCTCCGCGTACAAGGATCTCTCAAAGCTCTACAATTTCTACCCGCTCTTCCAGCAAGTCAGTTGACGAAATCGCAAAGAGAAGAAGTGATTTGGCAGGCATTCAACAGACGGATTTTGGAACGTTGGACTCATTCAATGGCTTGCCTTATGCCCGTGATACGTCAACGGATTTGTATTCTTCGACCGATATGAACTCAACTACCATACCGGAAAGCCAACAAAGTACACCTACAGAAAGAGTTTCCTTCAATCCAAGTTTGGCACTTCTTATGGCTGAAGAAGGACGTGATGTTCGTGTTGAGGCAAATGGAAGACCGTTGAGTGAAATCGAACCTTTGATTACGTCCAGAACGACGCATTTGATCTTGTCCAATTGTCACGATGCAAGCATTCTGGAGTACCTAGAGCGCGTTTTGCCGATTGTTTCTCATTCATTGGTTGTGCTGGACGTATCATACTGTCAATTAAACGAACTTCCACAAGGTCTTTCTCAGTGCACCCGATTGGAGGAACTCAATCTTTCCGGTAATCACTTTTTGCACTCCTGGCACACGGATGCCGATGCACTCGTTCGATTTTACTCAACTTTACAGGTGCTTCTTATCGATCATTGTGCTTTGACAATCTTGCCAGGAGTTTTGATGCATTTCCGTCAATTACGTTCATTGAGTGCACGCGGTAATCATTTGACCCATCTTCCAGCTTGGTTACATCATCTTCGTCGCCTAGAACGTATATCGATCGGTGAGAATCCATTCATTGGTCCTTGGATTGACATTTGCTTGCCCTTCACTACTGCTGTGGTATACACTTCTACAGCATCTGATTTGGAACATTCGGTACGCTTAGCGGCTGATGCTTCGGCAAACCAGGACACTATCGGACGGTCAAGAAGCCAATCATTCTCGCCTGGATCATTATCGCAGTTCAATTTGTCAAAGAACAATCCAATGACACGCAATGAAGATGTACTGGAAGAACTTGAAGATGAAGATCAATCAACAGAAGATCCGCCGTTTGGACGAACGCTTTCCTCTCAATACGGCAATCAGATTTCCAAGGCAAAAGTGCGTCCAACTGTTAGCACGAGCGATTTGAAGAGCTTATCGGATTTGGAAGTTTCCTCCGCTGTATCAACTCCATCAACAGATGCTTGTCCTGCCACTCCATCATCGATCGCATCTTCTACCTCTTCACCCAGAAAGTCAAGTGCAGGTGAGGCTGATATCGGTAGATGGTTGACGTTCCGACGCAAGAAAGTGAGCAGGAAAGCATCTACGACCGTTCTTGTCGTTCCAACAGAACCATTACCGGTGAGTCCCGCACAAAGCACAATCTCATTGGCAACGCAAGAAAAGAAAAAGATATCAAAAGATAAACTAAGACCAAACACAGCTGGAGCAAACACACCGCCAGAAAGGACGTCATCCTTGAGTACTCGGTCATCAACTGCAACTCTGTCTTTGGTCAAGGGTGTTGACGATGATAGCTCATCGCTGGGAAGCAAAAGTGACCGAAGCACACCTCGTACACAGAAACAGTTGCACAGGACCAGCTTCTTGCCATTTGCGTTGCCGATCGACCCTGACGCACGCACAGCCATTGATGCGGATATCCATCAAAGACACAATGTTAGGATTCTGTTGGAGTATCTGGAAGATTTAAGCTTGCTCAATCCTGATCAACGAAGATTGAATGATTGGCTTGATAGACCAAGATCAGAGTCTATAAGCTCACAAGGCAGTTCATCGTACATGCCGGCACTTTCTCGATCGGGAAGCGAGAGTGCATCTTCGATTTCAAACTCAACTAGACCTTCGTCAGATGATGAAAGTCAAGCCAAAATCACATCATGTACTTCTTTGAGCAGCATTCGGGAAAAGCAAGATTCAGGTTCGGTCAATCAGCCTGAACCTGTTTTGGCGCCAGTTGCGGTAAAAGATGATGCGATCAGACGAGCAAATATCATTGGCGAAATCATTGCAACGGAACAGACGTACGTCAAGACGTTGGGAGAACTGATTGATATTTACATTATCCCCTCAACAAAAGTTGACGCACACAATCAACCACAAATCCCAATCTCGGAACGAAGGATCGTGTTTGGAAATGTGGAAGCCATTCAGCATTTCCATAGTCAAGCATTACTGCCTTCTTTGTGTTCTGCTGCGCAAGAGTTACTCGATAAGCAAGGCGAAAGACCTGATGCAAATGATGCAAAAGCAGTGGAAGCCTTTAATGCGTTAACTGCACAAGTTGCAGAATCCATTGCTCAAACGTTTGAGAGGCATGTGGCATTCTTCCGTATGTACACAGCTTACGTTAACAATGTAGAAAGTGGTCAAGCTCGGGTTGCCTCTTGGCTTTCAACAACGACACCTTCTGCTCCTTATCTACGAGCAGGTTATTCGATGAGCAATCTACGCCGTGAAGCTGCTCCTATGTCCAAGAGCTTCGACACTTTCCAACACAATGCGCTTGGAGCGGGAAAACTTGAATCTGAATCACTTGCTTTGCAAAGTAAGGATCGTAAACGGATCAAATTATTCTTGCAACGTGCAAGGTTGGACAAGAATCATTCACAAATTTCGTTGGAAGCATATTTGCATCTTCCCGTCCAACGTGTTCCTCGTTATCGTCTTTTATTTGAGGATCTCGTGAAGTGTTGTCCTTCAGAACGGTTAAAGGACGGAAGGTCGATCATCAATGCGTTAGGATCGATCAACTCGATTGCAACAATGATGAACGAGAGCAAGCGTCAATGCGAGATGAACAGAAGACTGTTGAGATGGCAAGAAAGGATCCGCGGTACATTCCCGTCTCCATTGGTACAGCCGCACAGAAGATTATTACACGATGGTTCATTGGTCTTGACGAGGATCGTTACCAGAATCCCATCTTTCACTGCTCGTAGGGTGACAATCGTGGGCGATACAACAACGTACGAGTTGATGGAGGATCCCACCTTACTACAAATTGCAGATGCTGAACAACTCTCCTCTCAAACAAAAGCAGAAGATGATCAATCAAGAGGCCACAAACAACAGCAAGGTAGTACTGGCTCTTCGCAAAATTTTCCACCACCACCACTTCCACCAAAAGATCACAAGGATGCTTTGTTGCAAGTTCATCATCTCGAACAGCGTTTCGTTTCTACAGCCGTAGAAGTGATCTTGTGCAATGATATTTTGGTAATTTTGGAAGCATCGCATCCTATCGGATTTAGTTCAAGTATGAGCAGTGCTACTGCTGCAAATTTGACCCTTTTCACCGTGATGAGAATGGAAGGTGAAGCAAAAGTGGTTGATGAAAGAACGTTGAGGATTGGCGATGCAGAAAAGATTTACTACCTTACTGCTAAAAACAGAAAGGAAGCCGAGGAATGGCAAAGATCATTTGCCATTGCAACTCGAAGGCCATCTATGTGAGGCAATTCTTGATTTCAATAAAACTGTATTTGTAGTTTGAACCCATGTCACGACATGTGTATTGTAGATAGAGATTAAAATGAATCCTTCTTTTCTTTGACATCTTCGAATCTAAAGAGTGAGATCCGCATTCCCGTGGCGAAGAGGCTATCGCGTTGTCCTTATGTTCGTCAGATTAGCGACCATGATCTAACTTTTGTCAAGACAAAGATCGCTCGCGCTAGCGAAATAAAAAGATAAAATTACTATAGCGCCGGGGTCAAAAATTGCTTATTCCCGGCGGGATTTGAACCCGCGACCCTTGTCTTGACAAAAGTTAGATCATGGTCGCTAATCTGACGAACATAAGGACAACGCGATAGCCTCTTCGCCACGGGAATCGGACGACATCTTTAGTGTGGACCCAATGTCGTATAAGTAAGCAATTGTATGCTTTGCTTATCCCCGCTTTCCGGCGCTAAATGAAACCTTAACTCCATCTGCTGCACACTTTTTATTGCTTGCATCATCAATATGCAATGCAACACACACTGTACGCACAGGCCTAAACCCTATGCGCAATTGCCGGAGATGAGCAGATATAAAAACAACAGTGGCCAAGTGCACTAAAACTGTTCATTCGTCTTGATGGCAATCATTGTAAGCAATACCCCATCTTCCACTTGGCCACCCACTACTTTATATCTGCTCAGCTTCACATCCCAGCCTAACCTTCCTTCACCAGTCGTAGATTTCGCTCCATCTTCTCGAAGCTGAAAAGGAATGGTAAAGCGCTCCGTTCAAAATGTCCTCAAGTCCGCCTTCAAGAGCGAATCGGGAAGATGATGCCGAAGAGCTTTCAGCTCGTCAAGATAGTAATGCAATTTTAGAATCAATGATTCAACATATATTTGATAACGAAGAAGAGGAAAACAGTGATCCAAATATGGATGAAATTTGGGCAGATGTGCCAAATGAAATGGATGAAGAGATGGATGACGAGCCAGACTTCATCGAAGAAGGCGATCCAGATTACGATGAATACATCCCAGGTGAGGATGACGAGTTCTTCCCCGATGAAGATGATGAGGATGAAGATGAGTGAGTAGAGGATGAGTGGCACTTCAATACTGCATATATGCTGATAAACCCATTATCCACAGTGAGGACGTGTACATCGACATGGATGAGGAAGAGGAGGACGAAGACGAAGACAACGACGAGGATGAGGAAGAAGAGGGTGCAGAAGATGAAGACACTCAGGTAATTGATCTTTCCAATCTATTGCAAGCAGCAATTCAAGAAAGTTCAAACAACGAAGATGCAGAAGTTAGCAACGCAGTACGTATACTGGGCGATATGGGCGTACGCGGCTTGCGCTCCTTGCTGAGATCAGGTCGCATACAGATACGAAGTCGCAATGATGATGATGACGATGATGAAGAAGAAGATGATGACGAAGATGCTAGCTTTTATTATGGAGGTGCTAATCGCAGAGGTGCAACTACTCGTATGTCTGAATTTTGGGACCCGATCGAAGAACCAATCCCGGCAGGACAGGAACTGCTGTATGGTGGCGAATTCAAAAGACCGGCAAGAAGGCCAAGAGGAGCTGCCAAAAGCGCATTTGCTCCTTCGCATAATCTCGCAGATAGCATACAGAATCGCAAGAATGCATTAAGGCGAATAGATAAGCATGAATTGTCGTCCTTTGTTCCCAATACAAACGGAGCGGAAGTGGCACGATATCCGGCAAGATGCTATTGCGGTCAGTATAGTGAGGATTCTTCTTTCTTCTATACATGCACGCAAGACTTTAAGGTGCACTTGTACGATACCACAGCGAACCCATACAAGAAGCTGCATCGGAATGAGGGTGCGCCATACAGTTCGAGGCACTTGACGTCATTGAAGTCGATCAAAACGATTCAAGGAATACAAGGAAGCTGGACAATCACAGATGCTAATCTGTCTCCGGATAATCAGTGGATGATCTATTCGTCCATCAACCCATTCGTATATCTTGTTCCCACCCGTCAAGAGGTTGAAACACAAGGACGCGAAAATCAGGTGAAGCTGGACTTCAGCAATGATGGAAATGATGATGCAGGGGTGAGATGGAGAAATGGGGTAAGGACGTAATGTCAGGGAGTAAGAAGAGAATGCTGACCCTTCCCTTTGGCCTTTCTACAGATCTGGTCGATTCGGTTCTCCGGTGATTCTCGCGAGATCGTAGCTGGTGCACACTTCGGTGATATTTACGTTTACGATATCGAAGCCCGAAGAAGAGTATTGAAAGTCGAAGGACATTCTGATGATGTCAACGCAGTGGCTTTTGCTGACACAGCGAGTAGTAACGTTCTAATCAGTGGTAGTGATGATTCGTTTGTCAAAGTATGGGATCGAAGATCTCTATCGGGCGGAAAGCCAGCAGGCGTTTTCTGCGGACATACAGAGGGTGTTACTTACTTGGATTCCAAGGGTGATGGAAGGTATTGTATATCCAACGGAAAGGATCAAAGTCTGAAGTTGTGGGATCTACGCAAGATGGTGAGCACGACCGAATTTGATAGTCTACCGTCAAAGGATTACGGATTACGTCAATGGGATTACAGAAATATGTATTACAAAAAGCCAAGATACGATTCTCATCCGAATGATTGTTCGGTGATGACTTACCGTGGACACGCTGTCTTGCGCACTTTAATCCGTTGCCATTTCAGTCCTATTGCTACTACTGGTCAAAAGTACATTTATTCGGGAAGTGCAGATGGACGTATACATATTTGGTCTTTGGATGGAAGGGTGGTTCAAGTATTGGATCGATCCAAGGTAGTCCCTCTTTCCAAACCCGGTACAACAGAAGCCTCTGATCCTTCGGCACCGGATGTGACAGATGATGCATTCGATGCAGAAGAAGGTGATGAAAACCTTCGAAGAAGCACTAGAGCGGGAAGATATGCTCATTCGCATTCGTGGTACTCAAATTCATCAGAAATGAGCACAGTGCGGGATGTCAGTTGGCATTCGAGCGAGCCAACGTTGATGTCATGTGCATGGACAGGATCAGACGGTCAATCAGGAAGCATTGCCAAACATGAATGGAAGGGTTTCGGTAAGAATGGTCTCTCGTTGGAAGATGCGATCGAGAAATCCATTGCGGAGGCGGATTTTTGATGTTTGAACACATACAATCATTGTTTCTTATTAATACATCTGTGTACATTTTGTTGTGATACGTCTTAAACTTTAGGGCCTTTTCGTATTAGGATTGCCAGCATGACGCTTGTGGCAGCAGAAAGAGAGAACCAAGTGGCAGCATACACTGCATGTTGGTTACGCAATTCGACCGTTGCAGCACGTCCAATTGGCAATCCATTCTGCAGGTATCGTGAAGCCTCTCCCAAATTTCCTTCAAAGATCTGTTCCATGTAGACTGGTAGCACACTCCTTGTGCCCCCGGTTGATTCTAGACCCAGCATCGATTTAACACTATCGGCAACACCATGCGAAGGCGTATATGTATCCTGATCCTCTTCTTCGCCAGAAAAGTATTGCACCATTTCATCTACATCTGCAAAGTACCATACGTGTCGAGCAGGATCATTGACCGGCGTGAAAGAGTTGCGTTCTTTCTTTCGCGGTAGAAGCAAGAGATGCGTAGCAGTCGGGGTGTTGAATGCGGTATCCATTAGTCGCCAAGTAGAAGGATCCGATCGGAAATTGAGAATCTTCTCTTTGGGAACGAAACCACGATCGACTATGATATCTCCTCCTCCTGCATCTCTTTGCAGGGGCTGTAGAACATGATAGCCCATCTGTCCATCTCGAACTCTTGGGCCTAAGAAGATTGTGTTTTGTGGTGTAGGTGGAGGAAATGATCCGGAAATGGTAAAGAGTCGATTTGTGTAATGTTCTAGAAGCATATCCAAGTCGATGTTCTTGGGTAGACTTAATGGTTCACGTTTCAGCTTTGATTCCAATTCATCGATCAAATCCAGTTTCCATCTCAATCTCTTAATTTGCCAAATGCCCAAATAGAGCGTCACAATCGGCATTGCTCCCAACAACCACACTGCAGGCCTTTGATACCATCTTGGAGGTCGTTTGGCGCGTTGATTAGGTCCTTCGTCATATTCCTCACCGTAGCTTGCAGTGGAAGATGATAATAATCTAATTGAGATTGGTGAAATGCTTCTTGCATTGCAGGGTGGGAGGCACAAGGCACTTTTGGACGAGGAAGCGAAATCAGATGGGCTGTAGTGCGCCCGAAAAAGGCGTTGATTCGGCGCTGAATATAAGGTAGTCTGTTGAGCATATTGCGATAAAGCTGCTCTCCTCAGCACATGCTGGGCTCTAAATGCCATCTTTGTGATGAGAGTGGCTTTGTGTTCGTAGCGGAAAGTAGGAAGTTACGTTAGCAAAAGATTCTTCTGAGAGCCTAGCATGCTTATGTAATTGGTGGAGCTGTGTAAGATCAATGAGCATTGGAATACGCGTGCGTGCATACAGTCAGGTTTGCACGTGTGTACGCCTACGCTTTCTACCTCACGGTATCTGATCGTCCTTCTTTTGCTGAATAAATGCACATCTTGAAGCTCATTCAGAACCAAAACATCCCTAAAAGCATCTTTCAAAGCTCTTGATATCTCTCAGCATAGTCAAAAAATCATCATGAGCAATCCTTTCTTTTCGATGATCGCCCCTGTTTTAGACGAAGTAGCAGAAGAAATGGATAAAGCACACGAGCAAGTTCAAGGGCAAAGCAAAGAAGTTGCTGACAACACACTGAAGGAATCATATGCTCTACAAAGAAAGATGCAAATGGACAGGTAAGGAAAGGTGCTTTTCTTGAAAAGAGAGATATGGTTGTTCAAAATATTTTCTTTTCCAGCCAAATTGCTTTTGACAAATTTGTTGCAGTAGAAAACGAATGCAACAAGCTAATCGCTAGGAATCTCAAGAACATCTTGAATGTGGTAAAGAGTATCGAGGTATGTCAGAGTCCTTGTCAAATCAATTCCGATTGGTAATACTCACATAGCAGATCTTTTGTTCATTTTGTTCACAGACGGGTATAAAGGCATGTGAACTACGCTATGGCACCATATTCAATGACGAGGCGACGCAAGCATTTATCGTCCGCATGAATGAGTTCAGCAAGCTCATCGAAGAACATGGAGTGGCTTCTGGCAATTGATAGCAGAAAAAGCAATAATACATCGTTTAACCTTCAAATATGAATCCAGAGGTGCATATATTCGCATTTTGTGTCACCATCCACGCCAAACACGAGAGTTTGGCAATCAGAGAGATTTTAAATGAACGAGTAGTATCGAAGCCGCACTGAGCTGTTCGTGAAATAAATATAAGTCTTCGATGACCATCATTGCCAATCTATGCTGTTCACAGTCGATGGCAGCCAGTCGTGATATTTCACGCGTGGAAAACAAGCGTAAGAGTATTGGACCTCGTTCGCTTACTAAGCATGATAATTTTTTTTTCCATGCAAGAGTGGAGTGTTGTAGAGTAACATTCGCTCCAATACTTCCATCATGTCCTCATTCAAAAGGCGGTTGCCGGGCAATGCGAAAGCCCGAGCTCAGGCCTCTCCGACAGGAGTGTTGAACACGACTGTTGATGGCAAAACTGATGTTGCTTCCAGCTCCAGCATTGCGGGCAGCCCCAATGCAGATCAGACCATCCCACCAAGCAATGATGACCGAACAAAATCTATCTCGAACGCTCTTCCAATAGGTCTGAGACCATCTCCGTTTCCCTCAATCGTTCCACTTTTCTCATCTGGACTGGCTTCTGTTGATGATCTGATATGCGGACATGGAATACCTTCTTCAAGTGTTCTAGCACTCTGTCCAGCGATCGGTCTGACAAGCATTAGTGCAGAGAGTGGATTCGGAGCACCTTCCAACAATCAAGAAGAGGTCATAAATTCATCCAAGCGTGCAACTTCTTCGAGGTCAACAATCGAAGCGTTACAGCAAGCTGAGACAACATTACTGGATATGCTAGCCTATGGTATTGCTCAAGGACTTATCGCCGGACACAGGAACTTGGTTCTCGGACAAAATGCACGAGAAGTAGTAGAGAAACGTGTACCAATGCGAATCTCTTCTCGTGATTCGACTGCAAAAGAAGAACAGGAAGAGAAAGAGGAAGATATGAAGATAGCCTTCCGATACGCCCACCGCCCTAAATTCAAGACCACTGTAGATGAGCCAAGCTTCGCGGAGGGTAGCACACCGTTTGATTCGATCTCTCTGGAGCACCGTTTTAGGGCTCCCTTTGATATGAGTAAAAGGCTACCGAACGAAGATATCCAACGAGCGGAAGAGAGTGAGAAGGAAGACGGTCTCTGTATACTCAATAGTACCAAATATGAAGAGATCCTGCAAGCGATCGATAAGGAGATCCAGAGGAATAGCAAGTTAAACCTCTCCAAAGCTTCAGCCATACGTATTCATCTCGTTTCGCTCGGTTCCAAAGCATTCTGCAAAGCAGGGGAAAGCTTCGATCGAAGGATTGTGCAACTTTCTCGATTTTTGATGCAAATTCGAAAGCGAGTAAAAGCTGCAACGATCGAAAACAATACATCCGGTAATTCTGCAACGTTGCATATCATCTGTACGGCATCAATCTCTGCCGATTTGCTTCATCCTCCTCGCACAACCTTCGTCACCCAACATCTGCTCCGATTCTTTGATGCGCAATTACTCCTATCCGATTTTGCAAATGATGAACGATTAAAGAATGCTTATGCAGGGTATGGGGGTAGTGTATGCCTGTTGAAAGGCCCTTCGATTGCCGCCATTCTGCCGCCCGGAGAGCATCGAAGTATCCTACGTGGTGGAGGCGGAGAAGCTGGCGTAGAGAATGATGTGGGATGGAGAAGAAGGAAACGTGGAAGAGGATTGGTGCTGGAAACGTTGCACGAAGATGTGGACGCAGGTCAAAATGCAACAGCCGATACTTCTAAAGATGCCAAACCGACAAAGCCTTCTCATAGCGATGATATTGAAGATACAGCACGACTATTGCCCAGGAAGACTGTACCAGTCAAGAGCGCTGCTGCTACCGATCACACTCACGAAGCAGATGTCAAGACTGGAGTGCAAGAGGGTGTAACGATCACATCGCCTTCATCACGACCCAAAGTAGGAGCCAGTACCAAACCAAGTCCTAAGAAGTTCGAAGGTTTAAAGTCACTACGCGAACGTGGTCTTCGTGCGGCAGCAGCCGCAGCAGCTGCTTCTGGATCGGATTCAGAACAGACGGAAGGCCAGAAAAAGCAATGATTCAACTCAGTGTATGCTAGGTAATATGAATACATCTGAGGGATGAATATTTTGATTAGTGATAAGGTACATTCTCGGCATGAAATCCTTCCTTTCATCAGGGCACTAAAGAACAGAGCTAAAGCGAGGAAAGATCCTACTCGCTACATGAATCGCACACTCGTTTGTGTGATTCTATGGTTAGCCTACAAATGATGCCCAATATTGATTGTCAATCGTGATAGATGAACGGTTAGGAGCTATTGGAGACTCCGTCTTCATTATCTCTAATTTGATCGTTTATCAATATCATTCTGTTTGGATCGACATACATACAAACAATCATGATGTGAATTTGTCTCAAAGTATTGCACGTGTATTTCATCATTGGTCATCCATTTATCCGATCCGTTATCATCATGTCTTGCCTGATTGTCTCTGGCCTGCACGGTGAATTCCGCTAAGTATGGTCCTGCTGCAAGATGGGTGTCCCAAGAAATGTGCGTTAAAGAAAGAATAATTCCGCAAATGGTGCACTCCGACGCTAACAATTAAAATCTTTGGCCGCTGCGTTGAAATGCCAGGAACTATAGCGGGAATTTTTCGCGCTTGCATCTCATCCGTCAGCCACATAGCCCCGTGCAATAATAGAGAGTGTCTGCAGGCGTCCGCATTCCCATTCTTCTGATGCAATTAACTAGAGCCAACAGGATTAAATGTATGCAAGTAAGGCATGCGAGCACTTGAACGCATATACCGACATCCAAACAAGGTTATTTATCGCAATAATAAGGATTCCTCGTTTCATCTTTTTTAAGAAGAGGATATGATTTCATCAACAGAAAATCTCGCATCAAGTGTGATGAAGTGCCATATTATCAAGCACGAAATTGTGACAATAGAGATGTGTAGCAAGCAAGAGAGGGACACAGTAGGCCTAGGCCAAGATGGAGGAGAGCTCTCTTTGTGATGGATACCAGATCCCAGAAGGCTAAAACCTCTTCACTGCGTCATATAGTTGGGTTACTTTGACTTGTTGATGCATTCAAGCCAGACTAGCATTGTTCCGAGTATGTGTACATCCAGTGCCCGATCCCGTATCATACTTCAATTTGACAAGCAGACTTCTTTCTTTGAAGAAGAGTAAGAGCCCGTTTGCCACTCTTACCCTCTTACCCAACCCTCTATGCATGCCTGGCACCTGTCTATTCCAGGTCCGATTCAGAGAGAGACAGAGAGAGATTTCCTCCTTCACTCACCTGATCAACCTTCTTTGCCGGTCAAAACATTGATAGCATACATACGCAAATCTGTGTGCATTTACGCACTGTTTTATCCCGCAATCCTTCTTCCTCTCTCACACACAAGCATATGCAAAAGGTTTAGCCTCTTTGTTTTGACATAGGGGAAGGTTCATCCGTAGTGTCGCTTTTGATAGAGGATATCATTTTGTTTTTTTCTGGTTGTTGTTGTCAACTTTTGGATATCTTTCCTTTCTTTTTCGCCATATCAGTCTTCACCTCCATTCATCCTCCTTTCGTCCCTGGTCTCGATGTCATCATTCGTTTGAAGCAATCATTCGACCACTCTCATCCTTCTCTTTTCGACACATTCGACAAATTTGTCAGCAAACATCGATAGCGATTACAAGAAGCTACTCTGACATCATTGTTCGAACACATTCATCCTTCATTTACCGATCCTCGACTCTCGTTTCACTAGACACTCGCCAACGATGCCTCGCATTCCCGTTAGGACGGAGCCATACACAAGCCCTTCGAGGCAACATCGACACTATAAAAACAAACGAGATCAAGTTCTGAGAGCATTAGGAAAAGCTGCATATATCAATGGAAGTCATTTTGCAATCATGTGGGTTTCAGCCCGTGGTGATGTTGAGACATATGCATCGGAAGCATTGCAAGGTCGACTGGATGATTGGTTCATCAAAAGAGGAATAACTGATGAAGCAAAAGAACTCGTTCGTGCTTCCCGTAATAGCTTGACAAGAGCACCACCTCCAGCATTCGACATCGATGATGAGAATTTCGACGATGATGAAGATGCAGCAAGCGATGATGAGACTAGAACATTGGGGAGAAGTTTAAAGATGTCTCAATCAGCTGATAACACACCTCTACTACAGAGTGATGTCTTTGGAGAAAATCGCCCGACTCTAGAACGCAGTGCATCAACTACAACCAACATGAGAGCAAGACGTATGATGGCACCCTTGGATACAAATGGAGCAAATGATTTTTACCGTGGAACTCAAGATCCATCGTCAGCAGGAACGCCATTGTCCGTACCTCATTCAGCTATGGGAATGTCTTTCAGAAGCCCTTTTGGATTTGAGAATGAATTCCTACCTGTTCCTCATACTGCGCCTCTGCGAAATGACTTGCCTCTACCGTCTCCATACATGCGCACGCCTTTCTCCCGCACCATGTCAAGCTCAATCCTAGGAAGTGCGCCTCAGTCAGCAAAGTTGGTGGAGACGACATTCAAAAATGCTGCCGCTCGTACTGCTTTCTTGGAGCTACGGTTTAGCCAGCTACAACAAGGAATGTGCAAAACAGTAGCAAAAGCATGGATCAAAGTGATTGAACCAAAGAAGCAAACTCGTTGTCCTTACAACAAAGGTGAAGAAGGTAAACCAGATTGGTGGCCTGAAGGAGTGCGTCACAAAGAGCCAGACCATCTCATGAAGCCAGAACGTCATGAGTTGCTACTCACCATTCTTCGAAGCTCGAAAATCAAAGTAGCAAGATTACAATTAGCAACAGCAGAAGTTGTTGCTTTGATCAAAGCTGATAAAGTCAGCCTTTTGATGGATGTATACCGCATTGCCCGTGAAGAAGAAAAGATGCGAGAAAAGGGTCTAGAAACAGATAAGGAATGTAGCGTGCAAGTAAGCACCTTGGAGGGATGGTCGGAAGCAGACCAATGCGCCATCGCAACCGAAAAAGGAGAAGGTGAAGAAGGCACAACCTCAGAACAACGGGCAGACGCAGACGAGAGCACAGAAAATCCCCGAAAGAGGTCCGGTGTTCAGATTGGCCGATCTGCTTCTACATCGGCTGCTTCCCGACCAAAGAGACAAAATGTTGGCGCTTCAATCGAGACACCGCCATACCTATTCGGATCAGGATTCAAACCAGCCGAGCAACCGTCTCAAATTCCTACTGTTCCTCGTCGTCCTCACAACACTGCTCAGACATGGTTGTTGCACGAAGCTACTAGAAATGGAATCAAGAGGACTTCAGTATCCAGTCACACTTTATCGGGTAACCCTTCAGCTACGATTGCAGCAGCAAATGCGAATGCAAACTCCAACGTCTCCTTCCAAAACCATACATGGCAACAGCAATACCAACAGCAGATGCAAAATCAACAACGTCAATTTGCAGCTGGTAATGAGGAACAAAATCAACAGCAACTATTGCAGCAAAATTACGGTTTGGTCACGCCATTGAGCGGTAATGCACAATTGATGGATCCTTCCTTCTTGACTGCAACCAAAGAAGGCGAACCTAGCGAAGCTGTTGCGGGTTACATGTCTGCACCGACCGGACATGCTCAATTGTACCCTCATATGCCATTCAATGCTATGTACAATCTTCACATGCCGAGAAGCAATGGTCAGGAATCGCATCAACCGCAAGCATCTGGTTCGCAAACACAGCTTCAAGATCAAAGGCAGTTGCCTCAATCCAGTCAAAATACCATGGAAATCATGCAAATGCAAGCAGGTCAAAATATGTACGGAATGGATGCTTCGACGTCTGCATCAGCAGGAGGAGCATTGGGCTTACACGGCTTGAATGGTATGCAATGGAGCAACAATGCTGATTCGTATAGCAACTACACTGGAGCCGTTCAATCAACGAGCAACACACAAGCTGGAGCTGGTGAATGGTGGCAGCAAAGCATGCAACATCCACAGCACCAACAGCATCAACAACAGACTCCTCTCTCTGTTCAGCGTCAACAACAATCGGCTGATAGAACTCAAGTCAGCAGAGACGATCACGGTGCTGGAGATGCAACTTTTGATACCAGTTTCGCATCAACAATCGAGAGTGCTGGACCTGCCACACCACCACAGAGCAGCGCACACCATTCCACAAACGATAAACAGGCGAACAAAACGGCAAACGACTTCACACAGCGAGGAGTTGTATCTCATCCGACTCATCAGTCCAATCAGGCAACGATGAATGCATTTGAAGGATGGATGTACGGCAAGCAGGGCTGATATTTGTTGTGCTCTCTTTCAGCCTGGTCTACATTTTATTTTTATGTTTTTCACACATACTGGAATCCGATTCCGGCGATACCTATTTTTTTCTCATTCATTCATGGCACTTCGTCTTAATCATAATCGCTTTATCTAGATATACCTTTCATTGAACTTTTGGTTTAACCTCTGTCTATTATTGTTTTGGTTAGTACCTATACTCTTCATCATCAATCATTTGTACCAACGCATTTCAATCAATCCATTCATCTATGAAGCAGAGGAAGTGATGTAAAAAGGATAAGCTTTGCAGGCGTGTTAGAGATTGCGTTGCTTCCTGGGCGCGATATACGCGTTCATGCACGATTAGGCAGCATCACAGGCTTATTTCCGATGAAATGGATGGCGTCAGGAAGAAATGCACTCTTCACTCAAAACGATCAACTACATGTACATGATGACAAGATGTCAAATACAAAGAGTATGACGACATCAAACGTTCAATTGGCACGATGTGAGCCAACGATTGCGATCAATCGAACGCCATCCAATAAACTACACGAGATTGTAGAACCAGTCTTGATTTCACAAAAGCCAAAAATACGGAATTGGGGAGGAACATTTACGAGTACACCAGCATGTTTGTTTCAGCCAAAGACGGTATTGCAATGTTGTGCGATCATCGAGCTGGCTAGACGGATGGGAAATATAGAATGTAGAGCATTGGGAAGAGGACATAGTCCGGGTGATTTACCATTCACGCAAGGATGGCTATTACAGATGGATAATCTATCGGGATTGGTGGCGATCGATACAAGTGTTCCAACGGCTACTGTCTTGGCAGGAACGTACGTTTCGGACATGCATGGAATGCTGGAAAATGCTGCTGTCCCGTTAGGCATGCCCAATCTGGGATCGATCTCTGAACAAACGATTGGAGGCTTGATCTCTACGGCTACACATGGAACTGGATATTCTTTCCCAGTCATCTCAGCTGCTGTCGAGTCAATGCGCATCATTTGCGCTCTCGATGAGGCAGAAGGAGGAACGCAAGTGATCTCGTGTAGTCGAAAACAAAACGCAGATCTGTTCAATGCAACTTTGTGTGGTTTGGGAGCAACTGGTTTGCTTGTGGAGGTGACGATCAAAGTGGATCATTGGTTCAAATTGAAACAAATTTCGGAAGAATGCAAATTTGAAGATTTGATTGGACCGGAAACGAGTACGCCCAGTATTGCAACTTACTGGTCTGCTGATCAAATGGATGAGCATACATTGCCTATGCTGCAAAGTAGATCAAAAAGAGCTGCATTAAAGGGAATACAAAAGGCAAAGGAACTGATTGGTGTCAATGAGGACAGTGTAGATGCTAATGATGGTCTCGCAATCAAGCGTCCAATGTCTCTTGGAAAGCTACTAGCTCATAAACCTCATCTTGTTCCGGGCTGTCCAGCTTCAAGATTACCAAAATACCACACCAAAGACCCAAGCTCAATATACCCGATCGATAGTGTCAACAGTGAGATTGAAAAGGATGAATTGGACGAAGAGACAAGGGTGGCCCAATCCAGGCTGGAAACTCTAGGCCAATCTTCGCAACATGTCCGGATCGCATGGGTTCCACATGCAGGTATGTGCACTGTGATGAGGATGAATAAGACTTTGGAGCCGATTCAGGCACCCGGAGTGTTTTCAAGAGTATATGGACGTGTTGTTGGATATCACTTCCTGCAATTGCTCATATTCATGTCAAGGTATCGACCGAGTATGCTAGGCAATGTGAACAGATTTGCCTATTGGCTCACTCATCCGTCCAGACCTTCTGACCCCTCCGAATCATCGGTCCCAGCCAAGCCGATCGCAGCTGATGCAAATCAAAAGGCCATCACTGAGGATCCTTCTCAGTTTGCAAATGGCACATTTGACCCAACCCGACTAGGATCTTCGTCATCGCTCAATCGTGATCCTGAACCGTTGAATCCGACCAATCCACGCAGCGTGCTGGTCGATGCAGCACCAAGGGTGTTCAATTTCGATTGTCTGTTTCAACAATATACCAACGAATGGGCCATTCCACTCTCATGCCTTGGCAGTACATTACGTGCAATGCGCGATTGGTTGAAAGAAGAAGAAGAAATCTCCAAACGTGGAGGAGGAGAACAAGTTCATTTCCCCGTTGAAATTCGTTTTGTCGATGCAGATGGAATTTGGCTAAGTCCTTGTCATGGAAGAAAGACGGTTTATATCGGAATTGTGCAATATAGACCGTACGATTTGCCGATCAAATATCGAAGTTTGTTTGCCAAATTTGAAGTTTTAATGCGTCATTTCGGTGGAAGACCTCATTGGGCCAAAGCACATACTTGTGGACCGACTGAATTGGCAAGATTGTATCCAAATCTAAGCGACTTTTTGGCTTTGCGTAAATCAAAAGATCCCGATGGAATCTTTTTGAATCCTTATGTTCGCAGACATCTTTTGGGCGATCTGAGAGCTGAGGCCAGTCCGAGGATCTTCAAATCGAGGCTATGATTACTGTACTATAGCTAATTGTAAATTTGACTTTTCCGAACAAACATTCTCTAGAAGATCAACAAAATTAGTGGGAGTCTAAATTTAGTAAAGCAGGCCGAGGTAAGTGTGAAATGAAGGGTGTTTGTGATTGTGATCAAGCCACTTGGGAAAATTCTTCTAGCGAGAGATGCATTCGGCATAATAACCCCCTTGATGCTGTACACTTGCCTGCCGCCTTGTCCCGCCGGTAAGAAAAAAAGATAAAAATACTCCATAAATTTGACACACGCTAGCAAATCACCAATTCGCCGGCGGATCAACAGTGGCGGGCATCTTGGCTGAGGGAATGTCAAAAAGTAAGGATTATATTTATAGATATCAACCTCCGACCTGTCCCTATTTCTTTAGCTTTGTTTTTGCATAATAACAGCAGCAATGATGCCTGCCTGACTGTCTGCTCTTTTTGTTGTTTGTTAGTGTGATTGAATGACGTACACACACTAATTACTTCACTCAATCTATTGGGATTTGTCAAGTCCCTTGCACATAATGAAAGAAAAGATATACGATGCATCATAACAAAGATGTGATACTTTGACTGAATATGCGCATTTTGAGGGGATTGAATTGGAATGATTCAATCCAATCTCCTAAACATAACAAAGAGGGGTAGTAATCTCCCATCAACAATCATCATCACTGTCCCTGATTCAATCTCCTGATCATACAAATCTACTCTTCACATCCATGTCTAACATTTGATCGCATCCCTAACAACGAAACACACCTTCAAGATGAACTTTAGTTCATACTTTCTCATCCTTTTCTCCATTGCGACACTTCTAATCAGCACAAATGCAGAATCATCACGAATAGAATCACTGTCAAAGCGACATCCAGAAGATAAATGCGGTGGAAAACGAATGTTTTACACACCACTCATCCGTAGATCGGATGAAGAAGGTGAGTTAAAATTGATGAGAAAGACAAGTTGAAACTTACTGACAACTATGCCTCTCATAGAAATTGCCGTTTGTGATTCTTCCTGTTCACCAATCCAAAGTGTAAAATTATCATCATCATCTCCGGGTGCACAAAGACGAATGCATAAAAAGCAAGCAAGGCGAAGAGCAATCACAGAATCAGAGTTTCAACAATCAACTTCGATTTGGCAATCAAAAATGTCCAATTTGTATACGTGTGACGATACGAAAACATGGCCAGAAGAGGGCATACCGGAAAACGTGAAGGATAACTTCCCTTTCAATATGCGGACTTGCTTTTATGATCAAGCCGATACGGACAAAGAAGAATTCAAAGCACAGAATACGTTTGAACAGGTGAGTAGACAATCTGTATATAATCAAAGCAAGACGGCTTTACTGACAATTCATCCCACCATTAGGCCTGCAAAGCTGCAAACGGAGTGTTTACCAGACCGCTGCACCATTCTTGGTAGACAGCCATCCAAACCACTCAATGTACAATATCAATCATACTACACATCAGCACTAGATACCTTCACAGCATACATTACATCATTTGTACATTAATACACATCATTGAGATACCTAGAACATGACAATCATCGTCTTTTGTAAATGCATGGCTTGAGAATCGCTTGGCCACTTTCGACTAATGCGTCCAGATCAGCTTGGGAAGAGTAAGGCAAAGTCCATTGCGAGGATGGCTTTTTGTGAAAGGTAAAGATGATAAAGTGCGTATTGCTTGCGTCTTCTTTGTTGAATTTGAATCCAAGAGATTCAACAATCTCAATGAATTTCTTCTTGTCCGTAAAACGACTGGTAACTTCTGCAATAATCAATTCGCCAAACGGTCGAACGACTCGACTTGCTTCACGTATTTTGTCAACCCAATTGGTCGCCATCAAACTCAGGCAGAATACGGCAACGTCTACGACTCTGGCCGCATCTTCATCAGTAGTAATATGAGCGCCTATCGAAGCTACTTTACCAGGTAAGGGCAAAACACCAACTTGTGCAACGTCTAAGCCTTTCACGAATCCATCTTGACTGTCCAAAAGATCATAGCTCATCACCCGTGGTCGGATCGACCTATCTTCGCTCAGCCATTTGCCAAGCAAGCCTTCGCCAGCACCCAAATCCACAATTAATGCACCTCTCGCAAATCGTCCATTTCCAAACTTCGCATCTGCATGATTACCAGTTTGCTTCTTTCCGCCATTCTTTGCTTTTCCGTTCGTCTGTTGTTGCTGTTGCGCAACATTGTGTGATCCACTCTCTGCTTCTCTTTGTGCATCCCTAATCAATTCAAATATCTGTTTGACCGGAACTTTTGGCCAACTTTTCACCTGTTCGCGAAAGCCTTCATGATATTCTTCGAATTTGATCGGATCATTTTGAATCATCGCAAGTGTATTTGTGGAAGATGTGGTATACATTGTTTCATTGATTTGTCGAAATCTGGCCCCGGATAATTTTGAGGTGAGCGAACTGCGTGGTTGAGATTGCGGGGTGGGAACTATTTCAGAAGGCTTGGCCGGAGCAGGTACATTGTTTACTTTGGGTTGACTGTGATCATCAGATTGTTGTGCAGACGGTTGATTTGCTGATGCTTCTTCTTGCAGTCTTTGCTGCTTGCGTAGCTTCTTTCGTGCCTTCTTTGAAAGATGCTGAAGGGATGCATCTCCCATCGAAGTGTCTTCCTTTTCGGTGCTCATACCTCCATTCAATTGAACAGGCTCTGCTGCTGTGTCTGCTACAGGCTTCTCTGTACTTTTCGTTTTCTGCATAGCTGCTTTTGCTTTGACGGGAACAGCAAATGGGTCTGCTTTCCGCTTCTTCTTGTTTGCGCCATTTCCTCTTTCTGCCACATCTCCGACCGCCTTTTTCCCGTTAAGCATTGATTCTCTCGACTCTTCATTATCGTCGTCATTCCGCAACCCTCCAGAGCGTAGCTTTTCCTCTTCGTATTGATCACCAAGCTTCCTCTTTCCAACCAGTGCACCCTTCAATCTACGATCTTGTCGTGATTGTGCATCGATATGTATTCCATTATGATCATTCTCAGCTCCCAATCCTAGATTGACAGGTCGATGAACGAAAGGTTTTTCAATGCGAGGTTTACTGGATTTGGAAGTTGATCCATTAGCTGCTGCACTTAAAGCATCAAATTTGCTTCCTATTTCATCAGCCAATTTTGCACGTTCTAGCCGCAGTTGTTCTTGTATTCTTGCTATTTCCAGCTGCTCTTGTTCAGCGGCTGTACTGTTACCAGCCATAACGACTGTTATGAGATATCAACAAAGGAAGTTTCAAAGGTCATCCGTCATGATGGTATCCAACTCCCTGCCTGCAAATGAAGGAAGAATCAAAAATTCATCTTTAGCGTCCACTTCTTCAAAAATTTAAAAGGAGATTACATAAGCGCTCAATTGGACACTTTTTGACCGAGCACTCAAGTAAGGCACGATAGAAGCGTCCCACACGGATGCTTGGGTGCGGGGACTTACTAGCAGCGGAAGATGAAAAATAAACAATTCCCTTCGGGCAGCCCAGCCAAATCGGACGAGTGTCAAGCCGGGTAGAGTGCAGAGCTGTGAAAGATTCGGCTATAAGTTTTGCTTCGGCAACATAGCGCAGAGCGCAATGAGAATTTTATTTTCTTGAATGGGGTTTCATTAGCGCGAGATACGAGTGGAAAGTGCAGCTGATATGGTGAGAAAGTTGGAATTTTGATTGAAAAGAAATAATTAATTGAACAGGGCACAATCAGAGAAAAAAAAAGCCACCCTCTTCTTTTCGCGCCTTTTGTTACCTGCATTAGCGCTGTCTCTTTGCGTTTTACTACCCTTTCCCATTCAATCAAGCGTGGGGCTCCTTCATGTCATCAAAGCCCGTATTCGTTGATGGAAAATTGATGGTAATCAACAATTCATCCTCTTGACTTGATCATCATCATCAATCCCCCTCTCCGGAAGTTCTTCTGTTCAAAGGCGCGTTGACCGCGTTACAACGATCAAATAGGTTCCCTTTCATTCTCGACTTCATTTACTCAAGCCACCAATCCGCTTCCCCCTAAAAACTTTCGCCCCCCTTTTCGACATCCCGCACATTCTCCTCCATCCTCAACTTCGAAATACACAATGGGTTACGCAAGAAGAGTAAAGGGCTCTTTGCGCCAGCGTTGCCAAGCCTTCTGCAACTGGCTAGGACCTACGAAATGTGTTCTTTTAGGAGCATTTATCCTCTTTGGATCTTTCATCATTCAATTGCTTACATCGATTGGTGTCCCATACATCAAAGCATTTGATTTCTATCGATTCGATCTCAGCAATTATACGTTCGTCGAATTGGGAATGTGGGCAGCATGCAATGGACGTGAAGCATTCCTGATCCCAACAAGACCGGATCTCAATCAAGGTGAAGAATTTAATTGTCCACCGGCTGCTTGGGGTTGGCAAACTTTACGTTATTCCGGTATCACAAGAGCTTTTTTCGATAACAATCTCCCTAAAGCACTCATCATGCATCCAATCGCATGCTGTTTCACATTCTTCGCAATGGTAACAGCTTTGGTCACAATGAAACGACAAAAACAACATTTCTTATTGCCCATCTTTTCGTTCTTTTCTTGCTTGTTCGCTTTGGTCAGCTTTGTAATCGATTTGGCAACCTTTGTTCCAGCACGTCATAAGCTATTATCACCTGATGCTTACAACATTTTGGGAGCACTTGTGATCAGTACCAATTATGGACCGGCATTCTGGTTGAGTTTGACATGTTTCGTTTTGGACATTTTTGGCAATTCGATCATCATTGCAGGATATGGAATTTGGAGAATGCAAAGGAATCGTTCGCGTTGTAATTCCCAATATGAAAAAGATGCAGATATAGAAATGAGAGGTGGTTCACGTATGGCACGTCGTGGTTATTTCGCAAATGATTCTGTTGCCTCTCTCAGAGATCATTTGCCATACGACGAAAGAAAGATCACAGAAGGTGAACGTGGCTCAGGTACATTGTCTGCTATGTCAAAGCACAGTGTTGCATCCAGATCACAATCAGCCACACCAACTCAAACCCTTCAAGAAGTCACCCCAGCCGCTCATCATGAAGTCATTCCAGCCTCTCATCATGAAGAAGAGGAACATATTCAAGCACGTGATGAAGAAGAGGAAGATATGAACTCATCAGATGAAGACGATGACGGATATGATAGTGCGGTGAGCGCTTATGCAGATGCAAGAAGTGAAGTAGATGGCGCAAGTCGGAGTAGAGTGACACTTTCTTCGCCTACGATCGAATCAACGAGACGATCAAGCGACGGCGTATCGCGTGCAATTAAACGGAAACCCGTTCAAGGCTATTAAGCCAAGGTTCTTTTGTCTAGCATACATTCTTTTGATTTCTTCCACTGTTCATTTATTGCATTCGATTTCCCTTTCTCTCTTTATCTTCTCAGTGTGCCCCGTATCGCACCAATCCCTTGTACATACATACTCATTTGCTTTTGAGCGCTAAAAAGATTCCTGTCACCATTTACACGACGGAGGGTCAAAATGAATTGAGAGCAAATGACATAATCCGATCTTTTTTGTCCGATGTCCCAAGTTGACAACCAATGTCAAGAAGCTCAAGTACGAAGAACCCCGTTATTAATCTAGAAGTAAGGGTTTAGTTTTCTTGGCTTTCTATCAATCAGACAGACACGTGAATGAATGTCATTTCTATTCTATTCTCCTTATGGGGGATAAAAGTATGTAATGATAATCATGTAAAAAGCTTGGCAAAACAAAGGTATTCATTTGACAGTTCTAAAGACCGCCACGTTCTTGGCATTTTTGCGGATTGTGTAGCTGGGGGCGCCCGGCAGTGAACGGCACGGAAAAAGAAAGGTTGACAAAATTCTTCCTTTGCGCAAGTGCCTGGAAAGGTAATCAAAAGAAATTAAATGTGTTTATATGCTGTGCATTTGCCTTATGGTTTTTAAACACGCGCACGCACGGCAAAGGCACTGGAGAATTATTATACTTCACCAATCTATAAAGTCGGGTCTTGGCATTCTTGGCAAGTCGTACTTTTCCTCTTCCTCACCATACTACAAAACATTGACGTCAATCTTATCGAACAACAAATCATCCCCTTTCTCCTTTGGTCTTCTTTTCGATCACTACCATCACCATCACTATTGTTGGTAGCAATACAATCTTCGACAGACGATCCGTTTAAATAAGGTACAAAGTTGAAAGTGAACAAATCGACGTTCCTGAACTATACTCATTGTTATCAACTAGTACGACTTCAAAGAGGCCATCTCTATTGCGCGCGCGCATTCAAAATAACCACCAGACTTGGACATAGATCGACCTCGTTGCAATCAGGATGTCCTCAATCTCTGGAGATGCAAGCCTTCGTGCATCAGTGAGCACACCTTCCACTTCTTCTCCATTCGATAATCAAGCCTCTCCCGCCGGCAGTACACTGGCTACTTCAATGTCCTCCGGTTCTTCTCAACAAGGAGAAGAAGTCAAAATGATTCATTGCAGATGGGGCAACTGTCAAAAGACATACGATGATCCCGAAGATCTTTATCATCATTTATGCAACGATCATGTAGGACGCAAATCTACAAATAATCTTTGCTTGAGCTGCAAATGGGAAGGATGCGATGTTACATGTGCCAAGCGTGATCATATCACAAGTCATCTACGTGTTCATACTCCACTCAAACCACATGCTTGTGATGCTTGTGGAAAGCTTTTCAAACGACCACAAGATTTGAAGAAACATGAACGCATCCATACCGAACAACATCATCAAGCTAGGCAAATGAAGTATCAAACTGGTGGACCATCAAGCATGCATCCTTATGGAATGCAACATGCAATGGCAAGGTATGGTATGGATGGTGTCGCAGGTCCTGCCGCTGCAGCAGCAGCTGCAGCCGCCGCCGCCGCCACCTCAGGTCATCATTCCATGAGTGGTTGGGGCGGCAGAGCTCCCTACGATCAACATGGATACCATCATTCGACAGCTTTATACCATGGCTACGTGGACAACAGTCATCAACAACAAGGCATGTATCCATCCTTGCCCGGACAACAACGTCATGTCTCACCTGTAACTCATAATTCACTCTCACCATTGAGTTCTCATCTGGGTACGCCCGCTTCGGGCGGAAGCCCCGCTGCACATACTTATCGCGGCAGTATGGCAATGGGCAATGACGGCTATTCGGGCATGCAAGCAGAACGTCCAAAGGCACACGATGATCCAAATTCATATTCTTATCTTGCTCAAGGATCCTCTTTGGCTGGCTCAAAGAGATCCCATGAAGCCACAGCAAGTCTATTCGATGACGTCCGCCGTAAGCGCGTTGCGCCAACATATGACAACGTTATGGCCGAACGATTAGAACATTCGTTCGCCAACGGAATCGATGATGCAACACTTCATGCCATCTTGAGTTCGTTTGGAAACAGTAATGCTGAAGCTGAAGCTCAAAGTGCTTCTTTGTATCCATCGCTTGACTCACACCAACAAGCTCCTTCTGCTTCAACACTTGCAAATCAAGCCAAATATTCTCTTCCTGATGCTTTGAAGCAAACAGATTTGGCAGAATTGAACGCATTCTTGTTGCAAGTTGGTGCCAATGCAGCACGCACAGAGCCAAATGAGCAAGTGAGTCATCAATCCACATCCGCCAACACCTCAATGCCATCAACAAATCAAAACAATGTTGATATGAGCGGATTTGATTTCCAAGCCGCTCTTGCTGCTAGTGGATTGACAAACATTGCAGGATTTGACCAAAACTTGCTGATGTCTCAGCCTGACCTTATTGGTGATACTTCAGGATCATCCCACGGAGGAGACGCATGGAACAGACCGATTGCACAATTACCACAACGGGCGATGCACAACTCATACGGATCATCGCACGTTGGCAATATGTCTTTCGATAATATCAGACAATCAAGAGTCCCATCTTACGTGCCTCAATTGGGTGCAAAGGATATGGTCACCCCGATGTACAGACATGTCGAAGCTTTGACAAGAGCAGCACCAGATGTTGAACGATCAGTTTCTACGCCAGCTATGCCAAGATCCAAGGATGCAGATGATGAAAACATGAGCGAAGCAGCTTCTTCACATGAAGATGATGATCGTTCGTCGTCATCGTCATCATCACGGTCAACAAGACCGAAGGATTCTAGTCCTGGCCTCAACCTCTACCCACGCATGTCAATGAACGATTCTTCCAGAAGATTGCCTTTGCCAGTCTCTTTGGAACGAACAAGTTCAGACGGATCAAGTTCGGTTCGATCAACGATTCCTTCCATCACTTCCATTCTACAAGACAGACCAGGTCAAATGCAATGGCGTGAACAACAAGCAAGAGCATCATTCAGCTCTTCTTCACCCAGCCCACCACCACAAACTCCTCCTGTCAATTCATCGGAGCCTTTGTACCCTTCCTTGCGTCAAGAGTCTCCATCGCCATCTACAGGATCTTCGGGTGGAATGGAAGATGTTGCAAGAGATGTTGCAGCTTTGGATGTTGAAGCTAAATCTGTTCCTTCTGATGTTCGTCAACATCATGCTCGATTGATCATTCAATTGTTGGTTGCTTTGAACGATCCCGAACGTAGAAAGGCAATGCTCGAGCGTACTTCTGATACTTTGGCACCAATTCGATTGAAAGTGACTGAAGCAGATGAAGAAGACAATATGGATATGGCTACTACGCCAACTTTGGGCTCTTCTCGTTCATTGAAATCACTAGATAGAGAAGATACTCGAAGTGATGGAACAGGATCGGATGTAACTGCAGACGGAAACAAAAAACCTTCTCCACCAACAATTATTCGAAGTCAATTGCCAAAGATCGCTGATCTTTTAAACGAAGTTGATTCTTCTGCACCACCAAAAGGTGCAGGTGGAAGAAAGATCATGGATATCGATATTTAAAAAAACCAACAAAGAACAATCTTTTCTCAAACGCTCCCTGTATTTCGTGCGACCTAACAGAGTCTCTTTATATTTCTTTAATTTTCTTGTTATATTTTCTAGCTGTTATCGTATCCTACTCATATCTCTTTAAAGATAATGGTTGCAATGTATTTGTTCCTAGTATTCCATGAAGAGTGAAGACTGAACTGGCAAGTGTGATCGCGATAGTGCTTCTGATGTATGATTGTTTTTCACGGTGTCTGGAAACAGAGTATATACAAAAGAGAAGAGCCTCAAAGGTGAGGAGTGACGTTGTATTGTTTGAGAAGCTGATGAGAGCGTTCTTGAATACGATCATAGCGTAACCAAAGTTGTTCGGATCGTTTGAGTTCACGTCTGCCTTGTTGTTGAAGATGGACTTCATCAGGTCCATCAGCGTATCTTAATGTACGCAAGCCTGCCCACATGCCTGCCAACGGGAAATCTTGTGAGACACCTGCACCACCATGAACTTGCATAGAATGATCAACAACGTCCAAAGCTGCATTCACGACTGCCACTTTAGCATAAGCGATTTGACTTTGAGCAGCTTTTGCGCCGTAAAGGTCAATCATTCTTGCGGCAGAAATGACCAATAAACGTGCTTGTTCAATCTTGATTCTACATTGTGCAATATTTGCCACAACTGTTCCATGTTCTGCCAATAATTTTCCAAATGGTTTCTTTGTTGGATTTGTTGCTCTTCTGATCATATATTCAAGCGCACGTTCTGCAGTTCCGATACTGCGCATGCAATGATGAATACGTCCTGGTCCCAAACGACCTTGGATGATTTCAAATCCTCTACCCCAACCCAAGATCAAATTCTTGACAGGTACGCGTACGTTTGTATATGTGACTTCACAATGTCCTTCTGGTGCATCATCATAACCAAACACACGCATAGGACGAACGACTTTGACACCTGGAGCATTTGCCGGAACGATTACGATCGAATGTTGTGCATATGCAGATTGATTTTGAGGATGAGATTTACCCAAGACCAAGTGAACTTTGCACCTTGGATCACCTGCTCCGGAAATCCACCACTTATGTCCGTTAATCACAATCTCATCACCTTCTTGTTTGATTGAAGTACTGATGTTTGTGGCATCGGATGAGGCAACGAAGCGCTCAGTCATGGAGAACGCACTGCGAATCTCTCCGTTCAATAAGGGTTGCAACCAAGTACGTTGTTGTTCTTCGTTACCGTATTTTGCCAGTACCTCTGAAATAAGGGAAAGAAGAAGGAATGTCTGTCAGTATTTTCAAACTTCTCTCTCGTAAGAACGATCAGCGCAACGCACCCATATTTCCTGTATCGGGAGCTGAGCAATTCATTGATTCACTGGCAAAATGATGTCCACGACCCAGGATTTCCGCCATTACACCGTATTCCAAATTTGTCAAATCGACACCATGTTTAGGGTAATGATGCTTGCTCAAGAATAAATTCCACAATCCTTGTGATTTTGCTTTCTTTTTTAATTCTTCAACAATCGAAGGAACGATCTTCCAACGAGTTGCAGGGTCGGTACTAATTTGACTTTCGTACAATTCTTCAGCGGGCATGCATTCTTCCTGGAAAGGGTGAAACGGGAAGAGAGGAATGTCAGAAAACGTTGTCATTGTCCTTTTCACGTCTTTTTACTCACCACTACGAAGCGAACGACTTTTGTCAAAAGATCTTTTGCATATTGGGAAAAGTTATTCTCGATCAAAGACCAAGCGCCGGGAGAGATGAATCCCTCAACGACGGCAGGATGTAAAGATTGTTTGGCAGCCATACTGTGGAATCTGTAGAAGAATGAATGTGATAGTGATGGAGATGATGGTCGTGATGATGTGAGAAGTATCGCAAGGTGTATTCCCCCATCTTACATTCTCCGGTAAACAGGCTTTCTGGTTTGCCTGAGAACCGGGGCAAGGCACCATGTCAGTATAAGAACGTTGCAACCTTTTTTGCACACCTCTAGCCGGATAAAACGCTCATACTCGCGCCGGCGCTTTTGCAGTCTTCAAGGCTTACATCACTGCAGTGGCGAGTGCGGGGACAAGAATTGAGAAGAAGGTGCACCAGCTGTACCTTAATTCAAACAATGAACTGCAAGACGGGAAAGAAAACGAGAGGCTTGCAGTGATAATAGAGACAAATCAAACAAGCCTGAAGCTCACAATGATCTCCGTCTTCCGCTTTTAAGATGTTTATACGTGCTAGATGATATTGATAATGATAGAGTACAAATGTATATCTTTACATGATGGAGTAGATTAATTATCACTCTGATCGTCTTCCTCGGAAACACTCTTGCTATCCATCTCTCCCTTCTGTTCGCTCTCCTTCATCTTCCTTTTCGGTAAATGTTCATCCAATGCTTCTTCCCAACTGCCCGTTTGATTGAAAGCCAACAAAATATTCACAACTTGATTGACCGTCATCACAGTGCTTGACTTTAATCGATCTGCACCAATCGGCAATCTAGCTGTACGTAAGCCTAATCTTCTCGCTTTTTCAGCACAAATGTTCTTGTACCTATTTCGATCCACCAAACCTCCAATGACGTACATCTCTCCTTCCTTGATAGTGTCCAAAGTAGTCTCAGTATCAGCAGTCAGATATACGACCTTATCAAGCGAACAGACTGGTTGAGTCTGAGAGGTTCCCGTGCTGTCTTCCTTATACAGACCCTCTAATCCTCCTTCGTTTCGCAATTCAACATCTTGCCATCTTTCCCATGATCCTAACATTCGCTCTTGCATCCTTTGTCCCACTTTACTGTCAAACAACGTCAGCTCTGGTCCTCTTCCATTCTGTTCAAGGTGATCAGCGCCAACGTCTGTTGAGAGTAGCTCGGTCGGTGCTAGCGTTCCTTGTCCGCATAAGATGAGCGATTGAAAAGGTCGAAGGGCCATCTTGTTCGCCGAATAGACGAGTGTCAGCTGTGATGTCATTGATGCGATTTCCTGACAAAGGAGGAGAAAGAATGTCAGCTCACCCGAAAGTGACATACAGTGTCAATATAGGCTTACCTTCTCTGTCATCAAATCATCAAAGCCCAAATCAATCACAAGCGAAGCATTTACAGGAACGCTCTCTGCCGGTCTAATCTTATGTTTACTGACGGGAACGTATGTACCTTGCTTCTTTGCTTCTTCCCTTTTGATCTTTTTACGTTCTCTTTCCCGTTGTCTTTTGATTTTCTTTAATTCTTCATTTCGTTGTGCTTTCAAGATTCGTTTTTGTGCATTTTTAGATAGTGAGGGTGCCTCGTTAAACAGCCCTTCTTCTACTTCTGTGGGAGATTGTCGTCCAGCCGAAGAGGATGATGCTGTTGAGGCTACATGATCAGTGATCAATGCGCCATGGTGATTGTATGTCGCCATTTCTGTTTGTGCTGTGTTGTATAAAGAGAGGTAGCATTCATTCGTTCTTCTTGATGTAAAGAAAAAGACAAGCTAAAATTAGCCTATTCGATTGACACACACGCTTATGCGCGAACAAAGGACGTCCCTTTCAAAGCGGCTTTACCGAGCTGTACGGAATTTAGAAGGGAGGTGCACTTTGCCAGTCTGTCTTTTGAAAGACCGGATATAAGGCACACCTGTGGAGAAGACAAGGTTGGAAAGAAGAAGCCGGTGAAAAGTGCATAAGTAGAGGCTGTTAAAATCAATCCTTTCTCCTTCCTTCCTGCTCATCATCACCATTCATCATGTCAGCTCCAACTCAAATGAAAGCTTTATTCTCGGCTGAAGGCAAGACGGCTAAAGTGCAAGACACTTCCGTGCCAAAGCCAACAGAAGAAGAAATCTTGATCAAGAATGAAGCCGTTACTTTAAACCCAACAGAGTGAGTATGAATGGTATATGAAAATGGTCATAAGATGTTTTTTTAACAGAACCCAATCCTACTTCTTTCCTCCAGCTGGAAACATATGCGCTTGATGGCTGAGCCAGGTTTGATTCTAGGATGTGATTTTGCCGGTACAGTTGTTGAAACTTCAAAGACTCACAACACCGTCAACAAGGGCGACAAAGTAGCAGGTTTCGTTCATGGAGGCAAATACGCCGATCGTGGCTCATTTGCTGAATATCTCAAAACTGATGCCAGGTTGGTCGTCACAGTACCTCAAGATGTAGAAGTGGAACGTGCTGCAAGTGTTGGAGTTGGTGGCTACACTGCTGCTCAAGTGAGTATATGCAACATTCATTTACTAAAACAATCTCACTAACCCTGTTAAAATATCATCTGTAGGCACTGTTCCAACGTCTAGGTCTCAACTTACCTTCTCAAACGGCTACCGAACTACCTCAAATCAGCCCTGAATCTCCTCAAGTGTTGATTTGGTCAGGTTCTACATCCGTTGGTCAATGGGCAATCCAACTTGGTCGTGCAGCAGGCTATCACGTCATCACTACTGCATCTCCTAAAAATCATGCAATTTTAAAAAAGATGGGTGCAGCAGAAGTTTACGATTATCGTGATGAATCTGTTCCTGAAAAGATCAGCAAGGGACATCCTCGTTTGAACGCCGCTTTGGACTGTATTTCTGAGAATGGTACCCAAAGCTTGGCTGCTAGATCATTGGGCAGCAAAGGCGGAAAAGTGGTTGTCTTACTCAAACCCGAAAAGGAAGCTATGGAATTGCGTAAAGAAGTTGAAATCATTCATACTCTTGCTTATACTTGTTTGGGTAAACCTTTCAGTTATGGACGTGCAGAGTTCAAGGAAGAACAAGTTCATGCTGATCGTGATTTCATTATCAAATTCGCAAATGGAAATCAAGGAATCTTTTATCACCTTTTGAAGAACAAATTGATTACTGGTAACCGTATCAAAGTATTTGGTCAAGGCAAATTGGACGGTATCCTGGAAGGTTTAGATCAACTTGAAAAAGGTCAAGTTTCAGGTGAAAAGCTTGCTTTTACTTTGTAGGCAAACAAAATCAGTTAATTTGTAGGAAGTCATAATGCCATGTTTTATTCCATATCTGTCTGTATCAAAAAGTCATGAGACCAAAAATGTCTTCTTTAGTATGCTCCACCTTCCACTCAATCAATCTTCCTGATGAGGGGTGTGTTCTCTTAAAGCAGCACAACAGCTAAGCAAAAGCTTTGCGCTTGTAAAATGACCGCACGCGTGCAGTACTATTGCATATTTACATTTTCCACTTCCAGATCGCGCAATACGCTACTTCAACTCATTTCAACATTTTACAGCATATATTGTACAGCTCCTTACCATCATCAATAGCTACTCTGTGTGGTGAGAAAGAAGCAGTAAAACTCCGCCACAATGTCACTAAACAGATCCGGACGGAATAATAGCAATAATTTGCCATCCTATTATTCCTCTCAAAATGGATCGAATTCTCGTGATTCGAATTCAGTCTCTCGAGCAAAACCTCGATTAGGACCAAACAGATCTACAAAGGCATCCGGAAAGCTCAAAATTTTACCTGAAGAACCAGAAGATGGCGTTCACTCAATCCAACCTACCGCCGAAACTTCTCAACGTCAAAGTCGTAGTGGTCCACAAACAGATCGACCTCCGATTCAAGGTACGATCGCTGAACAGGATGAAGATGATGACGATGATGACGATTCAAGTGAAGATGAAGATGAAGGTGAAGAACAACGTCTCAAAATATCCAAACAACTCGATCTTGCACGTATTCCAGAAGGAAGTATGAGACGTGATGCAAGACGAATCACTCGAAAAGGTCGTGCAAGTCTTCCGCGTGTGACGGCTTACAGTACAGCAACATCATATCGTATGAGAGAATTAACAAAATGGCTACAGGCAAGACGGGACACACATCGAACCAATGCGATGACTTTTGATGAATGCGTTTACTCGACCTATTCTTACGATCTTATTGACCAAGATCGAAATATGCAGAATGATACCTACAGAAATCAAGCACAGCATGTCAACGTAACCCATACAAAGCATGATTCAAATCATGCAAAGACGGCTGATCTTTTGGGTATTCCCGAATTGAACGAACGAGAGAACGACGCAAAAGATACATCAAAGAATGAACATAGCGCTGAATCGAGTAATAATGGAGGAAGTACTTCCACCCTTGTTGATGTTCCTTCGGTAGAAGATCGCGATGAAGAAGCTGAAATGCAAAAGCAAAAAGAAGCTCAAATCGCACGTCGTGAAGAAGCAAAAAGACGAAGAAGAGAACGTTTTGCCGTTCATGGAATGGTTCCAGAAGTATTCTTTATGGAATACGGAACGGTTGTCATTTGGGGTATGACAATAAACGAAGAAAAGAGACTTTTACGAGAATTACGTAAATTTGAAGTGGAAAAATTGGCACATGAAGATATCGAAAGTGAAGATCTGAATTGGTATTTGGCTGATTATAGTCGTATCTATAATGATGTTATCACATTGCGAAAAGGATCAAGTTATATGACAAAGTTGTCTTTATCCCATGCACTTGCACAATCTACCAAGATTAGTTTCTTTGAAGGTGTGATCGACAATACCATCGATACAACAAAGGATATTCCACAGAGTATCGCCGAAAGTGGAAAGATTGGTTTGCCTCCTGTGGATATTATGAAACAGATTGGACATCTTTTCATCTTACGTATGAACATTCATCTTGTCGGGTCGATCGTCGATTCACCAGAGATTTTCTGGGCTCAACCGGATCTTGAACCTCTTTATTCGGCCGCACGAAGTTATCTTGAAATTCCACAACGGATCGAATTGCTAAATGCACGCGTGGAAGTTTTACAGGATATGTTGCAATTACTCAAAGATCAAGTCACCTCGAGTCATTCTGAATGGCTTGAAATTATCGTTATCATCTTGATTTTGTTGGAAATCATTTTAGGTGTAGCAACAATGGTTGTCGATTTGTATTTCGCTTAATCACTCTTTATAATCAATCTTTCATTCTTTTATTTTTCAGCAAATATTATTCATTCTCCCGTTTACGTCTACAAGTTCGCTGCGTTCTCTTGTCTAGTGCTTTCTACTGGATTAGGATAATTCTGCTGTATTACGCTCATCACAGTTTCACCCACCACATCGTCAGCGTCTCTTCGGTCTTTTCCTTCACGTCTGAAATGATTCAAACGTTCCAAGAATTCCCAAAGTTTACCGGAAGGAGAAGCTCTTCCTTTGTTTGTATCATAGGTAGGGGCATAATCTGGACTTAAGGCGATCAATGGAATCGGTTTAGCGCCTGATGATTTCTTCCTCCTCACAATTCCAAGTTCTTCATATCGAGCGATTGCTTGTGATAAAGTTTGAGCGCTAACTGCTTCCAAGTAACTCAATTCACCTTGAGCGTACATCGTTTTACCGAACAATTGAGCTTGCTTTTCGAATGCTTTTGCTGCAAACCAATGAATATCGCTATTCTTACTTTGATTTTCGTTTGGCGGTTGAGCAAGCAAAAGAAGAGAACATGCTGCTAACCAATAACCTTCAATGAAAGGCCAAATCATGAACAGATAAGTATCAAAATCACGTCTTCCAACATCCCTTTGCTTTTGTGATAATCCAATCATTCCGTCATCGTTGATCTTTAATACATCATCTGCAACCATCTCGCGTATTATCTTGTCAACATTGTTCTGTAGAGAATCGGTACCAAAGACGAATTCGTTGCGTAGAATGTGTGAGATATATCCACATTCTTCCGTTAGGGTTTCCTTGCTCATGAGTTGTTGACTCGATCCTCCATCTTGTTTGATTTTGATGTACAGGGAAGCGGATAGCAGGCATTCAGATACAAAGATGTGCATGACTTGATTACGATAGAAGCTCAACTCGAATCGTTTCTCAGGAATATATGTTGGTTCCATGACATCCGTTTGAACTTCAACCAAATCTTTCATTACCGCAAGCGTACGCTCAACAACATCAACAGTTTTCATTTGTCCGAAATCAGCAACCCCGAATCCACGCTTTTCGATCGCACTTCGTAACCATTCAACTCGTTTGACCAATTCCATTTTGCCTACACCTCTACCACGCAAGGTCAGCATCACCGTTCCGACCAAAGCTGCCGGCATCACAACACCCGCTTGATTGATATCTGCTAAAACACGGTAGCCCAATGCCCGCAAGAGGAGCACTTTATGGTGATTGTTATTCTGGAGGTCCAATGCGACCTTTGATCCATCTTTGGGAGAAGGTGCTTCACGTCTTTTTATCTGTTCGTCAATGAATCCACGTAATGACCAAGGTGTTTTGAAGCGGACATCGATTCGACCCATTTGCAGTGAAAGTAGAGACCCACTTCCGCTCAAAAGACCCAGTAGTGACTCGGCTTCCTTTGGCTTACCAAGCAATTCACTGATGAACGTCTCGGCTTCAACGACGTCATCATACTGTATACTGACGGGGCAAATGTAGACATCCTCTACTCTCTTGTTGACCAGAGTGTCAACGACGTATTTGAGAATGCCCAATTTAGGTGGTAAAAGCTTTCCCGTTCTTGATCGTGTTCCTTCAATGAAACATTCCAAATTCTTTCCTTTGCTTAGAAGTTGTTCGATATATTCTTTGATGACGGCAGGGTATAATTCATCGCCAGAAAATGTTCTACGAATAAAGAAAGCGCCTCCTCCTCGAAGAATATTTCCAACGACGGGTAAATCAAGATTTTCACCAGCAATGATGTGCGGCAAAGAAAGACCCAAACGGAAAATGAGCCATGAGAATGTCAAATAATCGATATGACTCTTGTGACAAGGCAAGAAGAAAATTGAATACTTTTTCTCTGCACAAAATGCGGCAACTCTTCGAAGTTCTAGCACTTGTGGGACACTGATATGTATACCTTGATGATACATTCGGACCAAGACATTGTTAATCGTTGCTGCAAACACTTTGATGAAAGCCATCGAATCCAATCGGGCTACGCTTACTTCTGCCATTCCACGAGCGACATCATTGAGTTGAGCTTCGATTTCTCGTTGTTTCCTCCGTTTAAGGGATTCGATCTTGTTTTGCTCTTTTTGACGTTCAGATTCAGAGAGAGATCCTTGTGCTGGCGGTAGTGTGGAGATAAGATGTGCAACTCTCCTCTCTGCAAGTGCTCTGACACGCAATCGTACTTGATCGCTATTCAAGATATCCCGAATGGCTGCTTCTGATTGACCTGGATACAAGATTGGAGCACCGATATAATTATTATATCCACGCCATCCTGAACCTTGACCGTAAGCCCAAACTTGTTGTAAAAAAGCCAAAGGATCTTCGCGAAAGTGAGCTTTATACGCTGCCACCACGTTTAATTCACTTGATGATCCATTATTCTCGAATCCGTTATGATTCTTGATTGCTTGTCTTGTCTTTTCTGCTAATGCTTTTTTGCCTGCATTCGTCGGTCCGCCCAAGTCACCAACTTGTGCAATGAATGGTTCCGCCTCATTTGTTGGTGATGACGATGAGCCATCACCTTTGTTCCCGTTGGCCATGTTTGATGGATCCGACAGGATGTATGGCTGGAAGAGTGAACGTGGTATCAAGTGGATACTTCTTTCATGCTCGCCATTCACGCTAAATCTTTATTGTTTGTGGGGACATTTGATTAAACTGTTTCTTATTAATGAATATTGAAAGGCTTCAAGCTTAATTCTCAGGCACGGCGGGCACGTGTAAATTGTCGTGTTTGAAATCTTTGGCTTTGGGTGGGAATAAAGTCGTATGAATAATCATTCTGCTTCATAACGATCAAAACCTGTCTTCGAAGAGACAATTTCAGACGCAATGCGATATTGGGAATCACAAGAAGAGGAAGAAAGGAAAGCACTCGAAGCTTGTGTGAATTGTGGTGAGAAAGGTCACGATAAGAAATCATGTCCACACGAATTGGTGAGTAAGCAAATGTGTGGAGAATGACAGGAAGAGTGTGTTGCTAACAAATGCACTTTCTCAATAGTGTTTGGCATGTGGTGCATTGGATCAACACTCTACACGAGAATGTAGACAAGGTGTGAATTGTTTTCGTTGTGGTGGGAGAGGGCATAAGTCAGCAGAATGCACGCAACCCAGAAGAACATCTGGAGGAGGCGGAAGGAGGAACGGTTGGGCAAACGAATGCAAAAATTGTGGAAGTGTGAATCATGCAGAAACAGTTTGTCCAACTTTATTCAGAATATATTGGTATAACGATCAAGAGTCTCATGAACAGGCAAGGCTCGATAAATGGAAAGAGTATGGCGCTTCAAAAGCTCTTGGAAAGAGGAAGATTACCTCAAAACGCAAATATAGAGACGAATATGATTATAGAAGCAGCAGCGATTCATCATCATCATCAGAAGAAGAAGGAGAGGATGATAGGATATCCGGTTTGGTGAAGGAGGGTCCGCCAAACGATTGGGATCCTGCACAGAAATGGTGTTATAATTGCGCAGGAAGAGGACATTGGGGTGATGACTGTCCGGTTCCACGATGCAACCCTTTGCGAGCGACTGGAGATCCAAGTATTTATTCGGATCTACTGGCAAACAGCGGTCCTTTTGGCGGTCGATATGCGAATAGCAGACGAGAAATGCGCAGGCAGACTGAGGACCAAAATTTAGTGTCTATCGTAGAAGATCATAGCGGAAGCTTTGATCGCGATAGGCATCACAATCGATTTGATGCATTAGACGAAAATGACCTCTTCACCCGCCGTCCAAAGCCTGAAACTTCACAAAAAACATATGGAGGTCGATTCAGCCGAAAGAACAGAGATAGAAAGTCTGATTTGCAAGATCGAATTTCAGACGCTCCAAGTTTACCAAGTAAAAAATTTCGCAAAAGGGAGAAAAAAGCGAATAAGAAGATGAAACAAAAGAAATAGGTTTCGAATCGCATCTAAATATTGTACCATACCCACTGCAATCATCTTTGTAAAATCATGCATTTTTAATCTATTATACAAGTAAGCCCCATCTGGCCGAAGCCGAAACGATTAGACCAACGCCAGCCAACATACTGGCATAAGTCACAAAGGCGAATCCAAAAGTAGGAAGTCCAGTTGTCCAAAGTGAGGTGAAAAGGGTATGCAAAGCGATCAAAAAAGTCAAAGTTGTGATTGTTAAATGAAGAGGTGGAAAGATTGGTGGAAAATGTTGTCCGCTGAATGGACCTTGTGCTATGGTAACAGAGGCTGACATGAGTAAAGTTGATCCAAGATTCCATAAATAGCCATCAATACGCCAAAGCGTACATAGAACGATCGGAATCGACGTCAACGGCTGTCCAAAAGTTGCTTCCAATTCAACTCTTGAACGTGCTTTGTTTAAAGCATCCATCTCTACGTCCAACTTTTCTCTCAATGCGCCCAATTCTTCTGCCTCATCATCCGGTGCATCGCTTCGAGGAATACTGAAACCACTCTCTTCCGCTGCTGTGAGTACCCTTCGTCTCGCTTCGAGTAGCTTTGCTCCTGGTGACAATGTATCTACACCACTTGCTACACCGGTAGAAACTTCTTGGTTCGCAGATGAAGTTGGTTTCGACTCGCCACGAACAGTTGCTGCTGAATCACTATAGTCGGCGCCAGTATCGGAATCAGACATTTGTAGCCTGTGTTGTTGTAAAGCAGACTCTCGTAATTTACCATCTTGCGGTGGAACATAAGCTTCTACATCGTTGGTAATCTCTTCTTCAAAATCGACCTCATACAAAGCTAACCTGTCAAACCATTGCCAAGATGTTACCAAAAATTCAGTAGACGCCCATCCAATAGCTACCCAAACAGCAATCGTAAATCGTGGATCATACCAATGTAAAGTCCATTTGTGCGAACGATGCTGTAAATCTTGGGGGTCATGAAAAAGATCTCTGTCCAGCGTGGGTATACGTAAAAGGCCGGCAAAGATTAATGAATTTCCCAATAAGACGCTGAACAAGCGCAAGAATTCCAAAAGAGTTGTTTTGAGTAAGAGAAAGAAAAAAGTTGCCAATCCATTGGCCAAAGTACCAGAACCTAATTGCGAAATTTGCGCCAATCGACTGACAACCTCAATCGTTTTCCAAATAGCAGGCCGTAGTGCATATGCTGCTGACCAACAAACCACACCTAATCCAAATGCTGCCAGACTTACACGATCTGTCAATAGTCCACCGCACATCTTACGTTCTTCCTTTCGATCTTGTGGCCTTTGGTGAATATGACAAGGTGCATGCCAGGCCAACATGACCGTTGCTAGTAGCAATGCAATGTGTTGCGGTTCTCCCGAACCCCCTTTACAGTCTCTCCTTTTACGCCATCATGTGGCCTCCTTTATTTCTTCCTTACCAAGTCTCCTTTATCTTATCCCTAAGCTCCTTAATTTGATATTTATCACTCTCGTTCTTACGCTCTTTAAAAGATATATAAAGCCTTTACTTTTCTCTTTCTCTCATAATGAATATCATCCATTCTCTTATATATCTATTTGACTGGTTCGAACTATCTCAACGCAAAAAATGCATGGCAATAGAGACATCACATGAGACCAAACCAGTCGCTGATAGGTTGGATGTGAATCTAGTAAAACGTGTGATAAACCTGACGTATTACTTGCACCATCATCGTCTTCATCTTCTTCTTCATCGTCATATGAGTTGTGCTGAATGCTCAAATTAGACGAATTTGATGGAATCCTCTTTCCACTTCCTCTAGTCTGTCTGCCAAGTAATGCGTCCGTCTCTCTTGCTTTTGACGACGTTGATGGTGCAAAAGATGTCATCATACCATTTGCGACGAAAGAGTTGGTGGTATGTGATCTTGTTAAAAGTGTTGTTCCACAAAACAGTATTGACAGGCTATAAAAATAATCTTTCCCTCCCTTGTTATTAGCATTAGCTTGCTTTTGCGTGGGGAGTCAATCGATAAAAACCTTCAAACACAGCCCTGCGCTACGCCGCCCCCGGTCCACCATAAATCCGTGCGAACAAAATCCGGACTTTATCCGAGCCCCGATTACATGTTTGGAAGATCAAGCATTCTTGGAAGAGAACGACCACATTCCCACAATTCACACAATATGTCAAAGCATCAGTACGAACATCTATTGCCTCATAGCTGGACAACACAAGTGACAGCCTGGTTAGCCGAAGATACACCTTCGTTCGATTGGGGCGGCTTTGTGGTAGGAGATGGTGAACGAACAGCACATTTAAATGCAAAAGCATCTGGTATCCTTGCTGGTGTTCCATTCTTCAATGAAGTTTTCAAACAATTGGAATGCACTGTTCAATGGCATTATGAAGAAGGACAATATATCGACGTCAAAAAACAAGGTGGAGAAAAGGCAAAAGTGGTTGTGGCAACTGTGAAAGGATCTGTAAGGAAGCTGCTATTGGGAGAGAGAGTTGCTTTGAACACATTGGCAAGATGTTCGGGTATCGCTACCGCTTCTGCAGCTTTCTTGGACAAGGCAAGAAAAACTGGCTACAAAGGTATCGTTGCAGGTACACGAAAGACAACACCGGGTATGTAGGAGCGGGTATGATTTTGGAATCGAATGCGATTGCTGACACATCCTAAATTCTCCCTATTTTAGGCTTCCGATTGGTAGAAAAGTACGGCATGTTGGTCGGAGGAGTTGACATGCACCGAAATGATCTTAGCAGCATGGTAATGTTGAAGGATAATCACATTTGGGCAACAGGTGAGTTCTGTCTCTTGATTTATATGTTCAACTTTAGCTGACTCATTAATCTCGTTTCCCTTTTCACAGGCTCCATCACAAATGCTATCGAAAAAGCACGATCTGTGTGTGGCTTCTCCCAAAAGATTGACGTCGAAGTTCAATCAGAAGAAGAGGCAAGAGAGGCTATCCTGGCAGGAGCAGATGTGATCATGTTGGACAACATGAATGGCGATAAGCTGATCGAATGCGCAAGAAAGTTGAAACAGGATCTTCATGTTTCCTCTACCTCAGCAGGCAAGGATGCCAAAACATTCTTGATCGAGAGCAGCGGTGGTATTGATTTGGACAATGTCGGTGGTGGAGGTCATGTCGATAATGGTGAGTGCTTCGCAGGATTTCCGAATTGACATGTAGCTGACTCTTCTTCCTTACACCTCGCAGCCATCGATATCATCAGCACCAGTTCTATTCATCAATCCACGAAGCATGTTGACTTTTCTCTGAAGATCGATCCATCCTCATAAACAAGTGTAAAGCAGCGATCAAATTTTGTATATTACAGTAGTACAAGTTTTGCCTCATCTAATCTTGCGAATACAATCTCGTTGTTCATGCTTCTGGTCCTTCTCCACCTGGGATGAGCTGGGTGAAAGAAATGAGAAAGGGTGTCAGCATCTTCCCTAAATCTTCTTCGAACTCATTGCGGTACCTACCATGCAAATGTTATTCCCATTTAAAAGTGTCTGTGATAGCTTTGTCTTTTTGCGTCCTTCAGCAGTTGTCTCGCTGTGAAGTTGAGAGAAGAGAGATCGGTGTAAGCCCTTTGAGTTAAGGTATAGTATGCATGTGAGATTAACTTACTATTCTGTAACATCCTCTAGTACCATATCTGTTGCAAGGAGTGCAAAAACGTATCAGCAGACTGAAGCAAAGATTATTACAAGAGTTCCATCTCTTACTCACTGACGAAATCATCAAAACCTAATAGTGTTCCTGTGAATTCCCGATTACTCTTCATCACCACCCAAATATTCGATCCAATACATTTATCGATCAATTCTAGCGGTAAGATTTGCGATGCGGCCGCATGACCTGCGGCTGTTGGCTGTCCGGTTACTTGCGACATCGTGTGATGATCAGGATGTGATTCTTCTTAAGCTTTCCGGAAGAATAGGAGATTGCCGATGGATGAAGAATGATAATCTTTGGGTATCTGTTGTGATGAACGCGTTTAAGCCGACAAGAACTTCTCAAATTAATCCGTCAGCTTGACCGCCTTAGGGATTATTTAAGCGGTAGTGCGACAGACAGACAGACAGACAGACAGACAGTAACTTTTAGCCTTGTGTGCCGAGTCTAATTTAGACGCCTGGTCGACAGCGTGCAGCATAATTCACAGCTCTGGTGCGAAGGCACGGCATTGTCAGGCAACTTTTGTCTAAATTTAAGGTAATCTCTTCCTTTTCTTCCACTCGCTCCTGACAAGTCGTCCCTGTGTATTCAACAGCTTCTCTTTTGGTCACAGGCACTCTCTACATACCATCCTGCTAGAAGCAAGTCCTCTCATACGGCCTCATCACTTTTGGAGTCCTTCTCACCACATACACCTTGTTCGAGAGTCAACATTGCGGGGTAGGAAGAACGAAGTCCCACTAAACCACTTCAACATGGACGGAATAGCGGAGAAACCACTCTTGGATCAACTTGATAAACTACCAAAGATACGGCAATTTGATGCATTCCCTAAAACACAAGCAAGCTACACACAAAGATCAGCAAAGGGTGGAATAGTGACAATCTTTGTCGCTTTGGGTCTGTTGATCTTAGCATGGAATGAAGCAAGAGATTACCTTTATGGTGCACAGAGATATGAGTTTCAAGTTGACAATCATGTCTTTAGTGGTATGCAAATCAACTTGGATATGACTGTAGCTATGCAATGTCATTATCTAACAGTCGACGTGCGAGATGCCGTTGGAGACCGATTGCATCTATCGGATATCGATCTACAAAAAGATGGAACTACTTTCGAAATTGGCCATGCAGGTCGCTTGGATTCACTTCCTGATCGAAAGAATACACATGTAGGAAAGACAATCTCAGCTTCCAAGAAGAAACAGAAAGCAAGCTGGGGTCGAGATGCCAGACCTGAACAACAGAAACACTTCAAAAAGACTGCACATGTGGTAGAAGATGGACCGGCATGCAGAATCTATGGATCAATAGGAGCAAAACGGGTCACAGGAAATCTACATGTCACCACACTTGGTCACGGATACTTTAGCTGGGAACATACCGATCACAAATTGATGAACCTTTCACATGTCATTCACGAACTCAGTTTTGGACCTTATTTCCCGCATATCGCTCAACCTTTAGATTCAAGCGTTGAAATTTCAAACGAACATTTTGCAGTTTTTGAATATTTCGTCAATGTGATTCCAACTTCCTTTTTGGATAAATGGGGACGTAAATTGGAAACGAATCAATATAGTGTAACTGATTATACCCGTGTGGTTACACATGGTCAAGGTGTTCCGGGTATCTTTATCAAATACGATATGGAACCTTTGACGATGACAATTCATGAACGAACGACAACTCTACTTCACTTCCTTGTTCGTTTAGCCGGTATCTTGGGAGGTGTTTGGGTTTGTGCTGGCTTTGGATACAGAATCGGTGATCGAATGATCAAGTTGGTCGGAAAGATGCGCGAAGAAGGTGATCCATCTTATGAAGATTATGCAAAGAGTTACAGTACCAGCTATGCAACCTCTCGACCGGCTGCCAATTTTGCTCAACGTGCAACAGGCGCAAGCGGTTGGTATGGTAATGGAGGCACACATAGACATACCGAATCAGTCCAGCAGCGTATCTTCTCTGAAGAGGGTCGGGCGCCATGGTAAATGTTATGCACAATACCGCATCTTCTATGCTCAAAAGTTTTAATCATCTCAAAAGTACATAAACACTTTTTATCCTTACAAATTCTCATTGTACTCATAAATCTCAATCCTATGGTATTGTCATGTGAAGCAATAAAAAAGTGTGAATAGTGTAGACATAGAAAGTCTACATCACAAACGAATCTAGAAAAAGAAATACAGGCAACGAGCACATAATAGACAAGCCAAAAGAACACACCTTATTCGTCCTCTGTTGCATGATAACCGGCACGACGCATTGCGCCCAAAGTTTGACGTGCTTGTGAAAGTTCTTTTTCCAATGTAAGAATTTGAACTTGTTGTTCCATCTCTTTCGTTTTAAATTCATGAACGTGCATTTGAGAATAATCAATTTCTTCTTGATCACGTTGAAATTGTTTTTCAGTGATTGCTTTAACAAGTTTGACGAGTGATCGACATGCATCAGTCACAGCTTTTGCTGCAAGTTCAAGACGGTCTTGTGACTTTGACATGAATTCACTCTTCACTCTACTTGCAGCGATCAATTGTGCGGTTGATGCAGATACTTCATTTGATGCAACGATCAATTGCTCCAAATTGTGTGTTCCCATAATGACACCATCTGCAGCTTCAATCAGAATCGTTGTACTGAATGCAACAGCACGAGCAGCACTGATCAAACCTTCTGTCCAACGATTGTTCTTCTTGTAGAACTGTTGCGTGGTAGATGATCCTCTTCCCTTAGCAACAATTTCTTGTTGTGCTTCAGTTGCAGCTTTGATTAATCCTCCAATTGCTCGTGTGATAATCAAAGCAGCTTCCAAGATGGAGTCGTGAACTTGCAAATTGACAGCACTGAATCTTGACGTATCCTTTGGACGGGACATCAAAGCTTGCAACTTCTTCACAGCGTTCTCGATGGCCAAAGCTGCACTGCTCATCTCTCGTTCGACAATATCACCAATATCACCATTTGCATGAGCCAAGACATTCTTGCTTGATTTCAATAGTGTCTCAACGATATCACCAATATTGCGCAATGCTTGAGAGGCTTCCATATTTTGACGAGCAACAACGTCTCTTCTTTGTCCGGGAGCAACGGATGCGAGACGGAAAGATTGCAAGGAGCTGAAAAGACGGATCAAAGCATCACCAGAAGAGCGTCCAGTGGAGATAATCTTGTCCACAGCATCATCATTTTCGGCTAGTCTCGTGACTCCCTTTGTGCTTAACAGGACATCAACAATTGCTTGGGAGACTACATTTGCCTTCTTGATCACTTCAACATGCTCTCCGCCGGCTTCTTGTGTGAGGAAAAGGCTGAAAGTGGTTGCAAAGTCACTAACAGAGTTTGTACTCTTCTCCACCATTGTGAGAACATATTCTGGTGTTGCATTTGCATTTCCTTGGGCGGAAGGAGCTTCGAGTTCGTACAAAGCATCATCGACAGCTTCAACACATGATTGCAAGATCGAATCAATGATCGCGTTGAGTTTCTTGGAGTTGTCCAAGATGAGGGTGTCAATTTGTGCATTCAAAGCATCGTCAACATCACCCTTGTTCAATTGCATATCAGTCATTTGCTTAATGGTTGAGTCCATTCCTTCTTGCATGATGGCAATCTCGGCATCCTTTTCATCACGCAGGTGAGCCAATTCGGCATTCTTTGCATCCAATTGTCTTGCCAAATCGTCAGCACCATTTCGTTTGCCGCGCAACTCTTCTTCCAACTCGGCAATTTGACGATTGAGTGTAGCAAGCATACCTGAAACTTCTGAACTCTTTGACCTAGTTGCATCTTCCGCTCTTTCGTTTGCGAACATCAAATCACGCTTCAATCTGTCCAGTTCTTCCTTTTGACTTGCCTTGATTCTGTCCAAGTCAAATCGTGCTCGATCTCTTTCGCGAATCATGTCTGCCAATTCAAGGTTCTTTGCCTTCACATCGCGCTCCATACGTTCCATCTTATCAATGGCCTCCTGTGCGCTTCCGGCTTTAAGTTGCATTTGTTTGTACTTTTGCAACATATCCAAATGCTCGGTACGGAGTTGACTGTACAATTTGGCCAATGCTTCGTACTTGTTTCGCCATAGGGTTACTTGATCTTGCAATTGCTTGATCAAGTCATCCTTACTTGCCAATTGGGCATTGACATTTTGACCAATATTTGCCAGCTCCATCTCCAATGCTTTGACACGATTATCGTATTGCTGTAGAAGCAATTGATCACGCTCATACTGTCCTCGCATAGCCAGCATTTCTTGTTCCAATTGTGCTGTCCTTCCTCCGATGGCCTGATTCATCTGTTCACGCAATAAAGCATCACGTTCAGCTTTCTCTCTTTCAGCTTGCAAGCGTTGCTGTTCTTCCAAATCCCTTTGTTGTTGGGCTGCCAATTCTGCTTGTCTGCGTTTCTCTGCATCTTCACTGTCACGTAAAGCCTTTTGTCGATCTTCGTACTCTTTCAACATCCTTGCTTGCTCATCGATCTCTGCTTGAGATGGTCCCGATGGAGGAGGCGTGGCTGGCTTGCGTGGAGGTAGTTCAGGTCCATCGGGCGAGTCAAAGAGGTTTGGTGGATCGTGATTGAGTTTGGGAACATTGATGAGATTGGTGAGGTATTTCAAATTAGCACATTCGTAGTAGAATCTGCGTAGACCGTAATGTTGTGTGTTGTAGCGACCTCTCAATGGCTCCAAAGCGTCCATGGCATCTGTCCTTCTATGCATCGCGCGCAACATGGATGTCAAGAATTTGTAGATACCATAACTCTCCTTGACGAGCGGGACTAGGGAGGAGATACGACATTCATTGTTTGCTGAACCGCGGAAGTGGGCAAAGACCAGCTTTTGGAATTGATCAATCTGATCTTGCAGGTTCATCAAATCCATAATAGTCTCGTAACCTTCATCTGGGTTGTCAATGTTTTTGAGTGAGATATATTCCTCGTATTCGAACAATCCGTTAAACTCTTTATGATGACGATGGAAGCGAAGCTTGGACAAGATGAAGTTGACGTATGCTCTGATCAAAGGTGCATAGCCACGCATGCTGTCTGATCCGACTGTTCTAGCACAAGTTTCAAACCAACCTGATTGACCTTGAGCATCTCGCAATACGATCGGATGTCCTTCCTGTAAGACTTTGTGTGCCAAGATCAGAGCTTTGAATGTTTGAACTTCGTCGTTCAAGATTGGTTGAACACGTAATCCATTCCAAAATGAACTTGAAGAATGATAATCCCATGTATACACGATGCATTTTCTTACATGTTTTTGTTTTGGAGAAGTTTCGTCTGGATTTGTAGCCTTTTTAATATTAAGTGTAAGTTCACTTTCTGCTTTTTCTTTGTCTACTGGCCTTGTAGGCAAATGCATATCACCACCATCGCCGCCACCAAAGCGAGGCCTAAAAAGAAGGGGAGAGTTGTGTCAGTCATTTGATGCTTGTCCCGGTCATATTCTCCACTTACATTTTTGTTTATATGTCAATCCCTCTTTTGCCAGCGAGCAAGATTAGGTGATTGGATGAGAGGTGTGATGTACTGTTTGTTGTGGTACTCAATAGCCAATGAGAGATGGCAATATCAATAGTGCACTTGACTTCCAGATTATGATAAGTTGGAAGTTTGAAGCAGGAACGAGAGAGAAGCTCAGGTCTTGAGTGGCAGGATGCCTTTTCTCTTACACACGGCAGCCCATTGTCCGTGCATTGGATGCTTGCGCTGCGTTGCGCGTGGTGGCAGTGTGAGACAGATAGGGTACAGTCAAGCAATGCATTTATTCGATCGGCGGCTCAAATCAAACACGGCTTTTGGCCCAGCGCAGCGCAAGGCAAGGCAGTGCTATAGACAAGATGATCTTCTATTAACAAGCCATTTTTATGGTACAGGGTATGTAATGGTAATATTGTACAAGGGATGAACTATCACATTCTTCAATACTTTACTCCAACTGAGCATTATGTCGCCATTTACGATATCTTTCAGCTTCACTTTCTTTTCCCATCATTCCAGCCGCAAGTTCTGCTCCCCAAAGCGTCTTTTGGTATAATTGCTGTTCTTCACTTGTGTCTTTTGCATCCTTGCCTTCTTTTGCACGTTTGTTCATTTTGGAGTAGAGAGCCTTTCGAACAATATCAAATTCGAATATACCTTCAATCGGCTGATTGCTCAGTAAACGACAAAAACCCAACATGACCCTTTGCTGATGTGCTTCCATATTGTTGGAATCGGGTAATGCTAGAAATGTACATAGAGCTTGAATTGCTTCTTTCAATGCTGTCTTGTGCTCGTCCTTGAGATAAAATGGCGATGATGATATGCCATTTGCTGCACTCCTTATCGCATCCAAACGTTCTGTCACCTCTTTCTGATCGGATTTCCCTTCATCTGCTTGCATTAGATAGTGGATGACCAATGCTGGAAATCGTTCATCTGCAAGTGTGATTCGAAGGAATGTCTTGATTATACTTGGCTCGAAGAATGCTGAAGATAGAATGTTTGGATTATCATCTCGAGTCTTATCACCATCTGCTGTCATTCCTTCTGCCTTAAAAGAATTAGATGATAGTAGAGAAGGTGCGGGAGAGTGCCCCCCCCCACTTTGACTTACTCTCCTCCACGGTTGACTGTGTGGATGCACCGCGGAAGGATGATTGCATAAAGTGTTGCAGATGGGGCACTTCAACAGTCTTTGAGGAAATAGCGGGAACACCATCTAAGTACGTCGACGAGAAGAAGAAGCAACATTACACCGATCGGTGACCGATGATGAATTGATTATCATTCAGGGTGCATAGCATTCCCCCGAGAAGAGGTGAAGCATAGATTATTCAATACCATCACCATCTACTCAGCACCTCAGCCAACTATCCAAGATGTCTATGACATACAACGAAAATGAACCTAAACCGGTTTCAAAACCATTTCCAGATATTCCTGAATCAGTCTTTGCACAATTTTCAATGAAAGGAAAAGTTGCAATCGTAACGGGAGCAGGAGCAGGATTAGGACTTGCTGCCGTAGAATCATTAGCAGAAGCAGGTGCAAATATTGCATTATGGTATAATTCAAACGAAGAAACAATCGCAACTGCAAAAAGTGTTGCAGAAAAGTATAATGTTAAAACTAAAGCTTACAAAATTCAAGTTCAAAATCAAGATTTAGTAAACAAAGGTGTAGAAGAAGTTATCAAAGACTTTGATGGTCGATTGGATGTAATGATCGCAAATGCAGGTGCTGCAAAATCGGGGGGCATTATTGAACAATCAATCGAAGATTGGAAGAGACAAGTTGATATCAATTATTACGGTGTGGTGTACTGTGCAAAAGCTGCAGGCCATCAATTCAAGAAACAAGGCTCAGGTAACCTCATCATCACTTCTTCCATCTCGGCTCATATCGTAAACGTTCCTATCGATCAACCTTGCTATAACTCAACAAAAGCTGCCGTTACAATGTTGGGTAAATGTTTGGCTCGTGAATGGAGAGATTTTGCAAGAGTCAATATCGTCAGTCCTGGATACTTTAAAACAAACCTTGGAGCTTCTGATCGTGCTGAATCCGAGGCATACCGTATGAGCGTAATGGGCAGACAAGGTCACGTAAAGGAAATCAAAGGACTGTTCCTCTACCTCGCCTCAAACGCTTCCACTTACGTCACCGGATCTGACTTTATCATCGATGGTGGATACACTCTCCCATAAACTCCCAGAAACAATCTGTACAAATGAGAAAAATACAATTTTGAATTATACTACACTAGAGTACAACAGCATGTCTTTTTAGAAAGCACTTGTAGTTCTGATCGATTCAAGCTTTTTGTTCATTTCTGCAGGCGTGCGTTCGAATTCTTCCGCGATCGCCCTTTGTCGAACGAGTGGTAAAGTAGCAAACAATTCGCACAAATCTCCATCGATCACTGATTTGACCGGGGTATAAGATCCTCTGAAAGACATATGTTCCCTTCCTAAAAGGTTAAGAATCTGTTCCTTTCTCATTAGAATTTCCAGCGATGTCATCATCTCCATATCCTCCTTACTACTAAATGGCACCAAACATCCAACCGTGCCTCCTAAGCATGTATAAATGATCACCGGTCGACCGCCTGCAACGAGTGAAGTTTTGTGGATGCTTATTACAATATCGCCAAGATGGAAATGAGCTTCAAGGGTAAGTTTGTGCGGTGCTCCTTGTAAGTATGGTTTCTCATGCATCACCGTAAGTCCAGTCGTATCTTCATCGACCGATTTACTGACCTCACCATCGATTCGATTGACAAAGATGTTACCGAATTTGTCCCCAGCGCAAACAGTATCGTAGTCCAGCATGGCCAAAGCGGTCGTCCATCTTGGCAGCGTATCATCTGCAAAGATTAACAATCGATTCTCAATCGGCTTGTACGTTACAAAGAATGTCGATTCTTGTACGTCTCCAACCACGATTCGACCTGCTTGAGTAGAAATTGCAGTAATGTTTGTCGGGAACGATTTATTTTCACATTTACGCAATAGCTTCTTTCGACCCATGTCATACACCCTCAATGCCTTGCCTATTCCGGCCACCAATCGTCCGCCGAACGGTTGTACGACGCTCGGAATATCGTCCACTTCCGTCTTGTGGATGAGAGTCAGTGATTTGCCCTCACTTTCCAAAGCGTAGACGCTGAGGTAATTCTTTGTCGAAGATCTTGGTCGCACAGTTGCACCTACAGAGCTACCAATGATCAGATAAGGCGAGCTTTCATGATAGCCATTCATTGCGGCGCCATTACCGTTTGTCATAGCCGATCCATTCTGAGCTAAAGGATCGTTTGCAAACGAAGCCAGGCATAGACAAGTTGCTGCCTCGTTGTTCTCCAGCTGTAGCGTATGGATGGGCTTATCGGCTTGACGGATGTCCACAATTTGAACGGAGCTACTCCAATTTCCAGCCTCAGCACGAACGGGACCAAATTCTGCTGGCGATAGGTTGAGCACACCCTGATCTTTCGGCTTCAAATCGCGACCCAATTCAGCCAATCGTTTCTCCTTTTCCCATTCTGACATCACCCGATGATCAGCACCAGCAATAAAGACTAAGTTTACATCATCTGGATGAGATGCAATTCGTCGAGGCGTATTGGTCAACGCGAATTTATCCGTCTTGAACTTTTGTCCGAGCACAGGAATCGTAAAGATGCGTAAATTGCCAGCACTGATTCCGATCAATCCTTCCGGACACAATTCAGCACTGAACGTCCAAGCATGATCCAAGCTATCGAATAACAAAGGCGTAAAGTGGGTACGTTGTTGGAACGTGTAAGAGAGCCAGCTTCTAGTACTCAATGCGAGCACTGCTGTCTCATTGCCTTGCATTCTAACACGGATCAGACGAACCGGCTTGGCGCCCAAGAAACGTAATCTTGTATCGGTCAACTGACCTGAGATTGGATCGAGCACAGTGCGCAACAAGACACCATTCGTCAAACCAATATTGACAAACATTGTCGGATGATTTGGATCGATTGACATATCGTTCATCTCTGCGACACAGATGCTATTAGGAGGCGCGGTCAGAGCTTGAATGGAAACGGAAGCGAGGGTGTTGTCCGGGTCCAATGAAATGATACGAACTGTCTGATCTTGACATCCGACGGCAAGGTAAGGCGTTCTCTGTCTTCCTTCTGGCACTTCTCCCAAACTCATCGTTAGCACAGATGAACCGACTGCTTTCCTATCTTGATATTCATTCAATTGACCGTCCATATCTAATTCAAAATATACGAGCTCGTTACTGGGCTCCAAAGCCACGACAACCTGTCTGGAATTAGTGGCAGCTTGGACAATCCTACTCTGTTCGCCATTTGATGTTTCAGGAGCTGTCCATTCTGTGACTTGCTTGTCCGCTAAGATATGACGTATTCCATCTGGATGAACTTGTAGAAGCGCATCATCGCCTAATTGTTGTACTGCCAATGTCGGTGCAGATGTTAGCAAGCCACTATCGCTCACTTCTTCAATCGATTCTCCAATCGATAAGACTAAAGTACCATTGACGAATGAAAGAATGATGTACGAATCGTGTTCGTCGTTCGCACGCAACTTAGTCGTCCAGACTGATTTGGGCACTCCCGGTAATTCACTACTGACAGCCTCTTGAACATCAAGACCATGCTGCAACATCTTTAGATGACTCCTTGGACCGCGACCTGATGCTGTGAATATCTGTGGTGTATCGCTTGCTAACGGATTGAGAAGTTTAGCGTCTAACAAAGGATCCAAAGCGTCATTCTCATCTGTCAACAAAAGGTTCTCCAGCGGCCTTGGCGTGAATGTTGGACAAGCAGGTGGCGTTTCTGTCATGCCCAACCGAGGATAGTCGGACGATGCATATTCCGGGAAGTCGTCATCATCGCCTAGCTTCTGGAAGGAGTAAAGCGAAGAATTACCAGATTCTGCCGCAACGTACAAGAATCCCGCACGAAGAATACACAGATTCGTCGCAAGAGGAACAGTGTCGAAGTACTTGATCTTTAGAGATTGCATTTCTTCACCTTCATGATCAATCGTCACCTTGAACAAATCTCCATTTTCATTTTGCAGTAGGAAGAAAAATGCTGTTTTCATACGATGGCAGACGCTTGCGACTATGATATTGCCTCTCCTCTCTGATGCTCGCTCGACAGGATTGAGCCTTCGCGGGATGGGTATCCTGTGATCCTCGCCGACATTGTGTTTGTATGTAATGTAATCTTCTGAGCAGACCAAAACTCCACTTGGTCCTTCCCATCTTTCTGTGTTTTGATTGTATCCACCCGGCACTTGCACTAGATGGTTGGAAAGCATATCCACAGGCGAAGACCATCTCCTGACGACATGATTCAGTCCCAAATCCAGCTCGTAATACGTCAAGAGCTTCTCTGTACGTTCGAAGGCCTCTCCTGACGGATCCCGATCTGCTTCGTCATAGTCCACCTCTAGTGTCGCAAACAAAGGGTTCTCATATCCTACATCAACACCCACAATTGCATGTATGATCGCATTAGGTCTATGTGCCTCCAAAGGACTGGATATTGTTAGGTTTGCCTCTGCGTCTCTGTTCAAGATGTATACCAACTTTGACTTTTCCACTGCTCCGATCATCGTTGCTCTTCCCTTTGGATCAGTTGCCAAGTACTGTCCTGCAACCACCCTCCTGGCGCCTGACCTTCCAAATGTCTCTTGATGAACTACACGAAATGCATTTTGTTTGACAACATATTCGGCAATTGTGATCCTACCTGAATCCGAGCCGATGATCAAGTAATCCTGTGTACCACCTGTCAATCGAAAGCTTGCCAGACTCCTCACTGTTCCGAATGCATCTTGCTCCAAGACTGTATACTGCTTTCCCGTATTCGTGTCGGGTCGTATAAGTTCCAGTCTCGTGCCTGCCTTGCATACCACAATCTCTTGCTGTCTTGTTCCACTAAATTGTCCAACAACAGCCGCTGTTATATTGGATGGCGGCACAAGTGTGATATTGTATAAATGCATCCTTTCCCCCTAAATCTAGCTAAAGATTCTTCTTTTTTGATTGAAAGAAGATGGATGCTCTTGGATGGTAGAGAAGAAGAATACATTTCCATACATTTACACGTTCATTTCGGAAATATGCATTGGCCTAACCATAGCGCGCCTCTGCACGTGTATAGCACTCTCAATTGGAAGAGTCATTGGTTCACCATTTCAATTCTTACATCTATATAAAACACTCTAAAGTTACAATGATATTCTCTATGCCACCTGCTGCTGACGTCTTGTTCGTCTCATGAGCCATGATGATCCCATTTGGGTATTTGGAATGATTCGACTGAATGCTGATGAAACAGATGATTGTCGTTCCAGTTGATTTTCTTGTGCTACTTCTTCCCTTGCATCGTTGATTTCAGGTAAATCATTGGATGGGATAATTTGACGCCTTGCTTGAATGTAATACCTCGCATTGATTACTAAGCCTGCAAGTATGATCCCGATCCATAAGCCCAATTCGGAAGCATATATTCCAGCAGCAATACGATCTGCTGGTGATTTGATCGTGACGGCCAACAATGAAGTCAAATCTCCGGCCGCATCCAAAGCTACAAATGCCCAAGCAATTCCACGAACGGTCTTGTGAAGATAAATGTCATAGTAGTGCCGCAAAACGCCAAATGACAATCCCAAGGCAGCCAAGATGGCCATTGCCAAGATCGTCCTTTGCTTATCCTTTTCCGATGTATCACCATATCTGAATCCAAACACAAAAGCACATTGAATAGCCGCAAAAAAGGCTGCCAAAACGGACAAAGTGCATACACACTTTTTGATTGACCATTTATGATCATAAAACATAACTTGTGCCCATGTCAAAAGACTTAAGCTTGTTAATATTTCTGCTTGTACCTGAAGTGCGATCGGTTGTTTGCTTAGAATGTTATGTATTCCTAAAGGCAGCCCTGCCAATGACCATGCGATCATCATACTTGGCTGTGAACCATCTCCGGTCTTTCGTTTCCAATTTATGTATATTTGAGGGATTAGTTGTATGGACCAGAACACGGCTCCCAAAGTGGATAACACGTCAATCCCTACATCTTTGCTTGTCATCATGTATTGTTGATGACTGCTCACTGTATGACTGGCATTGATCGATGGTGTGCTTACTTGCATACATTCGATGATTGATTGTTATCCTTCTCATACGCTAACGGTTTGCGAACACTGGTCGTACGCCTCAGAATTTGTGTTTTCCTCCACTTTCCCCTTCGGCCGTAAAGATCTTCTTGCTCTCATTCCTGTACGGCTTCTGCAAATGTTCACACATCGGAAATTCGGTTGTGCCGTACGTTATAAAAGCTGATCAGGTTGCAACCCTTCTTGTTTCCATTCCATCATCAACAAATACAAAACAAATCTTCGTTGTAATCATGTCTTCTTATCAATTTTGGCAATTGCCCGCTCAAGATCAACGTAAAGATGAAAGTTCACTTTCTTTGCAAACATCCAATCAAATTCCCAAGCCTGGTCCAACGGAAGTCTTACTTCGTGTAAAAGCAGTTTCACTTAATTATCGTGATTTGATCATCGCTCGTAATATGTATCCACTTGCACTCAAGAAGGACGAGCTCATTCCTGCTTCTGATGGTGCTGGTGAAATCGTAAGTGTTGGTGAGCAAGTACACAAATTCAAAAAAGGTGACCGTGCTGCTGCAAACTTTAATATCGCTCAAACTCGTGGTGCAACTTGTACACTTGCTGAAACAGGATATGCACTCGGAGGACCAATCCATGGTATGCTCTCGCAATATGTCGTCTTACCCGCACAAGCATTGGTACATATTCCTCAACATCTTTCATTTGAGGAAGCTGCCACTTTACCTTGTGCTGGCGTAACTGCTTGGAACGGTTTGTTTGGTTTGACTGATGCTCCAGTTTTACCCGGTTCAACCGTTCTTGCAGAAGGTACAGGAGGTGTTTCAGTTTTTGCCGCTCAATTTGCCATTGCAGCAGGAGCAAAGGCAATCATCACTTCTTCATCCGATGAAAAGTTAAACAAAGTACGTTCTCAATTCACAAAAGAACAACAACAACGTTTATTTACAATCAATTACAAGAAAACACCTGAATGGGATCAAGAAGTTAAAAAAGTTTCAGGTGAAGAAGGTGTTTCGCACATTATTGAAGTTGGAGGTGCGGGTACATTGGAAAAAGCACATGCTGTTATCAAACGTGGAGGTGTGATTGCAAATATTGGTTTTATTGCTCAAGGTGAAACGCCAAATATTCCTTTGTTGAACTTGGGTAGCGGTTCAATTTATCGTGGTATTTTGGTAGGAAGTGTTGAACAATTTGAAGCGATGAACAGATCTATTGACACATTCCAAATCAAGCCGATCGTCGATAAAGTATTCTCATTCAAAGATGCTCCACAAGCATATGCACATCAATGGTCACAAGCCCATGTTGGTAAAGTTGTGATCAAGGTTGATTAAATGTGATCACATGTGAATGTAGTTCGTAATTGAAATATAATCTTCTTTGTGATTAACGCCCTGACATTCTCCGCCACTGTGGCTACGCGTGTTCAGTTCAGCCCAGCCGGCCTCAACGCGTGGGAGCAATTTACACGGTTTACGACGCGACGCGTAGATTGATGTTTTAAAGTTTAGCAGTTCTCCACTCTCCCTAGAAGTGAATGTTGATTACAGTATTGTGCATGAAAGAAGAAACGGATGCAAAAGACATTCTTTTGTCATTATCATTATCATCATTATAAATTATACTTATACCCTTTATCAATCATGGTATCAAATACACGTAAACCACCGCTAAGGCAACCTTTACGATCACATTTTCGTACTCAAAAAGCTGGTGGGACAGGTCAATTGAATAGCATCAAGGAAACAACAAAGGTATCCAAAGGAAAAGCAAAGGAAGAATCAATCACAACCATAAATGAAGAACCACAAAGACCATCCACACCACCTCCACGCACAAAACCATCTACACAGGGATCTTGTTCTTCTTCCATAAGTGATCCGCCCGGTGCTTTCTTCACGCCTAGAACGCCTCCTCGTACACCTAAACCCAGATCGAGAACATCCACTTTACCTGATGTGGCATTATTGGATCCGGTTCAACGATCTCCAATTTCAGTCAGAACAGATCCGGATAATGGAAAGTTGTTCTTGCTATTGCCCAGTAGTCCCAGCAGCAAGATTGTTAGTACACCGCCATCCCGAAGATTGTTCGCTGATGAACTTTCATCCGAAGAAAGAGTTGCATCCACCTCCAAGTCAAATGAAGAACTACAGCCTGCTCTCAAAAGAGCAAAGAGAAGCTTTCCTGAGCCAGAAGAGGAAGAGTACTTGAATCCGTTCATAGGTGGATTTTACGCAAGTCCACGAACAGAACGAACGACACAAGCATCATTTATCAATCCATCCACTTCTTCCGATATCCAGCTAAGTGCGAGCAAAAGTCTACCTTTTCCCGCTCATCACGCTACGCTTATAGCATTACATTCTGCGGTAGAGTATGCCTTGGTCGTGCATTTAGCATCAGTCGGAACGGCAGGATCCACGATTGAAAATGATTCAAAATCAATCGCAATTCCACATTTAATTTCATTTTCCGTTTTACGTCCTTTGGTTGAACGTAGTTCAGGTAGAAAGTTTAGTAAAAATGAATTGGCTAGACTTTTATGGATTTGGGGCGCTGCACCTGCGAATGAGACGAACTCAACAGCAGTTTCTCAAATTCAGAAAAATAATATCGGATTCACAATCTCAAAGGCACGCATACGTTCTTTGGATTGGATGTTGGGAATTCGAATTTCTGCAAATGCTACTACGAACAGGGAAGTGAATTTGATCGCACTTTGGAATAATGGCGGAGAAGATCGAAAACGGATCGTGCGTGAACGAATGATGGATTGGTGTTTGAGATGTTTATCTACTTGGCGAACACAACAACAGGGTGGTGGTTCGGAAGATACATTGCACGGTTTGGGAATCTTGCCTGACGCACCACCGCCATCAAAGGCTTCTGAACCTGCACAGCCCGCAGACGGAGAAGTAGTAGCAGAGTGGGATGCTGGTTTCCCGCTCGATCGAATCGCTCCAATCCCATTGGCGCAAATGCCATCGTTGGAAGTGAACAGTATACCCTCTTCGCCTTCCCTAGGAACGTCCTCCCCTAAATCACCACGCAAGACCCGATTGGACTTGGTCCGAGAAGCACATCAAACGGTCATTGCACAAAACGAAGAAAAGCTAGGACGAAAGTTGACATTAAAAGAACGTATACGTGCAAAAGAACAGGCGAATGCAGTAGCCGGACAAAAACGATCAAGAGATGATGAAAATGACAGCCCGCTCTCCTCCTCAAGCTTTTCCACTTCTGCTTCTTCTGCAGCTGCATGTGCACGACAAAAAGCATCTCTTTCAAGACTGCAAGATGTGGCTGAATCGGTTTATATGTTGTTCGTTTCAACTTCCGGGTCTGGTTCTGGATCTACTAGATTCTCTCCTCATCCATTACAAGATGTAATCAAAGCAATCACAAATGCAAGTAAACAGGCAATGGGATTCAATGAAGCAAAGGCTGCCTTGCATCAACTCAGCTCAATCGCACCGGGTTTCATCGAAGTGGAAAGGATAGGCATGCGGGATTGGGTAAAATTTGTCGGCAATTCGGAACCCAATCGAACCACTTTGGCTTCCGTACGTCAATCAATCAAAACAGAGATGGAAAGGAGATATTCATAGCGCTTTTTATACTTGTACCTATATCTCTCAATTTATATCTTCGCATTTCATCCTGTTTTGAGTCTTTTCATTAGCTATGCGAACACTTAAATATACAAACTGTCACAGATCTTCTCATCGCTTTTGTGGTGGGAAAACAGTTGCCAAGGCCTCTGTCGGCATTGTCGATCGCATATGCATATCCCACGCAAACAGTTGCTCTGGCATTCCATACGGAGTTGGCACGGAACTGCCTTTCATCATCATCGAACCGTGAAGAGGTACTGATGGCGAACGTACATTATGAAAAGCAGAGGGATAATTCTTCGCTTCATCATCTGCACGTAAGCGGTCCAACATTCCTTGCGCTCTTGCTAAATCAATTTCAGCCTGTCTCTTTTCGTCTTGATCAGTTGCTTCTTGAATTCTTCTACTTGCTTCATCAATCAATGTTTTTATATTCTTGTACTCTCGTGCACGTCTCTTTTCCCTTTTCAATTCCTTCGCAACCGGTCCTTCCCCACCTTGTGCAAATTGCATAGTGGCATAAGACAAAGCATAAGTATTGGCATACCATTCAGCATATGCACGCATGGTAGCTGGATCAGTTTGTGCGAATTGCGTATTGGCACGCGGGTCAGTCCAGGTGGTGGTTGCACCATTGTAGAAATACCATGCTTGTTGATTGGTATCATATTCTGCTTTCCATCCAACAGGCAAAGGTCCACTATGCTTCACAAACCAAGCAGAATTATCAATCACGGTAGGAGGACGAACAGTCTCAGCATCATCACTATCTTCGCCAATCGCTTTCATCACGAGACGTTTGAGCTTTTGCGTATCCATTTGATCCAACTTTTCTGCTGGTAACCAACCCAAACCTTCACGTATTGCGCGTACGGCGTGTTCAGATGATGTTGTTGAGGATACCGTCGAAGGTGGAAGAAGCGTTGACGGTGCTGTTGAAGGTTGATAATTTGAATGCGAATTGGAAGGCGATGGTGGCGGTGGTGGAGCAGGCTTAAGTTTAGACCACTCTTGACTTACGTCTTTGTCACTAGACATTACTTCATTCAATCGGGATGGAAGTCAGGATGAAGATTGCTGAGAAAGAGGAAAGAGGACTTTATAAATGCGCGCATGAAATATGGGAAGCACAGACCAGGAGAGTCTACGTAATTCGGTGGCTGAAGGAAATGTCTCAATGGAAGTGAGAGTTAGCCAAGAGCACACATTATAGGTCATTACATCATGAAATAAGCAGAGAATGTATTGGTACAAAATGAACAAGAAGAAAGAATGAAGAGATTAGAATTGATGATTATCATTCATGATATCAACAGGTGCTGGCTGGCGTTTCTGCGAAGGAACAACTTGACCATCATATCGACCGTTTCCGTTGGTATTACGAGCGTATCGCTTACCGACTGTATCATCTGCATTTTCTGGACCATCGAAACTTTCATGTCTTGCACTACTACTTCCTCCTAAACTGTCAAAGGAGGCATTATCATATGGTCGACGTTGTGAGCTGTTGTAATCCGAATCATGCATCACACGTTCGCTACGTGCATGTCTATCGGCCTTTCCTTTACGTGAGCCAAGGATACCTCCAAACTTGCTCTTGTTCTTTCTTCTGTCTGCCTCTGCTGATCCGGGAAGAACGTCATGCGAGCCACCACGACCGGAACTTCGAATGCTGGAACGACTCTTTGATCTGCGCAAAGAATGATCGTCTCCATTCGCTCCTCCTCCAATACCACCTCCTCCGTATCCTGCTCTATCGGCAGGCGTGCCATAAAATGCTTCATCGCTTCCTGCTGTTGCCCTTCTAGCTGAAGCACGAGCAGCAGAAGCTCTTGGGTTATCACCATCTTCGAATCTATGATGACGATCATATTCATAAACATTTCCATCATCGTCATACATTTGTCTGGTTGCATTTTGATCGTTATACCTTCCAACCCAAGCACGAGATTTTGCCAATTGTTTATCATTATCATCGCTTACCAATCCATAACGTTTTGCCCATTTTGGTGTACGGTTTTGATGTTCGTTATTTCGAACGTTTTGAATGAAGAAATTATGTCCATGACCTGGAATATAACCACAAATTGTGCAAATACAATTGATAAAGAAATCCTTTCCGATTCCAAATCGAACTGCTACTGCCAAAGGTGGTAATAAGAAACCACAAAGCATGATAAAGAATGAGAATCCATGATGACGTCTTGGCTTGAAATCGATACGACCATCAGCTTTACGAGGAACGTGCCAATTCATGATTGACTCTAAACCAAGTTGGAGAAGTGTTCGTGGCAATGATGATAGATTGAAGTTGGGGTGGGGCAAAGCTGTTCTTTAGTGCTTCGTATTTTTGACAGATTATAAGCCTTACTGCTCAGGCCCTGTCAATTGCCGCGCTTTTTTACTGTTCTCTTAGGATATACTCATTTGTTGCCCGAAACATTCATTTGGGAATACCTCGTGCTTCAAAATCAGGCGTATAAACGGTGACCCAGGCTGTGCATCGATTTGCATCCGCCCTTCCAAGGCTCTTTTTAGCTCAGCTGCTCTTGCTCTGCGTTGCGCTCGTGTGCGGACAGCCATACAATACGCGCGTGTGCCTGAATGGAAATCTTGATAAGCCACTTTTGCTGGGGGGGGGGCGGATGATTATAACGAATGATTTGCAAACAGTTTGCCAAGATTGTATCAATAATAGCACATATAATGATCTCGTGTACAATAGAAAAAGGGAAAAACAACTTGTGAAAGAAAACAATATAGTCATAATACAACAACACGGAAAGGATATAATCGCGACAAAATACGGTTTGAAAATGTACAGATGTGACGGAAATGAATTGAAGTAATTATCCTGCTTGCTCGCTTTCATCAACGTCTAATTGCAAGGCTAATTCATCTTCAAGGGATTTCAGGAAATCTTCATCGGGTTCCTCCTCGCCTGCTCCACCATCTTGCTCGCCCTTTGAAGGCCCTTCATCTTGCTCATTCGTGCCTTCTTTGTGAGAAATTGCGGGACCAGCAGAAGAATCACGACTTTCACTAGGTTGTGCATCAAACACTTGCTTCAGTTTGGAATTTCCTGCTCGCAATTCTGCCATTCGTCTTCTTTTGCTCAAAGGGGATAGAGTGTTACTTCCTCCTGCTTCTGAACTTCCATCTTCTGCCTCTTCGACGCTGTTGTCATTTGAGCTATTTAATGATGTATTGCTGTGTGTACGTTTCATCTTGCTACCTTGTCTACGGTCACCTGCTTCACTACTACCTGAACTTGTATTGCCTCCATTGAGAGTGCTTTCATCATCGCTTAGTCCATTTAGAACAGCATCAACTTCATCATTAGCTTCATCCCAATTCATTTCATCAAATCCTTGTCCATCATCGTCTTCATCATCTTCACGAAAGTCGTCAATTTTGTCTCCATCGATCCCGTCACTTTCGGTCAAAGCCTCTTCTTCACCCAAGTTGGAATCTGCCGTACTACTAAGCAGATCTCCCTCTACTTCTGCCGGTTTGGTATCGTCTTTCTTTTGAGCATCTACGCTACTGCTAGGAGGTGGTCTGCGAAGTTGTTCCTTTGTGGGGTTCGGAAGTGCATAGCCATCTTCAGATTGACGGCTCCAGCGTGTGCAAGACTCCTGTAGCCATGTATACCATACCACATGTATATTTCTTCGATGTCCATTTATAACTTTTTCCGTTCCTTGTTTTGCAGCAATTACGTGCGTAACCTTTGAATCTAAAGATCGCTTACATACAGCTCCGAATTCTGTTGCCAATCGCCATAGCTCGGTAGATCCTGGATCTTGATTGACAGGAGCAATGCTTGAGAATACAAATGTACAGCCGTCCAAGACAGCGGTTTTAATTTGCGAGATGATTTGAGTGATTGAAGGTTTCTCTTCCTGGGATTTTCGCTTATCGTAATCGGTATACCACCTTGTATGAATATCATTAAGAACTTCATGCAGCTTGTACAGTTCCCGATCTGTTTCTTTTAGAACTGCAGCTGGTTTACCTTCTTCATCTTTTCCGGCACTTTTTGAACCATCTCCTTCTAAGGCTTCTTGCATTTTTGCCAATGGTCTAGCATCTAATTGTTCGCTCACTGCAGTCTTTTGACTTTGTTCTGCAACAGTTTTTGCAGCGTCATCTTCTGCTTTAGCTTCAGCTTCAAGTGCTTCTTCATCCTTTTCCGCGGTATTCTTCTCCTTCTCGTCCGCATTGTCTGCGGTACCATTGCTTCCATTTACCTTTGCGGAAGCATTGCTTAATTCTGGCGGAGGCGTAGGTCCAGCCGGCGTACTCGGCAAGAAAGAAGCATTGATATCTCCGATCCCCACAAAGAAGTCAAAAGGAGTGACACGAACCAGATTTGGGCTCCATTGCCATACATCCGCACGATCATCGATGATGGCAACCATGGATGTATCCATCGGGAACAGTTTGCTTAGACTCTTTTGTAAAAGACTACCGTTCTCATCCCGAGATATGATTCGGGCGCCGAACAACGATCCATCCGGGTCAACCAGCCTACAAACGCTTTCTGCATATGTTCGTGTTCCCATCGTATAGACGTGTAGCTCATAGCGTTCGCTGAGTTGGGTAAGGAAGTTCTGTAATCCAGGTCTAGGCTTGACGTAGTACCAACATCCATCCTGCACTGCAGCTGCTAATGCTTCATCTGAGCTTCCGTTTGCTTGTTTGGCAGCATCTTCGCCCATGACAGCTTTCCCGTCAACGCCTAAGAGAAACTTCCCAACATCTGCCAAAGCTTTATAATTTGCATTGGATTGATCTTTCATCCATTCTCCAACAGTAGGATCAACAGTTGCATGAATGATTGTTTGATCTAAATCAACAATTAATGCCAATTTTCTTTGTTCTAGCAGCCTTCTTGTACTTTCCGAATCCAATCTTGCCGCTTCTGCCGTTGTAACTTGAACGCCTGAAATATCATGAAGTTGTTCTCCACCATCAAGTTGTCTTAATTCTTCTTCGTCCAACACTTTTCCACAAACAACACACATTCCAGAAACGCGAGCCGGATGGCTGCATGACATAAAATCCTCCATCTCGTTTTGTATAATCAGCCGGTCAAAGAAATGATCATGATTGATTGTCGCGTGATGACGATGATGATGATGAGGATGATGAAGTCAATGACACAAAAAGAAAGTTACACTCCTACGCACGCGATGCACACCCACGCCTGTGGAGACGATTAAAGTTGCAGCAAGAGTTCATACGCCCAAAGATCTGCTTTCTACGCGTTCATTCATTTCACTCTGGCACGTTTAGTAAAAATAATTATATCCAACAATTCGGATTTCGGACCTCATCCTCTTTTATTCGGGAGTTCGAGAAGAATGTTTTCTACAACCACCTCTTGCAAAAGTGAAACAAATCGATGCTGATTGGCAGACAGACAAGAATATTGATACGATCAGAAAAGAGGCTATTGAACGGGAATATAATAGGTGATTTCCGGTTAACGCAGGTACAAAAGCGACCTTTCAGAGGGCGAAGAGGTCCACTGGAATCACTGAACAGCACTTCTTCAGGTATGAACGGTTCGGCAATCGAGGACCGATATCGAAATCAATCACGAGAACAATTACTTGCTAGAATCGCTCAGCTCGAAACGAGCAACAATGGAGAAGCATCGACGAGCAATCTAAACACCACCACTCCAGCCGAAGGAGCTAGTCAAGATACAGAAAAGAAGAAGCAAAAGGCCAGTCGTCCATTTGATATAAATCGATACCCATGCAGAAAAATCGCTTTACGTTTCTCCTATGATGGAGAACAATACTCTGGTTTGGAAATGCAAACAGCTTCGGGATCTAAAGATGGAGTTGCAGTCGGAACGGTGGAAAGTGCATTATGGCGAGCGCTCTCAGATGCTAGGATCGTTGATGATTCTGTTGGATTGCCAGGCGTTGGTTGGAGTCGATGTGGAAGAACAGATAGAGGCGTGAGTGCAGCAGGTCAAGTTGTTGCATTTTGGGCAAGAAGTAGAAAAGTAGACGAGTGGCCGTTGAGGAGAGTCTTGCAACGTACGATGGATGAAACTCAAATCGGGAAAGACACGAATGGCAGCACGAGCGATGGTGCAGAGGGAGACAGCGAAGATCCAGATATGGTGACAAGAAACTCTTGGAGGGATAAAGTAGAGTCAAAGATGCAGCAATTCTTGGCAGAAGAGCAAGCGAAGCGAGACGAAGTTGATCATATCCCTGCAGATCCAGATGCTGAAGAGTTGCCATATGTGCTGTCAATCAATCGATTATTGCCAAAGTCAATACGAGTACAGGCATGGTCTCCCGTTTCGCCTGCATTCAATTCCCGATTCGACTGTCAGTATCGTCATTACAAGTACTTCTTCAGCAGTGGAGCGCCCTTCGTTCAACAATCTTCCGCACAATTGCATGGACCAATTCCACCTTTAGATATTGATGCGATGCGATCAGCAGCACAGCGATTTTTGGGAGAACACGACTTCCGAAATTTCTGCAAAGTTGACCCAAGTAAACAAATGGATAATTTTACCCGAAGAATTGATGGAATTTCCATCGATCCTGTATCCACGTCCTGGTCGCACACCACAGAAGAAGCTGAACGATCAGCGAACGAAGAATCAAAGACATCTTCCGGCGATAAAGAACAGATGTATGTCTTGAATTTAAGAGGTACTGCCTTCCTCTATCATCAAGTCAGGCATATCACTTCAGTTCTGTTCTTAGTCGGAGCTGGACTAGAAAAGCCATCTATCATCGATGAATTGTTGAATGTCAAGCAAAACGGAGTCTTTGTTGATCGATTATTATCCGCCAAAGTGAGTGGGCTGGTCATAGATGATGATTCAGAAGAACCCCGGACAGTATTACCCCCAAGTACTGCAAATGATGAATCTGCTGATTCGAAGACTAGCTTGGTACACAGATATCAACGTATGCGCAAAGAATATGAACAGTCCAATGGAGATGTGGCAAGCATATTTGAATCTAATCATATAGAACATCATGATGCCTTACGTGATCTTTACGTATTCGATCGTAAGCCAATTTATGAAATGGCAATGGATCGTCCACTAATGCTGTGGGAATGCGGATTTAACGCAAAGGATGTATCTTGGCGTTCGGGTACATACGATGGTGCAATGACGGTAGAAGCAATCAAAAATGCTTCTTCCTCAAAGAAAGACGTTGATGTCAATAGTCCATCATCTCTCGTACGTGCACAGTTGCATGCTATTTGGAATGCACAAAGTATCACGGCGGAAATGTATAGGCATTTCGCTTTAGCTGTCCCAAGTGATGCTAATGAGCGCATTCAAGGCAGAGGCGCCTATGGAGTTGGTTATCTTCCAGCCAATACCCCATTTCAATCTGCTTCTTATCCTGCACTGGAATCCGAGACCTTACCGTCTGATAATGTGAGAAATGGTGATGATGCCTCTGTCGAGGCAAAGACAATCATTCCCTTGGGACTCGGACGGTTCAAAACTTCTTTACAATATACCCCATTACGCAAAGTGAGCCGACAGGCAACTCCCGCTGAAAAAAATGAACGTTGGCAATCAACTCGAGGAAAACGTCGAGCAGAAAAACTAGCAGCTGCCGCGAAGGTTGATCCCGCTAAGGACGATTCATAAGACATTTAGCCTTTGTATTATTGATTGAATGCATCTATAGTATTGCTTTTTGTAGGGTAAGAAGTATGTGTCTTGTATACAAATGCTCTGATTCCTATAATCAACAGAGAAGATAAGATGTACTTAATTTATCAATTCACATCAATTTTGTCCATTTGTTGCTGCTGGGCTTCCATCAGCATCAGGTGGCGCAAACGCCCAACTTCTTCTCTCATTTTCCCGATCAATGCTCTCCTTCTCCTTTTGTGCATCTGTTTTGAATATATCGGAAAGTGGGTAAGCTTGTTTACTTGCCTCTACAAATGCGGCCGCATCTGTTGATCCGCATTCTTTCAAAAATTCAAATGCCTCTTGCAATGTAGACAACTTCACATCACTCTTTCCTGCTTTTGCATATGAAGCAGCAGCTCCTTTTGCCATCTCCAACAAGATTGCAGCCGCTTCACGTTTTCCATCTTCGTTATTTCCCCGAAGTAGAAGTGTAGATCGTGCAGAAGCCAAAGCATTCTCCGCACTCTTTCCAGCATGACGTTGAACGAAAGTGGCATTGAACGCCTCCAAGGTTCCTTCTTCAAGCGGAACGATGGGTTTCAAAACGGCAGAAATACTCTCCCGAATCGGTTCTGGTGCTTCACTAAGAACGGGTAATGCTTTACGCAATCTAAGAATGGCATAATGAACTTTGCCATTCTCTGGTTCCAAAGCATGCGCCCTTGCGATTGCTTTCGTTGCCGCAAGCCAATTCTTTCCCCGCAGAGCAACTTCAAAGGATAACAACCATGTTTCCGGCTGAGCAGGAGCGTGTTTCTGCAGCAAGGTAATATACCTCTCTGCGTCTTTCAATGGGTCTACAGCTTTGAATGCTTCCCTTCCATCTGGATCATCGTCTTTTGGCGGCGCATTGACTTCCTCCTCCTCTGCTTTACCGTTTGCGGAAGCTGCATTCTTCTTTGCAGCCTCTTCCAGCTTCTTGGCCTTCTTTGATAGCTTCTTTTGGTCGTCGTTGCCATTTTCCGCTGCCGTACCATTTTGCAATTTCAACAAAGAAGGTTGATCGTGCAATTTCAATAGAATGCGAATAGCAGTGGTTGCAGCAGAGAAGTAAGCATGGTGACTATGTAGACGATCCTCAAACCGAACCATATCAACATAAGCACGTAACGTGAATTTGCGTGTGCAATATGAGTGGAAGTCCAATTGATCATCCCAAATTTCTGTGTAGATCTTGTCGATTTGTGTACATCTCTTCAAGGCCATTGCGTAATTTCCCTTTGCTAGCCAAGCTCTTGCTTCTTCGATTAAATACCAAGAAGCTTGCATTTCTACCAAGTCCAATACAGGATCTTCGACGTCAGGTTTTGTAAACAAGCCCGCCTTCTTTGATGCTCCGGAGATATCTCCTGCTCGCAAGGAGTACTTGGCCGCCTTGCAATTTAGCGAACGATCTTGTCCGTCGAGCAGCCGAGCATCTTCCATTGCGGTATTTGCCCAATCTATCGCACCTGCTTTCTTGTAAATCCTTGCTCTGGTCATGTGTAGTTCGGGTAAAGTAGGCGAATGAGCGATGGCACTATGTATGTGTTTGAGTGCCTCATCGTACTGTCCAAGGAAGCTGTAGTGTTGTGCCAAGAAGTAGAGAGTCCATAGAAGGGAGGTGGGAGCTTCATTCGGATCTTTTGTCCATTTTTCCCGAGCACCTTCGACAATGTTTTCAATCGCATCCCGCTTTGCATCGTCCACATAAAGAGCCCGTACATCATTGAAAATCGAAGGCACTCCCTTTTGCAATGCGACCAGAATATAGGAAGATGCTTGAGTGTGGAATTCTTCCCCAGATACCAACGTTAGTGTCATTCGCTTGATCGCTCTGGAAGATGGGAATTGCTCTTGTAGCGACTTGAATGCGGCTGAAGCGGCAGTGGAATCAGCTTTGCCGGATTGTACATCAACTCCCTTTGTCTTCAGCCAAAGAGCAATGTATTGTCGATCTTCATTATTTCTCTGCAAAAGGCCATTGAATGTCTTTTCCGCCTCTTCCACTTCCCCTAGAGCCAATTGGCATTTGCCTTGCAAGAGCGAAGAAGCCTTTACGTCGAGTACTTGATCGGAAGTCTTTTTGCTTAGAAATTCTATTGCATCTTTGTGTCGGCCAGCTTCATGAAGGACTTGAGCATGATACAAGAACACCTCTGATTGTTCATACGACCGTTTGGGTACATCGCGATGGATACTTTCAAAATGCTCCAGCACACGCAATGCTTCCGCTGTATCCCCTCCAAGATGCAAAGAAACAGCCAAACCTGCCCAATTCATACGCAAATGTGGCTGCATACGTACGAGCGTTAATCGATTTTCGACCACTTTTGGCCAATCCCTCAATTGCATGTACAGATAAGCGCTTTCCCGTACAAGGTTGATATTCGTCCCTCCTTCGATCCGCAAAGCTTGTGAGTAACATTTGATGGATTCGTTGTAATTCTTGACGATCCTGTTCAAGATACCCAAAGCATGCCAAGAAATAAAAGAAGTTAAATCGAATCGTAAACCTTGTTTAGCCAATTCTAAACCTTCATTTTGTCTATTAAGCGAAGCCAAAATTAAACCTTTCATACAAAGAGTTTCACCATGTTCCGGAAATTTTTTCAAAATTTGATCGGCAGTCTTTAAACCGATTTTATACTTTTTCGATTCATATTCTTGAATCAATTTTGCAAATAAACCTTTTTCTTTGTTTGGCAAAATCGTCTTTCCTCCAGCCAATGGCTTTTTCACAGGAGGTGCCATTATTGCTTTTTTATCCTAAGAGCAATGGTAAAGCAACCAAAGATGATGATGATGATGGTGGTGATGGGTTAATAGAATGATGGAGAACGATGTTGCGTTGCACCTTTGATGTTCTTCGCGAAGGAAATTCGTACACTGCTCTTCCGCCCCCAGCAAAAAAAGAAAGCGGCGCTCAGGTGTGCGTGCACGTTAAGTGCTTAAAAGCGCTTTGAAGCATGCTGACTGCTTGAAGGAATCATACGTCATCCTCTCAAACTCCTACCAGCATGGACTTCAGACACAAATCATCTACATTTATATATTGTAGCGAAACAGTAGAAGAGTCGATCGAATTGCATGCATGTATTGATGATAGACATGATCAGAGAACGCATGTAAGAAAGTGAGGAAAGAACTAAGAAAAAAGTTATGATAGACAATTGAAACATGAAATTGAAGAAAAGAGTGTAATGGTAAAAACAGGTGGAGATGAACATTGCGAGAGATAGAGAGAAAGGGGAGTTATTATGATGTAATTCGACATAATGTTTGACGAAAAGGTTTCGCATATCTGCGGTATGAATTTAGCACAGTTGCGGTGATTTTGATGATTTGAGAAAAAGATGATTATATACATCGATTGACACCGTAATCAGGAATAAGCAGATATTGATAAAACGTGAGTGTGAAAAAGAAGAAAATGTGCGGGGGCGGCGAGAAGAATAAATGCAACAGTGCTTAAAACACCATCACATCTTTCCATCGATCAGATTGGATGTTTAAAGGCATCCAACAAAGGCGATCAAATTATTCCTCCCAAGCCCTCGCGTTTCACGCGGAAGTCCCGTTTGTTTTGCCTTTCAATATTTGCCGATCATTAAATGTTGGAATGCAGAGAGTGGTGGTTGTTGGCATCATACGTTGCATGGCGCCAATGTCTTTACATCCCCTCCTTAATACCATGAGTTTTGTTGCACATCACCGCGTGGTCGATTGCTGGACGATTGTCCTTGTTGGTAGGATCCAGTGGCAGCACGCATTGTATCTTTGCCATTTGCATCCTCCTCACCTTGTGCGATCACCTTGCGTCTTGGCAATTGTGCATTGCCTGAGCCTCCTGCAGCGGCGGCAGCGGCAGCAGCTTGAGCTGCTTTTGAGACTTGATCGTTGGCAGCAACTGCACTTGAGCTGACGGCCTTTTCTTCTGTGTTGCTCCTCTGTTGAATGCTCCAGTCGAAGATGTAGTCGTATTGGAAGCCTTCACGAACGAAGAGATCACGGAACAGCTTGCGCAAGTAGCTGTAATCAGGCTTGTCATCGAAACGCAACGAGCGGCAGCAGTTCAAGTAGATAGCCATCTCGGATGGGAAGCCACGGCAGAGTAATTCTGTTGGTGTGGTCATCTTCTTTTCCATGATACGGTCGTACTTTTGCTTCTTTGTTGCGGCTTTGAGACCTTGCCATGGCAAAGAGCCACGCAAGAAGTACATCAACACGTAACCCAAAGATTCCAAATCATCACGACGAGATTGTTCAACACCCAAGTGAGTGTTGATGGAAGTGTAACGTGCTGTACCGGTCAAGTTTTTGTTCTCTCTGTATGGGATGTGCAAGTGTGTCTTTGGATCACGATACTTCTTTGCCAAACCGAAATCGATGACGTTGACTTGGTTGCCGCGCTTTCCGATACCCATCAAGAAGTTATCAGGTTTGATATCACGATGGATGAAGTTGCGCGAGTGAATGTATTCGATACGAGAGATCATTTGATCAGCCAGTAACAAAACTGTCTTGAGACTGAATTTGCGGTTGCAGAAGTTGAATAGATCTTCCAAGGATGGACCAAGCAGATCGATAACCATTGCATTGTAATCGCATTCTTGTCCATACCATCTCACAAATGGAACACCAACCCCTCCTGCTAATGTCTTGTAGACTTTTGCTTCATACTCCAATTGAGGATGCTTGGCTTTGATGGATTCCAATTTGATAGCAACCTCTTCACCAGAGATGATGTTGATTCCCAAATAAATATCTCCAAAAGATCCTGACCCGATCTTTTTACCGATACGGTACTTGCCTCCTACACGAAGATCCATGATGCAAGTTTAAACAAATGTTTGTGCTTGTATGCGTGCGTCTTGATGAACAAATCTAATTAAAGTATGCTTCTGTCCTTTGGCGAGATGATGTTCTTGTCCAGCTTCGAATGAGATTAAAGAATACCGTTCAAAAGTCTGCCAGAGATCTGTATGAAAGTATGGAATAAAACAGTGTTAGTTGAATTGATCTGAGTTTTAAATAGCGGAAGGGGTTAGGATGAGTTTGCCTTCACGCTGAGCAAGTAGCACAGCATGGCGTCACAATCGAGTGCGGATGGGGCAGCTCCTGCATTTCAGTTTGAATGAGCACGCGGGGCAGGAAGTGAAATCAAATCTGGCATGCGTGATTCATAAGATCTTGAAGGCGCTTCATTGCCATTGATTGCCCAGGCCCTTGAGTTATGCTATGAACTGTACGCCAGCTGCCCCGTACCTGATCACTGAAGAGGTTGTGAAAAGGATCATCCCTTGGCCCTGATCTACATGATCAGTATGAACGCCAGCATGCAGGGGAGGGGAAAGAGAAAACCTTGCGCCGTTTTGCTAAGCGCCAAGACATTGAAGCCATGATCTATGGCGTACTCGGGTTTTGGAATTGACAAAGAGAAGATTACTCACCTTATATGGATGTGATGGTTGCAATAGATGTATTGTGGCGATGGACTTTACGAAAGTGAGTCGTGGCGCTTTGATGTGCAGGGATAGACGGAGCCCCTAATCAAAAAAAAAAGTTGAAAATATTGCCGTACCTTTTCAGGATTGCTGAAATGGATGACTTGTTTTGAAGTGTAGTTGATTGTCAATCTTTTTTACCTTTACCCTTTTTTGAAGTAAGATAGGGTAAAAGGGAAAGATTTGAATTGGTAAAAGAGGAAGACGCAAATGATTGATGGAGAAGGAGGATGGTAATTGAGGTTGGAGTTGGGCCTCTTTTTTTTCCTATAGAAAGGGGAAATGACGCTCTTTTGTCAATTGTAAGGGCAGTAGCTCAGCGTTGGGCTTAGAGAGGAAACTGTTGTGATGCTTACACGCCTTTTCTTTTGCGCTGCGCAGGGCCTAGGTTCACTCACTGTTTGCTGTTTGTTGGATCGAGTTAAGCCTGCCTGCCTATTATTGAATGATATGCTTGTGTTGCGTGTCAAAATAGGCAATTCCAATACCGCATTTTTACAAGACAGGAGCTTCGCCTTTTTTGATGTGCATTTTTACCTTGGCAGCAGCAGCGCACGCATGGCCAAAATCGGATATAACACGCTGGCCTTGCATGCTTGCATTCATTTAACGGCCACACAATGAAAGCACACACACATATACAAATTTGGTCAAAGGGCGAACTCATAAAATGCAAATTAACCATTTGATGAGGAACAGAAGACGAACGCGTTTGTCACATTGTCATAATATCATCATTTCTCGGACGGAATTCCATCTCTGCCAAGAAGTAATGAACATTGTGACGTTTTTGATGTTCATTTAATGGCATTTCACAATAACGGTCCGACGTCATTTTTAGAAGGCGTTGGAATTGCGGGGATATTTTTTATGTTCAGGTAAATCGAGTGAAGCGATCTGATCCTTTATTGTGACGATATGATGACGAGGAAGTTGTTTTTTTGTCTAGAAATGCACGCCTGTATGCGGGTACTACTCCGCGTTTATTAGAGTTCTCTCATCAAGGGGTGGCCTATGTATATGCACGCGTTACGCCCATCTTTTATTTGATACTCCGAGCAGCGCCTCATTCAAAAGATATGTGCTTATATCGGATAATCACATTGACTTTTCATGATGATCACTCGCACGAACGAAAGTGTGAGGTAAATGAAGAGGTTCGTGCTTTTAAAATGAAAATGATCATCATTACAAGAGGCCCGGGCGGTGTAATTTGACGCGTTGAGCGCCATGATTGTTTGAAATGATGACTCAAAAGGCGTAATCATCGTCTTAGACTGCGATTAAGGAGGCTTTTGTTTTGTTCAGAACGGGTAATGGCATGATAAACTCAAGAATCAGAGACGACACCGAGAATGACGGCATTTGCACGTGTTGCTGTGCTCGAAAGTCCTTGACGGATTAAGGTTTAAGCTTATGTGCACTAAGTCCATCAGGCTGGGGAAAGGGTGGGAATTGGGTAAATGCTTTCCTCTTGATTTAGGGTGACAACCTCTCCTCTTGTCGTGGACATGTCGGCGATTAACGGCACAGGAGAGACAGGGTCCGGACTTCCTTCTGGCTCGAATAATGACTCCAGGTCAGGAAAACGGTCAATGGACGATAGACTTTCACCCATCCATTCTCTAGATCCGAAAGCGAGGCGGATAGAAAATGAAGACACTGCACCCTTGCAGATCAAAGTCGGTCTGGGCGGATTTCAGCATGAAGTGATTGGAATACAAAAGCCAGTGCAGATCACTTCATTCAGCTATGATGAGAAACGAAAATTGTTTCACGATGATCGTTCAAGGAAATACTATCATCCTCCACCACCAAATGCAGATTTGAACAGAGGCTATGAAACTAGGATCGAACGAGATGATAATGTGAATGAACATCTGAACTCGCTTTTGGAAGCATTGATGCAAGGAGAAGAGGTAGAAGGACATCAAAAACAGGCAGATTTGATCACATGGCGTGGAATGATGACAAAATTGTGCACGGTCTTATACGAAGATCAGCAAGGATTTGAGATGAATGTGATGATGCTAAACGGAACGCTCTACATAGAAGAGCACGTAGGAGAAGCAAAACTGGCTGATAGAAGAAGATCAAAAGAAGGATCGGAGGGTTCAAAACGAAATGGGTATTATGGTTACAGTTTCGAAAGTTGGACTTGTCACTCTTGGCGTGAAAGGGGACAGGGCACGAATGCATGGGATGGCGATGTGAACACAAATGTTCAATGGTGTTTGGTAGTAAAGACAAAGCTGGGAAGTATGAGATTGATTTTGGGCGGAGAGGTGGACGCAGTAGACCCAGTCTCAAATGCACCAATCGAAGTAAAGACGAGTAGAGATATCAGAAGTGCAAAAGATGAAGAATTTTTCGAAAAGAAGATGTTACGATTTTATATGCAAAGTTTTCTCTTGGGAATTCAAAAAGTCATTGTTGGCTTTAGAGATCATAGAGGATTCCTTGTCACAAATCAAGAAATGGACACTTTGGCAATGCCGCGAGCGGTAAGAGGAAAACCTCATGCTTGGGATCCCATGGCTTGTTTAAAGGCGGCTTCAGATATTCTCTCGGCTGTGAAGGCACATCTATCTGCACATACACAACAGAGTAAATTGCCAGATGTCAAAGAAGCGGAAAGTAGCGATGCATTTCCCGTTTTTCGCCTGACATATACGCCATCACGTTCTAGCAAGAATGGCAAACAGCTGACATTGTCCCAGCTTACGAAGGATCAAATCTTACACGAAGTCAAGGGAGGGAAAGAAGAAGGGTATGTGGGCTTTCTAACAAGCAAGTATTACCAACACATTCGAAAAAGACATGTAGAATAATGTTGTACTTCTATTAGACATTTGTACTATACAATGAATATTACAACTATCAGACTAAACTCATTTTCGTTTTGCTTCTTTGTGTGTTCTTGTCTTTCTCCACTCCAATTTCCACTTTGCATCGATCAAAGATACCCAAGGTGAGATCTTTCTTCAATCCCGACACAGATGCTGGAATAGTCACTTGGAATTTCTCTGCATCAAATTCACAATCTTGTTTGAACGTGATCACGCCTTCCAGACCATACTTGTGAACAAAGACTGCCAAACCATTGCGGAAAGCACGAATGACGAAAGCTTCTTCGATCAAGCTATGCTTTGCAGTCTCATTCTTTCGCTTGATAGATTGACCAACCCAATATTCCACACTTGCTCTACCTGCCATTTGAGCAGCACGATGACGTTTGTTGACAATATTCAACATGGATTCCACGTGGGATTTACTGTGAAGACTGTGTGCCAACGGTTCATAATCAATACTTGCTGCCAATTGACGATGTGTAAGAACGTCTGCCATTCTTCTGATGGGACTGGTAAAGTGAGTATAAATGTCACATGCTAGACCATAATGTCCAAATGTATCAGCAGCCACACTTCCAGCGCTAAAGTATTCTGCGCTCAACATACAACGAGTTGCCATAATACGAACGAGAGTATTGAAGGCAGGCTCAGAACGATCGATGCACTTGTCCAAAGAAGCAGCCAGAGCACCGGAAGAAGAAGTGTCTAGATCCAAACCTTTTCTTGTTTGTAAAATGGCTCGAAGGGTATCGAAATTAGTTGCGGGCGGAGGCATATGTCTACGCAAGACGGCCGTTTGAGGAAAAGACTGTTGAATGTGTCTTGCAACTGCAATGTTTGCCAACAACATGAATTCCTCAACCAAGCTATTCGTCTCTCTCATCTCTTTTTGTTCAACATCAATCGGTGCTGAGCTTTCTGTACTATCGAGATAAATTCGAACTTCAGGACTTGCCAAATTCAACGCTCCAGCTGCCATTCGCTTAGCTTTCAACTTGATTGCTAAGTGATTCAATAGTCGGATGCTCTCCGTAATTGCATCCTTCAATTTGGGGTTGTCCTTCCGCTTTTGAGCTTCTTCATAGGTGAAAGCCTCTTTGCTCGCAATTACGCTTTTGAAGAATTCAACATTCACTGTATCACCTTCTGGCGTCAATTCCCATATTACGGAAAAGGCCAATCTTTCTACATGTGGACGCAAAGAGCAAAGGTTTGTACCTAAGAGGTGCGGTAACATGTCAATTCTCTTATCGACAAGATAAACGGTCGTACCTCTTGAAGCCGCTTCTTTGTCCATCGGTGTATCTGGTTTGACAAAGTAAGAGACATCGGCAATATGGACACCAGCTTGAATATTACCGTTCGGCAGTCGCTTAGCATGCAAAGCATCATCAATGTCTTGACAGCCAGGTGGATCGATACTGCAGATTTGTTCGGATCGCATATCACGTCGATCACGCCAAGCAGGAGAGGTTTCGTCTTTGGGTGGCACTACCCAAGAATCTCCTTCTGGTGGCAAACAATTCAAAATAGCTTGGCTGAATGGTCTGTAAGGAATATCATGCTCCAACAACAAACTTTCCTGTTCAGCCTCTTTTGATTCGATCGTACCCAAAGCTCTAACAAAGTGTCCTTCGGGATACTTTGATGTGACTCGCCAATCGTCCAGTGAAACGAGAATTTTTTGACCCAACAGAGAAGCAGCTTGTCGAGTTCGCATTCGGATTCGGGGGATTTTGCGGTCAAGTGGAATGACAAAGACAGAAACAGCAGAAAGCGAAGAGAGAGCAGAAGAAGAGATGGAATTCGAGTCGACATGGGCAACGTATGAGCGCCAATTTCGCTTCACGATTCCAACAACACGACCGGTTGGTTGAACTTCTTGCTTGCTTGCATCTTTGACTGCTTTTCTTTCACGCAGGGCAGCTTTCTCTTCTTGAATTGTTCGACGTGCGATGTCCTCTTCCTCTTCATCGTCTTCACCCGCATCATCTTCTTGCAATGCTTCGTCAGCATCAAGCACCTCGTCTGCTTCCCGCTTCCATTGATCTTTTGGTAATAGTTCAATAGCGACAATATCTCCATCGATCGCTCGATTCATTGATTCACGTCCAACAAGCAAAACAGGTCGGTCCACACTTGCAGCGCGGACTGTTGCTTCGAGATAATTGAAGGGATTGGCATTGAAAAATCCAGAATGAAACTTTCCAGATGCCAAACCTGCCGTCAAAGCAGATGCATCTAGATGAGAAGGGAAGATTGCTGATGTTGCTCCTGCTTGGCCGTCATCTCCAGAATTTTCCGCACTGCTCACAATCGATCTTGATGCTAATAGATCGAGTAACTGCGTGGCAGACGGTAGCATTGAAACGTATTCACGAACTGATAGTGCATGTAGACCCAACTCTTTTGCTTTGGCCACGTTTGCAACATCGTCACTTAGCATAACAGCTTTGAGTTCAGCAGCTTTCCTTTTTGAAGTCGAAGCTGCAAAGTGATCATTGTACCACTTCACAGCTGTACGAATCGAGCGGTCGTTTCTGTCGTTCGGTGTCTCTGCATCTTGCCTGATTGTGGCAGTCGATTCACTGAAGTCGTTCCAATAGATCCACCAATGACGATCGGGTTCGCGAATGAGCGCTTGTAAACGGTTCAATAATGGTAAGCTGCGGTGGCGTGCTTCATCCAATACCGTTTGTAGCACGACAACATTTGTCAAAGCAGGACTTCCATTAACAGTCGCTTCCAACAAATCCATCTGATGCAAGATCACATTGGTATCGAGAATCAAAACATGTTTGCCAGGCGTAGATGGTCCTTTTGAATGGGTGCCCTCATATTGAAGACCTGAACCTTCTTCTGTACTTTGATTGCTCCTCCTTGAAGCACTCTCTGGTCCAGAATCTGTTGGACATAAAGTACAATTTGCTCTTCCACAATGAACATCATCGCGTAAATAACGTTCACGAACGATTTTCTGCACTTTTCCACGAGCGGTTTTCTTGTAGAACTTCTTTTGCGAGAATGCTGATGATGATGCAGACTCTTCTCCAATCGGAGCTGGCCGCTTCTGTATGGTGATCATTGCTTTTCGAGTGTGCAGCTATGAATTCGATTGATGGTCAAGATGACAAATTGGAGTTCGTGGAGTAAAAAAAGAAGAAAGATACAAAAATATATGCAATCGATTACATAAGTAGCGCCAAATAATCTTCTCTCTGTAGTGGCTTTTCTTTGGCTGTGTCCGTTTTAGAGCACGCCATTAATACATGTCGCTTGCAAGAAAATATACCGGCGTTATGCATGATTTAGCGTTTGGAATATTTTTTTAAGGTTTTTTATCTTTCAGCCCATTATGACAATTGTCTCGTGTGTTCCTGAATTCAAATGTTCATGCAATGAAAGCTAGATAAACAGACTGTCTCATCTTGATACGCATCTCTTTCCTTCTTCCTTCCATCGAACTCTGCATTTCATACAAGATGAATGAAGCAGAAGGACTGGATTACAACAACAAAGGAGATATAGAATCCGAAGCTAGATCACCAGAAGGAATGGATTATAGCAAAGGAGATATAGAGTCCGAAGCTAGATCACCAGATACGGAACATATAGCAGAACTTCGTTATCCTGGCGGGATACGAGATGACATCGAAGGTGATTTAGTAACAGATCGGGAGAGGAGGGATCTGAAAAGAGGTTTAAATCAACGTCATATCACCATGATCGCAATAGCGGGCTCAATTGGCACAGGTTTATTCTTAGGCACTGGAGCTTCCATTCAAACCGCTGGGCCTTTGGGAGCTTTGTTGGGCTATGCAACCGTTGGATTGATCGTTTGTGCTGTACAATTTGCATTAGGTGAAGTGGCAAGTCTTTTACCCGTCACTGGAAGTTTCGTTAGACATGCAGAATTTCTCTTCGATCCAGCTTTGGGCTTTGCAGTCGGTTTGAACATCGTTTATGGAAATCTACTGTCTGTTCCTGCAGAAATTTCAGCAATTTGTGTCCTTTTTCAATTTTGGACAGATATCAACTCTGCCGTTTGGATTTGCATTTTCATCTTCATTACCTTTCTTGTTGGTATTGCCTTTGTTGGAATTTATGGAGAAGTGGAATTCTTTTTTGCTTGTCTAAAGATTCTTTTGATCGTCTTTTTGATCATCTTTGGCCTCGTGATCGATCTTGGAGGTATCCCCGGCATTGCAAGGATCGGATTTCGTTATTGGAAATCACCTGGACCGTTCGTCGAGTATATCGCTTCAGGCTCTTGGGGCAAGTTCCTGGGATATTGGGCTGTCATGACGAATGCAGTGTTTAGCTTTGCAGGTGTGGAAAGTTTGGCAATGGCAGCGGCTGAAACGCAAAACCCACGGAGAAACATTCCAAAAGCATGCAAGAGAGTCTTCGCTCGTGTGCTTTTGTTCTATATTCTAGCAATTCTTATTGTCGGAATGATTGTCAGTTCAGAAGATTCAAGACTTAATGATCAATCTGGAACTGCTTCTCAATCACCTTTTGTTATTTTGGCTTCAGCAGCAGGTTATAAGGCGATTCCATCTGTCGTAAATGCAATCGTGATCACATCTGCATGGTCATCATCAAATCAAGCACTTTTGGCAGGAACTAGAACGCTATATTCTTTAGCAATCAAAGGTCAAGCACCCAAAATATTCTTACGAACGGCACCTTGGGGTGTACCGTACGTTTGCGTTTTGTTCAATACCGCATTCATGTTTTTGGCTTTCATGGCTTTATCAAATAGTGCGCTCACGGTCTTTTATTGGCTTGTGGATTTGACGGCTGCTGGCGTTTTGGTGTCATGGTCAGCGATCCTGTTCAATCATATCCGATTAAATCAAGCGATGAAGAAGCAAGGTATTTCACGTTCAGAGCTTCCTTTCAATAATTCATGGACGCCCTATTCTTCTCCGATCGCATTGGCATTATGCTTAATCATCTTATTCACAGGAGGCTTCAAGACATTCACAAAGGGTAATTGGTCAACGAGCACGTTCATTTCATCTTACTTAGATATTCCTTTGGTGATCGCAGCTTATCTTCTGTGGAAGTTTATCAAAGGAACAAAGATTGTTTCATTAGAGGATATTCCTATTCGAGCAGCTCTCGATGATATCGTCGAACATCCAGAACCTGTCGAAATAAAGAAGAAGGGGTGGCTACGGTATGTCACCTGGGTGTGGAGTTGAGGATAGATGATTTGTATCTAACCGTATTTCAGGAAGTGTCATGTACGAATATAAAGCACTGTAGAAAATAGAAATTGATAGCATCATCAAACGCTTATAATGATGAAACGTTGCCTGAGTAGCTTTCGAGACCAGACTATTAGCACACATGTTTGTGAAATAGAAATTGAGATTCGTATTACGCATACACAGGAGAATGTGTTGTTGTTCAAACTATTAGTTGTGAATGGGGTAAGTGAGAAGAACTTAAGCTTTTTTCAAGAAAGAGAGAAAAATAAAGTTTATTCAGCGAAAGAAAAAAATTTGGAGAAATAGGGCGAAAGTAAAAATTTAAGTAAACAAACAAGAACTGAGAAAATACACTTTTCGTCAATACGATAGAAACGATGGAATTTCACCCAGATAAAAAGTCTGATTTTTTTTGAGTGAGGAATGAATGAGCCTTTTTTGATGAGTAGGATTGATTTTGATATGTGTTTGCATGGTGCTTGAACGATTGTTCAATTGCAAACAGAGCGATTTGTGATGAAGTGGTTTTTGTTGGTGAGGCTGGTGACTTGGGAGCGCCCGAGAAGGAAATAGTATGATTGCGTATTCATCGCTCCAGACATCAGATCAGCATTTAACCCAAAGTTGGGAATGCGCTGCTGTCAGCCAAGTTGATGTTGGCACCTGGAGCGTTTCCACCACGGGCACCACGAGGGGCACCACGACCACGTCCTTCACCGCGTCCACGGCCGCGACCTTCACCACGGCCACGTCCACCACGTCCTCCTCTTCCTTCACCACCACGGCCACGGCCAGCGGATGGGGGAGGGTTGAAGTTTTGTTCGATCTCCAAGACTTGCTTTTCTTTGCGTTCACGCTGTCTTTGGACACGTTCCTTTTGGGTTGAGTAGTAATCGTCACCCAATTGTTTGGTTACCTTAGTACCAAGGGCTTTGTCGTCAACCTCAGCGGCTCTGGCTTCCTTGAAAGCACCAATTTGAGCACGTTTAGCAGCTTGTTCGGCCAAATACTCATCAAGAGTCTTGGTGTTGTCCTTTTCCTCTTCTTCAACAACGGCGGGCAATTCCTTTTCAGCTGAACCGTTGGCGGTTGGAGCGGCAGCATCCTTCTTTTCACCTTCACCGGCTTCCTCTTCAGCTGCATCAGCTTTGGCACCATCTTCGGCGTCCAATTCACGTTTTGGGTCATCACCTCCCCAGCCTTGTTCGATCTTCTTGTTAGAATCATCTTTACCAGTGGCAGAGTGTCTGTCAAATTGACGACGTCCACCACGGCTACCGGCACCACCACGACCACGGCCACCACGTTCACCGCCGCGACCACGAGCACCACCACGGCTGCTACGGCCATCACGTTGTTGAGGGGCTTCAGCACCATCGGCGGCATCAGCACGAGGAGCACGAGCACCTTCAGCACCACGGGAAGCACCGTTGCGGTTCAATCCTGGGATTGTACGTTTTGGTGCGGCAGGAGCAGCGGCATCCTTCTTGGCAGCAGGAGCGACTGCGACAGGAGCACTGTCTTCATCACCCAAAGCGGCGAAAGGGTTTCTGCTTGCGACAGACATTGTTGTTGATCAAAGACGACGAATTAAAAAAAGAAAGGATGAATAGATGAACGGTAATTGAAATGCCGTTTCAATCCTTGTCGTCTAGGTCAAAGAGACCGAATGGATTGTTGAGCTCAATAGATTGAAAGAGCTTTTGTCGGCAAACACAAGACACGAAACCTGATCTTGGTTTATGTCTTTGTCGTTGAGGATTTTCAATTGAGAAAAAGAAGGTCGATTCTCAAATTCGATCTTAATCTCCTACAGGTGATGAATGAATGACAATGATCGATTCGACGAGTGAGATGTCGTAATAGACCAAGTTATTCAAATCTATGTCGAGAGAGAGTGTGAGCGTAAAGAAGGAGAGACTTCCAGGGTTTGCACAGTGAGCAGTAGTAATTGAATGACTTCTCGTCGCATTCGTTTCTCGTTTGAGTGAGGAAAAGGCCTGTGCCCGTACAGTGTGTGTGTGTCTGGACAAAAGACACAAAGCTTGCCCGCCTGCCTGTGAGCGTACTCCCTTTTAGTCCCAAACGCGCTCAATGAAGAATTTCATGAAAATGCTTCGGGCACCTTTATAGTCTCTGTGTGCGCAACAATGCGTACTGCACTTTAGCAGTATACATTTACATTTTTCATCCACCTATGCTTCTTCTTACCGCAATGACCGCAGTTGCTAGTGTATATAAAAGCTCAATGACCTCTACTTCTTTACGCGCAATACCATCATCACAATGACTATATGTCTATGAAATCATTCATCTGACAATCTTTGAAATCGATCATACCAAATGTCTTTCTTATCATTTACTGACCGTTGAGGAAAAGATGAAGAGAATTCTTGTAATGATTGGATTAGCCATATGCAACGCATGCTTGAATGAACTGAGCTTAAAGCGCGGCCTGCCTGCCCACGCGATTAAGCCTAGCTTATTAAACGCTAAATTCTCCGCAAAAGCTAAGTCAAGTCTGGCGTCAGTCTAAATTAACGGCATCATGCACATCACACCAACACTTGTCAAAAGAACAACACCAGAACGACAAGGAGGGAGAAAATTCCAAGTATCACACTTGTTTCCTCTCCTTTCATTTGCATCATATCGCTAATGGGATGGTGACGAAGGAGAGAAGAGATGAATGCCAAGTTTGAAATTGCTCAGCATAGGCTGATCAATCATGCTTTGAGTTGTTTGTCGAGGTTTGGAGAGCAATTGAGTATACTGTGTCTACGTCATGGAGAGAAAGAGCATGTGGTAGGTATCTCGACATGAAACAATGAAAGCAAACATTCTTTGCTAACCCGTCAATCTCACCTCCACCCACCAGATGCGTTTATCCAGCATGGCATCTAGTCAATCGGCGTTTTGTGCTTTCATGATCAGAGCAGAGTTTTTCCAAATATATGAAATACAGCAAGGCAGGAGGCGGATTGATCTCCAACTGCCAATCAGGGTGAGGATTTGACCGATCTTCAGTGTGTTTTTGTCAGCAAAAAGGCTTACTCAACCTTTCTCGTTCTCCTACAGAGCGTACAATCAGTTTTGAATCGCTACAACAATAAGCACCTTCAATCGTGTGAGCTGGAAGTCAGTGAAGGAGAACATGAATGCCGTTTAGCAATCCGATTGCATGGGGACAACGGCACTAGCAAGACACACAAGCTTACCTATGAGGTAGCACCATGCCTATTCCCAAAAGATCAAGCAAGCGCAATGAATCACATAGTCGCAAGTCCAAAGACGATTCAAGATCTTTTGGACTTTTTCGCAAACAAGGTGAATGGTGAAATCACTATGACATGCACCGAGAGAGGCTGCAGCTTGAGCAGCAGGGGAGATGAAGTGGCTGATTCGCGTCAACGTAACATACTGCAAACCGAAGTTCATGTGCCAAAAGGATCTTTTCAAACATACGTGATCGGACAAGAAGTTGAGATGACCTTCAGCTTACGCGAATTCCGTGCGCCTGTCGCTTTGGCCGATCATCTACAATGCCCTCTTGAGATGCGTTTTGAGACGGCTGGCTATCCTTTGAATATGCAAGTGAAAGTTCAAGGAATGACTGCACAGGTCTTTTTAGCAACTTCTGAACCTGATTTTCCAAAATTGACAAATACAAATCGATCAGTATCTGCAGATACATCGAGCTATACACATGCTATGCCGTCACTCAATGGACATGTTGGACTGCCCAATGGTCATTCAAATCCAGCCGCACAGTTGCCAGAATCAGACAATAGCATTAATTTGCAGCCTATCTTTACCAGAAGTCAAGATGATTCCAGAGTGGAGCAGAATGAAATACATCAAGAGCAAGACCTATTTCGCCAGTATGATGACGACCAGAGTGCTATGGGCAGTCAAGTACCTCAAGCTACTCCGATGCAAGAAACACCCCTAGAAACGTCTACACTGCCAACCCAGCCTATGGAATCAACACCTCTACCTCCACCAGCAGAGAGTATGCAAATGACGCCATCTCAACCTCAACCTAAGGAGAAGGAAGATGCTCCTCAAGTTGTAGAAGAAGTAGAGAAGGAAATGGGAAAATCAGCAGATACAGGCTTTTCATCATTGTGGCATGAACGAGATACAACGTTTGAGGAGGAAGAAGAAGCCAGAAGAGAAGAAGAAGGAGAAAATGAAGATGACTCGTTGACCCTCAGTGAAAATGAAGAATTCGTTCCTGGCACTCAAGATGGTGGTAGTGCATCAAACAAGCGTCCGCGATACAATCCGCTCTTGTAGAGAGAACCTGTCGCATTCAAGGAAATTAGAAAATATTCTCTGTATCATACTCCACGACAAGCATGTAGATTAGTTGATGTATACCAGATGATTCCCATTGTACATTAACAGAAACAAGAGGTGTTATTTCCGCTTTGAGATACGATGCGCCGTGGGAGGTAGTTGTTTCTCTGATCCCGTTCGCAATAAAGTTTGCTAAAATCCATGATATATTGAATGACTAAAGTGTACAGATGTGAGCAAGAAGGGATGGTAGTGTAGAGGTATGAATAGCTTTCGATCACCTTGATTTGGTTTTCTTGTTGCGCTTGGCATCGATGCTTGCTTGAATACGAGCAAATTCTTCTTCCGAAGGCTCGGTTGTAGGTCCGGCGTCCTGCTCTTCTCTCTTTCCCTTTTTCTTCCCTGATCCGGATCCTTTACTCTTTTTGGCTCCTGCTTCAGCTTCCAATTTTGCGATCAGGTTGTCCATCTGATGTCCCCGGTTCTGATTTCTCTTTGCGATTAAGTTCTGCAATCCAGCAAGATCTCCTTCTTCATCATCTTCCTGTTTACGTTTTTGTGCTTTACCTTTTCCATTTGCACGAGATTTTGCTTTTGCTGCTTCATCTCCGAACAAAGCATCATAAACGCCCATCTCGCGTGCCATTTCCATCGCTTCTGCTTCTTCTGTCTCTTCTTTCTTTTCTGCTTGTTCGATTAGCTTTTTGTCTTTACGTGTCTTGTCCCATTGTTTTGTCCTCTTTATGTCTTCCTCTTTGATTGCTTCTTCAACAACTTTTTCTACTCGTACTCGATCCACTCGTAGAGACATGTAAGGGACGTGATCCACCATTTCGGCCAAATGTCCTTGTGTGGCTTTATATGCTTCCAGAATATCTTCACGTTCATCTTTTGATCCTTGGTACTTTTGTTTAAATTCGTCCAAAGTATCAGCATTCACTTCACCAGTCCACAATTCTTTAAAGTAGGCATTCCAATCCATCGCTTCTTCAAACATACTCTCATCCGTTCTGCCGGTAGAGTCATATCTTGCCTTTCTAGCAGGTGTGGACAATACTGCATATGCATATCCGATCTGTTGAAATTTGGAAGAAGCATCTTGTTTTTCTGTTTCGTTGCCTTTTTGTTTATCTGGATGATATTTCAGTGCTGCTTTTCGATAGGCTTTCTTTATTTCATCTTCTGTTGCTTCTTTGTTTACTCCAAGTGCACCATACAAGTCCACTTTGCCATCTGGAAAGAATTGAAGAGCTGGATCTGCTTCGTCGTTCATGTTGGATTGATGGAGTCAGAATTAGAAGTGTTGCTCTTTCAGCATTAACACGTCCAACTCTCATCTTTACGCCCTCAAGAATAGAACGCGTCTCTTTAGCCCAGCTTACGTGCCTGATTATCCTTTTGGGAAGAACACACGTGTACAAAGTGAAAGTGTCGCCCATCATCGTGGCAGGCCTGTGCATACAACAGACAAACGCCCATTCTCCAGACAAACAAACGTTCATTCAACAGAGAGCTTGTCTTTCTAGTGTTCGTTCATCTTCCTCCTAAACAAAACAATCCGCCATATCGCTCACCATGCTTCACAGTGGTGAATGGTTGGTGAAAAAATATGCCTCTTTGGCACAACCAAAAGCGAATCAAACGTTGGACACAACTTTAATCACTCTTTCTTCTCGTTTACAAGAAGTTTCGGCTTCAAAGGAAAAGCTTGCCGATGGATCTCCTGCAGCACCACCGCTACCACCTCTACCAGATAGACGTGCTGCCGTTCTAACTCTGAAAGGTTTAGCAAGAGATCATCCGGTCGAAGTTGGGAATAAAGCATTAGACGCAATCTTGGAAAGCCTTTGTCGTGATGCAAAAGAAGATGATGAAATCGCAAGAGCAGTCGTGGAAACATGTTTAACATTATGCGAATCCAATACGGCTTCTGCCGGTCAAGGTGCAGGAATTGCAGCTATAAAAGATCACAAATTACCTCCTTATGCTTTTCAACATGTTGACAAATTCCTTGCAACGCCAGGCCCTTTGCATGCTCTCTTGCCGCTTTTGTCACCATCAAGATCTTTCTATACTCGATTCTCATCTTTACAGCTGCTAGGCCTCTTGCTCAGGATACGATCAGAGCGTGTTCAGGAACATGTTCTCACCTCTCCAGGAGGTTGCGGTGCCATCTTAGAATGTTTGAGTGAGGGAAGCGGATCAAGTGCTGAAATTGTACGGAATGAAGCATTGTTGCTTTTGCCTCGATTGGTCGATGCCAATGCGGATATTCAGAAATTGATCGCATTCGAAGGAGCGTTTGAGAAGCTGATTGACGTTGTAGCCTTAGAGGGTCGAATTGAAGGAGGGGTTGTAGTTCAAGATGCTCTCGACGCTCTCGTTGCTCTTCTCAAATACAACGTCTCAAATCAGAACTACTTCCGCGAAACTCTTTCGGTACCGCTATTGGCCCCATTGTTATTCTACCCGCCTCCGCCACCAGCGGATAATCCTCAAGCACAAGCGGAGTATGCCAACCAACTTGAAGCTTTTGCATTCCAACAATGGTACCCACCACTCCCACCTTCGGAAGATGACGATGAAAGAGGCAACAATGGCTTACCCGAGACAGATGAACAAAAGGTTGTCAATGCCGGATTGGTGCTAGAGGTTGCAGGCTTGCTGGTCGAAGGACAGGGAGATAGCAAAAGAATGAATCAAAACGCTCTTTTGTCATGTGGCTTCACGAAATGTTTGATTGAATTGTCCATGTCCAGTACAGCTCCGACTGGCTTGAAATCACAAGCACTTCACGTTCTAGCATCCTTGCTACGCTCAAATCGGTCAAACCAAGATTTGTTGAATACACTTGAAGTATCTCCTATCATCTCCATAGGTGGTCAGAAAGGATCTGTAAATGATTCATCGGTCAACTACACCCGTCTGCCACCTCGACCAGCAATTTTGGAATTGATTGGAGCAGCGGTGAATGGAACGACAAGTACAGGAAATGCATTGGATGCTCTTGCTTTTCGTGCTTCGGCATTGGACTGTTTTGATGCATATGTGAATGACAATCTAGACGCCAGATTGAACATTCTCAAAACCATGGCTGATACAGAAGAATCACAAGACGGTCAACCATCTTCTGGAACAGGTCCCCTTCTTTTGAGAGGACTTGCGCAATTCCCCGAATCATCAAAAGTCGGACAAGGTGCGACATACTTTGATGCGTATAGATATCTGATCAGTGCATTGTTGTTTGCACATTTGGTACGTGGTAGCGACACCGCAAAGGATATGGCTCGTGGGCTGTTATTTGGTGCAGATGGTAAAGTAGTAGACCATATCGATGTTAAAAAGACTACATTAGATGAAGATGATGAACGTAGCACGTTGATACAATTGATCATTGGTAATCTTACCATGGCATTACGAGAACATGGAGAAGCAACAAGACGGGAACGTGGAGCGGGAGTTTCGGCATCAAAGAGTCAAATTCACGGACAGTCTGGCAGCCCGACCGACTGGGCAAGGATACAGATTGGATACCTGATCGTATTGATTACCTGGATCTGGGAATCGCCAGCTGCTGTGGCTGAGTTATTGAAAGAGAGCTCGAATTTGCAAATCTTGATTCAACCAGTCAACCAAGGCGGAAATATGATTGATCCAATCGTTTCCGGTCTTTGTGCAGTGGCTTTGGGAATCGCTTATGAGTATGCCCCTACAGGAGATGGAAAGGAAGATGAAGGCTCCGTTACACGCAAGAGTATGCATCCTATCTTACATTCACGCATCGGACCTGATCAATTTGCCGCAAGGTTGAATAGATTACGTGACGATGGTCGTTTCAAGAATACCAGTCCGGATGTTTTGGATAATTTGGGCAGACAGAATATCGTCAATGCGATTGGGCCTGGCGCTCCTGCTGCTCAAGCGGAGGAAGAGGAGGGCTTATGGTTCGATTGGGCATTTGTTGATTTTATCAAGACGAATTATGTGTTGATTCAAAAATCCATTTTGGTCGATCCAAGTTCTTCTTCTGCTAATCAAGCTTCGCAAAGTACAGAATTGTTAGATGCCAAACGTCAATTAGAACAATTGCAAGAGCAACAAGCTAAATTGGCACGGGAAAGCGAACATCTATCACAGAAATTGAAAGAGGCTGAACAGCTTTTGGTTACAGAACGAGAATCGTCATCCAAACAGGTCCAATCGATACAAGCGCAAAATGAGAAATTGCAGGCTGATTTCAAATTACTCAAAGATTCAACAGCCTTGAGTGACGAGAAACGTGCAACGGAGACGAGTGCCTCTACCACCCAGCTCACCACTTTGCAAGAGCAGGTAAGCAAGTTAGAAGAATCCAATACCAAGGAGACACAACAGCGAAACGAGCTGGAAAATAAGCTGAAGCTGATTCAACAAGAAAAGGACGGGATGGCAAAACGATTGCAAGATGCATTGAAGTCATCCGAAGAAGCAGAAGCGAAGATCAAAGCTGCACAAGCAGAAGCAGAGACAGCAAAAGCCGAAGTTGAAAAAGCCAAAGAAGAAGCAGCAAAAGTAGCCAATGGATCTGCTGCAAAAGCCACAGCAGCTGCAGCGCCAAATGGAGAAAATGAAGATGGCGAAAAGAGTAAAGAAGAATTAGAGAAAGAATTGGAAGATCTTTTGATCCTTTTGGATGAATTGAGTACGAAACGCAAGAATGATAAAAAGCGTATGCGACAAAAAGGAATGGACGTCAGTGAAGATGAAGAAGATGACGATGACGATGATGAAGATACTGATGATGTTGATTAGATAGAGCATGTAATGAAACTTGCTTAATTTATTCACTCACTCTTGTAATCAATACAACCGGTAGTTAGCTGTGATAAGAATGCATTGAATTAAAAGTACATGATTGATATACATATGTTTCGTGATTATCGTAAATTTCGTTGAGGCTTTTGGAGGGAGGTGGCTTTGTCGGACGTGGACCCTTTGGAGTTCGTAATGGGTTTTGAGCCAGTATGCTTAGACATGATGGACTGCTTTTGGCGAGCTTGACGAGCGGCTTTGAATAAAGAGTGGGATTCCTTGGAGAGAGAGGATGTTTCTGAAGATTGTTGTGTTGTGCTATCCGATTGCGTGGGTTGTGACTCTATTACCTCTTCATTACATGGTGTACTACGTGCTTGGATCTCTGCATCTGTCAATTCGCATAGTACTCTCCGTTTCCGTGCCTGAACTTGGCTCTTGGTAGGTTTTAGTCGCTCAACGTCATCTTGAGAAGTCGGCTTTACGTGACTAGATGATGAATATATTTGATTTGCATGCATAGCATTTTCCTTGTGAGTATCATCGATGATTGTAGGATTACTGTTGACCATGACTGTATCAGCACATCAGCATCTCAAGTCTTTTTTCAGACTCGATTGGATGCTGACAGGCAAGCAGATGATAATCAAGAAGTGAGAGTGTGAGAATATGCAGCACGTTCTTCTACGCGTGATTATCGTTAAAGCGGCCTGAACTTCGAAACGCGTGCAGTCCTCTAGCATAGCATATAAACACGGGTAATCTTTCCTTCCGTCATGCCAATGATCAAGCCCCTTTTTTGGCAGATTTCACATCGGTCACATTCATTTGTTTGCATGCATATACATGACGCCGGTTAACGCCCACATAAAGGCTGATTGCCTTTTTGAGAAGGAAAAGATAGCAGCAGGTACTCGAGCTGTGATCGGAAAGGATATTATACTGGAAGCAATGTATGTATCTTTTCTGTACTGTAGATCATCGAAAGCATGAACGTATGCGTGTTGTGCAGATTATGTTCTACATTCTCTTCTATCACAATTATCGTCGGAAGCGAATTCGATCATAGGGATGGAATGCTTACGATATAGGAAGGATTGCAATTATCGTCCAATCTTTGTTGTAAACATTGGCCCTTTAGGTTACCTGAACGCGTTCCTCTTTTTGTTTGTGCCGCTAATTCATTTATCGAACACACACAATTAATCTTATGCAAACGAATACTTGTTCTCTGCGTGGAAGGCGGTGTAGGGGAAAAAGTGTTGGAGTGGAGATTGGCACTATGATTTGATTTGTTTGTAGTTTTACACAAGCATAGGGCTATTTTACCCTTTTTTCCCATACTCACACACACTTGGCATCCCTTCATCAACGCAACGGGCAAAATAATCATGCAAACACTAATGCAAGCCGTTAGCATTGATTAAAAAGATAGTGTTTCGGTATACAAAAGCTCTGTTCCCGCTTTGACTGTTATTGCGGAGTTGTGTTTTTTGAGAAAAGGGCCGAATATCTGTGGAAATTTTAGTTTTGAGAAAGTCTATTTCATTTAAAGGGCAATCACTGCCTCCATCTTACATTTAATCATCTTGTCTCCGGAGAACCGGGTCATGCCAATCGCCACCACTTCACACTTTTTCGAGTTTCATCTTCTTTTATGCATCCCCATCATCCCGAGGGCGCAATAATTCGGCGACTTGCCTGATCGGATAGAATCAGGTACGTGAGGTGATATAACGCGTCCATTGGTATCATCAATCCGAAGATCGTGTCTGTCCAGAAAAGAAGGTGTCTAGGTGTCACTCTATGATATCAAAAGCATTCATTAACCTCCCAAAAGACTTCCTTCACACTCACCATCACGATAGAAACTTGATGATGGCGATGAAATCATAATATCTACTCAATCAAAATTAAATCCTTCCTGTACGTCCATTCCATCAAGATGGCAATCCAAGGTACAGGTACATCAAAGGAAGGGCAAACTCACAATTCATCAGCACTGCTGAATCGATCATTGGCTGCTGATACACCTTCTCGTCATTCAACAGACGGATCTAGCAATCAGCATGCCACTTCAAGTGGCGGAGGTGGAAATAGTGGCAGCAGCAGCAATATGCAACATCAACAAGACAGTCTAGGACATACGCAAGGATCAAATCAATCACCTGGTACATTTGGACGTCATGCAAGTCGAAATGGAAGCATACATTCGCAATCCAATGAAAATTTACCCAGTCCAATCTTAGATGGATCAGCTTACCGTAGGGATACGGACAGTGCTACACCGATTGCTGGCATGTACAACAATCCTACTGTACTCCCCTCCGCTCTCAAAGGAAAACAAAGAGCAAAAGATGATTCAAATAACAGTCGAACATCTATCGATAGCTCCAGACGATCATCCGTGCGCTGGTCAGGAGAATTACCGAGATTGGATGAAGATATGGACGATGATATGTTTACTAATGCAATACAAAATAAATTTCAAACTCCTCTTTCACCACGCATTCAAGCCGCCGTTCCAATTGCCATTTCAGCCGATCAGGAACGCAAAAGGAGAAGTTTTGAATTATCTCCACGTTTTCAAGCGCAAGATAGGATTGCGAAACAATCCAATCCTTCGCTTGGACAACTTCGCGATCTGTCACCTGATTCAGAATTGGCAACAGGTGGCAGAAGCAAAGGATATCGTAGAATTGAACGAGAAGTTGAATCTCAGCAAGAGAGACTTCGTTTAGAAGGAGGCGGGACGTTGAGCCCTGTCAGCTCGAGTGCATCTCCACCTCTGTTTGCTTTGGGTGAGGGAAGAATGCAGGCTGAATCAAGTAATGCTCAAGCTAAACGTGCAAAACGTGTCTCATTGGGTCAAGTATCCATCGATGGTGTCCCGGTGGCCATTGGCTCACCGATTTTTGGACGTGGAAATAGTCCGACAAGACATTTTCGAACAGACAGTAAAGACCCAAAACTTTCACCTGTCCACAGTCGATCCAAGAAACGCTCTTCGTACGGTCATAGACGATTAGCACTGAGCGAATCTTCTCGCACAGGAAGCAAAGAAAGAAAAAGGGTTCGTAAGCGAACGAGTAGTGACCCTATTGTGAAAGCAGACGATCCCGATTTCATGTCTGATCGAAGACGCAGTGAAGAAGGTGGTAGGATATTTCGTAGTTTATTAGAAGGAGGTCGAGCACGCAAGCGATCTGAAACTGAAGGGATTACGGCTATTTCGCAAACCACTCTCTCACCTTCGACAGCTGTCGGGCAAAAGAAAGCCTTTTCGGAAGAATATCTTGGACCATTTCCTTCACAATCTTCTACCCGCTTGCCAATCGGCACAAGTGCTGAAAGCAGGATGGCACTTGCAAGAAATTCTTCTAGTATGATGCGGTGGGATTCAGCTCATGCGACTGCTCTTTCGCTGCGTCAAGGTGATCATTATGGTTATGATTCTCGTCAGAACGATTACATAGGGGGTCGTATCTCTACCACTTCGACATTGATGCATAATCGTTCCTTGGCACGTTATCATCTGGGTGCTTTGATTTCGCTGCGTTGTCGTATTCCACATCATTCATCCAAATCACTCGAACCACTTCAATTTCGATCTATCGTTGCTCGGATACACCATTCTTTGCTTATGTTTCAAATTTATCTGCACGTTCCTGCAACAATCTTTTTCGACTACAATGCACTGTATACATTGGTACAAGTTGCTCTTTATCCCGATACAGACGATCAAAGTGCAGCATGGTGGATCGCTTCCGGAATCTATGCAGGTTGCTTTGCGATTTGGTTGATAGGTGTTTTGGTAATTTGGGAGATCGTTATTCAATTTAAACGGAGATGGATTAACGATCGACCTTTTGCATTGCCGATTTACCTTTCTTCTCATGCTTTCAACCTAAGCTCAGTGAGATCGTTTTCACTTTACTCGTTGTTGTATCGGACAAGACTTCAAGCCTCTAAAAGGGATTTCTTGATTGAAACATGTTGGTTCTTCAGTCAGAATTGGCCAACTGTTTTAACAATCTTACCACGTGGAATTATTTTGACAATCTTGCTGGTGATTTACAATCCCACGTCTAACGGCAATCGGATCCCACTTAATGGTCAAATGCGTGACCCAGTCTATTTCAATTCTTCCTCTGGATTATTAACCAACTTTTCGTACGTTATCCTCCTTATCAACACAATTTGGATTGCCTGGAGAATTTTGCTCTTATTAACAGCATGGATCGGATTATTGTTCGCCGTAGGACCCCGAAGCTTGATCAGTCGAGAAAGATCAGCATACAAAGATGAAGGAGCAGAAATTTCATTGACCGATCTTCGTTTGAGTACTTCCACTCGACCATTGCTGAATGCTAGCAGAGCTTCAAATATCAGGGGTAATGAATCGAGACAAGAAACCCATCATCCAGCGCAATACCGCAATGAAGAGCCTGTTCAAGCAAATGATGAGATGCAGCAAGTGTCAACAATTGTTACTCGTCCAACTCTGGGATCTGTCGAAATTCCAAGAAGAAGTCATAGCCTCGTTCGTGGGGCTCAAAGACCAATCCAGACGAGCCAGGCTACTGAAGAACATGTCCAGAGCAATAAAGAACCCAGGCCTGACACATTCTCCGGGCGAAAGACGATCTTACCACCTTGGGCATGGCGAGCTCGAGCTGAAGAACGGTTGAGCGCATTGATTCTTGAGTGTCGATTGGACGATGAAATTGTGACACCTGAAGAAGAGATAAATGCCTGGGGAGATCCATTACCGGGACATGCAGGTCAAGGCAGAGCAAAAGAGCAAGAATTGGCAGCTTATGGGCCTCAGAATGTGTACGAATCAAAGATGGCAGAAGTTCCGATACTCTTTTTACCGGAAGATGATGCGAATGCAATTGCAGAGAATCAGGCGGTAAAGAATTCGCCAACACATTTGTCTACTCTGGAAGGAACGTATGCGTCTACATCAGATCGACTGCTTACGACTAACAACCTTCCGCAACCCGGTTTGGGACAGGTACACGCAGACAAGAGCGTCTCTTCCGTTGATATTGGCCGTTCGGATGCTTACCCGTTCCCTTGCCAGAATGAAGAACAGTCGTCACAACCTACCATCAGGAATCCGAGCAAGGCTTCAGATCTGCCTATCATCGTGCCAACCGCAGTACCGGTTGAACGCACACATTCTCCATCTGCATCACTCTCTTCGAATGCTCAAAACGTTGCCTCTGACGGTAAAAGACTGTCCAATACAAACCCATACATTTCTGGTCAAGCGTCCAAATCATCGAAAAGATCTTTGACCGGCAAAGCTGGCGTACATTCTAGCTCAAACAGTACTTCTTCGTTAGGTGAATCGATCCGTACCGCTTTGGGAAGGCGGTCAACCGAGACTACGAATGGTACAGAGAATGGTGGAAGAAATGAAGCTTTGAGATCGCAGACGAATCTACAAACAAGTCCCAAGATGGCAGGAGCAGCAACTTCTTGGTGGAAAGGCCTCTTCGGCGGAGTAAGCAGTAGTGCACCGGAGGTCAGCGATGCGAATGTATTAGCTGCAGCAAATGCTCAACCAGATGATCAACTTGTTGAAGAGACAGATGACGCTGTTGTATATCCACGCACCTCTTCCCCTCTCAGTGGAATTAGAACGGCCGGACAAGAAAATCATGATGAAGATGTTTCACGTTCTGTCGAAACGTCAAATGCTACATCCAATGTCGAAGATAGCGGCGAGATAGCAAGTGAGCGCATAGCCAATGCACAACGCAGTCGGACAAATGATGAAGATGCAGCAAGCTTGCGATCAACATCTACGGATGATTCTGAAGAACGCAGGATCTGGTCACAATTCCCCGAACAAAGTAGAAGACATCCTCCTGGATTGATCGCTTTGGAATTGGAGCAACGTAAATTAGCTGCTGATAAGAGATTACGAAGTTCGACTAACGTGTCGCAAAGTGGGTCGCAAAGTACCATTGTTGCACCCGTAACTTCAACATCCAATGCAACAGACAGTGTTGCTATTCTTCCCGCTCAAGATACCGAACATCCCGATTCTTCATTTGAAGGTGACTCATCTTTTGGAAGTGCAACGCATATGTTACCATCAACGCAACTGGAAGCTCTAGGACCGATTCAAGAAGAGAGCTGGAGCAACAGTCATGAAGCAATCACTGATGAAGAGATGGAATTGATGCATTCCGAACAAAATTCCGCTCTTCGAAGGTGATGATGCACACTCTTTATACATTATATACCAAATACCTCATTCATTAATACCCTTTTTGCTCTCTCTCTATCTTTTTCGTCTTTGCAAGGAATCGTAGTTTTAGTGTATATCATAATGCTATATTGTTATTGCCAAGATTTACACTTTCTTTAAAGCTTCGGAACACTGTCATTGGCGAATGGACCACGGTATGGTTCTCCTAAGAATGCCGCAATTTGCTCCGTGCGGTCAGAGCCAAAGAATTTGGCAGTCTTTCCGTCAGATTTGCGGGTGACCACGATCCATCTGCGACAAGGAAAAGAGAGGAGGGTGGGTCAGGATATATTTAAACATGTCGTATTAGTCGCAACACTTACGGAGCACCAAAAGCGCCACCTTCTGTAACCAACTTTCTTGATAAATCGGCAAGAGCGCCCTTTTCTTGTTTATCGTATGCACGTTCGACGAGTGATTTGATCTTTTGATCATCATTGAAGATTGGCTTGATGACCTTACCCAGTGTCTCAGGTTTTTCTACCTCGTCATTTCTTGTCCAAACGGCTTCATAAAGTGCATCAATTGAATCATCCAGTTTTTCCGGATGATTGATTTGAATTAAACGTAAGAGCGATTGAGCAAAGAAGGTATTAACAGGAAACACTGGTGGCCTATTAAGCGTAACACCGTAAAACTTTGATGCTCTACTCATATCTTCATCCATCCAAATACCTTTATTTTGTACACTGATTGGAGGACGATTTTCGGCTTGTTTCATAACATATCCTAAATTTACCGGTTCAAAGATTAAATCCAAATTCCATGGCTTTTGATACCTTCGTAAAGCCACAACTGCAACTCTACTCCAAGGGCTTACAACGTCAAAGTAAACTACGATCTTATGTCTTGCAGCCATCTTGATATATAAATGCAATGAAGGTGATGGTGTGAAGGAGGGAAACCGGTTAAATGCGTTTTATAAATCCGGCTTGACTGTTTTTGTGCATTTTCCGAAGCGGGGTAAATTGCGAATTAGTCTGCCGAATTAAATTTTAACGAAAGGAGTTAAAAAAGAGGAGGCGCGGCGGGACAAATAGGTGCTTTAATTAGTGTCATGACGTCCATCTTCTATCCATTAGTATAAATACAGCATTGATCGACATGATAACGATATCATCATAGTTGTCGGCGATATGGTTGGCAGGATACTTAGCGGGGGCTGGACCAAATCACACAGGTCACCATATCCAACAAAATCATGTCATTTTTGCAATTTGGCAAGTATAATAGTACCGCCCCATCCTGAAGATGAAGGCAAAGTGGAGCAACCATCATCACAAGGCTCTCAGTCATTACCTCTGAGCTCAGGATCAGAATCAAATTGGTTTTGTTCACGATGCCAATGCTGGAATCGATATGATGAAAAGGAAGAAGGAGGTATGAAATCATGGGAAAGTACAATGGCAGATGAAAGTATTCATAATGTTCGATATACGAGCACATTCAATTCTCTCATTCGAGATCCAATCGATCGCAAATCGATCTTTTGTCATGCCTGCCAGACCAATCAAACGCTTGTTCTTTCCATGATATCGAATTACGATGAAGACACAAGAGGATCACACAACGAACAGAGATTCAAAAGATGGAGGGATGATTTGGAGAAGCGATATCCTCCCATTTGTGCGGAATGCAGAGATGAAGTAGAAGATCGATTAAGAAAAGCAGATAAACTTGCTCGTGCGCTGATCTGGAACAATCTCTTGCAAAGACAACATTCTCGAAAGGCATCACAGCCTGCTTCAATCGCCTCACTGAGGTTTGATTCGGAAATTGCCGCCCAAGCAGCACCAAAAAGGGATCTGCGCAACGTCAACGCTCCAACGAAGATTGGTTGGTTGTGGTACATTGAAGCATTCGCATTTTTGTCCGCCTGGATGAGCGAGGTGCTTCTTTTAGCTTGTGTATTTGAGGGATCGTCTTTCTTGGACTTACCGACACGAATTTCAGCGATAGTAGTTCTATACTGGTGGAAATGGGACCCAAGTGTTCCTCGACAGGTGAAAACTGCTGTCTCTAATCCAGGTACCACTCAAATCAAGGTCGATGGCTTGGGAAGGTGGGAAACAGCGCAGGAAGCTACGCTGGTAATTCGAATGCTTCACTCTTGTCAACTTTATTTCTTGCAGCAAAAGTACCAGGTCTGGATCTCAACTGCATTTGTGCTCGCTCAAGCTATAATCTCTGTTGTTGGATACAGAGCGATCAAGATTCACTTACCGCCTCGAGTATCACTGAAGAGTAGGCATTCTACCCAGTCTTTGCAAGTGCAAAAAGGTGGTCCTGATTTGATGCACCTTTCCCTTCAAGACGAAAAGCCGGGTGATCAACAAGATCTATTGGCTGATCACAATGCTCAACCAAATGAAGATGATCATGAAGAGGAAAATGTAGATGATTCTATGGACTGGTCTCCTACATTACCCGCTAGTAACTTTTCTAACAAGAACTCTCAATCCTTCACTTTTGGACCGAGAAGATTTTTCGAACCTGTCAATGATACTGGACTGGAAGATTTGCTTAGAAGAAATTTGGGATTACGGGATTCTGAAAAGGATGATCGAGTGCCAATGGATTTAGACGTGCCCATTGACAATTCGCACAGGTTGCGCAGAATGCAAGATCATCTTGTTCACCTCGCAATCGCCGTTCTGATCGCAGTAGTTTTCATTGCCGTATCTTTTCAGCAACAGAAAGCTCAAGAGTTGCTTCAATCATCTTTTCTAGAACCATTACGGCAGTGGTGGTCTTCCGCTTTTGCCCTTGCTCGTCAACGAACTGATCATCAAGCTCTCTGGAGGCCTTCCTTTCAAGAAGTTCCGAATGCTGGATGATGTCACCTCTCCTGTATCATCATCACTCAAATTGACACATTTGTACTACTACGCACATGTAATGTTATAGCACATATCAATTCTAACTTCTCTCGCTTTGATCTGTCATGAAATAAGATAATAAATTACTGTAGATTGAAAACAAAAAAGGAAGAAAGCTCGAACTTATTGCTGGATTTGAGCACCTTCATCGGCCGAACGTTGTTTCAACACCAATTCTTTTCCATTTGTTGCACGACGCCAAACATCACGAACGTCTTCAACAATCGTTTCAACGTGACTGGTAGCGTCCAAGCTTCTTGTGATAAAGATGTTATCGGCCTCTCCTTGTTCAACGGGTTCCTCCAAAGAAGAGATGGAAACAAATTTATCGTAAATTGGTCCCAAGAGGTCCAAACCGGGACGCAATTCAAGTTCTGGTGTAGAAGTCTCCACAATTGTTGAAACTTGAGCAATATACACATCACGAGCACATACATTGTGAGCACCGGAAACCTCTGCAATGTAGATGTCATGCTTGCGTCCGACTTGATTTTGAGGAATGATTAGTTGAACTGAATCGGTATTGTCTGTGTTTGGAATAGGATGTTTGAGGATGCAGATCGCACGAACAACTTTACCTGTCTCACGAACTTTTTCCTTCTTGTTTGCTCCTTGCCCTCCTACATTCTCGCGGAAGTAGCTTGGATCTCCGATCAACATATCGGCCTTCACAGTTTCATCGCCTGAGCGAACACCGACGAATTTTCCTGTTTCCTCATCGAGCACGATCTCATCGATCTGCTTGTCCAGCATGTAGGTACCTCCATAGATAGCACTGAGACGTGCAAATCCTTGGGGCAATTCACCCATACCGTAAAGAGGGTAGATATATGGTGACTTTCCATATCGGGCCATAGAAGAGGTGTAAAGAATGATGCGGTCGTATGTTTCACGAGCAGGTCTTTGCATGTAAGATTCATCCAAGTACAGTGCCATCGCATGTCCGATGAAATCTCTCGTTCCACCTTCGAGCTTGAAATAGTCGTAGATCTTTGTCATTGGTGTGGTATCCAAATCGAATCCTTGATGTGTTGCTGGATCATCATCTTTCCAATTTTGAATGAATTCAAAGAATTGCTTTGCACGTCTTTTTTCGAACAATCCCATCAAAGAACTACGAACGGCTTCCATTTCTGTTGAAGGTACTTTTGCGATCCTGCCATCACGAAAGACATAAGATGATGCGATTTGCTTGAATTCCAAATAACGTGTAACATCCGTATGAACTAACATCTTTGTCAATTCACCGTTTGCCATCATGAATTTAGGAATCAAATCAACTGCATAATCACGATCACGACCGATATCGGTTGGTGGCTCTTTGCCTGGACGGAACTTTTCGTATAATTGTGTCAAATTCAAAGAAGCACCCGATCCACCATAATAAGGGTTTCTGTCCATGTGTAAAACCTTTTTTCCGTCTACTGATAAAAGAGCGGACAAGACACATTCTGTCAAACCCGTTCCGAGAATGATTGCATCATAGTGTTCATCCATTTTCGTGAAAGGCGATCAAAGTCGAAGGTTGGATGATAGCGATGGAAGCAAGATTGACGTTCATTATCAAAGAGGGGTCGATATTTTCACTTTTGAGCACGGCCCACAACCAAGTTACCCTTTCGTTTTGCCTTGGCGCATGTAGAGTGTACGACGACGCAGCGCACGCGCTCTGCTTGAGAGACTAACACAATTAACACTTGTCATCCAGCGAACAGAAAAATCAATGCTTAACCGGGCTGGAGGGGAAAATGTATGCGTGGGGCTTAGTCAGCATCCTGCCATCATCCCGATTTAATCTGGAAGATTCTTATGAGACCTTGTGAGAGTTGCGTTGACTAAGAAGCTATAAATAGCTGTTCATCGAATCCATAAGTTTCTTAGACTTTATATTTAGCTATTCCCTCGGTAGAACATTATTCTTCTTCTTCGCTTTAATGGTCACTATATGTTCAAGCGGGAAGGAGATTTAATTTATAAAAGACTATTCGATTGATATAATATGTCTATAGTTGCTTAACATGATCTTCGTATCCATTATAGAAAGAAGAAGTAGAATTTAAGCGGATTAAAGATCTTCATCTGTACACACTATTGTTGTGCACTGCAAATTCCGCGCGGATCGAGAGTACAACGGTATTGGTGCTGTAGAATGAAACGTGTATAGAGAAGCAAAAAGCCGCTCATTTTATGCCGACGGCACACGTTTTTAGGCACAGGGGCGTTGTACTTTCAAGTGCCCAATACAAAAAAAAGTGGAAGTTTTGTATTCCAAAAAAGACGCTAGTAACCTGACAGTAGTAGCGATTAAAGATGCCAATATCCGACGGCTAAAGAGAGAGGAAAATACATACAAACGGAAGCGAATCGCAGGCTGACACTTTTCACTGGCATGATAGGAAATAACACTGCATGACACAGCAATTTAAGCACCGAAAAGAGAGGGGGGCTAAAGAAGAGTTATAGTAGGGCAAGGCGTGAAATGCATAAATGCAGTGCATTACAACAACCACATGGAGAAAATAATAAAAAAGGTGCAAGTACAATCAACTTCTTTCAACTTCTTTCACCACCATCATACTCTGCGAGTAAGGTAAACAATCAAATAACAAACAATAATAATGTCAAACCAAAACTATTACGGAGGACCACCACAAGGAGGACCACCTCAACAAGGATACGTGAGTGTGCTTTCTTTTAACCCACCAAATGATCATTCACTGACACTTTTTTCCCTTTGTTCTCATACAGTATCCACCTCAACAAGGTGGCTATGGAGGTGCTCCACCACAACAAGGTTATTACGGTCAACCACCAATGCAACAACAGGATATGTCTGGCTTGCAAGCTAAACAAGCATCCGCTCGTGAAAAGCACGGTTGCTGTGGACCATGTGTTGCATGCTGTTTGGGTGCTTGTGCTTGTTGTTGTTTGGAAGATATCATGTGTGCAGGTGAGTAAGAGCAGTAGGATTCAAAGTTATCAGTTTGCTGACTCGTTCTTCGATCTACCTTTTCTTTTTCACAACAGAATGTCTCGACTGTTTATTCTAAGCGTTCTTTCTCTCGCATGTAAAGGAACTTCTCAATCATATCCTTCTAATTTTTGATCATCATTGTTGCAATATCCAGTTCATTCAGTTCCGTACTTGGCTGTGTAGAAATTGCGGTCTGACGACATGCTCACATCTGATGAGAAAAAAGTGTTAGAAGGCACTGACTTTGCAGATGGCAAGGGGCTACCTTCATCTTGACAAGACATATGTCTGGGGAAAGGAGGCAGTGTTGAATCGTAGCCCGGGTTCACAAGGAAGGCGTCCTGTGAAGGCGCTTTTGTCATTAATTTCGGCTGAAGGATCTTAACAAACCTCCGCCGAAATCTGGAGCAAATGGTCACGTTCTGTACAGAACCGTGTCCCACGAAAAAAATGATGATTAAGCTCTCGTCCTAGAACTGAAACATTCTTGTTGCCACGAGAAGTGTCGAGTTTAGAAAGGAGTGTATGAGCAAGGGCTTGTCAATCCTTTCGAAAAGCTCCTCTGACAGGCGGAAAGGGGGTTCACGTATAATCAAGTCATTTATGACACGCTCGCTTGGTTCCACTTTTGCGATCGTGACCAATGATATATAGACACATATTACGGGACGCTTATACACGATTTGAAGTTTTTTGATGATCAATTATTATCAGAATGAGCATAAGCAACAGCGACAGAAAGAATGACAGCAGATGTATCGTAATCTAGGGAAGTTTGGTGTGATTGTGACAATCGAAAGTGATGGATTAAAAACCTTGTCACGCCGTGCCCGTACATACGAAACAGCAGTCTCTGATATCTGGTGCATATCGTTTTTTTGGTGTGGCTGTAGAGTTGTAAGATTGACTGTCAGCTTGAACAGCACCATGATAATCGAAAGTGCAATGGTCAGGTGCTCCGAAAATAAAAATTCCATTTTCGCAATGAAAGGAGAAGACAGATCAGCTTTGATAGCAAAGCTGTCAGTCTTATGAACATCCAGCAATTACCTGAGAGACTGTAAGAAAAGAGCTGAACGAAGCTATGAGCAAGATGATGGCCGGATATGAATGCATTACGATGTCGTTCGTGTTCGACGGAAAAAAAGTATTGCGATGATGTATCGGGAATAAAAAGCAAAGGGGATGAGACAAAAGTATCCAAGAAAGGTAGATATCAATCAGTGTCAAGCTGGGAGAAAGCAATGCGATAAGTAACGTAGTGCAGATCATTTCAAACGGTCAAGATATGGGAATAATACGAGAAAATCGATTTCCTGAACTTAATTACGATTGACCATTTCCCTTTACGGTTTCCTTTTTCAGAAGGCGAAAATGATATTTGATTATTTGTTTAGAAAGTATGAAAGTGGTTTCCGTGCGTTGAGATTCGCCTTGACTCCTTTGAACGATCCAAAAGACGTTGTGATTCCCCACTTACGTTGACAGGTTCGTTCATACGGATGACTAAGCCAGATCCTCCTTTTGCTTTTTGACTGCCTCTGTGAATGTTTTGTGCATGAAGGCATCCTACTAGCGTGTGCTGGATATACATTACGCGGCGCCAGTAAAAAGATACAATTTTGACACACAGAGGTAAAGCCTAAAAGAGAGCCGAACATACAAATTGCTGTAAAAAAGTCTATTGAAAAGGCAAGATGTTTTGATACAGTTTTGATTTTATTTTTCTTGCATCCAAATACACTTCCATCTCCATACAACATCTTCGTGCGTTTTGAATTGGAGCTTGAAAGCAATTTCAATACAAACGCGGGACAAAGGTGTATACAATCACATACAAACATTCACTTATCCTTTTTGACACAATTCTCCGACCACTCAACGGGAATACGACCATTGATCAGGCCAATTAGGGTGAGTAGATCTTTACAGTGTGTATGTTGAGCGTGTAGATTGGCAATGTCATACACACGCAGACACCTTCTCGCTTCTATTCTTTACACCTTTCCTGTCGATTGTGAAGGAAGAGAATCAAAGTCATCTATTTCAATCATGTTTCGGTGCTCAGGCTTGCATGCATGTACTCTACCTGAACAGAACGACATCTGTCGTGTCAAAGGTACAAACTTCAATCTCTGACTCGGATGCTGTCATGGGTGCAAGGTTGAATCTAGCAACCTTTCTTCTTTACGAAATGCCAATCATGACCATCTGTATGCGGTGATCCAATTACATGAATGCACAGAAGTAGGCATGAATCCCTTTCCTTATTGCCTCACGCGCCTCTCTCTCCCTTTGCCAAATTAACACGGGCGAACAGAGTTAGGAACATCTAATCAAACGCGTTTTCATGCAAGATCAACACTTCCTTGTTTTTGTTGTTGTTGTTCTTTCCCAATGATGACGATGAAAAAGGTACTAATCTAAACCATTCTTACACGTCCAGAATTGAAAATGGAACAACAATGGAATCCTATGGGTGGCTTTCAGCCTCAACAACAACAACAACCTCAACAGCATAACACTGCAAATCAAACTGCATGGCCGAATCAATCAGATCAAGAGAATGCTCTCGCTCGTGTACATGTAAGTAAATGAAGATGTTGATGGGCTGGGACGAGGTCGTGAGTGCTTTCAGAACACATGCCTTCCTTTTTCATCCGTCCGTGCCTTTTTGTCATCACCACTTCCATGACTGTGGATTGACCCAGAGTGCATCCTTCTCGCTCTTTCCTACGGCAGATGATTCAAGCAGCTCAAAAGCTGTCAAGCTCGCTTCGAAGTGCTGCAACACAATGTGACAATTTCATCAAAACATTGACCGGACAACCAAATGCAGCAGCAAATGCTTTTGCCAATAATGTAGGAACCGATTTCCTTACGCTTGCAAGTGGGAATTTGGGAGCTCAAAGTTTAGCTGCAGCTGCAGCGGCGGCAGGAGCGAGTGGACAACAAGGCATGCCGACCAATACGATGGGAACGCCAGGTAGAAAATCAATCTCGAAAGAAGAACGACGAATGCTGAAAAAACAAAGGAAAGCAAACCGTGATCCAAATGCACCCAAAAGACCACCTAGCGCTTACCTGCTTTTCCAAAACGAAATTCGTGAGGACATGCGTCAACAATTCAAAGAGCTTTCGTATTCCGACGTTCTGGGAAAGATTAGTGAAGCATGGAAGAACCTTACAGACGAGCAAAGAAAGGTGAGTAGATGAGTAGATGGTGCCAAACGAGAACCGTAAATTGACGCGATCTCTTTTTGCTCCCCTTCCCTCAGGTCTATAATGACCGTACGATGGATCATATGGCACGATGGAATCAAAGCCGACGTTTACAACAGCAACAGCAAAATCAATTCTCCGATGAGAATTACCAAGACACAGTCGATCCTTCCATAGCAGGGCAAGACTTCTCAAACGGATTGCTCAATGTCGGCAATCCAGCCACCCTTAACACAGCAAGTCAAAGTCGTAAAGGAGGTGAAAAGAAACGTTCAAGAAAAGCATAAGGGATATTCACTTCTCTCTCTCACAGTAACAATCTTGTAATCTGAACTTGTACAATTGTATCTAGTATGAAATGGACAATGTAGTATACGATTCTCAATCACACATTCTCTCACAGAAAGGGCGATCAAGCATAATTGCAGAATTTTTGGTGCATGACGTCTTTTAATTTGTCAAAGCTTTCAGGATGGCATCTTGACATTCGGTTGTGGTTGCCTTTCCGTGCAAATCAGGTGTGAGGTATTTACCTTCGCGAATGACTTGATCAACAGCTGCATAAATTTTAAGAGCTGGATCAGTGTATCCCATGTATTCTAACAACAAAGCGGCTGAACGAATGGAAGCGATTGGGTTTGCCTTGTTTTGTCCTGCGATATCAGGGGCAGATCCATGAACGGGTTCACCCATGAAGAAGTTATCACCTGCGTTGACACTGCTAACAACACCCAAAGAACCCACCAAAGCGGCAGCACCATCGGAAATGATATCACCGTAAAGGTTAGGAGCAACAACTACATCGAAAACGTGAGGTTCGCGGAAAAGGCGGTATACCATTGAATCAACCAATTGTTCGTCCATGCTGATACCCTCAAAGCGTCCTGGACCTCCTTTGCTCTTTTGATCATCTTCAAAGACTGATCTTACCGAAGTTCTGAAAAGGCCATCTGTTACGGAAAGAACGTTGGACTTATGACAGACTGTCACTTTTGCCTTTCCAGTCTCTTGAGCGGCAATACCTGCCTTGACACGCATTTGTTGACGTGCAAGAGCGACTTCGAATGCCTTTTTACCGATTCTAGAAGATGCATGTTGACTGATTTGTCGAATAGCTGTTGCTACAGGTCCGTTTCCGCTTCCTTTTTGATCCAATTGTTCTTTTTTGATGTACAGGCATTCTGTGTTTTCCCGAACAATAACCAAATCAACCCATTTGTCATCATCTTTTGTACCATGAACACCAATCACAGGTCGAATGTTAGCATACAAATCCAACTCTTTACGTAAACGAACGATTGGACTTGAATAACCCTCAACTTTATGCGAAGGACTGCTAACGCTACCAAACATTGCACCATCGCAATCATTTTTGAGTGATTGAATGGTAGCATCTGGCAATGCTGTGCCATGCTTTTGAAAATATTCAAATCCAGCATCCAAATGAACGAATTCAAATTTGGGCGCTCCAGGTGTTGATTGAAGAACACGGGCTGCACAAGGTAACACTTCTCTTCCGATTCCATCAGCTGGAATCATTCCAAGTTTGAGTGCTTGTCCGGCACTGGACATGATCTTTTGTGCGGTGTTTGTCATGTTTTTTGTAGGTTTAGGATGGTATGGTATGGTGAAAGGAGTAAGAGGTCGAGGCTTGTGCATGGGAAGAAGCAATCTGAAAAAGCTGGCCTTTTGCAACAGCAGCCCAGTCAAATCTCTCCCCCCTCCCTGTTAAAACGCGCCTGCACTTTTCACTTCTTCCTTTTTTTTAGTTCACTTTCTACACTGCTACTCTGCATATCTTTTTTATCGGCTAATCTTATCGGAGCGAATCAATCGGGCGATTCGGGATTTCAATATTGTACAAAAAATGATATTGGTTACTATACAAAAATACATGACGATTCATCAAATCATACACATCAGATCGTGACGACGATATGATTCATCAATCTCTCCGAAATCGGGATAAAATGGCACTAAGCCATCTTGTGCTCCCATATAATTGGTATTGTAAATTCGACAAAAAGGTTCACGAACCTTACGTGCAGGGTGGAACAAACCTTGCAACGAATAATTGAGTAAAACTCCAGGTCCTAAAGCGATTCGCATAGATTCAATTGCATCCATCACTGCTCCAATCACATGAGGACTTTGTTCAAATACGTTTGGATGCAATAGGTTCAAGAAATGCAAAAGAGCATCTTCTCTTCCTAAACCTGAAACACCCAAAGCCAAATGTTTGACAACCGTTGCTGCTGTTTGACGATGAACAGCATCTCGTTCGGTCAATGCATCTTCCAAGATACCCACTAAACTGTACACGTAATCTTTGTTCATATCTGCAACGTATTCTGTCAAAAAGCTCAACGCTTTCAATGCTCCTGTTCGCACGTTCAATTCAGCAGTTCTGTATTCGTTCAGAATTGCCGGAATGCACGTATACGGTCCACAAGTTTCTGCAACAATGGCGACTGCAACAGTTGAACAAACTCGACTTTGTCGTTCTTGAACACGTAAATTGGTCAATAAAACTTGCAAAACATCTTGTGGTCCTAAAGCACGGGCAATATAACCAAACGAGTTGACTGCAGCTCTTCGAATAGCCTTCTTGTGTGCTTTAAGCAAATCCAAAAGCTCAAAACAAATTCTCATCCATTCACGGGGATTGACGAATTCTGCTCCTCTATCTGCAATCCGTCCGATCAAGTTGATAGATGCCTCTTGTACCTTTTCGTGTCTATTACGTAGAATGGGAGTCATTCGAGGCAATAAATCTTGAATTTTTGGATTCATCTGTTTCATTCCCATCACATTCGCGATTGCAGTCTCGGCAGTGATGATACTTGCCAGTGCTTCGGGGAATTCTTCTCCCAATTGCTCGAATAACACTAAACCCATTTTCGACAAAAGTTCTTCTTCCTCGCATTGTCGAATGAGAACAGCAAGCTTTGTCGTAAGATCTGCGGCTTGTTGTCTTGTCTTTGCATTCTTGTGATTGAGTCGCCAAAGGATGATGGATACAATCTGTTGCAAGTATGGTTTCACACGCATGCCAAGAGCATTGATGATGATGCCGAAACCGTTTAGCATGATCTGATCTTCTTGCGTTTGTTCTTGGAAGGCGTAAATCATTCCATCGATCAACAACACCTCAAGTCGCTCATCAATATCTGCTGCGCCGAGCTTTTCAATCACATTGGAGATTGTCTCCATCACCATCTTGCGGAATGGCTCATTCTCGTCTTTGAGCTCGTTGACAATTCTCGATACAACTTCACTTACACCAACTTTCTCACTCAAGCCGACAGTCGTTTCCACTACTTGTTTGTAGTTGCGACGATCGAGTGCCATTCGCCTTACCCAGAAATGCTTGAAGAATTCCGGGATCAATTCTTCTTTCAAGAATGCTCCAGTGACCCCATCCGTTGCCGCACATTGTTTGACAACCTTCAAAACAATCTTTTTCATTTCCTCATCTGCCGTTTGGAATTCTCGAATGAGAGTTGGCGTAACTTCTTTGACAAAGTATAAAGTACTGTCGGAATCCATTAGCGGGATAATGAATCCGATTGCTTTCAAAAATGCTGCAAGACCTTTTCCGCGGTGTTGTCTTGTACCGATCCAAAGAGGTTTCAAGACTTCCTCAAAGCTTTCGATACCGTACGGAGCAGCTGCTTCGGCTAAAGCTGAAAGTGCCAATGCGGTCATCGTCTTTACCTTTTGTTGTTCGTCTGACAGTCCATTTGCAACACAATCGACAAGGTTTTTCAAATGAGGTAAAATTGCACATCCCATCATAATCGCAATCTGTTGAACGATACGAATACCAGTGTGCCGGGCTTGCCAGCTCTTCTTTGAACGACAGACAGCCCGCAAGAAGGGCAAAAGGGCCGGAATGCCAAGAGCAGATGCAACGACTGAGAATGCTCGAGCTGTCGTATTGCGTACATATTCGTCTACGTGGTCAATATCAGGTCGCATAGTTGAAATCATATGTGCCAAACCGGCAGCTTTGGAAAGATTGCTAATGATTTCACGTCCTTCGATACGCGCATAGTAGTCCTCATCGATCAAGAGAGGTTCAATGACGACGAGGATTCGATGTACGTATGGTCGAACAAGATCATCCAATTTGTACAAGATCCGATCGATTACCTTGACCAGTAAATGTCGTTCTTGATCTTCCAGTGTACGTTCCATCAACAGAGGCAGAATGTTGTCAAAAAGCGGACCAGCACCAAAATCTCTTGCTTTATCACTTATTTGACGTAAAGCAGTCTTACGCATGGGAGGCGTACCATTCTTAATCTTGAGTAAGAGACGCATAATCTTTCGCTCTTTGAGCTCGTCAAGTGACAATTCGTCCTCATCATCGCCTCCGAGAATCTTCTTGAAATGAGTTTGATCTTCTGCTTTAAAGTATGCCAACTGACCAACACCAGGAATATCGGTAGGCAGATCAGGTACCATCTCTCCAACAGCTGCACGTGCAGAGGCTTCATCTTGCATCATGAACCCACCATTGTTTACAGGAGTGGCCATCAATTTATGAGCAGCTGAACGTATTGGAGCATATCCCTCGGGTGGCTGTACGATCACATATCCTTCTGAAGGAAGCAGTTGATCCAGTTCTTCGTCACTCAAGAATCGATTGCGTGGATCGACAAGGAATGATCCATCCATGCCAGGGGCTGTTTTCTGTGAGGAAGATGATTCTGGTGCAGCAGTGGGGGTTTGATCCCATCTTGACTTCTTGGATTCTTCTGCGGTTGTGTCCCCCGCTGCTGTTGGTGTTTCATCCCATCTCGATCTTCGCTTACGTGGTGTGGCATCAGTGGCGGCCTCAGTGCTCGTCGTTGCTTTTTCTGAATCACTAGACTCTGAAGGTGCTCCTACATCCCATCGTCTCTTTCGACCTACTCTTGGTGTTGCGTCAGGTGCAGTCTGTGCCTCGCTTCTCGGTACTATGATGGTATCGTCACCATCTTGATCACCTGACTGTAGCTTTTCTTGTGCTTCCCGTTCTTTGGATTCTATTAGTCGTCTGACACGTTCTTCCTCCCTCTCAATTTCTGCTCTTCTCATCGCTTCTTTGTATCCACCTTCTTCTCCTTCAGTGGCTTCGCCCGAGAAAGCATCAGTTGTGCTCTCGGGGCCAATGTCGCGATTGAATCGCCTTAGGTGATAATCGCTTTGTCTGTTAGCAATCTGACGAGATTTTGAACGATCTGCTAGTGGGTCCTCCTCTTCATCTGCAAATTCGTGCAATAAATGCTTTGGCGCACCAAAAGCATCCAAAGGATTCTTTGTAGCCCTTCCATTGTGCTCATCATCACTGTCATCGTCATCTTCATCCATTGCCGGTAATTCTGTCACATAATCGGATTTCTTTCTGCCGCCGTATAAATCTTCATCGTATCCGGCTGATTTATCTCCCAAAGCAATTTTATCTTTTGTTTGAGCTGCCCTGACTGCTTGATCAGCTTGACGGGCAGCTTGTAGCCTTTTGATCTCATCAGCTTCCGTCACCATGCTGGCTGGATGATCATCAAAAGCAACAAGATGGCAAAGGACGCTGGAGAAGAAAGAGCCCATTAACATATGACAGTGTGTATTAGCTTGCTTATAATTTTGTATTTAATTTGGCTATTCACTTGTATTTTTATTACAAACACGTGTATTTACACTTGATTCCATTGAATATGAATATAATTTGGCTGAGTGCATTTGCTGAGCTTGATTTGAATTTCATCCATCGCGCAGCATTGATCGCCACCAAAAAGGTAGATAGCATCCAGCCAAATCACAAGATAGGCGAGGCTGTCCTGCTATCGATCAAAGGATTTGGATGAAGTATACATCTTCGTCTTATTGCCACTTCGACATTCTAGCGATTCGAAATGGTTGCGCGACCACCAAAAGGAAGCGGTACGCCGACAAACGGTCGATCAGGTACACCTGCGATTGATGAAGGACCTCAAACGAGCGCAGGTGGGACGTATGCATTAGAAGATGTGACTGTAGGAAGTAAGATTTTTGTAAAGAAGCCAGATGTGGTATCAGGAGAAGTGGAAGAACGTAAAGCGGAAATTTTATCAATACGTGAAAAGCCAAAAGCAAGAAGGTTACGAATCGATCTTTCATCAGATAAAAAGGATGATCCTGCACCTGAACCTACGGCAGAAGAAAGACTGGAGTACTATGTGCATTACTCTGAATTTAATAAACGTTTGGATGAATGGGTAAGTGGTGCAAGATTGATCACTTCGCGCGAGATTGAATGGCCCAAACCAGGTGGATCTTCAGGGGGTCATGGACACGGCAGTCACGCTGGAAGCAATGGATCATCTACATCTACCAATAGAAAAAAGACTGCAAGAACCAATAGCGGATCTGTCACTCCTGCCACGCCAGGTACACCTGCTACAGGAGCCATCGGACAAAAGACGACAGCTTCGAATAACCTTTTGAGGAAAGCTGCATTGCAAGCACAAGCAAGTGCAGCCGCTGAAGCAGGCTCACCTTTGCGTAAACGGGATGGAGATTCTTCAGCCATTGGTGATGGTGATATATCTATGCAGGATGGCGATGATAGTGGGGCCACACCTGGAACGCCTGACGGAGTCTCCGGCGAAGATGGAGCTGTTGTTGCAATGGAAATGGTCGGAGATGAAACACAAGATGTAGGCGATGATACGATCGATATCAGCTCTGCCGAGTCCTTGCATCCAAACAGAAGACCGGAAGTGTTTAGCAAAGAACAAGAGATTGAAAAGCTACGAACTTCAGGTTCGATGACACAATCGGTCTCAGAAGTTGCTCGAGTCAAAAACTTGAACAAGATTCAAATGGGTAAACACGAAGTGGATACATGGTACTTCAGTCCTTATCCGATCGAATATACTCACGTTGAATGTCTGTATATTTGTGAAATGTGTTTGGGTTACTTCCCATCAAACTTTATGCTCAAGAGACATAGACAAAAGTGCACAGTCACACATCCGCCCGGCAACGAAATTTACCGACACGAAGATGTGAGCTTCTTCGAGATTGACGGAAGAAGACAAAAGGTTTGGTGTCGTAACTTGTGCTTGTTGTCAAAGTGTTTCTTGGATCACAAGACGTTGTATTATGATACGGACCCGTTCTTATTCTATGTGATGGCGCAAAGAGATGATGCTGGTGCACATATCATCGGGTATTTCTCCAAAGAGAAGGAATCAGCAGAGAACTACAATGTCGCTTGTATTCTGACTCTACCGCAACATCAAAGGACTGGATTCGGACGATTGTTGATCGAATTCAGCTACGAATTAAGCAAACGTGAACACAAATTAGGCAGTCCAGAAAAGCCTTTATCTGATTTAGGATTATTAAGTTATCGAGCTTATTGGGCAGAAACGATTGTTGAAATGTTATTGCATACGGAAGAAGATATTTCGATCGAAGATATTGCGAACAAGACGGCAATCGTTCATGCAGATGTTTTACATACTTGTCAAGCATTGAATATGCTTAAGCAATATCAAGGTAAACATTATCTTGTTCTTAATGACCAAGTGTTAGCCAAACATGATCGACAGATGAAGAAAAAGAGAAGAAGAATTCATCCTGAAGCTCTTCATTGGCAACCACCTAAATTTTCACGGGATCAACTTCGTCAGTTGTTATATTAATGGAGAGTGTTATTTATCTCCTTGTTGTATATTATCGAGATGTGAATATTGTACAGTAGAAATTCATGATATTCTTTCGTCTGTCGATACGATCCTCACGGCTTTATGATGCCGAATTATGGGTAAGTAGGATGCAAGAATGCTTTTACATGCGTCGGCTGTTCCTTATGGTCATCGGATCAATGTTCAAGTTGAATGAGTATCACTCCCGGTCTTCTTTCTCCTCTTCCTCCCTTCTTTAACGCGCTAAGCCCTTTAAACGCTGAGCCTCATTTTTGCCATTTCAGGCTGTGGCTGCTTTTTGCTTTTGTCCGTTACGCGCTAATGTGCTGTACATGCTGCTTGTCGTCTGATTGTGGATTATTCGGCTTCTCCGACCTGTTTTTCTCCTCATTTTATCGTCTCAGGCATGGCTGATTGAGACGGCCTCCGATTCTAAACAGAGAAAGGCGGGGTAGGAATCGCCGGAAAGAAGCTTGCCGTGCTCATGCATTTGAAGGCTGATAATTATCATCATCAAACATGCTGGTGATCACAGTCTGGCCATCTTTACCAGACTAAGAGTGGCAAAGGAAGGTAAGAAGACGCTTAAGCTTGTTAACAACAATAATAGCCATCTTTTTACCGCTTTTTCCGCTAAAATTAACGTCAGTGTGCTTCCTTTGTTTTTCCGGTGCGGTACTCACACACACTCAACATCGAAACGCGGGGTATGAACGATTGCGCTCTGCATGTTAACCCTTCTTCCTACGACTACCCACACATTGTTTAATTATACACTAATTGTCTCCACCTTTTCTGTATCTATCACTCTCGGGCCTGCCGAGAGAGGGTATCCATTTTGATCACCTTTTGTGTACTCCTCATTTACTCGGAAGTACAAGAATGTAACGGCGATTGATTATTAGCTTCAAGTGAAAGCGCACTTTATCTGTCTGAAGGGAAACATGGCTTGTGCTTTCTCAATTAAAGTATTGATTGCCTTTCCTCTTTGGATTGTCTCAAGACCTATAAGAAGTGCATATACCCACCCAATCCTTCTCCTTCTTAACTTCATCATCATTCAATAACTCATTCTAACATATCTTCACTTCACATAACAACTTACAATCATGGTTAAGGTATGTACATCATCTCCTCATCCATCATCTTCTCTAACATGCTGACAACCTCTTCTTCCAGGTTCTCTGCGTTCTCTACTCTGGTGGCAAAGACGCCCAAGAAGAAAAGAGACTTTTAGGTACAATTGAAAACAGTCTAGGCCTAAAAGATGAATTGGCCAAGGGCAACCACACCTTCGTAGTCACAGATGACAAAGAAGGACCAAACAGTAAGATGGCAAAAGAGATTGTCGATGCAGACGTTGTCATCACAACTCCTTTCCATCCCGGTTATTTGAGCAAAGAGATCATTGCTTCTGCTAAGAACTTGAAACTTTGTATCACTGCCGGTGTCGGTTCAGATCACGTCGATTTGAACGCTGCAAACGAACGCAAGATCACAGTTGCTGAAGTTTCAGGTTCAAACGTCGTTTCCGTCGCTGAACATGTTGTCATGACAATCTTGATCCTTGTCCGTAACTACAACATCGGTCACGAACAAATTTCACAAAACAAGAACAACGGTTGGTTAGTAGCCGCCATTGCTCGTGACGCATACGATTTGGAAGGCAAGGTTGTCGGTACAATCGGTGCTGGACGTATCGGTTACCGTGTCTTGCAACGTATGGTTCCATTCAACTGCAAGGAATTACTATACTTCGACTACCAAGATTTGCCAGCAGATGCAGCCAAACAAGTCAACGCTCGTCGTGTTGCCGACTTGAATGACTTCTTGAGTCAATGTGACGTCGTTACCGTCAACTGCCCCTTGCACGAAGGTACCCGTAATTTGATCAACAAGGATAACATCAAACACATGAAGAAGGGAGCATGGTTGATCAACACTGCACGTGGTGCAATTTGCAATGCCGAAGCAGTTAAGGAAGCAGTTGAAAGTGGACATATCTTGGGTTACGGTGGTGACGTTTGGAACCATCAACCCGCTCCGGCCGATCACCCATGGCGTACGATGTACAACCCACACGGTGGAGGTAACGCAATGGTTCCCCATTACAGTGGTACAACTTTGGACGCTCAAAAGCGTTATGCCGACGGTACCCGTGAAATCTTGAACAACTGGCTCAACAACAAGCCACAAAACCCAGCCAATCTCATTGTTGAGAATGGTGAATATGCAACCAAAGCATACGGTCAACGCAAGACAACAGTTGCTTAAGATTGTTTCCTTGTTTCGTTTTACGTGCTTTCTGTGTTGAGGTGATGAGACCACCCTGCTGTATATACCGCTAGCGAAAGAATGAAATAATGACAAAAGATGAAAATAATTCTCGATGACAGCCTGATCTATAGTACATGATGTGATGATGCTGCGAATAACTACCAGCCTCCGATAGCTCTGATTCGTTTATCGAACAGATCGCTCTTGATCTCCAGTTGTGCATTTGACTGACCGAGATGCATGTGTGGAATACCCGTTCTAGGTGAAGGCAAAGCATGGAAAGGATTGCCGATATGCGATAGATAGCATGTATGCACAGCTCGAAGGATCTGTCGCGAGTGAGAGGAAGAATGGCAGTTGGGTCAGGATGAGAAGAAGGGCAGACTTACAGGACTTCAGGTACTTACAGTGATACAGTCCAAATCTCTCACTTTGAACTCTCCCGGTGTGAGCAAGAGTAGTATTCTCAGTTTTGTACTTGTCACCAATGCATAAATCGCCAGATCTTCCAATGTGAGCACTAATCCCAGAAATGAAACGCCCGACGAAGTCACTTCCCCGTTTGCTGATCTAGTTTGAGCTGTGTGGAGAGGATCCATTAAGCTCTCTGTCAATATGCGAACACTTTAACGCACTCACATCGTTCTTCTACCACGTCCAAAGCACAATGAGCAGCATACTCTAATCTTAGCATCTCATTTCGTATCCGATTGACATCTTGTTTTTCTTGATATGCAACCCTTGCATTTAGGTATAGTCTCTGATTCCGACTTCCTACTAATGCTATTGCCTCTATTCCTGGTATTGTCGTACTCATTTCTGTTAGACTTGTTGTTTGTGATGAGAGAATAGTACAGGATGGTTAGCCTCACGATGCCACTCCTTACACGTGTGAAACGACTTTTTCGCGTTTGGGCCATGTTTCCTTATTAGCGGCGGCCGGGGATTGGAAGATCTTCTGGTGCATAGGGTTCGGAAATAGGTCGGCTGCTTAGAAGTGTTCATGTGGAGAAATATTCTATCCTACTTGGATGCAAGACTTATAAGATGTCGTGTGCCCCACCTCTTCTCTCCTCTCTCTCTTCCACCAACCACTTTATGTTGACTCGTAACTTGATTAGATCATTGGCAAGACCATCAATCGTATCTAGTAGATTTACACAGCATATTTCACAACAACCGATTCCAATCAAACTTACACAACAACCCATTCGTCAATTCCATCAAACAAAAAATATCAAAATGGCAGACGCAGCAACAGCTTCTTATCGATTCAATCATACAATGATTCGTATCAAAGATCCCGAAAAGAGTATCGAATTTTACACAAAAGTCTTGGGAATGGATGTTATTGATGAACATGATGCTGGGGATTTCAAGTTGTTCTTCCTTGCATACAACCTTCCCGGACAAAAAGGTTTGCCACGTGGTGAACGTGAAGGTATTTTGGAATTGACCTGGAACAAAGGTACTGAAAAGGATCCAAACTTCAAGTACCACAACGGAAATGATGAACCACAAGGATTCGGTCATACATGTATCTCCGTTGATAACCTCGAAAAGGCCGTTGCACGTTTCGATTCCATGGGTGTCAAGTTCAAGAAACGTCCGGAAGACGGCAAAATGAAGAGCATCGCTTTTGTGTATGATCCGGACATGTACTGGATAGAAATCATCTCTCACAACAAGCCTCAGTGAGCATCTCATCTTGAATGATTGTTGAACATATTGTATCGAATGCATAATCAATTCAACTTATCAAACTTCCTTCTTTTCTGTGTTCGACAGGAGTGCGAAGAAAAATGCATCTCTATAGCTAAAGGTTCTATTGGATCCCCGGGATCCCCGAATCTTTGTTGATCGTCATCGTGATCGTCATTTAGACGGGATTAGATGAAGTCGTTGAGTAAACACGATTTATTATCTATTAAAGTTGCGGGTATATAAGTACAGACATGAATAGTAGAATACAGCATTGCTTCTATAAGTAGGCTATTGATCTAATGATTCCTTTGATCATTTGTGTACGCCAATTGATCATTCTGGAGGTCTTAGAGTACCCGAAAGCATATCTTCAATGATACCTTCATCTCCTGGACAAAAGGTTAATTTACCCATCTGCTCTGGAGTTAGCCATTCTACTTTTTGACTTGCCAATGCTTTAGGCTGTGAATTATTGACTATTTTTGCCCAATAGAAGAATAAACGGAAAGTCACCAGTCCACCCAATCTCTTATCTTGTTTCGGCTCATGATGGAAAGAGTAGCACGGTTTAATGGCAATCACGTCTCCTTCTGTGCTATTTGAAACAATCGGCTCAACCTCTATTCCGAGCTCTTCTGAGCATTCCCGTTTCATCGTCTGTATATGTGTTTCGCCTTCATCTACTTTTCCACCCGGGAATTCGTACATTGATGGGAAATGTTCGGCATCATCGTATCTTTGTGAGCACAATACTCGAAATGAAGATGAATTTGTCACCTCTTCGGATGCTTTGCTCTGTTTATCTTCTACTATGAAAGCACAAACCACATCTTGATATCGTACCGTCATTTCCTGTTGATGGAAGAATGAGCCTGACAATGAACACGACATTGTGTCTTCTACGCGTCGAAGGGATGAAATGCGTGCGTACGCCAAGACCGGGTAAATAAATCACCGCTTGAACCGATGATAAACAATTGCATGAATACTTTCATCAATCTTATCATCGAACGACCATCATACATCATGCTCATCAGAAGATGTGGACTGCTGTACAGATCAGTCTCGATTGAAGCACGATGTGGGCAGATACGTAGATATGCATCATCTATCCCGCAAGTGGATCAAGTGCGGATACAACCAACACCACCACCAACGCCTCCTCCTCGAACACCAAGAGGTACACCACAATCTAGACCACTTCGATTCGCTGTTCTATTGGGATTATTTGGAGCAGGTGCATACTTTCTAGGCTCACTCTATCCTCCAGAATCACTCCTACTACTCTATCCTCGTCCAACTCCTCCACTTCCACTTCCCGATACAGAAGAAGCACAACGGTATAAAGAGAAATTGGATCGAGAGTTGGTCAATCTACCTCATGTAAGAGCATTGTTGGCCAGTAGGTCTATTGCGAAGTCTTCTTCTTCAAGCCCAGGATCTAGCAACCAAAACCCGGCAACGTACGTCAATGCCAAAGATGGAGAAATGAAGGCTCATTACGTTCTATCAAGACCGTTTGCCAATTTCCCGGCACATATGATGCCCTACAGTCTAACGGCGGGATCATTACGAAAACCCGGAATGCTCTGTGTTCCTCCCGTTGTGGTCAGCAAAACACGTCATGGAGCTGAAGTTTTGGGAGGTCATAGAGGAGATGCCTATGCATTCGTTCATCTTGGACGAAACCTATGCGGTCACGATGGGATCGTACATGGAGGTTTATTGGCAACAGTGTTAGATGAAACGTTGGCAAGAACTTCATTTTTTCATTTACCACATAAAATCGGCGTAACGGCACACCTAGAAATTGATTATAAAAAACCGGTAAAAGCGGATAGCGTCGTTGTTGTTGAAACAAAGTTAATCGAACATGAAGGTAGAAAAGCATGGGTTGAAGCAACAATGACCGATTTACGTGGTCAAGTGTTGGTTCAAAGTAAGGCTCTTTTCGTTGAGCCAAGATTGGTGGCTTTCTTGGACACGAGTGCGGTTAGAAAGGTAATGGATCAAAGTGACGAATAGACGATGTATTAAAGCGACACACCTTGTTGTATATTATCTAGACTGGCTCAATAGATTTGATTAATTATTTCTACTCATGACAGAAAGATAGAAAGAGCACTTGTCATGGTGCAAAAAGCTGAAACGTATATACAAATGTGGTGGTGACTATAAACAGGGAAGTATGTACATGCAAATGAGAGTAAGCTACAAAGTAAGGAATGGATTAAACCATAAAGGTTATTATAAATGCTACAAAGAGTGTGAGAGCGACAAGTGGATAACTTGTCAAGCTTGCTGAACCAACGGCCGCATTGGCTGCCACGACGGAATTCACCGTTCGCGAAGCTGTTGTACTGCCCAAGCCATCAGCCAAAGCAGCAAAGCCAACTTGAGCCGTTTTACCGGAATTTGAAAAGATTGAATAAACATTCATGAGGAAAGCGTCTCCCAAAATATATTGAAGTTCATCTTTTGACGTTGAACCGATACTGAAAAATGCGCCTAAACACATCGTTGCAGTTGAATCAACCGTTCCGGCAATCAAGTCATCAGAAGTTAAAGTGTATTCTTGATTACCGAAATGCAAAGTTGCACTTATTCCAGTTTCAGCGCAAGGGAAAGTATAATAACCCGATGACATTGCTTTACTGTTGGGAACTTGATTGTAAATTTGATCAACAATCGTAGCAGGTGCTCCGATCAAAGTTGTACCTGTATCAACGGCAACCTTGTTCGTTCCTGATAAATTGACATCTTCATCGTTGACAGTAATACCTCCTAATGTGATCAACCAATACGATTCATCAATCACATCTGACCAGTTGATATCACCTTTGAACAAAGTCGTATTACGTCCTCCTAATGTAAAAATTCCACCTGGTGCTTTGTCGGTACGAGAAGATGTATCGGTATTGTTATCAGATTCAAGATAAAAGCTAAATTCGTCTGCTCCAACGTTTTGCCAAAAAGGCGTTGCTTTACTGGTCGAAAGGCTTGGGAAACCTAAACCCATAATACCTTCAACCGCATCACCCAATAAACCATTGGAAATAGAAGTGGCAATTGCGAACGTTTGCTTGTTTGCCGTTTGTCCGGCAAGTGTGACTGAATCGTATGCTAATGTACCGCTAACTGAACCTGATCCATAAGTGATCTTGAATGGTGTGGTGGAATTGGTAAATGTGGAAGATTGAGCGGGATTCCAACCTTCTTTGCCTTGAACGGTCCACAAATCCGATGAGCCTGTGTCCAAGACTAGATTGACCGATTGAGCTGATGAACCGATCGAAACGGGAGCATAGAATGAGCTATCATGTTGATAGTTAACCAATGCAGCATCTCCAACCGAATCACGAGCTTCTAAAGATCTTCTTCTTTTCCGCCTTCTTTCTTCGGCTGCTTGTGTTTCTTGTTGGTTACTATCTTGTAGTTTCGATGCGTATTTTGCCCGTAAGCCTGCTTTATGTTGTTCGGTCCATTCTAGCAATTCGTCTTCGTTGTTGAAGGCGGGTAATTGGAACCTCCTTTTTGCGATAGGATGATCTGTTGGTGATCGTCTTGATGCGCTCGTTGGCATTGAAGCAGAAGGTCCTACCATCAAGGCAGAAGCAGCCGCTAAACAAACGGCTGCCAAACGCATATTAACCATGATATAAAGTGGCAATGAATGAATGAATGTATGGCTAGGAGGTGTGTTTTTGAGTAAAAAAGATTGTTCCTTTGTATCGGATGTTGAAGACCCCCTTTATAATCTCCTGGTTGTGAATATAGAAGTACAGCTTTTCGGCTTGAAATGAAGATTTAGGATTTCTCTATAAATAAAGTGATGATGTGGAGAGAAATGAAAAAGTGGATGACGAACAAGTTCAATCGGCATAATATGGCCGAATGTATATAAATTTAACCATCTTTTCGGCACTTAGAAGGGGAAGCACTATGTATGTATTTCCCCACCGTTTGCATATGTGTGCTGTGCGCATACAATTCATCATCATATTAGTTCATCTTCACTTTTGCCGTCATGCTTGAATCAACCTGCAATGTCGTGCGTCATTTCTGTCTATTGATCGAGTTACATAGGTTGGTTCTTCTTCATTTAGCCCTTAGCATGCATTAAAAGAGTGTTACAATGCAAGCAGACATAGCACAGCTTACGGCTTTTAAAGGCAGTGTGCCGTGTAAACTTTTTATGGAACTTCTTAGCCGAAACCAAACCAAAATAAAAGAGGGTTCTTTGGGCGTGTATGGTTTGTGCATCTCTGATGTAACACAGATCGAGTGGAGAACATGCGGGAAATAGGCACAGCACCGCGGCTACCGTTCCCTGCAAAGCGCGTATCATTTTTCAATCAAGGGGAACTTCCCGCATAAGCACATCTGACTGGCATGTTGCAACAACGGTCCTACTGGATTATTTTGGGTACTACTATGCATGCAATAAAGAATAGGTGGCTTGTGTATTTCACTCTCACCCTTCACAGCCTCTCGGCGAACAAAATAAGAGGGATTATCATTATTGAATATTGTTGAAGTTGACTTCTTGAATAGGAAGTCGTTTATGAATTAATTCTATTTCTTTTTTTATCTAAAAAGGTACAGCCTAGAATATTCATGTTGACGGATAAACCTATGTTACCCTTTCTGCACGTATCATGATGATTATAGATCTGTCGATTGATGATGCACAGCGCTAAAACATACACAACTGCATGCGATTTATACGCCCATCTTTTCCCATGGAAAAATCTACTCTAACCCTTCATCGTAAAGTACCCTTTTACACTATCTAGCGTAAAGATGAATTGCTTGGCAGGAGGCTAATTTGATATGTTTGATCGATACTTCCTTCCTTCACCAATCATCATCCCTTCAGGGTTATCATTTCATTGTGATGGTTGCAATAACGGCTTACCTAATCTTGAAAGGCGTGAGACTTTAGCGTGAATGCAGGCACAGTACGGCAATTTAATCTTTGTGTGCAGTCAGATTGATTAGAGTTTTGATAGATGTCAAAACACAACTTCTTCTTCTACCATCTGAATGATCGCAACGCTCTAATCGCCTCTTGGGCGAGTATAAAGATGGATACAGAGACGGCAGAAGTGGAAAATGAAGCAGGCAAAAAGGTCAAACCGGCAATCTTGTTGGCGATTGGGGAAAAACGTACTGTAAAAGGTGCGGCAAAGGATCCTTACATACAAAAAAGGTGAGAAGCGCTGTCTGATCGCTTTGGAATCCATCGATTATGCTTGCTAATCCCTTATACACCTCTCCAGACGAGCAGATGGATTCTATTCGTGCACATGTCCCAGCTGGCGTAATTTGACAGTATCGGAAAAGTCAAGAACATGTGCACATCTGAAAACACTGCTAGGCGAAGAATATGAGGGCGTTCGCATTCGAATGGCAAAAACACAATCCAGCACTTTGAACCTGAAGCGAACGACATCCAATCGATCTTTCAAACGTTCAGCAAGTGACGCTTTCGATGGAACGCCTCCTTCTTCATCCGTTTCAGCAACACCAGTTGCAGATCCGGACGTATTCCCGTATTCGACTTCTACTCGATCACCCAAGAAGATCATCAAGTACTTTGGCATTTTCAATGAACGAGATAATGGCGGTCCAAGAGGATTGAACGGAGCTGCACCGCTGCTACTAGCGCTCAAATGGCCAGAAACGAAAAATCCAGAAGGTTTTTGGTTATCGGAAAAGTTGGATGGCGTACGTGCATGGTGGAATGGAGAAAAGATGTATGCCCGATCTGGAAGGGCATGGAATCCGCCAAAGTGGTTTAAGGATAAGCTCCCAAAGGATTTGCATTTGGATGGAGAATTATGGATGAAACGTGATGCTTTCGATGCAACTTCAGGTATTTGTAGAAGACAAGATGCTGATAATTGGAAAAAGATCAATTTGATGGTCTTTGATGTGACAAATGTTCCACTTCCCTATGAAGAGCGTCTTAAGCTACTGCGATCTCGATTACCGGATGGAGAACGGACACCGGATGAAATCCAGGAAGCAACGAATCAAGACCTCGGTGGAAAGATTTGCGTTCTTCCAGCTGTAAAGTGTGAGGGGAAGAGGCATTTCAATGAATTGATGAAGCAAGTTTTGCATAAAGGTGGAGAAGGTCTGATGCTGCGAGAACCTGGTTCGATGTACGAAGCAGGCAGAAGCAAGTCCTTATACAAGCATAAACTGTGGTACGACGCAGAAGCACTTGTTGTAGGGCACGAGTATGGACAAGGTGAACATAAAGGTAGGATGGGAGCATGCAGAGTGAAGATGGAAAGTGGTCATATTATTTCTGTTGGATCTGGTTTTTCAAGAGCTCAAAGGGATGCTTGGCAACCGTGCGTAGGAATGATTATTCGTTATCGTTTTCAAGAATTATCGCATGATGGATTTCCAAGATTTCCAATTTATGAAGGTACATGTCCTGATAAAACTGAACCTTGCGATGCTATCGTACGTTCTAAAACCTTCAGAGCCGAAGCGGAAGCTGAAAAAAAGATAAGAATACTGGACAAGGAAGCTGCAAGACAAGGTGAATTGCTTGCAGGTTCTTCCCAAAAGAGTGGATCCCATAATTGAATGAATCTGTTCGGCATTTTGTAATATAGCGGTCTAATCATATTGTATACTTTAATCAAGATCATGTACATGTATCATTCTAATCATTATAATATCATATCCGATAAACAAGTTTCTTTGGGATTCAATATGGATCGGCCGGCATTGGTTAGGGGCTCAACCTTTATGAGTTTGTGGTGTTGTTCTGTTGGTTTCATGGGAGAACAACACAAAACGCGCATATTCACAGTGTATGGCGCGTTGTAAGCATTGTGCACTTCCTCTGTTGATTTTTCAGAAGAAACTTAAAATCTGTGGAGAGAAAAAGTTACCCCTATCTCTTGTTCGTGTGCGTAAATGCGTTGTCTTTTCCTACCATGCTGCTCAAGTGAAAAAATGTTATTGAAGTCGAACGGAGAATTGTGATGATGCACTGTAGACATCTGCATGTGTTTGGCTTGTAGGACAAAAGAGGGGGAGTTGTTTCAGACAAACAAGAGAAGCCCGTGTTTTGAAATCGGATGAGAAAATAGACAAAAAAGTTGACTCCTTTTTATGAAGAACTCTCCGGCTCAGATACTGCTTCTTGCTCCATAACGATAACGAGCACAATACCAGAACTATGACCTATCCCCCTCTTTGACGACCACTTTTACGACATACGATACCTTACGACCAGGAGAACCACACCTATTCACACATACAACCACCAAACACAACTTGGCCCCCCTACCATTCGGAACGATGAAAAACTCAGCAGATACTACGGATGAGCAAAAACGAGTATCTGCGCATTTGGCAGACATTTTCGAGAGAATAGCCCCTTTAAAACTTGATCCATCTTCCATACTCCTATACGACCCTTCAACGATCAAACGAAGACAAGGTAATACAGCAGCTACGGCAAATGACAATACGGCACTTTTGGCAAACGTACAATCATTTCCAAAACTATTAGCTGCAGGCTCAGATGATCATTATGAAAACCATCATTCGTATGAAATCGTTCAAGCATTATCATCACATTCAACAAAGATGCATTCATTAGATGAAGAATGGAATCACCTTAATGCAGAAGATCAAACGTTTCATGGTAAAAATTCTGAACAATTAGCAAAAGCTTTTCAAAGTTACGGTACCGAACATCAGGGGCAAGGTTTACCAGACTCATACATAAAAGCAGTTGAAGGAAATTCTCTTCAAAACGGCGCCGTCAATTCTGGTTCAAATAAAACCTCCATCACTTCTTTTGCATCCAATATCGCTCCTATGAGCGCAACCATACCTATCACAATGTCTGCTTTGGACCCAAGTACATTTTCATGGGCAGCCTTGCTCAAAAGTATGAATTGGGCTCGTATCCTTTACACCATCGTTTGGATCACGACCGGTTTAACACTTCTCTTTTTCGGTTATGCATCATTTTTCTGGCTTCACAAAGTTGGTCTTTCAAGAGGAAATCATTCTACCGCACGACCAAAAGGCATTGGTGGAAAATTATCAAGAATTTTTTCACTCAACAATGAACCACAAAGAAGTACAATCGACTCATCTGCTTCTGCCGCTGCCAAGAGAAGGAAAGCACAAAAGAAGCGTGCTTTGGTAGGCGGAGGAATTGGTGGAATTTTGGTAGGATTTTTATTCTTTTCTTATCTGGCTGCAGTGATCAATAATGCAATTTGCGTTGATGATGGTAAAAAATCACTTTCTGCAGGTGCTTATTTTGCTGTTTGGCTTGCACCTGGTCTGCTCGGTGCTATGTTGGCAGGACATTTCGCCTTCCTTGCACGAGCAATGACGGGTGTTTTAGGAGGAACAACGTTCACAATCGTTCTCACGGCCGTCTTTGGAATCAAAACAATGCTCATCCGTATGATCTTATTGGCCATATTCACACTTTCATTCACCATTCCGCTCATTCAACCTAAAGCAAAAGTTATTCAAATGATGATCTTAAACGCTTGTACATCTTTGATCGGAATGGTAACTTTCTTGAACGGGGTTGCATTGGTAGCACCTTCTGTTGAAGCTTCTTCGAATTGGTTGGATTTATGGACAGTATTGTGCATGCATAAAGATGAAAACGCTCAATCTGTTTTGGAAAATGCATGGCATACAAGCACGTTCAAAGGATACATTGCCGGAGCAATTTTGGGTAGCGTTGTTGGATTCCTATTTGAATTGTTCTTCCATCGTCATTGCGGTCATGATCCTGAATCGGAATGGAATCAATATCTGGGCACATATACACAACATATGGAATCGGGTAGGATGCCTGGCGAATCAAGTGCGACATTGTATGATGATCCAAAGTACAACAACAGTAAAGCTCAAATCGGCGCCGTTTCTCCCCGTGCGGGAATGTTTGAACCCGCTCCGAATGCTTGGCAAAGGATGGCAGACTTCTTTGATAGCGACCGTTCAAAGCCTGCTCATTATGGTGGCTTGAGTGGCGATGGCACATTGCATGAAAGCCTTACTGGAGGTGCAATCACTTCTGTAGGAGAACGTATCAGACGAAAACGATCCGCAAAAACAACAAGAAGCGGTGGACCGGCAAGATTTGAACGTTTAAGCAAACGGGATGAAAACGAAGATGACTTCAACAGCGATACCAGTGATGATGACGATGAGAAAGAGCGTTTGCACAATGATGATGAAGATGATGAAAAGACAGATGTGGAAGGATCAGATGATGAAAGACGTGCGAACAAACATGTTGCTTTCTCTGGTTTGGTTCCCACCCTTGACAAAGATTCAAACTCCGCAACTGTGAATTACGGTGGATATGCGTTACCAAGACCCCCAATGTTGACTACTACGAGCACAAACAGTGGTACAAGTGTTACTTCCGGTCAAGTTGATAGTCGACTTACAGGTACAACGGCTGCAAGTGGTTCATCATCATCAACAAAAGGTTCAGATGCAAAAGTTCATAAGCCTGTTGGTGTTTATCATGACGGTAATGCAAGTCCACCATCAAATCCAACCATTCCAGCCACGCCTTCTCTGATCAATGCAATCTCTCGAATCCAATTCGCTCAACAACAAGCTCGTGCATGGCAACAACAGCATGAAGCACAAGGTACGCCTTATGCTGGGGCAACTTCTCCTCCAACTAGCCCACCTCCTCATAAGCCTTCAAAGTAGCGATTGTTTAGCTTTATGAATCTTATTGCATCTCAAAAAAATATTATAGAAAGAGTGTGAAAACGAAAACAAAACCAAAAGTGTGCACAATCAAAAAAAAAATGAAAAGGCAGGTATACAGAATTTAAGAGTGAGAAAATTGCGAGCCAGCGTCCACGGTCAACCATCGCGATCAAGCTGTATATTCGCCAAAGATTCTTTCCATATCTTCCCATTGACCGTGTCTTCTTCTAACCCAATATTCAGGAATATTGACATCTTCTTGATCTTTCACCTTATCAGCGCCAAGTCTAGATGGTTCCCAATAATCACCTTGCGTGAGAGGATCAGTCTTGCGCGAAAAGAATTTGGGTTGATGAGCAGGCAATTCTCCTTGTTCACGTTTCTTACGGGTTGCCCGTTGAAATTCTTCCAAATTACGTTTCATCACATCAGCTTCGTCGTATTGACCACGTTCGAATAATCGTAAATCAGGTCGCATACGGCAATCTGTTGGCGGCAAGAAATCATGCAAGCCTTCAGGTGTATCGTTCAATTTGATCGCATAAGGCGTCAAGTTGAACGGACCTGGAGGTTGTGGAGTGTATTTCCATAAGAGTACCATTTCTGGAATTTCTGCTCCAGCAAGTGCAGCAGGATCGGTACTCAGCGAATCCACATTTCCGTCAGGGTCCATCGTTGTGGCTCCAGTACTGCCACTTGCTCTCCTTGCAACGATTTGTGAAGACCATCTACCGGCAATCTCCCATGTTTGGTTACCGTTTGAGTTTGTCACCGATCCCTTCAGCTCATGCATAGCACTTGATCGCCATCCACGAGGCTTGAAGGTCATCGTACATTCATCTCCGGTGGTATGACATTTGATGTTCATATCACCGTAATGATCGATTGTAGTGTTTCCTGTAACAAATCCACTAACACTCGTTGTAACTTTCTTGAACGTATAATGTTCTTCAACTCCATCCACGCGCAATTTCACATGGGCAATACCAGTCGGACGAATCTCGAAACTTCTTCCCAAGAATTTACTCTGAGCTTGGACGCATCCAGAGTATTCCCAAGCCGGTCGAACATGCACACCATCTTCTTCCAACGATTCGGCAATACAAGCAGAAATTGGAGGATGGTGGGAAACTTGTTCACTTTGATATCTGTACTTGCATTTATCGTCCAGATTGATATATTCAAAAGTTTCACCCAGCATCGGATTGAATGGTTTTGCAACACGACCCAAGGTGGTGACGTAGTTACTGCATGCAAATGCTGCCACGAATGCCATTCGCAACGAGGATTCCTTTTGACGAACGGCTGTATCCAACAAAGATGCATACGTCATATCTTCTGCCATTCTTTGCAACATACTCGTAGGCTCATTGAAACTGACGGGGAATGAAATCTTTGTGAGATCTTTTCCGATATTGTTCTTCAAAACTGACCAAAGAGACAATGAAGGTCGATCATCCTTGCCGATCGGCATCTTCTTACGCAAGCGAAGATAAGGCTCAACACCTGGCCATAGACTGTTCACCCTTGTCTCACGAACAGATGTCGTTGGTGATCCGGCAGGCTTGGCTGACGTATCAGTCTCAACGACTCCTTCCTCAACCTTGAGATTAGGCAAGTTTCCAGATTCGATCGCATCAAAGAATTCGTCATCTTTATCATCGTCAAGGTCTTCTGGTTCAGCTCCGACATTTACGGAGCTGCGAGAGAGATTAGAGCCAAGACCGGCATTGGCATCGTCAAAGTTGATCGCACCCCGTTGGGCAGAAGGACGAATGGCAGCTGGCGGTAGCTTGTTCGCTTCAATTGTTGATCGAGCGTTAGCCATACTGCTTCTCGTTGGAGTGGCCATATTGGGTGGCACGGGCGATAGAGCGGGGCTGTTTACGTTCGAATAATTATCTCGAACTTCACGTAATGCTTTGCGTCTTCTTGCGTTTTCCTCGGCAGCTTCTTGCAGTTGCGTTTCCATCTCGGCGTACTGCATTGCCAACGTCCTGATGTTCTCCTCCCATAATCTCTTTGCTTGGATCTCCTGTTCATATCTACGTAAAATGTAAGCTTCACGTTCTGCAACCATTGTGGTGTAGTTGGTGAACAATGTTTGACACGTTTGCATGGCTTCCAAAACCGCAGATCGTGCTTCTGGTTGTTGAGTTTGAGAAACGTTAACAGATTGAACCATTTGTTGACCTAATTCTAGTTGGGTCTTGATCGAATTGGACACGATTGGCAATTCGTTTTGGAACGGTACACCTTGTGATTGGGTTGCGGTATCTGAGCCTGCTCCATCCAATTCAGCAAAGTCTTCGCTTGGTGTTCTACTTCCGCGAGTCATGATACTTGGCGTCTTTGCCGGGAATTCGGCGCCAGCCATCGTATCGGGCGATTTCAATTGGGAAATCTGAGTTGATGGAGTATGATGATGCTTTGTAGCTGTACTGCCGGTTCGACTCAAGATATTGGTCGTAATACCAGACAAGCCGCCTGGACCGGGAGAAGGAATATTGCGGAAAGGCGTTGTGCTTCTAGAAGGGGGATGGTGTGGTGTTCCAGCAGGAACGTTTGCACTAGAAACTGTACCATCCTTGCTAAAGCTCTTGACACTCTCGGCGCGACTGTTGTTCCTGTCCAAATCAAAGTACTCAACAGTGTGTTGCAAGACCTGTACCCAACGAGCTCTCTCTACTGGGTGACTACCACGTAAGTACAAACGGTTTCCTGATCGATTTGAATTACTGGGATGGTCAGCGACTACTTCCAAGCGTAATTTGTCGGATGGATCAGCCCGGATCTTTGCAAAACGCAAATTGAGCGATCCTCTGGATTGTTTGCCCTCTTCTTCTTGAGTGTGATAGTAAGACAAGATACCATTTTCCAACACGAACCATCTGTTCTTGTATCCACGAGCATAATTTGTCCATTTGCCTAGGTATCCACGGAAAGTAGGTGGAAGGCCAGGTTGGTTTGCATTTGCAGCCATTGCTGCGTCAGCATTTGACAATTGTTGTAACAATGCTTTAATCTTTTCATCCTTTGTCGTTTCCAAAACACGCTTACCACGCTTGTTTCTCACGAAAACATCAGCACCTTTTCGCACTGCCAATTCGATCAATTGGGTATCTTTCCTTCGAACGGCATCATGCAAAAGTGTGCTACCCGACACTCTTGATTTCGTATTCAAGTCCACAACACCGATCCTTGGCAATTGCAAGAACTTTTTGAGTTCTTCATCGGAGCCATGTGCTTGGTTTTCCCAACGTTCATATACATCTTGGTATTTAAAGTTGAGCTCAGCACGAGAGATTTGGAACAATTTGGCAGCTTCTATCGTTTGGGCTGCTTCCATCGGATCTTGTCCATCGCGATTGCGGATTGTATCGTTGATTTGTGGGCGTGATAGGAACAAGTCGATGACATCTAAACGACCAGTACTGGCAGCTAGATGTAGAGCAGTGTTCCCATTTTGTTCTTCTACTGCGTTGAGATCTTCAGGTTTCTGTTGTAGTACGAACTTGATCGTGTTGAACTCAGCACAGCGGACTGCCAAATGGAGTGGGCTGTTGAGCTCTTTGACATGTCCAGATGTGGGATGTGAAGAAGAGAAGTAGGTCTTGAGTGATTTCTCATCTCCATTCCTTAGCGCTTCCAAAAGACGAAATGAATCCAACGCTTCGTTCACTATTGATGACCAATTACGCGAAGAATGTTTATCGGTTAAAGGAAGAGCAGTTGTGGAAACGGATCGAAGTCGAACGTTTGACCGAGCGGAGTAACCATTACCAATCATTGAGTAAGATGGAGTGACGGCAGCATTTGCAGAGATTACGCGGTGGGTTAGAGGACCAGGATAGGATTTAGGAGCGTTCAAATAAGTTGGACAGGAGAAAGGAGGAGAAAGGGTTGAATTTGTCAGTAACTCGTTCGATCGTACGGATGTACGTTTCTTTGGCATGTTTGTCGTATTTTCATTGGTGGTGATGAGGTATGCTCGCAATGCAGATTGTGGTTGTGACTTTGACTTCAACTACAATGCATTTCAGCATTTGATAATGCACTGCTAAGCAAACGCCAAATGCCGCCCACAATGCAATGAAGCATACGCCAGTGAATCTAGACAAAGATTGCCTAAAACTCCGACCAAAAAGAAAGACGTTCTCTTTTGTTGATGGTTCGATACTCACTTTCATTATTCCCATGGGCGCCTTTTTGAACCACAGTGTCACCCAGTGGCGGAGCGGCAGCCATTTTTGCAGGAGAAGCTATGCGAGCTGTTTATCGTAATGCAAAACGTGCAAATAGGCTGGGCGTATTGGATGGCTCTTGTTCGGAATGTCCCCTGACACAGTTGAATTGGGAACAGGTCGATCAAAAGTTGTCTGACGTGTAAAGTTGTTACGTTTGAATGATCTATGTAACGCTTATAATCAGACAGATGGTAATGATGGATGAGAAATGTCAAAGAAAGGAATTAGGTACGGCGTCTTTTAGTCTTGTAGCACCAGTTTCACCATCGGGGTGCCCAACCCTTCTTAAAGTACTGCTGCTGCAACCCCCCGCTTGCGTAAACGTATGTTTAGTGTGTGCACTCACGCCCAATATAAGATACAATCGTGCCTAGGGATATACTGCTCTCGCGCCTTAAATGCTAACGAGTGGAGAACAACTGTAGGGCGCAAGCAAAGAAATGGAAAACTTGATCCGCATTTGACAGGGAGATACAGATTGTTTGCCGTTGAATATCATACGAATGGTGCATGAGCTAATAATAGCCTGTTCCTTCAAAGTCGTCAATAGATCGATCTGTTCTTTCTCTCGTTCAAGCCGCCGGTTTCATGTTTGACTAGGATTGATTCTGTATGGAAACTTTATACAGCTCGTTTAAGCTTTTTGTTTGGATGCATGATGCTGATCATGACTTCCCTAGTCGGCAATCAGGCCCAAGCTCATAATTATTGTTCAGAAGTGTGTGTTTGCTATTGATCATGTAAAAGAAGGTACTTGCGTCATGGCGCAGAGCAATCGAGATTATCACTTTAAACACTGCCCCTTTGCGTTAAAGCCTCCACATCTTAGGCCTAAGCGGGACTCAGGCGCGAGGGAATAAAGGCAATGCAATGATCAATACAACGGAAATATTTCTACAGGCTACGGGGAATGACAAGGAAGGTGAAAAGATGAATTTGAAGGAAGACAAAGCGCAAAAAGCTATCTTGCAAGAAAATCAAAGTGTGAAAATTGAAATCGCAAAAAGCAGAATAGCGGAGAAATAATCACAAAAAAGACCCGAACAATCATCCAAAGACGGGAGACAATGATCCGTTTAACGGCGCCATTGGGAAAGCCCTTTCCGTCATGGGAGGAGGGCAATGAAATGATCTTAGAATAGAAACACCCACCATGTACGTCGCGTCGAAAGGGCTGGCTATCCGCGCGATTGAATGAATGTAAGAGAGAAGGAGACGCGTGAAGAACACGCGCTGAAAGAGTCTAACTCATCTACACACTCTAACAAAAAAAAAGTATAAAAAGTGGAACGTAGAGTGGAATTTCATCCTCCTAAAGTCAAAGGAAAAACAGAAAGAGGGTGTTCCGATTGTGCATACATAGACTTATAAGGGTATTTGATTGTTTGCTAGAAACCACCACAACATATCAAAACAATCTCTAAATCCCTCTGCTGAAATCATGTCATCCAGCACGGCAGGGGGTAGTTTCACCCACCATTCGAATGGCAATGGGAACGGTGTAGGAAAAGCGAAACGTGTAATCAGCGAAAGTAGCGATGAAGAAGATATCCCTCTAGCCAAGAAAGCGAGACCTTCAACAATCTCAAACGGAAGTGCAATTAAAGATGAAGATGATTCATCGGAAGATGAGGCTCCTTTAGCAGCCAGAAGTGCTAAACCTCGTCCAAGTATCGTAGCAAAAGAGGAAGATGACGATTCAAGCGATTCAGACGTTCCTCTTGGTCAAAGCTCATCCTCACCACCAAAGAAAGGTATCAAAAGAGAATCACCAGAATCAGATGAAGATTCAGATGTGCCTCTAGGGGAAAGTCAGCGTAGCAATGGCTCCAAAAATGGCGCTAAACAAGCTGACAGCGATGATGACGATGAGGAGGAAGAGGAGGACGATGAAGACGATGATGATGATGAAGACGACGAAGACGATGGGGAGAGCAGCAAAGGTAAAAAGAAGGGTAAAGCAGGAAAAATCGAATTGACCGGAACAGGAGGTGTTAAATGGACAACATTGTATCATACTGGACCGCGATTCCCTCCTGCACACGACCCATTACCAAAGAACATAAAGATGAAGTATGAAGGCAGACCTGTTGATCTTTTGCCAGAAGCAGAAGAAGCAGCTTACTTCTACGCAATCAAGCTAGAAACGCAACATGCAAGGGACAAGGTCTTCAATAGCAACTTCTTTGACGATTTCAAATCTGTCTTGAAACAGTACCCTCCGCGTGATGGTACGAAGATTAAAGAGTTTAGCAAATGCGACTTCCAGGATATGTACGCCTACTTCCGAACAATCAAAGATGAGGAAGCAGCAAAGAAGAAGCTAATGGCGCCCAGTCAACGAAAGAAGTTGCTTGAGGAGAAAAAGAAAGCCGAGGCGGAAATGAAGACATGTGTTGTTGATGGCGTCGAGCAAAGAGTGGGAAATGTGATCGTTGAACCTCCGGCTTTGTTCTTGGGTCGTGGAGAGCATCCAAAAAAGGGAAGAATCAAACGTCGTGTCCCACCCGAAGCAATCACAATCAATCACACTTTGGGAGACCCAAATCATCCTCCACCCGCACCGCCTGCAGGACATAAATGGAAAGAAGTACGTGAAGATCGAACGACGACATGGCTAGCCTATTGGATCGAGAATATCAATGGACAGTACAAGTACATGTACTTGGACGCTACCAGTGGTTTCAAGAGTAACTCTGATCGAGAGAAATTCGAAAAGGCTCGTCGATTGGATAAGGTTGTCGACAGATTGCGATCGAATATTGACAAGATGATCGTTTCTAAACAACGTCAAGAAAGACAGTTAGGTACAGTGATCTGGTTGATTGACAATTACTCATTGCGTGCTGGTAATGAAAAGGGCGATGATGAAGCAGCAACCTATGGTGTATGCTCTTTGTTGGTAGAACACGTTAAAGCCCTCAACGACGACCGACATCAAGTCAAGCTTGAATTCTTGGGTAAGGATAGTATGAAGTTCAAGGAAACTCTCAACGTGCCAGAAAGAATTTTCAAGAATTTTAAGATGTTCACTCAATCGACGAGAAACGTCAAAGGAGATTTGGCAGTCAAGAGTAAGACTGATGAAATCTTCGATAAAGTCGACACAAAAGATGTCAATAAGTTCTTGCAGGATCCTAGCAACGGTGGTCAAAAAGGTCTTTCTGCCAAAGTTTTCCGTACCTACAATGCTTCGACAACGTTCCAAGGTTTGTTGAACCAGACTGAGCAGAATCTCAAAGCTGCTGGTTTAACTCCAACACCGCAGATCTTGCGTGATCAATACAATCAAGCAAATCGATTAGTCGCAATTTTGTGTAACCATCAAAAGACAGTGAACCCTGTCCAAAGTGACAAAGCAGCGGCAAGATTTGAGGAGAGAATGTTGGCAGTAAAGTATGAAAGATTTAAAGAACGTCAAAAACTTTTGACGCATTATAAGCCAAAAGATCTCAAAGCTCAATATCCTGCAAAAGAGCATGATTTTGCAAAGCGATGGTCAGAAATTTTGGCTGAGATCGATATAACAAAAGATCAAATTCGTGAACATGAAGAGCGAATGATCACGAATAAGAAAGATCGAATTCAAATGACTTTCGATCGTGCAGAATTGGAACGCAAGTATCTTGCCGAACAAGCAAAAGCTGAAGGAAAGAAGAAAAAGGTGAAAAAGGAAGAAGCTGTTGAAGAAACCAATTCCAAGAAGCCAAAAACTCAAGCGGAAGTGAATGCAGAAAAGAAAAAGTTAACGGAAGAATTGGATCTTTTGAAACGCGAACGTAAAGCGAACAAGAGTGAAGCAAGTTCTGTGAATGTTCCTAGTTGCGCAAAGAAGATTTTGACAAAGATTGCTCAAGAAGAGAAACTTTTGGCAGAAAATGAAACCAAGAACAAGACTTCTGATGTTTCTTTGGGTACTTCCAAGCTGAACTACATCGATCCACGTATCACTGTCGCTTGGCTGAAAAAGTGGGATGCCAAATTGGCAAAGATGGAAGGTATTGATTCCAAAGGAAAGAAGACAAAGGTGAAAAAGGAAGAGCCCCCGTCACCGGCTGGAAAGGGAAGGAAATCCGTCAGCGTGAAAGACGAAAAGACAAACAAGACGGCCGATTCCGATCGTATGGAACTGGATTTGAAGGTGATCCCCATCGGACACTACTTCCCCATGACTATGCAAAAGAAGTTTAAAGTGAGTAAAGAAGCTTGTGAGACGCTAAAAATTGATAAAATTGACATAATTGTTCTTCTCTATTCTTAATAATACAGTGGGCCGCTCAAGAAGAAGATGGATCAGATCTCTCTCCGAATTGGGTATTTGTTGAAAAAGCTGAAAGCAAAATTCGCGACAACATGTCAAGCGCAAGACGCAAGGGTGGAGCTGCTGCCGATAGCGATGGTGAAGATGAAGAAGAGAAGAATGATCGAGCTGAAGCACAAAAAGCTATTGCAGCTGCTAAAGTCAATTCTAGCAAAACAAAGTAACAAACAACAAATAAAGTGTGGTAGTCCCTTATGTGCTTTCACCTCTTGCCAATAGACGCATCCAATCATCCCCTACCTCTCCTTTCAGTGCTTCAATCTTTCGACGTAATTCTTGACTTGTCAAATTACTCTCATTTCCACTTGATGGTGGTTGTACTTGTTTTGTAGCAGATACTTTGTCGTTCCCCTTCGCTCCTGCTGCCGCATCAGCGGTATTCGTATTTCCCTCCTTCGTAATATTTGTTTTTCCATTCTTATCTGCAACGTTGTACTTGTTCCCAGCTTTATTAGCATCAGATCCACCTTTGTAGGAATTCAATTCATTTTCTGTACGATTCGATTCGTGTGTGGCAGGTTTGGCAACATTCTCTGTAACGGATCCCATGGCAACATCGGTGTTGCCGGCTAAAGCAGCCTTTTTGATCAAATCCGAATCACTGGCTTCACTCTGCTCTCTTTTTGGGTGATCGTCTCGGCTCTTGGATGTATCGCCTTCTTCTCCTTCGTGTACGCTTTCTGCCAATTCAACCACTCTACGATTCCGCCTCTGAGCTGCATTTGTGCGAGATGTCGTTGTTTGTGCTTGAATGTGTGACGAGGATTCGGCTGGCTGACCACCGTCTTCCGGTTTGTGGGAAGGATGTCCAGAAAGGTTTGTCGATCGCCTTCCATGCCCCGCACCTCCTCGATGACGCACATTTTTGACGATCACAGAGCCTTTCACAGCTTGTGCTTCATCCTCAGCGGGATGCGAATTCTTAGTATCCCTCTCCGTATCTGGACTTTTGGCAAGCTTGGCAAGTTCGCTGGCTAGTGGTGTCTCATTGCGATGTCCGGGAGTACCTTTTGGAGTACGCTTGCTGTTGCGTGTCATCGCTAATCGGTCCATATTGGGTACAATCTCTTTCACTCGTTGCTTTTCGAAATAACCAATACTTTCACCGTCTAACTTGATATTCTCGAGAATTCTGCCTTCTTTTGCAAATTCCGCAAAGACTAAGACTCTGGCATCATCTTCTTCTTCCAAGAGAGGGTTTCCAGCGATGAAGACTTCTGTTATATACTCCAATGTAGCCAATCTGCCAATTTCGCCAGCTTCAAAGACCTCATTGGATCGTAAGTCGACACGCGAAAGATTGGTGAGTCTTTCTAAGCCACATAGACTCTCCAACCGGTTATGTGACAGGTTCAGAGCCTCAATCAGGGGAATTGAGTCCGGTATGCCTAGTACTGAGTCGATCAAATTGTTGCTTATATTCAATGATCGTAATTTTGTTAAAGCACTAAGAGAAGGCGGAACGGCATTGAGCAGATTGTGCGAGAGATCAATCGAGGTCAGATTGGTAATGTATGCGATAGGCGAATGGTGCACGAAGGTCAAGCTGTTGTCGGATAAGGAAAGATGCCGAAGAAAGTGCCAAGACAATGACGGAAGTGGTTCTGCAATTTCAGTCTCTTCTTCTACACCGCCTGTGGCTTCACTTGATACACCATTACTCGTATCAGTAGATGATTGCATTCCTTCGCTTTCTTCTGTTTCTTCTGATGCGTGCACTTTGCGTTTCCGTTGCGGTATCTTCTCGCCCCTCCTTCGTTTTCCATCATTCAGTACAGCATCAATGATGATATCCGAAACATCTTCCACGCCGCTCCGCTTGAATGAAAGACTACGTAGCTGCATACTCAATCGGTCCCAACCTAGGAATGCTCTTGGATCGGCGTCCTCAAATTCCAAGATCTGTACATTCTTGAATGCATCCAAAGGCACAGACATTTCACCTGGACAATCTTCAAAATCTCGAATAAGTTTTAAAGGAGGCGGACCGATTCGTAAAGCGGGCAATTTGGTCATGGACGAATAGATAAATCGAACATCTGCGGTGATATCATGCTTTTCTCCTGACCACCATGATCCTTTACCTTTTGCCGATCCTCCAAGGCCAAAAGCGCTCATTGTTGTTTGTAAAGATGACACACTCATCGTTTCTTCCCGATCGCGTTTTTTGATGGTTGCTCCGGCTGCATTATTAGAAATAAAGGCAAAGTAGGTAGATGGACGTGATCGTTTGGGTATTCGCACGTCTAAAGAGCCAATCGGTAGTCCTAGAGCTTCACAACGGATCAAAAGGTAGTACAGATGATGACTTGTAACTCTGAATGACATCGGTCGAAGGGGTGCAGCTTGAGGTTTAGAAGTTGAAGATGCTAGTGTTGACATGGTTCGTGTACGGGGTCCAGGTCTAGCGGCATTTCCTTGTGATGGGTTTGGAGTAGAAGCTGTTCCTCCTGCCAGCATCCAATTAACCGGATTGATCCAAGTTCCAATAGAAGAAGCAGAAGGGCCGGCAATATCGCCCAACTTTGCTTCGTTGTATCGAATCCATTTTGCACAATCAATCACAAACTTGTCACCTTGAACTGTGTCCATATTGCATATTGTCGTTTGTCAAGATGAGACAAATGAAGATGAAACAATGTCAAAGAGGCTTTGTTCGAGGTCGAGATGGTTGCTCCTGGCAAGACAGCGAAAGGAGAACTGCACCCTAAATGATTGGTCACTTAGTCCGTGCACTATTGCTACAGAGAGCATTCATTCAATCAAATGTTAATTTACCGGATAAGCAAGCGCAGCGCAGGGCGTGTATACCAAGCCACCCAAAAAGAACAACACTTTAAACAACACTCTGAAACACCACCATCCAGCGTGATCGTCAAGATATACAATGGCAGAGTCTGAAAAGGTGACATCCACATCTTCGAACACAGACTCTCCCTCTAGACCAATAGTGGACTTCAGAAAGCGCATTCAGGTGGTTGAATGCTATGCTAGTACGTATCTGGATTCACTCTATTCGAATTGATACTTATATGTCTTTTTGTCAGTTGAGTATCAGGACAAGCAATCTGGTTCAAGTTGGCATAACGGCCAGCTGACGTACTACAAAACAGATCGAAAGGTGAGCATGTAGAAGAAGAAGTCGTGCTCAAATTCACATACTCATAACACATCTCTCCCATGCAGGCCGTCTTATTTGGAGCCAAAAATGTCAAACTGGCTGAATGCTACAACATCGAACTCAATCCACCAAAAGTCGAAGAGGAGAAGCAAGAGAAAGAAGCAGTTGGCAAAGAAATAGTCGAAAAAGATGCAAATCACGACAGGAATAAAGATGCTAACGAGAAGCCGGAAGAGGAGCAAGTCAAATCGAGCTCACACAATCTCAACGCCCTACTCAGCAAAGAGCCAACACTGAAAGAAGGAAATGAATTCACGTTTGAGGATCGTTACTTTGTGCAAATTGGTCGCAACAAATTTGTCCATCATAAACCGTATCGAGTGGCGGGAGAAGATACGGAAAAGGCTGCAATTCGAAAACGAATCAAGAGAATCATCGATGGTCAAGAAGACATCTTCGAAAAGAGTGGCGTACTGTCTATCCGTAAAATTCAACCGCCCCAAGAACAGGAACAAGCTCGACCGCCTGTTCCACAAGCACCACCACAAAAAGTCCACAGCCACTTGGCAACTGTGCCTGCAGGGCAAGCTTCGAAGAGCTAAGATCTCTGATCCTATCGTCACCACATTGTATACTAATCTCACATCGCCAGTCTTGTATAACAATTGGCCTATCAGGCTCCCATTAATCTGACAGCTCGGCCACATATCCGTAGTCAATCGAACTTCATTGTATTACAACTATGCTGCATGACGAGTGATTGAGTATACCTTTACAGTTCCATCTGCACCCGCACTTGCGATTCTATTATCGTCTATCCAAGTTGCCCCGTTTGCACCTCCAGCAAATGCATTTTTGATCGCAATACTCTTCATAGGTTTGAGGGTAGACCAAACGTATACATTTGTATCCAAGGATGCACTCACTGCATGTGTACCATCGGGCGAAAAGGCCAAAGCGTTGATACGTGCAGTATGGAAGACCCATTGATTGAATTTGATCTTCTTTTCAGCAAGGTCGTACACGTTAATCTTTCCGTTGCTTTCGCCTGCTGCGAGATATTTGTTCCCTTTGGAGAATGCCAAAGCTGAGATTGTGCTCCTTCCACTTTCGAATGTTGCCTCATCTCGCAATTGGCCTGCACTTGCGTCCAAAGTACATAGGACCACCTTGGAATCTTCTCTTCCCAAAGCGAAATACTTGCCATCTTCAGAAACAGCAACAGAAGTGATGCTATCATTTGAAGGTCTATGTGTTTTTACGGCAGGGCTACCTAAGAAGATATCAACACCACTTGTTGTAGCGACAATAGTTGCAGAAGAGGAAGCATTTGAGGCACTAGCTACAGCTCTTGGCTGTCCGGTAAGAGGATGGGAAGTCGAGTCAAACTTTCCGCCAGTGATCCTGCGAAGGGTATCATCTAAGCTGATCGACCAAACAGAATCTTTCGAACTTGCAAGGCCAACAACGGCTGCAGACGATGAGGATCCAGAGACCAAGCTTGCCTGCCCTTTCTCATCATAGCGTAACACCCTTCCATCGAACGATCCTGCTACCAATCCACCATCTGCGGCTTTAACCAAGGCTCCTGTGCTGATCGACTTGGTAGCTCCATGTAGTTTCTCGATACTGCCGCTTTGCACATCAATGACGTTGATCTCTCCTGCCAAGCTGACGACGGCCACTTTGGCTGAACCTTCAGCAAAAGTGACACCGACCAGTTGATCATCTGCCTTGTTTCCGGTCACAATTGTGTTTTTGCCGTTGAGATCGAAGGATTTGTGTAGCTTGGCAGATTCGATATCCCACACCTTTACCAAGCCGTCAGCTCCACTAGATACGGCATATTTGGAGTCTGCGCTGAATGCAATGCTGAAGATAGTACCTTTGTGTGCTGTGTCGTCGGCACCATCAACCAAAGGTTTCGGTGAATCACCTGTCGCGCCATCATAGACAAAGATCTGTCCATCTGAACCAGCCGATACAAAATGAGATCCGCTTGGCGCATAGCTTAATGACTGAACGAATCCTTTGTGGGTGTTAATACTCTTTGCATACTTGAATGGAACTCCATTATAAAAGACGATATTTCCATCATCGCCTGCAGTAACGGCACGGAAAGGTCTAGATGTCTTCATTGCGATTGCATTGGCAACTTTTGAATGTCCAGTAACTTCACCACAACTACTACCTGAATCAATCATGAAAAAGTGACCGAATTTATCTTTTCCTTCTCCAACAATACCAATTCGTTTTGATTCTCCATCCCAAACCAAATCTGTAATTTTACCTCCTAAAGCACGAATTTCTAACTTTAAAACTTGATCTGTTCCTGCTAAATCCCAAACACGAACATTTCCACCCGTATCTGCACTTGCACAATAGAAGCCCGAAGGTGAAATTCGTGCAACGGTTGTCGGTTGAGAATGTTGTGCATATACAATCGTTTGAGCATCAGAAGTTGATGAGATTGGTCGAATGATCACTGTTCTTGATTGACAATATACCAATTTCGTTCCTTTTGGATCGGTAGAGATTGAGGTGAAGCTACCACGAGTGGTGACTGGATTAGAAGGTAGCACTTGCTCTACTTTGAATGACATCTTGAGAGGGTGTTGGGAAGATGGAGGTGAGAACAACACCTTAGTGCGCGATAGAATATGGGGTACGCGTGGAAAGTAACAGCACGCTGGCAGCCATCATTTGTTGTACTTATTGAAGCTATTCAGTCTCATGCTCAGCATAAATCAAACTTTCAGTGCAATGTTCTAATATTCTAGAATTGTATTATGACAGATATGTACTACATATCCTATTTTACTGCGCAATAATCAGATGGCTGCTGCTCCTGCTGATAATTGACGGTTCTCATATGCACCTTTGTAGAGGTATTGTTGATGTTCCTTTGCACGATAAACACCTTGAGCGGTACTTGAGCCAGGAGCGACCCAAGAAACGTTATGACCAACAGATTTCAAAAATGCAACTGTTGAATTATCAAATCCTTTCCAATTGGGAATCGTTGGTGAAGTGGTATTTTGCCATTCAAACGATGTGGTGGCAGGTAACAGTTGATCGTGCCATCTAGGCATATCGATTGATTTTTGCAGATCTATTCCACGTAAAGCATTGAAGGTGTTGATAATATTTGCTGTGATGATACGTGAACCACCAGCAGAGCCCAATGCATGAGTCGTCTTTCCACTGTTCAGATCAACTATGATTACCGGACTGATGGATGATAAAGGACGCTTGCCAGGTCGAATGAAATTGGCTTCCGTTGGTGTGTAGCCGAACGCATTGGATGATCCGGGAGAAGAAAAGTCGTCCAATTCGTCATTCAAGACGAAACCGTCAGGCGTCATCAATTGAGCGCCCCAGAATAGGTTCACGGTTGTGGTCAGAGTAACGGACAATCCATCATCGTCAATAGCGGATAATTGACTTGTTCCAGAATCCGTGAGAATAGTATAATTCTTTGGATCATAATATGATGTTGGATGAGTAGAATTGTCAGAGATCAAACTTCTTTTCTTGCGACAATCTTTGTCTGTCAAAGCATGTTTTTCCAATCTCGTGACATTCTTTACGTACGATGGGTCTCCGTAATCTGCTCTTTCTCCGTATGCGAATTTTGTCGCTTCGATCAATCTATGTGTCGTCAAATTGACACCATCATTTTCCAACGCCTTCAGACCATATTCGCTCATTGTTTTCAAAGCGCTCAAAACGACAGCGCCACTACTAGGGGCACCGCTTGAATAAACTCGTTTGTTATCCGGGAATTCAATCGAGAACGGTTCACGATCGATAGCTTTGTATTCTTTCAAATCATCCATAGTCATGATTCCTCCTGCGTTACGAATTGTTTCGATTGTACGGTTTGCGATTGCACCGGTATAAAATGCATCAACACCTTTCTTTGCGATGATTTCAAAAGTGGTTGCTAAACGTTCATTCTTGATTGTGTCACCCAATTTGGCAGCCGTTCCATTTGGACAATAGACATCTTTCCAGTAGGTTGTATTGCAAAGAAGCGAATCCTTGTATTCTTCGATTGCATAGCTCAATTGATTGGTAACTTTGAAACCATATCTGTTCAACTCAATTGCCGGTTGAATGACTTGATGCCAAGGTAATTTACCGTGTTTATTGTGCAATGTTTCAAAACCACGTAATTCACCCGGAACGCCAACGGCCAGTCCTCCAATAGTACTTGCGTTCTTGTTGGGATTGGCAGAATACATTGTCTCATTACTTGCTGCAGGAGCTGATTCACGCATATCAATCACTCGAACACCATCATGTTGACCAGAATGTTGTTTCTTTTCATCACGTAAGACGATAAAGCCACCTCCGGCAATACCACTATGGAATGAATCGATCGAATTCACACAAAATGCTGCACCAATAATTGCATCTGCAGCACTTCCTCCTTTTTGTAAGAGGTCTGCTCCAACATTACTGCATACATCCACTTCTGTTGCCACGGCTCCATTTGGTCCGATCACGGGATGTTCAGGTTTACGACCTTGAGATGCTGCATTGAGAGCGGGCAAATAATGATTGTTTCTCTTTTCTTCAACATGAGGAGGAGGTACGGCTTGTACCACTGCCAAAGTGGCTAAACATAATGAGGTAAGGACAGAAAGTTGCATGGTGTATGATGTTGGAAATAGTGTTTTGTTTTTACCAATTTGCTCAGGATTATATATACCTTTCAACTTTCTCCTTCTTTTCGGTGATTCGGTCAAGGATTTCCCTCTTTACTGAGATACTTGCGAGATTTGATTGCTAAATTGCGTTGTGCTGTTCAGCTGTGTTTTTCGCAATCACAGAGGATATATGCGGTGCAGGATTGACGTAAAAGGATTGCGGGTATGTATGATATGATGAGGCGGGGTAAGCAGGAAAGTGGGTAGAGGGTTAAGAACGTTTTGAGGAGGTGAAAATGGGGATCGTGATGGTGAGCAAGGAACATAGCATACATCACAAACACATTTACATAGCAGGACAGCCTCCATCACTCATGTATGAGCACGACATTTCATGCTATCATCAGGTACACACACACGCATCCCACATGGTATCTTCCGCATAAAGCATTAGCGTATTAAAAGAGAATAAAATTATAGCGTGATTAGTGTGGTTTTTTACGCTAACAAAAGATACAGTAACAATTTGGCCGAAGATGATACGGAAGATACGCCGCGGCCAAACAAATAAGCGGGAAAAAGATCAAAGTGGGGGGAAAAGAGAATGAGCTTAAGCAATGATACCTAAACTTGTATGACTATTAATCTTGATATGTTTATCACTTGAAGGAGTTTCAAACTTGTTATAAAGACCTTTTTCAATCTCAGCAAGTGTTCTTTCAGTTGATTTCCATAATAAGATCTCTGCATTGTACTTGTCCAAATCCATCTTTTCCAATCCGGGTACATGTCCGTTTGACATTCTTGCTGTAAGTTGAGCTTTATGTGCTTTGGGAATACGAACTTGTTCATATTTATCAAAAACTTCTTTGAAACAAGGTTTGTCATTCTCTTGAAGCATATCAGAATGTTCAGTTTGCCACTTCGCAAGGATGAAAGAAAGAGTTTCTGCATCTTCTAATGCTTGTGAAGATCCTTGTCCGGTATGTGGAACGGATGCATGGGCTCCATCTCCCACCAACACTGTACGTCCGTTCACAGACCAATGATCGATCGGATCAGAATCTCGAATCATACACATATTGATACCTTCTTCTTCATGTAGAGCTAAAAGTGAACTTGCTTCTTCGTGGAAAACTTGGAAAGTTTCATAGGCTTCTTCAGTTGGTGCACCATGTAAAATACTACCTCTAAGCACATTTCTTGTATTTGCACTTGTGGGAGAAGTCATTGGAGTAGATTGCGCTGAACTTCCATCTTCTGGTCGGCAAACTAAAGGACCACGTCCAAATCTTGCCAAAATCTCATCGGTCATTGCACCATAAGCGAACATTTGATGATAACCCTGTCTATCGATAGGGTAGAGTACGATCCTTTTATGCTGTTGCAATGCTTTCAAGATCTCTGCTGAAGACATACCTTTTTGAGGTGCATTGTGATACCAATTGGCCAAAGTTGTACTTGGTCCAATTTGACGTTCACTTTGTCCTTCAGCCAAGAATCGTATTTGTGGTCTTTCACGTAAGTCTTGAGGTGAAATGACAGACATGTAAGAATACTGGAGAATCTTTGCTTGATTTGGATTTGCTCGAGAGGTGACCATACCTGCCATGACACCTTTCTTTTCCGCTTCTTGTGCTGTTAGAACTGCTCTTCGGCCAATCTTTTCGATTCCATCTGCACAAATGAGTAAATCTGCTGAACGTTGAACGATTGGATGATCTTCTGGTGATTTAACATTGATATATTGAAATTCACCACGAGCCGCATCAATGCCGATCGTTTTGCAATGATAATGAATCATTACTTTTTCACGACCGTCTGGACGATCTTCTATGCATTTTTTTGCAAGCCAGCGAATCATTGCCGTTCTCCTACAAAAAACGCTTGGATGTCCGAACAAAGCACGAAAGTTATACTTTTGAATCGGAACGTCTGTCGGATTATCAGAAGTACGAAATAGGATTTGATTTAATTCACATCCGTTTAAATCTTCAAGTGGATCATCCATCCCTAAAAGTTTCAAACATGCAACTCCGTTTGGCGCTACTGCAATACCATAATCATCCCTTCTGGGCGAATTATCCGTTAAATCAATCGGTCCTCCTCGTTCGTAGATCTCGATCGTAAAGTTTGTTCGTTCGCGAAGAAATGCGCCGGCTGCAAGACCTGCGATTCCACCTCCAACAATGATGACGAGCATGGTGTGTGATATGAATTGGGGGAGGGGCAAGGGTAGAGGTGATGTGGAAAAGGGGTGTGGGATGGCAGTTTCGCAGATTCGCAGAAGGATTCCGGATATTTATACTTCCCGCCTCTAGCCCTTTTTTGTAAGCGTTCTTCCTTCCGATCAGCTAACCTTCTACATTTTTAAACGCCGTTGCATTTCGGCCCGTTCCGTTCATCTTATCGTACTGCAGCATTCAGTCTCTCAAAATGTCAAAGTGACTATTCCGAGACATATTAAGTCTGTGCGTTCAAGAAGGGAAGATCATTCTGATTATGATGTGGACGAAATTAGCATAAAAGTTAATTAAACTGTAAAACGCTGAAAACGCGCCTTATTTGCCGAAAAAGTAGGAACAAAGGGAAATTGAATTGACGCTAAAAGGTAAATTAAACCAGAGAACAAAGGGAATCATGTCTTTCCGTTGATCCCTTTGTTTGCAACAGTCATGGGAATAATGCATTGGAAAGTCTATGAAAAAGATTGAATTCTATCTATAAATGTGTGTGTGGGGTGAAAATATATAAAAGTACAATTGCATTTGAAACATATAAGCATCAAACTCAAACAGATCCACTAATCCGTCTAACTATATCAGCAGCCTTTTCTGCTACTCCAAAAATAGCCAAAGAAGGATGAGCGCTTAATTGCATAGGGAAAATACTTGCATCAACAACACGCAAATTCTTTGTTCCGTACACCTTGAATTCTTCATCCACAACTCCTCCCCATTCACGTTTCATCATGGCTGCCGTTCCGAAGTTGTGACAAATCAAATCATACGTTTTAAGAATGTATTCTCTCCAAACGTGATAATCGCTCCTTCTCTCTTTGTCAGAGAGAGGCGAATTGTTTGAATTCATTTGAGATACCGAAGCTGGAGTGGTGGAATTGTCAAAGTCGTAAGATTGCGGTGTAAAGTTTAATAGGCCAGGTTTGATTTCTTCTTCCCATAAAGCACGCATCTTTGGTCGGTTAAGCATCGTACGAGCAGCATCCATTGAAGCAACTTGCAAATCCATATCAAAAGATTGCGTCCAAACACGGGCATGCAAATCAACATCTTTTCCTTCCAAATTCCAAACACTGTTCTTTGTTAAGGAATGGATGAAACCTCGACTAAAAGGTTGCAGAACAAACGATTTGATCGCAATCAGATTACGTGAAAAGTATTCCCATTCTGCTACGGGCCATTGTTGTCGGAAGATGCCTCGTAACATGACTTCGTATTGACGTAAGATACCTTGCACGTTCACTGCTCCTCCTTCACGTACGATGTGGCGAGCCCATTTGTGCATATTGTTCTTTAGGTACTTTTCAATCTGCGTCACATTGTTTGGGAAGATCTTATCGATCGAAAGCATGGCCACTGCGGGAAGTGGGTCACCTGTAACGCCCAAGCGATGTAGTCCTCTTGTGGTGGCAGCCAAGATGTTGGTTGGTTTGTCTGCCAAATTACGACCAACACCAGGCAAATTGATCTTTGTCTTCACTCCAATCTTTGAGAGGATAGCCGGATCACCCACTCCGGATAACTCCAACAGCAATGGTGTGACCAATGCACCTGCAGAAACTGTTAATTGCGAATCTTGGTTATCCTCACGCAAGCGGAGATCGAACGTCGGTCCGTCCGGTCGAGCTTGAACAGTGACACCCTTTGCTCTTAGGTCTTCCTCTTGATTTTGGGATGATGTCCTTGTGCTAGCAGCTTCCACTCCTCCAAATGAGAATGGCTTCTGCCAAGATGATGTCCAAGATTTTGACGAGGGTGATTCCTTATATTCCTTGTCCTCGCCCTGTGCTTCGCCCTCTTGCCAGTTCACATGAATTCCTCTCCAGCCTGTCAAGATGACCAAATTCGAGCGTTCATACTCGATTGGTGAGAGATAGGCTGTTGCACTACTCTCGCGAGTGACATTAGTACCATGTTTGATGAAATGAGGGCAGAATGAATATCCGATTGCCTCTCCTGCGCCTGCATCAACGATTTTGTCCACTCCCAAAGTCTCATTGAGAGATTCTACAAAGCTTTGTTGTGGCAAGCCTGTGTAGCTATGAGGTGAAAAGGTTATATCCACTGGTCCATGGATACCATGACCGCTTGGTTCGTAAGTGGCGCCATGTGCGGCTGCGATCGGATGAGGTTCATGATAATTTTGTGACTTTTTCATGTAATGCAAAACTTCCTCCCAATTCCAAGATGGATTTCCGAATTCGCGAAAAGCATCAATTTGCGAAGAAGGTGGACCATCAACTTTTGCTCCATTGATCGAGGTTGAACCACCTAATCCAATTCCAAACGAATGTGTGATCGTTGCACCACCGATCTGTGGTCTGGATTGCCATTGAACCTGCAAAGCTGCATTATCCAATCGAACAGTACGAACGAGAGGATCTGTTCGCGTGTCGTTTCCTGCTTCTATCACTAACACACGCTTTTCGCGATCTTCACTTAGTCGACTTGCCATCACCATTCCTGCTAATCCACCTCCAACGACGATGTGATCGAAGTCAATATCAACGATCTTTGTTGGATCTGAAGTGATAAGAGCTGCAGTGTCTTGACTTAGTTGCTGATCGGCTTGAACGGATGTAAAGGTCAGCGCGAATAGCACTGCATATATGCATATTGTTAATGAAGTGATTCGACTCCATAAGGCCGAGTGAGAGGTGGCCATTGTGTCAGAAGACTGCCGTAGCCGAATCATGATGGGTATATTGAAAGGTGTCTTGAAGATGTATGATGGTGAGAAAGGTAGGTTTATATTACGAATCTGATCTTAAACCTCCTTACAAACCCCGATCCTTAAGTCCGACCTTGGCACTCGAGCTCAATTTCTTTAACCGTGTTTTGCATTGAGCACCTCATATTACATGAGTGGCTTATTCTGCCCATAAGAAGAAGTACAATTAGTCATCTGCATTACCGTTGTTAAAACTTCCAATTCTGTGTATAGGGTGTTGCAGATCTATAATAATTCGTTGCTAAAAGTTTCCGATGATTCAAATGCAGGTCGTCGTACAAAATTGAAGACCGAAGAATGAAGAAATAGGCAAATGGTCACTATTTTCCTTTTTAGACTGCTTTTGCTTGGATGAGCTAAGATGATTTGATCTTTTTCTCTTATCTCCTCTTAGAGTGGCGCGTTTAACAGTGAAAAAACCACCCAATCCCAGGCAAATGAAGACTCTTTTCTAAGCGCGTGTGAGATCGGGTGATTGAAGATCTTTTAATTCAAGCAGTCAACGTGTGCAGGCACGCACCTATGGCGTGCTTTATCAATGAAGCGTATTCTTGCATGCATATAATCCATCACTTATCTCACTGCCACCAAGGAAAGATCAATGATGGAGAATGATAGAATTCATTATTGACATAGAACAGGCTCTGGGAGAAGATATAGTATGACTTTGGTGGGTCAATCGAACGAACAACCGGATATATGCGTTAAATAAGGCGTTGTCTGCCCGTAGGAAGATAAGAGAAGGATAATATAAATCATAAACATGATAATCAAGCAACTTGTTTCAAAGCACCCGATTTGACGTCGTAAACATAGCCAGTGATGTTATTGGTCTGAAGGAGAGGGAAAGAACGATCAGTATCAATTCCTATCTTATACCTCGCTTCTTTCCACTCACATCAACCAATTCACTCTTTTTGAGGAATTCAACATCCGCCTTTACGTTATTCTCGACTTCTGGGAATTCGAGGAACTCCAATTGATCCAGCGTTTTCCTTCCGGTAGAATCTGCTGAAAGGTTCAGATTCTTTGCGATCAATCCACGAGCCTGATCGGTGGTAAAAGTTACCATACCGCAATCTGTATGTTGAATTACCAAGATTTCCTTCGTTGCAAGAAGCTGTTGAGAGATTACAATACTACGCAATGCTTCCGGTGCACGACCACCTGCATTCCTCACCACGTGGGCTTCACCTTCTTTGAGTCCAAGTGCGGCTGATTCAATGGGAAAGAGGGATGAATGTATTATTAGAGAACAGCTTGTACTCAAAGCAGAAAATCCTACTTACCTTCTGGAAGAATACGTGCATCCATGCATGTTAAAACGAGAACTTGCTTACTTGGTGGAAGTGGAAGTTGGTTAGCAGGACGGGAAGCCGAAAAGGCTTTATTAGCAGCGAGATAATTTGCAGTTGCAGTCATTCTTGATTATGAGGAGTAGATCAAAATGGACTGTAAGATCTCATGATCCTTCTCTTTATATATATGAAACACTGATCAATGCTCAATCTATCACCTTTTCCCATCAGACTACAATCACGCCATTGCGATCTGACCCACAACAAGTTGCACACGACATCCAAAATCCAATTAAAGAATGACGCCATACTCTAGCGTTGGCGCTAAGGTGAGGCGGGGAGATGCTTAAATAAGCACATCAAAATGTTAATCATTCTCTCCGTTTGTTCGCAGGCTGAATAGTGGCTTCCTATTCATATAATGATAATTAAAGATTCCTATCTGGAAGTCATAAATGATAGCAAGATCTCGTCCGGCTATCGTTCGAGAGATTCTTAATTCTTTAATATAATTTGATGACATACACTATATAATAGTCGTATTGACTCACTTGCCTGACTAAACCAATTCATGCAAGGCAAGAAGGGAAATATATTTGTCATTGTTAAACCAAGAATGGATGGAATGGGGTGACAAGAACGGGTCGTGAGCAGCCGGCCGGGGTCACAAGGGTTTAAAACTTCTTTTATTCTTTTTACGGATTCCAGAATTCTAATTTTATCTTATTTTACCAATCAAGAAACTGTTCAAAGATCTCGGACCTGCACTGCCTTTTACCGACTTCGGTAAGACCAGACATGAAGAAAGGGAGTAAGGATGCCGTAAATTGAAGTGGCGGATCCGTTGAAATAATTATAATATACCAAATTACTACCGTGCCGAAATGGAAAAGTCTGGTAAACGGTCATTTTGCTCAAACTCAACGTATGTCACAAACGCATCAGGTCATATGCCCCCCTAAATCGGAAGTTAAAGGCGCACAATCAAGGGAAGGGACAAACAGGAGGAAAATTTACGTGCTTGAAGATATTAAAAGTTACTCGAATGAAAAAATCTCCCCCACTTTCTTGATGATGGCCATCAATTCTGAATTCCACTGACAGTCCCGACCCCCTTTCAAGCATGTCCGATACAACAACAAATACAACCATCCAGTTTAAACTCACCAAGGAGCAAGCACTTGCAGCTTTTGCGCATAACAAAGAAAGAGCAACTCATTTTGCGAATCTATTATGGATCGTAATCGGATGTGCGTTGGGTTTCTTTTTGATTTTACAAATCTTGTTCAAGATTGAAGCCTGGATTTGGTCAAGAACGATTCGTGGAAGTTTAGATGTTTACGAATTAACACCAAATCCAAGAAGGAGAAATAACGATGATTGGTCTTCGATGAACAATAGTATAGCTCCAACGCATATGTGGCCTCACGTTCCTTTTTGGCAAAGATTCATTCGTGCCATTTTGGCTTTTTATAGGAAATACTTCTTTTCCGTCAATGTGCCAATCATCAATATCTCTTTGGCAGAATTAGGACTAGTGATGCTATATGCAGGTTTCATGTCAGCAATCCTGGTCATTGATACGCCAAATATTCCGCCCAATCCGCTCGTTCCGCACATCACTGTGATTGGTATTGCAAATCGAGCTGGTCTCTTGGCTGTTGCATCCTTACCACTCAATGTTTTACTTTCCAATAGGATCAGTTTGGTGAGTATGTTAATGGGACAATCCTTTGACAGGATTCAATATCTGCATAGATGGATAGGCAGGGTAACATTAGCCTTAGCAATCACACATGGAACATGCAAATTGATTCAAATGGACACTTTCGGCGATCATTCATTCAGAAGGTTTGGTCTTGGTGCTTTTTGTATCGCTGGCTTTTTGATGGTTTTCAGTAATCGATTAATGTTGCAAAAAGCATATGAAACTTTTATAGCATTTCATATGGCTGCAGTCATTTCGTTCATTTGTTTGATTTGGTTCCATATGCCACGTCACAAAGGTTATTTAATTGCAACAATTGGACTTTGGGTTGCTGATCGAGCATTACGATGGATTAGAATAATCTTTTATAACAGCCTTTGGCGCTGTGGTCGTTCAAGTTGTACGGAAACGGCTACTTTGCGATTGCTTTCTCATGATACCACTCGTTTAGAAGTTCTCAAACCTGACTTTGCACCTTGGAAAGCCGGTGCATACGCTTATGTTTCCACACCCGGAATGCCTTGGTGGCCACAAAGTCATCCATTCACAATCGCTTCTCGTCCTTCAAGAATGCATATCAGTCATGCGCCAGAATCAAAGAAGGGAGGAGGCGAATTGTTAAGGCCACAGCCAAATTTGATCTTTTTGATCCGGGCAAGAAATGGTTGGACAAGAAAATTACACAAATTGGCACAAAATACCGTTTCGCCAAGCATACCGGTGATCATTGATGGTCCTTATGACGGTGCGCCTGAGTTGCACAATTGTTTCGATACAGTCTTGCTTTTTGCTGGAGGTGCCGGTATTTCATGGACGTTGCCTCTTCTGATTGATCTAGTAGAAAAAGCAAGAAGGAACCAATCTGCTGTTAGACGAGTAATCTGGGTCTGTGCTTTACGTCATTATGTCAATTATGATTGGTTCTTCGGAGAATTAGAACAAATCGTTCAAATGAGCGGAAATGCATGGATTGACGTTCGAATTCATTATACGACAGATACGCAAGATGTGGCAAATGTTCCGGCTTTCTTTAGACCCGGAAGACCGGATATCGAGTTTATCATCGAAGAAGCAGTCAATGCTGCTAAAGGTAGATTATTTATAGGAGGTGAGTTCAGGGGTAGTGAAAATGAAATTCATGAAATACTGACCTTCCACATCTACCTACAGTGTCTGGTCCTGCTGGGCCGAGTGAAGAGGTACGCAGATGTGCTCGTATAATGACAAGTCCAAGTGCAATCCTACGAGGTGATCCGAGAGGCGATATTTATTTCCATAGTGAAGTGTTTGGTTGGTGATTTATCCCGATTTTTTTTTCGGCTACAGTGACATGCTTTGATTTGGTTTAAGTTTTGTATGTTTATCACTCTTTCTATCTTTGATCTTGAATATAATATAAGATTTCCTCATCTTAACACTTCCCAATCGAAATGAAAGGCGGTTCAACCACCTTCATTTTAATGCGCCAGCGCTCGGGTTACCGTCTTCATATGAAGGTTCACCAAAAATAACTTTCATACGGTACCGAAAAGGAATCTTCCAAAGAAGCGAAAAATGATCTTTAATAAGTCCATATCCGACTCACCCTCTTACAGCAAGGGGGAAAGCGACTATGATTTATGTCAAATGTCAGTAACTTGACATGTCTTTGTTCAAGGAAGCTAAGCTCTTGTATTCAAATTTTGCTCCTAATCCCTGAAGAGGGGCCGATGAGAAAATCAATATTTGCAATCTGGAATCCCTTTCCGGTTAATTGATAGTCAAGGGATAAAGACCGCAAGGAATCTGCGTGCAAGGTGTCGATTGACCTTTTGATCTGATCAACCACCCCAAACCAATCCGACAATGAATGGGCGATTACGATTTCACTTTGTGCTGGCTTTATTGCTGGCATTTGCTATAACGGCTTATTCTCATCCAAAGATCAAAAAAGTTCAGAAACGTTTGCTAAATTTGGACAAGACATTAACGATTCTAGAACCTGCAACGTCAAAGTTACCGATCGTGAATAAGGGTATACCACCTCTATCAAGTTTATTGGAAAACAGTACGGTAACAAGGGTATGTGAACAACTCGACAAAGTCAAATCTGCCAGAGCAGAAGTTCTTTATGTTGGTGCATTGGGTTATATTGCTTCTGTTGAGCATTATATGGCTTCTTCGTCCGCTTTACCTTCTTGCGTCTTTCGTCCGGCAATAACGAATGACGTCGTTCTTGCTTTACAAATAATTGATCAAGAAAGGATCGAGTTCTCGGTAAATAGCGGAAAACATACTGGAAATCCCGGATTCAGCTCAACGAAAGGTGGATTACAAATTGATATGCGAAGGTTCAGTCAAGTGACTTTGTCCCAAGATCGAACATACGTTGACATTGGTCCTGGAAACGTTTGGGATAATGTTTATGCCGTTTTACAAGGTACAGGAAGGATGGTAAAAGGCGGCAGAGTGAGCGGAGTTGGGGTTGGCGGATTAATGACGGGTGGTGGTGGCTATAGCTTTTTCACGCAAAAGTATGGAATGGCGACAGATTCACTCATAAGCATTGATATCGTTCTTCCTAATGCAACGCATGTTACCACTTCAGCCGAATCCGACCCAGATCTCTTTTGGGCGGTCAAAGGAGGAGGTAATCAATTCGGTATCGTGACCAATTTTAGGGTCAAAACGTTTGCCGTTCCATCTGTAGTTTGGGGTGGAACCAGGCTTTACACTGGTCACGAAGAAGATTTCAAACAGTACACATTGAACATCGCACAAAATCTCACCGATAGAAACGCATCAGCTTCGATCGAATTCATTTATTACGCAAAAACGCCAATATTTGCCATACAAGCCTATTATGATGACGCTGAATCTCCTGCAGGCACTTTTGATTCAGGCTTGCCGCCAAAGGCACTCTTGCAACCTTTGCTGGATACATGGGGTCCAAACAATATGAAAGATATAGTCACAAGCTCACCTTCTAATTTAACGATCGGATTACGAGGCTGTTTCAACGTCGCTTCTTTACACTACTATAGCAAAACAATTCTTGACGTAGCAATCAACGAGATTGATAAACTCAATGCAGATCTTCTACATTCCGGCTTCTACTTCCACGTTGCAATTGAACCTGCAGGTCACAATTATGGTGCATATGCTGATCCAACAAATAGTAGTCCATTCCCATACTACAAAAGTCCACAATCTTTACTGTTTTATTTCGGTTGGGTGAGTGAATTGGATGATGAATTTTATTTCCAAGCAATCAAGAATGCCGTTCAATTGGTGGAAGATCAAGCAAGATCTGAAGGTCAAAATGTTGATAATCTTGAGGTTTATCCAAATTATTCTATTTTCGATACACCTCCGGAGAAGTTGTTTGGAGATACCAACTTGGCCAGATTACAAGAAATCAAGAAAAAGTATGATCCTAACGGTATAATGCGTTTAACGACTTCGTTTGCATTTTGATGTGAGGAAGAGAGAGAGAGAGAGCCCGTTGCACCATTTAACACGCGCTAAAGCTGCACTCCGGTCTCCGATCAATTCGGGATCGGATATAATTTTGTATATATATTTGTTGCCCATGAATGAAAGATATATACCCCCTTCATTACCATCACAAATGTTAGAAGAAAAGGTGGGAATCACTGTAATTGGAGCGGCTGGATTGATCGGTAAACGACATGTAGAACACATCCTAGAAAATAAGCAGGCAAAGCTACATTCGATCGTTGATCCAACACCTGCAGCTCAATCAATAGCCAAAGAAGCAAATGTTCAGCAATATTTAGATCTCTCTGAACTTCTGCAGCATTCTGAAGGACTTCATGCTGCTATCGTTGCCACTCCGACTGGGATGCACATCCAACAAGCATGTCAATTGGTAAGAGGAGGTATTCATGTTTTAGTCGAAAAGCCTTTGTGTAATACAGTAGAAGAAGCACAACCTTTATTGCAAGCTTGTCGTCAACCGGGTGCTGGTACAGTATTGGTAGGATTCCATCGTCGATTCAACCCTTATATACTTCATTTAAAAAGCATTCTTGATGGTGAACAATCCAATCTGGGCACTTCTCCTGTAGGCACAATCGTAGCAGTGAATGGATTATGGTGTACGCGCAAACCATTAACATACTTTCGTCAAGCACCATGGAGAGCAGAAAGGGGAAAAGGTGGCGGTGTGATCTTGACAAACTTAAGTCACGAATTGGATTTGATGCGATTTTTATTTGGAGAGATAACTAGAGTTTTTGCTGAACCCGGAAGTACGACCCGTGGTTTTGACGTTGAAGAAACGGTGGCTATTACGTTAAAATTTCAAAGCGGTTGTGTTGGAACGATTATATTATCAGATTCCGCTCTTACTCCTTATACATTCGAAAGTGCAACGGGTGAAAATCCTTTCTTGGCAAAACATCATCAACCAGTTTATACCATCATGGGCACTTCAGGAACGATCAATTTTCCAAATATGGAATTATGGTCATTCACAGGTCAGTCTATCGAAGGAGGTGATTGGACGTTACCTTTAACACAATCCAAACAAGCAGCTCTTCCTTTTGATCAAGAATTTGCAACTGATACCGGGCCGAATTCTCCGTTTGCTAAACGTCTTCAACATTGGTTAGACTTCATCCAAGGCAAATCTGAAACTTTGTCATGTACTCTAGATGATGGCTTACGAAATATGGCTATACTGGAAGCCATCCTAAGCAGCGCAAGTTCAGGCGAAGCAGTCGTTGTTTGAAATGTGCATCAAGTTACAAAGTGCTACAAAGTAGTGATTGCATTCCTGCTCTATGTCCCTGCATAATCATTGCTAAGTTAAAAATACAGTGCGCCAACGTTTACTGCCAAAGAGCCACTGGTCCTCCATCCTGGAAAGGACTAGATCCAAAGCCATTGACTGCTGCTGATGTTGGGCTACCTCTTCTGTTCGTCTGTTCGTTACTCTCATCAAGCCTGTCAACTTCAACGTTCTCCTCTATGACTTCTGCTGGATCACCATTTGGAGACCTTTTCAAATTGCGAATTTTGCGTGCTTGCCAAAATAGAGTCGGAGGATGTTCAAATACTCTTCTTGCTTGAGTCAATTCTTTACTGAACTCTCTCCATGTTACATCATCGGGTAATCGAAGTTGACCAGATTGCGTTCGAACAGAAGATACCAAACTTCCAATCGGTGGTGTGGGAATCGTTTGAGTGCTTTGTTGCTTCACTTTTGTCCCTACCTTCTTGCGTTTTTCTTGTATCGCACGATTTGCCGCTTCTTGTCGTATACCATCAATACTACCGTAATCACGAATCAGACTCAAAGCCCTTCTAGGCCCTATGCCAGGAATAGTGCGATTGAAATCTGTCCCACAAAGCAGTGCAAAATCCAACATTTGACGTCTGCTTAATCGGTCTGCATCATTGAGATTTGCGTTATTCTGATGCAGCAATTCTAGCTGACCTGCATTGTCTGTTGTTTGTTGCTCCGCTGAAATTTCTTCAATCTCATCAGACATAGCAAATGCAGAAGCAGGAGTGAGATGTGACGTATCATCTGTGGATTTATTGATAGGAGGAAAGAATGCTTTACGCACTGCCGAAGAATCGATCAATTCCAATTTTTTGTGGCCCATCACACCTCTGAGTAAAGGGACATCGTAGAGAAGGACGTCACTATCTTCACTTGCTACCATATCCGCATACCCATGTCGAACGAGCATCGAAGCCATTGCTTCAGCTTCATGAGGTCTTCCTGCACCTTTTGTTCCATCACCGGTCCATAAGACGGGAACGCCAAATGCTTCACATACAGAAGCAGATTCGGTAAAAATGCATGGAGAAAGGGCTGCAGAGGATTTGCTATAAGATCTTTGCATTTGTTGGTTTCGCTCGCTTATCAAGCTCAATTGCTCAGCAGCAACCAAATCAACATTATCTAACGAAAATATTGATGTCGATGGTTCGTCTTCGCTTGCCTCTGCTTCGGCAGTCGCAGCACTTGCTTCTTTTTCTGCAGTACTCGAAAGATGAGCAGTAGTAAGAATATCTTGGTTGGTCTCGTGAGCATCTTCAGTATCTGTCTTTGCTCTGTCTGAATCTCCCACTTCTGCTTCTGAATATATCAATCGTTTATACACCTTATCTTCAGCCAACGTCATTTGTTGTTGTGATGGTGTTTCAGCAGGCCATTCCGTTGCTGTATTGAGTGTTCGTGCCATCGTTCCTGCTCTTGCAGCTTGTTCAGCATGTTGTCTACTCAAAGCCCATACCTGTGCTGCTAATTGCATCTCTGTAGAATCCTCTGCTTCCTTCACTTGAGACCAAATTTGATCGTCTGACAGAGTGTTGCGGGAGGCTGAAGATGGAGTTACACGATCAGAACTCATCTGTTCCGCAATCAATTTCCATGCAAGAGGATCCGACAGCATTTCTTTCTCTTCACTATCCTTTATGCCATCACTCCATTGCCTTTCCTGGCCATCGATGTGCTCATGCATGCTTCTGAGAGTGTCACTCGCCATTCGCTCCAAATTGCTTATCTGTGTCGTTTGCAGTATTTCATCATCAGTTGAAAAGGAGGCAGCTTGTTGATCCAAAAAGTCGCCTGCCCAATCCTCTGGATCTGAGATGTGGCTTTCTAGATTATCGTTATCGTTCCATTTCTGTAGCAAGATCGCCGTCCTTATCCTTTGTTCTTTCGTCATTTCCGACCATTTCTGTAAGACAACTTGTAGCCTTTTGAGCCTTTTGGCACGTTGGGCCTCAATCTTGGCTCGTAATGTCAACTTTCCTCTTCTACTCCTTCTCTTTTCGTGTTCTCGCATCTTTGCCGGTAATCGTGCACCCTGTCCAACACCATCGAAAACCATAATCGGAACAAGGTCATGTTCACGAAATTGTTTGAGTAATCGTCTAAAACCTATAGCATGTCTATCTTCATGATCTTCGGCAAAATGCAATCTTTGTACCAACAATGTTGCATCAATTGCTAATCTTGTTTGACGAGGCAAAGCAGCAAAAGAACGTAAAGTTGTAATGCATTGTGGAGCATGTTGTTTGATTAAAGGAAATATGCCACGAATGCCGTTTAGCACTTGTGTAGCATGCATCCTTCACTCTTTGTCATATATTCATCCGATCACAATCCTTCCCTCCATCTCTGATTTGATGATGATGATTGAAAGCAATTCCGATTCAAGAGGTGTTGGTCTAATTGCATAAAACGCGGTCAAAGCTGATTACCCTAATCTTCACGCGTCCCCCCTATCAAGCCCAAACCTTCTCCCCTTCTCCTTTTCCCGTTCTAAATTCAATCACTCCTTTCTACACTTTGTACTCATTCTCATTTTTACACAAAACGCAATATTATAAAGAGATACACTATTCATATACGAGAAGAGAAGCCAACAGATCACTTCAAGTAACCGTTAGCCTGTAACCAAGAACGAACATCTTCGGCATCCTTCTTTAACCAATAAGCATTTGCCCGTACAGCATCTAAACCTTGTTCTAAACCGGTTGAGAATTGTTTCGTATTCTTTGTACTGAAGAACTTACGAATTGAATCATAATCTTCTTGAGTTGTGAAAGATCGTGTTGCATATTCCACCATCCTGACAAACATCAATCCGCCAGTAAATCTCTTCGTTAATTCTTCCAAACGATCTTGTAACGATTGCAAGATCAATCTACGTGATGCAGGATTGGCCGAAAGGGCTGCGTAGTAGTACATGAAATCTTGTTCCTTAACATCCGTGTAGATGAATTCAATCGTTTCACGACAAATTTGTTCATCACGAGAAGATCCCATGGCCAACATTGCTGCTGTCTTGTGACTTGGTGTCGCAGGTTTCTTGTAAACTGCCTTCACAGCTTCATATTCTGCTCTTCCACCGTATTTGACCATTGTACGGAATGTGACTTGCAAAAGATCAGGATGGATCTTGCTGTCATCTTGAGGATCTTTCAAAAGTGGAGCAAAGTTGGCACGCATTTGTTCCAAAACCCATGGATCACCACCTCCAGCAGCAGCTCCGATTACCGTACTGCGCAATTGACGGGCTTCAGGAGATTCATTCTCAGGGAAAGTGAATCCTAAACGTTTAGCAGATGGTCCAAAGACATCCGAGCGGAATCTATCAACTGCATCCCGAACATCTTGTGGTTGTTCCCACCAAACACTACCCATTTCACCAACACTGCTTGCCAAAGCACTGTTTACCAAATAAGTAGGATCATCACGCAATGCTTTGATCAATGTTAATGCACCAGAAGTCTTTGCGTATCCTGCTTGGGCCAAAACGAAAGCGTCAGACACCAAACCGACACGGTCTTCCAATGTCAAAATACCGTCCTTCTTCGTTGCCTCTTTGCCCAATTTGCTCAAATGCTCAGGTGAATAAGCAACTCTGTAAACACCAATCGTGCCTGCGTTCAATTTCCAAGCACCGTCACCGGCAGGTTTAGGGATGACTTGTTCGCGTTCGGTCAAGAACAGATCTTTATCAACAGAGCCATCTGCTTTTTTGAGCATCAATGGAATGTGCCAAATCGTCTTGTCTTCTTCCGGCTTTAGGTCAAGCAAGAGACGGTTTTGTTTCACACGAATCTTGTCACCTTCTTCGGTAACGGTAATGACTGGGAAACCTTGTTTGAGTACCCATGATTCCATGATCTTGGAAACGTCAGTGCCGCTCACTTCTGTGATTGCATTCCACAAATCAACCGTTTCAGCATTTCCAAACTTGTGCTTGCTGATGTACTTTGCAACACCTTTCAAGAAAACGTCTTGGCCGATCATTTCACTCAACATGCGCAAAACAGATGCACCTTTTGCGTATGAAATTGCATCAAAGATTTGATTGATGGCTGATTCGACATCTTCACCTTGCAATGGCACTTCGATCGGATGACTTGAACGTTTGCTGTCCAAGTCCAAAGCGCGGAAGAGGTGATTTGTGATGAACTCTGAAGCGCTATTCCACTCGGGGAAGCACATGTCCAAGATGATACTCTCACCCATGAGGGTAGCGAATGATTCATTGAGCCACAATTGTGTCCACCATGCAAGGGTAGCCAAATTACCGAACCATTGATGTGCGATTTCGTGCGATTGAACACCTGCGGTTCTCTTTTGACCTGCAAGACCTGATTTGGCGGGATCATAGAGATAGACACTTGTTCGTCCAGTGATCAAACCTGCATTCTCCATAGCTCCTGCGTCAAAGTCGGATGCGATCAAAGTGTCACATTTTGGCATCATGAAAGGCTCAGCGAATACTTTTTCGTAGACTGGCAAAACCTTTGCAGTGACATCAAGTGTGTATTGAGTTTGATGGATGTACTCTTTCGTTGCGTAAACACGGAGCGGAACGGTTCGGCCATCTGATGATTTGTAACTCGATTCAATGTGCACAAAGTCACCGTTTGCCCAAGCGACAAGGTAGGTGGACAACAATGGAGTCTTTCCAAATGTACTAATACTCCATCCTTCTACATCGGAAGAAGCTGCAGCTGTTTCTGTTTTGCTCTCAGTCTTGCCTTCCGTCTTGCCGGCAGCTGCAACGTCTTTCACTTCAAGTTCTTGTAAGCGTAGGAGCTTGTGTGCTTCGTTCAAAGTGATATCTTTGGTAGATGTGACTGGCATGTTACCCAATGGTACAGTGCTCTTGCGATGAATCATTGTGAACGAGTACGTAGCTTTCATTGCAGGTTCATCAAAGCTTGGGAATGCACGACGGGCATAAGTTGGCTCGAATTGGGTCAAAGCATAGAATCCTTTTTCTCCTTCATGTTCCCAAGATGATTGATAGTAACCAGTCATAGATTTATCAATTTCACCTTTGAAAGCAATTGTGATGGAAGCCTTACTGCCTTTGGGCAATTTGGCTGCTAATTTTGCAGTTGCACGTTCATGAGCAGAATCGACGTCCAATGCAACAACACTTTTACTCTCGGTTTTGAGAGCGTCACTTGAGACGATGCATTTACCGACGTTCAATTTTGGACCGACGTTGAGTGTAATTTTGTCAACTTCCTCATGAACATCTAGTGTAGCAGTCACGATACCGGAAAATGTCAAAGATTTGAGATCTGACAAGATTGCGAGATCGTAATGAGTGGGCAAGACATTACGGGGAAGACGAAAGAATTCAGAGCCATCAGCGGGAGCGTTTGAGGAGGACATTGTTGAAGAGGAACGTAAATGGTTCAAGAGAGCTCTTAATCGTTCCACGTTGGCTGTAATTTGGGGGCGATTAGAGCCAGTAAAAGGAAGGTTTGATTTCTGCGATGGGGAAGGAAAGATGGATTGAAAGCCAATGGCAATCAGAGCGAGTGTGAGCGAAATGAGAAAGAAGTAGGTTGTTTTAGAACGTCGTGAAGAGGAAGAAGGTTGGTAATGCCTTGGATGCTCTTTTGACATACCAATCAATCTTCTACTTCAACCCAAGGTGCGTACCTTTTTGTTCAAAGAAGAGATTGATCTATACCGTAATCCAACAGGTGACGGTAAGAGGTGTTTCGAAATGCTGCTTGTTGTTGTTATTGTTCTTGGCAAACGAACAGAAGTAGCAAAGAATGATCGCATATAGGATCACAAAAGGATGATTGAAGAAACAAGAACAGAAGATAAAGTAAGGTACGCTGAGCCGCTATTTGCCTAATCGTCTGACATCCTTCTTCTTTTCTCTGGTGTAATGCTCGTTTGAGCTTAAAAACACAATATACAAGTATATCTGTGGCCCATGCGAAATGGACACGCGGTTGGTGCATCTTCTTCTAATTTCATTGTGTGTGCACTGTACACCGGCTTTGGATCCGCGTAAACGGTGCCGTTTAAAGCGAAGGTGACTGAAGAAGAATAAATGCTGTTTAGCAATGACCTCGAGCATATTTGATTAATATATGATGAACTCATATGTTCCAAAGAAAGTGATACCTATGAATTAAACATGTGAAGCAACTCAAGGCAATGAAGTGAAAACATTTAGACAAACACGCACACGCCTATGGGTCCGATGAAAGGGTCATTCATCTTTTTCATATATACACTTTTCATTTAATGTGCTTTAAGCAAAGAAACAATCTCTTTGGCTAATCCATGTCCAGATTGAGGATTAGCACCAGTGATCAAAATTCTACCTTGACTGTCTTTATCGACGACAACTTTTTCAGTCCAAGGTGTTCCTTTTTGGAATTCACCTCCACGTTCACCCAAGCGAGTTTCGACTAGGTAAGGACAATGGTCAACCATTTGAGCTTGTTCTTCTTCTTCGTTGGAGAAAGATGTAACCTTTCTGCCTTTGACAAGGTAAGAACCATCGCTTAGCTTAACGTTGGTGAGCACGACGGGTGCGTGACAAACAGCAGAAACGATTCTACCGGATTCATAGAACGATCTAATCAAAGCTTGAGAATGATCATCGTCTGGCAATCCGATCAAAGGTCCATGTCCACCTGGGTAAAAGATGGCATCGTATTCCTTTGCGGGTGGTTGTACTTGCGAAATTGGAATACTGTTCTCTAGCCATTGTTGGGCTTCTTTGTCTTGCAGGAACTTCTTGGATTGAGCATCCTTTTCGCCAAATGCATCAACCGAACTTTGATCCAATGGTGGCTTTCCACCTTTTTCACTTGCTGCCACCAATTCGAAGCCTGCCTCCTTCAAGGTGTAGTATGGATGGGCTGCTTCGGGTAGGTACCATCCTGTCTTTTTGTCAGTGTTGTGCAATTTGTCGTTTGAGGTAAAGACGAAAAGAATTTTTGGTGCCATGTTGAATTGTATTATTTGATGTGATAGATATCAATATGGTTAAGAATGAGATTGTTGTTTATATGGAATTGTTCTTATACTTTTATTTTGCCACGTTCGGGAAGCATAACGAAAAGGTTCTCACAACGCCATCTTTTGTGGAGGAGAATGTAGCGTATTTTGGGCTCCACAGCACTCTCCCAGCTAAACTTCTCAAAAGCCGTGCGAAGTGGCGCTTTTAAGCACGAAAGGGTAATACGGCCGAAACAATCTGATATGCTGTTGATGTCGAAAGATGGATGAATTAAATAAATACAATATGTGGAAAACACTCTTCTAAAATTGGAAGTGGAATTGACCTCCTGGGAAACCGCCTGATTGGAATCCACCTTGTTGGAAGAAGAATTGTTGGCCTCCGAACCCTTGTGCGAACGGATTTCCTGCTCCGCCTTGATGACCTCCCATTGGATCGTTTGGATCATCACCTGCATCAAATCTTGCACGTAATTCAGGATCTTTGAGAACATCAAACGCTTCATTGATCTCTGCCATCTTTTCAGGTGAACCTCCTTTATCCGGGTGATTCTCCCGTGCTTTGGCTCGATAAGCTTTCTTTAATGCCTTTTCGTCTACGTTCTTAGGTACGCCCAAGACTTTGTAGTAATCCTTACTCTTGCTTAATTTCAACTTCTTTTCAGCTTTTTGTAATTTGGCATGAATCTTTTGATCCTGTTTATTGGAGGCTTCAAATGCTTTGCGGAGATCTCGAACTGCTTCTTCAAACTCATCGGCTTCCATATGTTGCTCTGCGCGAGCCACTCGTCCGTAGCGATTATCTTCATCTCTTTCCAAAACCTTGTTACAGTATGGCATCGCTTTCTTAATCTCTTCCAATTCCGTATGCGCTCTGCAGTGAAGCTCATTCAATTCGAAGAGTAATGCACTCTGTTGAACGGCATCATGCAGGGAAGCAGGTAGAACGCTTTCCTGATCTCCTTCCACCACTTTGAGATCATCTTCGATTGCCTTTTGCACCTCTTGCATCACCGTTGGACCGCCTACTTTTGCTCCTTTAAGGGCACTCAACATCGCTCTCCAGCTGTTTGCATCGGAGAAGTTCTTGGCTTTCTTGAGTGCTTTTTCGATATTCCTTAGCCTGCGATGTGCTTTGGCACAACGTTTATTGTCCGGGTCAGAGTTCAAGCATGCTTTCAGATGAGCCAATCCTGCTTCACGTCCTTGCGATTCTTGCTCACCAAAGACGAAATAGGATAGCGAAGAAAGTCTCAAAAGCAAGGATGGAGATGGTGATAAGTTCGCAATACGTGTCCAGTCGGCCATTGCATCTTGCACTTCACCCTTGTACAGTGCACAATCTGCCCTGGCTCTTCGTGCTTCCAGCAATGTAGGGGAAGCTTCTAGGATTTGTCCAGCAAATCGGATGCAGTCGTCCAATTTAGCTGCCAGACTACTATCCTTCTTTGCATCTTTTCCTGCCTTTATGGACTTATCGACAGCTTCCTTTGTCTTACGCAGAGACTTTAAAGTGGATTGAGTAGCATCGATGGTCTTTTGAAGTTCTTTGGCTTCCTCATCGTCCTTCTTGAGCTTCAGGTACTCTTTGATCGAGCTCTTTGCTTCTTCTAAATCACCTTCTTTGGTTAACAAGCTTGCTCTTTGAAAGTGCGCTTGTGCAAATGATGGATTGAGAGTGATAATCTTATCGAAATCTGCCAAAGCAGAAGATGAACGTCCCAATGATAAAGATGCAGTTGCACGTCTATAATAACTCAAATAGTTCTTTGGATCTTGTTCGATTGCTTGATCGAAATGATCGATTGCATCTGCGAATTTACCTCTTGTCATAGAAGCAGTTCCTTTCTTCAGTAATTCGGCAGCTGAAAGTGTACCACCATCTTCGCCATCCAATGGAACTTGAGCATTTTCTTGTGCCAATGCTGTTGAAACACTTGCCAAAGCCAAGGCAATACTGATCAACAGCAAAGATGCGGCCGTTAAGCGTACGCCTGTGAAGCGCATGATTGCCGTAAGAATTGATCGTTGTAGATGACAGTGATGGTGATGGAGTAAATGGTAAGAGGGATGGATGGAGAATTATGAGATTTGGAATGATTGAAAGTACAAACAAGGCACAAGAGCAGAGTGAAACGTACGCATACAAGCGGGGGTAAAAGGCTCTGCATATATTTTAAAGCTGTCACAGTCCTAGTGCCTGTGGTTCTAGACCAATTTCCGCCCTATTGACGTGGAAAGAGAAAGAGAGATTCTTTTGCCGCTAAACCTAATGTCCGCCGCTTGTTGAGTGTCGGACAAGCGATTAGGAGTAAATCCTCCACCATTAATCATCTTGTGATCAAACCTTCTTCCAGATCAGCTTGTCAACAACACAAGCACAAATATATACGATGGGCGATTGAGAGTCACCCTTTCCCATCATGGACCCATATACACCCCTTTTTGCTGCCCTAAGGCCTGGACTAGAACAAGTCAAAGTGGCTATCGAATGTGAATTACCAAGAAAGAATTCCGTTACAATCTCCTCGTTATCTTCTTTGGGCGAGAATAATGGCTCAAAGGTAAACGAATCACCTAATGCACAAGATGATGACGATGCAACGACAACAGGAAGTAGTGTAGAAGCAAATGCTGGAACAGGTAACAAATCCGACCCTTTTGCAAATCGCAGGATATATGCACTTGTTACCAATGTAGAACAAGGACACGAAGAAGGTTGCATATTCGTCTTCAAAAGAAGGAGGAATGATCCGACAAAGGTGAAGATCGTAGATGGGCTTCCGATTTTGCCAGGCTTCAAGGCTTCTGTACAGCAAGTTGCCCGACCAGTCTCGGAGAATGCAAGCACATCGCCATCCACTTCCGCCTCTGATCTCCAAATCGATATGAGCTTGGCGGGCAAATCTATTTCAGCTTCTTCTTCCGATGCGCAATCCATACGAGATTTGCTTAAAGTAGTGCGTGAGGCTGCTAGTAGAGCAGAAGAGGTCGCGACCGAAAGACAGCAGAATGGTACAAACGGTACAGATGATTCTAACGCGCATCGACTTCACCTACATCGGCACCATCATCATACGAAGTCTGCCGAGCCTCTGACGCATGCTTGGGTAGAGCATTACATGGATGTAGATAGGACAATTTCAGGTGAACAGACGCCGATATTTTCCCGCTTTACCACAAGTGCATTTCTACCTCCCAGAACGGAACGACCAAGAGCCCCTTCGCCTGCTGCCGGTGAAGTGAAGGTGAGCTTTGGTACATTCAATGTCAATGCACAGGTGCCATCTTTTGGGTCTTCTTCGTCATCGCTAAATTCTTGGCTTCATGTTTTGGAGGATGAACCGGATATCCTCATAATCGCATTACAAGAAGTAGACAGCTCTGGTCTTTCATATGTTGTTTGGACACCACAAGTTGAAGCTGGATGGACAGATGCAATTGAAGCTTCAATGGGACGTGAAACAAGTTCGTATCGAAAATTGGCAAGTAAACAATTGGTTGGTGTTTTGTTATTCGCTTATGTTCGTACATCGCTTTTGCCGAGGATAGGATCTCCAGCTTTGGCTAGCGTGGGCGTCGGTTTTGGTGGCTGGGCTGCTAATAAGGGAGCAGTTGCCATTCGATTCACGTTGGATGATATCTCGCTCTGCTTTGTTGGCTCGCATCTCTCCGCTTTTAGTACACCCGAAGCAAGAGAAAGGAGAAGATGGGATCATCATGAGATCGTGAAAAGATTGAAATTCGTCTTTGTGGAAGACTATGAAGTAGAAAAGCCGGAAACACAAGGGAAAGATGTCGGATCAGAAGATTCGATCGAAAGTGCTGCTGAATCTGCCTTGCGGGAACAATTAAGGCGGTCGAGTATTTTGAGCACAGATGATGCTCGAAGTAAAACGCCTTCAAGCATCGCTGCAGATGCAACTACCGCTGATACAGATTTGGGGGACGATATGAGCGAATCTGCTCAACTTCAACAATGGACAATATACGATCACGATGTCGTCTTTTGGGGAGGGGACTTGAATTCACGCTTAGGTTTGAGCACATTCGAAGTGAAGAGATTGATACGAAAACGCCAGTTTGAATCTACTTTGCTCAAATTTGATCAGCTCAGGAGCGAGTTATCATCACGAGCTTCTTTTCAAGATTTCAAAGAACAAGAGATTGACTTTGCTCCTACGTATAAATTCGATCGAGGAACTGATACGTACGATACCAGTGAAAAACAAAGATGTCCTGCATGGACAGATCGGATACTGTGGAAAGAGAAGGATTCACAGTCTCGCGTTCATCCTATTGCATATGAGAGCGCTCACAATATTCGACTTAGCGATCACAAGCCTGTATTGGCAACTTTCCTGCTTCGAACATCGGAGGAATGATTATGGACTTTTATCTCAATGAATCTGTACTACTCTTTACTGGAATGCATAACGAATAAGACTTCAATTTGATTGCTAGTTGTATTGAGAACGCATGAAAAAGCTTTTAAACTATGACACCATCTTTACGCATCGAGGCAATCTCTTCGCCTTGGATACCCAATTCTTTGAGAATTTCATCTGTATGTTGACCTAGATCAGGACCAGCCCATCGAGTCTTTTTGGGTCCGTATTCCAAAACGGGTGATAAGCCTGGCATTTTGATTGACCATGATTTGTTTGTTGCAGGTGAATGAACAGGAACGTCTTCGATCATTCCACGTGCTTGAATGTGTTCATTTTCAACGATTTCTTTTACGGAATTGATTGGTCCACATGGAACTCTTGCTTTTTGCATTGCTTCCAACACTTCATCAACCGATCTCTTGCTTGTCCATTCTGTAATTGCTTGTTCGATTTCTGCCTGTTTGTGAACACGATCTGCGTTGGTTTTGTATGCGTCTCCGGTAAGATCTGATCTGCCAATTTGTTCCATTAGACGAACGTACAAGCTATCATTGTTTCCTCCGATGATCACAAACGAATTAGCTTCTTTGCAAGGGAAAGCAGCAGTTGGAACGATACCTGTAACACCTGAACCTGATGGACCACGAATAAGTCCTGTTCGATCATAGTTTGGCACGATTCCTTCCATCATATTCATGACTGATTCGTAAATTGCAACATCAACAGTTTGTCCCGTTCTAGTGACTGATTTACTGTCCATCTTTCCACGAGCGATCAAAGCGAGCAATGTTCCCAAAGCAGCAGAAGTGCCTGCTAAGCTATCACCCAAGCTTATATTCGGTCGAACAGGCGCTCCTGCCAATTGTCCACGTTCATCTGGCCATCCGTTTACGTATCTAAAACCGGCAAACGCTTCTGCAACTGCTGCAAATCCACCTTCTTTTGACATTGGTCCATTTTGTCCCCAACCTGAAATTCTGGTAAAGATTAGATCAGGTTTCAGCTTATACATACCTTCGGGAGCCATTCCAAACTTTTCCAAAACACCAGGTTTGAAATTTTCAATGACGACATCACTTTGCAGGGCTAATTGTTTAGCCATCTTTTGTCCTTTTTCATTTCGTAAATCAATTCCGATCGAACGTTTATTTCTATTCAAACTTCTCCACCAAGGACTTATTCCATCATTTTCGTCCAATTCACGCCATTTACGTAATGGATCACCACCTTGAGGAGGTTCAACTTTGATCACATCTGCACCGAAATGGCTTAGTAACTGACCGCAAAAAGGTCCTGCGATCAATTGACCAAGTTCCAGCACTCGTAAGCCGGCAAGTGGAAGAGGGATTTCATTGTTTAGCTTGCTGGTTGAAGTGGAGAAGGGCCTACGAGTAGGCACGCCTGCACGACTCTGCATAGCAATTCTCGAACCCAATAACTTGGACGTCATCGTGAAGGCTTAGAGGGTCAGATGATGATGGTGAGAAGAATGCTTTCTAGAGAACGGCGTTTGGATTCCCCCGCATTTATACGATTCAATAGCCGATACGTGTGTTTAATTGGGGATTATGTCGATTACTTCTTTTTCCGAAAAGGACGCTAAATTGTCGAGCTGGTCTTACGCTGAACAGCTGCGAATAAGGCACACACTATAAAAAGCAAATACCTGTCAATATCGACAAGCAAAAAAGAACAAAAAGTATAGAACTGCAGCACCCAGGATTCCCGCGTGGTCCCCCACCGCAGTACTGACTAGGCGATACCGTGCTTGACTTCGCAGATCGGACGGGATGCGGTACTTTCACGGTTCTATGGCCGCAGATATCAGGACAGGGCAAGTTGCAAAATATATACCACTCATTATCTTGAGCCATAGACTATAATATATTGAAGCACTATCAACTGAAAACGGACTTATACATACCTTAAGGGTGAGAAGAGTTTATTGGTAAATATATTATACGAGAAATGTATCTACAAACAAAGGCCTAAAGTAGACAAGACAATGATATGATCGAAAAAAGAGAACAAAAGATGATCTTGCACCTCCATATTCTTACGTTGTGTTAATGATTGATCAAGATCCCTCAAAATTAAGGAATACTAATCTGCATCTATCTATCTATATATATCCATACACGAATATCATCGAGATTATCTTAAGGCATATATAATATATACTTTAAACGCCTATTACTAGTACCTACGGTACAGTTGAATAGAGTGACTTTAGCCGCCTTTGCAGTTACTACTCCCTTTCCTTACGCCCTAATTCGCTATTTGTTTATGTAATGCGGGTATGACGGAGGAATATAAGTGGATTTTATGACATTCCGAGTCCCTTCCTATGGTGATGGATTGACTCACTAAGGGAAAAACTTTAATGCAAACAGTAGCTCTTTGCATACAAATCCACGGCTAGACTATGCATGCAAGTTTATAATGCCACCACATACACGAGACAAACACACACATCCACTCATGCGCCGGTGCTTGTTTTAACTAGGGCGGTTCCGGTTACACAGCCGGTCGAGCGAATTGACCCTGTTATTGCATGAATTGCATGTATGCATGCACTTTACGCGTACGGATTATTCTTAATTGAAGTTGATGTTACAATACAATCTTAAAAGACTAACAGAACGTGGCGCGAAATGTCTCTGAATTCATTCGGGGATCTCTTCTTTTAATTGAACTTTTTGCCCTGCTCGGTGTAATTGCAGCTTTAAAAGAAATACAAACGCATGGCTGCTGCTGCTGCTGTACAGCTTTGGCTTTTTGCACTGCATGTCTGTCAATATGCATTGTTGTACTCTTAAGGCACAAAATAAGCAGACACAATTAAACTAAAATACAAGAAATTACGTCAAATTCTACCAACGCAAAAGGATGGAGGGCAAATAGGCACCAAAAAAAAGAAGCCGACCAAAAACAAAAAGCGACAGAAAAAAAGAGAAAAAGAAAGCATAGCCTTTTGCTGCTTGCATGCTTGCTTGTGTATGCAAACGCACAGTCCTTTTATGCACCTAGTCAGACCCAATCAAAAAATGCAAATGAAAAGAGATCTGAGCGGCGTATGATCGGGCGACATTACAGGCTAATAATGAACACCAATCATTTCTTTAATTGATTGTAATGGAAATGATTGGCCGTATACCGCATATACTCTTGTGACTCTTTTCGATCTTTACAACGTCATACAACCATTACTCAAGAACCAGTGGCGATGATCGCAAAGATAGAATAATCATTTCGCATCTCTCTAAATATCAACCTTAGATGATGTCTTCGGCATCTTCATCCTCCTCATCTAGAGGAGGCAAATCTCATTCACCTAATTCAGGCTTGATGGATGCTCAAAAGCTATTGGCTTCTATAGCTCTCAGTAGACCGTCACCATTTGGTGAAATTCCACGCAGGGTATCGCAACAACAACGATCAACACGACACGAAGGAGAAGAGACGCTTTCAACACGAAAACGACCGGCATCGGCACATGGCAATGGACATGGTTCAGCACAAATCTTATCCTTTGCCACACGAAGACCTTCAGAACCGCAAATATCCACTTTCATAAGCCCACCTCCGACAGCAACATCTTCATCTGGCATGCATTTACACGTACCCATGGATGTCAAATTGAGCGCTTCTGATGCATTCGATTATGATGATGAGTGGTTAGAAGGTGGAAAGCGATTGTATGCAGCATCATCCTCTCGTGATGGTCTTGACAGTCTTCCGCTCTCTCCCTCTTCACCTTCAGATGAATGGGATGAGCGGCTAAGTGCAGCATCTACATCACAACCACGTTCAAGACAAGCAACCAGCAGTAGATCTCGTGAATCAACTTCGCCTTCCACGCCTACATCTTCACGATCTTCTTCCCTTCACAGGAAGCCTTCTCTGCTAAGTCAAGTCATTTCGCCTCCGACATCGTCATCACAGTGTATCGCAGTCAATGGCCGACAGACTATCACGCCTACACAGACGATGGTCTCCTCTTCTGCTAAGGGCAAACAAAGCCAAAGCCTGGCAGAACGTGGTCATTCTGTTGAAGCAACGATGAAAGCGAATATGCCAGAACTATACGCCTTCTCACGCGGAAGAAGTGATCGTGTTAGTCCAAGCAGAAGATGGGATCGAAGAGGCGCCAGTGCAAGTGTTTTGTCGGCAGCTGCAACAGCATCAGCATTGGATGATGAGAATAGCGAAAGCACATTGACAACCTCCAAAATCGTTCGTAAAGAAAGTGCTGGCTCGTTGGAACACGCTTTGTTCGATTCGGACGATGATGGCGAGCTGTTTCAAACGTCCGATGACGAAGATGAATACAATGGCGCAGAACACGGTGAAGAAACCGTCTTGCAAAGCAGTAGACGTAGCAGCGTTGACCGCGATCGGAGACGTGAGTTGCGTATCCTTCTTGCTGCACCATCCACAAGTCAAGAATCGACTAATGACGCGAACGAAAAGATGATCAGTCATTCCTTCAGTACGGCTGCATCGGGTACGAGTGAAGGACATGGATCGACGGATGATCGTTCGAGGATCGTAAGAGGTAGTGCAGACAGTCAGCATGACAAAGACTTACAATCTTCCAATGATTCAATGGTCGTGAATAATGTCGATTTGGCAGATGACGAAAGCGATGGCATGCTGTCTACATCAGCTGCTTCTTTATTGAGTAGAAGGTCGAAAAACGGCAAAAAGGCATTACGTTCCACTTTGAAGTCTATATCTCCGCCAAACAGGCCTTCTTTGGATGTGATCGTGGCCGGCATGACACCTTCTGAAGAACGCAATGCAATGGACATTAAAGCTACAAACGAAGATAAGAAGGAGGACGACTCTGTCACCTCTTCATTTGTCAGCAGATCATCTGCAATGTCTTCGGAGCGCAACTCTTCAAGCATACGAGGAATCAGTACTACGTCTGTCCCGGTGGATGCCGATTCAGATCCATTGCTCGGTCGATCGTTTGGAAGTGTGGCAGATAACATGCAAGTAGATGCAGTGGAGTGGAATGACAACTCGAAAGCTGGGAATGGAAGCTCTACGCCTACACTGAACGGAGATGACACAATTACAAGTTCGCGACGATCTTCAGATGTACGTAAGACTGTCGCCGAACAAGAGGATGAACGAAGAATGGGTTTCGCTGCTGCTTATCAGCAAAGACTTGCTGCCCTTTCCATGAGATTGTGGTCAAATGGCAAGAGTGGAAGGAGTAGAGAAAAGAGCGCAGAAGCAAGCATTGATTCGAAGGAAACAGCTTCTTCGAAATCTCCCGAACGAGGTAGCGAAGCAAAGACAACAGCTGCACCTGCAGAAGCAAATGCTAGCCTCTTCACTTCTAGCTGGCGCCACTTAGCCATGCTTCCAAATCTGCTCCTAGCACCTGCCTTGGGAACCGCTTCTACAAGCCATGCCTCTGAAGGATCTACCGCAAATGCTCCGAAGGAAGGTGAAGAATATTCATCTATCGCTCAAGTAATTGAGACTGCATCTTCTCACATTGCGCAAGGGTCAACGGATGCACCGAATGATCGCGAAGCAGCTCTCCAAGCAGCCCAAAAAGCAGTCGCACATCTTGCCAGTAATGATCCGAAAGCGCATCCACCTATGCTTGCTTCTCGTACGATTATTGCTATTGATCGTGCATTGGAAGAAATGCATCAAAGTGATATTCCTACCTCACCAACAACACCGACTAGCAAGCAAGATCCTCGGAAGCGAGGCGGTCGTGGTGTGATGACACCTTTGGAAGCTGATGCAGATGTGAGCGCGTACGTTTCAGGATTGGGTTTACCAATCGATCCAGACGTTGAATTGAGTTCAGTTGTGCATTTGCAAACGTTCCGATCAGATACTCGTGCAAGACGTGCTACTTCTGTTTCTCGTGAAAGTACAAGCGGAATGCCTTTGGGCGTCGAAACAGAGAAGCGTGAGCACAAAAGAACATTCTCTGATAGTCAAAAGCAACGCTCACCGCTAATGCAGTCAAAGATTGTACCGCCAAGTGTACCTGCAATCAGTGAAGGACCTTCGCAACAAAGTAATGCAGAGGCTCAATTCGAAAAGATGCTTTCAAATAAAAGATGCAGCCGTGAACCTTTACGAGACTTTTCATCTCGCCGAGCGGCCACCGTTCGAGCGCCAAAATGTTCAAGACCTGCAGTTCAAGCTCCTGTTCCTGGCAACTATTCCGCTTACAACAGCTCTGCATCTGATGAAGATATGCAGAGCGATAAAGAAGCGGCCAAGAATAAAAGAGATGACAGACGTAGCAGGCGCGACGGATCTGTTAGAGATAATGACGATTCGAGAGGACGCGGTCGGGCGTCGGCAAAACGATCTACTTCGCCTTCATCACAACAGCAATGTGCTATCGGCTTGTTCTCTTCATCTTCTTCCAATGTGTCACGTTCAAGATCTGGTCGTCCAGGTCGTAAATCAGGTCACAGTACACCTACCGAAGAGAGTGCTTCCTTTGTTTTGCGTGTTCGAAGTAGCCCAAATCTGTCGGCTATGAAATCGGAAGAAGAAGTCAAGACGGCAACCTCACAAGCAGAGGAGGAGGAGCAAGAAGAAGAGTCACGCCGAAGTACCAAACGAGAACGAGATGAAGGAAAAGATTCAGGTCGCGCCGGCGGACGTCGACGTGGTCGTGGTGATGGTGTGAAACGTGTTTCTGCCAGTTTTGCTGATGGAAGCGTGACGCCGCCTCGTGCTTCTACCACGTTAATTCGAAGCAATTCTATGAGCGATTTGCCTTTATTGAATGCAAAGTTGATTGCATCTTCTGTTCATGCATCAAGCTTGGCAAGCAATGGTGCTACGGTCACAAGCGTGAGCAAATCCTTATCAACATCCTCAAACGGTACCTCTCTTATGTCCAACAGTCATTCGAGCTCATCAGCAGCAGATGCTGCCGTACGTATGCCAATCGTCGGAGCGGGCAATATCCCTCATCTTGCCGGTCGTCCAAGTATGGTTTCCAATGGAGCCCACCTTTTGATGTTGAGCTTGGAATTGGAAATGATGAGGAATCGAAAGATCACCGGAAGTTTGAAACCACGCTGGTTGAAAGCAAGGATGAGAACTGAACCTTTTGGACCTGCTGCGATCGTTGCAATGTTGGCGGCTGAACGTCAAAATGCAGCTGCAGCTCTTTCTACTTCTGAAAGTGGCGCAGAAACGAAACCAGACGACGATACAGATGCGCTTACGCACAAACCTCATTCACACACCCATCCGCACGAACATAAAGCACACATTGGATTGCACACCGCGCACCATTCTGCTATTCATCATGGCCCGCACCACAACCATAATCAGCAACATAAGAACCACCATCATGGCAAGCATGCCATCGATGGAAGTCTAGGCTATAACCAGCCAAAGAATCGAAGTTCGCTCCGATTCGAATTAGAGTAGAGATGTCGTTTACAGCTCTGTCTCTGTATTATACCTGTATTTCTAGATTCTCTCTTTCTGCATGACAATCTTGTAATCGTATACCTTTTGATTGAAACGAGAATACATACTGTACAACATGTTGATACAAAGGATTGAATCTCATTGGATGTGGCATCCAGCAAAGGTCTTAGTGACTTGTTCCGTCAAGGAAAGGAAAAGAATTTCCATCGTGCTACGCTTGGTTTCGTCAATCAAATGTTCCAACAGATTTCGGGTATCAATTTGATCACATACTACGCAGGTACCATTTTCGAGAACAACATTGGTATGTCTCCTCTTGTCAGTCGTATTGTGGCTGCTTGCAACGGAACAGAGTACTTTTTGGCATCTTTCATTGCTGTTTGGACGATTGAATGTTTCGGACGTCGTCGTGTATAGCTCTGTTGTTCTCGAAAATGGTACCTGTGTAGTATATGATCACATTGATACCCGAGATTTGTTGGAACATTTGTTTCAAAGTAAGCGTAGCACGACTCTTGTCAGTCGTATTGTGGCTGCTTGCAACGGAACAGAGTACTTTTTGGCATCTTTCATTGCTGTCTGGACGATTGAACGTTTCGGACGTCGTCGTGTACAGCTCTGTCTCTGTATTATACTTGTATTTCTAGAGTCTCTCTTTCTGCACGGCAATTTTGTAATCGTACACCTTTTGATTGAAACGAGAATACATATTGTACAACATGATGATACAAAAGATTGAACAGATAGAAGAGCAAGACATTCCCATCATGTGCGCCAAGTGACGAGAGGTGCATCTGTGCGGAATCGTTGGGTTGTTGTACTCTTTTCGAATGGTGTGTTCAGTCCCATTCGATGGGACAAAAGACCGGCATGGGCGATCATGATTCCGTTGTCCATGCAAAAGCTGTCAGAGGGGATATTATTAGCCTAAAGTTTAATATCTTCTTTCTCACATCGTGTACTCACCGCTCATCTGTTGCGAATACAGATCCGCCCCGTTCAGCAGCCATTGTACCCATCATCTGCTGCAATCGTTTATTGCTGCCCACTCCACCAACGATCAACACTTGTTTGCTGCCTACATGTGCCATTGCTCGCTCAGTAATCTCAACCAACATCGCAAATACATGTTCTTGCAGCGAGAAGCATAAATCCGCCGGGGTGATGATGTCCTCTACAGATGAAGCAGAATCAGACTGTCCATTGAGGATGACTCTATTCTTCTCACCTCCTTCTTTTCTGAGATGTTTTCCGTCTGCACTAACATTCAATCCGTTTGCCAAACTTCCCAAATTTGCAAAACTATCTTTACCCATCTTTGCTTCTCCTCCGCCACCTATCCGTTTGCCCACAAACGTACCCTCATTTGGAACAAATCTTGGATCTTTCGTATATGCTTCCGTTGCTGCCAACATTCCGCTTAAGGAAACGTCCATTCCTTTGGTAGCATAAGGCAAAGCGATCAATCGATTTCCGCCTTTTCTTGCTTCCATTTCGATATTTTGACCAGGACTTGGATCATTACTTAATCCAATCGTTCTTGCAAATCTGTCTAAACAATTTCCAACTGCGATGTCTAAAGTTTCACCAAAGATTCGATATCTTTGATTACTGTATGCGATCACTTGTGTATTCCCTCCGCTAACGTACAATACGATCGGATTGTGTGCACCTGTGATCGTCCTTCCCATCTCTATATGGCCAACACAATGATTCACTCCTACCAAAGGGAGCTCATACAGTAATGCCAGCGTCCTTGCCACAAGTGATACCGATTGCAAAGGAGCTCCCATTCCCGGTCCTTTCGTATAGCAAATACACGTACATTCTTTGATTGTATTCAGACCTGCCCTTTTGACAGCTTCTTGCGTTACCCTTATTAGCCATTGTTTATGATGTCTTGCTGTATCGGATGGCAAAAATCCCGTTCCTGCAGGTGTTACGTAGGTATGACGAACGTTACTTAAAACGTCAACCGTTCCATCAACATTATGACGTACAACCCCAACGCCTAACTTATTCGCACTGCCTTCCAAACCTAATGCAATCAAAGGTTGTTCGAGCTTCGGTAGTGGATCTGATCGTTTCTTCCTTCGCTGTGTGAGTTGAACTGTAGCGGAAGGTGTCATTGTTGTATATAGCAGAGTAGTCACGATCGAGGTAAGATGTTAAGAAGTTGTCGATCAGACTAATCTTCTCCACCTGCGTAAAATTAAAAACTTCTCTCAACGCGTAAATGGTCACACAATCTTAAAGGCTTTTCTAGAAAACAACATTCATTCCGTTCGTCAGATAATGTCGAATGATACACAGATTTGCTCTCAAATCATAAAATGACGAGAGGCTAATCAAGAAAGAGTAGGAAGCGTAGATCAAGGGATATATAAATGGATGATCGAATGAGAGGAGATAAGAGAGACAATGAAAAGGAAAAAAAGGAGATCATTTCGGCAAGCCATAAACTATGACAAGCCGTGAACTATGATCATTGGTGTTTTGCCTTTAATGACCCTGGGATGAGGCGTCCCGAGTATCGTGAGCAGCACCTGCCTCGTCCTTTCCAGAACCAGAACCAGATCCGTCCTTTTCGCGAAGTTCATCCTGTCCTGCCAATCCGTGTTCGGCAAACATTGCGTCAAATCCGATTGGGCGACCTTGCTCATCGTAACGACGAGGAGTACGTTTTTCGATTCTGACAACATCGTATGGGTTGTAGATGCTTGCTTTTTCGAAAATGTCTGACATTTCTTCTAACGAACGACCAGCCGTCTCGGGGAAGATCAAAAAGGTGACCACAAAGATGACTGCGTTCAAGACGGCAAAGATGATGTAGGTACGGTATTGAATGTTGGCGAATGCAATTGGTGTGATCAAAACGACGAGGAAGTTCCAGATCCAGTTAGATGCAGTTGAAACACCGTTTGCGGCAGCACGAATGGACAAAGGTGTAATTTCGGCAGGGTACAACCATGTCATACCCAACCATCCAATAGCGAAGAAGGTGTTGAAGACGAACAAGAACACAGCAGCCACGTATGGTCCACCTTTCTTGGTAGCATTTCCAGCTGCGTTAGGATGGGTAACAGCTGGACTTGTAGTAATTGCCAAAACAACCATGGATAAACTCATACCTGCAGCTCCGAATAACATCAGTTTACGACGTCCGAAACGTTCAATCGTATAAACAGCAATGAAAGATGCCAAAAAGTACTCTGTTCCGTTGCAAGCAGCCACAATACGACTGACAAGAGGAGACATACCAATGTTGTTCTCGAAAATGGTACCTGCGTAGTATGTGATCAAATTGATACCCGAGATTTGTTGGAACATTTGATTGACGAAACCAAGCGTAGCACGATGGAAATTCTTTTCCTTTCCTTGACGGAACAAGTCACTAAGACCTTTGCTGGATGCCACATCCAATGAGATCTTGATTTCCTTGACCTTTGCATCGATTTCAGGATCATCGATTGGCAATTCATCCAAAGAAGCCAAAACACGGCGGGCTTCGTCATCGTGTCCTTTCAACAACAACCAACGAGGTGATTCAGGCATCCAAATTGTAATAAAGGTTGGAATACACAACAAGATTTGCCATGCAATAGGTACACGCCAAGCTGCAGAGCGGTGTGGGTAATCTTGAGGGTTGTAAGTGCCTGGGTCATGGCGAGAGGAGGGATCAATCCAGTAGAATGCGAAATCGATCCAGTATGCCATGCAAATACCACCTGTGATCAATAAACCTTCGACCATGACAAGCATACCACGTTTGTGTGGGGGAGAGCATTCTGATTGCCACATTGGGATAGTGGCGGTGTGCATACCATTACCAACACCGGTAATAATACGAGCAACGATCAATTGAGCAAGTCCGAAAGAAGAGCATTGGATAGCAGCACCGATGATCATGATCACTGTACCGATCCAAATGATTCTACGACGACCCAAAAGATCACCCAACCAAAGACAAGAAAGAGCACCAATCAAACAACCAATTTCGTAAAGACCAATTGCAGCACCTTGAAGGGTTGCTTCATGAGAAGTACCGGATTTACCTGTTGTGTCGATAGCAGGGAATTGTTCGGTGAAAGAAGGAAGAGTCAAAAGACTACCCATCACACCTTGATCGTAACCGAACAACAAGAAACCTGCACCAGCAGCGAAACCGATCATTCTAGAGAGGGCGAGACCACTCAACCCAAAGTACTTTGGACCATCATATTGGCCTGATTTACCCATGATGGCGAGATTTGTTTTTTTGCGGTTATTGTTTTGGTGGTTGTGGGTTGAATGTATGCGTGGAATGTCTAATGAAGAGAAGTACAGTCTATTCGAACAGCACCAATTGGAACTATGTCAACTGCAGTCTAGGATATGGGGGAAGGGGATGGACGTATTGAGGAAGTACGTTCAGCCTTGTGACAAAAGGATGTAAGAGGAAGGAGGGAAAGGTACGATGCAGGCAAAGAACAAGCTCTTATACGTTTTAAAGAGGGTGGGCAATTATGGGGTGATTATAGAGAATACATACAACGAGAGCAGTAAGTGTTTGTTTTTGGAAATGTGATTGCGAGAAACAGGCATAATCTCTCTTTGTTTTGAATCGCCGATAGTGCACTAATAATGATCACGGTACTATCCCGTAAAGCCGTCCAAGCGAGAATTAATTCAACTCTTCGGCAGATCTCCCCACGTTGGGGAATTGGATGATCAAAAGGGTGCATCACACGCAAGGCCCCAGACAGGTATACCTGGGGAAATAGAAAGACAACAATAATATCGCATGAAGTTAAAAGGAACAAGGAACGAGCAGAGAGGATTGACATTGAAAATTAAAACTGAAATAAAGCATACATTAGCGTGTACGCCCATCCCTTTTTTTCCATGAACACAGACATTCTCCCTCTATACGTTTTCAAGAGGCGAAATGCAGCCAAGACCCGAAACAATGTTGGTCATCTTGTTGCGGGCGGGCGGAATCTACGGTAATTTGTGATAAATAGAAAAAAGAGTCCGTATCAGCCCGCATATGCCGCCGCTCGACTGGCTAAACGCCGCAAAAGACAAAAAGGAAGGAAGTGCTGTGTTCCTCATTGATGCAGCGCATCGCCACTGTTCATGGCATACCGACGCGCTAATGTATGCAGGTCAATTAAGCCTGAGCTGTAATTGGTCAGCGAATCAGGCAAGATAACTGTCTTTTTTCTTATAGCGTCTCCATTTTTATTAGTGTAACCCTATGCAACTCTAGTCCTCCTCACAACCTTTCAAATTGAATTTAAGGTGTGAATAAAGCTTCTGGTGAAGACTTGGTAAAAGATTGTTTAGGGGCTTCGAGCATATTGAGTAAAAATCAGGAACATCATGGCAATATTTTTTACCGAGAGTGGAAATGAAAAGATGCTCTCCTCGTCGGACCGTATTGATCATTAGTGGCCGATTGGCCGAACCTCATTCTTGGTTCCTCATTTTGCTCATATTCAATTCACCGTGTGTTGAAGTGCGATGAATCTAGGAAAGAATGACTGTGCAAGGGGAGGACATGGAAGAACCTGTGTGTCTGAGCTCAAATAAGCGAAAAGAGAGATTCTAAGGTACTGGATCTGTAGAATAGAGTTGACCATGTGGTCACCCCCAATAGACAGTGTTATCCCTTTGTTAGCATGTCTCATTCCGCCCACGGTAATAATTACGCATACCGAAGGCAAAAAAGCAGGCAAACAGATCTGCATTAAATGAAGATCCGCTGATTGTGCAATACACTGATGTTTTGCTTATACGCCACGCGCAGCGCAGGAACGATTTTGAGTAGGTACCAAACCAGTAGCGGTTAATTTCCACGCTACATAAGACTCAACATGTAGGGTACAAAGGCGGACTAAACGTTAAATTGCAGTTCGAGAGACTGGTGAAGTGCTTTTCCCATTCAATTCCCCCACCTTACCCGCTTTTCTCTTGACAAGAAAGTGGGGCTGCAAATCCCCCGAGGAAAAAGACTTGATTGCGTTCCTCATCTTGCCACCGAATGCAAAGGAAAATCTTTAGGGAAAAGGCCGTCATCCAATCAAGACACCGTATTCTCTATTGGCAAACCAAGACTTCGGCACATCTTCTCATAAAGCCACTGATCACTACTTATTCGTGCGAGTATAGGTGATGAAGAGATCTGTGACCTATATTTGATGAGAAAGTATTTCCGGTTTGGTACCATTATTTAATTGAAAAGCCACAAAAACCCACAACCGGAAATACTTTTTCATCAAAATTGTACCATGAACACGTTCATCAATGCAAATGATCTCATTTATAAGCCACAACTATCTTCACCCCTTCCGGTGACCGCTCAAAATCCGACCATTCCGGTGACCGGTCTTCAGATAGGATTGTTAAGGCATGAATTGATTCTGAATACACATGTATGTAGAGTAATGCTTCACCCGACCTCACTTTTCCCATCCTGATAATTCAACAATGAAAGCAGAAGTGAGTTTGACAAATTTGACCAAATGATCGAAACTGAATTCGGGATGATCGAAAGTGTCAGAAGTGGTGTGAATTCTACGTAAATTGCAATCATCAAAAGGTGCTTCAATTGCAAACACGCTTCTGTAACCGGCTTTGTTCCAAGAAGCATGATCAGAAGCTGCATATCCAAGCTTTGTATCAACGGCAGGGATATCTAGATATTCTTTGATGAGTAATTGAACGAATTGACGTAAATCTTCATCAATAAAATCAGTTGGTAATCCGACACGTTCTTCTGTGCCTTGTTTGACGAATGCAGTCATATCTTGTTGCAACATTCCTTTGACAACTGCATTGCGGTCTGCGTACCCACGAACAACCTCTTGTGATCCTAAGAGACCACCTTCTTCAGCAGAGTACCAATGGAATTCTACATCAGTGACTGGCTTCCAGTGCTTATTGGCCAACAATGCCCTCAAAGCTTCCAGAATTGTCACCGTTCCACTTCCATCATCATCTGCTCCGGGTGCAGCCAAGAATGGGAGCAAATTTGTAGAATCTTGATGAGCACCTACGATAGTGATACCTTCCTCTTGACTGGCTTTAGAATCTGAACCATCAATGTGTAGGATGATACTATTCTGTCCCCATGCATGTGGCCATTCGGAAACACTGATGTTCAAATCAGATCGTTGTTTGGCCAATTTACTGACTGTTTTGAGTAGCCAAGCTTGACTTTCACGACCTGTGCTACTACGATAATACCGTGTACGGAAAGAGGTGAACTCTTTAAGATTGGCTCTTGGTCCTGCATCCGAAATATTCTTGAAGATGGAACCTGTCAACTGATCATGATGAGCGACTTTTTTGGGTAATTTTCCTGCCAATGATTTATGAGGTACAAGAGCGCCTTCAGACATCAAAGACATGTAGGCAGGACCACGTTCATAATCGCCTGTGAGATCGATAAAGTTGATTCCACGCATAAAGAGGAAATGCTTCCCTAGCTCTGTTGTCCAATATGGTTGACATTCTGAACATGTTTGAATCATTCTTTGTTCAAAGAGAGGATGACTGGTGAAGGTTGTCAAGAACCTCCATGCAATCGAAAGAGGAGCAGCAGCGAATGCTGTGGATGCTGCACCATCAACCTCCCATGAAGACGTGGACAAAAGAGGTGCTGCCAGTGAGCATGAAGCCAGCACGATGGCTGACAGAGCCAAGGAAAGGAGAGTGGATTTGTGCATTGTGTTAGTGATGAAGAGGGGATGGATGAGGGAGATGACGATGAATGCTGAGAGAGGCCAATAACAACAAGTCAGGAGACCCTATCTTGTTATTACTGCACTAACGCGCGGCCATTTAGGCGTGAGTGAATACAGTCTGCATTTGTATTTCTTAGCCTTAATTCTCCACATCCAATGCATATACAATATTCACGTGTGATTACTAAGCTGTGTGTGTGCGCGTATACAAATTTTGTAACAAGACTTGGAACATTTGTAATCCGATCCTGCAAGGTAATGACACACAAGGATCTTCTCATAGCCATCACATAGTAATCTTGATCAAAATCACCCCATAAACAACAATCAGAATGGCATCCGGACTAAGTGAAACAGATCAGAAAGAACTACAATCGTTCATCGAAACAGAACAAGCAAAAGCTCGTGTTCAATCATCTATTCATAACTTCACAGACGTGAGTATACTTGGTGAAGAGATATTATTACTGAACATGAAGGAGACTGACATATAATCAACTTCGGTACTATTCCTTTAGTTATGCTGGGATAAGTGCATCACAGGCTCGATCGGATCTCGTTTCGGACGTGGAGAAGAAGCATGCTTGTCAAATTGCGTGGCTAGGTGAGTGTCCTTATAATGAAAGTAATGCAAAAGATCGATTTTGCTGACTTCTACCTCTTTACAGATTCTTGGACTCTTCCATGCTCATCGTCAAAAAGCTAGAAGAACAAAGACAGCAGCTCTAGAACAACACCTAAAACATGTATAACATACCAGCAATCATCAACTCACCGCTTTAATTTGCATCATGCTTATGGAAAAAAATACTCGGCACATTGAGATTATATAGTATGTCATTGATCTTGAAAGAAATAATACTGAGATATATGCTAGAGATGATGTATGATAAAAACAAGAGTACGAAAACCTTCACGATTTTATGGCAATTGCTTGCTTGAAATCGGAGAAGCAATGTTGGGAGGCAAAGCTAGATCAGGTCTGACATCCTTTGCCAATCTTCCACCGTACAAAACAGCTCCGTTCTTCTCTTGGTATTGTGCAATACGTTCTTCAATCTCAGGGCGGAAGTGACGCAAAAGACCTTGAATTGGCCATGCAGCTGCATCAGCCAAAGCACAAATCGTGTGACCTTCAGCTTGTTTGGTGATTTCCAACAATTGATCAATTTCACGCCAATCTGCTCTTCCTTCTTCCATACGCGACATCATATTCTTCATCCATGTAGTTCCTTCACGGCAAGGTGTGCATTGACCGCAAGATTCGTGAGCGTAGAATTTAGCAAATCTAGAAATCGCTTTGATCACATCTGTACTCTTGTCCATCACAATAACTGCTCCTGTTCCCAAAGAAGATTGTGCATCTTTCAAAGAGTCAAAGTCCATCAAAACAGTCTCACATCTGTCCTTGGGTAGAATTGGGACGGATGAACCTCCAGGAACAATACCCAATAGGTTGTCCCATCCACCTCTAACACCACCGCAATGTCTTTCGATCAATTCCTTCAATGGGATACCCATCTCTTCTTCAACAACGCATGGGTTGTTGACATGTCCACTGATAGCGAATAGTTTCGTTCCTTGGTTCTTGTCACGACCAAAGCCAGCGAACCATTCAGGACCACGACGGATGATAGTTGGTGCGGCTGCGACAGTCTCCACATTGGCAACAGTAGTTGGGCAACCGAACAAACCAACATCAGCTGGGAATGGTGGCTTAAGACGTGGCTTTCCTTGTTTGCCTTCCAATGATTCGATCAATGCAGTCTCTTCACCACAAATGTAAGCACCTGCACCCTTGTGAACGTAAACGTCAAAGTCATATCCACTTCCGCATGCATTCTTTCCGATCAAACCTGCCTTGTATGCTTCATTAACAGCTTCTTGCAAATGAGCAACTTCCAAGTAGAATTCACCACGAACGTAGATATAAGCAGCATTTGCACCCATTGCACGACCGGCAACCAAACAACCTTCGATCAATTTGTGTGGGTCACCACGCATGATTTCACGATCTTTGCATGTTCCTGGTTCACCTTCATCTGCATTGATGACTAGATAACGCGGTCTTGTATCTTTCTCCCATCCAGGCTTCAACATGAAAGACCATTTCAAACCAGAAGGGAAACCAGCACCACCACGACCACGCATACCGGAAGCCTTCATCTGAGAGATGATCCAATCATGTCCTTTAAGAATGATCTCTTTTGTTTTGTGCCAATCTCCTCTCTTTAATGCTCCTTTGAGTAGATGGTCGTGTCTCATGTATGCATTGGTGAAGATTCTGTCTTGATCACGTAGGCCACCATGGGTCTTCTTTGGTGCATCGGTGACAGTTGCCAATCCACGACGAGCTTGTGTGATTCGTGCAAATTGTTGAGGTTTGCACTGGCATGCTAAAAGTGATGTTGCACGTTGCATGATTGTTAATTGAATATAACAATCAAGTAAAAGGTTGACGACGATGGTGGCGAGGAGATGATTGGAGAAGATGCTATCACGACGATTAACTAACAGTTTCGTTCATTCATTCATTCGCATTTTTTACGCCTGGCAATGCGCCCGCGCTTTTAACCGCTAAAAAGTCAACTGGAATTTACAGGCTTCAAGCTGACCAACCAGAGAATTAGAAAGGCCGAACAGCCAGCCAATCAACCAATCATTCGTACAGGGCCTGTATTACGCTATACGTCAGAATTGCAATAAACGCGTATCTCGGATAAATCTGACTAATCTGTCAATGCCTCAAGATCTTGAACAAAAACACGTGACTACATTCTGATGATGGTATGGATCATCAGCTTCTTATATCATCGACATATCCGATGGTCATGAAACTCAAAAACGACTAATATTTAGAGCAGGCACGGTAAATATCATCACTCACACCGAGAGCCTCTTCTTCAACCCCGCTGCAAGTATCATAAAGTGAATAAACTTCACCGTGCCCTTCTCTGAATTCTTCCAACCCCTCCAGGACATCCTCAATAAGACACAGATCGACACGCTATCGACTTCATGAGAGAACAAGTAGTTCATTTTGCGTAATGATGAATGAGTACAAGATTTGTCAGAAGTCCACAACAGATACGTCCATAGTTGTATCTGTCAGGTACACATCAAGAAAGATCGACATGATTTCCTCTTTGTGTGAAAATCGATCCAAATGCATAGTTGAGCCCATTGCCCCGACTTGTGCAGAAGATCATAGATTGTTTGTGTATGTATTGGTAACGAATGCGTGAATATGATAGATGAAGTGCTGCCGAGAACCGTTTTCTATTTTTTGATTAGAAAAACAATTTAACGAAGACGACGAGCTTCACGTTCGGATTCGAGCAAGGCCAAGATGTCATCAACCTTGCATGGTCCCTTAACGTTACGGATGATTTGACGGGTTGGGTCATCCATCATTTCGACGCGAACTTGGATAACACCACCACGGGATCCAGTACGGCCAAGGACTTTAACGACCTGTGAAATACAAATTGAGGATAGAGTAGTCAGCATACATTGCACCGAAGAAACAGATGCGGGTGATTCGATCGAGGAAGAGAGATGTAGAGCGATGAAAGGTATCGTTACCATTCGAGTATGGGTAAGGTCTATCCTTGTTCCTTTAGAATTTAGAAGTCGTTTCATCTGATGCAGCATTCCTTTACATCGCTTTTGTTGGTCGAAGTCATGTTCGCAATTCGAGTGTCGTCTCCGTATACCATGTGCGCAAGATTCACATCTGTACCACTAATCTGTCGATTTCTCTTTTTCATCTCCTCTTCCCTTTCCATACATCCTTCATCTCTACGTCTCGCATCTACCCTCAACCTGTCTGTCGATCTCCTTCAAATAATCTCCTGATTGATCTGATGCTTACCTTTGCGAGTTTGACGGGTGTCTTGCTGCTGGAAGTATCCATATTGGGCTAGACGTGATTAAATGATGGTGATGGATGAAAAGGATTGTCAATTTTTGGTAATTGTACTACACGCTCGCTCATTCAGTCAATGTTCGTTCAGTGCAGTGCAGCTAAACTTCTTGAACTATACAAGCAGCAGCGGGCATTCTACGCGCGCAAGGTTGTGTCAAAATTGTATGCATTATACCACTTTGTATTCAGTACTCAATTCACACCTTCAATACAGTTAGACGCGCTGCGGCTTCAATCTTCGATTGGTGACGCACTATAGCAGTGTTTTTGGTACTTTTTACACAACTTGCTCATTCAATACTGAGCGCAGCGCACAGCTGATTGCACGTGGTGCCTCTGAAAAACAAAGCAACACATTATATAATCGTGCCCAGCTTACCTTCCATGCTGCCTTCCCATTCATAATATTTGATGAAGACCATATAATTGCCCCTGTCTGTTGCGTTTAACGTTGTCATGGCCTTACTAGAACCCCTTACCTGACGAAATACACCACCGGACAAAGAGGAATGTAGAGAATTTTCAGGCAAAGAAGGTAACCTTCTACTTTTGATTGCTGGTGATAGACCCTTTAGAACACTAAATTTGTCTTGACTGTGCTTAAACCGTTCTTGCCTTAAAGATAGACGCTTTCTATCGATGGCACCGACGGTTATACCTGAAAGTCCCTTTGAAAACTTTGATGAACTGTCAATCTTGTAGCGTGCAAGAGAGAATGGACTTTCAGATGATCCTTCACGGCGAGCGTTGGGATTACATGGAAGTGTTGATAATGTCGAGCAGTCATCATTGCGATTGGTAGTTCCACTCTTGTATGTGCTATTCTTATGATCATTTCGCTTGATAAGCGTATGATTTAGAGTTTGACGGGCTTGCTGTTCTTTGAGCGGGAATATATGCTTTTCTTGTAAATGTTTTCTTAAATTGCAGAGTGCATCTTCACCTGTGAAGTTTGTAGAGCTTTCATAACATCCAAACATCTGTTTATTTTGACAGACTTGATAGAGTCGTTACTCATGTCAGCATTCTCTCTTTCCTATATGATAAAGAAATAGTCTATTTCTTATTTCTGTTTGTTTCCAGAGAAAGGATTCGTGAAGCCTTTCAATGTCCAAAAATAACTTAAGAACAGATTACAGACTTGACCGATGAGCGCTTTCAGTTTACAATATTATAAAAAGTAATTATTAATCATTTTATAGTATTCAGCTTGATGACTTATACAACTAAAAAAGCGTCTATCAAAATTGATATACGATAGCAAAAGAGTAGATTACAAGGAAATGATGACAATTCTATACAAATCAAACTGAACTTGAAATACTTCCAAAAGTTTATACACGCTTACAAACGATACCATCTTGTAAGACTTGCAATTGAGCGCCTAAGCACCATCCTAATTCGTTACCGGATAACTTCTTTGCGATCGTAACACTGCGTGAATCATCAAGTTCATATCCTAGCCTTAGCAGCGTTGTCAAGAAAGTTAAATCTAAGCAGGTTTCCGGTTTATCTTCCAACAACTCGAAAGCATTCTTTGCTGCTTCACTCTTGCTCTTGTCACCGAAATGCGTTGGCCATTCTTTTGGAGACGAACATGCTTTCTTTGTCAGTTCGACAAGATCTGTAATTTTGAAAGTACCATTCAATCCCAAAGGCGTGATCCGGTCATAGAAGTAAGATAGTGCAACGATGGGCGATTTTGCAAATGCAGTCATAAGACTAGGTTGATAAACACCTCCAAACGAGCATGGGGGCTTGGTGCAAACAGCGTCCTTGTCCATCATCACTTCAACCAATCTCTTGCAAGCTTCATAGCCTCCTGCTGTACCAAACATGGTAATCTTTTGTTCATTTTCTTGTCCTGGAACACGAATCTCAACTTCTTTATCCATTCCTTCAGCAAAGCAAGGGCTTGGAACTCGCGTGTCCTTCAAAGCATCCTCTTTTCCAATCGTCAGACCGCCTTTCGGTAGGGATCCCAATCTGACCATATTTGGGTGTGCAAGGCTGTAAGACAAATAGCTGAGACTATTGATGCTCTTTCGTGCTTCCATGAGACCATAACCGAGGTAGCTATTCTGGTAAAGAGTATACTTCTTGCCGCCAAAGTTGCTTAGCTCGTACACATGTTCTCCAGGGTGCATGCCTTGGGTGTCGCTAGGATAAATGGGTTCAAAGACGATTTGTGTTGAAGCACCACCAAGATCCATCACAGCCGCTGTCTTGACATCCTTTGAAGATGCAGGATCATCCGAACCAATTCTGTTCAACAAATAATTAACAGTAATCCATGCAAATACACCTTCATCCCTTCCTTCCATGATCTCGACTCCATTTCTGCCTGGTCCATCAGCAATTGGGAATGGATACTCATTTTCCAACATGCTTCTCACCGAGTCCAAGATATTTCTACTCATATCCGCACCTAGTAAACGTAAGCCAGCAGTTGCTTTCACAGAGATCGGTGTACAAGATCTCAAGCTTTCCGGAACCGTCTCCATTGCCGTTTGCAGTAGCGGTTTGAGGGAGTGAGCAGCTCCATTTGCGTCTGCTTTGAATGAGGACAGGCCGCCTTGAATCATTTTGAATGTTTCATCTTCCAATTCTGGAGAATCTTTGCAAAAGTTGAATCGGTATACATGTACACGACTACCAGTACTACCTGCATCAATCATGATTGCATATTGAATCAAAGGTCTGTGAACGTTGTTGACGTCAAATACACCATGCTTGTTGGTCTCACAGCGAGTGGTTTTCAGCTTGTCGGGATGCAATTGAGGCATTGTACGAACAGCATCCAGGATATTTGCTTCAGGTTCAGTGTTTGTGGCTTCCATAGGTGGTATTTGGATCTTGTGTGGCTCTGAGTCGGGTTTGGGGATAACGGCATCGGCCAACTTTGCATCGCTTCCGTGCCAACCGCTCTGATCTTTGGCAGGTGTATTTGGGGTTGGAGCAGGCTTGCCTTTTCTCATATCATTGATCTTATCGATGTATTCGTCGGCAAATTGCCAGCCCTTATTTAACTCAGTTTTAGACTTTTGCACCACTTGTTCTCGTCTATCCTGTGGGCCCAAGACCACCAAAGCAAGAACAACGAGAGCGATTAAACCCAAGAAAAGTCTACGACCTTTGAATGCTCTTACGAAAACGGCCATAATGGTAGGAGAAGCCATCTTCTTTGAAGAACCAAGATGTCCACTTCCAGGTTCTCCGTCAATGTTTGCCAAAAATGCACCACCTTCTGCTTGTGAAAGATCGACACTATCCGATCGTTTTCCGTTGATCGCCTTGCCTCCACTGCCAATCGGTTTTAGGCCGAAGCCTTCTGAGAATCGCGACAGTTTGGCTGGATATCTGTTTGGTAGATTGCTTGGGCTGTACTGAGCACCTTGACCTGATAAGGCAGATCTCTCAGTTGTTATATTTGAGTCTATTGACGCTGGGTTTGGAATATCGATGGCAGTTGTTGAACTGCGTACGTTGTGACCCGAAGGACGTGGTTGAGAGAGGTGGGGTGATTGATCAATTTGATCTGGACTTTGCTTTAGCGTTAATTGTTCAAAACCTTCCCCTTGTTGATCTCTATATCCGTTATTGTGCCCTTTATTGTATTCGTCGTCGTCGTTGTGGTCAAGAGGAACGTCTTTGCGTTTTGTTGTTGATTGTCTTCGACGAACCATGCGTGGCCTTTTTTCTTTTAGGACCAAGAAGAGGCTATATGCATTCCATTTGCATTCAACACGGGATGTGTATGTAGATGTGAGACTGACTGAATTGTTTTGATGTCAGCACTTGACCGATGAAGAGGTGAAAGGAAGATAAGGCAAGAGTTAATGTTTCAAGATTAAATTGGGTGTTTGTGCATTCTTATGTTTTACTCATACGGGGCACTTTAGCAGTGTATTTAAACCCTGCGTTTGTATAAATTCCAAGGCCCACGTTGAGGGAATTTTTATTCAAGGCAAAAACCTAAGCCAAGCACAATAAAACGCCAAAACCCAGACAAGAAGAAAGACATCCACCCGTTTAAAGAAAAAGTTTACAAAAAAATATGAATTATAAAGATGCCATGATAATATACAAAAAGCCACTCGACTTGTGATGATGATGTAAACCCCGAACAATTGCTAATCATTCATTGATGATCAATTCTGACACTTTCCATAGCTCGTAAGATCCATCAGGCAGAGTTCTACGAACGATTAATGGAATCTTTTTTGCTGCTAATTCCTTCATTGCAATTTGTAGAGGATCAGTCTCTCCTTCGATAGGAACAAGTGGTGGTGCATTCATACTGATCTGTAACGCTCTTGTTCCAAGAATCCTTGCACGTTCATATTTGGTCATATAAGGTGTCGTCATTCGTTCGGCGTTGGGTACCTCTCCTGTTCTGTGGCTTCCATCATTTCCATCTACAATCACTTCTTCTTCGCCTGCCAATAGCTCTGCTTCTGCATCATAGGTATCTTCTTGATCGAGTGCGTCATCGTAAAAGCTGAGACAATGGGGAAAGCAATCAGTATTTGTTTTGCCCTTTCTGCAGCAAAATGTAGGCAAACTTACTCTTGAGCACCACCTCCTTCACCTGCATCTTCGTGATCGGACATGATAACTTAAGTTGTGACACCAGGCAATTTTTTGAGGGTGACAAGCAATGCAAATCGAATGCGACTATGATTGCCCAGCTTTTGTTGCCGTCCTACTGAAGACCGAATAACTTCGATGGTGGTGAGCGTTAAAAGTGCCGAAAAGATGAGATGATGCGATTGTATATTTTTTAGCTCTACAATTCCAAGTAATTTTGTATTGAAATTCTCCGCGTATGCATACAAATTCGCTTACTGATTGTATTCACACAAATTGCCCCTGTACATAAGCTGTGCGTGCGTGCGTCTGTGCATGTATTCTATATTAGACGGCAGGGAGGACTTGCACGGCCACTACCCTACTTGATCACCACCATCCCCTTACAAGAACACAAGCTCAAAATGTCTGGCTGGACGACCATCGTGGTGCTATTAGCCACTGTGGCTACCGGATCGGGAGCATGGGTTATTACACCTAAAGGGCCAAATCAAGTGTGAGTATTATGCAATGTGAAACGTAACAAAATCGCAAGTCTGGCTTTAGGATATCGTCTACGATGTTATGCTAACGATTTCCCAATTACCACCTTTCACTTCCAACCTTAGCCTGGTAAGATCGACGGTCTCTTTAACATTGGCTTGTTGTTATACAATGTGGGCAGTCGTCTATCTAGCGCAACTACATCCCCTAATTCGTGAGTATCGATACGGCTTAATCAGCCCGTCACTGTCCGATATCAGTAGCACTTCAACGTAACGAGCCCAATGATGGAGATGGAGATGCAAGAAGTGCAAAGGGAAAGATCGATCTGAGAAAGTGCAGAGGCACATACCAGAATCGGCAGCTTTCTCCACACACATGGAAAATAGCCAGCTCATGATTGACTAAACTTTTCTTCTCTTCCTTCTCACACAGAACCGGAACGATCGGATGTGCGATTTTTAGACTGAGAGAAGCGATACACAAGCAAGTATGCCTCACATCTTCCACTCAATTTCTCGCTGTTCTTTCACACAATCATTCTTTTCACGACATAATTACATGTATTATTTATACTCAAATTGACAACTACGGTGGCCTACCGCAATATTACTCATTCTTGACCGGAAGATCACCATGAATTTTACGGTGACGGGTGACTTGATCCGGTCTGCTAAATGATTTGTCGCAACCAGGGAAAGGGCAAACGAATGGTCTTTCGCCAGTATGAATTCTTTGATGTTTTGTCAAATTTGAGCTCTCAGAAAATGCTTTATTGCAATCTGGCCAAGGGCATTTAAAAGGTTTTTCACCGGTATGTGTTCTTTTGTGAATCGTTAGACTGCCCGCCACTGCAAAAGCCTTTCCGCATCCCGGATGATCGCATACGTACGGCTTTTCGTTCGTATGCGTTCGTTTATGTTGAGCGAGAGTATTCTTTTCCGAAAAACGTTTATGACAAATTGTACATTCGAACGGACGATCTCCTGTATGTGTTTGCAAATGTCTTAAAACTTTTTGTTTTTGTCCAAACACTTTGTCGGCTCGTTTGCAACCTTTCCATTTGCATGTATAACTCGCCTTTCCACTGCCAACATGAACTGTTACAATGTGATCCGTAAGTTCAGAATGATTTGCGAAACTTTCTTCACAATCTTCCCATTTGCACGGATGAACGCTCGCTTCGGGCGGACAACCACATCCCGCATGATCCAAAGAATTTTCTTCATTCTCCAATCGAGTCTTTTTGTGTAATATCTTTTCTGAGGCAGTTTCCAGTCCAATCCCTCGTTTCTTCTGCGTTTGATTTTGACCAAAAGGCGTACCAATATTCTGATCTGAATCAAGTGGAACAGGAGTATTTGTCGGTGGTACATGTGCGCTGAGGATGTGGCGCAAGATGGCATCTGTATCGTCAATGAACGAACAGGAGTCCCACAAACACTGTGGCATCTCGGGTTGTCGTTGCAAATGAACCGTATTGACATGATTGGTTAATTCTTCGATAGTTGCGCATTGAGTTCCGCAACCAAGCCAATGACATGTATGGGGTAAATACCATTGTGATTGATCTGGAATTGATTGGGGATGTGGGTGGCTGTGGTTTGAATGAGAATGTGGCTGGACTTGGATAGATTGAGGATGAGTCTGATTTGGATCACCGAAAAGTCCTGGCAAATTCCATTGTTCCAAAAATCCATTTTGAACAAAGTCCCCACAAACATTATTACAAGCATGACTATTGTCTTGATGCGTCATCGTCATAGGTCCCGTTGCGCAATGATCTTCTTTGCATACATCTTTGGAGTCGCAACAAACGTCATCTGCGCATAGCACCACACCTGAAGGCGAAACTGCTGAAGAAGTACAGCAAATCGTATTGATATCATGGATATCAGCACATTCAGCAAAATGACACAGCTCTGCTACATCGCAAGCAGCAGTAGCAGGTGCATCACATTGTTCCGTTGGCCAACAAGGTTGACAATCTGTAATTTGACAATCATTATGTGTTTCGTTGCAAATCGTCGTTTTAGCCGTACTTGAAGGTCCTGCAACCGGACAAGGAACTACACAACATTGATCGTATGCTGAATGATTACCCGAACATGGATGACAATCTTGACAAACGTTTGTAGAAAGATCAGGACTGATTGGCGTAGAGGCTTCTGTTGTATAACGGGTTGTCGAACTTGGCGTTGATGCCTCGTAATTGGGTAGAAGTGAATACCAATCTGACATGCTGTTCACTTTTTTGCTTTCTTTTGATCCCCAAGCTGCTGTCCAAGCTGGATTGGATTGAGTTGTTTGGTATACGATAGGATGTTGCTGTTGCTTCATGATGAGAAGAAGTTTTATTTGAGTACACAGTATGAAATCAAAAGTTGCATCGGCCGAGTAAGCTTTGAAATGTTTCTTGTTCCAGAAGATTGCAATAGACACTCTACGCAGGCACAGAGAAAAGATTCTCTCAGTGGGGTCTAAAGAAAGGAGTGCCGATTTGATCCCAGCTCAACAGCAATACACTCCGAGCTCGGCAATCTTGATGTTATGTGCTTCTTCAAGGATCTCAATCCGTCTCTTTCATTCAATGTTTGCGCGCAAATGTAAAAGACAGTCAGTGAGAAGGAACATGCATGCATCGATAGCGATTTACATTGGAAACTATTCGCAAGTGCATCAGGGCAGTGAATGGCGTTTGAGTACCTTTCCGGTTACGCTTAAATTTTTATCTATGCGTTCCTATCGGCTAGTAGCAGCATGCTTTTGGGCCAACGGTTTATTGTGAACGTGGGGCGTGGGTTGAATTACAAAGATACTTACACACACAAAGGACATCTTTATCACAAATAGTAAAATTAAAGCATAGTAGTGGTATAATTACGAATAGAAACGTGGAACAAAAGTACAAATGAAGAATAAACTTCAGCAACAAGATCAAGCATCTCTTAAGAGTTCATCAAAATATGGACCATTTCTTACTGGTGGAATCCCGCCTAGGAGCTTGTTTTTCTTGATAAATTTTGACCAAAGAATCAAGTTTATCCATCACCAATTCCAACTTTTCCTTTTTGTCTTGTAACTCTAGGTGTGCTCGAATGGTTGGATTCTCCCGTGCAAACCTCGTAAGTTCTTGTTTGTCCATATCATACACCAAATGACTATCAATCTCACGTGGGAATTGATAAAAGAATTCAGCAAGAAGTTCGATATTGATAAACATCACTGCTGTATAAGTCAGCTTATCGGCAACAACGTTCAAGAAAGCTTCAGGACAGAATGCTCGATTGTCCGGACCACCTTTGCATCTCTTCGACTTCAAAGCATTCATTCGAAGTTTGAGAATGTTCGATCGATGATTCAAAAACATCGCTTCACGAGCTTTTCCTAGGAGTGCGTTGGAATATTCAGGGGCCAATAATTGTTGTTGTTCATCAATAGCGGTGTTGGTCGCTTCACCTTCAACCTCCTGTATCTTAGACAGGGCAATCTTTCGCTTTCGTTCCTCTAATTGTTGTACATAATCAATCGCTTTTTTTAATCGCCTCTTGCCGATCGCTTTACGGATTTTTTCTTCAGCGTCTTGACACATCTTCAACTCTCTTTCCAGGAGAGACACGCTTCTAGTCCTTCCTTCTTCCCATTCACTTTTATCCATTTCAACTTCATATTTGAACGGTTTGATGCAATTTTCCACTTGATCACTCGTCAAGCTGAATCGTTCACGCAAAATATCGGTGCAAAAGTTCAAGATTCGTTCTTTCGCTTCAGGGTGATGATTGAATGGTTCACTTTCTGCAAGTTGCTCTACTTGATGTCTTAATGCATCTACCACAATCTGAGTACTCGTTCTACCAATTCCACTCTTTGTCAAAGCTGAACTGCTTGCGTCAATCTTGTATTGCCAGTAACGATCCAAATCTGCTGCTTCTAATTTGCGGTCCTCTGCCAACTTGAATAATTCTTCTGCACGTGGATCTTCCCAGTACATTTGTGCCAAGATGTCCATCACTTTCTCATCCAAGTTCCATTTCAGCAAATGCCTCACTTCTGGCTTTCCAAAACGTTCGGTAAATTCTTTAAACTTAAGCTTGAGAGCATCCATCGTTTCTGCAACGTAACTTTCTGCAGTAATGCTTCGGTCGTTGTATTGAACCTTGAATTGATAACAGACTTCTTCGCATTCTCTTTGAACAGCATTGGCGATTCCGTGAAGTGATGAACCCATACTTTCTTCCAATACACTCATCAATCTTCTCTGTAAAGTGGAAGTACCGACCATTGGCTCAACACCCTTATTACGACCTCGTGCAGGAGGAGCAAAGTGCTCCTTGTTTCTTGCAAAGTACTCTTCCTCCTCCTTGAACGTACGAGCCGTAAGGGCACCATTACCAGAGATGGCATCATGACCAGAAGCATTTTGGAAGACGCCCAACTTATTCTTGCAAATCACACCAATGTATCCTAGTGCGAGTGGGTATTTATTGTTGTTCAAGATTCCTGCACCTGCTGCTGGTTCCACAAGATCCATCTTTGTAATCACACCGATCGTCCGCAAACCAAGAGGATCAACTTTTCGGGATGCACGTAAAGCGGGAGAGTTTGCTAGATCCACATCAGCAGCGCAAACTGCCAAGATGATGTTAGGCTCAGCAATGTATTTGTCACACAAATTTGAGATCTTTTCACGTAATTGTTCGGGTTGATCCATCGATGACAACTGCACATATCCTGGCAAGTCGATCAGCGTCAAATCTGGAACGTGTGGACTGTAAATACGAAGTTCGATAGGCGTGTCTGAGACGCACTCTTCAGCGGTGACAGCCATGTTTTGGTCAAATAGCATCTTTTGCACCTGTTTGAAGTCTGTGACTTTGCCCATTCCAGTACCAGGGAATTCGGCATACTCCACTGGCCCACTGCTACGGCCTGCATTGGATGGTGATGTATGGATCAGAGTCAATTCGATCGGCCGGCGCGTAACCATATTGTTGCCCTTCGGTAAGAATTCATGACCGACAATTGCTTCTAGTACACTACTCTTTCCGCTACTTTGACTACCGATGACCACAATGCTTGGCAAAGTCAATGCATCAGTCTCGTGATCGACAGTTTTGAGGATGTTACGAATCTCGATAAGCTTGCGTGTGAGTAACATCAATTCCTCTGTGGCTGTCTTTGGAGACGGTAAGCCCTCTTGTAAGTCAGCCTTTGCCTCATCAGATGAGAGAACTGCAGCACTCAGAGCAGCTGCCGGACCAGCACCACTACTTCCACCTCCGCTACTACCACTAGCACCTTCGCTTCCACCTTCTGTTCCTTTCTGTCCTTTCCCATTGCCTTCGAATGATTTGAAGAGATTACGTAGGAAGTCAGGTGCCTCTACCGAGTTTAGATGCTCTTGTACTTTTTGCCAACGTACTTGAGCATCGTTCATAGCCTCGCCCGTGGCACCTGATAGAGTTCCAAACATATCAGAAGCTCTATCTGCTGCGTCGGATAAAAGTCCGCCCATCTTTCCACGAAAGTCGTCCAATCTCCAACTAGCATAAGCAGCAGCGCCGCCACCAGTCAACATTGCATATCCTGGCACGCGGAAGGCCCGCAACATGGCTCTAGGAACTGAGCTGAAGCTCAATGCTCGTACATGCATGGTTCTGTATTGATTGTGGAAAGGGTGAAGTAATTGTGGTCTTTGTGCAGTGCGACTGATGATGCGGGTTGAAAATGATCTTCGTGTTGGTCGAGTATTGGAAAGCTGGGCAACATTTCGAGACAGTGCTCGATGTCTGCCCAGCATATTTGCTGTATGACCTAATGCCGACATGGCACGAGGATGATGTTGTGTTGTATATGTTGTCAACCACTTAGGCAATGATGGAGGTTAATGTTATGATGTTGTTTCTTTTGAAAACCCTTCACGCTAAATACATAAAATCAACACGCAGATCGTAAGCATACAAAAAAGTGAACAGGCCCAGTGCACAAACCTGCAATGCAAATAAGCAATCCCGCCTCAAAAGAAACGCTCAAGCCACCTACAGCGATTAACTCTCTCATTGGAAGGGGATATTGAATGTCATTAGATTCATACTCTCACCTTCAGTAGGCTTCTTATGGCAACAATGTCATATCGGCAAGCGACCCATGCAGGATCTTGGTACGAAGATGACGAGGAAACATTGAATCAGCAACTCACAAATTGGCTATCAATAGCAAAGCCTGAACAATTACCAAAACCTCCTCATAGTGTGATTGAGGTAGATGTGGCTGGAATAAGCTCAAAATTGCAATATGAGAACAACATCCCAATACCAGTTCCAGGATTAAAAGCCGTCATTGCTCCACATGCAGGTTATTCTTACTCTGGCAAAGCAGCAGCATGGGCGTACAAGTGTATCGATCCAACAGCATACGACACAGTTTTCATTTTAGGACCCTCTCATCATCATTACGTTGATGGTTGTATGTTGACAAAATGCAAATTGTACGGTACACCAATAGGCGATCTTCCAGTCGATCAAACGATCACCAAAGAATTATACGAAACAGGCAAATTTGATGGATACATGACAAAACAAATAGATGAAGAAGAACATTCGATCGAAATGCATCTGCCCTACATACGAAAGGTATTTGAGAATCAAGACATCAAAGTGGTGCCTATTCTGGTCGGATCAACTTCTGATTCGAAAGAAAATTCGTTTGGTAAACTCTTGGCACCTTATGTTAAAAGAAGGAAAACGCTGTTTGTCGTTAGCTCAGACTTTTGTCATTGGGGTAGTAGATTCCGTTATACGCATTATCAACCAAGCTTAGAGGAGGATATCCAACATTTAAAGGCATCAAATCCAGTCAGTCCAAATAGTCCGCCTATTCATGCTTCTATCAGGGCTTTAGACGGACAGGCAATACAGGAATTAACATATCCCACTTCCTTGCCTACCCCTGATGCCCGTGATTTCACGGATGTGCCAGATTCAAGCTTGCCGAATTCAACAGACGACTCAGAGACACGAACAGCAGAAGAAGCTCAGAAAGATTTTGCAAGGTATTTGAAATCGACAAATAATACAATTTGTGGTAGACATCCTATAGGAGTATTGATGGGAGCATTAGCACAATTAGAAAGAGAAGGACAACAATCTCAACTTCGTTTTACACGTTATGAACAAAGCAGTAAATGCACTACTTATCGTGATAGTTCTGTTTCTTATGCATCAGCATTTGTTCGTTTTGAATCGTAATTCATTGCATCTCAGCATTCACGTCATTTTTTTCCGTCATTCTCATCTTTCAATGTACATATATTATCAACATAAACCCTTTCCCTACAAATACATACAATTACAAGAATTGTTCCCTCTTACGAAGTTGGAGCGCTAATATGAATGCCAGGGATTTTGGATCCTGCACGAATCTCTATTGGATCTTGCAAAGCTGCCAATTGTGCATGATTGCTAATCACATCACCCGAACTACGACGATGTGCAGAATGTGATGCTTTCGGTGGACTTGATTCGGGTGATAAATTTCGACCGAATCGAGGTTCTTCGTCATACTGTAATTTCCTCCTACGCAAATCACCCGCATGTTCTTGTGCATCTCCAGCCGTGGATTCAGCGCCGCCATTCAATCGGTCCAACAATTCAAAACTTGACCTTGGCGTTGAATTCTTGCTCAAGCGATTGGGAGGAGTACCTTTTGGTGTTCTACGAATATTTGGTGACATGCCTCTTCTCGCTTCCTTTTCATCTTCCAAATCAGCTTTCATAATCAGCGGTCGTACCACTCGTTTCCAATTTCCACTCCAATTCCGTGTCTTTGTAAGATCATAATACTCTTCTCCTTCTCCATAATTCTCTCCGTTCCCATTTGACCCCGGGGGCAGATCCATGATTGATTGCATAGGACTTTGTAAGAGCGTAAAGAACGGCAAAGGTGAAGAAGGATGAACAGGGTTTTCGTTCATCGGTGGTGGAGAAGAAGATCGAGGAGCATCTACTCCGAATCCAATCACAGGCGAAGAGGATGAAGAAATCGGAGGTGATCTTGGGATATCTTCTGGGAATAAGCTAATCATCGGTTGCGTACGATGAGCAAGCCAATTCGGGTCGGGGTGTTGTGCTAGCAGAGATTCCAATTGCGCTGCCAATTCTTTGTCACTATAGAATACTAGTCCATTGTTCCCCTGTTGTACAAGTTCGTTCACACATGGGAATCCAAGCGTGCAAACCGTCAAGCCACAACCAAGCATATCTACCACCTTCATCGGCAAATCCATTCCCGAAGATGAGGAATGCAGAGATACTCCAATATCTGCCGATCCCAAAAGGGTCGGATAGTCTTCCACTTGAAGCCATGCAGTGCGTATACGCACATACTGCCATTCTTCTTCCCTTTCCAATCGTTCAATCTCGCGTACGTATTGATCACGCAATTCACCCTTCCCTGTTACGATCAAGAGCATTTTTGGAAGTCTGGTAGCTTTCGGTAGATTGTCTACCGAAAGTGACGCTCTGCGATTTTTGTCTCTTTTCGATTCGATATTTCCTCCTGACCAACCCATAGCCAATCCATGACTGTCCAGCATAGGTGATTCAAGCAAAGTAGGCGAATCGCGATAGTGCTTGCGACCGCCTGATTCTCGATTGAGTAATCGTGCTCGCTTCTCATACAACGATGCAGCTCTTAGCAGCATTCCGAAATCTTCATCCTCTGTCCAGCTCGTACTGCTAACCACCAATGCTGGTCTATCATCTCGCCATTCAGCATAGCTATTATCTCCCCTGGTGAAAGGTGACTCGTTCAATTTTGAATCGTTATTTGTGCTTTGCTGTCGAAACCAATCAGACTTGATTGGCGGAGATATTGTGGGTATCAAGCGAGAGAAAAGGTTGTGAGATTCAAACACAGTTGCACGTCTGTAATGCGAAGGAGGCCTGTCGTACAAAACGCTGATCGGTCCTTTGACTTTCCAGGATTCTTGAAGATGTTTTCGTAATGCCTTTGTGACGCACAAGTGAGCAAATGCTCTCCTGCCACACCATTTCTCCAAAGTACAATACGTACGTACGATCAAACTTGTTGGTGCAAATTTCAATGCCAATATAGAGTATCCAAGGTTGTGCCAATCGATAATCAATCGACTTCCGAGTAACATTCCGACCAAACGAACGATAAATAGCGAAGGCAAAGCTGGCGGTGTTTGAACGATGATTAGCTCTGGTGGTGGTCTAACTTGTGTTGCCAAGATCCAAAACAGACCAAAACTTTGTCCAAGCACCTTTAGGGGAGCAGTGAGCAAAGCAAAAGCACCACCTCTTTTCGGAAGTATATTGATGAGCTTTGCAAAAGGTTGAAAGACATAATGAAGTTTAACCGAAGATCTTCTTAGCGGAGGCGGTGGTGGTGTTCCTTTGTATCCCACCATCGCAACTCGCCAACCATCTTCTGCTAAACTTTGTGCATGAAAGCACATCCTTGGACTTCTTCCAATATCCCCTAGTACAACAACGGCTGCCGAACGACCTAAAGAAGCTTTACTGGTAGTTGAAGGAGATCGAGAGATTGTGATCCAAAAGAATAGGAACAGTAAAGCTACAAACGTTGCCAAAATTACAATGCCTGCCACTATACCTGCAACGAAAATAGGTCTATGCAGATAAGTGGAAGGCGAAGACCAATTGATGGGTAACGACATCTTTCTTGCTAACTAGCTGCCGCAGCTAGGTCTTCGCAAGATATTGTGGCCGAGACTACCAATGGATGTTGATGATCAGTAGATGTGATTTTTGTTGTTGATTGTCAATCTAAACATCACTCGATATTCATCTGAGATGCATGTAAGGGGGATCGAACACAGTTGCATTCACCCTATGCAGGAAGATTGACCAGTCGTCCCGTTTCTTAAGACACACGCTAAAAATTAAAGGTTCACTGCATAACGCGGCTGGAAATAGAAACCTCCCCGCACTTCCTTCTCTCTCTTTGGGAACATTGACTTGCACAAATATGAATTTTAGCAGTCTATATAGAAAGTGAAATGATCTTTAACGAATGACAAAGTTATGGAAAGGAAAGACAGTACGAATACTTGTACACAAGGTGATGACTAAGCATGCTCAGTAGTATTTTTTTGGACGATTTGCACCAATTGCAAGATCTATGCTGATCCTGTACGGCCGTACGTTCTACGGTATGTTCCGTCAACCTTTTCGAGATAGTATGAACCGTCGAACAAATCGGACAATTGACCTTTTGGTTCATAATTGACGGCATTATGGGTATTTTCTCTTGTTTTGAGACATTCGACGTATGTTTGACAAGGCACAACGCTACGGGCTGCCAAGCGTTCCTTCAATTTGAGTTGCTTGGCCATATTGGAAACATCTCCACGAACACGAGCGCTAAAGATCGAAGCAGCACTACCACTACCGAAAGAGTAGAACAAAAGACGTTTTCCTTGTAATTCTTCTGAAGAAACATTGGACAATAAAGATGCCAAACCACCATAAAGGGAAGCAGTGTACATGTTACCCACATTGCGAACGACTTCCATTGTAGGCTCCAATTTGGTTTGCATGGCTGATTTAGCAAATCCTGCGAATGCTTTTTCGATTTCTTTGTTGTAGATTGTGTCTACACGTTCCAATTTGGTCCATTCTTGTGGAATGTCCTTGTATTGTTCGGCTTGTGGGTTGGACAAGAAGTCGTTGTAGAAAAATCTTCCGAAACCTTTTTGGACCAATTTGGAGTAAGGGCTGTGTAACATGGTGTAGTCGTAGTCGTTCATTGTAACCTTTGACAATGCATCTCCGTTAACGTGAGCGGCAGCATCTCCTTTTGAGGCAAACTTGGAACTCTTTCTGCGATAGGCATCGTAGCAGTTGTCCAAAGAGCCCAAATAGGTGATCAATGTACGTGGACCATCGACTGTGGGGTATTCAGAAGACAAGTCGGGCTTGTAGAAGTCCCATTCGTTGGCCATGTAGGTTCCGTGGACAGGCTCAAAGGCGATTGGAGCATCAGGACCGATGAGCAATGCGATTGCACCGGCACCACCGACAGGTCTTGCTGGTCCAGCAGCGTAAATGGCAATGTCACAGGCAACAACGATTGCATCACGACCATCCCAAGAGGATGATTCGATCCAGTTGACAGCGTTGAAAAGGGCAGCCGTTCCACCATAACATGCGTTCTTGTTGTCCAGACCTTCGATATCGGTGTTGCCAGATTTGGCAAACAAGTCCATCAAGACAGATTTGACGGATTTTGACTTATCGATGATAGTTTCTGTACCGACTTCCAAGCGACCGATGCTCTTAAGGTCAACTTGGTATTTTTCCAACAAACCCGAAACGACAGTCAAAGCGAAAGAGTTTACATCTTCACGATCATCAGTGCATGCCATTGATTTTTGACCGAAACCGATTGTATATTTTCCTTTTGCTGCACCATCGAAATCTTCCAAATCATCTTGAGAGATGCATCTTTTTGGGAAATAGATTTCGATTCCCTTGATTCCTACGTTTTGTGGACGAGACATGATTAGTAGGTAATTGTGTGTGGTTGAAAGAAAGTTATTCACAGGAAGGACAAATGTTGACTGATTAATGGAAACCTTTTTGTAAGAATTATCCGATTCTTCTAATGCACAAAAGAGAAAAAACCTTTGACCCGCTTTGGGCTAGAGAAGTTTGTTTGTGTACTGTTTATGTGCCTGCTTTTTAAAATCCCAACCAATTTAAACAATGAACAGCTAGTATACTGATCTTGTGCATTCAATTCATTATCGCCTGTTTAATCTCTGACTTTGAGATTTTACGCTAACAAAAAACAGCGCATGCCCACAGCCTTTGATGTTCGCGACAGCGGATCAGCCGAGTAAAAGCAAGCAAGCAAGACGTTGTACACATGATAATCAATGACAACCACAAAGCCATCAAAAGTTAAAATACATGATCTACTATGTCTTCTTTGGTAACTGAACCCCTTTCCAACCAGATAAAGCGGACCAGGCCTTGCTGTCCTGAAAAACGATGATGTATTAGGGAACAGAACGCTTTTACAATCACTTTTTGCTGTTGTGCATTACTCACTGCTGTCACCATGTTGATACAGAAGGCGAGAACCATAATTGCAACGGTAAATCGGAAAGCGGTCATATTGAATGATTGAGCTTATTTGAACGAGAGCTTTTATTGCCTAAGCTTGGAGTTGAATATATTGGCTGTAATGAAAGTGACCGGCACTTGAATGAATAAGAATGGACCTATGGAGTTGGAGAGTACATTGGAGAGAAACAAAGATGGACCCTTATAAATAAGATCACAATAATTTTGCTCCAAGGAATTTATCATTAGCCAACGATTTTTATTCTTGCCAAATTTCGGCTGATAAACGCCAGTAAGGACTTCGACTTTCGCCTGAAATGACGCCGAAGAAGGTCGTCCATGAATATACGACTCACTTGGGTCAAAGTGGAAGAGATTTAAATGTAGGCACAAGTATATGCTTGGGATACAGGGCAAAGAGGTAGTACACTTGGCGAGTCAACTTGACCGATCATAGTGGACGCCATCATGCTGTGCTTCGTGAGAGGCAGGCGTTTGGCGATGATACTCACTCCTGCATTATTGTCCCCTTGCACGCTCTTATTGACTCAAAGGTGTCATCCAAAGATGTCAGAACTCTTATCGTGAGACAAAACAAACAAGTGCTCGCCTTGAAGTTCAACCGTTTGAGCAGCAAAATAGCATTAATGGAAAAAAGGTAACCTGCTTGAATACAATACACGAAGAAGAGAGAAAAGAAAAGTGTTGGAAAGTCGTTATCCTAGTAAAGAGCAAAATAGACTTGATGTTGAGCGAGTTATCGATACTGCAAAGCCGCTCAGGTCGCGAAAGAATAATCGGATTAAGCGGATCGAAGTCTGGAGCCTGAATGCCGATCACTTCCACCACGAGTTCGATGCAGGCTTTGGTTGTTCGAACTTATCGATTCCTGATGGTAGTGGTGCAGTCGATGTTGGGTTACTTCGGATAAAGTACTTTGATGCATGTGCAGCAGCAACCGTTGAATCAAAGATGAATTCTCCCACGCCTAGGTATTTCTCTGCTACACTCCTACTTGTTGGATCTGGAAATCTCTCGGTATCGATTCTGTCGAGTGAATGCGATAAGATCATGCTTTATTAGTAAACCAACCAATGAACACTAATTCAAATATACTCACGTTAACCCGGCTGATCTTTTGACGCCTGCCAATAGTGCAGATAGTACGACTGCATCTACGCCATAATGTACGATCCTTCCAAGCATGATGATGTGTGTATTGAGAGATGTATACTTTTCAGACCGGTTGTGTGATTGTTGCCAATGAAGTGATGATGATGATGGCTGACCAAGATACAATGTTAATCTGTTTCCCCCAGAACGGTAGCGCGCTTTGAATAATAAAACAGGAGTGTGGCCGTGTGTATGCGGAGCGAGATTGTGTGTGTGTGTGTGCAAGTGTTGCTTTGCAGGTGTTGTTCTGTTAATCACGCGCTTGGGCCATTGTAGAGCACATCCTCATTCTAATCCACCAACACGATTTATTTATTGAATGTCCTCATCTCCTCACAAGAAGGAGGATAAAGATCAACAGCAAGGCAACAGTTCAAATCACAATGCATTGTCTCAGGTAGCATCAGCCGCACTTCTTCTGGATCGTTTGAATACCTCATCGAGCGTGGAGAGAAGAGCAATCTTGGACGAATTGCGTGATCATTTATCAGAAGATGTCAAGTATGGGCGAACAGCTTCTTTGTTGGCTGCCCTAAGTCATACTTTTGGAGACGTTCAAAGAGTCGCTTTAGGTATCTCAACGCAGGCTGAAGAAACAGACTTACTTCCGAAGCAAGAAATACTCAATGCCATCCTTGGAATATTGAGAAGAGTCGCACGAAACAGTACAGGGCCATCTTCAGTTTCCGCAGCTCGTACGTGTGCATCAGCATTTCAAGCTTTGAGTTACATATTCAAAGGAAACGCATTCGCTTCACTTTCATCTCTGGACATACAGTATGTGGTCAGCGTATCTACGAGGTGCTTGCGATGGGGCATCAATGAAGCTTTAGAGGCACAACCTCGAACCAACACTGCACGAAGGGTAGGTCCAGGAAATGCTCTCGCCTTCTCAGGTCAGCGTCTTGGCGGTGATAAGGCGCAAGGATCATCTGTAACATACAATCGCAAGTCTGCCTTTTCGTCTATGGGCAATGTACCGTCTGGGCCAGTTTTGCGCAAACAGACATCATCTTCCAGTCTAGGCAGCGTGACACAGAGTATAGCAAGTGCAGGATGGGAAAGTGAATCTGCCGCATCAGCTTCAGAGCGAGAGAATGATGCAGATGAAGAGGATGACAGGAAGCGCCTGGGATCGGCTTGTCGGGCGGTTAGAACTCGTATTATTGCATTCTTGGAAGCCTTGAATGCGACAAATGCAAAAAGTCTGTTGTTGCATTGGCCTCAACTACTCTGCGAGAGTGGAAGCGAACATGCATGCTTGCTGGACATTGCAGAAATCGATGCGATCGTTTCAAATAGGGTGCATGCATGTCACACCATCGAAGCTTACATACTTGCAGGGAAGAACTTGGGCTTCTTCAATGGTGCAGAGGAGAGGGCAGGATTGAGTGCGTTTACTTCCTTGTCCAGCCGTATTGCTTCTACTATCGTACAGATACGACATCGATTGATTGGGATACTGCAGTCGAATTGCACAACCTCAGTAAAAGAAGCTGCACTCCGAACAACTTCGACGCTCGTTGAAGCAACACCGAAAGCTAAACTTCGCCAAACGCATGTCGAAATTATTCGACCTATAGCGCTTCGACTATGCTCAAGCGCAGATGCCGCGATCGCAGTGAAAGCCTATACTTTACTCTCCACCATGCTTGGGGCGACAGATGATGAAATTCCGACTGCATCCTTTGGTAATGTGCAGTTAGGTGAAAGTGTCTTGAAGTCTTTGCAAGATGATAATACGGGACCCGATACGAAGGCACAAGCATGGAAAGCATTAGCTAAAGTGGCTGAAAAGCAATCAAATGACAATACAGAGAACGAAGCGGAACTACGCTCACTGGCACTGCAGCAACTATCACTTGCAACGGAGGAAGTCCGACAGGGAATAGGCTCATTCATTCTCGCAAAATGTGGAGATGTGTCCCAGCAAAGTCGTTGGAGTGAGCATGTCAAATTGTTACAACAGGACTCATCACCGTCTGTGAGGATCATAGCAGCGGATTGTTTGGCGTTGACAAGCTTGGAGGGCGATGGACTTGCTTCACTTTGTCAAGATGAGGATAGCAGCGTTCGTGCTGCTGCATTTCGAGGTATCGGAAGCTCTATACAAAGGGGAAATAAGATCAATGCAGCGCACGAAGATATTCTGCGAAAAGGCCTACGAGATACTTCAGCTTTGGTCAGACAACGTGCAAGCTGGTCATTTGGCAATCTTTGTGAAGCAGGTGGTGAGATTAACTTATTGTCCGACTGTATCATTACTCGTAGAGACGATGAGCGTGTTGGTATTCATGCTATGAGAGGAGTAGGTGCGCTGCTAGCGAATAGCCGGTTGTCAGATCTCATTTCAAGAACTCAAGTAATTGCCGAAGCATTGGAATGGATCAGCGACACCTTGACGACAAGCAAAGATCCGAAAATGCGATGGAACACATGTGCATCAGTAGGAAAAGTATTCGCAATGGAGGATGTAGATGGAATGGCATACCTTTTACAATCAAAAAGTGGCTTGCCAGTAACGCTTTCTCGCATAATAGCAAACGACAAGACTTTCAAGACCCGCTTGACTGCATCAACAGCACTAATCTCTCTCATCGAACGTACGTCAGGTACTTCGCTCTTGCAAAATCACATCATTCGTCAGATCGAAACGAATATCAACACAGCTAAACAAGGAATCGTGCAACAAGTCGAAAATGCTTCTTTCCGAGAAGCACAATTACATGTGATACCCCTACAAAAGTCTATCGAAACGCTTGCTTCTTTGTTGGCTGGGTATTCGATAGCAAGTACGTAGCCAATGTATGAGATTATAATGTATGATATTGTACAATGTTGAGTTGACAAAAACAGAGAGACGTGGAAACTTTTTACCAAGATTCGAGTTCCTTCCGCGATAGCGGTTGTGTTTCTTCTTCGTATTCCACTTCGAGTTGAGGGCCCTTCTTGCCCTTCTTGCCGTTAGCAAGGCGAGCGCCTTTACCTGGAGCTTTTCGTTTCTTAGATGAAGCAGGACGTTCGTCATCCTCGTCATCATCATTGTCACCTTCGGATGAATCTCCAAACTCGATCAGGTTGCCATCAGAATCGTACAAGTCCAAATCGTCATCGTCATCTTCATCACTTTCGTCATCGCTAACGAATTCACGTTGTCCAGCAAGTTCATCCTCATCTTCCAATTCTTGTTCTTCTTCATCTTCCAGTACGAGTTCTTCGTCTTCGCTATCTTCATCACTTTCTTCTGCTTCAAGCATTGCATTTTCAGCAGCTTGTTCTTTTCCATCGACAACTCTTCTCCAAACATCTTCGTTGACATTAAGGGGAGCATCTCCATAAGCACCAGATTTCAATCTGTCCAATAATTCTTTTTCGATTGACTTTTCCAATTTTGCAGCTTTGAGTGCTTTTGCTTCTCTGGTTGCTTCTCTTCTTTCAGTCTTTTTGTTTATTCCCACAAGCTTTGGCTGTTCTTCTTCTTTGAGTTTGAGCTTACGCATTTTGATTAGGTATTGTGTTATTTTCGTTAATCTTTGTTTGGCTTTATGAACGATGAATTTTCCCCAATAAGGTAATTCTTCATCAATTTGTGCTAATGCTTTCTCATAATTTTTGTGCAATCGAATCTTTTCCCACATTTGTGAAGGTGAATGAGCTCTTTCGGCAGTTTTAACAAAAAGGTAAATTACTCCTTCTCTTTCACGTACGGTTGCATATCGACTATTTGCCAAAGGACATGCTTGTCGTGTACATAATCCTGTCAAATTGTATTCGTTACGACAGAACGTTTGTCTTGTCTTTATGCTCGGTGCTGCAAATCGATAAGAGCAGAACTGTTTGCCGATGATCGACCAAACCACATCATCCGATTGCATCTTGGCTGCTTGTATATGGGATGGAGGTTGTGACTTTGATCACTGTGTTGCTGTTGCTTTGATTGGAAGATGCTTGTCATGCATACTTTAATCCAATAATTTTTAGAAAAATTTCCCTGGCGCCTCTACACGTGACAGAAGGTGCAGCAAGCAAGTTCTTCAACTTTTACGCGTTGTTTTACTTGCTTCCCGCACCTCGTTGAGTCTTGATTACGTACTACAATTTCAACCTGATTGGTGATTTTTGAGAAAGTTAATAAAAAGTTTAAATTTCTTGATAATAACTGGCGTAACGTAATCTTTCTTCCGATTCAGGCCGTCCATTGCGAATCGAGTCCTCTTTCTCACTCTCTTCTCTGTGCCACCAACATTCCATCAATCATTCACACTTCACAACATGGCTTCAACTTCAGAACCCGTCGCATGGTCTCATGGCAATAATAGCGCCACCGTACGTGCTCTATTAATCAACAGATTACAATCCGGTCAAGAACCAAGAGGACCGGTTCATCCATACTATCAACCATGGAGCGTAAAAGCACTCGCTCCACAACAACAAACTAAACCAGAACAATCCTCTTCTAAAGTAGTAGGATCATCTGCAAGTCCACCACCAGGATGTCCAATGCATGCAGGTGGTGGTGCAATGGGAGGAGGAAGCAGCAGCAGCAGCAACAATGAGAGTGGAGGCGAATCCAGTAAGAGTGGATTTTTAGCATCTTCAGCAGCTGCTTTGAATCCACTGAATCGAATGCCAACACTAACGCAAGACCGTGCACCGAATCAAAAAGTTGAACTTTCGACCGATCGAGTGATGAGCACGATTCCACGTTTACATGAATCTGCGCCAAAAGGTGGTCATCCCTATGAAAAAGGTGGAAATGCATCTGCTTGTCCTGTACCGCATGAAGAACGATCGGCGATGATGGAAGGCAATAATAAGAAAGAAGCCAGCGAATCATCATCAGCAGGCAATTGGGAATATCCATCTCCACAACAATTCTACAATGCACTGGTACGAAAAGGCTGGGAAACGCCAGAAGAACATGTAGAGATGATGGTACTCGTACATAATTTCTTAAACGAACGTGCATGGCAAGAAGTTTTAGATTGGGAAAGAGAAATGGGCGTTAAAGATGCACAAAATCAAATTGCCTTAGCAAGATTTCAAGGTAAACCCGGTACACTTTCACCTAAAGCAAGAATATTTTCTTGGGCAGCCATGATTGCACCTTCTAAATTCAGTTCAGACGCTCCTTTTGATCGACATGATTGGGTCGTTCGTAGACCTTCAACTTCTTCCACAGATCCAGGCAAAGAGGTTCGATATGTGATCGATTATTATTCGGCGCCCGATGATCCCGATACGGATGAACCTGTCTTCCATCTTGATGTTCGTCCCGCTTTGGATTCATGGGAAGCTGCTCAAGTTCGTATGAAGCGAACATGGGCAGAATGGAGAAGTCAGGAAGGAGAGGCATCAACGTGAGAACATATTTGTACTTGTACCATTATTAATTAAATCTACACCACTTTCACACACTTTCTTCAGGCCTGCTTCATTTTCCTGGGTAAGATGACATGTACATTTCACGAATTGAAATATGAAATTCTGCAGTTTCCAGAGAAAGAAAGGAAATGCAACGAGAACAAAAAAAGGATAAGTCTGAGAAAAGTGAAATGGAAGAGCGGGATCGAAGACCATCTCTTTCATTGCACCCCTTTCAAGCCGGGTAACACTGAAGAAGAATGAAAGTAGTTTTTAAAATTGATCTGCGATAGGTAAATAGTCGATAATTGCACACACACATACTTGAAGAGACCGTATGAATTATTGAATGAGTGATTCGAGCTGGAAACGAAACACCTTTCTCTTGTGTTGTTGACTACCCCACTTAATCCTTGCGGGACATGTCCAAAACGGGCAAGGAGAAGTAACTTGTGTCTGGGCTCAAAAGACCTGCAGCACCAGTGTAGAATGCGACGGCTGCTGTGACGATACCCATTGCACCTCCAGCAGTTGTAACCTTGGCATTACCGGTGAAGTAAGCAACGAAGAGGCTAATAGAGGGAAATCGGAGAGAATTGCAAGTCAGTAAGAGAAACATCAATCCTTATCCCACACATAGACTCACAGCAAGAAGGTAATATCCAAGAAGAAGAACAACAAGACCAAAGCCAAAGAAGATTTGAAAGAGGCAGCAAGCATAATGAATGTGAAGATGAACCAGCATGCAAGGTAAATACCAAGAGCTTGATCGAAGTAGTGTGTACCTTCAGCAGCATATTTAGAGTCAAAAGCACCTTCAACGTTGAACCAAGGGATCAAAGTGATTGCAAATGACCACCAGAAAGCACCATAAGAGCAGAAAGCTGTTGCACCAAAAGTGTTACCACTTGCGAATTCCCAAATACCAGCAATGAATTGAGCTGTACCACCGTAACCCAAAGCCATACCAATGACGGCATTTGGAATGGAAACACCTCTTGCACTAACGTTGAACAAACTTAACATGAAAGTTGTACCAGCGAAAGCCAATAAACCCAAAGGAGCAGGATTTGCGAATTTACGATGATAAACGGGGAAAGCGGGTTGAGAAGTATCTTGAGCGTGACCACCGGGTGTTACTGCACGTTGAACTGGTGGACCACCTTGGTAGCCATTCTCTACTTTGTTGGTTTCAGACATTTTTGATGAGTGAAAAGAGGGGTAAGCTTAAAAAAGAAGCAGGGATGAAGGATGGTTGGTGGTAAGAGAGAAAAGGAGAGAAAGTTGTAATTGTGGGTCATTTAACACAAACAAAGAAGAGCGGGGAATGGATCAACAATAGTATTGTTTGCGCGCATTCTTGCTCTACAGGTGCTGTTAACCAATAAAAAGACTGACCGAGAGGGATGGATGGATTGACTTTGAAAACAGGAAAGAGGATGCATAGACCGGCAAAGTGCAAAAGATGAAGTATATGCCAGGGTGCATGACTGTTGGTGTTGTTTTAATTCGGATATAGGATTTAGTGGAACATATCCACATTCTAGAAAAGTGTTTTCTTTTGCTTAAACGGCACATACGTCAGTCAAAGAGAGTATGTATACTGATTTGATGCATTATTGCTAATTGAGTAAAATGTACATCATTTAGCTAATTTTAATTTTTCTTGGGGCCCCAAGTAGAACGCTGCTGCTCAATTGAAGCGAATGTGACCTTTTGTTTTTTAGGTTCGCACGAATGAAAATGGAGAGTGATGCTCTTTTCCCCTTAATCAAACACACAAGACTGTTAAAGTGCATTGTAGTACGCGTCTTTGTATAAACAACACTAACAATTAATGTCCGGGGAAATTGAATAACAGTGGAGCAAAAGCACTTCACCAGTCATGCCTGTTTGTAAGCCGCATTCTCATCCAATGAACCTTTTGATAGCAGTAAACAAGTCATTCGGTACCGCCGACCTACAGCCCTGATAATTTGTCTCGATAAATTAAAAAAGATAGTACGTGCATCAATAGAAGCTCTAGCGTTCTTACACTAATCACCGATTGTGTTCAAATAAACAGCATAAGCGGATGGCTTTCCCACATTTGATCAGAGAGATACTCGCTCGCTTATACAGACAGAATACAACTCTAACGCGCAGCGCATTGATGCAACGCCGATCAATCCAGGAAAATATGGTCGTAAGCTAGGCCAATTATCTTCCTCTCCTTTCTTCTGCGCGTAAAAAGAGTGCCAAGGACGATTATGATGATATCAATGATATCGTTTGATCAAAACTAAATTGTACTTTTGGGAGCATCATGACGAAAATGCAACAATCTCCTTGCTTCATTAGTGGGATCTCTCTCTCACTCTTTAGATGACAGCCATGCAATATGATGATGATGATACACACATTTGCTTCGGCATCATTTTAATGGCTTTTTCTGTACCAAACTCAGCTAAAGCCGCGGCATGAAAACAAAGAACGAGAGTGATCAGCAACTTCCCACGCAAAGCGTTGTAGGACGTGCAGTCAAGCAAGAAGGCCCGGGCTTAGACACTCGCACGTAAAGTGGCGCTAACTGCCAAAACATATGTCGGCATTTCCGATTCAAGTAAGATTGATGACAGGATTACAATCATGACAGTCATCATTGTTCTCTTACCCCCCAGATTCTGCACTCCGCATCTTATATCGGGTGGCATCGATGCAGCAATCTGCGGGGATAAAATCTATATCGGAAATGATGAAATAAATCCGATGGCTTTCATTCCCCCAAACTATCCAATAAGGTTAAAGCAACGAGAGAGTAAAATCTCGCCAGGAGAATGATATGATTGCGACAAATAGACTATATACTAAAAACGAATGTGTGTAATTCAAAACGGAAACTGCATCATTGTCACCAAGCTCACTTTGTCTTGACAGATTGTGATTGTTTGGCCTTCTTCATCTTTTTGCGTCTTTTATCATCCCTGATACGCTTTTGAACTTGACGTATAGCCGATTGTTTATCCCAATGTTCTTGTTTGAGTAATTTGATCGTGTGATTAACAACAGGTACATTTCGTTTACCATCTTTTGCACGTTCAAAACAAGCAAATTTAACGGGAGAAGCAATTCCTCTTCCTCCGTCAATATCATCCCCTTTAGTATTGTAAGGAAAAACGGCAACCCGAGCAAGAGTGTTTGTTCGATTATTTGCTTTTGCAGATGCGTTTGAAAATGCCCAACAATCATCTCGCCATTTGAATGCTTTTCGTACAGTTTCATCAAATAAAATCTTTTGTGCTTTATGTAAATTTTTTGCACCAATGCGTTGAAGACGATCATCGAACGTTTGATTGAATGTCCAATAACCAGTCTTTAATGCTGTTCCGTTTAACATTTTCAACGTATACTTCAAAGGACCATCAATTTCTGGCCAATGAAATGTTGGTAATTCGTTTTTCTTATTTCCACCCCGAATTAGATCATTTTGTCGTTTTTCCCATAATGAATCATCGTTTTGCTCGAAATAGACTGTTTCACGTCGTAAAGCGATTTCCGATTCGGTACAATGCACTTGAGACATTGCAAACAAGAACAAAGCTGTAAAGACTGGAATGATGCGATACATCATGTTTGCGAAAAGGGATGGGGTGATGGTGAATGGGTTGGTATGTGATGGTGGAAGGGATTGTATTTGTGATGGTAACGAAATGCACATTTCTTTTATCACTTTTGCCAAGATATAATCACAAATGACAAAATGAACAAGTAGATGTGCGGAAGTGCGCCAATTGTCATAAATAAGTTTAAAGAGCGGCAAGCGGACTGTGAAAGATAGGAGCACGGATGAAATGGTGAAATGAAATAGGGAAAACGGAAAGAGGAAAGTTCTTCACTCCCTGCAAACTACGGCGCCGTCTTGTTGAAGTCCATCATCGTGTGAAACAATTCACTGGACATATTCTCACTCTTCCGCCTTCATCGAGTGAGAGAGTGGATATGCGCGCAAGGAGTACCTTATTTCGATGAAATTGGCGTCACTTTCTTGGCAACACGGAATCTTGCCGCTCTTGTTTTTTCAATCTTCTCTTCGCATTGTACTTATGTTCGCTCCGTTGTAAAGATGCATATCTCGCACTTTCTTCTGGCGTCATCGGTATGCCTTGTTTTACTTTCTTTCTTAGAGCCGGTGTTGTTATTTGACTCATTTTACCGTATCCACGAGTTTCTTTGAGCCGTTTATACATTTCGCTTTGATATTTACGTCGATATTGAACATAAACTTTGCTTTTGTTCTTCTTTTCCCTTCCCATCTTTCTTCTTTCTACCGCTTCTTTCTCCCGTTTGATTTTTTCATCTAAGCTGTCTGCTTTTCTTTGTTTACGATACTCTCGCATCCATACAGCTTTAGGATCTTGAGAAAGTGGTTTCTTTCCCCTTTCCATCTGATTGCTTGGTTGGTTCATAACCACACTCTCATCATTCCTGATTGATTGATGAGAACTTGATTCATGCGGTGGAAGGAACATCAAATTTTCTATATCTATATCTTGCGATAGAGGTTCAGGTGAATGAGGCGCATAAGTTGCAACCCCGAAGACCGCTTCGCAGATTGCGATCAACAATAGAAACCAGATTAGATTCATCATAAACCTGCTTGATCAAAACCACGAGATAGTCATCAAGTTTGATTAAAGCACCTTTTCGCAAGTAACGAGATGATGACCTGAATCTGTTCAATGTGGAAGAGTGTACACTAACGCAAATGCTGAGTAATACAAGGAAATAAGCATTGTGTACCTTACTCGGGGCAAAAGAGATTGCTTTATATACAATGGTATAAGATGAAATTAAATGAAAAGTATATACATGATGATGTCATACCCGAACTCTACATGAAAGCTGATGAGGTCAAATCTTACAAATAAGTTGTTGATTTCCCGAATAGGGAGGAAATGAAATATTTACCATCGAAAGAAATTTGGACTTAGGGCTTATTGTTTTTTTGATTTTTATATTTCTCTTTCCTCTTTCTTCTCAACTCTACCTGGTTGCGAACATAATAATTTCTGTTGATCACCTTCTTTCTCACTTGCGCATCCGTCAGTCCCCCACTCGTAGGACTCGCAGCACTTTGTTCACTTTTCGGTGACGAAGGACTTGGTGATTTTCTCTTCTTTGAGTTTGCTGATTGTGGTCCTGGACTCACACTTCCTGCATGTTGATCGACGGGTTTTGCGATGTCATTGCTTCGAACCGAATGTCGATCTGATGCTGCTTTTGGCTTCACCATATGTTCATCGTGGTGTGCTCCATGTGGCTCGTCTTTTGGCCAATTAATATATTCATCCCAATCAATGGATCCTGAATCAGAAGCACTCGATGAACTTGAAGGAGGAATGCTGTACGTTCGAACATGTTGGAAAATGGTAAAGAATACCAGTAAAAAGATCTGTAAAGAGTTCACCATCATCATTTTCTTCTGAATGTAGTTTGTGGAGGGGAATGAACAAGGCATAGCTTTCAATCCATTATATATTTTTTTCATTCAAGAAAAAACCATTGAACGCCATATGGCGGTACATCATAGCATGTGTAATGGTCTCCGATCTGGCCATCGGGTCTGTTCTTGCGTCTCCGTGTGGCGTTGACGGGACATTCTTTGGTTTGAAGAGCATCGGATACAGCAATTTGAATCGTTCGCAAATTTTCTCCGCCAATGACCGTAAGCTGATGCTTGATTCAACCTACTCTGAAAGAGATATTGCAAAGGGTATTCACTAAGCTGTCACCTTGAAACGGAGAGGTCTTAAGTTTCTTTATCATCCTCTTGCGTGTTTGAATTAGTACAACAAGGTAGCATTTGCAAACACTGCATTGGGAGGATAGGTCAATTGAACCATACACGAAAGTCACATCCATTGCGCAAGCATCCAAAGTAAAAACGCTCCCTATATACTTCTCTCCTTTTTCTTCAGTTCCCCGTTTGCTTTCTTTCTTCGTGCATCATCGATTCTCTTTTTTTCAAGTTTCGCAATTTCATCAGGCGTTGCTTGATTTTGTTTGACCTTTTTTCTGATCGTTTTTTCAAGTTCACTTGATCGTTTACCGTATCCTAGGAGTGCTTTGCGTTTTCCATATTGTAGCCTTTCTCTCACTCTTTTGTTTCCATAATATACTTCACGTTGTTCTTTGGTCATTTCAGAAATTCTGTCTCTACGTCTCTGGACATCATTTGCACTTTTAAGAATCTTTCTTTGTGCTGTAAGCTTCTTCTTTTCATAATCTCTCTTATAGTCATAATAGGCCGCTTTCTCTTCTTCCGTCATTCGAAGCAACCTCCGTCTACGTCTTTTTGTACTTTCTGATAGATGTTCCGGAATCTCTACTTCTGAGATCTGGTGCAACGCCTGAGAAGGTTTAATGTTATCAACATTCTGTCGCTTCCTTCTTCGGCTTCGCATTCCCACTTTTCCCCATCCTTGTTGTTGCGATTCTGCTTGATCATTTTTATCAAGTAATGGTGTTGTTTCATGCATGTCGATTGACTGATCTGGAGATGGCGGAGGCGAGCGATTCAAGTCAATCATTACAGCTTGGACTAATAGAAATGGTCTGAGCAAGAGGAAGAGGTAGACTATCGTCATTTCGTTATTTAAGTCTCTTGACTTGGTGAAGAGTCAATATCAAATACGACTCATTGCAACATGCGTTCATTATCTCAAGAAAATTGAGCGCAATAACCTGGGCGTTTACACAGCAATTGAGTAATACGATGCAACTTGCGTACTGGTCAATTCTATGAAAGTTGCCAATGGCAACGAAAAGAGGCAGGGGTACAGATAAGATGTTGAAGTGAATTAGGGAAAACGGAAAGAGGAAAGTTCTGCACTCCCTGCAGACCATAGCACCGTCTTGTTCAATTCCATCATCGTGTGAAATCACTGGACATATCCTCTCCCTACCGCGTTCATCGAGTGAGTGCGCAAATTGTACATGGAATTGGCAAAAAGAGTGACTCTCCTTGGCAACATGGACTATACTACTGGTTCTTTTGAAGCCTTTTTTGTTTATATTTCCGTTCAGATTTTCGTATGGATTGAATTCTTACATTTTCTTCTGGTGTGATCTGTACGCCTTGTTTGACCTCCATCCTTAAAGACTTATCTCTTATTTGACTAATTTTACCATATCCACGAATTTCTTTTAATCGTTTATACAGCTCTTTTTGATATTCACGTCGATTTTGGACATATTCTTCATTAATGTTATATTTATCTCGCCTTTCTTTTCCTTTTGCCGCTTCTTTCTCTCTTGCTAATTTCTCTTCTGGACTTTCGGCTTTTTTACGTTTTCGGAATTCTCGCATCCTTACAGCTTGACGATTTTGAGATAACGGTTTTCCCGTAATTCCCCATCGTTGATGGCGCAATTCTGTTTTATTATCTTTATTAAATATCGGTGCTTGTTCATGTGCGTCAATAGCATTATCAGGAGACGGTGGTGGCGAGTAGTTTAAATCAAAATTCACAGCTTGGACTAATAGAGATGATCCAAGCAAAAGGAAGAGGTAGAGTATCGTCATTTCGTTGTTCAAGTCTCTTGACCTGGTAACGAATCAATGACATGTGCTTTTCAATCGAACTGCATGTATTACCTCTGAAAATTCAAACTCAGATCATTAGACCTTAACACAGCATTTGAGTAACTTCGAGCAGTTTGCGTACTCGCCAGCTCTCTAAATATCATCAATGGTAGCGGTAATACATGGATAAAAATATAAAATATATTTCCTCAAGATCTGAATGCAGTTTGCGCACTTCTAGACTGCCATTTTATCTGCCTGAATTGAAAGCTCCGCTTGTGATGATCTAGCTTTGGACCTTTTTTGAGTGATAATAACGTAATTTGTTACGTCTGTCTTGTAGTACAACATCAGTTTGTTCTTGAGTGGCAATACCCGCTCTCACATCCCTTCTAGCTTGTTTGAGCCTTTCATTAAAAGGACTACTAAATCCTCTCTTCGATGTTCGTTCTTTATAGCGTCTCACAGCACCTTCTCTCGTTCTTTGCTTTTCTTCTGGACTCATTTCTGAAATTCTCTTCTTTCTACGATTTTTGTTTTCTTCCAATTTTTCTGGTCTTGTATCCTTCAAACTTTGATAATATCGACGTGATCTTTTGCTATCCTTTTCTCTCTTATTTTGATCTTTGAAAGATCCGTTTACGTTCAATTGAGGTTTTCGTACTCGCTTGCCAAGTATTGAAGCTGGTTGTTGCTTATGAAACGAGGTAGTAGAAAAAGACTTTTCAATAGACTCGTGACCCGAATTGAAGAAAGTTCTGTCCTCGTCGGAGTCCACCTTAGGCGCTTCATTCAGGTCGATGTCCAACCCGGCTGAAATCGCCAGATGAAGATTGAAAGCAGATAGAAGCACAAAGATAAGAGGCAGCATGACTGAAGAAGGTTCGTTGGCGATCATGCAACGCAGGCACAAATCACCATGAAAAAAAAAGTACTCTTTATAGCAGCACTTCTGTTACTTATTGCGATGGGGCGAAGACATGTTTCAGCGTTGTTTATAACGGGTTCTTACAGGGGCGGTAACTGCGAGAGACCCGGCATAGCAGAATATTTCAAAGTATAAAACACAGTGGCGCTTACACGAGCGAAGGGGAACCTTGTATTGATACAATAAACAATTTGTTTTCAAGTTTGCATATAACGGGCGATGTTTAGTCATCGTAAAGAGCAGCACTGATTCATCACAAACAACTTAAATGCTGTACCGCCAAGCTCGCTGTACACGGGCATCGCCATCTCGGGCCAAGAAGTAGAATAACATTAGCTGGCTCACGGTAGTGTCGAAAATGTCGCTTTTAGAAGCATGATATATTAATTAAGTCCTAATCCACTGTTATCTTTCGTCGCCTGAGCTACTCGGGATCTTGTGGAGATGTGCTTCTTCTAGGCACTTGCTTCAATTTCTTTCGTTCTTTGCTTAATTGGAAAGATTCGCGCTTTCGTTTTAAATGTTTCTCTCTTATTGAGATCTCTTCTGGTGTTGCTTGATTTTGCTTAACCTTTTGTCTAATGATCTTTAACTTTCGTGCATGCTGACTTGCAACACCACCTTCTTTTTTTCGTGCGTGATAGCGAATTCTTTCTTTTTCACGCTTGACGTTCATATACTCCTGCAATTCCTCTTTTGGCATATTGGCAACTCTTTTCTTTCTTCTTTCGGATCCCTTTCGATTTTGCCTTCTGATCGAGTCTGGATTGGATTCTTTCAGTGCAGCATAGCGTGTCTGTCGCTTATTCTTCCCCTTTGCCTCTTGTGGCTTTGCATCTTCAGTACGATGGTAGGCACCGGAATCTTGCGTCAAGGGGTTCTTGTTCGAAATTTCTTCTTCTGGAGACCTTGGTGGCGAACGATTTAAATCAAGGCCTATTGATCCGGCTTGGCATGAAACTGTATAAGCGAGTGAGAGGAAAAAGATCGCCAGTCGGTAACTGTCTAAAGACTGGAGCTTCATCCTGAGCTTCATCTGCTATTGCATAGACGTTACGTTGAGAATGCAAAATCCTGTCAAGTTTGCTTACATCGAAGTTCTTATTATTACACAAATCATAGCCACATACCTAGTCGCTGTGGCTGTAACATTTGCATATCGTGGCAATAGTCATAGACTCGCTCTCACCCTTTCTTTTTTGATTGTTTCTTGTGTAATCGTCTTGCTAGAGAGCTCTTTCGTTTTTGCTCTGCGACTTTTTTGTATTCCAAAGTCTCTTCCGGTGTAGCGGTACCGTTGCGGACCTTTTCTGTTATCGTTTTACGTCTTACATTTTGTCTAGATCCATATCCTCTTCTATTCTTTCGTATTGTATACTGCCTCTTGTCTCTCTCTTGCTTCGCGATTTTATATTGCTTCAATTCTTCTTTTGACATTCTAGCGAGATATTGATTCCTAATCTCCTTTTTCTTTTCTTTCAAAATCTGCGACGTTACCGGATTATCCCGATTCTTCTTACTGTATATAAAATCCCTTACGCTGATTTCTTGCTTCCTATTCGCCATTGGATCTTCGTACACAGCCTGACTGGCTTGCTGTTGTGTTTCGGGTATGCGAGGATGTGAGCTTGCTTCTGTTTCATCAAAAGCAACAAAGCTGGTGGGATAAGCAAGCATATCTTCACCTGGAGGAAGATTCAAAAATGGATCCACATCAAAATGTGAAGATGATCCTGAAGAGATTGCCGTTACAAGGTAAAGATCGTATGAAGCAAGAAAGAGTAAGGCTAGCAATTTGCATTTGTACACGATTGCATCTTGATACCCTGTAGTATTCTTCGCCCATTCAAATGAGGAATACATAGAAAGGATTACCCGAAATGACATGCATCAATGACGATCAAGATGCTCAGCTGTGCGGAATGAAGTAAAAGGAATTTCCTCTTATAAATTACGTTGCAAGAGTTTACACGCAAATCACCATCTTTCACAGCCACACGCCCAATGTTTATGGCTTCACTGTTGTCCACAGAGTCAGCATTATTTATCGATCAACCTCAAAGCATATGCTTCATACGTACGGCGAGGGATGGGAGTATGAGGGATGAAAATGCGCCGGCCGTTTCAATTCTCCGCACGCCTCCTACGTAGCGTGGAAAAAGCAAAGTGTGCAATCTTTAGCATACACTCGCACTCTTTTCTCCTCTTCCTTCATCAGTCGCTACTCCAAAGGAAATGTTTCAACCGACAAGGTATGTATGCCTGCACAAAGAGATCTCATCACTTAGATGATACTGACTTTATTGCTCTTTTGCTAATCTCTTTTGGTACAGAGGTGGAACACGTGGAGGAGCGGCTTATTTCAGTTGGGATGATGTGAAGAAGGACAAAGATCGAGAGAATTATTTAGGTCATTCAATTCTAGCACCGACGGGTAGATGGCAAAAGAATAAGGATGTTACGTGGTACAATAAGGACAAAGCACAATCAGCAAGCGGAAGTGGATCAGACAAAACGGAAACTGTATCACAAGCAACAGAAGCACGTAAACAAGAATTAATGGCGATTAAGATGCGAGAAGAAGAAGAGATGAATAAACGATTAGGCATCAAGATTGATTATAGAAAAATCATTGAAGGAAGCTCAGATGCTCAGAAGAAAGAGGAAGATGAGCGCAAAACAAAAGAGCTAGAATCAGGTTTCACAAAAGAAGAACGTAAAGCTGCTAAACGATTGGCAAAGATGGAAGTTCGTCAGCAACAAAGGGAGGAAAGAGATCGTGATAGACGAAGACACAGAGACAGCGAAGACAGAAGAGAAAGGCACAGCAGGCATGTTGATAGCAGGGCTGACAACAATCGAGATCGTCGCAGAAGTCGAAGCCCTGATGGTAGTCGTTCCCGTCGCCGATCAGAAAAGCATGAAGATGATCGACGGGATGATCGTCTACACCACAAAGATTCGTCTTCGTCTAGGAGAAGGGAAGGAGATGGTGGAGATCGTCATCGGGAATACCACAGAAGCGATGCTGACCAGTCAAGGAGACGCTATCGAGACTAGGATATAGCACTCCACTGTATTTTTTTTATGATTGTATCGATATTGTACTGTACAGACTGATAAACAAATTGACAAGGGTATAGACTCCGAAGAGTATTTGAGTGGTGAGATTATCTGAACATGCGCAAGTATGCCAAAAGTAGGGCTCCACAACCAGTAGCCACACCGACCAAGTATTGCAAAACATTGATTTTTGCACTTGCGATTGTCGATCTTAGGCCAGCGATTTCTGATTCGATTCTTGTATCAACTTCCTTGATCTTGAGAGCATGCACGGAAGATTCATCACGAATACGACCTTTTTCCAAATTCAAATCCAATCGAACGCCTGCAACTGTTCTTGTGATCTCTTCGCGTAATCTCTGCTTCAATTTTTCCACATCGGCCATCAATCGTTCATTTTCACTTTTCATCAATGTGAAATCATTTCGTTCAAGAAGCTGAACGTCGGATTTCAAACGTGCGAAATCTACTTTTTGACTATATCTCCACCTTTCTCCTTCTTCTCTGCTGATTAAACCTTTTTCTAGCCCCTTTATACTTTCTTCAACAACGTCAGATAAAGCTGTGACCAATGCATCAGCTTGTGGCCTTGGCATTCCTGATGCTTCTAATCGTGCAACAAAGCCATGCGTATCAAAGTGCATAGAAGAGGAAGGTGTTGATGTAAAGAATGTTCGATGTTGCTTTAGTGAATTACTTGATCTCTGTAAGATGATCGATGAAGGTGCCACCTGTATGCCACACGCAGATGGCGCAGGCCATGCCCGTCTGATGGTTGGTAGTGCTGCTCTTGATAGCATTTCAGTATGATGGTAAATCAGAGAGATCAGATCTTTGTTACATCTTACGCCAGGCACAGGTTATATTTATGCACTTACAGCATATACGTACGCCCATAGGAGCTTTACCGGTAGTGTGCTGCGCTGAGCTGTACTGCGCGTGTATTTGGCTTGTCTGCCGAGATGCAGTGTTCTTTAGTGAGTTGGTCTGATCACCGCTCATTCGCGTATTAAGATTGGGTAAAGTGTTACACATTCACATACATCTTCTGCAGAAGATTGCTTCACATCACTCCGATCACCTTGTCACAACATCAAGTAAATCTCCGATTATCGCTCGACTTCTTAAATCGGGCAGAAACATCACTCCTTCCACAGACAAACGGCTGATTAGGAGAGAGGAGAAGATTCGTAATTGCGGAGACGATCTAAGGGTTCTTGTTCTGTAAGAGGTGCAAGAGGGTCGAAGTTGGCATCGTATACAAAAAGCCAACAGGATGTACAGCAATCATCCAATACATCATCAAAGAGCATCCCGGTCAAAAAGATGGACAATGACTTCTAAATCCAAACTAATACAGCTAGCCGGGTTGCTACTCATAGTCCTTCTCGCTAGCATTGGCTTTTGTGATGCTGCTTCTCCATCAACCAGATTGACAAGATTTGCCAATCTACCAGCAAAGGTCGCATACGTAAATGATGCAAGCGTTGTATTCTATCATGATTCTATCAAAGGGGATGTGTGGCGATCGCAAGATGAAGGAAAGACGTGGCAATTGGTAAATGGTCCGCCAAGCGGAAGTGCATACATTCTGATCGAACATCCTTACGATCGAAATATGGTATTCATCTTGTCAAACGCAAAGAAGCATTGGAGATCGACCGATCAAGGAAAGACATGGCATCCTTTCGAAACGCCTGAATCACCAGCAGTACGTGCAGGCTCTCCGCTTGAATTCAACGCAGACGAGAAAAAGTACGAGCATATCATCTTTACAGGAAAGAAATGTACAATGTGGACACCTTGGGGCGGTGGCTTGTGTCATGATGAGGCATACTACACCAGAGATGCTTTTGCGACTCCACCGCAAATGTTGGTGGAATTTTTGATGCATTGTACATTCGCAAAATCGTCAAAAGATGTAAAGGTAAAGCCAGAGCATCTCGAACGGATATACTGCATCGCTTGGGAAGACAGTCCGACTAAAGGGGACCCAACGATCAAACAGAGAAGTCACATATACGACGATCCTTCTCACTTGCTCTCAGCCCGGTCAGCAGACAAGAATATGCAAAAGAGAGTGCCTCTCTCCAGTCCTACCCGGCTGTATTACAGTGACGACTTTTTCAAAACCAAAAAGATGGTCACGCTAGATCTTGGAAGGGATGCGAAGCACTTTGTCGGATTTGGCCCTTCAAAAAGGTATCTCGTAACGGCTCTTCGTGATATCCAGAGCAGCTCACGCGGAAATGCAGGAATGGAGATGGCGCTCTTTGTATCTGAAGATGGTGATCAATGGCACAAGACAAACTTCCCACATGGTGCAGGGCTAACAGAAGGTGCATACACCATTATCGAAGGAACGACAAATTCACTGGTAGTAGATGTCCTCGACGTTAGCTTAGGAGGACAAACAGGAACGCTTTTCGTCAGTAATTCAAAAGGGACCGACTTTGTCAAGAGCCTGGAAGGAACCAGCAGAAATAGGAATGGTATTGTGGACTATGAGCATTTGATGAACATCGATGGTGTCGCAGTAGCAAATGTTCGCGCAGATATTCATTTTGGAGGGGAGACAAAACATGGAACTGGAACAAAGTCGCTCATCACATTCAATGACGGCAGCAATTGGCGTTTCTTGAATCCTCCAGCAGGTCAGTGTAAAGGTCAAGATTTGAAAGATTGTTCTTTACACCTCTATTCTGTCACGAGACCCCATAATGTGGGAAGAGTCTTTTCCTCTACGGCACCTGGCTTTGTGATGGGAGTAGGTAGCGTGGGTCAAGCACTCATGCCGTACGAATCTTGCGACACCTTTTTGTCTACGGATGCTGGACAAACGTGGATCAAGGTGGCAGATGGCGCACATAAGTACGAATTTGGAGATCAAGGAAATTTGCTCCTAATGGTCAACGATGAGGAGAGCACGAACGAGGTGTCCTATAGCTGGAACCATGGTAAAAAGTGGGAAAAGCTTAGATTGCCAGCCACAATGCGAGCCAAGATCTTGACAACGATTCCCGATGGAACTGCGCAGAAGTTCATTCTGATCGGAAGTCAGACCAGAAAAGAGGCCGGCACAAACAAGGATAGACAAGTCGCAATCTTCTTAGACTTTGATGGTGTGAAGCGGAGATGTCGTCCTGGTGATATGGAAGTTTGGAAAGTGAAATTGGACGGCCAGCAAGGCAAATCAGCCTGTTTGATGGGACATACTCAATCATACCAGCGCCGAAAGGCAAATGCTGATTGTTTCGTTGGTGACAAATTCCACGAGCCTATTGGAGCAGAAGAGCCATGTCCATGCACAGAAGATGATTACGAGTGTGACTTTGGCTTTGTTCGCAGTCAAGACGGCAAAACTTGTGAGCCAACGACTCGTATCCGCATACCTCCCGGTCAGTGCATGGGAGGCGATCGTACTTTCAAGGCAAGCTCTGGATATAGAAAGGTCGCAGGCAATCTATGCCGCGGTGGTAAGACGCAAGACGAGGAGAAGAGCTATCCATGCGATCAAGGAGCACCTGTTGATGGACAAGTGATCCATCAGGTCCATACATTCCCAGGTCAAATATTCGATCATATCTACTTCTCTGACAGTTCAAATGTTGTTCTTCAGCTTACAGATGGCACTTTGTGGAAATCGATAAACGATGGCTATAGCTGGATGCAGATTGAACGACCGAATGATCCTACTTATCCAGGCTCCGGGTTCTTAACGATGGCTCTGCATACCTATGATCGAACCAGAGGATTCTTGATCACAAACGGTCAGCGATATTTGCGAACTACAAACGGTGGCAAAGCATGGCATGATTTCAATACAGCGCCTTTACCGCCCAACTCTCTGGGTATACCAGTCTTACAATTCCATCCTACCAAACCGGATTGGTTAATTTGGACGGGCAGTCGGGGTGATTGCATCAGCAATGAGAGTATCGACTGCAGAGCAGTTTCATACTATACCCGTGACAACGGACAAAGGTGGCACAAGATTGACGAATACGTTCGAAATTGCATGTGGGCAAGCGCTTCGAAGAAATTCAATGCTCCGGATGATACTGCAATCATTTGCGAATCATATCGTGACAAGAAAGGTAATCAGAGAGCGTTTGATGCATCCAATCCTCTCACATTGGTGCATGGAATGAACTTTTACCAGAAGCATGTCCAAGTTCTTAATGCTATCGAAGGTTCTGCTGTCTTTGATGAGTTCATGGTAGTGGCAGAATACACTGCTGATTCCGATATGCTTACATTGCAGATCAGTCTTGATGGCTTACGATTTGCAAAGGCAAACTTCCCGCCGAACACCAAGCTAGAACGAAGAGCATTTACAGTCTTAGATAGCAACACCGGTAGTGTCTTCTTGCACGGTACTACTCACGGCACGCCAGGAAGTGAATGGGGCAGCCTGTTCCGAAGCAATTGGAACGGTACTTACTACACTACAACATTGGAACATGTGAATAGAGATACCAGCGGATATGTAGATTTCGAAAAGATGCTTGGATTAGAGGGAATCGCACTTGCAAATGTTGTTTCAAATCCTGACGAAGCTGCAATTTCGGGAGTGAAGAAAATTCAAACAAAGATCACCCATAATGATGCCGGTCGTTGGAAAACACTAACGCCACCGCTGAAAGACTCCAATGGAGAGCCATACAAATGTCAGGAGGTCGGGTGCACGCTACACATTCATGGCTACACTGAACGCGATGATCCAAGAGCTACCTACAGTAGTCCTACTGCTGTTGGAGTTATGTTGGCAGTTGGTAATGTGGGTAAAAACTTGGCGCCATATCGTGATAGTGACACATTCTTGACCAGAGACGGTGGTTTTACATGGGAGGAAGTACACAAGGATGCACATAAATGGGAATTCGGCGATCAAGGCTCTTTACTCGTGATTGTGAATGACGAGGAGCCCACAAGTACTGTTTCGTATACACAAGATGAAGGCTTAACTTGGTCGGAGTATAACTTTGGACAAGCATTGAGAGTGTCCAAGATTGTCACAGTGCCCGAGGATACCCACCGGAAATTTATCTTGTTTGGCGCCTCACCATCTTCTTCTGACACAGCAATGGCAGTTCATTTGGACTTCACCGGTTTGACTTCGAAGAAGTGTGATACAAAAGATTTCGAGACTTGGAGCCCAACGGGATTGGCAAATGATCGATGCCTATTTGGACGGGAAGTGTCGTATTATCGTAGAAAGCGAGAAGCCAATTGTTATGTCGGCAGACAAATCGCACAACCACATGAAAACGTGCGCAATTGCACTTGCACTGTACACGACTTCGAATGCGAGTACAATCATCGTCCTGATCCTAGCGATCCAACAAGATGTACTCTGTACCCTGGTGCCCGACCTATTCAAGCAAACGAAGAAGAACAATGCCTGTTGAGCAACGATGTTGATGCAGGAACATATTGGTATGACCGTACAACTGTGCGTAAAGTTCCTCATTCTTCATGTCAAGGAGGACCACGACCAGATCGAGGCAAACGTCATTATTGCACCATGAGCACACGTCGTCATGGCTGGTTCTGGTGGTTAAGTTTGATCATTACGCCGTTCGGACTTGCTGCTTTGGTAGGATTATGGTGGAGTAAGAAGACCGAAGCCCAAAGAGCAGGATTTGGAAGTATCCGCCTTCCTGGAGTGAATGGGAACGGATTACCGAACGGCAATGACTTTGGAGATAATAAGGTTTTGCAAACTTTGGCAAGCGTGCCTTGGTTCATTGTTGGAACTGCAAGTATGGTCTGGAGTACGGCTTTGAATGCCGCTGAACGATTGCCAGTCGTGGGCAATTTACTGGGAAACCGAACACGTACTCGTGCCTCTTATGGTGGATATCGAACGTTGCGACCAAACGATTCAGATGCTGAAATTTTACGTGATTACGAAGAAGATGAGTTGGAGGGTTGAAGTAGATTATGCTTTCTTTCTTAATAACAATTGTACAACCAAAACACATTTGAATGATCATCTCATTGTAGTGAAGTCTACCAAAAAATGATGGAAATATGCTCTAAAGGCGATTGTTTAGTTTTTTGTGCTAAGATTATAGATGTACACGGTCAATGATGAATAGAGAATATCATGAAGCATGAAGAAAGATGAATCATTGGAAAGAAAAGCCGCCTGGCTGTCTATATCTTCTACCACCTGCACCTGCTCCACCACCTCCAAAAGGTCCACCTGCACCGCCAAATGAGGAGAAAGGAGAGCCGCCCATGCCTCCCATTCCGCCTCCCATGCCCATACCACCTCCCATTCCACCTTGAGCGAACAAGTCAGCTAAGTTGACCTCTGCGCCACCAAAGCCACCACCAAAACCGCCGCCCATTCCACCGGAGAGATCTGAATCAGCATCATCTGCGCCCATATCATACCTTCGCCTCTTTTGATCATCGGACAAAACTCCAAAAGCTTCATTGCAAAGCTTGAATTTTTCTTCATCTCCACCTTTATCGGGATGATGCTTCAAACTTTCTTTTCGGTATGCTTTCTTGATCTCAACTGCTGTTGCAGTCTTTGTTACTCCCAAGATTTTATAGTAATCCTTCTTCTTGCTTCTCTTCAGATCAATTTCGGCTGAACGTAATTCACGTTTGAGTGCTTCTGTTGATTCGTCCGAAGGGGTTTCTTCAATTGCCTTTTTGAAATCTGACACAGCCTCTTCGTATTTTTCAATGACCAAATAAGATCGTGCTCGTATCCGCAATGCTTTTACCGATCCGTCATTCAACTCAAGCGATTTAGTACAATCATCAACCGCTTCTTCATGCTTTCCTAATTTGGCATTTGCTGTTGCACGATTAGAGTAAATCACTGCGCAGAACCCTTTCGCTGCACCTTCTTCTGGCGTGATTTGTTCTTCTGCTAATTGGATCGCTTCGGTGTATAGTGCAATCGCATCTTCCGTATCTCCACCTTTGAATGAAGCATTTGCTTTTTCTTTTGCTAGTTCGAGCTTTCGACATGTTCTTAGCAATCGGATCGCTTGTTTGTTCTCTGGATCTGATGAAAGAGCAGCTTGGGCGTGACTCAAAGCTTTACTCAGATCGCCCGATTTGGCCAACAAAATCTTTCCTCGTAAAACCAGTCCTTCGGGATCGTTTGTATGCAATCGTAGCGTATTACTGATCAGGTTGTGTGCTTCATCCAAATGTCCTCTTCTGAGCATCAAATCGGATCTCATCAATCGCCACGAAAGAGGCAGAGAAGAAATCTCGTTTGAAGCTTTATCCAATGCGATGTTGGCCATCTGATATGATTTTTCATCACGATATTTTTGGAAACTTGCGATATGTGAAGAAGTTCTATCAATCTTTTCTGATAATTGTTTTGCTGCTGGATCTGATGAAGATGCATTTAAAGCTCTATTGATCGTTGATTTTGCCGCATCAAGGTTACCGAGTTGAAAGTGACATCTTGCTAAACGGGTTAGGGTCTTTGCATTCGGCTCGGATTCTTGCATTGCACCTGCCCGATTACAATCTTCCAATGCAGATTGATATTTTTCCAATCCCATATTAGCAGCAGCCCGATTTGTCAAATAAGAAGGTTCGCTAGGATCCAATTCGATCGCTTCGGTGTACAATCGAACAGCCTCAGACAATCGTTTGTCTTTGAATGCTTTATTACCTTGTTCTTTGACTTCTTTTGCCTTTTCTCGTTCTTCTTCTGTTGGCCCTTTCTTTTGTGTTGCTTTGCCATTGCCGCCATTTGATGATGAACTTTGATCATGATTAGGTGTCGCATCTCCATTCATCATGTTCACATCTCCGTTCACTTCGCTGGCATCATGGAACTCTGTGTCTTGTGATTCCCAATCCATCTTTGCTATGTAGAGAGTGACCAAATTGTCAAAGTCAAGATCACAAATTGATTTGATGCAAACTGAACCTTGAAATAATGTTAGCACAAGGTTAAGACTGTTATATTACCCTTTCCTCTCGGGCTTGTAAACGCGGTGCTGACACCCTGGACAATATTTCCGATAAAACTTCTTAAGCGGCCGAGTTTTGCTTTCAAGGCACAGTGCTTGTGCTTCAGTCGCGTGGATAGAAGAACTTCGCACTTTCAATCCTTCTTATACCTTCTTACACTAGCGCATCTCTTCTAATCACTCTCACTCTCACTCCCTCTCATTTTGAGCATCAAATCTTTAATTGTCTTTCAATGTATATATGTGTTTTGCGTTTGAATGTATGAATAATGAGATGGAATACACTAAGAATGCATTTTTACCCCCTTTTTCAAACACATTTATGAGGAAGAGGACAAGAAGTTGTCAACGTGTTCCTTGACAACCTTTGTCAATTTCTCTTCGAGTTCCTTGGACAAACCTGTAGCCTTGGCAATGTCTTGGAGCAAAGCATCATCGTTTGTGATTTGTTGACGGAAAGATGCTTCCCAATCGACAATCTTTTCTGCTGGGATACGGTCAACGAAACCCTTAATACCGGCAAAGATGATTGGAATTTGAACTTCAGTAGCCAAAGGAGAGTATTGACCTTGCTTCAACAATTCGGTCAAACGAACACCACGGTCCAAAGTAGATCTTGTTGCTGGGTCCAAATCGGAACCGAATTGGGCAAATGCTGCCAATTCACGGTATTGGGCCAAGTACAATTTCAAGGAACCGGCAACGGCCTTGTAAACCTTGGATTGAGCGGCAGATCCGACACGGGAGACGGACAAACCGACGTTAACGGCGGGACGGATACCCTTGAAGAATAATTCGGATTCCAAGAAGACTTGACCGTCAGTAATGGAAATAACGTTGGTGGGAATGAAAGCGGACACATCACCACCTTGGGTTTCAATGATGGGCAAAGCGGTCAATGAACCACCACCGTGGGTCTTGTTGTTCATCTTGGCAGCACGTTCCAACAAACGAGAGTGCAAGTAGAAAACGTCACCAGGGTAAGCTTCACGTCCTGGAGGACGACGCAACAAAAGTGACATTTGACGGTAAGCAACGGCTTGCTTGGACAAATCATCGTAAATGATGACGGCGTGTTTTCCGTTGTCACGGAACCATTCACCAATGGCACATCCTGAGAAAGGAGCCAAGTATTGCAATGGTGCGGCTTCAGATGCAGTGGCAGCAACAATGGTGGTGTACTTCATGGAGTCATTTTGTTCCAAAACCTTGACCAATTGAGCAACGGTGGATCTCTTTTGACCGACGGCGACGTAGATGCAGTACAATTTCTTTTCTTCGTCGTTTCCATCGTTCCAGCGCTTTTGGTTCAAGATTGTGTCAATGCAAACGGCAGTCTTACCGGTTTGACGATCACCAATAACCAATTCACGTTGACCACGACCGATGGGCACCATGGCATCGATTGGTTTGATACCAGTTTGCATAGGTTGGTTGACGGATTGACGGGGCAAAATACCGGGAGCCTTCAAGGATGAACGACGGCGTTCTTTTGTGTTGATTGGTCCTTTACCGTCGATTGGGTTACCCAAAGCATCAACGACACGGCCCAACAATTCCATACCGACTGGAACATCAACAATTTGTCCGGTACGCTTAACGGTATCACCTTCACGAATGGCACGGTCAGAACCCAAAATGGACACACCGACGTTGTCAGCTTCCAAGTTGAGGCACATACCACGGACACCAGAGGCGAATTCAACCATTTCTTCTGCTTGTACGTTACGGAGACCGTAAACACGGGCGATACCGTCACCAATGGTCAACACACGACCAGTCTCTTGGACATCACCACCAGCAGATGTACCGGAGATACGTTGTTCAAGGATTGAGCTGACTTCCGAAGCGGCTGGCTTAGCGGTAGCGTAAGCACGAGAAGCGACGGAGGGGATCGCACGGCGCGCCTGAAGGGATGAGGAAAGAGAGGGAAAGAAGATGTCAGTCAGGATTCATTGCGGTTTCGTGGTGGAAGAGATGTTCAGCGCTCCTTATCGAGAAGAATGAGTGCGCTGTAGAGTATGTTGCCCCTCTTTTTCGCTTGTTGAACCATTCTTCCCGATTTGATTGGCTTCTTTGTTGAAGACACTCACAGTTGGCGCAACGGTGGATCTTGCCAAGTTGGCGGCAGCAACACCGGCCGATCTAGAGAACATCGTCAAAGGTATAAGAAAGGCGATGTAAAGATTCTTAAAGGAAAGTCGATGATGACGATGAAAGGATAAGAAGGAATTCCAAGACTATTGAAGAAGATGCGCGAAAAAGGCGTCCAGCGTGTGTGTGTGTAAGTGTGTGCGCACACACACACGCACACATTCGATGCCCTGCCTGCCTGTAACGCCCTGTGATTTAATGAAGGATTGCTGGATCTTCTATTTCTTTTGCGCGCGCACGCACGTACACAACCCGAACGGTTCAGGCAAACCGGGTGAGGCAGGCAGGCGGCGGGCGCAAAAATGAGAAAAACAATTTTGGTCAATTCTTCGCTCCAGCAAGCAAGAAAAAACGCAATTCCACTAAATCGCACTCTTTCTTACACAACAATCTTCCTAGGCTACAACCGAGTATAGGACACGCGCTTTGCGCCCAGAAAGGCACTCACTCACATTCACTCACATCATACGCCCACCAGCTGGCAGTTAATGTACCCGCGTGCGTATCAATTCTAATAGCCGCTGTTGCAATGCAGCGGGAATCGCCGAAAGATCAAAAGGGAACACGTGATAGAATATTATCAGATCTGGTGACAGTTCTCTTGAAGCACCACTCAATCATGACTTTGGTATAATCACTATCACATGAAATGATGGACTAATATAAAACTAATTAACAGCTTCGTCATCTGCTGGCATTGGTTATGAGAGTGTGCAACAAATGGGCAATCCAGATATATTCACTATAGAATCGAAAGAATAAACAGAGAGTAGCAAGATGAAGTGTACGATACGCTTCCTATTCCATCAATTTTGGTTGGAAGGTTGATTTGGGTTGTCAAGTCCGGCAATACGTTCTGCGCCTTGTTGTGCTTCCTAAAGATAATAAAATGAAAGAGGAGCAAGAAGGTACTTTGGTCAGATCTCTGTTTGGAGGTGTCCATCTTGTACATCTATTCAAACTTACCTTGTCATTTCCAAATACCTTTCCAGCGAACATCTGAATAGAGTAAAAGATGACGAAATGTTAGCATACCAGCTCCAGTCATAACACTTGTGTGCTTCCATCTAAGCCTGCCTGAATGCTTGCTCACCTTTGCATGTCCTTTTACCTGCTCGCCAAATGGAACATCTTTTCCACCTTCCAAACCCGTCAAAGGTACTTCGCTAGCTGTAGTTGGGACAGGTTGTGTTCCTGTTTGAGGGTTTGGGAAGTAATTATCAGTAAAAAGATACATCTCAGACAAAGCATAAGTTGAGCTCTTTCCCCACTACTCACCTTCTTGTGCGTTTGTTTGTGCGACACCCGAATTGGTTCCTTGTGCACCTACTGGAATATTGTCGAAATTGCTGGAGTTTGTTGACATGATGAATGGTATATTGTGGATATGGTCGCTATGAAACAATGATGATCGCATTCACATCATCTGTTCGTATGGCTGTGTTGCTCTTTCACTCAAGCTGAGGGTCCCATCTGCGAAAAAGTGGAGGAGGCCCAGGAAGTGGGATGACTGGCAGACTGCTGTAGTGCCTCTCTCCTCCCCGCAAGGCTTTCTTTTGTCTGTCTGTATAAATCACAACCCAACAGTGACCTTCAATTCTCACAATCATAGCAATGTGGATGCTCAAAATCAATAACAATACGTTGTACAATGAACTAATTCATCTTTCTATAAATACAGTTGTGTGTTTTTAATACGTTATTATAAAGTGAAGGAATGGAAAAAAAAACAATATCCTAAAATGATTGTGCGATAGTGAAACGTATCCGGAAAGAATTATTATGCCACATGATCATCTTCTGGAGGCGGCGGCGCTGAAGGGGCAGACGGAGCAGAAGGAGCAGAGGGAACACTTGCTCCAGCATCAACTCCATCATCCCATTCAGGCGCACTTGGTTGCAGACTAGACCCAGCCGGTTCGTATTGAGGAAGCATTCTGGCATCGTCCGGCCGACTAGCGAGCAAAGCTGCAGTCTGTCTTTCTTCTTCGGCTGCTTCCTTTGCTTTTTCTGATGCTCGGCTAGGTCCTGCACTTGTACTTGGCAGGGCTTTTTGTGATTCGCGATGAGTCGAATAGGGCAAATCGAATTGCGAGAATGAAGATTGAACGTGAGGTGCTGGTGGTGCTGGTAAAATCGATGAAGCTTCCGCTTGTTGGCTTACAATCTGACTTTCCGGTGCACCGGCAGAAAGGGCAAGCTGTTCATTTATCTCCTCTTCCTCACTGAACACGGGCGCTGAAGCATGTGCATTGCCCAAAGATGAGCCTCCTGGCGCAGAAGGAACGTAATGAGGAGATGAATCAGGTTGTGATGCAGCTTCACGCATACGTGATAAGACATTCTTATCATCTGTAGCGATATGTCCTTCCAATCCAAGACTCGAAGTCGAAACAGCCGTACTTGGCTCGTTCTCTACAGACAACTGCATATCTGAACTGCCAGCCATTCCTTCGCTATTTGCGTCCATCGGTCTCTTCGAGTCGCCGCGCGCTGCAACAAGAGCTTCCTCGCTCTGGCCCGCCAATTGACGGTTTGCAGTTGGATGCAATGCATTTGACGACGAAGATGGTCCTGCAATGCTGCCACTTTGACCGCGATTATGACTTGGAATATAGGCTGGAGGAAGGGCATCCGATAGACGCATCCTCTCTTCTTCCTCTTCCGCATAATCTAAATCGGCTGCGTTCAATCGAGTGCGCCCTGCATTTTGATTCGATCCGGGTGAAGATTCACCTGCAATTGATGAGGTTGCCGGTGCTATTTCATCTTCTCCTATCGCTGGTAGCAATGGAGGTGGCTCATTCGGTATCTGACCATCGGAGACATGTGCTGTAGGCGAGCCTTGTTGACTTGACACACTCGCAGGATTGGAATCCTGTGTATCGGCTCCCGTCAACGATGTGGATGTTCTGTTGGCATCATTTTCACGGTCAATGGAAGCCCTATTGTCGTTATTTTGAGCGGTAGATGAGCCAGTAGATTTCTTTTTGCGTAATCGAATCTTTCGCGTCGGTAGCCTTGCCCATCGTGAAGCAACAATCGCAGTAGTTGCTCCATCTCCTCCTTCTTTGTTGGATGACTGATCATCCTTCTTCCTCCGCCTTTTACTCTTCTTTTCTCCGCGTGATCCTAATCGCATCTCTCTTTCCTCGCGCATTCTCTGTAGAGCAGCTTCATCGCTAACGTCGTACTCTTCATCCATTTCATCATCCCTTTTGTCGCGCAGGAACACAGTGCATCCAATAATTAGCACGATAAAGATGGCCAAGAATATCGAAGTGATAATGACTGCTTTTCGTTGGAACCATATGGATCTACTTCCCGGGTTCCAGGCATTGGCTAGATTGGATGTGAAAGAAGCAGGAACATTGAAAGTTCGTGTGGATGCATTGAAGGGATCAGAACGCTTTAAGAATGAAGGCGTTGGTTCTTCTGAGAAGTCTTGCCTCTTTTTGATATCCTGTAGAGGAGATTGAATTGGATTATCTGGTGCGACGAAAAGTAGTGGATTTGACTTTTCATTTATTGCGCCCCAATTTACGTCACTCGTACGCCGTAGTGAGGCAATTCGATTGCCGTCACGATCAACATTGCCGCCTCGTTCATATAGAGACGGTTCAGCGATAAATCTCGACCCGCGTTCTGATATCTGTCGAATGCGTAGAGATTCTGACTGTAGAGGTGAAGGTGCTGCTTGCACTGATCCAGGTGAATTGATGACCAAGAATGATGCAACGAGGACTGCTGCCGCTGCTGATTTTGTAGCTTTACTGCATATTCTTCCTTTTCGTTTTGTTGTGATGGATGATGATTCTTCGTTTATGTGTGATTCTATTCGCCCCCTCCTTTTGCCCCTTAGTCGGGGTTTATTCAGTTGCATCAGCATCACTGGTGGATATGCTGTGCGACCAAAAGAATGATCCGAGACGGCCTGAATGTTTAGCTGAAGTGCGTCATCAAAAGCGAGAATCGGATTGAATCCAAAGACTGAATGTGGAATTCCTCTAGAAGACAATTGAAGATGAACGGGATGACGCGCGCGCAACTATGATGACCTTTTGCCTTGCTTCTTATGTCGAAACGAGTAGGTCGTATGGGTATCGATTCGTTAAGAGAACAGATGTATCAATCCTCTTCACGAGATATGATCGTGTTGGTGGCGTGTACAGGTTGTGTGATGTAGTTTAAGATGAGGAATGAATCGCGATTGCCGTCGTTCACGCTGTTGCCGATGGTAATGGCAAATATACGCATATACACGCCCGCACAAATGGATAAATGTTATTACTATACGTATCTCACTTGTCTTGACTTCTCTGACGCTGAATGGAATGATTTTTTGTGTAACGACGCCCTAAACGAGACAAACCGTGTGCGTGGGTACCCGCGGGCGGTTTCAAGTTTTAATGGAACTTTAGCAGTGAGTTGCAAGGGGAGGAAAAACTGTTTTGTAATGCATTTCGACAGTTTCAATGCAATACACCCTTCTAGAGGCGCGTGTGCGTGTGTGCATCAAAAGGGGGAGATTTCCGGTTGATTTCTACCGCGCGTAGGCAGGCAGGGCAAGATATGAGTGGGGGACGTACATACACTTTATATACCGCGTGCATAAGAATAAGCCTGGCCCATACAAAACTCACGTGCTTGAGAGGGGTAGAGTATTCACACTTTCTCCACAGATTGATTGAATTATGTGAGTGAGTGGCTGGTGCACGGTCTCCTCCTTTGTGTGTATTTGCGGAGAGTCTTAATTTCACTCCTTCCCACTCAAAGCTAGAGTTATGATGCATATATTCTAGTCACAATCATAAGCCACATCTCCTTTTGACCACATCATTCGATTGCGAGCACTTTACCATGATCGTCGAACAACCTGCTTCAGCAACAGCCGGACATAGGGCGCAAGTTCGTAGCTTGGAGGATGACTTAGGCGAAAAGACAGACGATAATCAAAATGAAAGAGAAAATACAAAAGAATATCAAACAGGTCCATCAGGTGAAAAAGAACCGGGTTGGTCAGACAGTCTAAAGGTAGGAGGATCAGAATGGCTTTATTTCGCACCTCTATCGATCCCAAGAGCAAGAAGGATGCAAACGTTTGCAGTGCTATTATTTCCAATGCTCTTACCTTTATCTCTGGCAATCTTTTTTCTACTTCTTTCAATCCCTCCTTTCTGGCCTTTGATAATCGTTTATTTGATCTGGATATACTTTGATAACGCTCCTCAATCTGGTGGTAGGCGATCAAAATGGGCAAGAAGACTAAAGATTTGGCGATACTTTGCAGAATATTATCCTGTCTCTTTGATCAAGAGTGCGGATTTACCTCCCGATAAACCGTACGTATTCGGATATCACCCGCACGGAATCATTGGAATGGGAGCGATTGCAAACTTTGCAACTGCTGCTACAGAATTCCCATCTTCATTTCCTGGAATCACACCTCACCTCTTGACACTAAATTCAAATTTCAACATCCCGATCTATCGTGATATTTTGATGGCCTTGGGATTATGCAGCGTCAGCAAGAAAAGCTGTGAACGGATCCTTAGAAAAGGAAACGGTAATGCAATCACAATCGTAGTTGGGGGTGCAAGTGAAAGCTTGAGTGCCAGACCTGGAACGGCAAATCTGACGCTACGCAAACGATTGGGTTTCATCAAGATTGCAATAAGAAACGGGGCAGATCTTGTTCCGGTATTCTCCTTTGGCGAAAATGACATCTATTCTCAATTAATCAATGAAGAAGGCTCAAAGCTACACCTCTTCCAGAAATGGTTCCAACGTTTGTTCGGATTCACTCTGCCAATCTTCCATGGACGAGGTATTTGGATTTCTATCGGTCTACTTCCGTATAGGCATCCTATCGTATCTGTTGTTGGTCGTCCAATTCGTGTCAAGAAGAACGCTAATCCCAGTAGAGCTGAATTGGAAAACGTTCAAAGTCAATATATTGCAGAATTAGAGCGTATTTGGGATCAATGGAAAGATGCTTACGCTGCAAATCGAACGAAAGAATTGACGATTATCGAATGAGTGTCTGTCGCTCGAGAATATCTCTGTACACTATACCAACCTGGATTTTCAACCTCTTTTTTATACATAACACTTTTCAGCTATAATCAAGTATAATGTCATTACCAGAAGAATATGTCTTCTGTGTACGTGATCGTCTATATCTGTATGAATACAATAATTTACGTTGGAAATTACATGCACATATGTACATTGCTTTTTCTCCTCACCTTTTTTCCCCTTTGTCTATCTTGCGACTTCACCTCTCCCAGGTGCTGGCGATGATGAACCAGTGGCGACTTTGATTCGAGTTAAATCAGAAACGAAACTTACGCCCCACCAACTTGCAGTATGTTTTTCAACATAAGCACTCAATTTACCAAAATTCTTTTGTTTTGCTTCGGATGGCATTGTGAGCGCTTCATGAATAGCATCAGCAACGGCAAATTTGTCCCAAGGATTTACGATCAAACTTCCGTTTAACGATTGTGCAGCTCCTGCAAATTCGGATAAGATCATTACGCCATGTTTTTCTTTTTGACATGCAATATATTCGTACGAAACCAAATTCATACCATCTCTCGTACTCGTTACCAAGCATGCATCACTGATTGCGTACAAAGCACAAAGTTCGTCAAAATTGACACTTCTGTGTAAGAAATGAATTGGCATACTTTCCACCGTTCCGAATCGTCCATTGATTCGACCAACTGCTTCATTCACGATCGCACGTAAATTTTGATATTCTTCTACATCTTGTCGTGATGGCACTGCAACTTGAACGAGAACGACTTTTCCAATCCATTCAGGATGATCTTGCAAGAATGTTTCTAGCGCATGCAACTTTTGTGGAACTCCTTTGATATAATCTAATCTATCCACACCAACGATAATCTTTACTCCTTCAAATTTGCGTTCTAAAGCTTTGATTCGGGTTTGAACACTTTCACGTCGTAATCCTTCTTCGAATTGAGTAGGTTCGATACCGATCGGATATGTTCCTACATGAACGTATCTTCCTTCAAATTCAGCACCATTTGGCATAGTTGGAAGTCCTAAGATACGTGTGCAACTCGACAAAAAGTGACGAGCATAATCGTATGTATGGAAACCGATCAGATCGCAATGCAAGATTCCCAACAAGATCTCTCTGCGGACCGGAAGGATACGATAGATCTCACTACTGGGAAACGGTGTATGCAAAAAGAAGCCGATCTTGATCGCTCCACGCGATGCTGCTCCATCTGACGTTCCGATCCCTTCTCCTGATTGTGTGATTCTTGATGATTTGTTGGTTGGCTCTTTCTTTGGTGCTGCTAGGCCTTCAGAGCCTTGAAGATGTGAGGTGCCGTCCACTCCATGACGTACGTGTTCCAATTCACGATGTGAGGTATGTCCTTGCAAGTTTGAACCTTCGATCAACGTTCGTAGCATCAAAGGCAACAGCATCAAATGATAATCTTGTACCCAAACCATATCTCCTTGTTTTACAACACTTCTAACCTTTTCAGCAAAGAGCAAATTTGCTTCGCGATAAGCCAACCAATTCTCCTCGTCAAAGTTCATTTCTCCTGGATGATAATGAAAGAGCGGCCAAAGGATTGAATTTGAAAATCCATTATAATGAGCATCTGCCACATCATCATCAATCCAAACAGGTTCACAACTATATTCTTCGCGTAATTTCTTTTCGATAAATTCTTCTTCTGCTCTACTTGAAACGTTTAATCCTGGCCAACCGATCCAAGTGAATGACATACTCTTTTTACATCCACTCAAAGCTGATACTAGACCACCAGAAGAAAGTGTGAATGAATATCCTCCCGGTTGACTTGCATCTGCTTTGATTGTTACTGGCAATCGATTGGATACCACGATCAAATGAGCTGAAGGATCCAGATGGAAATCTCTAGTTGAAGAAGGCATCTTGAATTAGAGTGAAGCGCTCTATGGCGCAGAGTGTATAATGCTCCTTCGAGTGACGGTGAAGAACAAGGAAGCGAATTGAGTCAGGAGAGAGAGAGAGAGAGATGATGTATAGAGCAAAGCAATGAGTACGTCAAATGCTATGAGCGCCGGCGCCAATGGAACGCCTCCACGACCCTTGAAGCACACACAGCTGAATTGCCGTGTTATTTTGCCTTCGCGTGCTTAACAATCTTATCTCCTTTCTTCCAACTGCACTCAAGCTTAAGGCGTATAGAGGTGCTATTAATAGCGTATAAAATCACAAAGGATAAAATAATATTGAACGAGAGTTCACCTCTCATGATCTTCGGCATGTAGGAATAAATGTCCCATTGTGATAACAGAACAAAGGCAATGAGAGTCATTTTCAAATGATTCTCGAATGAACTTTACGTAATCATCCGATAAGGATCGGGCCTAGTCATTATTATTCAATGCGGTGCCTTTCGGTCTCCGCTGCGCCCAATAACAAAGGGATTTGTAGCGATGCAAAAATCACATACATACGTAATTGAAAATGAAGGGCGTTCGTTGTGGTTGATCGATCTTCCTTTGTTCTCATCGGATCCTTACAAAGTGAAAAAATGACCTTCATAATTGGTTCTTTCATATTCTTTGGGTGAAAATCGTAAGACAAAAGCCACGGTGAGCCAAACCAAAACTTCATTTTGGTTAATCGATTTACCCATTTCCCTTTCTTATCTCGTTACCATCATCGTTTAAAGTGCATCTTTCAAGATGTTGCCTGTAAAGGGTATCATCTTTATCGGCTTGAATGTCCTTCGGACGATTAGCATGATCGCTCTGATATTGGTATTCTCATCAACAATTTTACTGATGGTAAACGATTCAAATACCTATTACAGATTGCGAAATCAAGATCTTCTACAAACATCTCAAGATGAATGTGATTATTATCCTGAAAGTGACGTTCCAACAACAACTTGGGGTATGTTTTGGATTCAATTGGACAGATTTTGGATTTTATGTTTATGTATAACGTGCTTCTTTTCAGAATTTGGAATCAAATTTACTTCAATGTTCTTTCACAAATATATTCCTATCCTTGGACCTTCTTTTGGAACGATGCCTTTGGGTGTGATTCAAGTCATTATCAGCTCTTCACTCTTGTCACATTATGTGAAAGGCTTTACATTGGCTACACCTTGGTTGCTATTCTTTGTCGGCTTACTCAATACCGCTGCTGGGATCGGATTTGGTTATCGAGGTAAATTACGCAGATCTCTCAATCGAAGCAAACGTGATTTGCATGCCTTAAAGCAACAAAAAGATCTCGAGAAAGCAGTCCCATTCGGTACCGCAATTCGAACATTGGCCAACACAAGTATAGATGAAGCACACACTTTGATGCTAACACACCAAAGAACATCAAAGAGCGTTAAATCGAAATATTCAAGACATTCAGGTGAACATGCTTCTTTACTTCAAGGTGGTGCAGCACCTTCTATTCGACCTGTTCGATCTGCTAAAGATGCTTTCCCAAATACAAGCGCCGATGCTGCTTACGGTGCCGCTTTACAAGGCGATCGAATTGCAAATCAACCAAATCCTGGTAATATGTCTGTACAAAACGAACCATTATCAGCCAGTGATGATGAAGTGTTACGTTGGCGAGCAAGGCAGGACAATTTGCGCGTTGAACGTGAACAAGAAACGAAGGAGAATGGTACGCAATCTTCCTTTTTCAGAGATTTCCGATATGACTTGCAGAATGATATGGCAATCCCCGTCAGGACTCCATCAGTGTTGGGCCCCATGGAACCAACATCCAAGCAATGGCAAAGTCAAGCTGCACAAGCACAAGATGATGCTGTACAGAAAAAGCAAAAATTCAAAAGGAGAACCTTGGTTTTGAGTAGAGTTGTTCAACAAGTTCGAAGGGGTAGTCTTGCAGCTTATCAAGCCACAAAATCTGCACAGATGCGTATGCCTGGAGCCTATCGTACCAACCTGAAACCAAAAGAAAAGCCAACACCTTGGGTAGAAGTCGACTCTTCTAACAAACCCAAAGATGACACCCTTCACCCTCCTGCACCGACATATATACCCGGTCGACCCCAAATGATCAGTGTAGGCAAAGCCTCGGAAGACAATCGAACGACTCGTTACCATACCCCGATCACTGACAAGTTCGCCAATATGCTCTAAGAAAATCGCTTCCCAGAATACGGACAGTAACTTTGATATGATGTATTTATCAATATGTTGTACACGTACCCCTTCCGCTCTTTTTATATCGCAACCCGATCCATCCTAATCTGTTTAGTATCCACACGTATAGACAATTGATCGCTCTTTTGACCCTGTATTCGATCTTGAAAGAGCTTAGTCAAATGCTGTTTGATTTCCTCGATGCTGCCAGGAAGTATTCCAATCGCTTCTGCGGTAGGGTGAAGAACGGAAACCGGAATAGTGAACTGCAAAATATTCTGCACAATCTCTAATTCGGACTTGATCGAAAGATTCACGTAGAATACAGTCAAATCTTTTCCTGCTAGATTGTTCGTCTGCATGTCGCTAGACCCATCCCAATCATCCAAAGAGTTCGAGAAAAGATCTCCAATGCTGCTTATCGAATGCGGGGTAGCTTGGAGCTGGACATTCTCACTTTGCCGGAAGTGATATACGAGAGGGTATTCGAGCAGCCATCCTGCCAATGCAACTCCAGTCTTGGCACCCGCAGAACTTTTGGTGGGATTCAAGAGTGTGAGGGAAATGATTTGCACGCTCGTCCGACCTTTCCTTTCTATGTCATTTTCAATCTCTTCCAGCATCATCTTCAAGCTTGAAGGTGCTGTGATATGTGCTTCTGCATCGGCATCTAATTGATCAACAGCCAAGAAAGCATGATCGTGCTCTACTTTGCTTCTCTTGAGTTGTTTGGCTAGAAGTTCCCGATTTGCAATGAATGTTTGCTGGCTAGGAACGTGGACCAAGATGAGGAGATCTTCCACATCTTTGACCAGAATACGAGATAGTGCGTTTGCCAATGCAGAGATTGTTTCTTTGTCAGTTTGAAGTTTTGCCAGTAACCCAGAGCATCGCATACCGCAAAGCACAAACGTGATCATCCAGGCCTCTTCCAATATTGCCGTTTTGGATGCCGACCGCTTTGATCTCTTCAGCTCATCTTGGAGAATGCTGGTCACCCTTTGCACTTCTGCCAGGATCATATCTTTACTTCATTTTGACCTATTGTGATCAATGCTGGGTGAACATATCTGATGGTGTTCAGAAAGTTGAACAAGATTCACCCGCCGCACCACCCGTGTACTCACGCTAAAATACAAGTGCATGTTTAATTCTAATGCAACTTCGCACGGACATAGAGATCTTCTTCTTCTCCTCATGTTGAAGTACTTCCTGCTTTTCTCTACCATCGTTCAACAATGGAGGCATCTTCATCTTCTACGCCTGTAGCATTCAAAGTGCAACTAGATGATGCTCAAACTGCACATCCTCGATTACATATAAGCTTGCCTGCTTCTTTCTTGGATTCACCTCAAACTCAATCACACAAATGTGAGCCTAATTTGCTCATCAGGTTACCTCCGGGTTTATTCGTTGATCCATTCACATTCCCCACATCCAAAAAATCACCATCTCGAAGAATAGAACAGCATAGTCAGGTCCAGATCGACGATGACACCACTGATGATCCATCATCATCTCAAAGAAAACACCCTCCACACGCAATACTACAGGATAGAGAGGTGGTAAAGAGCATACAACTACTTAACGCTTCTAGGAAACATGGTGAACTTCTTAATCATGATTTCACGAAAGTAGAATTGGAAAAGGGAATAGGCTATACCATATCCGCCAGAGATCGACAAAACCTAGATTCAGAGGATTCAAATCTACTCATACGTGAATACACTGCATTCGTCATTTCCCTTCATCGTACAAAAGTACCAACGATTGTCAAACATGAACAAATGTCAACTGGATCCGAAGGTCAAATTGACGTAGAACCAAAAGGACAGCAAATTGATATTGATGTACCTTTGCATACAAGATATCCTATCCCCCTTGGCACACCTCTCACTGACTTGAAGGCTCTTACACAATTCGATTGGCAGAAATTTGGGGAATCCGTTCTTTGGCCAGGAGAAGGGACGTATCACACCGCCTTGCTCGAATATCCACAAGCTTTTTGGCAGTGTAAAGGAGAAGGGATGCTAGCTGTAGATTCTGGCGTATATGAATCCAGGTCGGAAACGGAGCTCTTAGCACCAATGCATGATCATCTCACACTACCTTTCTCCCAGTCCAATCATTTGTTCGTGCTGTTGCCGCCCTTCCGCACTTCAAGAGAACCTTTCCGCATACAAATCCCAGCAGGAAGAGCAGAATTGACTATTGCAACACAAATGGTTACCACAATATCCTTACTGTTGGCAGCTGTCCTGATCATCATTCAAACAACAACATTATCGCGAAAGGTGCGGAGAAGCGAGAGTTAATTGCAAACGAAAACAAAGTGATTGTATAGATGTTTCTTAGAATACATTTTTTATACTGCTGCTACTTGTACATTCTGTTCTGGGATGTAGTTGGAAAGCAATCTAGTAGCGACCGTAGGGGCCTTGATGACCACCACGACCTCTTCCACGACCGCCGCCGCCACCACTACCACCTCCGCCATTATGATATCCCATCGGTCTAGGTGGTCCGCTACCACCTCGTGGTCCACTTGGAGGTGCTCCATATGCATTACCTTGTCCATAATTTCCATACTGTTGCTGTGGTGGCTGCTGTCCATAAGGAGCATTGTTCGCTTGATTGCCATATCCATTTACACCTTGTCCATATCCTCCATAAGCAGGCTGAGCATATCCACCATTAGCCGTATTTGCATTTCCATACCCGCCATAGCCACCATATGCAGAAGCTGAATTATTTGCATTTCCATATCCACCATATCCTGAATAGGGAGCTGCACCAGGAGCTGGTTCATAACCACCACCGCCACCGCCAGCATTGCCATATCCTCCATATCCGCCATATTGACCATATCCTTGTTGTGGTTGACCTTGAGATGGCGCACCATATCTTTGAGGCTGAGGTTGTTGTTGTTGCGGTGGTGGATAGCTTCCATTGCCATACCCTCCATATGCTGCGGGTTGTTGCCCGTATCCATTCTGCGGTCCATAACCATTGTATGCATTCCAATTTTGATAAGGTGGTTGATTTGGATCCATTCCGTTCGATCCTTGCGTTGGTCCAAAGCGCATCAGAGGTGCATTAGGAGGACCTTGTCGGTTTTGATCATGACCATATGGGCCACCAGAGAAACGACCTCCTCTGCCTCCACCACGATGACCACCTCTGCCTCGACCTCGATTATCTGGTCCACCACGTCTTGCCATCTCGCGATCCTCATGTGTCAAAACACGCTTAGGCATTTCTACTCCTTTGAGCAAGACACTCCTATGTGGTGTTCGTTGAGGTGGGAAATCGTACAATGCACTAATGCTACGATCGTTCCGTATATCCATCAGCCCAACTTCCGTAAGAGGAGAAGTGTAGGTGCTAGTGGGTATGCAATTCGGATCACGTCGAATGAATCCATTAATCCCAAAGGAATTGGCAGGATTGATCGCAACTGCTTTTGTTTCTTCACTTGATTTCTTTGCATACAATGCGCAAATCTCATCGTAAAGCCTGTTCTCCTCTGCTACCATCAGAGCATCATCACCAAATTTGTTCCGCCTCAATTCATCCTCGCTCAATTGATCATAGCGTGCATTGATAGCGGTGAGCAATCTTGTCTCGTCAATGAACGGTAACAGAGCCACTCCTTGCCATGCCATCTTCTTCCCGTTCATATCGATCGAAAATGTTTCAGGATAAAAATCAATAATATCGGATTCCTCATCCGTCATGAGAGTGTGAAATGTTTCCGGCAAGTGAATCTTACTGGCAGCGGGCAAAACGCCCATCAATTGATCATAAGGTCGGAAAGGTTTGCCTTGCTCAAATTTGATGTCAAATTCTTCCATGTTTGTGAAATCAGCGGCAAAAGGAGAAAAGTGATAGGGAAAATACCAAGTCCAACTTGGGCATCCTTGATAATAGTATGCCAAGACCCAAGACATACCTTCCATATAACACTTTGCAACATGTCTTCGAAACTCTTCCTTGTCGGCCTCGACGCCAAATTTCTGCTGATAATAACGCTCACGATATCCTGGCTCCCACAATTTGACTGTATCTTCATATTCTACTGTACCGTCTGGATTGACCTTACGCTCAGTGTTGGTGCTTGTGACAGGATCGACAGCTTCTTGTGGATCAGCATCATCTGCTGTAGAATCTTTTGTGTCCTCTACTTCATCAATTGAGCGTTTTTGACCGCGCTGATTGCCATTCTCCGTCTCTATCTCTACATCTTCTTCGCTCTTGGCAGGTGCTTCCTCGGTTTTGGCAGATACCTCCGGTGCCTCGGCCTTTACTTCAGAATCATCTGTCTGTGCCTCTTCCGCTACAGCATCACCATTCGTCTTTCCAGATTTGGCGGCGTCTTGAGCAGCCTTGCCCTTTAGTTCAGCTTTAAGTCTTTCAGCTGCACTAAGATTTGCCATCCTGATAGCACGTTGATTAGCAATGATGTCTTCATTCTTGCCACTTTCCAAGGCTGCTAATGCATCAGAACGCAGTTTGGCATCCTCGTCGTTGTTGTCGTGTCGTGCTCTTTTGATTTCCACAAAGGACTGACCACCATGTTTGAATGTTCCGTCATCTTTACCCATTTCGCGCCGCTGGCGATCATGGTCTTCCACTTTTCGTCTTTGAGCATTTGCTTCGGCCCGTTCTTCTTGTTCTTTACGCTTTCTAAAAATTTGATCTTCTTCTTGTGCGATTCCTTGCATGATCAATTGAGCATTCTTCATTTCAACCTTACCATGATTGGTAAGATAGCTACCCATGTTCGGCAACTCTCTCTTCCAGATGCGCAACAAGGTATCAATTGCTCCTTCACGAATTTCTAGACTGGGCAGATGTGGCAAGAAATCATTTCCAACAAAGAAGATCAAGAAAACCCAATCATCAATCGCTCTCTCCAGATCAAACTTGAATGGTAAGCCAGGAAGGTTGAGTTCCACTTCGAGATACTCTCGTAAGGCAACCACATCCAAGAAAATGAATCCTTTCTTCTCTGGCGGCTTGGCTCCAACATCGTCATGCTCTCCTTGCTTCTCTTTCGCTTCTCCAATGCAATTAGCGGCAATGTGGCCTTCACGTCCACATCGATGACACTTGCGCACTTTTTGCTCTTGTGCAAAGACATCTTCTCTCAACACTTTGAAGTATGGTTCATGAGTAGCGAGTGACAACATGATCAAATCGGCATCCAAACCATAAATGACATGTCGTGTGTTAGGATCATGCTCCGGCTGTACACGTTGTCTTCGAATGAAGTCCATGATCTTATGTTCACCTTCTCCCGGTACGCTTGCATCCGATATTATGACTTGCAAATTCTTCCATCCAGGATCCGTGTTGAGCTTTTTAGCGACCCAATATCGTAAAGAAGAAGCTAGCAGATCCATGAATGGAGTTCCAGGTGTGATTGCGTTGGAATCCCAGACCTTTTTCGATTCTGCAGCTTCATCGGTGACAGGTAATCCCGCCGCTTTCCATTCTTCTAAAGCAGCATCTTTTTCTTCTTGCTTTTCTTTCGCCTCTTGAGCAGTTCTGAAACGACGAGAACGCTGTTGATTCATTTTCGCTCGAGGTGCTACACCGTCTATTGCCATCGTGAGTAACCTTCTCGGCCTGATCATATTCACAACTCTTTCAGTATATGCAAATACTTCGATCATCATTTCTTCTTCAGTTTCCGGTGCTGGCTTTCCTTCCGGATGTGTGCATGGATGTACTATACCATTCATATCTAGGTAAAGACAATCAAATTCTTCTCCATTCGGATTTGGTCCTGACATGTCTATTGGTAATTCTTCTTCTCCGTCTTCTCCATCTTGTCTAGGAACTTTTCTTGGCTCTTCTTCTTCCACCGCTGATACAATTCGAGGATACTTTTTCGAAAGCCATCTGAACAAAGCTGGCACACCCATGATGGGGGCTATAATCGAGAGGGTTATTGATGGCGAGCTTGTTCAATTCAGTCCGATTGTGTGCTGAGTACGAGATGGATGTAAAGAGTTGTGTCAGCAATCACTGAATTGCGTTGCGCGGGAGAGAAGAAATGAACAAAGCGTCTGCCAAAGAAAAGGAAAATGTGATTATGTAAGGTGATGTAAGCGTGTTAATATTATTCCTAATTCCGAGAAATTATTTGAACAAATCAAGATGATCAATCCTTCTCTCCACACTACTTGCCTAGGATCACTTTCGCAATCATGCAATCTTCAAGATCACTTATGACATGCTCAAGAGCGTTACAATCAATCTCTGGTAGATCTTCCATCTCTATAGCACAAGCAAGACCTTCTCGAATCGTAGGCACTGCCGGCACTATCCAGTCCGGCTTGAGTCAGAGAAGATGCTATTCCGATCGAAGGGAAGAAAAAGCAAAAGATAGGAATGCTGTAGGAGTGAGTATGTCTTGCATCTTTATGTTCAGTTCAGGCTGCTTATCGTTATGAATCTCCCTCCAATTCAGCCTTTTAATATACGAGCAGCAGTCTTATTCGTAGGAACAGGAGTAGGATTATTCTGGTACTTCCAAAAAGAGAAAGCAGCAGTAGAAGAAAAGAAACGAGCCGAATCTGCTCAAGCAAAGGTAGGAAGACCAAAGATTGGAGGTCCGTTTGAGCTATTACTACCAACGCCAATCACTTCTGCTCAAGATGCTAAAAAGGTTGAAGCCAGACGATTCACAGAGGATGACCTAAGAGGATCATTCAGTCTTATCTATTTCGGCTTCACAAATTGTGAGTGAAGAGATTGATCTGTTACAAAGTTGAATTACTGACTTTGTGTGTCTCTCTATTGTGTAGGCCCGGATATCTGTCCAGAAGAATTAGACAAGATGGCACAAATTGTGGATAACGTAGACGCAAAGCATGGTCCAACAATCAATCCGGTCTTCATCACTTGTGATCCTGCTCGTGATACATTGGCAGCAACATCGATCTATGCAAGCGAATTTCATCCTCGTTTGATCGGTTTGACGGGCGATTATGAATCGGTCAAAACGGCTTGTAAAGCTTATCGGGTTTACTTTTCTACACCTCCAGGTGCAGATCCATCGGGAGATTATTTAGTGGATCATAGCATCTTCTTTTACTTGATGGACCCTGAAGGAAAATTCGTTGATGCTTTCGGACGCAGCGTTAATGCTCAAGAAGCCACGGCTAAAGTTATGAATTACATCGATCAATGGAAACAAGCTGGAAATCCAATAGAAACAGCAAATGCAAAGGAAAGAATACTGAAAGATGAATCACGCAAGATTTAATAAAAAGGAGTCGTGTTAGCTAGTCATTCACCACTTTGAACAGCAATGTATAAAATTGTATAAAAGATGACGCACTGGGTATGAAAGTTTAGGTCTACATGTCTATTTAGTGGTGGGTATACGTCCTTCACATATATCCAAAGCTTCTCGTAATTGTTTACGGGCTGTTTCAACATCATCATAATCCAACGCACTCACGGCCCATTTCGCTAGCTTTTGTACCCTGGCAGTAGATTTGTGATCTAAAGAGGACGGTAATGTCGACGGATCAGGTGCATCCGGTGGCGCTGAAGGAGTGACAGCTGCATGTGAAACGCTGGGAGGTGCCGAAGGTTGCAAAGCTTGATTGTATTGATTGAATGGTGAAAAGGCCGCACTGTGTTGCAAAGCTGGCGAAGCGGCAGGACTGATCGATGTTGGTGGAATCAGAGGTGTTGTGGTACCTTGTCCGCCCGGTGGAACGGGAAGGCCACCACGAACATTACCTGATCCAGGTGGGTGTGGTAAAGGGCGATGATGTGGACTAGAAGCCCCACTGCCACTCGAAACTCTTCCTTGCTGATACTGAAAGAATGCACTTTGTGTTTCACTTGGATGTTGGACGCCTCCATATATGTCAGAAGACGGCATGTTGGGATCATCAGATGTTTGACTTCCTTGTCTTGCTATTCTTAATGGCATAGAGAAATTTGGACTGCTTGCAGAAGCTGTAGAGCTTGATGAATTTACTGCATCCTGCCAACCTTCCATGCCAGTACGACCATCGAAGCTCAATCTTGACTCGGCTCTTCGAGAGCGGATCTGAGAAGGGCTCATACCTTCGGGGTAGCCTTGTGCAGGATTTCCACTACGGTCAGGTGTTGGTGGCTCGACATTTGGTGAGATTGCGACTGGCTCATTGTGATCTTCTTCTTGTGATGTCAGCTTTGCCATTTCAGCGTCCAATTCTTCGCTTGTAGGAAGTTGAGCGGTCACATCAGTTAGGCCGCCCATCTTAGCCGAAGCTGCTTGAATTCCCAGCATTGCTTCATCTTCATTCTTAGGTATCTCTTCTGTATCAGCCGGGTCATCCATTCCGTCTGCAGGTCCAGGCGTTGGTTTTCGTCCTTCTCTGAATGCTTTTGCAATATCTGCTGCTTTCCATTTTGTATATTTCAGCTTTTCCTCCCATTCAGTTTCTAGAGGTCCAAAGTTGGTTAGCAACTCGATGAAATTGCTGGCAACAAGGAATCGCTTTGCTGTTGCTCTTGATGCCTTTCCGCTTCGATCTTCGTTATCCGCTCCTGCGAATACCTTGAGCGCTACATTCTCTATGTGTGCTTTTGCCACTAAGTCATCACCATGTACGATATCATTTCCTGCCAAAGATTTCTTTTGTGATTCTAAAGTATCCATCAATGACATCAAGTACGCCTTTGAAGTTGGCACCAAAGAAGATAATTTTGAAATTCCGACTTGAGCAGCATGATAATTACACCAATACGATAATGCAGGATCTGCTTTTCGTGTTTCATGAGCTCTTTGTAAGAATGGTGAAAGTGCTTTTAGATCATCTGGAGGTGGAACAAACGTTGCCGCGGCGCCATTGTTTGAAGCCATGCCCGTTGTGTGGATTGTTGTGTTTGATGTATGATCGTGGGTGTGGTTGGAAGTGTTGATCTTTTTTGACGCGGGTGGTGTTGTTGAGCCAGTGTGAGAGAGAGAGACGTCAACGATTCAATTACTGCTGCTGTGCCACACCGTTTCGGATTTAATACTTCTCGCTGAGCCGAATGAAGCTAAATTGTGGAGAGCATTCATTCTATGATCAGCACTGCCACCTTTTCATCAGGATTGGGTGTTGTATAAATAAAGTCTTTCTCTAGCTTACCATCATTTACTCTCAACACAATTCAACAATGTTTAGATCATCTCGCACTCAATCAAATCAAACAAACACAGCTCAGGCTGATGGTCTTCCACCACCGCCACCATATGAACCAATAGCAAGTAACGCTCAACCTCGAGTTCAACATCAACAACAGCATGTATCACAAGCACAACAATTTGCACCACCTCCCTTCCCTCCTCCGGGAAATGCTTCTGTAGCACGGACAGGTTCTCAACATGTCCCATCAGCCCAAAGCAACAATCCTTTCCAGCCATCAGGCCAGGTTGGACACAGTAGTGTACTACATCAAGCAAGAAAGATGTCTAACGATTTCACTGGAGGTGTAAGTTCTACCACCTCACAGGCTTCAACAAGAAGACAGCCTTCCATCAAAGAGAATCAGCTTGAGTTTTTGAGAGCATACGATACAATTTTCATCGTAGACGATAGCTCAAGCATGAACGTAAACGAGAGGCCAGATGGTTCGATCGGAAAAAGTAGATGGGAAGAAGCACGAGATGCATTAGCAGGAATGGTGGAATTAGCAGCAAAATACGATGATGATGGAGTTGAGCTACATTTTCTCAATTCGGAAAAATGCCTCTTGAACTGTCATGATCCACGTCAGGTGAAGCAGCTGTTTGATTCAATCATACCTGAAGGTCTAACCCCAACTGGAACAAAGCTGGAAATGTTATTGCTACAGTATATGGACGATATCGAAACACACAAACAGACCAAAGCTGGTACACCGCCAAAGAAGCGCAATTATGTCATCATCACTGATGGTACGCCAACCGATGATCCGGAAAGTGTGATTGTTGCAATTGCTTCACGTTTGGATCGTGGCAATTTTCCTCTTACACAGATTGGCGTTCAATTTGTTCAAGTGGGTGATGATGCAGATGCTCGTGAAGCTTTGGAAGAATTAGATGACGCTTTACAAGCACAGCATTCATGTCGTGATATTGTGGATACCGTGCCTTATTCCGGAATGGCACTCAATCCTGATCTTTTGGTCAAAGCTCTTTTGGGCGGTATCAATCGTCGTTTAGATCGTCAAGCGGTGAATCCAAATGCAGCAAAGTAGACACACTGCCTCTTCAGCTTTATGATATACTATGACTAATTATTTTTGTATTATACAGTCTCTCACAGATAGTCCCATAATCAGTAATGAAATTCGATACCCTTTGCTCTCACTTTCTCCTTCTAGCCAATTCCTTATCGATAGCCGCCATTGCCTTGACGAATTCTGTCTGATGAACACCTTCACCTACACCACTTGCTTCATCATACACCTTTTGCAAGAATCGTGCGTCCAACTTACTCCTTTTCCATAATCGTACAATCATTTCTTGTTCAAGCACTTTTGCTGATCCACCTTGTTGTGCCTGAAGAGCGATTTGAAGTTCATACAATTGCGCATATCGTTCTTTATCTTTTGGATCAGGGTCAAGGCTGTATACCATCTGACCATGTTCATCTCGTCTACGAGCACGTTTTTGCTTGAATTGATAATGATTGTTCAATCTACCACCACCACTCTGACCTGCTCTTGCTGCTACCTTTGGAGGTGCTCGAATTGTGTTGACATGGCGTGGTGGAGGCGCAACTGGTCCAGATGTTCTGCGAGCCGTTTGGGATTGAGTTTGTTGTCTATGATTTGGCGATAATGACAATTTGGACACATTGGAAGCAGGAAAGTTCTTTTGAGCTGCATCTGCTGATTTTGGCAGTGGCATACGAGGAGGAAGAGTTGGTGCAATTTTGCCCGTATCTAAACTTCCAGAACTTGAGCTGATTGTCATTCCTTTCCTTGCAGGTTTCTCTCGTGTGGCATACGGAACCTTTTCAGTGATTTCATCTGTTGATCGTCCAGCGGGTAGCATAGCCTGACGTCCGGCTGCTGTTGGTCTACGTGGCACGTATGGTAAAGGGCTATCTGCGGCTCCGCTTTCTGAAATGATCGAAGTGGGCGTACTAGATCGTGAAGTGGTGCCTTCTTTCAGACGAGGAGGTAGCTGAGGTGGACCACTTGTATCGCTTGAGCCTTGCGGACGAGCAGGTGGCTGTGGAGGCACTCCATTCTTGGTTTGAGTTACAGGTCGAGACGGAATTGTAGGTGGTTTGTAAGATTCGACCTGTTTTACATCATCTGCTGGCTTTGGCTCTTTCCTTTCCTTTGGGACAGCACTGGTAGAATCTTTCTTTGCCGCACTTGCACCTTGCTTGCCGCCGTACAAAGCACTCAAGCTTTTAACATCTATACTTGGAGGACTACTCTCTTCAGGCCTGTTTTGAGTGTCATCTACTTTTATCACATCCTTGTCATTCTTCGGAGAAGATGTTGGCGCTTTGGCTGTGCGATTCTGGCCATTCAATGCTGCGATTCGACTTCGAACGTCTACCCGTTCATACTCTTCTCCTCCATCTTCAGCGTTTTCTGTTGATGACATACTGCATGCTATATATTCAACCTAGCATACCCATCGATTTAAAGTGGTCGTTGATATTGCGGTCGGGAGCGAAGAACTGATCGTGTCTAATTTCAGTTGAAGTGGTTCGAGGGGCAAAAGTGCCGCGCGAGCAGTAACCGGGATATTCTGGGGTAAAAGAATACCCGACATCCGGAGAAGCGTACTTACTGTTCACTTCCTTCATCATAATCCAAAAGATGACTGAACACAAGATAGAGATCCCAATCAGTTCAACATCAGATCAAGGTGCTCTGATAGGAATCTTAAGGAAACAAGATTCCTCACCTCTACAATCCACATCCCAACCGCAACCCAAACCGATCACGTTAATCTTGCACGGCGTTTTGGCACATAAAGATCAATTGTATCATCGTAAATTGGCACAAACACTTCCTTGCGATTCGTTTAGATTTGATTTCAGACATGCTGATCAAGGAGGTGAATCACGTCATGCACCAGGCTCAGAAGGATGGCATATGAGTAGTTTCGATCAAGATATTTTGGACATTCATACGGCAATCTTGTATCTTCGCAAAACATTTAATTACCATGTCGAAAGTGTTATCGCTCATTCACGTGGAGTATTGAATATGTGGCAATACTTTTGGGATGTCGAAATGAGAAGATTGAACGTTATTCCAAATAACACTCAAAATTTCATCTTGGATCGTATTCCTTTTTATGTCGCTTTAGCAGGAAGATGGGATATGCACAGGATGCGTAAAAGGTTTCCTGATGATTCTAAAGAACTTCAAAAGAAAGGATACTTTGAATGGAAAGTACGTGTGGCAGGCAAGAACTTTTCCGTAAACGTCACCAAACCGATGATAGACGGATTCTGTAACTTTCCCATTGCGGATCTGGTAAATAAATTCCCGGCAGATGTGGATGTTTTACTCGTCCATGGTACAAAAGATGCTACTGTACCCTATCAAGATGCTTTTGCATACATGGACAAGCTTCAACACCATATGCAACCACCTAGAAGGAAGGAATCTACCGACTTAGAATTGATTGAAGGAGCAGATCATACATTCAAGGGTCACTTTGATGCGGTAATCAATACATCTTGCGATTATTTGAATCGCAGACGGAAAGCGGTATTGGAAAAGGACGAATTTGCAAGTCCCGCTGCGATTGAGTTCCAGCGTCATTGCCCCTTATCTCCTTTGTCACAAACGCCTAACAGCAAACTGTAATACATTAGATACAATGCATTTTTATATAAGGAAGAGGCGAATAAGAGAAACGAACGTAAGATAATTCTTTCAGATGCCAGAAAGAGGTGAAATAACAAACACAACAGTATATAGAAAGAAAAGCTTGCGAATGTATGCAGGGTATCTTTGAAAGTGCTATTTGCAATCAATTTTTCAGCATTCTGTAGGGATGCAAAAAGTCAGTACATTGTATGCCCATTTGATCATTCTGTTTCACTCACCGGCTAAAAACCTTGACTATGCCAGTCTTTTTGGGAATGACCAATCTACCACGACTGTCTCGACGACCTTTGCCACCACCAGTATTTTCATCTTGAATCGCATTCAAAGCTTCAAACATGGCCACAATGAAAGCCACGTCAATACCTTCACGTTCGCGTTTACGATAAACGCTTCCAAGAGGTCTACTATCGATGTGTAATGCACCCCAATCATCCCAAGGATCAAATTGAGCGATATCTAAACGTTGTGATTCTTTTGTTACAAGTTTGATCTTTGATTCTGTTTGAGCGTACATGCAATATTCTTCTTGATCTGCATTTGCTAAGCTGTAACGTAAACATTCTACATCTTCACCACGAATACGCATTTGAACACGATTACGTTTATCGGCAATTGTCCAAAATGATGTTTGACGTTTGCTTTTGGGAGTGATTGGTATGACTTCCCAAATGATTGGACCGGATCTGCCTAATCCGATGCGAATTGGTGATTCATATCTACGACTGGATGTACTCCAACAGGGTGCTTCACATTCAGCTCGCAGTAAAACTCTTCCAGGAGTTGCATCTTCATTCTTTTCCAATTTGACCGTAGTGAGTTGGGAGTCATTCTCTCTCGTTTCAAGATAAGAACGATAATATACCAAACTTGGTCCACCAAAAAGAGAAGTTTGCGATGAATTTCCAATGGTTGCCAACTTTCTCTCTTCGTTGTAACCTTCTACGTCCAATGGCCATTCCATCTTCATTGCAATATTTGCAGGTAAATCAGCCAATGTGAATCTAGAACGGGAAGCTACCACTCCATCAGCGAATGGAACGTTTGCGTTGTTTGGCATCCTTGGTGCAAATGAACTGAGTTCCTTGACATTCGTGCCAAATCGAATGGCTTTGATGCTACGAATGTCTTTTGCAGCAGCATGTGGTGTTCTTGGTGACAATGGTGGAGAAGAAGATGTTGATGATGGATGCGGAGGACTTGGAATTGTGATTTCAAAATCTTTCATTTGATCAACACGTTTAGTGTCTGCTGTACTTGAAGTACGTGGTCTCATAGTTGGCGGTGAAATCTTTCGTCTTCTTTCTGGCATCACTTCACGTACCGTTGGAGGTGTGATATTGTTCATCACTTCTTTTTGATATGCAGCCTCGAGTTGTTCTTTGTTTTGCTTTTCTTGCTCTAGACTCAAAGAGACTGCGGGCAATGAACTTCTGCGCATCGTTTCAAGCATTGGTGGAGAGAGTCAGAAGGATGATTTTGGATAAAAAGAAGGGGGGAAGAAAGCAAAGATGTTGAGTTGAGGGTATAAATGTTAATCTGGTGTGCCCTGTTTGATCTGAAGATGATGAACGTTCTTCATTTGCAAATCTGCAAGTAAATTTGCTTAACAAATAAAGAAATCAATTTGAGGTAAAGATATGAAGTAAAACAGAATGCAGAGCGAGAGCCGTACTTTCTCTTTATGTACGCCAATCAAAAGGGATGGATGCACTTCTTGTTGTTGACCGCTTTGACCATTATTGACGCCTTTGCATATCGGACGTCCGTTTATGGACACCCTTTCCAACTTCAGATTCAAGGCATTTCCGCTCACGAAGACATCTTCCTTTTTTAATCGGCCAATGTCCCCGTTCAGTTCCTACATGAGCGATGCAGTGAATCGTCTAAAACTGAATGAGTATAAGCAAGTTTAAATTGATCACGGCACCGTAATAATGTCAGATTAGCTAAAAATGTTGTGATGGAATTGAAGCAATTGGACAAAGTCAGATGATATTCTGGAAATGAATGCTTAATGGCACATGAGTGACATGATGTATGCTAATGCCATTCACGCTGGCTGAGATTCGATAAGCTGAAGATGAAATCAATACTCAGTGAGCGACTCAGCAATGGTGAGTAAATGAATGCTGATGCAAGCGGTAAGTTGAAGGAGATGTGTTGAAGTGCATTAGCAATTGTATTCAATCTAAGCGTGACACAGGTGCTATCTCTTAGGCTGATATACAAACAATGCGGGGATGGGAAGATAGAATGCTATTGAATTGAATAATGTACAACAACAACAGCACCTCTTTGCACAACGGATGAGCGCGCGGTGAGCGTTTACTACTGCATTGCGGGCGTTTGACAGGTATGCTTGTGTTGTCTGTATTTATCTGTGTTTGTGTGTGTGATATAAGATCACCAGAAATGAGAGTAAATCTGCTGCCCGTAACCCTATAATAAATGCTACAAAAGAGGGGAACACTTCTTTTGACTCTCACTTGAGCCGTGGTTAGTGTTGCACGTGGACGCGTTTGGAAAGATTTTGTGGAATTCGGGAGATTAACATTTAAACGGCAACCAAACCCCCTGGCAAACAAACGGAGAGTGTGTGTTTGTGTATTTTTGGGAAAATCGGGCGTATGTAAATCTTATTTCTTAACACGCGATCGTCATCTGGTCCGAATATCATCAAAAATGAGAGGTAATTTGGCAAATTCGATAAGAAGGATATCTTCCACTTCTCTGGCTCAGCAGACCTTTGGAGCGACATCATCGAGAAATACAGCAACAATCTCTAGGCAGTCGAGAATACGGCATTTGTCTAGTTCAAGCGCTGCTCTAATTTCAAGACCAACTCTACCACGCTTTCAATCTGATCAGTATAATAGGATAGAATCGAATTCAAATGCCTCATCTAGTAAGGATTCTTTCCCGCCATCTCTCATAAAATCCACTGCTAGGCGGAGAAATAATAAATCAACAAATGGAAACTCGCAAGTGCAATCACAGGGGAAGGAGGCAGCCGACAAATACTCTGCCGCAACACAGACAAATGGGCCTCCTATCGAGCAGGGAGTCGCCAGTACGACTGAAGAGTCTTCTACGTCCAATTCTGTCAAGGCAAACGCTCAATCTACTCAGTCAACCGCTGCAGATTCTACCGCAAAACCCTCAAAGACTATATCAGAGCGGATAAAAGGTCTTTGGGAGAATATCAAGTATCTTTTCCGATTCTACTATAATGGAGTAAAACAAATCTGGAAAGATCGTGCATTGGTTCAAGCAAAAAAGAAAGAGATCGCAGACAGGGTCACAGCCGGAAAAGGAGGTGCACTATGGTCAGAAAAGGCAATGATCGAACTTCATCAAGCAGATGTACGCAAATTACCTTTATTCTTGGCCATCTTGATCATTTTGGAAGAAGTGCTACCCCTTGTGGTAATCTACGCACCTTCCCTATTACCTTCGACATGTATCCTGCCTTCTCAATCACTAAAGATGCGCGCAGAAGAAGAGCGCAGACGTGGATTGGCTATCCAACGCATGGCAAAAGAGGAGCAAGTGCGCAACTTTGTTGATCGTTTGGCCAGCACATCTTGTGAAGAAGGACAAGCAAGTGTCGTTGAGGCAGAATCTTCTGTGGTTTCAAGCTTGCACAGTCTGGAGAAGGACGTGGTGCGAGATATTGCAAACGTTTTCGGTCTTCGATCTTGGGGACCTTCATCATTGGTGATCTCGAGAATAGAAAAGCATTTACGTTTCTTGCAGGAAGATGATGAGCTGCTGCAAAAGGCATACGCTGCAAAAGATGAAAAGCTGGCAGATGAGACGCAGAAGAGTGAATGGACTTCAATCACCAACTCACCCTGGTTATGGAGAGCTTGTGGACGTAGAGGAATCCGTTCATCACAAGCGGATGAATCGACAATGCAACGTAATCTAGAAGCTTACTTGCATTTGATTTCGAGTATCAAGAAGGACATCGCCTCCAGCTCTACATCGCAACCATCTCTAATGCTCGAATATGCATTGGTGCCCTTGGCCTTATATGACGGCACGCCACGTTCTTTACGTCGCTTGCAAGGTGTGGCAACAGTAGAGCAAAGCAAAGGCCTAAGAAAGCGTACACAAGAAGTAGTTGATAGTGTTGTACAGGAAGAGAAGAGGAAGGAAGGCGTTGAGTAAAAGCTGGGTAGACAAGCGCTTCTTTTAGACATCATCATTTTTCACACACATAGATAGACACAGATAATACTGGATGTAAAGTATGCAATTGCAATTTCAATTATTTTGTCATTGTCATCATGATGCAAAGAAACAAATCAAAGATAGGTGAAATTATTAAAAGTACATTAGAGAAAAGACAATTTTTGTACTACATCTCCTCAAATTGTCGATTTTTCCGCTTCATTAACGACGTCTTGACTTTGAGATGGGGAAGGGTCAGATGACGTAGTGTCTTCGGCTGATGGTACTTCAGAAACTTGAGAACTGAAGATCGCCAAACCTTCTTCCTTGCTTGGCAATAGTATTGGTTCGGAGACTTTGTTCGAAGATGCAAGAACCTCTGCGCTTGCTTGTACTCTTGCACGTAATTCCACCACTTGAACCTCATCAATGTTCTTCACCTCATGAACTTGGATCGGGATTCGAAGATCAAGAGGTTGAAGATGGTAGTGATGTTCTGCATCTGGTTTGAGAACGCAAGATGGCCTGATTCGAACCAACAACCGTTTGCTCTGTTGTGCAGGTAAGTTGATCGTCACACTGGGCACGACGTGCGTCAAGGCAGCCAAAGAGACTGAATTGATCGCACTTTCTCCTCCGTCGAGCTGTAAAGGCTCCTCTTTCAAATGAGATGATCCTTGTTCATTCTCCTTGGATGGTTGATCATTCGTGGTAGATTTGGGAATCGGTACACCCAATTCCGTCAATCGCGTCTCATACTTTTGCACTTTGTCCGTATGACCTTTACGTGTGGCAATCTTGAGCTTTTGACTGATGTGTTCAACTTCTTCCTCTTCTGCTTTTGTCAGATTGGCTTTCATACCATCTTCTTGTGCGTTGGATGTGCTGACGATCACCTCGACATGATAAGCTCCATACTTCAGATCATCCTTGTCTGCACGCAAGACAAATGATCTGGACTTGTTGCTTAGATTGCTGATGGCAAAGCTTTGGGCGGGATTAGTCAAAGTGCCAATCGCTAGAGGCTTGCCATCATTGTCTTGAGAACCAAAGGTGACCGATGTAGGCTCTACGGAAAAGTTGGAAACACGAGTGACGTTTGCTTTGATCAATACGGTCTCGTCTCGATCACGATCTGCCACATTTTCAACAATAAGCTTTTCTTGGAAAGCGCCCGTGAGACTCGGGCAGAAGACGAATTCAACCTCACGTTTACCGTGACCGGGAACGACTCCATACCGATCTGCACTTTTCAGCTTGATATCGCCACTGGCAATACTACCACTTTTGCGAATGCAGTATCGTAGAGCCCATTCGCTCCGATTCTGAATAACGATCTTACGGGTTTTCGTTTCTCCTTTTTGTACGTATCCAAAATTGATGTGCGGTTGGCTCAACTCTAAAAGGGAGCGACAAAGATTGCTCTTCACAATTAAATCACGGATCGGCAATTCTTCCCGATCAAGTTTGAGCAAGTCGGAAAATTGATTCTCAGCGGAAGTACTAGAAGCTGCTGCTGAAGCCAAACGATCAGCACTGAAATCGGCAAGCCTGATAAAGATTCTTGAATCTTGCTTGCGAGCATTCCCTTGAATGTGAGGTCTTGTGCTTCCATTCGGTGTATAAATTGCAACCACTTGCTTCTCTTCTCCCGGCTGCAGTGCGAGCAGGTCTACCGGCAGAAGTCTGCCTTCTGTGATTGCATTCTTTAGCTCACGCTGCAGATTCACCTCTGTCCTGACCGATTGCTCCTCTGCTCGAGAATTACCAAAGAAGAAAGTGCTCAAGCTGCTACTCTGGCCTTCAACAGCAGCCAACAATTCATCGAGAGACAATTTGGAAACATCAATCGCATCGTGCAGCATAGGTGCAACCTTCCGCTTACCAGTCAATGCAGGCGATTGATTACGTGTAGCTTCTTCTGCTGCCAATTGCTGCGAGCCAGCTTGTTTAATATCATTTGCCAAGGCAGCCGGCAAACGTCTTGCTGGTGTTAACGGTGTGGAATGCATCGAGTCAGGTGCATGCGAAGCAGAAGCATTGTCCTCATCAGTACCTTCCTTCGTAGCCTTTGTGTTTGCCGAATCTGCTCCGGTAGAGGTTGCAGTGGCTTTCCTCTTTGATGACGCAGTTGTGCGAACTGTTTCGAGCGAGTCTAACGTTTGCCATTTCTTGCTCTTTGCTGGGATTCGTTTGCCGTCAACAGGAGGCCCAGTGGCTAAATCGAGATGCTCGAAGTTGCTCAAAATTGTTCTATCCTTGAATGTCATGGATTTGCCGTACTTTTGTACAAGTCTACCTTTACCGCCTTTCTTCATGGCTGCGACCATATTGATATTTGTCTTTTTCACAACATCTTTCTTGTCAGCCTTTTCTCCATTTTTCGCTGTCCCATTACCCTTTTTGGAAAAGTGACTCTGCTTCTGAGCGATACGCCATGAACTGTTCTCGTTTCGAACGCTTGCAGGTACATCCTGACTCATCGACTCCAGGAAACGTTCTTTCAGATGAGCAGTCCTTTTTGAAGACTTATTGTGTGCTGAATCCGCATATGACTCCTTCTCTTTTGTTGTCGCAACAGTGGTAGACTCGGATTTGTCGTTCTGAACGTTCTCGTTTTGCTTGCCCGTCCCTTCTGCTGCTTCTGCTTGTTGTTTACTTTTGCTGCGAGAAGCTTTTCTGGGAGAGTCGGATGTGGCTTTTTGGCGATCGGACTTGATGTACAATTTCAAATCCTCAGTATTGGCTGCGCTCAATTCGAGCGAGAGGGGAGCACTGCTCACATTCTCTATGCCAAACGTTCGAACACGAGTACAATTGATATTTACGTCACCAAAGTCGATGAAATTGCTGCCCGTTGACGTAAGAATACGGTAAAACAGACTGTGGAAGCTGATCCTTTGTTCATCAACATTGCTACTGCGAACTTCGAGAATTTGATCATTGGATCTATTCAACAGGTTTGCAACGGTCACTTGCTTGCGATAGCTTTCGTTCACACGTCGTGGGAAGAAGTCTACGCGAAGTTCGATCGACTGAAGAGGTGGCACAGCAATCTCGTCCCTGTACATGCTGATCACCTTACTGACGAATCTCAAATCAACACGAGCTGTCAATTCGGAGTGATTTTGAACGACAAAATTGGCCGATTTACGCGTACCAACATTTGCCATTCCAAAATCAATCACCTTTGGAGAGATTGTAACAAAGGAAGTGCAAGTCCTTGTCTTACAAGAAACCGTCTTTCTTTCACGTCCACCTCCCGATTTCGCACCGGAAGATTTCAATTTTGCATAGTCCAACATGATGTTGAACGTCTTCTCTTGCAATCGCCCATTTGTGTATTCATCATCAATCTCTCCGCGCGTTGGACGATGAGATACGATGACACGATGTTCAGCTCCAGGGCGCAAGATCAATTCTTCGATCTGATTGCCATGACCTTGCTCATTTCCACGTAGGCCACGTAAAGCTGCTGCACCACCATGACGGACTACCCTTTCTTTCCCAACCGCGGCAAGGTTTCCGCCACTTCCACCTCCACTGTTGGGATGATGGTGCGATGAACTTGCATGAGAAGCAGAAGAAAGGAAAGGTCCAATTCTGCTGTCATGCGATACTGCAGTTACATCCGACTTCACAGAAGCTGCATCATCCAAGATGCCATCATGCGTTCGCGGTTGGCTGAAACGTCCGCGAGAAGAATTTGGCCTTGTAGAGAATAGCATGGATGATGGGCGACTAGGGAATCTGCGATCGCCACCTTCATTGCTACTATTGACCTCTGAATGTACTTCGCCCAAAGTCGAGCCACTTGATTTGCTTACGTATGGATGAGAAGACGGCGCAGGCTCTAAAACAATATCGTTCGATAACTTTACTGGTTCAGCACGAGTTGGTGAACCAGGAGCAGATCCTGCTTGGGATGCGACCGATGAAGCATCAACATCATCTAGACTGCCATCTTTACCGCCCAGACAATTCTTTTTCTCCTTATTTTCGTGACTGGAAAGCGCCAAATAGGGAGGCTCATCCTTCTTATCAGGATTTTGGGCATATGAAGTTGGGGTCCTAGCTGATTCGGCAGCTTGAATTGCAGCAGCAGTTTCATTGTGTTGCAAGAGGTTTTCAGAAGACAGACTCGGGGAGCGTCGATTACGGCTTCTTCCATCACTACCTCCAGATTCGCTAAAAGTGCCAATAGAAGAAGATTCCATGCTCTGCATATCTGACAACAGCGGTGGTTCTTCTTGGAATATCCGTTCTTCGTCATCCTCATCTCCTCTCTGTGCTAATTCTGCCAGCTGGAAATCCGCTTCGACACCTTTCTCAACGGCAAAGTGCACATCCAAAAATTGTTCACAATTGTTCTTGAGGATCAAAAGTTGCCTTGTCCAATGACCACCTGCACAATCACCAAAGTCAAGAATATTGCCAGACAAAATCGCCAAAGCGTCATCTCGCGCTTCGGCCAACATGTTTGCACGAACAACAACACGGAAAGTGTTGCTTGCATTGTGTAAATTGGTAAAAGTGATCACTTGCTCGTAATTACGACAAGTCTCATGCGGTTCAACGCTGACTCGAATTCGCCGTGTAGTCAACTCGTTCAACACATTTGGTTTATAGGCGATATCGTCACCTGATGTAACAGCTTCAATAACGTTGCCTTGATCATCCAAAATAGTTACAGGTGGGGTTCCGAGCATGTTGTCAGCATCATCGAATCTGGCTTGCCAGTGAATGTCAATCTCACTGAGATTGTGGATATGAAGATCAAGTTCCTCTTTTTGACCAACGAACAAATCTCCAAAGTCTAAATTGATTGCACCACTGGCACTTTGATGAACCGATCTACCGTGATGTCTGTGCCTAGTGACAGATAGTTGCGGGCGACAAGAACTGGCATAAAAGGGTATTTGGATCACCTGAATCTCATCGCCCACCGCCAAACCGTCAGAAGTAGGTGCCGATGTTGCAGAAGAGATGTGAGAACTGTAAAATGAGGGTGGACGTGAAGATGAATTGGATGAGAAGTTGCTTGCATTGGAGGATAAAAATGCGTTTGCATTCAACGTCTCTTCACCAGTTGATGTTGCCAAAGGCGAAGCACGGATCGTTACTGAACCAAGGACTTCTGCCATGTGGATAAATTGATGTTGAACATCCACCGGAACTGTTTGGGCTATATCTGGTGCAGACTGTGGAGATGCATTAGAAGAGCCATGTAGACCAGAAGTTGAGGACTGGGAGGATGCAGCAGAATCCAATGGGTTTGTGATGTTACTCACGGGAGCTCCCATGACTGTTGACTGTGTACCATGCACTTCTTCGCTATGACCTGGCGTGGGAGATCTTGGAGGTGCCAACAAGCTAACGTTCTTCTCTAATTCGACAGGTCGGAAAGTAAGAAAGATATCCAGACCTTGCTTTGGCTCAAGGATGAGGGATTCGGCAGGTTCCAAGTTTGAAACCAGATGTCGTAAATCCCGTAATCTGGAAGGATGCAGCCCTTTTTCACTTGCCCATTTTGCTGTGTTGGTGGGATAAGTGATCGGTTCCCTGGTCTCCATTTGAGATCTTTTCGGCTTGAGGAATGCCAGTGCTCTTCCTAAGGTGCTGCTTAGTCGTAGCAACACTTGTTGCTCTTCTGAAATGTTTACTATGTGAATCTTTTGGACACCGGGAGCATGATTGATGTACAAAGCTTCAAATGTCACTGTACCACTTGGTTTTACGCTTACCAAATTAGGCCCAGAGTTTTGAAGATTGGTCCGAGTTAGGCCTGAGCTTAGGCTTCTCGGTGTTCCTGGTCGAGCAATTCTTGTGCTACTACTACTTCCTGCAGCCATAGGAATGGGCGGCGTATTTCCTCTAATGCCAGCAATTCCGCCCATCATGCTACCGGTAGCAGTACCCAAGCTGCCGCTACGTACTCTGTTCCTCGGCGGAGTCGAGCTTCGATCTTCGAGGATTTGATGTCGAAGGGGACTTGCGTGACCACTTCGTGAAATTGCAGTATATGTGGACATGCCATCTTCTGTACGTCCAAAGGCAGGGCCGGATTGTCGATTAGGGTCAGGCGATCGAGGAATGATTTTTGATTTTGGTTTTGATGACGAAGCAGAATTCGAATTGGAAGAAAATGCATCAGGTCGATCTCCCATCACTCTTTCGAAAGCACCCATCCATACACCGTCATTTTGTCCTTTTGTGGGAGAGGATGGGATTTGATGTGTTTCATGGGCAAATCTTCCGACCGGTTCACCGTTCTTGATAGGATGCATCAAATCAACGTTGTTTCTACTACTTCCTGTGCTACTACTACCATCACGATTGCCGCTCGTAGCATTGGAGCTGTCCGCGACCGCACTGCGTCTGAACTCATCCATCTTTGGTATTTGGGGTAAATTGTGGAGATTCGATATTCAAAGTCGAACGCTAGAGAGGCCTTTTCTAGAAGCACGGATATATGCTGAGTTTTGTAATATTACTGATCAATAGTTCATTGAAACCAAAAAAATGCCAAGAAATCGTATCCTTTGTCAGCGGTGACGGAATGATCAATCTTGCTCAGCAAGTCGTGCGCCTTTTAGCCGGGCGTCGTACGACAATTAAAAGTCAGAGATCACGATAAATGCATTTTCGGAAAAAAGCAAAAGAAAAGTCTTTGTTTGACGTTGAGTTCGAATGATCAAGATTGTTTTGGATGCTGTGCCGAGGTCGAATCTGTTTGAGAGCAATATTCGGCAAATTTGAGCAAATGCGGAGAGATAACCAAGCCTATATTTCTGGACACTTTACGGGCTGATCAAAAAGCTTTGAAAGAAGCCAATGTGTCTTGACAATCGATCTGAAGTACACAAATGCGCCACACCAATGACAGTATGCGTTGCCAAATGAAAGGCGTCAAGTGTTGTGATTTGAGAATCGGCGGAAGGAATCTTGACAGTTCCCAAAAAGCACCTAGTATTTGCCTGCTGCGATGAACTTTCCCTAGGAGTTTATCGTTTGTGATTCCGTTGCCGTTCTTTATGAAGGCGAGCCTAAAGGAATGAGTTGACCAAAGATGGTATCGAAAAAGGAGGTTTGAGTTATGCAACTTTGGATTGATTTTTCTTTATTTTTGGGGGTTGGATTTCTCTCGCTCTGGAAGTGTGTGTGTTTTTCGTCGGAGTATGCTTTCCTCTTTTCGCGCTGAAAATGCGGTTTGCCTTTCACTCTAAAATTGGCTTAGCTTGCTTGCCCTGCCCAGGCGTTGTGTGTGTGCGTTGTACGTTGTGCTTGCGCTGCGCAAGTTAATGCAAACGCCAGTAAGCCGCGCTTGAGACATGCGTATGCAACCCGTTTAAAATTCAACTCGTGTGAGTGTGACCAAATAGTACACGCATGCAGGTGATTAATCGAGTAAACACTTCCTCGTGCGGTCCGCCGTTGCTCTTGACAAATATTAGATTCTCATCATCTAATCAAACTTCTAGATCAAATCTTGGAAATTGCATGCAATTAATAAGGGGGTAGTATACATGACCGATAGCACAAATGCCAAAAGATGAAAGAGCCAAATCAAAGCATCTTTTCCAATTCAGAAATGATTGTAGGATCAATACCTTCAACCGTCATCAATTCAACCACTGCCTCTTCATCTTCGATCAAAAGATTTCCATCATCTTGTTGTCGATCGGTGTCACCATTCATTGCACCATTCACAGCGAATCGTTGAGAATTGGATGCAGTATTCGTTTTTGATGCCAAAGAATTACCTTCCATTCCAAATCCAAGTAATGGAGCTCTGTTGAACATGTTTTCGCCATCGCTCAATAATCGCAATGTTTCCACCAATCTTCTCGTCAAAACGCTGAAGGGATTTTGACTAAAGTCTTTGTGAATTCTCATCAATCTTTTGATGCATCGGAAAATGATTCCTTTCGTTCCGGGCGAATGTCTCAACCTTCTCTTTACACTTCCACTGCCCATATATGCAATATCGAAAAGTGTCATCGCAATCCTCTCGCAAAACGCTAATCTTGCTTCCGTTTTCAGCATGTGGAAATCCATATCTGAGACCGGCAATAGCTTTATCAATGCTTCTCCCAATTTGATCAACCTATCTTCTTCGATCGTATCACCGAGTATCTTTCGATTCACGTCTGGCTGACCCAAGCTGGAAAATGCTTCCAGTGCAAGATCTGCATGCTGAGGTACTTTGCGTGTAAATGGTTGCATAGCAGTCGGTTGTGGTGGTGGGTGTGGATTTTGCGGAGTAGCTCGTATTGGTGGACCGATTGGCATTTCTCGATATACCAATCCATGCAATTGTTCAATTTCACTTGCATCATATACGAAACTTGCCAAGAAGTCAAATAGATTGGAAAGTGTGATTGAGTCCAAATTTGTCAAAATGCTTGTCTCACCAGCCAGAGATCCAATTATACCCAGTATATCCTTGCGGACCCGTAAAGCTTCCGAAGCTGTAAATACAGTCGAATGCTTTGGTGCTTCATCCTTTTGCGTATCAAATATGCCACTTGTTTCTGGTCGTCCCTTCTCATCTTCCCGACGCCGAGCAATCTCTTCGTGATCAACAGCTGCGACGATGTTCATCAATAGTGTATAAAACTTTGGCTCGTTGTTGAGAAAGTGATGGTTTTCTGGAACGACGGAAAGGTTGAGAAGAATTTCGATAATAACAATTGCAGTATCAGCTTGACGTTGCAGGTCACGCTCTCTTGCTATTTTGGAATAATACGTTGTCGGAATATCCTCATATACGTCCTTGTCTTCTTCATGCGAGTCTCTTTCCTCAAGTTCCTCTGTTTCAACAACACTGCCATTCTCATGTACATTTCTTGCATCCTCGATATTGTCGTCGACATCGTCTGACATCAACGCCATCTCGTTCAGACTATCGTGTACACCGTTGGTCCGTATCAAATGCCCATTCGAGACCTTACGCTTTCGCTGTATGTGAATTTTGTTCTTGTCCTCATCTTCCAACACTCCAATGATCCACTCTCCATGAGTCAAAGGTCTTTTGGGCATCGCTATAGGCTCGACGAATCCATCATCATCATCGTCCTCTTCGACAAAGTGTTCTTCTTCTGAAAGACCCAATCGTCCAAAAGCAGCCTCCTCCAGTATATCCAGTAATTCGTCGCTCAAATCTTCGCATAAGCTCAACAAGAGATTGAAACCTGGTGCCTGCACCCCTGCAGTCAAGATGAACAAAGCATTCAGAGCGTACGTAACCTCAATTTCCACTCGACTCCTTAAACTCATGATGAGTCCTTCGATATCCACTGTACCCAATTCACGAACGCTTCGAGGAAATCTTCCTCTTCCAGCCAAAATTGGACCGATTTGTGCTTCGACCGAGTCTAGATCCCATCCACCGAACGAGCTCACATCTCTTCTTATAGGCAAGTATTCGATCTTGTACTTACTTGGCTTGACAGGTTCGGCGGGAGCTGTTGATGTTGTTCCAACAGACGGTATGGCAACAGGACCAGCAGATGACGTTGGTCGAGAAGATGATGGGCCAGCCTGTCCAGGATCCAGAGTATTTGTCGATTGAACATCTTTGATATCTTGTACCGCTTGCGGTTTGATCTGTGGAAATTTATTCGATTCTTGTTGAGCAGCAGCAAAGGCCACCGGTGCTGCAACCTGCAATGGCTGACCAGCATTTTGTGCTTGTGTCAACACTCTAGCATAAACTTGTGCCAATGCTTGGCTCACGCTCGCTATTTCAGACGAAGAAGGATTTCCTTGCATTTGTTGCACCTGTGCAGATCGGATCGCTGTGAAGGCACCAATTTGTTGAGCAGGATTGGTAATACCTTGATGCAACATTCTTGCAGCTTGTTGAGCTTGAACATTTGCTGCTTGTATGTGCGCGGTATTGGGTGGTAGACCAATAGACGGAGCTGCTGTACTAATGCCGTTCATCGAGGGTTCGGATGTAGATGCAACTGGCTCAGGCTTGACTTCGCTTTCATTGCTTTGCTTCGTACTCGATTTTCGAGATCTTTTGGGTGGTTTCTTTGAGTCATTATTGGCGTTTTGCTGGAGGGGTGTAGATGCTATTGCAGGTGCTGGTGTCGGAACAGAAGATGTGGACGGCTGAGACTGGGCCTGCGAGACAGCCGGCTTCATTTGCTGCTGTTCCCCATTTTGTCCAGAAGATGATACTGCCTGTGCCTGAGCTGCTGCTATTTGTGCTGCCATTCTGGCGGCATTTTGAATATACATAAATCTCTGACTTGCTTGCTGTTGATTCATCTTCCCAGCCTTGACCATCTCTTGTAGCTGTTGCATCTGTTGGGGCAATTGTGCTTGAAGCTCTTGCGCCTTCTTTGCAGATTCCTGTGCCAATTGTGGTGTCACATTTGCCATTTGATTATCTGGCATGCCGCTCCCATTGTTTTGCCCGGCATTGGCTCCATTTGCTCCTGCGCTCGCATTGTTAGCATCATTGGTAACAGCTCCTGGGGCATTCTGTCCTTGTTGTTGCTGTTGTTGCTGACCTTGTTGTCCACTTTGACCTTTCATCTTTGCCAGCCAAAATTCTTCAAATGAGCTGAAGCGTTCCTTGTAGAATTGTGCTAATCTGGGTGCAACAAAGCTGGGCAATGGAAGTCCATTGCTATCCACTTCCCCTTGGCCAGGCTGGTGATTTGGCGGTATTGGCGCAACTGCTAGTCCTAGCTGTGCTGCAAGGATTACCCATCCATTTTGTCGAGCTTCGATACGACTTGAACCTCCAAACTGTACCACCGTTTGAAAAAGCATTTGCATATCGATCGTCTTTGTTTCTCCATTAGTGGACCCAGGCGCAATTCCTCTGCCTGGAGCGGAAAAGGTTGTCGGTAGATCGTGAGGCAAGGGCGTTCCCTTTGATGCCATGAAAGATCGAACTGCGTTGAGCAAATCTGCTTTTAGCTGTGGTGTTTGTTGTACTCCTCCTGGTTGTGGAGCGTTCTGCTGTGCTTGTCCTGAAGATTGTTGAGATGGTTGTTGGTGCATAGCCTGCATTCTTTGTTGTTGAGCAAATGCTTGTAAAGCAGCCAATTGTGCATTGTGAGCAGGACTAGCAGCCTCACCAGCAGGACCACCTGAACCGCCGGTATTTCCGCCAGACTGTGGAGTAGAAGCTGATTGTGGTCCCGGTCCAGGGGTTGGTGCAGCAGCAGGCGTCATTCCTTGTTGGTTCTGCTGCGGTTGCTGTTGTGGTGCTGGCGATTGATTTTGATTTTGCTGTCCTTGTGACTGTTGTTGTCTTTGCAAAATTTGCAATGTTTGTGAATGAAATGCTTTCATCTTTTTCATCTGTGCTGCCAATTGTTGAGCAGCTTCCATCTTCTGTTGACTTTCGGGTTGAGCCTGTACAGTTTGCCATTGTCTCTGTAAGTTATTGATTTGACCTGTAACCACTTGAAGCATTTGCATAGGGTTTTGTTGTAGCTGCTGCAATTGTTGCGGTGGTATCTGAGATGTCGACATCATCCCATTGGAAGTTCCGTTTGGTTGTTGAGGATTTGCTGGTGGTTGCTGCGATTGCTGCTGCTGCTGTTGTTGTTGGGCGGCTGCCATCATTTGCATTTGTGCAAGAAGTTGTTGAGTCTGTGATTGATTAGGTCCTTGTTGCTGTTGGCCCTGTTGTCCTCCGCCTCCCACCACTCCTCCAGCAGGCTGACCTGACCCGAATGCATTCATTATGATTCACTACCGAGTAGCCTGAAGAAGTGAGTGTGATTTTTTAACAGAACGTTGTGTTCTTTCCACTGAATCGATTGCTGATGTCACCCTGCTCTTCTCGGATGAGGTGATTGAGAGTGGATGCAGAATCGAATCTTGACGATGAATGAAACCGAATCTTCTTTCAGACGCTATAACATAACATGCTGCACCCAAGAATGAAAGATTATTACGAGTGTAAATGATGTCGAAATCGCACCGACTGTTTCGTCTTGCAGTGAACCTTATTTTGAGAGGATTTCAAACTGCAACCCGTGTCCAATCGTGATCAAACGCGTCTTTAATGCTTGAAGAGATCGATCGATGTTGTACAAAGAGTCAGTGTCCCTTTAGAAGAATTGATTGTCGAGATTCGCTGAAAGGCTTTCTTTTGCTCTTATCGAAAATAGATCGAATCTTTGTCTACCTATCGCGCCTTTTCTTGCTCCCCGATCCTATCAAGACAACTATCAAGATGATGGTTTGATCCCCCGCTAGTGTGAATACTATTACTATGGTGATGGAAACGCGTGCGCTGCGTGCTTAACAAGGTTTAAATCAGTCAGTGCTGCCCTTAGAGGTTAAACGCGCGCGATTACTTCTGAGCTTGAACTTGTTGCTGCGTACATAATCAACCTTTTCTTCTTTTTAGCCTATTCTTCTTCCAGGGCGCGGCTTACGCAGAGCTTACGAAAGATGCGTTTGTTTCCTGAGTAAGACTGCGCTTACACACACACACACGCCATTTTGCATCCCGGATCACCGAACGGTGGAGTCAATTAAGAAAAATATACAGCTTGCTTCCCTTCTTCATCATCTTCTACATCAATCACATCCCACAAAAGATGTACGCCACTTTAGCGACCCGTTCAATGGTCGTGCCCAAATCAGTGGCCAGAGGAACATCAAAGAGGCTCTTAAGTGGCAATTGTTCAACAGCCTCTTCATCCTCTTCTTCCCTCTTACGTACCAGTGCGCCACACAAATTCATAAGCGCACCTAGTGCTCTCTCTATTGCGTCTCGTCGTCATTATGCTACTCCAACGGAAGATAATGACAATTCTGGAAGGAAGCCAGCAAATAGAAAGGAATATGAAGAAAGCGTAAAGAAAGGCTTGGAAGATGCAAAGAAAGCCCAAGCAAACAAAAATGAAGATGGATTGTCAAGCGCATTGAAAGGCTGGTTCGAGAAGAATGGTAGCGACATGGGCAATAAAGAAAAGATTGCTTCGTCATCCGAAGAGGGTCAACGAAAGTCTGACGAAAAAGAATCAGGAGAAAAGAAGAGAAATGAAAAGAAATCATCCTCCTCTTCTTCCACAGGAGGAAGCGGCAAGGATCCGAATCAACAGGAAGTTCGTCTCAATGCCAACACTTTGATCGCTTCTGCAATTGGTACCTACGTCGTTTGGCAAATCACATCCCCCAACACGAACGCTCGTGAGATCACATGGCAAGAATTCCGCACTGCATTCCTCGACAAAGGATTGGTTGACAGATTGGTCGTAGTCAATCGAACAAAGGTTCGTGTATACTTGCACTCCAATGCAACAGGTACCATGGGAACCAACAACAATGCAGGAAGCTCCTCGCAAGCATCCTATTGGTTCAGCGTTGGATCCGTTGAAGCTTTCGAACGGAAGCTTGATGATGCTCAACGTGAGCTCGATATTCCACCTAGTGAGCGCATCCCTGTCGCTTATCATGAAGAGATCTCGACATTCAACACACTCCTTCACTTTGCACCAACGCTTTTGGTCGCTGGTCTCTTATTATGGATGACAAGACGTGCTGCTGGTGGAATGGGAGGAGCTGGCGGTGGTGGCGGTCCAGGTGGAATTTTCGGTATTGGAAAATCGAGAGCAAAGATGTTCAACCAAGAGACCGATGTCAAGATGAAGTTCGAAAATGTTGCCGGTATGGATGAAGCAAAGGAAGAAATTATGGAATTCGTCAATTTCTTGAAGAACCCCGAAAAATACGAGAAATTGGGAGCCAAGATCCCAAGAGGAGCAATCCTTTCTGGACCTCCCGGAACAGGTAAGACATTGCTTGCCAAAGCCACCGCTGGTGAAGCAGGTGTACCCTTCTTGAGTGTCTCAGGTTCTGAATTCGTGGAAATGTTTGTCGGTGTTGGTCCATCTCGTGTACGTGATATGTTCTCAACAGCCAAGAAACATGCTCCATGCATCATCTTTGTGGATGAAATTGATGCAATCGGTAAGGCACGTGGAAAGGCAGGCGGCTTCGGTGGAAATGATGAACGTGAATCGACATTGAACGAATTACTGGTTCAAATGGACGGTTTCGGTTCTACAGATCCAGTCATTGTTCTAGCAGGTACAAATAGACCGGATGTCTTGGATCCTGCTCTCTTGCGTCCTGGACGTTTCGATCGCCACGTCAGCATTGACAGACCTGATATTGGTGGACGACGTGAAATTTTCAAGGTTCACTTGAAGCCACTCAAGTTGGCTGACGGTGTTGACAAGGATCTTTTGTCTGAAAAGTTGAGTACAATGACACCTGGATTCTCTGGAGCAGATGTTGCAAATGTGTGCAATGAAGCAGCTTTGATCGCAGCAAGAAGTGGATTGGCAGCCGTTGATGAAAGGTCTTTCGATCGTGCAATCGAACGTGTTATTGCAGGTTTGGAACGTAAGACCCGTGTCTTGACACCCGATGAGAAGCGTATCGTTGCTTATCACGAAGCCGGACATGCTGTCTGTGGATGGTTCTTGGAACATGCTGATCCATTGCTCAAGGTTTCCATCATTCCTCGTGGTATGGGTTTGGGTTACGCTCAATATCTGCCCAAGGAACGCTACCTGTTCAGCACAGAGATGTTGTTCGACCGAATGTGTATGACTTTGGGTGGCCGAGTTAGTGAAGAGATCAATTTTGGATCCATCACAACTGGTGCACAAGATGATTTGAGCAAGATTACAAAGATCGCATACGAGATTTGCGCATCATACGGTATGAATTCTACACTTGGTCCAGTGAGCTACAAAGCTGAGCAAGAATCGATGCACAAGCCATTCAGTGAAAAGACAAATGAAATGCTTGATAATGAGGTTCGCGAGATGGTCAACAAGGTTCACAAGCGTACAACTGAATTGTTGACCACGCATTCGGATGCTGTTGAAAAGGTCGCACAAGCCTTATTGAAGAAAGAAGTGATCACTCGTGAAGATATGAGACTTCTTTTGGGCAAGAGACCATTCAAATCAGCAGATGAAGCAGATGAATATTTGGACAAGAAAGGTATTCGCGATTTCGGAAGACGTGGAGGAGAAGTTAGTGCACCACCACCACCTCCATCTGATTTAGGAGGTGATCCAGGTTTGGCCGCTTCCAAGAGCGATGACGCTTCTCCCAAATGAATCAATCAATTGGATTTGCTTCCTTTTTCATCATCATGTAGAATGTATCGAATACCACACCACTCGTACTTTTTTTGTTTGTTTCACTAGGCTTTGTTCTTTTTTTTTTCCTCTCATAAACTCATCATCACATGCAATGCGTACATGTACATCATAATTCAATAATAAATTATATTACAGCGTTTTTTCACATCTGTTCTTCTTTTTGGGTATCTGTGGTCGCGATTGCTTCCTTCTTGATCCTTTTCATCAAATTCTCTCGGCCTGACCAAGGCTTTCCACCATTCCTTTCACGTTCCCATTCTTCCAGCAAATCCAGATCTGCAGATCGAGCGCCGATCTTGAATATACGCTGACATGCTCCAGGTCCGATCCCGTTGGCTTTTGGCATAGTTGGCAGTTCTTCTGTTTGTTCATCTACACCACAATCATCCTCACCTGATTGCAAATCTTCTGTAAGCTTTCTCTTTGCGTCCCTGCTTTGGGGCGGAGGAGGCGAAAGGAGTCGGGTTCCTTGTAATTCAGGCGGAAAGAATTCTTGTACAACCGGATGGGCAAAAGAAGGTTCATAACGATATTCTTTTCCATGACCTAATTCACGCATAAGCTTTGTTGGTGCATTTCGAATATGGATCGGAACAGGATAATTGTACGCATCTCGTACCAAAGCTTGTGCCTTTTTCCATCCCCGGTAGGCTCTTGTTGATTTGCTGGATTCGGCCAAAAAGACGACACATTGAGCCAAGTTTTCGGCACATTCTGGTAATCCGACCACTTGACATGCTTGATAAGTTGCATTTGCCATTTGTAAAGCTTCAAGCGTATTGCAATCTTCCGAAGCAGCAACGATCATCCTTCTTGCGATAAAAAGTGGATCATCACCCGATTCCACCATTCTTGCCAACCAATAGAGAGCAGCATCTGGATTTGAACCACGTATGCTTTTGTGCAAAGCGCTAATTGTATCATAGTGATGGTCACCTGTTCGATCGTATTGTAATGTAGTCCTTTTTAGGTTTGTTTTGAGCGCTGCAAGCTTTTCTTCCGAATTCAAAGAGGTATTAATTGTGGCCAATGCGATCTCCAGAGCTCCCAAAGCAGTTCTTGCATCTCCATCAGCCATATTAGCTATCCATCGAAGCATAGTATCATCAATCACTTCTTCATATTTGACGGGACTAGCATCACTTGGTTCCGAATCTTGAATTCTCCTTCTAGCACGATGCAGTACTTCAAAGCATTCATCTACGCTCAGCTTTGTTAAAACGAAGACACGCATTCTGGAAAGCAATGCACCTTGTAATCGAAAAGATGGATTTTCGGTCGTTGCAGCAATCACCGTACAAAGACCTTTTTCGATCACGGGTAAAAATACATCTTGTTGAGCACGACTGAAACGTTGAATCTCATCAATGAACAAAATAGTCCTTTGTCCCACTAGCTGAAGTCGATTTATTGCTTCGTCAAAAATCTTTTTGACATCATTTGATCCTGCAGTAGTTGCTGAAATTTCTACAAAACGATACGGTTGCTGATTGCCGCCATTCGTTGTACGTGCTAGTATTCTGGCCAACGTAGTCTTTCCTGTACCGGGTGGACCCCATAGAATAGAATTCGGCACCACTCCTTTGCTGAGCAAGGCTTTTAAGGGCCCATTCACAACACCCTCTTGACCCACAAAATCAGCGAGGGACTTCGGCCGCAAGCGTTCTGCCAAAGGAGCAACACTGTCGAGTCTTTCCCTCGAAGTGGAGGGAACGGAGGTGGCAGGCTTCGATGGTGTTGTATCAGCTCCTATGCGGGTCTTCTTAGCCTGACGATCATCATTTGGTGACGATCTGTTCCCGTTGGCTGTGCTATTTGATTCTTCCTTGATGGAATGCTTTTTCGTATTGGCGTTGAAGATTGCTGCATGTGTGCTATTCTCTCCTTTCGATTCTACCAACCCGAGACATTTGTCAAGATGGCTGTTCAGTTGACCATAACTGAATGGCTTCGAACAGCTCGGACAAGAGACAACATCATCCGATGAATTGGCCGAAGCCATGATCACGTAGGACAAACGCGAATGTGGTGGCGGATGTTGAACAAGAAATGAGAAGAACAAGAACAACACTTTTTATCATACTAATAATATACGCGCTACAATCTTCACACACACGCGTGCCGTGTAAATCACTTCATTGCATTTCATTTAATCATCCTCTGTAGAATTTACTCGGTACGAAAGGCATTCCAACAATCTTGGCAGATCTTAATTTCTTACGAACATCAACGAGGACTTCTGTACCTTTCTTATGATAGCCGTTCAGAACATACCCCATAGCAACATTCTGACCCAAAGTAGGAGATGGAATACCGCTTGTGATTGTGCCTAGAGGTGTTGTACCATCTGATGCCACAATTTGTGCTCCTTCACGCGCTGGTGCTCCTTCGATCACCAAGCCAACTCTTCTCCTTTTCGGGCCTTTGTCCTTGCTTAACTCTGACAAGATTCGTTCTGCACCAGGGAAATCCGCTTTCTGTCTGCGATCTTTTGACACTAGCCAAGCAAGGGCACCTTCGATAGGAGAGATACTCTCGTTCAAATCATGACCGTAAAGGCACATCCCGGCTTCCAAACGCAAACTGTCACGGGCTGCAAGACCTGCCAATTGAGTGGGCTGAGTGTCCAAGAGGGCTTGTGTAACAGCCTCTGTTTGTTGAGGTGGTATGGAAATCTCGAATCCATCTTCTCCTGTGTATCCACCTCGAGCGATGTGACATTCGGCACCGGCGACGTTGGCTTTAACACTTTTACCAAAAGTTAGTTTGGTAAGATCAGTATCGGTGTGTTTAGCCAGAACTTCTGCCGAATTTGGCCCTTGAAGAGCAACGAGTCCATAGTCTTCAAGTACTTTATGATCCACCTTTTCACCTGACCATGCAGAAAGCTTTTCCTGTAAATGGGCTAAATCCTTTTCACGACATCCTGCATTTGTCACCACGTACCATGTTTGATCATCATGTTGTTTGGAAATGATCAAGTCATCAATGATGCCTCCTTGATCGTTTAGCAAGACGGACAGAGAAGATGACCAAGGTTCCAAAACGGACAAAGAAGTAGGGCACAAAGATTCCAAGAAAGCCAATGAACCTGGACCGGTGAAAGAATGCTGAACCATATGTCCTACATCGAACAAACCACATGCACTACGGACATGCTTATGACTGGCTACTTGACCAACATCTCCATATGTCAAAGGCATATCATACCCGCTGAATGGTACCATCTTGGCTCCATTCTTGACGTGAAAGTCATACAGACCCGTTTTAGCATTTGGTGCAAGAGCCTTTGATGAGGTAGAGAAAGCGGCAGAAGGGTTGATGACTGATAAGCTCTTGAGGGTAATACTTGCTCTCGATTGAGAAGCAATATTACTTCTGAGAGCAATGCTACGAGCCAAAGATCGTGCCAACATCTTTATTGATTGAATGGTAGAATGAAAGCAAGAAGAATGATTCTAAACAACTCTAATTGTGCTCCTACGCCCTAATGCCCGTTTTATCCGCGGTTGTCTTTCTCCGTGGTTAGGAAGAAATTAAGCTATGTCCGCTTTTCTACGCGTGGGCCACTTTTAGCAATCTTGCTCGAAGAAGACCACCTCTTAATACCTTCTTCGGTGATGGGAAGTAGAAGTGATGCACCACTATGGATATTGAGACATCATTCGCCTAGTCCGATTCATGCTCTCAGGCTTGTGCAATTGAAGCACCATGACGAAGGCAAAAGCGCGGCTTTCATCTTAGCCGGTGATTCGCAAGGAAGGGTTTCGTTCAGCAGTCTAAATGATGTTCGACCTCGCTATTTCTGGAAAGCGCACGAGAAAGGCGTTTTGGGTGTGGATATCATTGAGCTTGATGGTAAACTGGCCATTTTGAGTCAAGGTCGTGATAACAAGCTACATGCTCATCAAATCCAGCTCTCCAACATAACCTCTTTGGCTGTTTTGCCTTCACGCATTCAAGATGATTTGACCGTTCCTGATTTGATTTGGTCGTTGGACGTGAACGCATTGAATTATTGTCCGATGAGCGTGCTACATACGCCTCAGTCTAGACAAACAGGTCCATTGGTAGCCATCCCGCATACACTCGATTCTGGCTTTATTGATGTGATTCAACTCTCGCCTGAAGAACGAATCGCTCGTGCTGTCGGACAAGCAGACATTCAATCGAATGGCAGTCGCGCTCAGAGGGCACCTATGTGTATGTCGATGCAGCTCTTGGGACCTAAGTCAGGAGAAGAAGGCTTGCGAATCATTGCAGGATACGAAGACGGTTACATGCGATCGTGGTCACTTCGGCAAGATGGATCCTCGGACCTAGAGTGGGAATCGCGAAAGCATAATGAATCAATTATGTCTTCTGCTTGTTCTCAAGATAGAGCATTTGCTGTGTCCGTTGGAGCTGATGACATTATCGCATTGTATACACTCTATCAAAAATATCAACGAGCAAAGATTACCAAGAGTCGTGCAATGGGTCATGCATCCGTCGCTATTCGCAAGGATGGAAAACTGATTGCCGTTGGAGGATGGGATGGCAATGTTCGTTTGTTCGATAATGATTTACAGCATTCTGCATCTTTGCGTTATCATAAGGATACAGTTCAAGCTGTGGCTTTTGCTGAAACTAGTAGTATTGAAATGAAAGCAACGCGAAAAGAGGAGGATGATATCGACAACGTCGATGATGAAGATGACGATGAGATAAATACGAACGGTGTGTTGGGCAGCAAAACCAACATTGATAATCTACTCATCACAGGTGGCAAAGAGGGTCGCATTTGTATATGGAGCACCTGAATGTAAGATTAAATTGTACTTTTACCCTATTCATTCTGTACTTTAATTCAAAGATCTATTACAACATACACTTTACAAATACAACGACATTTTTCCGCCTTTTAACGACCACCACCACGAGTAGAACTGCCGCTAGGACCTTGAGGCATATGACCTTGTTGAGGAATGCCAGGTCCGGGTCCAGCACCCGGAACGCCAGCTTTTTGCAAATTGACCATCTTATCGGCCATCCTTTGAGCTTCATGAACGATGACGGCTTGATCAACCCAAGGAGCTGTGAAAGTTTCACTTCTTCTTAATTCTTCCGTTCCTATGTGCATATGACCTCCCGTTGCATAATTCGTACCCAAAATCGTATCCAAATCGCGTGCTTGAGAAGCAGTCCATGTTTGAATGTGATTATGTGGATCTTTGGCAAAGTTGTACAAAAAGTCTCGGGTTGATGTCTTGTTCTCCAACGTTTGTGTTGCTTGTGCGATTCGATCATCCAATTCGGAAATCTCTCTGCCGCGTGTTTCGAATCCTTGCAATACATCATCCTGTACTTTACGTAAACCTTGATCTTCCACTTCTACTTCGATATCAAATGCAGTAGGATGCTTGTATTCTTCCTTATCGGTACGCACCCAATACTCCAATACGACTGGATTTGGTGGGTGCAAGTGTCGATTAACAACTTCGGGGATGTGATGGAATGCGATACGCTCGGTGCGGAAGATGGATCGTAAAGCATCGTTACAGAGCACAAGTCGACGATCCTCCTCAGACATGAGCTTATGTTCTTTGATATAAGCATACAATGCTGCCACGATTGACTGTCGTGTATCTTCGCGAATGTCAAGCAAAGCTGAAAGTTCTGGACTCAAAGCATATCGTTCTGGCGTATGGGCGAGATAGAGGACAATTCGAGCTTTGACGGGGATTGATCCTTTTCGTTTGACTTCAAACCCGTCAAGAGCTGGTTCGGCTGAGGCTACTGTAGGCACATCCATTGAACCTTGACCCGGAACTGCATTCTCACCACCGGGAGGCATGCTTGCAGTAGCGGGTGCCACTGTTGGTATAGGTCTATGCCATTCTACGATATTTTCACCTGCAGGATATAGAGTGGGGTCACGAATCAGCTCAACCACAATCGTACGAATCAAATTGCTGAACTTTGTTGCATTTGTACGACTTTGGGCTGCTTGTAATGCTTGTGCGTTGTGGGCGCGGGATTTGAAACTTGGCTCTAGCAAGCGACCTTCAATTTTCAAAGTCCAAGATGCAACTTCTTCAGGTTGGATTGCTTCTAGCTTGTCTGCCTCTGATGTTGGTTTAGCTGCATCTGCAGATGTAGAAGCACCATCTTCTGCATCCATAGTCTCATCACCATCTGCATTCTTTGCTGCTCTGCTTCTGTTTGCTTCTTCCTTTCTTCTTTCTGCGTCTCTTTTTGCTTCTACTTGGAATGGTTGATTTGAGCAAGTGTTGGAAAGGAAGATCCGTAATGTTCTTTTGACTTTTGTATTGCGTCCTAGAGCATCTTGTACTTCTGCTCTCTTTCTTGCTACTGTCCAATCCAATGCTCTTTCGATCCGAACAAGATCTTGATACATTGCACTTTCAGGAACAGATCTAGTGATACTAGGAGGCAAAGCTCTTGTCGTTGGCCTTCCACGTTTTGCACCTCTAATACCTGCTCCCACCAAATTATCCGTTTGAGCTCTTTTACGCATTGATTGCAAAGCAGCTTGTGCTTGTGCTGCTTGTTGAGCTTGTACTTGTGCTAATTGTGCTGGATGCATTGGCATTCCACCCGGTCCACCTGGACCTGCAGGACCCATTTGACCTGGTTGCATTCCGCCTGGTCCTTGTGGTCGTACACCAGGCTGCATTTGACCAGGTCGAACGTTTGGCATTCCGGTTGCCATGTTTGATTCACACAATTGGTTAAGGTTGGATGAAAGGTTTCTCTTAAAACGCGTGCTTAAAGATGGATGGGAAGGTGGTTACGCTACAATAAGAAGTGCTAATTAATTGACTTTCTGTTCGTCTCTCGCCTGTACTTGATTCTCGACGCGTTTAATAAAGAAATTCAGATTTGGCATCGAACATCATGTCAATCACGTGGCTATCATCAATTGTTGTTCGCATCACAAGCTAGGACCTGTATATTTTGGTAATGGTCTTAAGCAATGTGTTCTTTTCATATGGTGATTTTTACTAGAATGATATTTATTCATTTTCATAACGGTGAAATCGGTTGATGGAAGAGTCTTGATCAGTGTAGACTGTATGCATGCAAGCCAAGTCAAGTCCATAGTCCAATCTCCGTCCGACGCGAAGAAAGTTGCCGGGGGATTGTGGAGAAAGTGAGTGTTGTCCGAAAGGCTGATCTGAGAGCAACGCATGAAACGGGCAAGGCAAACAAGACTTCAAAGCAATATCTTCCCTTCTTTCATTCAACATACATTCATTATATAGACAGCAATACCAACAGCAAACATGACATCAACAGAAAGCAATCGTCGCTTAGTAGGCGTATCGTACAAGATGTACTTTGACGAAGAAAAACATGAAAAATACCTGAATACAATCTTGGAAACCGTTCCACAAGTATTGCCAACGTTAAATCGACCAACGGATGTGTTTATCATTCCAGATTTCTTACATATCATCCCATACGTACAAAAAGTAGCCCATGCAAAAGCACCTCTTTGGATCGGAGCACAAGATGCACATCATGAAGATGCAGGCGCATTCACAGGAGAAGTTTCACCAAAGGGAATTGCTCAAGCAGGTGGAAAGTTGATCGAAATGGGTCATGCAGAACGTAGAAGATTGTTTGGCGAAACGGATGAATGGGTTGTTAAAAAAGCAAAAGGCGCTGCAAGAAATAATTTGATCCCTCTCATTTGCATCGGTGAACTTCATAAAGAAGGTGGCGCTCAAAATGCTCTGGAAGAATGCTGGAAACAAGTCTCTGCCGTATTTGAAGGCGAAGGCAAGATTGATGATGATAAAGAAGTAATCCTTGCATATGAACCCGTTTGGGCAATCGGCAAGAGTGAACCCGCAAGTGCAGATCATGTGGTTCAGGTAACCAAGCTGATTCGTGCAAAGGTACCAAAGCGATCAGGAACAGTCAGAATCCTGTACGGAGGAAGTGCTGGTCCTGGTCTATTCGACAAATTGAAAGAAGGCGTTGACGGTCTCTTCTTGGGACGTTTCGCTCATGATCCCAAAGCATTTTTGGAGACAATTATTGAAGTTGGAGGCGGTCGTAAACAATAGAAGGAGTAATTGTTATTAATTAATACATCAGGATAGCATCAATGATAAATGGGAGTTTCCATAATTTCTCTGCTTTCATCTCTTCTGTTTCGTTAAAAGCTTGGTTTTGTCGTTCGAATTCGTCTGAATCGCTTGTATATCTTTCATTCAATCCGTTAGATTCTTGTCTTTTCCTTTCATTTTCAAATTTGGCTGTAACTCTTCCTAATCCACTCGAATGATCCCATTGTGCTCTATGCCACCTTCTTACCAAACGCATAGCGTCAGAAACTGTTTCCAATCTGACTAAAAAGCTTGAAGTACTTTCAGTTGGAGTCAAATTTTTGATTCTCATCACTGAAGGCAATTCGTTGTGTTGATTTGATCGAATTTCAATATTTCGAACTTTTGCCGTATCTGCATAATCACCCGCGAGTGAATATGTTGCCCTCAAGATACGTGTTAGTCTTTCTTCATCAACATGATGAGGTAACCCTTTCAAAAGTACAACACGACCTGACGATTCTTTTTGAGCTTGACGTAACATTTTGATCGAAGGAGGAAGGTTTGTTGGTTCTCCTTTTGCATCTTCGTTCAAGATTGCTCGAATCGTTGATCCTCCTACCATACTATAGCTGGCTAAACGATGATATTCGGCCGCACTTTCTGCCGTTCGAAACGAAACGATGGCCTTTCCAGTGTGGTTCAAATAAGAACTTCTTTGTAGTCTGATATCGACAATATCGCTTGAAACGCTCAACCTATCAAATTCTTCCGGTCTTCTTTTGGACGAACGTTCTACTCCATTGTTATCTATCATAGTCATCGGTCTTTTTGGAGCTCCTTCTTCTTCACCTTTCAGCTTTCCCATCTCTCCTTTGAAACAGATATTACGAATGTCTGCATGTGTTACGGTAGAAGGCAGATATGATAGAGCTACCTCATGAACAATGGAACTGCTTGTAGAATAAGAGCATGACGCTATCGGTGAGCGAACGGACTTGAACAATCCTCTCCGGGCCACGTTGGCCAGCATGATGATGAGCGATGTCGAAATGCAAGAATGAGAAGAAGAAAGGAAGAATTTAAGCGTCGGCGCTTTTTTTCTTGAGAAATATTATTTTTTGTGCGGCGCTTCTACCGTGTTCCGAAATGAAAAATAAGCAATCATTCCAACCACAACCACCAACTTCCTCCATGCTAGACGCATGCGATTTTTGCAATTCTCCATATTCGCCAATCAGGCAAAGGTAGCATCAAGCAGTCGTTTACCTTTACAATGTTCTGTCAGGAACTTTTCAACGTCGCCATATTCCCGAAATGTCAGCCCAGTACCTGAAGGCGGAAAGGAAGACTCTTTGCAGAACGAAGATGTACCCAAATTACTGCGATTACCAAGAGCTGCTCTGGATCCTTCTATATATTTCTCAAAAGTGAGTGGTCCCCGCAACTATCAGGGCAAATCCTTTCGCATAGTTTTACGTCCAATCGATGCAAAAGTTACGAAGAGAATCAATGATGGACCGAAATATTTAAGCGGAAGTTATCCGATGGGTTTATTGAAACAAAAGCACGAAAAGAGAAGATTTTTGGATCCGGGTATAAAACCTTTTTCTGGTTGGAGAGATTTTTTGGGTGAGGCCCAAAACCCATATTTTGAATCTCAAGATAAAGGCTATCACTTCTCCTACAAACAATCTGCATTGATCAAACGACCTCTTTTGGTCAAAAGACAGTTGGTCAACGCATCCATCGCATTCACTCCTTTGCATACCTATATACCTGTCCTGGTCGTAACGGGAAAAAAGACAATCGACAATCGAGCAGTTGTACGTAATAAAGCAAAGACCAAGATTTTGCACGCATTTCAAGAAGGTTTAAAACTACATCAAAATGGATCAAACAAAATTGCATTAAAATGGCCACTTACTGATGAAGGTGGCGATCCGCTTGGATTGGTATTTTACCCATCAAAAGAAACAATTCAAGAACCAATGCAAGATTTAGTAAAATCTTGTTCGAAAGTTTTAGCAGCCATCTCCGTGCAATACAAACAAAATCCAACTTTCTCGAAAGACCCCTCACACCACTCCAACAATATGAAGCTTTTAAATGCGCATAGAAAAAGTCTTGAAAGGTTTATTAAAGGGAACAAGCGAGATCCAGGTACCTCGAGCGGGAAAGGCCACCATTCTGAGGGAAGTACAATCCCAAACTTGGCTGCTAAGTCAGCAAGCGAAGCATAATCTCTCTGATTATCAAATCCACAGCAACATGTATTTCTAATCCTTGCAAAATGAGATCAAAAATGATAAATTGATAATTGACTGATATGAAATCTGATTCTTATTTAACAAACTTTGAGCGATTAGCTCGTTTTTGAGGGGGTATGCTGATCAATTTATAATCGTAAGGAATGCTGCTGCTGCTGTTTCTAATAACGGATTTCATCCACGGAAACTTGTACCTTCCATTCCCAATTCGTTTCCTGTATAGCTGAAACCTTGGAATTGCTCTTGGACGGTTGCGCTCAACATATGACTATCATCCACAACTGAATCAACAGGCTGTTCACTTGTGAATTCAGGATCAAAGTTTGACGTATCAACGGCAGAAGCAACAGCAGGCTTGAAAGGCGGTTGAACCTTTTTGGCCATCAACTTGTTCCAATCGATATGTTTGCTAAAGAATTCATGATTTTTGATATCAGCAGCTCCGTGCGTTCCCAGTCGTTTGCTTGGATCACGATTGAGAAGTAAGATTAAAATACTACGTGCATCCCGTGAAACTTCATCGCCAAACCGTAAAGGATCTTGTAAAATCTTTCTGTACATCTCATTCACATCTTCCGAATAGAATGGTGGCAATCCTGTCAACATTTCGTACAAGAGAACGCCTAACGTCCACCAATCAACTGCTTTTGTATAACCGTGTCCCAGTAATAATTCAGGTGCAAGGTATTCAGGTGTTCCACAGAATGTGTTGGTTGTTTCATCATCTCCCATGTTCAATTTGCATAATCCGAAATCACACAAGGCGATATGGCCGGTATAGTCAAGGAGAATGTTCTCTGGCTTCAAATCTCGGTATACGACGTTGAAACCGTGTAGATGCTCTAGTGCACACAAGAGTTCGGCAGCATAGAATCGACTACGTTCTTCGTTGAATCGTCCCTCCCGTTGAAGATGGTGGAAAAGTTCCCCTCCATTGACGAATGCAAGAACGAGGTAGAGCTTATCAGGTGACTGGAAGGAGAACTTGAGCGGGACAATGAATGGATTGTTCACTTGGGCCAAAACGGTTCTTTCGGCAAGAGTGTGTGTGACTTCTGATCTTGACACAATGTGGGCTTTTCGAATGGTCTTCAAAGCATAGATTCGAGAAGTGTCCTTCTTGCGAACTTGCATCACCTTACCGAAGCTGCCCTTTCCGATCACTTTCAGCAGTTCGAATGCGTCCATATTCAGTGAAGATCCTTTCTCACTGCTTCTATAGGATACCTGAATGTGAACTTGACCTGATCCACTGGAGAGTGGGTACCATTCGTCTGTAGTACGTTGATTCTCAAAATCGGGAACGAATTTTACACCGCCCAAATAGACATCACCCATTCCCATCACATCGTCGCCTTGGCCATCTTTGTTTGCTGCACTTTGTCCAGGGCCTTCTCCGGAACGCAAGTAACATTGCAGTGAAATTTCTGAATTACGAGAAACGTCAAAGTTTGCTTTGTACATCCAAACAGGAGCAGAAACATCACCTCCTAAAGCATCGATCAAAACTTCATTTTTGTCAAATTCTAAAACGAGATAAGGTAGCCACCAACATTGTTTGCGTTGCATACTTTGACGATTTCCAGCGCTACCGTTTCCATGTGTTAGACTGCCGGCCATAGAAGCACCATTTGGACCTGCTTGAGCTAAGGCTCTTGCGATCATTGGTGGAACATTTTGACCAGGGGGCAAAGACAAGCCTCTGGCATCCACCACTCGGATGACCAAGAGACCGGATCTGGCAATCGGTGCTCCGGTTGAAGAGGCTAAAGCAGTATTTCCATTGTATGGATTTGAGCTTGTGCTAGCACTTGGCTGTGGCGGCTGCTGTTGAGCTCCTCCTGCAATGCTGGCAGGAGTAGGAGTGGCGCTACGATCTATTGTGCTGAAAGAGGGCGATCGATTTCCCAAGGCCCCGTCTTTGAGCTCTGAGGGTGAGAGAAGAAAGATGCGTCAGATTCATGGCCACGCAGATGTGTTTGTTGATATTACTCACTTTTTCCTAATTTCCAAGACATGTTGGAATGATGAGTCTATGATTGCGATATCCTCTTTGTGGATATGGTGTTCAAGTTGATAGAGAGGAGAGGAGAGAAGTCAAGATGTAATTTGCAAGCTATGTTTAAATAACGCTTGTTGTGTCCAAAAGTGAAATCCCCCTTTTGTTTGTTTCGGGCAAACGCTTTGACCTTTTGGTTTAGGGTTGTGATGATATTGTTGTAGTGTTAGGAGGAGATGTGTGATTGAAAAAGAAATGAGGTGATTAGAGAGGCCATGGCTCATCCCACATTTTACTTACTGTGAGTGAAGTGCAGTTGTTGGCCAATGCGGGTTAAAACGCCTTGCCTGCCTGCCTCCTTTACTTACCCATTGGCTGGCCCGCCGCCCTCCCCGCCGCATTGAACGGCGCGTACAAGAGAAAAGGCGTTTGGACAGTTTAAGCGGAGGCATACTCTCACTTAAAATTTAACCAAAAGCAGTTGAAGTTAACGCCGCGTAAAAGAAAAGACAAAAAGAGATTCAAGCCACATACACTCAATACGCGGCGCAATTACAACTCAATGCGGACTGACACAAGATAGAGCTCAAAGAGGCGCGGCAGGCTTACTCTTTTGGCCGACATTAACGGAATAGAGAAGCATAGCGGATATTGGGCGCACGCATGGAAAAAGGCAATTCAATTGCGACGCTAAGAAGGCAAACAAAGTGGGCCGATTTAAAGCGTACACATGCAGAAGGTGATCCAAAATCACACAATTGTACTTTCATTTGTAACCGGTCACACTTGATTGGATCAAGTAAATTAAAGCTTTCAATCTAATCATATCATCGTCAAATCAAGCACTTCTCAAAGCAGCGAGAACGGCAATACTACACAAACTCATCTCTATCAGCCCTTATTCACAATCATGTCAGGAGAAGCACGCTGTCCGCTTGGATTCACAGGAACGCCTCCAGTCGGTCATCCGACAATACCTGGTCTAAAAGGTGGCAATGGAGATGCAAGTGGTAAACCTTCGATTACGTCAACTTTGGCAGCTTATAAACCTTCAACTCTTTTAATCGTTGATGCAATCTTTTTGGGTTTATGTATCATTGCTGCCATTTATCGTGATGATCTCAAAGCACTCCTTCAACGTTCTACATCATCTTCAACGCCCGCTGTAGTCGGAACAAAAGGATAAACTCATCAAAGCTTGACCCTCGAGTGATCAGGCAACACTTATATGTACTTTTATCTTCTACAAAAGCAATTACCACATGCAATGCTTTTCCGGTTCACAATCTCTAGCAGATACTTTTAATCAGGTTAAGATCTATTGTTACAGTGTGATTATCTAGAATGTTACTCATTGTGATTTGACAAAGTTGCTTGCTTTGATATTGGCACGATTGGCTTTACGCAAATTTCTCTTTGCCTCCATTTCCGAAACTTCTGGATCTTGAACGATAGCAGCTGCATTTGCGGCCAAAGCTTCTGCACTTCCTTTTGCTTCAGTAGTAATACCTTGAGCTTGTTGTCCTGTTGCGTTCAAACCACCTCCAGCAGGTGAACCTTTTTCCGTAGCAACGTTGGCTTTTTGCGAAGAAATTCTTTCTTTTGCACGATGTGCAGCTCGAATAGCACGTAAATTACGTTTTTCTGCCGCTCTTGCTTCACCTTTCGTCATTCCTTCTGTTGATTCTAAAATTGCTCCTGTTGCACTCTTTTTACCTTCTTCTAGTATTGTCCATAACCAATTCGGGTATTGATCATCAGGAAGTGCGACTGGATCTGCTCGATCTTTAAAGATGTTTAAGCCGCTCAATGTTGTTCCTTCTGGACATGATGAGAGTGATACAGATGTTTCTGATGCGCCTGCTGACTTTCCTTTTGATGTGCTCGCTTGTTGCTGTTGTTGAGGTGAAGAAGGCTTGTTGCTAATCGAAGATGATGATGCGAATGTTCTACTTTGCAATACGGTGACCGCAGGTGGTTGACATGTCGATCTTGCTGACCTGCTTGCAGTCCGTGCTGCATGTGTGGATATTCTGGCAATCATTGTATGTTGTGTACTGGTTAGACTGATGATGATGATGGTTATATTTGTGGAAGAGCATATCCAAGCAATTCTTCCCAACTTACGCTATGCCTGCAGATAAAAATGTCAAAAACGCGTCACGTGCGACGTGCTCATTCTCAATCACTCCTCCTCAACGTTTCTGCATACTGTAATGGCAATGAAGGCTTGTCAAAAGGAATCATAAAAACTCGCATCTGTAGAGGTATTGGTACAAGATTTTGTCGAAGATGAACGCAAAGTCAATGATGATCATAGCAGAAATCACAATCTCATAGATCGAAATCATCATCGTCGTCGTCCAAGGTCTTCTTACGTGTGTACTATCAGAGACGAGAGTGGAGAATGTCAGCACTGAAGCCTGTGTATCAGAAAAATGTCACTCCATCGCACTCACAGTGATCTTCCCAGCTCCTCCCGAGGATGCACCACTACCACCTTGTCCTTGTCCTTCGACTTGATCTAACAATCCGATTAATTGTTGTTCGGTTACTTTCTGACGTACTTGACCTGATTGGGCCATTCTGATCAAAAGGTCTTGAATAGCTCTTGCTTTGCTTGGCTTGACCAAAGATATCCGGGATACTGTGTGTCATGAAATCATCGAGAGATTTGGGTCAATTTCTCCATTGACAACCATCAGCACAAGCATTCATACTCACATCTTTCCCTTGCTTCAGGATCCAAGATTGTACTTAAAGCCTGTCTCTTCATTTCATCTTGTGCTTCTGCATCTTCTTGTTCTTTTCCAGATCCACCTCTGCCTGCATTACCACCGGGAATACCACCACCTGCACTGGCGCCACCATATCCACCTGAAGGACTACCTGCACCACCGCGAGATTGCAATTCTGCCATACGTGCCCTTCTGATTGCTTCTAATTCTGGATCATCCATGTTTGTTGTTGTTGTGTGTGAAAAGTGTTGAAGGTGATCGTTTGATCGAAAGCAGGAAAGTGTCAATTGAGAATGTTTAGCGTATTTTATCAAGTTTAACAATCACTCACCCCCCATTCACGCGTTAAGAAAATATCAATTCATATGATCATCATAAAAATGTACAAAGATCAATCATGGATCAAAAGAGTAAGTCAATTTGGGTTGATTTATGCAATTTTGCTTTTGTCGCCATCTCAAATCGTATGAAAGAGTACAGCTGTGATTGTACAGTCATACAAAGAGAGACACTACGATGAAATGCAAACAGTGTTCATGGTTACAATCCCTCATATTTTGTACCATGACCTCGTTCTCTATAACCCGATTCGAACCTTGGAATCTTATGATGCGAAAGAGCTGGATGAGAAAAAGCTGAACTTATAGCATCTTTGGTTTTTGTATACACTTTATTTAATCTTGCTTTGTTTGCATTTGAGATTGGAATACGAGGCAAGCAACCTTTGCACCTTGATGGGCTACTATTGCCACCGCTGCTGCTAGCTTCAAAACTTGTTGATGTACCTGCTCGATCGGGTGAACGTACACTTGGAGGTGCGACAACGAATACTGGACGTGAAGTAAGACTGCTTGCGCTGTGTTCTGCCCTTTTCCAAGTTGTGAGTGCGAGAACTTCATCTACCTTGTATGGTGTGCCCATTTCTACATTTGATGATAACTCATTTTCGAGTGAAATACGTAAAGGTGTGGCTAATGTGAGTGCAAGCAACTGGCAAAAGATGATACTCAGAAGGAAAAGCATTCTTTATTCTTAAATGTTGTTCTGACGTATTATATAAAGATGTTAACGGAAAGGCGAAAAAGTATGAATACCGGAGTATTTATGATACATAACGAATGAGTTTGCGTTCGTCTCTAGTCCTGAACTTTGCAAGCCCCAGAATAAGTATTATCAGATAATCAGGATTGATCTCTTAAGTGTGATGAAAATCGTAGGCAGAATCATGGCTGTGCGATACGATAGCTGCGAGTGCCCCTCCCGAATCTCTCATGGTAGTAGGCAGTCAACAGATTTGGAACACGGTCTTCTGACCTGGACAAAAAAGCATGAGGGCGGGCGCACGCTAATGCTTGTCAGTCAGTCAGACTCACGTGTATTTTTTCCAAGGTTGCCTAAGAAGATTAATTACGTTTTCAATGATTGCTCAACATTCATTCCTACTTCAACCATCGTCACCTACGAATCACACAAACACAAGATGGGCGTCCACGGTTTGTTAAACATAATACAAAACGGCGCTCGTGCAAGACTACGCAGCGTTCCATTACCCTATACGAATGCATCGATCGGAATAGCGACAATTTTACTAAACCATGGATTCATTCATTCATTCACAAGAGGTACACGAGGTGGACCTTCCCCTTCCAACTTCCTACAAGCAAACATTGGTGCAAAACGATTATGGATTGATCTGAAATATGGCAATGATGATCGCGCGGTGTTGGCACATGCAAAGACAATCAGTAAACCAAGTAGAAAGATCAATTTGAATTGTGCGGAACTTTTACGTTTGGTTACCGGAAGAAGAGCGCAATTCATCAGCCCTCTAGGACTTGGAGAAATTGCTATCGTACGATGTGAAGTAAAAGAAGGCAAGGAAGCTGAAAATTTGAGTCCAATAATACAAGAAGTAGCAGAGTCCACCGCTACATCATCACAATCATCCGGAGAAGGATCTTCACAGGCAGCAAAATCAAAGAAGCCAAAATGGAGAAATGTGGAAAAGTACGTAGAAGCACGTGAAGCTGTCGGACGAGGATGGGGAGGGGAAGTTGTAGCAAGGGTTGGTTAATAAGGTCACCTCTTTTGACAACCGGACACAAACAAAAAGTATCCAACAGCATGTATTTGTACAATTAATCATTGACATATCTTATAAAAGATCATACAGTGTGTGCTCAACAGACAAAGGATAGATTCCTTAAATTGATCATACTATGCACCACGAAGAGCATTGAATAGCTCTTCTACCTCCCAAGCGTGTTGCCAGTATCGAATGTCGCATTGCACACCTCCCTCAGCTTTGATCCTTCTTTCCAGACCATATCCTTTTCGTACAAGGGCAACATCATTCTTTCCCAATCTCAAGACTGGGCAAAAGTCATTCGATCCATCTCCCAAGTAAATCAAACGATCGTATGCCTGTCTTCCATCATGTCTTTCCAGGTATGCTTCCAATTCGTCTCCTTTACACATGTTTGCACTACATCCAACTTTGCACGTATGTTGAGGTCCATCAGGTGAAACTCGTCTGCTTAGGTTTAACAAACCGTTTGCTTCCACTTTGGCTGGATTGGTGACAATTTCAGTGAATAAGTCGAAAGTGGGTGGGTATAATCCGTTTGCCTGAAGGGATGGGAATCGTGTCGGACGACAGATGAAGTCAGTATGTGAACAACAAAAAAGATCTGCATTTTAACTTCGAGAATTGTAACCATCACTCACCTCCAAGACTGTTTGTAGATAAACAGAGTTGCTGTTGGACAACAAGAACGCTTCCGTTTTAGGTGATTGAGAACTTTTCAAAGCTTTCACACCACGAATCATAGCAGGATGCAAGTAAAGCTTCTTTTGAGCATCGATGATTTGTTGTGCATCAACACCTTGAGCGTGTAATTCTTTCAAGAGCATCGAACACATATCTGTGAATTGCATCGTACCTGATTCACCAATATCTTGAAATTTACGTCGAAGTGGAAGTGAAAGACATTCAAACGTCCATCTGTCTGTGTCTGCATCAGCGAATGATTCATCAAAATCGCTAATGAGTAATTGCCTTTTGACAGGCGTGAATGGAGCGGGAGCTGGCATGTTTGGATGGTGGTTGTATGGTTGAGAGGAGAGCGGTAGCCAGACGTTGTCCACGTTCTACTTGTGTGTGTGTCCCTTCTCTGTAAGCTTATTTTTCAGTTCGGATCTTCTCATTCCAACTCCGTTTTAGGCTCAACGTGCGCCCGAATTCCACGCGACAGTAAAGCTTAAATCAAACTCGATTCTATAATTTTAACTCATTCATCCATACAGAATATATTGTTTCTCTTCCGTTGAACCAAGTATGAGCATATGCGGAAGCAAAACGACCACACACACGCTTGAGAAGGATAACTGATTATGTAATGAGTACATACAAGCTTCGTATAAGAGAGTCTGGGGTAAGGCTTTTAAATATCCGTGCGCGTTTAATACAACACCACTACCATCATCCAAAGAGCAACCTTCGCTTTCCGGCTTGCTTGTTAGTGGGCATTTATGATGACTTTATGCTCTGAGTGAATTGCTTATTGCGTGTGGCTTATGACATTTTCATCCCACAATGTCTGCTGGAATGTATGGCTCAACACGACGAAATCCTTCTCAGCATGCATCATCAGATAGGCATATGCGAAATTCAAATAACTTCACATCATCTAGGGACATACCAATAGATGACGATCAAACGGAAAGGTCACCTAAACGAGCGAAGCAAACAACTAACAAACTTGCTTGCGCTCGTTGTCGAGCCTTAAAAGCAAGATGTGAATTGCAAATTCCAACAAATGGGAAATGTACTCGTTGTACTCGTCTATCATTCGAATGTGTTTGGGTGGAAAGTCAAAAGCGTGGACGTCGATCAAAGAATGCGAGGTGAGTAACTAGTCTCATTAAAATAAGAATTACGAAAAGCAACTAAACAGTATCTTATCCGTCTTATCTCAAGTCTTCAATCTGACAATAATGTTTCGAATAATACCAACGACTCGGCTGTAGACAAAAACGGAAAAAATGGTGCAGAAAATCCACGGAAAAGTAATGTATCTCTGGAGGGTATCGAAAGATCTACTTCTGTTTCTCCAGCAGGGGCGAGTGTAGGGAATGTGCCCGACATCGCTTTAAGAACATCACCGCTGCCGTCCTCTCAGATGATTAACATGTCTGCACCTCAACAATATATCTCGCACAGAGGTCCGATGAATGGCGAATCTCCAGCTGATCCAAGTTCTCACAGTACATCTCAACGCTCTTATACTTTCCAAGAATCATTGCGCGAGGGAGTCAGCCCCCAATCGGCTTTACCAAGTCTTTCGATGATGGATCTTGCACAAGCAAAAGAAAAAGCATTACAAGATCTTAATGCAGCTCCTAGATTCAATTTACCAGAGCCAAGACAACTAAACGTTGACATTTTTCCTGAAGCAGATCCGATTGATATGCACGTACTCAGTGAATTAGACGCTCGTCAATTGTTTGATCATTATCATCAAAAGATGAATGGATTCATCATCCTTCTCGACCCTTTTCTTCATACAGTTGATTACGTTAGGAGAACGTCTCCTACTTTATTTTCCACAATTCTTGCTGTTTCTGCAAAATTTATCCGACCAAAGTTGTACGATTCATTATTGATGCATGCAAAACAACTCGTCGGCAGAGGAATAATTGATGGAAAAGTTTCGATTGGACTAGTACAAAGTTTACTCATTCAAGTTTATTGGAAAAAGCCAGATGATGCGAGTGCTTGGTTACGTGTAGGTGAAGCGATTCGAATGGGATATCAATTACACTTACATCGTCATCGAACGGAGCCATTGCCAAATGACGAATATGAAGCCCGTTTGATTTTAGATAGGGAACGTACCTGGATCGATTTATGCGCATTTGATCAAACTTTCTTTCTTCAAAGTGCGGAGGAAGAGGATGGTTTTCATCAAACGTGTATGGTGCCTTTCTTTAAGATCAACGTAAAAGATTGGCTAAAAGAGACAAAACAATATGGCGTAGAAGATGATTTAGAGCAAGGAGCAAATTTCGAATGGATAAAGATGCAAAGATTAAGCCGAGATATTCCTCGTGCAAAACCGGGAAACGCTCGCGCCCTCGGTCAGCATATTCAAGGTACTCTCGAAGCAGCACATCAACAATACCTTGATCCAAGCTCTCCTGATGCGTTCGAAATTGAAACTCGGCCATGGATTCGGGTAAAGTATTGGCTGGCTGCTGCTTCTTTAGCTCTTTCTAGAGGTTTGTTGATGGCAATTGGAATTGAAGGCAATTTATTGGCCGATTGGGTTGTTGCATCTACAGTTTTTGTTGATGCATTGGAAGTTGTGGCTAAACATGGATATATTCAATATTGGCAAGACACACTTGGAATCACTTTATACTCTATGGGCGAATTTAGTGTGAAAATATTCAATGATGTTCATCCTGCAACGCAAAAAGCTATTGTCGGTTGGCTTGAAAGAATTTATCAAGCTTGCGAACTTTGTGCTGATGGTCAAACGGATTCTACTGCTGCTTTCATTTCACGTTTCTTTCAACTTTGCTTGCGGGCCGTTTGCTCTCCTGCACCGAATGTTCCCGAGACGACTTCTGTTAATACTCAAAGCGCAGATCTCTTACAAAATGCACCGTTGAATCAAGTGAGTAAGATTTGTAGAGGCGGAAAAAGTCTGTTATACTTACGTCTTCTTTCTTTTGCTGTTACATATAGTCTCTTCCCTGGCTTCATGGGTCACAAACTCCATCGAACCTTTTTCATGATGCTTCTTACTGGTGAGTTTCTTTCTTATTCCGCTTTATTTGAATTCTATGGTTAACCAAATTTCTTTCTTGCAATTCTCAGGGAAGGTATCTTTCCAGGTGTCGCGACAGATTGGGGCTGGCTCTTGCAGTCCCTCGAAAATCAAATCACGAATTAGCATCATTCATTGTTGTATATTATACTTTATATCAATTCTGCGGCCGCATGTAATAATCAGCGTAAGTGTGTCCTCCTTTTTTTTGACTGGCTTGATTGGTTGCACTTGGGTTCCCCCACTCCATCTTAATTCTCCGTATCACTTTATAGGATACGGTGAATAAATAAATTAGCCGGCTCGAGTACTTAGCGTCGGCGCTTTTTGAGTTTATGTGTTAACAGTTCAGGGCACAATTCATATAAATAGATAATCAATCACTTTCAAGATCAGAGATTCCTAGATCAAAAATCATTTCAATTCTTATCGAAAGTATGTTTACCCTTCCACAAGCTGTGCCTTTTGGCATTTGTACACGTTCACTTGGTCGTTCAGGCGGTGGACATTATATTCTCGACATTTTAGACCAATGTGCTAAGAACGGACTTTGGACGATTGAGGTTGCACACGAATGTTTAGAGGTGAGTAAAAGTTCATTAAAGGCTATAAGATACACATCAGGCTAATCCACGAATATTTGTATCTATCCAGGGCTATGCAAAAACCTTGGAAGGTTACAATGATCCTAAAGAGGCAATCCGTGAGGTTGCTCGATTATGTAATGAACGTGCTCATTCATTAGGTCTCGTTTTAACAGTCCTAGATGCTTTCGAAAATTACGAAGGTCTGATTGATCGCTCAAAGCATGTCGAACAGTTTGAGGATTTTCAATTTTGGATAGAGCTCTGTGGAATCATGGGCATCGAATATATCCAAATTCCAGCATCATTCCAACCTACAGATCTGCTTTCCAAGGACGAGGACTTGATCATCGAAGATTTACGTAAAGTTGCTGATGCTGGGCTTTCGGTTATACCGCCCGTAAAAGTGAGTGCATATCTATCAGTGCTTTTTTAGTAGAATTTGTACTGACAAGTTTACTCTTTTTCTATTCTCTAGATTGCATACGAGCCATTAGGATGGAGTACCTATATTAAAACCTGGGAGCAAGGACTCGAGATTGTCAAGAAAGTGAATAGATCAAATTTTGGACTTTGTCTCGATACGTTTCACATTGCTTCACTCTTATCGCACAGTCCAGAAACCAAAGATGGTCTTCGTGAAGGAGGAGATATTGTTCTAAAGGAGTCGCTTGAGGTGAGTATGACTTATAAAAAGACGTCCAAAGAAATGTTCGCTATCGTACTTACACCAGAATATTTTTTTCTCTATTAGCGTCTCCGAAAGATAGATCCGAATGATATTTTTATCTATCAAGTATCTGATGGTGCACATTTACTTCCGCCCATCCCACAATCAGTCTATAGCGAAGATGGAATCGATCCACTCTTTGCCTGGAGTAAGCATGGCCGACCATTTCCGGGCGAAGGTTATTTCCCCGTCAAAGAGATTTCACAAGCAATTTTTGCAACAGGTTTTCGTGGACCAACAATTCTTGAAACGTTTGAAGATGACGGGTTTGATACTAGAAAAAATCTTTTAGCAGAACGTGCAAATCGTGCTGTAGGTTCATGGATTCAACTTGGTAAAAGTCTTGGTCTTGCACCTTTTCATCCTCCCACTCCAAAAGGTCAAAATAAACTTGGAACGTGTACCGTGAACATAGGAGATTATGAGTTATTTTCTCTGGAAGATAAACTTTATGCTTGCGCTTCAGTTGGCCATCAAGCAATTGACCTATACGAAGATGATTTTTTGCACTATTTATCACTTACTCAAGGAGCAAACAAACAAAACCTTTGGGAACCAAACCCTATTCATCTGGCAGCAGCAAAAAAGATTGGTGATTTGTGTGCTTCTCTTGGGATGCAAATTATTTGTTTCCAGCCATTGATTGACGTCGAAGGTTTGACAAAAGAAGAAGATCGAAAAGCAGCCGCGGAAAAGGTGAAAGCATACTTTCCATATATGCGTGCCCTTCGCACAAATATTACATACATCACCACTAATCGATCTTACAACTTCGAAGATAATACAGGAGATATAAGGTCAATCTCTGCCGATCTGGCTTTATTTGCCGATCTAGCTGCTGATTACTCACGAGCAGATAAAGGTCCTTTGCTTAAAATCGGCTATGAGCCCCTTTCTTGGGGATCCCATATCAACACATTCGACAAAGCATGGGAAGCAGTCCAGCTAGCGGATCGTGAAAATCTTGGAATTGTTCTTGATACATTTAATCTTCTTGCAGTCGAATATGCTGATCCGTACAATCCACAAGGTCACGGTCGATTATACGATACGCTGCAACAATCGTCAGACGCAATTCATACTCGACTGTCTCAATTGGTTCAAATGATTCCAGGTGACAAAATTTTCGTAGTCCAAGTTGCTGATGCGTGCTTGGTTAATCCGAAAGCTCTTAAGCCGCCAACACCAGCTGACAAAAAATGGACATCTGAACATGAACCTAAATATCGTCAATGGTCAACTTCATATCGACTCTTTCCAAACGAACAATCTCTTGGTGGATATTTACCTGTTGCAGAATGTCTTGCTGCAATCCTGGCAACAGGCTATGAAGGTCCTTTAACGCTGGAGATCTTCAATGATTCGATTCATGTGAACGAGCCAGACGTTGTTGCTCGTCATGCTAAAAGATCGTTCATCGGAATTGAATCTTGCGTTGTAGAAGCGCAGAGTAGGAAAGCAGACTATGTTACTTTCAAAAGCCTGTAAACAAAACTTATGAATGAAATGAAATTGTATTTAGTCGGTAAAGCTTTACGTACAGCAGCTTAAGAATGATCAGAAAGGTACTTTGGTACATTTATAGAAGCTGGGTACATGAAGGAAGTTATGAATGAGAAAGAATATGATTCCTGTTTTCTTACGCTACAATGTAACCAGCATCCATGGCGAAATCTGTGCCGTTGCAATAATCCGATGCGTCTGAACAAAGGAATAAAACTGCCGATCCGACCTCTTCAACTCTACCAAAGCGTGGCCAAGGAGTTTGGGCCCTATAATTGATACACTTTGTAGGATCGGAGCTATAGGGAAAGAAGGGAGAGACGTATAAGCTGTCAGTTTCTCTTTTGAATGCATCCCAGTACATTATAACACTTACAGTTCCTTTGCATTCAAAGCTGTTGCAATAATACCGGGAGATACTGTAATACACTTGATTCCATCTCGGCCATAATCAACTGCGAGTGACCTATTAAGAGCAACGAGAGCTCCTTTTGTGGTGCAATAAGGAGCTTTATCTGGTGCTCCATGATGGGCTGCATTTGATGAAATTGTAATGATCGTTCCTCTGGTACTTCCTTCACGTGCTTTTTGAGCAAGCATTGTTGGCATAACAGCTTTTACACCCAAAAAGACTGCAGTAAGGTTGATATTCATAATCAAGTTCCATTGTGCCAGACTGCATTCGTGAAGAGGTCCAACTTTGCCTAAAATACCTGCGTTATTTACCAAGCTAAATAGAAGATAAGAATCAATAAAAAAGAATTCGTCGGTCTTCATTCAAAGAAAAACTCACATATCAATTCGCCCATTGATAGCCAGGGCAGCAGCAACGGCAGATTCCCAAGTATCTTCCTTTGAAACATCACCTTGAACAAACGCAGACTGTACGTTGTATGCTTCCCGAACTAGATCTAATGTAGGGGCTTCGTGCTTAACCGTACCCTATGAAAATTAATGAGTGTAACGGTTAGTAAACTTAAACTAGGTATACACCTTTGTAAACTTACATTTACCGGTCCAGGGAGCAAATCAACACCAACGACTGAGGTGAAAAGAAGAGATTCTGTTAGTGCGATACTCTAAAGCAAAGCTGTCAGCATGCTTACTCACTGTTTACGCCGGCTTCTGCCAAAGAGATTGCAATCGCTCTACCGTTACCTGTTGACGAACCCGTGACGATTGCAGTTCTTCCGCTCAAATTATAAGGTGCCGGCATTATGTTGATTATCTAAATCGAGTATGATTAAGATGGTGAAGGGAGTAAATCCATATATGATAAGATCCAAAGCTTATTATAAATACTTCTGTTAACATCCCCTCCCCCACGTAGAAGTAGAAAATTAAAATCCGGGGTTAAATTCTCCGTACCAAAAAAAGCCTGCTTAGCGGATTTATTAAATTTCCGTATACACTTTCTCCGACTCCGGCTTTAGACGGATGTTCGAGAAGATATAGACCAATAATTACTATAAAAGGAAGACATCAACCTATCTTTGTAAGGTCGCTCTCTATCACCAAAGAACAAGCTCTTTACAACGAAAATAAACAACAATGACGTTCACCGTACTTATCACCGTTTGGCGTAAACCAGGAATGACAATGAAGGAATTTTATGACCATTACGAGAATGTACACATGCCTTTGATTCGCGATTTAGCAGGCGACAAGATCCCAATCAGTCATAACAGACTATACGTGGAACGTACTGGGCCTGAACTGAAAGAACGTATGGTTCAACCATCAGAATGTGGCGATGGCATTGATTATGATGCCGTTGCTGAATTGAATTTTAGAGATGAAGCGCATAATTTGGCATATTGGAAAGTACTCTATCGTCCAGAAGCCGAAGGTCGTCTTACTGAAGATGAGTATAAGTTCATGGATCGCTCAAAACTTCGCATTGTATCAATGTACAAAAAGGAACTAATGATTCGAAAGTGAGTAATTTGACAGTTACTTTTAGATTGGATAAAGACTAAAACTTAACAACACTATTTCTTTTCTCATTCTACAGTGATTTCTATCCTGGAACGGATAGCGAACAGAAATATCCCTTCCTTCCACACGGAAAATTTGCATAAGGTCTTACCACTTATACTGATATGTATCAAAAATGTCATGATTTTACCAACTTATATTCTTTGTGTTGAGATGTTAGAGACTTTCATGAAGTGTTTGTTGATCTAGCTCGATTTACTTCATCGTCTTGAATTATTCCGGTTCCGATCTCGATATATTTATTTCCGTTAAAGCTGTATTGTCTCGCTAAATCCATGCTGATCTCTAAAATTGTCGCTGCTTCCAAATTTGCCCGTGTAAATATCCGGTTGAAGCTAGTGTGGCTTGCAGTTTGAATTATGCCGAGTGGAAAATAATTTTACCCCGGGCCCGTTGTTAAAATTAATTATCCGTTGGTCCGGATTCTGTTCCTGGTCTAACGGGGCCCCGCAATTCAAAACAGTGTTTATCGAGTAACTGTTCTCGCGCGACGCCTATTTACCTTTCGTCATCTTTAAAGTGATAAAGTCTGACAATCCTTTTAGGTGTTTATCCATTTCTATATAAGATCTGTTGTAAACTCAGGATGTAGTATTCCTACATCATCTCTATTTCATATAAACCGAAACGAGAACAACTCCCCCTACTACAAATAAACAATGTCGCTTGATAGCATCACAAAAGACATGAAAGACTCAATCAATGTACAAACTACGGACCGTGTCGAATCTTTAAACGGTGATCACACTCATGTTGCCGGTATTCGTGACGATCTGATTATTGCCGATGGAGAAAAAGATGTGAGTAGCATTCAAAGTTATTATTGTTGTTCATTCTTTTATTGACCTCTAAACTGTTTTCTATCTATAGATCAATAAATTCGTCTGGTATTTATCATCTATTGCAGGAGTTTCTGGTTTCCTTTGTAAGTATTACAGCCTTGATGACTATCGATCAAGTTTACTTAACTTATTCTTATCACCATGTTAGATGGTTGGGACACAGCTGTTGTCGGCGGTGCGTTGGCAAATATCGGAGATGCTCTTGGCCATAATCTGAACTCAGTCGAAACAGAATGGGCAGTTGCTTCACTTTCCGCAGGTGGCATTCTTGGGACGTTAATCGGAGGTTCGCTATCCGATAAGATCGGTCGGAAAGCTGTTCTTATTATTGGTGATGTCTTTTTCATTTTAGGTGGAATTTTGATTTGCGCTTCATTTTCACTTTCTCAATTTATCGTTGGAAGAATTTTAATGGGTGGTGGAGCGGGTATCGCAACGGTCGTATGTGCAGTCTATCTCGGAGAAGTAGCACCAAGTATGCATAGGGGTAGGATCGTTGCTGTTCAGAGTGTAATGATTACTGGCGGTCAACTTTGTGCTTATGCAGTCAGTGCTGGGTTGGAAAACATCTTTAACGGATGGCGAATTTTGTTTGCTTTAAGTCTTCCATTTGCTATGGTTCAAGGTATTGGAATGCATTGGTTACCCGAGACACCTAGATTCGCCGTTCTAGCCGGCAACATTGCAAATGCGCAAAAAACTCTACGGGCAATTTATCCAAGAGCAACAGAAGATCAACTGAACAAAAAGTTACATGCCATTCAAGCAGCAACAGAAGTATCCGTGTCTCTTAAAGCAACCCATCCAACCTTTATGGGACGCCTACTTGCCATTTGCACAACACCTACATACCTACGTTGCATAACGTGTGCAGCCGTGGTCTTTTTAGGACAACAATTATCTGGATGGAATTCGTTTTTGTACTATTCCAGTACCCTTTTTGGCGCTGCTGGTTTTACGAACACTTCGGCTGTCGGTATTTTGGTTGCAGGTATAAATTGTATTTTTACAATCATTTCAATGTTTTCTATGGATCGTGTCGGTCGTCGAAGGATGTTTCTCATTGGTGTACCTATTATGACCGTCGCTCTCGCTATTGCTGCAGTTGCATTCCACTATATGACTATCAGCACAAACGGTCAATTATTAGACGGTCAAGACTATCCACAAAAATGGGTTGGACTGATGCTTGGCATGATGTGCTTTTTCATTGTGGGTTATGCTCCCTCTTTGGGAACGATTGCTTATACTACAATAGAGCTTATTCCACTCGAAGTTCGTGGTATCGGATCAGCAATTGCAGTTGCATTTCAATGGGCAGGAAATCTTATCATCAGCTCTACGTTCCTTACCATGCTCAAATCAATGGGTGCTGCCGGAACATACGGTCTATTTTCTGGTCTTTGTTTCCTTACTTTTATCTTTATCTTCTTTTGCTATCCTGGTATGTTGATGAAGTGGTCTTTACATATTCACCGACACTAACTCTTCTTCCATAATCTTCCATCTTTTAGAATCCGCTGGACTAACATTAGAAGAGACTGGCACGCTCTTTATCGATGGGTTCGAAGTCAAGAAAGCCGATCAAATTCGAAAAGCCAAGCGAAGCAAGAACGATTTGGAGTCAGCCGAATCTAGTAATATGAATAATATGACGGAGCTTTGATCATGCAAATGTTTTCTATGTAACTCCCAGATGAACTATTTATGTATACTAACCTTACTTGACTTGGAATATCATGATGAACTTTCTCTGTATACTTGACCCAACTTAACTTGGAATATTATTGTTACCTTACTTTGGACGAGCCCATAGTCTATAATTTATCATAAAGAATACTAGGAAAGTCACACAACTCATCACTATCAACGTCGATTTGATCATTTTAAAGAATCTTTCTTTAATTACACGACGATAGGAAAACTTGCCATTCAGGCTTATTGAAGACTGGCATAATAGTTAGCCAGAGACTTTTGTTTTTGTTCTTCCGCTTGCGCTGTCGTCAAGAGCACGTAGTCTTTCTTTAAATGCCAAAAGGGACCATTTTTGAATCCAAGAGCTTTTGCCTTGCTTTCGTCTTTGACCAGAACAGGATCTACGATTAAAGATGTTTTTACACCAAATACAGCATCCCTGTAAAAGCATTCGTCAGCAAGAATTTAGTATACACGATTCCGAAAACTAAGAAAAACACTCACGATTTAAGGTATGGATCTCCTTTGAAATATAACGCAGTAATCAAAGTTTCATATCCTTCGCGATAAAACATCCTGAATGATTGTATATGCATAAAGTCAGTCAGTCGGTACATAGCCCGTACTCTCAAACGTGGGACTTACATATGCAAGTGTGCTGGACGAAAAACGTGACGATTCAACGATTTGAGCAAAGCACCAACCGGTCCATCGTTTGGAATCGGATAAGGAGTGGGTAGAATCGCACGGTACTGAGAAGCCAGAAAATGTCAGCCGTGTTAGCATTTAGAGATCCTTACTCTGTTAACTCACGGAGTAGTATCCCTGTTCGTCTGAAATAAGCCTACCACGGCAATCCGCTTCAGTCCTTTCCTCGTATTGCGTGTCGTATCTTTAGGCCAGGGTGTTATCAATAAGCTATTCTTCTGGAACCAAAACATTCAAATGTACTCACTTGCCTTCGTCATCTGTTTCCCAAGTCTCAATCTTACAGTGAGGAACTGGATTACCGTTGATGTCTACTATCCGACCTTCACACCACATATACTCTCCTTTACCTTCTGAGGCGATCGAATCTCCAGCTTTGAGCTAGATAGATAGAAAGGAAGTTCAGCAAAATGAAAATGTAGATAGAAGATAGTGCCTGCTTACCTCTTTAGCATCCTCTGTGAAGAAAGGGCCTAAAACTGTACCTTCCGTTGCTGAAGCAGTGACGGGGTGATTCATCGAATCAACTAAGGCTGAAAGGCCAAGAACATCCGAAAGAAGGATAAACTCTTGACGAATATCGGAGCAAATCTTTCCCGTTGAAGTCAAGAACTGAATTGCAGTCCTTTTAGAGCGTATAGAGTAAGCAAGATATTGAGCAAATATATCCAAATAAGTTACTCACATCCATTCTTCCGTCGTCAAGCCTACTTCTCGTGCAAAATCGTGCAAGTGTGTGACAAGCTGTTCGAATAGGAACTTTTGTCTATAAAGGGGAAAATTGTTAGCTCTAGTCTTGCCTAAACACTTCGAACATATTACCGACCTTTTATCCTTGCAAAGTGAGTTGATTGCGTGTACATTTTCGGTAATTGAAGCAGGACTCATGTCCATTAAGTTCGGAAGGAGATCCTATCAAGGGATTAAAAACATTAGTGTCAGATGAATTGTATCATTGATATCTGAAAGCATACTAACAAGGTCCACATTTGGTGCTCCGGATTTTATTGCGTCTAGAACGGCTTTACCGACCTACGCAGGGAAGAGCATGTCAATAATTCGTTCTAGGATCACCTAAGTCTAAACCGCCTACCTTTTTTGATGATCTTTCCTCGTTCATTGTTGGGTTGCTACGTTATATTTTCTTGGAAATGCTTGATGTATCTAACTCTTGAAAGAAAGCGATGGCTATGAAATAACTTCTTGATAACAATTAGAAGTTCTCAGATAAAGTTTTACCCCGCTTTGATAGTATTTTCTCCGATCTGCTTATACGGCTAATTAAAAAGATCGGGCTTTTAATATTACGCGGTACAGCGCGCGCTAAAAACAAAACGGCGTATTGATAAAAAAAGGAGCCGAAGACTAGCGTTATACGGGGTATTATTCTATAATCAAAATGAGGACCCGGAGAATTTCCTCTTAACGTGGGGGATAAGTCGGATCGGAGATGGATCGGAAGATAAATTCTATACATGATATATAACTCGGATTTCTGTTGGATTTATACTAAGGTTCCTTTTTGAACCCTTTCCTATCATAATTTATCAACCGTCATGCAACCATTCGTCTACAATGCTCTCCCAGCCCGTGTGATATTCGGTTGGGATACTTCAGAACAGGTCGCAGATGAGGTTTTACGGCTTGGTTGTGTGAGTCAGATTGATTTTGCACTGTTTAATGGAATTATTTTAACACTGAATTCACCTTAAATAGAAACGAGCAATTGTTCTAACAACCGCACAACAAGTTTCTTCTGGTCAGAAAGTCTTGAAAGATTTGGTATGTGATCAGAAAGATAGAGTCGCGAGACTAATGAATATATTGACTAACTACTTAAATGCAGGGGGATCTTGGTGTGGGTATTTATAGTAACGCAACAATGCATACTCCAATTCATATCACCTTGGACGCTTTAAAGGTGGCACAAGAACTACAGGCAGATGTTTGCGTACGTATTCTTGTTTATTGCTCTCCTTCATAACGTATCTGACTAATTGATCATTTTTAGGTAGCCGTTGGAGGAGGATCAACAATCGGACTTGGAAAAGCGCTCGCTTTGCATTCATCAAATGAGAAAAAGTTAAAACAGATTGCTATTCCAACAACGTGTGAGCTACCCTATTTTCTACTTACTGTGTCCTTGCCGAGAAAAACTGACATACATTTCTTATAGATGCAGGATCGGAAGCAACTCCTATCATAGGCCAAACAGAAATCGACAAAGAAGCAAAGTCGCTTAAAACGACTCAAAGGACATTAAACGTAGGTCAAAGCTCTGCTGTTCCTACTACTGCTTCTCTTTCAAGCCATACTCACGTCCTATACTGTTCTCCTACAGGTTTTGCCGGATGTCATAATTTACGACATTAATTTGACTCTTACCCTTCCTACTCAAATGACGGTGAGTTCAAGTTCATTTTTTATTTCAGAATATCTAACTGACCTGCTATACTCTTACAGACCACGTCAGGCTTGAATGCAATCGCACATGCTGTTGAAGCTTTATGGGCTCCTGAAGCAAATCCGATCATTTCAAATCTTGCGCTTCAAGGTATCAAAGCGATCAGTCAAAGCTTTCCATTGATTCGCAAAGATCCGAAAGATCCAAAAGGTAGAAGTAACGCACTGTTTGGTGCTTGGAGTTGTGGTACTTGTTTAGGTGCTGTAGGAATGAGCTTACATCATAAATTGGTGAGTAGGTAGCGTAAATTTCCTTTAAAACTATTTTAGCTAAACAGTTCTTCTCTCTTTCAGTGTCATACCCTCGGTGGCACATTTGGTATGCCACATGCCGAAACTCATGCGATTATCTTACCCCACGCAGTTGCATATAATGCTCCTTTTGCAACGGATGAGGTTGAAGAGATCAGAATTGCTCTAAATCTGCAACAAGGAATTTCAGCAGCCCAAGGTCTATTTGATGTTTTGGAAAACAACAATATACCTTGTAGTCTCAAAGAGTTGGGTTTCAAGCAAGAAGATTTACGAAGAGCAGCCGAAATTGCCGTAAGGTCGCCTTAGTGAGTAATCGTATTAATTGGAATGTGGAACATCGTATACTGAATCTACTATCTTTCCACTAGCCCTAATCCTGCTCCTTTGGAAGAGGAAAAGATATTCCACCTTCTTTCCAATGCCTACCATGGTATTCGGCCTGCTATTTAATTTACTCTTCTCCAGACTATAGAACCATTCTCACTCCAGGATATCACCCATATTTCACTCCTCACGCACATGAAAAACACTCGTATGATCTTCAACGATCAATTAATAAATTTGACAGAGTATGTAACAATTACAAACACTTAAGCTTCACGAGAGAGCATTTGACGCTTAGATGGTTTTTGGTTGCTCAAACGTTGAAGGGTTTGTTGGAATTGTGGTTTAGCTTTTGTGAAAGCGGAGGTGGGAGCATCATAATCCACTGAATAGACACTGACGGTAGCAGCACAATTGTCCTTGTTGATTGCATCTTGTTCACCGGTCAAATTGCAATCTCCATTGTAGCATTGATTCAAACCGGGAGAAACGATGTTTTGATAAGTTGGTAAACCGTTTGAACCAATAACAATCTTGTCAACGTATGCACCTCCAGTCAAACGAGTCAATTGCCAATTTGGATGGGGGCATGTTTTGGGATCAGTAACATTCTTGCCATAGTTCACATTACCTCCGATACCGTATGGGATGATCGGATCAGCATTTTGGTCTAAAGCGTATGTTAAAGCAGAGACCAAGTTTGCAGTATAGGTACCCACGATGACACTTTCATCGGATGGGTTGTTCCAATCAACTGCATGGTAATCACGCGGGGTTGTTGAAGCACTGAATGCGATACCTGGAATTCCACGTTCGGTGGAAATGTAAGAAGCACCAATTGTACCACTCAAAGTGTACAAAAATGGTCCCAAATTCGTACCTTCGTTTGGTCCTGAAACGGTCAATTGAGGTGCCTCTCCGTCAAAGTCTTTGAAGCTAGGAGCGACTTGGTCCAAACCGTACAAGACTGAACCACCGGGTGTCGCATTGACGTAAGTGATACCTGCATCGAATGGCTCGGCACCATGGTATGGAGCACCAGCTGCAACAGAGTTATCACGACCTGGGGTAGTCAAAGTAGGGACGCCCGGCAAAACGACTGTACCACCCTTTCCCGATTGGTTCACGACAGGAGCGACCATTAAGACTTTATGTCCTGCGGTCTTGAGTGCATAGTATGTCGAACGAATGTTTGATGAGGCCCATGAATCATCGTTTGATAACAAGATACGCAATGGGAATTTGGGCTTGATCACATTCTTGAATCCTGGGGCGTTTGTGTGATCATCGGAAGAGGCGGCAAATGCGCCAATGCTTGCGGTTGCAAGGACGACAAGGGTGGAAAAGAAACGCATAACGAAAGAGTGTGGAAGAAGAGGTTGGTAGTGATGAATTGGTGGGGGTCAGGAGAAAGATGCTTGAATGGAGGAAGGTTCTTATATGTATTGTGTTACCCCTTCAGCCAATCTGCAAATGAACGGACATTAAGACTCCTTTCCAGGTACTCAAATGAGCGCCGGGCGGGTACTCAAATGCATTCATTTGGTCATCATTTCATTTACCGTACCTGCGCCGGACCAATGGAATTTTATCAATCACCGAACTGAGAGACCACGTTCACTTGCTCGTCATTGAGAGGTTTTGCTGTAAAGAATTAGTTGATAATGTACAGATCATATGCTTATCCAAGGAGGACCACATGGAAGCAATCTAACGTTGGACGTGCATATGAGAGTTGAATTTTGGATTCTTAAGATTAACTAAAATACGCTATTCTTAATCACTTTTACGCTAAGTGACGCATTTACATGCGTACGTGCAGCATCCAAATTCGCCGTCATGTCCGGACTAGTGGAAGATCACTCTTGGCATTGAAGCTATGGATAAAAACCCAAAGCTCCTATCTCAGAAGGATCTAGTGTTGGTTTATGAACGTTGAATGAAATATTGTACGATCAACAAGAACAGATTGTTGTCAGTACATGCTGTCTGTCAAACATTGCTCATTTGCTGTTGTCTAGGATTACAGGATTCACAAATTAGCACTTTCCAATCCTTCCCGCCACCATCCTACGGTTTGTTTGTTCGTACAAAGTCCCGCCCGTCGGAAATGCCAAGAAAAAATGAACGATTGATGCGGACATTTGAAAGTTGAATTTTAAATTGATGGGAAAAGAGGAACGAATCAGAGACCATTTTAGCGTATTTTACAACTTGTTCCTAGGTTAACGAACCTTTCTTATGTTGCATGAGCGAACGTGTCAGAAGTTGCCATTAAACATCAATTGACACCCATCATCAAACATTTGTCCCGCTTCACGTGCTCATCATTGACTCTGACGGAGAACCAATTGAGGTAGTGTGAATCATCTTCGGCGTATTCAAGATCCCTTGAAGTTTCACTGCAGGGTCCAAGAATGCCATCTCTCCTTCATCCGCCGCTTGTTGTCGATCAGCATCAATATTCCAAGCAGTAAAAGCTCGTAAGACTTGCTCTTTCTGTCGTAAAGTATAAGCGTTTGTTGATGTTTTGCCTTCATCCGCAGAATCTTCTGCCAAATCTTCAATAATACTCAATTCCAACGCTTTCAAATCATGATCTTGTGATTTTTTACTTACATGAATTGCACGAGCGATCACGTCTTGACGAATTCCGCAAATTCTTGCACATTGAGCAGCGTGCGAATGCAGCTCGAGTCCAGATCGAAGCTTGTACAAAAAGACGATGCTTTGCTCCGCATCCTCTTCATCGTCAATTCCTTCATTCTTATCGAAGCTTGAGTCGAGAATGATTTGCATGTGTGCCGGCGTGATTGGCATTGAAGGTCCCAATAGACTCTCATGAAAGACTTCATGAAAATGTGTTACAGCAACTGTGCGAGGGCATCCTTCGCCTCTTCGTAAAAGATGACGAATTGTGGCTGCAAATAAAGCAACTCCATCTGTTGCCAAAGTGCCCTTGCACATTTCATCGAACAACAAGAGCGAATGAGACGTTGAACGATTCAGTGCATTGGCAACTTGCTCCATATCCGTTTGGAAACTTCCCTTGCTCGAATTGATAGATTCATCAACTTGCATACGTGTGAAAATCTTGTCGACCAATCCAATACGAGCAGAATCGGCAGGAACATAGCAACCAATGTGGGCCATAATCACGATCAAGGCCAATTGTTTCAGGAAGGTTGATTTTCCACAAGCATTAGCTCCAGTGATGATCATGATACTATTGTCATCACCACCAGAACCAGCTGCTATCATTCCATCCTCTTTTACGCCTTTCCCTCCACTCAAAGCGCAGTCGTTCGGTACGTATGTCTCCACAATGAGCTCTTGCAGCGGATGACGTCCATTCTTAATTCTAAGCATAGGCTCGCTCACCAATTTTGGACGACTATAGCTTCTTTGCATTGCAACAGCTGCGAAAGCCAAGAGACACTCCAATTCGGCAATGACATCGCCACACGCGGTGAGAGTGGGCACATGCTGAACAATGGCTGCTTGTACCTCTGCAATAATCTCAATTTCCCTGCCAGAAATGAAAGAGTGGACGTCTCCAATGTTTGTATCTAATTCTCTCGCAAATTCGCTTTTGAAGAACGCTTTGACTTCGCTACCGTATTGATACGTCCATCCTTGGCTTTGACCTGCCATCACGGTGGTCTGATCGATTGCAAAGTTATCTTTGCGATGCAGAGAGGTGACGAAACCAATTTGTGGGTAATATTCTGTCGCTACGTCGTACATCTCCATGAATTCCATCTCCAAATCGGCCACAAATGTTTGCGTAACTTTCTCCATCATTCCAGAAAGGTTCTTATACGTTTGACGATATTCATCCAATTCTGCGTCTAGGCCATGTTTAACAGATACCCGTTGGGTAAATTCGCTCTCTTTCCAATCAATGATCGCATCAATTGTTTCATGAACGAATGTCAACTTGTCATGGTCAAAGGCTGCTGATACCTTTTCAAAAATTGCAACATCTCCCTTTGATGATGAAAGAGATTGACAGGTAAGTCCGATTTGAATTGCATTCCTTGCAAATTCAGTGATACCTTTCCAAGTATTGACGGTGGCTTTGTCACTGATCAACGATGATGCCAATGCGTATATGTTTTTGATACCTTTGACGTGCTTTTTCAACTGTTCAGTAGTTGACGAAGCCTGGATTCTGGTGAATAGATCAACCGCATCCAAGCGCGAATTGATCAGATCAATGTTTACGCTGGGAAAAGTGAGCCACTGTGACATCATTTGTTTTGCTGGACGAGAAATTTCTGCGCTCAGCAAGGAGAGAAGCGAAAACCCCTCCTTCGTACGGGCCTGGTAGACGGAAGCGTGACTTTCACGGTCGAAGATGCCGAGAGCTTGAGCAGTTTGACTATCGAGGACCATTGTATTTGCAATTCCATATATCTCCAATGCCAGAATGACATTTTCTCTTTCCTGTTCATGAGCCTCTGTCAGGTTATTTGTTCGTTGGATATGCGACATGATAGCACCTGCACAAGCACTAGAGAGCGGGCAAACATCCAGTAAAGAAGAGGTCAACTGTGGAAACTGTCCTTCATTGGTGCGCTGGTGTGAACCTCTGTGTAGCACAGGGATGTTCAGCTCGCTCGCGACATGCTTGCAAAAGAGAGAGTTGAAATCATCATCAGCACGGATTTGCAAGGTGTACGAATTACGACGTGCTGCAAGGGAAATGTTTGTCAGTGGGATACTCTGGCAACTTTGCTAAGAGCATATACTCACCTTGCTTTTCCAGAACTGTTCTCAGTTCCTTGTCAGATAGTACGTTGAGAATCACAAGCTGTGGGCTATGCTTCTGTAACACTGGAGAGGACCATTTGTCAATTTCATTACAGCATATATGCTGTCTTTTGCGACTCACGCATTGACACGACGTCCAATGAGTACGATCGTGCATCAGCTTCCTCATCAGTGCTTGCTGTTTCATTCTCGTCTAGAGATGTCTGTTCGCTCGTAGCTGTGTCTGGAATCAATACCATGCGCTCCGCAACCTTGTTTGTAGAAACAGGCAAACGCAAATCTTCCACAAGATTAATCTTGCAAATTACCGGATCGTATACGGCGCAACCCAAGGTTCCGTTGAATGCAGAAAACGCCATTACAGTTTGAATACCAGGAGTGACAGTGTCAGATGATACGACACTTTCTTTTGTCCCTTCCTCATTTTGCTGGGCTGAATTTGAGGTACCGGTACCATATATGCTGCGCGGACCTTTTCGTGAAAACGAGCTTGATGGCTGAGAAGATGGAAATGGGTCACGCCTTGGTGTCTAGAGAATGGCTTCCATCAGTAATGTAAAAATGCAAAGTGAAAAAACAAACTCACAAAGCGTGCTCGAGGCATGTTAGACTTGAACTGCAAAGTGTAAAAGTGATGATGGTGAGTTAGAAAACGCAATTTGCCTTCAGTCCTCGTTTCGGCACATAGTCTAACTCAAACGACACAAAATGGCGTGCTCGGACAATTGAGGTTCGAATGACGTATTCATTCTAGGTACATTCCGGCTCAGCTCATTTCGGCAGGCGAGAGGCAATGAAGAGAAGCCGCTTTTCTTAATCTTCTTAGTATACAATATGAGCATATATTTACCATTAAGAAGCTTAAACAGAGCAACATCCTGCAACGCTTCCTTATCAACCATCATCATCATCATCTGCAAGCACCTCTCTGATCACCATCATATACTAAAGCACTGGCAAGCAGAGGTGATAACAGTTGACGCACGTGTACCATTCATTAGCGCTGACTCGAGCCAAGAGAAAGGAATTTTTGGGAAGTTTATCTTGTACGCGTGCATGTGGGTACTGTGACAGTGTGTCTTGTTGAGAAGATTAGATCTTCTCGCGTACAGGGAACACAATGACTACTACAATCGGAGGAGAGGAAGAAGAGGATCAATGTTCATCCAATCTTAATAGTCCATCAACTACCATCACTTCGATTGAAGAAGAACAAGGAACAGCATTCGAAGAAAAAATAAAAAAGGCTGCAAGTAGTCAAGATATGAGTAATCTATTACAACCCGAAGCCTTGGAAGGGCGTATGTTATTCGCTATTCCCAAAAAAGGAAGACTATATGAAAAATGTTTAGAGCTTTTGCAAGGTGCCGATATACAATTCAAACGTGCTCATAGATTGGACGTTGCATTGGTACAAAATCATCCTATCGCTTTGGTGTTCTTGCCAGCTGCCGATATCCCACGTTTCGTCGGAGAGGGTAATGTTGATTTAGGTATCACTGGTCAGGATATGGTGGCCGAAGCAGGCGAAACAGTATCCAAGCTGGTAACGGAAGAACTCCAACTCGGATTCGGAAAGTGTAAGCTACAAGTGCAAGTGCCAGAGAGTAGCACATCAATCAAATCAGTAGAAGATCTAGTTGGCAAAAAGGTGGCTACCTCGTTCGATTATCTAGCAGGTAAATACTTTGCCGATTTGGAAGCAAAATTGGGCAAATCATCTAGCGGTCAATCAGAACTACAAACAAAGATTGAATATGTCGGAGGAAGTGTAGAAGCTGCATGTGCTTTGGGATTGGCAGATGGAATTGTTGATTTGGTAGAATCAGGAGAAACGATGCGTGCATGCGGTTTACATGAGATCGGTACTTTACTCTCATCACAAGCAGTTCTCATCAAATCTGCAGCACCACATGCACGCAGCAATACAGCTTTGATCAATTTGATCACTTCGCGTATACGAGGTGTGATTGCTGCTTCACGTTATGTTTTGGTGACGTATAATGTCAAAAATGAACAATTGGAGGAAAACTTGAGAATCACACCAGGAAGAAGGGCTGCAACAGTGATGCCTTTGGACGATAAATTGTGGAATGCGGTTCAAGCTATGGTTTTGAGAAGTGATGTTGCAGTAGTGTGTGACAAGTTAGAATCGGCAGGAGCACAAGATATTCTCGTTATGCAATTGGCAAATTGTCGTATCGAAGGCTCAATGTGAAAAAGCAGATGATGTACAGGAGTGTGATGGCAATGTCAATATATAGAGATAGATACAAAACAGTGTGTGTGTGAACAGCATCAGATGTAAGAGAATGCCTGGTTATTGAGTGTACGCGTAAGATGATCTGATAGGAATAAATGCACCGAGACGATCTTCTAGCGCCACTGATAATCGGATATGCAGTGTGAAGTATGACCTGACAGAACTTCGCAACTTCACACCACCATCCCCGTCTTACTTACGTCACAGAAGAGTCTCATTTCGTTTATGATGTTGACGTGATCGCTTTTTCAGTTATTACTATCTCCACTTTGCTTCTTGCCACTACTTCGCCAACATGTCAGGATCACAGCAACAGCGGCCAGAATCGCCTCCTTATGTGACATCCGATATGCATCAAGATATGGAAGCATATCAGCGTAATTTCTGGACACGACAAATGGCAAGAGTAGAAGAACAAGTATCTCTACCCGAAGACCAAGCAGCAGCAGTAGCGTCTGCTACAGGAAAGCGAGCGAAGAAGCGTGATGATGATGATGAGGAAGAAGAGGATGACGAAGCTGGTGAACCAATGTCAGATGCGGCAATAGCAGCATCAGCAAAAGAATTAATGGAATTATTCAAACCACAAGCAGGTCAATTGCCTTTAGCACGAATAAAAAAAGTGATGAAAGCATCGGATGATGATGTGAAAATGATTTCTGCTGAAGCGCCAATCTTGTTTGCAAGAGCATGTGAGATTTTCATTGCGGATTTAACGTGTAGATCATACATGCATGCAACGGCAAACAAAAGAAGAACGGTTCAACGATCAGACGTTGTCGCTGCTGTGGCAGGCTCAAACCTTTTTGACTTTTTGGTTGATATTGTACCAAGAAGTGAAGAGGCGGGTGGCTCTGGCGGACGTGCTTCTTCTGCAAAGAAGGAATCAGCCAAAAACACAGATGAAGAAGCTGAAGATGGAATGGAGGAATGAGTGCAGGGTGTATAGAATGTATATGTATATTATTGATCAAATAGCAATATCTTCTCTCAACGCATAACAGCGTTGCACTTGGAAGGCACCAATGCTCGCTTTTTGGCACTTCCTAGCATGATCAATTTTGTGCAATGCTGACCGGACAATTCTCCTTATTATTATATGAAGGTGTAATGCTTTCCTTGGCATGATTGCAATCTTATCAAGCCACCACAAGAAAAGCTACCATCTGTCACTGGTAATCCTCTTGTACGCGGAAGTCCGTATTCGCATCTTAACAGGACGTTGTCTGCTTGAAGTGGAGAAAATTGAAGTTGAAAAAGTGGTGCTGCTGCTGCTGCTAATCGGCCTCTTTTTTTGTTTAATGCGCCGCTAAACATAAGATGGATCCGACGCGTTTAGGGGTTGTTATTTTTATAATTGGATGCTGTGCAAACCCCCGAATGTGCAGTGTTGTTCTAACAAACAGTTGTAGTACTGCAACACATTAATTGTCCCCGGCCTCTTTCTCTTTTTTTTTCTCCTTCTCGTTGCTTTGTTCTCGAGGCGGTGCTCTTATCTGAGTAAGATCTTAACAATCATCAGCTGTTAACAGCTTTCCTTGCTGCCATCATCATCAAATTGACTTATTAGCAAATTACACTGAAAGAGAACATCATCAAAACAACTTATATATTCTCAAGTTCAACATCTCCCTTTGTCCTCTCTTGACTCTCTCCCAAAGGCGATCCCGACTCGACTTCGACTGCAAACCTTCCGCACAGATCCATCATGCCGCCCCGAGAACCTTCTTTTGGAGGTCCTTCAGGACATCAATCTTATCCGACATATGATGAAGGCGCTCCATTACAAGACCCTTTGCCTTTGCATCAACCCTTTGATCCCGTTCCAGAATATGCTTCCAACGGACCAGATTCAGCAGGACATCAACAAGACGAATATGCAACTTCTCCGCCAGGCGGAATTAGAAGAGTTCCGCAAAGTGGTTATGCAGATCATTACTCTCAATCAGGTCATCCTCCTCCACCTCATTCAAGCATGTCACCCCCACATCGTCATATGAGCGGAGGATATGCCAGTAACGCACACTCAAACGATGTAGCGCATATACCGTATTCAACATCGTCGCATATGCCAAGACCCAGAAGAGGATCTCAACAAAGTATGTCACATGCTCATCATGATTCTTATGGGTACCTACCTCCGACTTTGGACAATCCTTTTGGTGGCAGTCAATCAAATCATCACATCTCTTCTTCTCCTCCTCGTGGGCCCAACACGTACGATGATTCTCCTTATGGAAGACATCCCTTGCCTGGGTATGGAGGCGCAGGAACGATGGATCATGAAGATGATCACGATGGCGCTGAAGGTGATGTCCCTCTCTTGCCGCCCAATGGTGGTCATTATGCATATGCACCGGCCTCAGCATTTGATGAACATGGGCATCACATCGGTGGTGTTGGAATGGACGGAGAACACCTTCCATATTCCAACGAAACGCCAAACGAATACAAACTTGAATCTGATGAAGATTATATGCCGGGCGGATTTGACCCTAATTTGGTCGAACGTGGAGAAGTAGGCGGGAATGTGCGGTACGGAAGAATTCCGCAACGGGTACCAAGACGGTACAAAACATTGAAAAGAGTTGAATTGTTCAAGGGAAATTTGGTCTTGGATTGTCCCGTCGCGCCTGCTTTGCTGGACAAGCTAAACGATCGTGAAAGCAGAGAAATGACGCATATGCGTTATAGTGCAGTAACAAGTGATGCAGATGGATTCTCAGACGAACAATATACGCTTCGGCAAGTACTTTTCGATCCACCTCGACGAACGGAGTTGATGGTCTGTTTGACGATGTACAACGAAGATGATGTCTTGTTCGCACGTACTCTTCAAGGTGTGCTGAGCAATATCGCTTTCTTGTGCAGTCGTAACCGATCACGCACTTGGGGAGCAGATGCATGGAAGAGAGTAGTAGTTGTTATTGTGGCAGATGGACGAATGAAGTGCAATCCTCGCGTGTTATCAGTCTTGGCAGCTTTGGGTGTTTATCAAGAAGGTGTGGCAAAGAATGTGGTGAACGGAAAGCCAGTACAAATGCATTTATACGAATATACAACCCAATTGAGTGTTGATTCAAATCTCAAATTCAGAGGACGCGAAAAAGGTGTTATGCCAACTCAAATCATCTTTGCTTTGAAGGAAAAGAATGCGAAAAAGATCAATTCGCACAGATGGTGTTTCAACGCTTTTGGTCAAGTGCTGAAACCAAATGTTTGCATCTTGCTCGATGTTGGTACGATGCCTAGAGCTCGCAGTCTTTACCATCTATGGAAGGCATTCGACATCAACTCAAACGTAGCCGGTGCCTGTGGAGAGATCGTGGCTCTAAAGGGAAAGATGTGGTCCGCTTTGGTCAACCCTTTGGTGGCAGCACAGAACTTTGAGTACAAGATGTCCAACATTCTTGATAAACCTCTCGAATCGGTATTCGGTTACATCACTGTCTTACCAGGAGCTTTCTCTGCTTATCGCTATATCGCCTTACAGAATGACGCAAAAGGTGAAGGACCACTGGCTTCTTACTTCAAGGGTGAGACATTACACGGTGGTAAGAACAACGCCGACATTTTCACTAGTAACATGTATCTTGCCGAAGATCGTATTCTATGTTGGGAATTGTGCTCAAAGCGAGATGCAGCATGGATTTTGCATTACGTCAAAAGTGCACAAGCAGTTACAGATGTGCCGGATACCGTTCCCGAATTGATTTCTCAGCGTCGTCGTTGGTTGAACGGATCCTTCTTTGCAGGTCTGCATTCGATCGTTCATTTCAGTTATATCTATCGATCTTCTCATTCGTTCGGAAGAAAGTTTGCATTGCACTTTGAAATGTTTTATCAACTGGTCAATCTATTGTTTACATGGTTCGGTATCGCAAACTACTTTTTGGCTTTTACCATCCTTACGCGATCGTTGGGTGAGCTGGTTCATCAACTCGAGGTGCCGAATTTGATCTTGGAATACATCTATCTGGCATTGATCGTATTCATCTTCCTACTCTCGATGGGTAATAGACCGGCAGGCGCTAAATTCGGTTATACAATCACGATGATCATGCTTGGTTTATTAACATGCTATATGACATTTGCAGCAGTGTATCTCGCCATCAAGAGTATCATAAGTGTCCAAAACGACTCCAACAGTACAGAGGCACTTTTGACAAATTATACCTTTGTTGCTGTGGTAATTTCGGTTGCGGCAACGTTTGGTGTTTATCTGATTGCAAGTATTTTATTCTTGGAACCTTGGCATATGTTTACCTCTTTGATTCAATATTACCTCATGGCGCCTTCGTTCGTTTCGGTTTTCGGTGTTTATTCGATGTGTAACGTTCATGATGTCAGTTGGGGTACAAAAGGATCCGATAAAGTTCAAACGGATTTGGGTGTTGTTGGCGGAAAGGATGGTCAAGTGGAAATCACATTGCCAACTGAACCGAAAGATATCGATGAGGCATACCACGATGCAGTGCACGTTCTAGCAAACAAGCCACCCAAAGAGGAAAAGAAGGTTGATCTGGATCAAGCACAACAGGATTATTATGCTGCCATTCGTACGAATGTGGTGCTTATTTGGGTTCTGACGAACGCAGCATTGGCAGTCGCAATTCTATCGATTAACAATAACAAAGTTCGCATTGTATACATGGGATTCATCTTATATTCCGTCGCAGTTTTAGCCGCAATTCGACTTGTGGGATCGATTACCTATCTCATCAAACGATTATTTGCTGGAGAATAAATCTACTATATTTGATTTGTGTTCTACCTTCACTTTCATCTCGTATAATATTATTATTGCAATTGTTCATTTATACCTTAGTGGCGAGTTGGCATGCTATGTGTGTCTATCATCTTATCGGTTACGTGACTGGGAAGCATTTGATTCTTTCTGAATATTTTCATATCTGACCTAATCATCCTCAGGTGGTCATTCGCAAATCCTTTAACCAAGAATCCACGATCACGTTCGTCTTTTAAATGTTGGGAGTTTTCTCCGTTACCCTTTCTAAACATGTGTTTCACGAATTGGTTCGATTTGGAACTCCTCATCTTTCTATCCAACGTAGAGATCTCTGTTTGTGCAATCGCAACATCTTGTTTATATTGACGTGCATGGTTGCGCAGTTGTGACCATCTATGAGCTGGTCTCATGACTTTATCAACCTTGCTTGATGAATGAATCCGATTTTCAATCGTTCTACCAATAGGCGATAACCCAGTCGGGCCGGCAAGAGGATCCAGCATTTAATTTAAAAAGCTCTGAGCATTATGTTCTGTACTGATCGAGCTTGAAGCTAAATCTTGGCTTACATTCGGCTGCATCCTTACTTGTCATGGTTGAATGCTAATCTGCTCATGACCTTTACGACATCACCTTGTCGTTTCACGGGGCAAAAAGAAATAGTAGAACCACGTAAATGGCTATTGCGAAGTTACTCTCCCCCAATCGCCTCAGTGGGGATTACCAGAAAGTGTCTTGTTAAAATGTGGCGTATCTCTACGCCTTTCTGTTCTGTTTTGCCGTGAACGTCTTTTCCACAACGACCCGAGTAGGATAAGCGCGCAATACACGCCATCCTCTTACGTTCTCGGATTGGTACATAAATAGCACAATATCCAAGGACTTTAAGCTTACCCTCTTTCCATTATCTCTCAAAACTATACAAGGCTGGTCCTAACTATGTTTTCATTAAATTACATCATTGCAACAACTTTCATTTTATGTTGTTTACTCTTGCGGACAGCACATACGTCTCCTGTTCCAAAACCGGAAGCAGGCTTTGTTGGAGGCAATCCAAAGAAAGGTGCTATGCCACCGGTACATTATCCATCCAGCTATAGTGGCTCAGGGAATGGACGAGATAAATTACCCACACAAATTGCGGCCAAACCTTCTACACCTCGGGCTTCTGCTCCACAGCCAAAGAAAACGGGTAGCGGAGGTGGAATTACAGGAAAGATTACAAAACTATTCTCCGGTGGATCGGGAGGAGGCGGAAAGGGGCGAAAGCCAAAGAAATAGAGAAAGATGCCACATTGATTTATGTATCTGATCTAAAGGGATATACATTAAACATCATAGATAAAGAACATAATATGTCATATCTTCACACAATACCCAAACTTCTAGAGCAATGCCTACTGACGGATCAACCCTTTCACGCACATCATTATGTTAGCGCTTTGAGCACCTTAATACACATCTTCATGATTGCGTATGAATTATCGTTCTGACGCTCATGATCATACGCAAAGTTGCAGCACTGCATCGTAGCCCCCTCTTTCAAATTTCATACAAAATACTTGGCAAAATTGAGTACAATTCAAAAGAGCCAAAACGTTAAAATCTACCATTTTCATCATTTTCTCAAAGAACACGAAATAGGAGACAGATAGAAAATGTTAAACATCAAGATATTTTTGTGGATTGCGATTGCAATAGCTTCTACTGTTTGGTCGATGGACCCTGCGAACAAAGCCGATACTTCAAGCGCCGCATCTCCTGTTTCTAGTGGTTTGCAGTCTTCTATCAATACAAGAAATTGGCCAAGCCCACATCCTCATGGCCTATCTCCGGTTGGTATGGAATTAAAAACTCATTTTCATACAAGCGGGATTGAAGAACATATGCGTCCAAATCTTCGTTGGGCAAATCTACGTGATAAAGCCAGTGATATGAAAGGCATCATTAAGAATCCTGAAACCAAAGAACATAAAAAAGTTGGTAAAGACGTCTTACAACAAGTTCATTCGGATATGAAAATATATAAAAGTCATAATTATCTTCCCGCTGAAGTGACTGACAAGATGATTGATAAACACGGTAAACGTCCTAAATCTCTTTGGAAGAAACTGACACGAAGTAGATCAACATGAATGCAAATTGCTGTATATTTGATTTTCGATCTACTACAATAACAAATTGTTGTACTTCATGATCTTTATCTTGTCCTTACAATTTCTACTTTCTGATTGATTTCACATAGACTTGTCCGGTACTCTTTTCATGTCCTTTCTGTTTTTACACTTGTTTGCTAGCACACATGTCTTTGAGGCCCCTTGATACACATCTATGATTGTGTACAACTCTCCTTCAGTCGCTTATTATCATACACAAAAATCATAGCAGACCGCATTAGCCCCTTCTTCAGCCTTTACGCAAAACTTTTTGATGATCTCTACGACTATCTTATAAGCAATACAAATGAATTAATTTATATCCACCTACCAACTTTTACCCTTTTCTCCAGATAAAAGAGGATAATTCAAGATGTTAGACCACAAGATGTTCTTGTACATCATTTTGTACATCATTTTTGCAATTATGTCTACTGTCTGGTCGATGGACCCTGCGAACAAGGCCAGCTCTTCAGGCCCCAGAGCTCCTCTGCCACATAATACAAGTGTTTTAGAGCGTGCTGCCCTTTCCATTCATAGACCAGTACCTAACACTCAATCTAGCCCTCACCCTCATGGCTTATCAGGATATGGCAGGAAGATTGAGGCTGAAATAGAAACATACCGTTTAGCAGAAGGTTCACGACCAGATCTGCGTTGGATTACATTACGTGAAAAAGCTGACCAAGTCAAAAGAATAATAAAAACCGCTTCATCAAAAGACGTGAAGGCAGTTGGTAAAGGTGTCTTACAAGAAGTTCATTCGGATATGAAAATCTATCAAAGTCATAATCATCTTCCTGCTCACGTGACGGATAAGATGATTGACAAACATGGTCAACGTTCTAAGCCTTTTTGGAAGAAAATAACAAGAAGTTCTTCTTCATAAATGCAAGTTGCTGCATGTTTGTCAGTCGCTCTATTACCTTCTAGTATGTTCTATACCTATCATGTTCTCTTTCATTGTCATTCCTCATTCCTTTGAATTTTGTGTGATTGTATTCGTTGTACGAGGATCATACATCCTTGATCAGGCTACATCGAAAACCAAACTTGCTTCACCGATTCGAATCTTGATAGATCGTTCAGCCAGCCACTCAAATCGGACCAGCTGCAAATTCGACAAGAATGCAGCTTCTTCTTCTTCGCGTTCAATAAAAGAAGCGTGACTGCTCACAGATCCCCGAGGTGATAACAATCCCCCTCCTGCTTGTGCCCCACCGCTATGCGTACTTGAGCCAGACAATGTGGGAGATCGAATGGCCGCTAAACGAACACTTGCTAATGCACTTCCAGCCATTCTTCCGAAATCAAAGCTTTTATATGCCGGCGTGCCTACATGATTGTGGGAATGTTGGTTTGTATTACCACCACTTTGATTGGGAGTGGACGACTGGCTTTGCTCTGCCTCCCCACTTCCGGTAGCACGACCCAACAGAGCGCTGATCTGTCTTGGTGCACCACCAAAGTTGAATATAGAGCCAAGACCGACACCTGTCTTCCAAATTTTTACCATACCATCACTTAGACAGATACTAACAAGCCTACGCCCATCATTCGAGAATGTCAGCCCGTTTAAACTTGCACTGTGAGCTTCCAGAACGTACAGCCTTGTAGCGGTTTTTAGGTCATACATGATGATCGCACCTTCAAATGTTCCAACTGCGAGCCTTTGTAGTCCTTTGTGAAATGCTATCGTTGGATAAGCTGAAATCAATTCGGAAATGATAATCGTTGCAGATTTGTGTATCACAGGTCGTAAAGTTGTTACTGTTGGATCTAACGATTTGACGACCGCTTCAGCAAACCTAGGCAAATTAGGATACAGAACCAACGGCTTTCGGCGTACCATAAAAGCAACCAATCGCATAGTGGCACTACAATGCTCCGGACTACGAGCATGAAGGATATCAAGACTCAAAGTAGTCATGAACAAAGGCGTATTCTCTTCTGCTATGCGTAGGGTAGCTTGACGAGCTAGGTCTCGATTCTCCAAAGCTACCTGAGCTGCTTTGGATGCTCCATTCTCGTTGTTGTCAGTTTTCGGAAGAATTGTGCTCAAGCTGAACATCGTTCGAACGATCTCCATTGCGTCGAAGTAATGCTGGAAGATGGAAAAACCCCGATCGCACAGAACGATTGCGATGGATTGATGAGCAGGATCGAATTCATCGTTAAGATAAAGGCTGATCGAAGCCGAAATATCCTTCAAAAGATTGGGTGGCATGACCGTATACCTTTGAGTAGCAATCAGGCCCAATAGCAACAGTGCTTTCGAAGAATGTTGATCTTCTCTCTCATCTTCTATAGCGTCAATCGATGCTCTTTCCGAATCTTTCATCGGTGGAGGAGCGGCCATCAGATTCGCTCGACGACGGTTGGGTAAAGCTCCACTGAATTGAGCACAGACTTGATCCAAATCCTCCTGTGGCATACCCTCAAGCGAAGAAACGAAAAGCATCTGTGCGGCTTGTTTGATCTCAAGGACAGGATCTGTCAAGAAGCCAATCAAAAATTCAATCGTAGGGTTCTGAAAGCCTTTTCCCACGATATTCGAAAGACTTCCAAGCTCTGTGATCAATTCGTAGGCCGGTTTGTGCAATTCCTCGATATTCGACAGGACTAACAACATTGCTATCGATCCAATCAACCTTGTGGCAGTCAGGGCAGGAGAGACGCAGAGCATCTGCTTTGATGTCATTCCGTGCAATGACATGATCAAATACCCTGGTTCGCTAAAAAGGCCGTAGGCGATACTCATATTGTTGCCGATATCCTTTTCCGTACCCAAGGCTAGCTTACACTGTTGATCGAATTCCTGACTCAAACCAAAGGGTAAGATGCTGCATAATAGAGGACTCAAGGTATGCAAAGCTTTTGCTGCTTGTGGCATCGTGAGCGTTTGTGAGAAGGATGATTTCGGCGCAGCTCTACTGTCCAACGATGACATCGGATCGATTTGCACATCTAAATCTTGCAAATCTTGAGCTTGATTTAGGTCTCGGGCATTGGAGATGCCTGCTGTATTTAGAGGTGCAACCATTCTACTTGCTGCTTCTACCACTCTGCGAACATCTGCCGTCATTGCGCCTGAGAAAGAAGCACGACTTGAAGGAATAGAGCTTAGTACTCCAACATTTCCCCTTTCCCTTTTCAAATGTGCAACATCGATAGGAAATTGTGACCACCATCCTTTTCCGTCCTCTAGCAGGACCAATGCTTGATCAACACCAATACTCCTGCGTAACTCTAAATTGGTCGCGTTCCATACTCTAGCTCTTCCATCTGCGTAGATTGTCATCAGCTCATTGGAGCGGACTGCCATCAACTCTAACGGTGCATTTCGTCCTGGTACGATGTACAGCAATTGCAGTTCATCAAGCACAATGAATGCGATCGTACTATCCGCGGCGACGCAAGCCACGCTACCGTGTAGACGTAATGCATTATCTTTATTCCCAATAGCCACAAATGCAACAATAGGAGAAGTAAGGACAGAACGTTGCATTTGGCATTTCAAAGTGGTGGCATCCCATAGGATAATGTCACCTTCTTCCGTGCCTCCGATGATGTGCCGAGAATTGGTGCGTGGATTGACTACGGTTTGTAAGAGTGTCACCTTTCCAGAGAATGCCGAAGTAGAATCTTTGGGTTCGGGAATGTTTCCATCAACGAGATTAGTCATGGGACATATAGTCAAATGACCGGATGATAAGCTGAGGACGACTCTTTCCATGCTGAAAGGTAATGTGGCCGTAATGTGTACCTCTTCCTTGGGTTGCAAGCCTTGCCAAATAATCTTGTTGTTGGATTGCAACGATAGTCTGTCTTCCTCATCACGTAAGCACAAGATGGGATGCATGTCATTACCTCTAATACTTACTGCGTCACACTCGTCTTCCAAGGCAAGCTCCTTCTGCTGCTCAAATTGGCCTTTTTCAGAAATGTGGATCGAGAGTACTTTGTCATCCGTTTGCAATAGGATCGATTCTCCCTCGACTTGAACATCAATAATTCCTTGGATGGACAGGGTGTCACAATGAGTCAAAGAGTCACTCGTTCTCTTCGCCAGTGAGATACCCTCATCGCTCCAGGTAAGAATGAAGTTTTCTCTAATGACAAACAAACCTCTTGCATCTTTCTCCACTCCATTATCACCAAGCTTTCTCTTTGTGATTGGCGTTTCTTCCAAGATTGATGCTGGTCTTGATGCTGGTCGAGACAGACCTTCACGTCTTAAGAATGCAGATGTTGAGCTGAGTGGCGCCAACTTTTGCGTATCATTCATTGTTGCCTTGCGTTTCGATTTGATCCGGTGGGATTCCACCTCTACGTTGCCATTCGTCTTTATGTGATAAACGTCCACCGTCTCTTCATCCTCGCATAGATTAATCAGAGGGGGAGCAAGTCCAATATCGTCAAACGTGTGCTGTAGTGTGACGACCTGTTTCTCAATATCGACGATGTGTAGTCGCATTTTTGCTTTGTCATATAACGCATCAATGACTGGATTTGCCTTTTCACCTTTCCTGTTCGACCCCGTGATTGTGACACCTTCAAAGGTACTAACGACTGGAAGAGACACACTTTCTGCAGAGACCGGGTGCTGAGAAGCATTTGAATTCACCCTAGATCTTGGCTGCGGAGATGGTGCATTACTGCGCATAGCAGCTAATCGTGCCAATGGCGACATTAGAGAAACAGCAGGTTGCGATTGAGCTTCGTCGTGTAATCGATCCAGCGGGATTGCTCTAGCTGTCTTAAGGTCAATTGGAAAAGCCTGCAAGCCACCTTCTAGGGACCAGAGAGTAAGATTCCCGTCTTCTTGCAGAATACTCAATGATTCCTTCCCGGTCCCAAATGGTATATGTCTCAGTGACACGATTGGAGATCGAGAAGGACACTGAAAGCATAGTATTGGCTCGATGGACTCTAGTGGTTTGTTCGGATGCGAAGGTACTTTCTTTCGTGGGTCGTTTTCTGCTCCTTGTTGATACTCCGCCCGATCACTTGAACCTAGCGTGCCCAATAGTCCTGCTTTGGCCAATGCAGATTTGACATCGCTTGGGTTCTTTTGTGAGCTGCCAAGCGTAAGACTTATATTCCTTGAACGAGAATGTCTTTTTGATTTGTCTGATTTAGAGGTATCGGCAGAACCGCGTTGCTTTGCATCATGATGTGAATTTATGTTCTCATGAGAGTGATTGTTCTGCTGTATACCCAATGCCTCCATCATGCCACCCATCATGCTAGTCTGATTCTCTCTACCAGAATGCCATTGCATTTCTAGTTGTTCTTCGGCGTCCATGCCTGTATTTGCGGAATGATTTGGTGCTGCTGAAACGCTAATGTCTGTAGTAGCTGACGTCGGCAGGATTGCTTCCCGCTCAACTGCTCTTGTCATTGATGTTGTTGGCGAGGTAGGAGATACCAGACTTAGTCTGCTCGGATTAGGCGAAGATCGATTTAGAGGTACGTTCAAACCAGTTGCGGATGTAGATGGTGTCATATTAGCTGATTCGTAGGATGTGGCAAGTTGTAGTTCATCCTTCTGTTGAAATTGCTCCTCGAATATCCAGACATTGCCATCATGCGTACCCATTGCAATACGCCTCCCTCCCTTGTGATTTCCAAATATAATGTCTTGCCGCTTCTTAGACTGGTCCTTGGAGCTTATCCGAATCTGAGGAGCCGTAGAGGAGCTTTCCTTTTGGTACTCAGAGTATTCCACATCTTCTTCATCTTCTTCTTCATCTCCCTCCACACTCCACACCTCCATTGCTGTGACCCATCTGTCCAGGCCATCATCTTCAAATGCATTTTGGGGTTGCTCCTTTGCCAGTCGTTTTAGCCCATTCGGGAGATTGGCGGTGTGTTCTCCGTCGTAAAATGAAGGCTTTTGCCATGATTGTTTCCAATCTCTCGATGGAAGTTGAGGACCTAAACGAGTACTTGTTGAACTTTGACCATTCTTTTTCACTTTATCGTATTGATCAAAATGAAGTGGAATATAAAATGGCGTAGTTGAAGATGATAATTTCGCTCCACCTGTACTTGTCACAAAGCTAAAGTTTGTTGCCGCCATTATTTAGGGAGAGTATAAACGATCATTTGATCGATTGCATGACAATTGTCCGTTTATGAAGAGAATGATGAATGAATGCAAGAAGACAACATGATTCCTCCATTGTTATATTAGCGTGGGCGGCTGCTTTGGCGCTTATTCTTCTCTCGCGCACGGACAAAAATGATCAACTCTCGCGCAAGCATTCATTCAAGACCATCATCATAGCCACCATGAGCTCAAAAATGAACATGCTACCTTATGCACTCAATCAATCACATTTTTGCCTTTTCATCTCGGTTCAGTAAACGTGAAACTAGCTTGAAGCACACAGAAGAACTCGGTAAATACCAGCTCAGAGCGGAGAAGGAATGTGCGTGCTTACGCCTATTCAAATGTAACGTCATAAAATCACACATTTGCCAAATAGGAGGTTAATGAGTAAATGCTGAAATTGCGTTCCCTGCCTTACCCTTCAGAAGATAGACAAAAGCCAATACCACAGGCATACATATGTATATAAACCACATGCCTCAGTCTCCAGATTTTCCGTATCGACCTCCATCTCTACTGACAAATTCCAACATGACTACAAAATTCTTCTTCGCTCAACTATTGTTGATCATGAGCATTATCACAATGGTACACTCGTCACCATTATCAGCACTGATGCCGGTACGTATTGTTTTGTATTGTATTGAGTTTAAGGACTCAAATTAGAGCTGACATGTACCCAAATTCATTGCAGAAACCTTTTCAACCTAAAGTTGTTCAAAAATACGATAAGAAAAAGCCAAGTCCTTAATCCATCCTTCAACTTTGATTCTTGAAGGCCACTGAAAAGTCAAGCGTCCAAAATATTGACTATCTGTATATTTTATCACCATTCCGGCCGTCGGAAAACTGAATTTCATACAGTATAACGCTATGTGTGCATGACCGGGTTCACTACTAGCCATCAATCTAGAGCACAAAAAGTGAGTAAGATGAAACGCCAACGCCCTTCCAAGAGTTCTCGCACTATTTGTGTTTGCGGCCCTTGTGCTTTCATTCATTTCGGTCCGCCAAACATGACGACACATTGCGGAAAAAGAAGATTGGCCGTTCTACGTATGACCAATAATTAACGCCGTCACAACTTCATCGGCCGGTCAGCTAGCCTGAGATGAAAATTGATTTTTGCATTGCATTTCACTTAAATAGACACAGCTTTTCATCATTTCTTCCTTTCCCTTTTCTTACCTTCTCCAACCAATTGCCTCGTTCAGAATGATCTTTAGCTTTTTCCTCGTTCAATTTTACGTTTATCTTTTGGCTAATACGGTAGCATTTGCTGCTCCTCTAGAAGCCATTCCAGCTGTGGGTCTCTCTGAAAAAAATTGAGATGAAGTACAGGTACTCATCAGCATCTTTTTCCCTTTCTTCAGCTTGCTGGCGGTTATTTTCAACCGGCTTATGGAAGTGGTAGCGGTACTGGATCCGGCACTGGAAGTGGTACCGGTACAGGCACTGGTCAAAAGAATCCCACCCAATGCACAAACCCGAATGGATGCCATTAAAACGGCAAGAAATACAAGCAAATGTATATTCGTGTGCACATTGTCAACATGGTCTCATTATTTATTAACATGACATTTGGTTATAGCCTTTTGACGATTGTCAATTCACACAATATCATATCATCTCACATGACCAAATTCTCCCACCTTTGAAGACGATCATCTGAACGAATACCAAATCCCTTTCCATTTCCTCTTTGTGTGTCGGCGTTGTATCATTTAAGAAGCATCCGTCATTAATTTGTGAACCCATTACTTCCATTGTCTGATGAACGGCTTGCTTCTGAGCGGCGCCAGATTCCGTTTGATTCCGTTTTGAAATGCATTCGGCTAAATGGCAACGGAGAGCGCAAGTTTATAATTCTTGGCAGACTAATACACAGCAGTAATGAATCGGAGCAATTCCACTTTGTGTATGAATGACTTGAAAGCGAATTAGGTAATTTTGACTCTATGAGTTCTGATTACGGATCCCCACGATGATTGTGTATGAATCATTATGATCATACGCTCAAGGCGGCGTTTTTCACACAATTCATATCATTTCAAAGCCCCGCTTCTAAAGAGGTGGACCGCAAATATGTCCAGTTTACCTAAGCAATATCTTGGCAGCTTTGGAGAAAAATCAATCATAAAAGGACGATGTTGTTGAGCAAAGGGTTTTTTCATTCATTCAACAGCCAACTTCTCTAGCCACAACAATCTTCCCACAATGGTGTCAATCTTGGGCTTTTCCTTCTTTACATTTTTGTCATTCACAGCTATGACCATCGCTGCGCCGGTGGGACAATATTCTAGCACTGACGGTACTGCTGAAGGCTTGTTTAAGCGTTACACAATGTCTATGACTCCGCCTACGACTGGAACTCCATCCACGGTAAGTGAAAGAAGCTATCAATCAAACCTTGGTAGGCATACTAAGAACTTTTTTACTCTTCGTTCAGAAATTTGGAAATATCAAACCGCAGCCTTATGTCATTGTCGAAGGTCAACCTTTCGCTATGGGTCCTGGTCCACAGATCACAAGAAACTAGTGATGTCTTTTATTACGAACATCGCAAAGACCTTCTGAAATCACGCATTTGCAAAAGGGATGATATACCTCCTTAAACCATTATTGCAAGTCATATACAATTTAAGCGCCTCCTTTCATTATACCATCTTCTCCTTTCATTGATCCTTATTTGTGGGATTCATAATGTGTGCATGTCACTGCTCCCAATCTCCCTGACAATGACATCCTTGAAATCTAAGCACGAAAACGAGGGGAGTTGTCCAAAGATTTGAGGTACATTTCGTTTCACCACACCATTCACTCGCCACCTTTGACATTGCTCATGCTTTTCCACCTTCGCGATGCCTATGTACTCTAACGCGGCAGTCTTCGATCAACTCATCGTCCTTTCAATAGTTTTGTTAGGCGTCCTTATACCTGTTTCCACAACGGCAAGAAGTCTTTCAGAAGATGAGTTGCAGGATATCGATTTGGAAGCAAAAGTAAGTATCTTGAATAAAGCGTTCGAAATCGTTCATCTTTCACTAATCTTGCAATTTCTCAGTTCCCTTCTGATCATATCAGACTTCTGAGCGCTTCAACGATCACATGATGGTCTTGCCATTGATCTAATCCGGAAACAATGATTGCTCCAATCGGTCCTGTATTCAATCCTTTGAGATTGATGGGAAATGCTCCGCCATGGGCAGCATATTCTGCTCCTAATGAATTGATATCACGTCCCTTCTTTACCAATTCTCTTCCGACCAAGAAGCTAGATTTTCCATGTGTTCGCACTGTGTATGGAAAAAGATCAGTTCATTGATCTGACAGAGTCATTTGATGCTGCCACTCACCCGTATTGGCTTTCCGTCTTGCCCAATCTTCATTGGAAACAGTCACTCCACTTCCGTATGTGTCTTGCAATAATGTCAAGCCAGACCACAATCTGATGCTAATCAGTGCTGTTGCACTATTTGGACCTTTTCCATTCTCATGCAAAGCTTTCATTTGTTCTTGAATGTTTTCTCCAATCTTTCTTGCAAATTCAAAATCAAACGTTTGAAATTGCAAGGCTGTGTGGAGGTAAAGGGATGGCGTAAATGTCAATACTTCATTGGAGTCTTTCTCAAGTAGTAAACTTACCTTGTTCTTGTTCTTTGATTCCTTGAATTGCTTCTTCGAAATGTGTAGGATCTTGCCAATTTGCAGTTGTGTGAGTGTATGCCATCTTTGCTTTCAGCTTGGGATGAAGGTGGGGAAAGCGGAAGTGTTGTTTGTTGTTCGGATAAATATTCATCAACGCTTGTGCCTGGAAGAAGATGCAGTGCTTCTGCTACGCGTACGTCTCTCATTCTGTCCAGCGCAGGCTTATGAGAGCATATGGCCAGGCTTGGATCTTGTAATGGGAGTCAGAATTAAGTCTTCCTGGCTAAATGCGTAAGTACTGATAGAGATGAATCTACTCGTCTTCGACTTATTTTCATCATCTTATCGGTCTAACCCAAACCGTTACATCAGAAAGACGATATCCGTTCACCACTGACTTCCTCTGCTCGCAGCATAGCATCTTAGATTGCGCTGAAATCAATTTTGGTCGTAGGATAAGTGCCAATACTGTATGATGAGTGGGCCCCTTGTTTTGTTTTCTGAAGCCATCTTCATTTCTCCTTTCCTTGCCTCTAATTCCCCTAACGTGGAGACACTAAGGCGATTTGGTCTCCTACCAGTAAGATGTCAATCGAACTTCTCAGAGCTATTGAAATGTACTTAATGTTCTGATCAGTATCATCTGAGATCTCTAGTCCGCATAAAGTACATAATATCTTGCTATTCTGCCTTTTAATAAAAGTGGTTTCTCCTATCATGTCATGAAAAGCATCTCCTTCGCAAGACTCTGCCCAAACATTCAAAAATCTTGCACGCTTGTAGAGAGTATTGATGGCTGACACGCTGATGTCATCACGCTTCCGGTGCTTGTTTTGGAACAGGTAATGCAAAAGCCAAATAAAGGAAAAATACAGTCAAAAGTGAAACGTAGAACTTGCAATGCATCTTGATGGAGTCGTGATATTGTTTGGAAAGACAAACGTATGAACAGGTAGTTTTGATCCAGTCTTGGCGATTCTTACGACCGTCTCCGTTTTTCATGCAAGTACTTTCATGCATCACACTCTTCCGATGACTATGGAATGCCTGCGGATAGCTTGGCATTTTTGACGGGCTATGTAGCCCGGTTGTCGGATGCTAAAAATATAACCAAGCCCGCTTTCCTTGGCTTTCAAGATCTAAAGATATAAAAGCAGGCTCCCAAACATTCTTCCTCGCTAACACCAACACCACATCATTGATTTTTCATCATCGACAACGTACTCCAATATGATCTCGAAGTTGGCTTTCTTTTTCGCATTTGCCCTAATTGCGGCTTTGCAAACAAATGCCTTTCCCACTTCAAATGACGATCAACTAAAATTGATTCGCAAAGACGTTGGGGTTGAGCAAAGTCTCAACGACCTTACTCGTCGCGATGACGCCTTCTACGTTCAATTTTGTGATGCATCAGATTCTTGCACTTCTCCACTGTACAACTTCCAAGACGTTTGCTACAATCAACCCAACAAGACAAAAATCAAATTTCACAAACCTAGCGGTACGATCACTTTGGGTACATATTACCTCGCAAGCTATTCTGCTGCTGGTTGCTTGACCGCAAACAAGATCGCTTGTCAAGCTTTAGGTGTCAGTGGTATTGATGGCACGAAAACCATTGATATCAATAGTCCTGGTTCGTACTACAAGATCAATGTTGCTGGCCCTTACAAAAAGCGTAATGAGTTGAACGAAGGCGAAAGTGTGCCATTAGAAAAGCGTGAAGATTGCGGACAATAATCTGTAGCTCACGTATCACACATTGCACGATTTCCTCGTCGGATGAACGTGATTGCCATTCATTTTAGCTCTGAAACTGTCTTGTGTAACGAATAAAGTTGGAGTCTATCCATACTTTGCGACAGTATAGCTGAGAAATAACCTCAAATTCATCAATGAAACATTATCATCACACATAACTCTTTGACCAAATGATCTGAGAGGCTGAGAAATTGGTAAACATATTAGTATTCATGCATTTGTACGTAAGGTCTCGTACATTTGCAATTTGATGATATTTGGTCTGAAATGGAAAAGAGGTACAGACAGACAAGGATAAAACGACTGACTGGAAACGATCAAGAGACTTTCTAGCTGCCACGAGCATTTGAAAGCCCTTGGCCATGAGATTGCCTACTTGGCATAATTAGCAGTGTGTGCCGCACTCAACCCCAGCTCCTGGTGTGGCTGGAATCAGGCGTTTAACAGAAGGCTAATAAAAGGAAAAGAAAAAGGAAATGTGAGTCTTACTTCATTAACGATCACCTTGGGATACGTACTTCATGAGGTAAGGCTGATACCACAACGAACAAAGCAATAACGGCGATTGCGAACGATTTCTTGAGAGTAGCGAACATCTTAAAGTGAGTGAGGCTGATGAATGATCAATGACCTATGGGAGAGGAAAATTTTGGAAAAAGAGACAATTTATAGGTTTCAAGAGGATAGCGGGTCTATAAGATCAATCCTATATTTCCCAGAAAGAGGCGTAAGGAGAATCATCTAAATAGAGCAGGATATGCACCATACAGATGAGATTGAAAGAATGATATGATGAAGGGGTCAGGAGATCTCAAATTATTTTGACCTGAATTTCAAGCATAAAACCGTACCTGGAAAACACGACTCGTAAATCACCAGAACCATTCCCAAATCAATCCTTCTTAATGCTGTATTTGTCACAAAAGCTAAAGGCAACTGTTTAGGAGAGTTGATATCAACGAAAAAAAAAGGTTTGAGAGCCTGCTTCTATACCTATAAAGGCGAGGATGACGGGCTTCATCACGGTTCTAGCATCCGGCGATCGGGCTACGTAGCCCGTGGGAAGTGCCAAGCTACCCGCAGGCATTCCATGGTCACGCGGAAGAATGTGATGCATGAAAACATTTGCATGAATATGGGCATGGTCTTAAGGCTCGCCAAGATTGAATAAAATCTCGGAATATCTGTTCATACATTTGTCTTCCCAAACATCATCACCACTCTATCAAGATGCATCTCAAGCTCTACATCTTATTTTTGACGGTCGTTTCCGTTTATTTGGCTTTTGCATCACCTGTTCCAAAAGAAGCACAAGTCAACCCAAAGCGTGATGACATCAACGTGCCAGCCATCGATACTCTCTACAAGCGTGCAGATAGCTTGTATGTTTGGGTAGAGTTTTGCGAAGAAGAAGGAAAGAATTGCGTTGGCCACATCAATCCATACAACAATAAGTGCTTTACCATCTTTGGCAAGAAGAAGTACATCCGCTTTCATTCGAAACTTCTTTTGGATCGTGACAGTTTTACGTTGAACACTGCTTCTTTGGAGTATCAAACGTATTGTCCAAAAAATATTGTTGCGGCTCAAACATTTGATCACCCACAAAACAACACTTTGCTCGAGATCGATCATCCGGGCGTAAAGTATTATTTCAGCTATCCCTACTAAGTGTATCGGGATGCAACTCTCCCACGGACAATTTCACAGCCTCGCAAATATGTAGCTGTATACGATGGGTTAGATACTGAATGAGAATCCTATCATACAATCATCTGTTTGTGTGTGTATTGAATGTCAGCCAGATTGTAGAGTAGTGTTTGTGCCTTTCACCGAGTCTCTCTTTCCCCACGCTATTTTATCACTTGTCCCCACAGTGTCGTCTGTCACATACGCGCTGCGCTTATATACGCTTTTAAACGGATACCTGTAACCCGGTAAGCCGAAAGCTTGTGTGCAGGCTTATCCTGCTTCTTCCATCTGGTACAAGTTGTCGTCATTGCCATCAATCCTCATTACCGTCATCATCGCTATCCACACTCACATCATCACCACTCCACTACCATAACAGGCAAAATGAGCAAAAATGCAGCACTTCAAGAGGCATACAAAGCCACATTGAAACGATTAGAACAAATCCAAAACCATCTTCAAAATAAGCCAAGATCGGGACGATTGGCAGGAAAGGTTTGTATCATTACAGGAGCAGGTAGCTTGAACGGTATCGGACGTGCTGCAGCTCTACAATTCGCACACGAAGGTGCATCACATCTTTACCTTTTGGATTTCAATGCAGAGAATTTTGAAGCATTTCAAAAGCTCTTGGGAGAACGTTATCCTGAGGTGAAAGTCAGCTGTCATGAATGCGATGCGGCGGATGAAGAAGCGATTAAAGGGATCTGTAAGAGAGCAATCGATGAAGCAGGAAAGTTGGACGTCTTTTTCGCAAATGCTGCAAGGGCAACTGGTGCGCCACTCAATGCGACCGATAATGAAGATCTAACGGAAACGCTGCGCATCAATGTCAATAGCTGTTTCTTGGGACTCAAGTATGGATCAGAGGCAATGCAAGTCACATCTTCAAAGAAACCAGAATCAGGAGGCTCCATCATTCTCACAGCTTCCGTTGCCGGAATCAGAAGCGGGGCAGGATCAGTTGACTATAGCGCATCCAAAGCGGCCGTTATCAATCTTGCTCAGACAGGAGCATGGCAACTGGCTCACACGAATATCAGAGTTTGTAGTATAGCACCGGGTTTGATAGAGACTGGAATGACAACTCCGCAGTTTGAGATGGCTCGCGATCGAGGAACGGCCGGTAAGATTGGTCAATTGAACCCGACAGGACGATATGGTGTTAGTGAAGAGGTGAGTAGGCGATAAATTTATGATGGAAGCCGTGAATCCCGCTTATTTCTCTCCCTTTTTGTTTATCCAAACGAACAGATCGCAAACGGTGTTACCTTCTTAGCATCAGATGAAGCTTCTTATGTGAACGGGATCGTGCTTCCAATCGACGGCGGTCTATCTGCTAGTCATCCAGTCGTACCCGGCAAATTCCACTAAGGTTATTTTGCAATGAGATAAGAAGCAGTGTACTCCATTATGTCAGATGTCCAATCCTTACCATTTCTCCGATAAGAGTAGAAGAGAAGGTCAAATACAAGCAAAATTGTCTGAGGTGAATACACAATACAAATTGATTGATACTGTACAGGGGTATGTAGATATTTGAAAATGCATTCGAGCACCAGCACAAAAAGTATTCATTCTTCCAAATCTTTATATTGGCACGAGCTTGTAGTCTTCGATGAAAGGCACGAGGGCAGGGTAATCTTGATACAGTCGCTGTAAGAGTTCAGCGTGCAGTTCAGGTCGAGTGAAACCGTAAGAATCGTGTTTGTGCTTAACATGGGAGAACCCTAGTAGCAAACCGAAAGTTTTGGCATCCGGTGCGTACGTTGAAAGACCATTCGATGAATACTTCCGAAGCTGTTGCGACTGAAATACAGGTTTGTTCGGTAAACCTTGCTTGTCGGGATAGTTGAGATCACTTTCCTTCGTCAGTTCGCTTTCTATCGTTTTATAATACATATCCTTGCTCTTAGTTCCTGCTCTCATCGTCTCTGCATTCTTGTACACTTCTGCTCGTTCTCGCAATTTATGCTCCATGAGTTGAAATGTAAAGTCCATGGCTTCCTGAAGTGCGCCACATCTGCATAGGCATTCTAGCCATGAATCCCAAGCATTTTTATTCATTAGCTTTAAGAAACATTCGCCATGCTGCAACCATTCAAAGATTTTGATTGCGTCTGGCAGACGACCGTTGAGTCCGCAAATATCAAATATAGTCGCGAGTGTAGCAGCATCAATCTCGACATTCAAATTCACCGCCTGATTCCATATCTCTATAGCTGAATTAGACAAGCCTGCACGATTATAAGCTTCGAGTAAAGAGTTGAAAATAACAACGTCGCCATTCAAATTGTCGCCGTAGCGTTTCACCAATCCTTCATGAATAATGAGGATGACCTGCTGATGATACATACGCCATTTCGATCCAACAGCTTTAGATGCCCTTTTGCCATAATGGCTCAGAGCGAGCGTGAATATCTTGACCCTTACGTTCTCGTCTGCTTGCGCGAGATTGTCGAAGTCCGTCATCAGCTCCTCGAAGATCTCTATTGGCAGAGAAGGAGTGCTTTTTGTGTCGTAAATGTCCAGTCTTGTCAAATTGTAAAATACGCGAAACCATCCATTAGAGGTCAAGATCTCTCCTCTTTCCAAACACCAATCACGCATTTTCTGATACTCTGCGAATGCTTCCCAGTAATCTTTGAATCTCTGACATCTGAGTCTAGTACTAAGCAATTGTACCCGGTTCTTGCTGGTAAGACTGTCCAGACCTCCAACGATATCGAGTAATTGCTCAGAATAAGAGTCAAGGCTGAAAACATAATATCGTTCAAACAGAACATCAGTCACTACTCGTGGGATTACCGGTAGTACTTTTGACACTATACGATAAATCTGTAGGATCGAACTTTCAGACTCGGGTGACATCTGAATGAAGAGTGGATCTGTTGCGAAGGATCCATGGGCAAAGAATTGCTGATGTTCATATCCCAAATCCAGCCACATCTCTCTAAAGCCTTGAATTGCTCTAATTCCATCCTGAACGATGGCTCTGTCAACAAAATTCTGGAGAGCTGGCCATTCATGAACGTTAATGTTTTCCTTTTGTAAAGCCGAATGAACAGACTGTCGTAATTGTTGCTGTTGTGAATTAAATTTGGGTTGCCCGGAAAACATTGCAACCTTAAAGTTGCCTTTGTACCTATGACCAACATAGTCTTTCAGGCTGAGCTAACTTGGCACCTTTCCCTCATATCTATCAGGCGTAGGTATTGTGGAAGTCTGTCGGATTGATAGCCCGATCGACCTTTGTGTTGCCCGAAAGGACCTGTGTATAGACCCGACAACGATCTTTTGCATCATCATGCTTTCAGTACCAAAAAATGACCGTTACTTTCATTGTTGTTTGTGCATTGCGTATGATGAAAGATAGATGAAGAGGTTGGCCGATGTGGTAGAAGTCGAGAAAGATGAACAAAAGAATGCGAGATTCATTTTTAGCCTGTTGTCAAAAAACACTGCTTTAGCGCCGAAGCACTAAATATCACACCAACATGAATGTGGCTTAAGAAGTTATATACATACGTACCTACTCAGCACTAGAAAGAAGTCTTTCCCAGCTTGTCAGTGAAATTCTAACGATGATAAGAAGCTGATATAAGAAGATTGCTCATATCCATTCCTCTTCTAAGGAAAGAAGAGAATAATAAATGCTTTAGGTGAATACAACATTCAAACTGGCTGATACTGTACAGAGGTATATGAGATATTGAGAATACATTTTATCACCAGCACAACGACAATTGACGCTACTTATACATTATATTGGTACGAGTACCTGCTTATTGATGAAAGGCACAAGGTCAGGGTAATCTTGATATAATCGTTGTAAGAGTTCAGTGTGCAGTTCAGGATGAGTGAAACCGTAAGAATCGTGTTTGTGCTTAACATGGGAGAAACCTAGTAGCAAAGTGAAAGTTTTGGCATCCGGTGCGTACGTTGAAAGACCTTTCGATGAATATTTCCGAAGCTGTTGCGACTGAAATACTATGTCTTGCTTGTCGGGATGTTTGAGATCACTTTCCTTCGTCAGTTCGCTTTCTATCCTTTTATAATACATATTCTTGGTCCTAGTGGCTGCTCTCATCGTCTCCGCGTTCTTGTACATTTCTGCTCGTTCTCGCAATTTCGGCTCCATGAGACGAAATGTAAAGCCCTTGGCTTCCTGAAGTGCGCCACATCTGCACAAGCATTCTAACCATGAATCCCAAATGTTTTTTTCCATTAGCTCTAAGAAACGTTCGCCATGCTGCAACCATTCAAAGATTTTGATTGCGTCTGGCAGACGACCGTTGAGTCCGCAAATATCAAATATAGTCGCGAGTGTAGCAGCATCAATCTCGACATTCGAGTTGACCATCTGATTCCATATCTCTATAGCTGAATTAAACAGGCCTGCACGACCATATGCTTCGAGTAAAGAGGTGAAAGCAATAACGTTGCCATTCAAATCGTCGCCATAGCGTTTCACCAATCCTTCATGAATGGTAAGGACGACCTGCTGATGATACATGCGCCATTTCGATCCAACAGCTTTAGATGCGCTTTTGCCATAATGGTTCAGAGCGAGCGTAATCATCCTAAGTCTTATATGCTCTTCTGCTTGTGCGAGATTGTCGTAGTCTGTCATCAGCTCCTCGAAAATTTCTACTGGCAGAGAAAGAGTGCTTTCTATGTCGTAAATGTCCACTTTTATCAAATTGTAGAATATCCGAAACCATTTACCAGAGGGGAAGATCTCTCGGATTCCTCTTTCCAAACACCAATCACGCATTTTTTTATACTCTGCGAATGCTTCCCAATAATCTCTGAATCTCCGACATTTCAGTCTAGTACCAAGCAATTGTGACCGGCTGATGCTGGTAAGACTGTCCAGACCTCCAACGATGTCGAGTAATTGCTCAGAATAAGAGTGGAGGCCGAAAAGGTAATATCGTTCGAACAGAAGCTCAGTCACTCCTCGTGGGATTACCGGTAGTACTTTTGACACTATACGATAAACTTGCAGGATCGAACTTTCAGACTCCGGCGACATCTGAATGAAGAGTGGATCTGTTGCAAAGGATCCATGTGTAAAGAATTGCTGATGTTCATATCCCAAATCCAGCCACATCTCTCTAAGGCTGTGACTTGCTCTAATTCCATCCTGAACGATGGCTCTGTCGACGAAATTTTGGAGAGCTGGCCATTCATGAACGTTAATGTTTTCCTTTTGTAAAGCCAATGCACAGACTGACGTAGTTGTTGCTGTTGTGAATTAAGTTTGGGTTGTCCGGAAAAAGTTGCAACCTTGAAGTTGCCCTTGTACCGATCGCCAACATAATCTTTCATGCTGAGGTATCTCGGCACCCTTCCCTCATACCTAGAAGGCGTAGGTATTGTGGAAGATTGTCGGATTGACAGCCCTATCGACCTTTGTGTCGCCCGAAAGGACCTGTGTATAGACCCGACGAAGATCTTTGGCAGCAGCATTCTCGTAGAATCAAAGGATCACCGCATTGTGTATGATAAAAGATAGAAAAAGAAGTCAGCCAACATGGTGGTAGTCGAGAAAGATGAAGACAAGAGGGAAGCAAGATCTATTTTAGCCTACTGTTAAATAACACTGCTCTGGCGCCGAAGCACTAAAGAACACACCAACCCAAAATTCCTTAAGTGAACAAAAAATGCATGTAAGCATAGAATACAAGCATTTGTAGCTGCAACCTCTATCCTCATTTCGAATCTTGAGTCTTCACACTCTCTTACATGATTGAGTTTTTTCGCTCAAACACCCTCCTCTCACAGCACCATCACTTGCCTCTCTGATCTTATACGTTTTCATAATCAAAGGCAGATTCTACATCACCATTATCACTTGACAAGATTGTATCGCGGTAAGTCTGGTCAATTAAACCCGACAGGCCGAAATGGTGTTAGTGAAGAGGCGAGTAGGGGGTAATATATGATATTACCCGTGAATACTGCTGATTCATCTCCCTCTTTACCCGATATAATGAACAGATTGCAAACGGTGTTACCTTTTTAGCATCTGATGAAGCTTCTTGTGTGAACGGGATCGTACTTCCACTTGACGGAAGTCTATTTGCCAGTCATCCAGTCGTACCTGGTAACAACGAATAAAATTACACGGGTGTGGCTTATGAAACCTGTAATGTACATGAGCAACTCAAGCATTGACGAGAACTTTCAATCGTCATCTTTGCGTTGTTTCTTTTTTGAACTTCCGTTCACTTGAGCACTTGCTTCTTTTTCACGATCACGCTTTTTACCCTTTGTTGGTGTTGAATCAACGGCATGTTTATCCTTCTTTCCGCTTGTGGAAGGTGTTCCAAGTTCAGATCGATCATCATCTTTATCCTTTTTACCCTTTTCCGATTTACCTCCTTTTTCACTTTTTGATGACTTTTCCGATTTTCCTTCTTTTTCCGATTTGTCAGTCTTTTCGTTCTTGTCTCCTTTTTTTGACAATGATGGACTTTGTTCACGAGATCGACCTTCGTTTGCTTTTAGCTGTAGTGAACGGGTATAGGTAGAACTACTATTGCTGAACATTCGATCTTCAATCGGAACGTCGTTTGGGTTCATCGCAAGAGCAGCAGCGGCAGATTTACTGGTATGTCCGCCCGTTGCGGTAGATTTAAGATATCCATCAAATCCCTTAACGATATTTCCACCAGAAGCAGAAGTTGAAGCTAAGTAAGATCCTTCAAACAAGAATATCTGTGATTCCAAGTCTGTCAATGCTCGATCGATTTGTCGCTTTTTACTGATTCCTGTCTTAAGTGCTTTCTTTGTTGTTTCATAGCGCTGTTTTGCTTCTTCCAGCGATCCCGCCAGAGGTGATTCTTGTTGTGCAACACTCGGCATTGTGATCGGATGTGAGTGGTGATGGTGGTGTAGATGCAACTGCATTAAGATCTGCAACACGCTGCATACGCGACTTTTTAGGTTTGCAGGCAGCGCCATATATCCGCCAATACTTAATTTTTTGTTCATTCACTCATTCGCATCTTCGTAGCAACCATCTCGAACGCAAATGTCAATAGAGCAACTCATTGATGATGCAGCAAGACGATTAGCAATTGAATCTAGATCACTTCTCGGTCTTCCGGAAGATGAACAAGGGTGCAAATCAGGCAAATGGCTACAGATTCTTCAACAACCCCCATCTGCCTTGCAATTCTCACAACATGTTTCTCGACATATACCACTTTTGATCGAGAATTGTATACAGGGCAGGCCTTGCTGGACGAAATGGAGGGGTACAGACTATTTGATAGATGCCATGGGGTCACGTAAAGTACAAGTCGCTCTCACACCAAATGGCAGAGCAGACGACATTCATAACCATAACGGAAAGGATGTATTCGCTTTACCGGCTGAGGCTCAAATGACATTTCGCGAATTGTTCAACGCTTTTGATGAAGCCTCCAAATCGTCTGAGAATACCACAATAGCCTATCTGCAATCTCAAAATTCCAACCTGACAGCATCGATAGAAGACGGTAGTGGAGACCTCTCTGTCCTTCTTAAAGATGTCTTACCGATAGAAGGTGATGACAAGAACCCCAGGACGAAAAGCGGTAGCTATCGATGGGCAGACGAAGCTCTTGACTGTGAGCCTGAAGCGACGAATCTATGGATAGGCACCGAAAAGAGCAAGACATCAATGCATCGTGATCACTATGAGAATCTGTTCTCAGTTATTAGAGGTACAAAAATCTTTACATTGTATCCGCCATGTGAAGCACACTTTCTGTGCGAAGACGAGCCATTCGATGTATTCCAATGGTCTAAAAGAAAAGACGATGATTGGAGCCTTGAACAATCAGACACCCCTCCGACCCCATGGATCCCAATCGATCCGACACAGTCATCTTCTTCTGAGCGGAATGCGCGCTATCCACTCTTTTCCAAAGCACTTCCACCGTTGACGATCGAAGTCAAAGAAGGTCAAACGCTGTATTTACCTGCAGGTTGGTTCCATCACGTAGCACAAAAAGGGGATAAGGAAGGTGTTTGTATTTGTGTGAATTGGTGGTATGATTCGCAAATCGCATTTGGGGATAGATGGGCACTAGAAACTTTTGTAAAGGAAGTTGGTCAGATTTCGCGTGGGAAAGATCCGACTGAATCGTAATCATTTGTATCATAGCTTCAGCATTGTTTAGCACACTCGCACTTGTACCAATCATGTGTAGAAATAAAGTATCATATTTGCTAATCGTACAGGAGGCATTACAGCTTGGTAGATTACCGCTTTCCACCCTTTCCTCTGGTCGCTCTTCTTCCTTGACCTGTATTAGGAGGAGAGAAATGATAGTCAGTATAACTGTGTAGCAGAAGAGCGCAAAAGGCATTCGTCGCTTACCTTTCTTTGGAGGTCCTTTTCCGATTGCTTTCTTATGTTCGACATCGTGCAACCTTTGCAACTCTTTCAAATCGATCAAACCAGTTCTGGTTGTACCGTCTGGGGCTTGCCATGTTTCACCTTCGTGTGGACCACCAGGACCATAAAGTGCTTTGTTCAAAGGTTTAAAGCTTACTGTAGGTGGATAGTAGGCCAGCATTGATGGACCAACAAGTCTTTTCTTTAAGAACTTTGCACCTGTTCGTAGCGAAGGTGATTCTCCTAGTGCTCTTGGTGGTGCGGTTTGGAATATTCTTGCTCTGGCTTCTGCCAATGCATGAAGAACAGGTGCTGGCGGTCTCATGTTGATGGGGAGTGTATGGTCGAGGTGATTGGTGATGGAGAAGATCTTCGTATTTTCTGGCGCTTAGGCTAAAAAAATGGTTTTTATCATCACGAGACAAATGAACTGCCCTCGCCTCTCTTATTACGCGTAAAACCCTCAAACCGCCTGTCTGCCTGCCTGCCTGCATTTGGCACCCGCCTTGCTAAGTTCACTGTTTAAGGCACAACCTTCAGTGGAGATTGAGCGTGCACACATTTGAGACAACCCGACACCGACACTTTCAATCCTCTCTTCCGCAATCAACATCAAACAACAAACAATCATCTCTTTCAGTGCACGCGAGACTACTGTTCTCCAAGACGTTCGTCAAACAATAGTCAAGACGGCTAATCAATTCGGCAGCAGTGCTACCAAAGGTAGCCTGCAAGTGCCTAGAACACGACAAAGATACGCTCAATCTCAAGCAGGAGCAAATTACGGATTAGAAGTTCCAACTACAATGTCTTCTACAAGTTTGTCAAACGGGACAACACCGATCGGAAGTAGGTCTGCTTCTCCAAGATTGAATTCGAATACAGGTGGGAAAGGAAATGTAGCCATCCCGATCGAAGCAGATGATAGCGGTAGAATAGGAACAGGGCAGATTGTTGATCCGCATGGCTATGGTGGTGGTGGGGCAGGCAGATCGAATCCAGCAGGTGGTCTAGCGATCAATATGCCAAACGGATCTGGTGGACACTCAGCACCAATGCCATCAAGGACGCACTATAGATTATCCAGAACGGAAATCCTGAAAGGACTGGCAAACAGATTTGTTCATTCGACGGCATATTTATACTTTTATGGATCTATGGCATTAGCAAGTTTGATGACCGTCTTCATCTCTCTAATTCAAGATTGTCCCGGTACATTGTTCTACAGCTTGGAACTTACAATCAATGCTTTATTGATCGCAGAGGTTGGAATACGAGGCTATGCGTTCGGTAAACAATTTTGGAAATCAACGTTCAATATTATCGATTTAGGATTAGTGATGCTTTGTGCAATCACACTTGCCGTTTTGTTCTTTTCGCATGATTGTTCTCCATACCGAAGAGGCAAAGAAGATCCTGAACCAGGTGAAGATTTACCTGGTTCTACCCAAGGCGGTCGAGGTGGTCGATCAGAAGAATTGCTTGACAGTTTCTTGTTGATCTTGCGAAATGCTGCTCAACTTGTTCGTTTGCTCAGCGTCGTTCGTAGAAGTAGCTCAAACGTCACTACCCGTGTTCCAACGATCGATTTGGATGACGCACGTAGATACAGTCTCGATTGGGATTTAGAGGAAGAAGGTTTACAAGCACGACAGCGGATGGCAGATGGCGGAGACCGTAGCGCACGAAATCAACAGGGCAGAAACGAAGAACAAAGGCAACTGTTCGATTATGAGGATGAGGATGATGAATTGTGATAATCCTGCTCGAAATGTATTTCAACTTGTATTCTTCTTTTAATTTCCAGTGCTTATGATTGAACAATGATTAAATTATATAGTGATTCATTCACATGATGATGATGATTATACGGTATGGATACAAATAGTATGATAAACCTCAACTCGAACAGTCAAGGAGGTCTAAAGGGTTGCAATCACCTGAGAGGTTGCATATTTGTTGTTTGTCTTCAAGGTGAGAATACACCTGAAGATGTGCAATTGATTGGTGATGGAATGCTAAACGGTTGAGCTCTCGGCCCGCGAGGACTTGGTGGTGTTGAGCTATTCTTCATCCCTGCAGCCGGGCCACGAAAAGGTGCAGGATTTGATTGTTGTTCGGAGTGTCCAAGATCATTTGCTGGTATGGCAGCGCTCGTTCCATCTGACATGTTCTCATATTGGTTCGCTTCATATACAGGTATGGCTGGAATGCCATACGATGGAGCTGAAGAGGGCCCATCGTGCGGAGACAACCCATTCTGCTCTGGAGCTGGAGCAGTACTGGGTGAATTCTTGTTGCGCTTCCAATGACCTAGCTGTGCTTTGACGGTATCGATGATCAAAGGAGATCCGCGAACACGAGGTGAATTGGCTGCCGAGCTGGATTGTCTCAAAGCATTTCGAGCTGCCAAAATGTTGGGAGACACACTACCGTTTCCAAACGATGTTGAACGTGCACTGAATGCAGGTTGAGGCGGTTCAAATTCAGGAGGACTTCCGGTTGACATGTGGTTAACATTGCCCGGTACAGATTTCGAATGTGATAATTGATCATTATTGATCGATTGCATCAACTTTGAATTCGCTTGAAGGCTTGGACTGGGAGGTAAGGCTGCAAATCGATATCTAGGACTCAATGGGCTCATCGATCTTCTGATTGGCAATGCACTTCCATCGTGTACCATCAATCTAGGTGAATTGCGTTTTACCGCTGCGGTCGTTGCGCTCGAAATTCCATTTCCATTCATGATGGTTGCTTTACCTGCAGCTGATAAGGAAGCACGTCGATTTTGTCTGTAATCTTGACGGCGATCAGAGATACTTCCCATCGAGCGTCGAATGGGCTTTTCATCTTTCTTCTGTTGGTCCGTAGCAGATGAAGCATCACCAGAAAGTTCATTCGAGCTCAATGGCGTTTCAATGTATCTTGGCCTCTCAATCATATCTGAAGTACCGCTACGAGTTGTACCTGAAGCGTAAGATCGTGTTGGACTTTGCACGTACACTTCTTCGAATCCGTTTGGCATGCGTTCACTTTCATCATGTACTGGTTCACCTGCCAAAGAAATGATCTCATGACGACGGATCAATTCTTGCAATGTTGGAGCGGGTAATCTTGCTGTTGGATTTGCAAATTTGATTCCCAGAGCATCTGCACTTGGACCATGTTGAATCGAATCGTTCAAGCTGTGATGTTGTCCAGTGCTGGTATCCTTGGAGGATGTTGGGCCAGCAGTCAATGAATCTGTACTTTGCAGAGGAGATCGATGGACTGAAAGAGGATGCTCGGCGCTCATAGGACTGAGACTTGGACCGAAATGACCGGAGCCTACACGATCGCTATTCGGATGATCAATATCGGACAGATGTTGATCATACAAGAATGTCGGCGTACGACCTCCGCTTGCTTCAAGTGCATCACGATGGGAAGAAATACCAGAAATACCCGATAGACGAGAACGTAACATCAATTCATGATCCTCATCATGACCAACTTCGTTCTCTTCGTCTTCATTCATATGCATCGAACTTCGACTGATCTCGATCCGGTCTGTTTGTTCGCCTTCAGATGCGCTATCGTCTTGACTCCATTGATCATCAGAAAGGATCGAGTTTCGATTAGTGCTATTTCCTCCTCGTGTTGTAGTCACATCATCTTGCGGTGGAGAATCAGTGTTCATCCCAGCTTCTCTGTGTATGACATGATGGTGGAAGAATGGGTTCGCATCTTCTTCCATTATGCCTTCCCCGCCCCTTGATCTTAGCCAGGCAAGTTGCTCATCATCTTCATCCTCTTCTTGTGTTGAAGCTATACGTGGACTGACAGCTTTAGAAGAGTATGCATCGCTGACACTTTCAATGACAGATCCTCGGATCATGCGGGCAAAAGCTGATTGTTGATAATCAGTCGATTGTCCACTCTCCTCCCCTTTATCATGCTTTACACCTACAGCCTCTGTTTCCGCCTCAGTCTTGGAAGTCTCAAATTTCTCTTGAGATAATGGTCGAGGTGTTTCCGATGAATGACGTTCGCGAGTTTGACTTGCTTTACTTGTGATGTTTAAGCCTTCACTTGAATGCTCTTCAGCATGTGCATCATCAGTGCTCAACTGCCTGTCGACACTCTCGTGCAATCCATCTTCATCCGTGCCAGCTTCGTAGGATTCGGAAGTTGCATTTCCGGATACCAAAGAGAATTGTGAGCTACTACGATCCGATTCTGGCATCTCTGCTTGAACACCAATCGTAGTATACTGTGGTCGAACGATAGTAGGAGCTACCTCTTCGATCGAATCACTTGGCTGAACCTGTTGCGAGATTAGCTCAACGTTTCGCTCTTCATCGTTCTCTTCCTCTTCTTTTTCTGGAATGGTGGGAGAGATGTGCTTGCGCTGCTCGCTGATCCATTCGTCACGCATTGCATAATCTTTGCTATCTGAATCGTAGGATTCTTCTAGTGGTTCTTGGCTTGGTTGCGCCGGTGAGCGATGTTCTGTGGAGATTTCTTTCACCAAGTGTGGCTGTACCGCATCCTGCGTTGTTTCTATATGATCAACTTCCTTTGTGTGTCCTTCCTCCCGTGCTTCAACATCGGATAGTGCTAACGGATGGACAGTTGCCTCCATTGGATGTACAGTATCGTCATCTTTAAGAAGCCGCGATTGTTCCTCTGCATCATAATTGCTTGCTTGCTCACTCGTTGAAGAGCTCGAACGCTTAGCAGAAAGTGCAGCTAATTCTGCCACATCATCCGACGAAACATTCTCAACAGCTTTTTGTGTAGCAGCAGAAAGTGATTTAGGTCTTGAACTCAATGTGGAAACATCATCTCTGACTCCCTTATCACTATGCTGTTCACCCGTTCCTACTGATCGCTTGTCTTCATGATGGGCAACAGAAGCTTCGGAAGGTGAAATGATCCTTGGCATTGCGGGAACTTGATCCGACTGGGGTGATCGGAACCATCTTGGCGAAGCAGTCACACTTGCAGACAAGGATCTAGCACGAGCCATACTCTCTGATGCACTCACATTAGATGAAAAGCGCATTCGTTTTGGCGCAGAAAGTTTTGCAGATCCTTCTTCTTCAACAGCTTCTCGTGTTGGTAAGATTTGTACATTAGGAGATCTTTGTTGTCCAAAGCCTGCCGGTGAAAGAAGTGCCAATGCTCTTTCCATATCCATCAAAGTATCACTCAATTCTGATGTAGAACTACTTCCACTCATTTGACCAGGCGAACGCATTGGGGTTGGCACGTCCAATTGCCATGGAGACAATTGTGTAGGAGAGCTGACACCGGGTGTTTCAGCTGATAGACTCTCTTGTCGCATCATATAAGGTCTTGTCTTTAATTCTTCAGTTGGCGCTTGAATATCACGTTCATTCTGGCTACCTTGCCTCATCGCATCAGGCGTTTGAGGTGGCAGCAAGCTGCTCAAATTCGGTGATGGACCGCCAAAGGTTCCCTCATCATTTTCTTGTAGAGCAATCGGACTCAAAAGGGATGCTGCAGAACCTTGTAAATCGACACCTGTACCGGCTTGCAACAACGGATTGGTAGCCTGCAATTCACCATCCGATCTAGGATCAACAATGAATTGCATATCTTGCGATGCACGGGAAGCATGTCCAAAGTTACGTCTGGAAGAGTGTCTAGAATGTCGGCTCGCACGAGATGTTGATTTTGAACTGTGGCGTGAGTGTGCTGAGATGACCGATTCACGATCTTTTCGAGATGCAGTTCGGGATGCAGAGCGCGAGTCTGGGCGGGAATCAGGGCGTGACTTGACAGAGTAATTTGCTGAACTTCTTCTGGTTGACGTTACTGTTGTAGTTTCTGGCTCGAACGATCTCTCTTCAATAGAAGGTAGTAAAGGAATGTTGCCAGTAGGATCGGATGCTTTTGCTGCCCATAGACCAACAACGTCCGCGACATCATCCTGAGATGCTTGCGATCCTTCCTCTGCATTCCCTTCGTGATCATCGTCTTCAACTTTTTCGGATGGAGGAGAGTGTGTTTTCACGATCCAGTCATGTACAGCTGAGCCTCGTCCTTGACTGCTTTCGCGTTTGCTACCCACAGAGACATTTTTGTTCATCGTACTGAGAGTAGAAGCAGAGAGTGCATCAAACGTTGCAGCATTCTTTTGCTTGGGATCGTTGATCGATCGACTAGCTCGTTGCTCTTGCAAGCCAGTCCAAGCTCTGTCATCCTCCATTTCTTCTAGTGCATGAGGGTTAAAGTGTTCCACATCTTCATTGATGAACTCCTTTCCTTCTTCATCACTGTGATCGGCTTCGAGTGCGCCTGTATCCAGATCCCTAGTGCTGCGGGCTTCGTAATTACTGCTTGAGCCATTCACAAAACCCATCAAAGCCGAGAATCCAGCGTAGCTCCGGCCATCTTGACTTACACCGCCCAATTCTTCATCCACATCCAGACTTTCGTCACCAGGTACACTTCTTTGTATGTCTCTTGGTCCATTGTACTGATTGTGCTCTTCTTCGTCATCACCTTCATCCAATGGAGCATATCCTTGAGACGTTTCGGGAACAAACAAACTTGTATTTGAACGAGTTTGAGCATCACTTGCCACCGTATCGTATGACTTTCGATCTTCAGACCGCCTAGAATCGGTCGTCATTGGTCCTTCTGTACTTGCTGTACGAGATTCGGTTGGAATGTTTAATCGTTTGGGTAGATGCATACTTCGTCTGCCTTGTGCATGCTTTCTTGCAGTTCCAGCAGGCACAGGAACCCCAGATGCTGCTTCGTATGCTGCTCGGCTTCCTTGTACAGCAGCAGTCGCTCCGATGAATTGGTTCCACCAAGGCGCTCTTGATTTATCTACCGCCCATTCGATCCGTCCAACAATTGGCAATTTACTCGAGATAGAGGACAAATTACTGGCAGCAGGTGATGCTCGCCATGATGCATCTTGCGCTGGGTGGTATCCACGAGCGGATCCTTTACGCATAGGAGACGGGGTCATCATTTGTCTTGGACTGATGCCATTGTAAGATGCAGAACCGTTTTGCAAATGTGAATATTGGAATCGATGACTTGCGTTCGGATCAAGGGGATGGAACATACTGTCATCTAAGCCTTCTTCATCTCTGACGGGTGTACCCCTTTCCGTATTCGAATCAACGCGTAGATCAATACCGGAAGCGGCACTGAACTTTCTATCGTGGCCGTTTGAAAAAGGTGATGCTTCCCTGATATGCATTGCGGAAGGTGAGGGTGAGGGATTCGTAATATCACGATATAGATCTTCCGAATTGTCATCAAAGTATCGATTCCATAAATAGGGCCACGTTTCTTCACCAACTCGAGGGCCAAGATTACCTTCTCCATCATCGCATAAATAGATTGAAAGACCTCCAATCGATGGCAGACCATATTCCCGTGAGATTGCATATAGTTGCCCGCCAAGTGTTGGATATAACGGCATCAATGTGCCTCTTTTCACATGACCGCTACTGGCAAAAGACGTTGACCGAGAGGATGATGAACCATCTGCTTGTGATGCTAGCTCGTTTGGAGGAATGACTGTGACAAAGAACCTTGTCATTGGCGTATGTGGACTTCTGCTATATCCGAACCCAGGTAGTTGCTGTCGATCATTTATAGATCGATTGGGCGTTGCACTTCTTCCAGCAGAAACAGAAAGTGGCGATGCACGAGGTATTCTTGTATTGTATTCAAACGAGGTAGGTTGTGTAAGATTGCTTCCGTTTCTCATCCTTGGAGCGAATGATTGTTGCTGTTGTTGAAAGTGTGATTGTTGGGAAGTAGAAGATTGTGGTAAGAAACTTTCGGGTACTAAAGGTGATCTTGGCCTTCGATTTGAATGATGATGATGATCGGTATGAAAAGAAGATCGACTACGTGATGTATTGCTTTCAGTGTAGGCCTGCCCTCGAAGTGAAGTTCGATCATCCATTGCATACGACATGATTGTCTAGGTTGTTTCCGCACAGAGGCGGTCTCTTTAGAGCTGAGCAGCAATTTGAATGAATGTGAAAGGTTTAAGTTATATGTCAAGCATCAATTCACTTCTTCTTTTGTTGTATGAGTTTGTGAGGAGGCGTGATTGTTTGGTTGGAAGTTGATTTCTGACACGTTTCCGCTATCCAAACTGCGCAACCTAAAACAAATGTTTGATTTATCGGATGGAATGGGGCAGGAATACCGAGTTTTGTTTTGCTTTTTGGCGTAAAAAGAGAAAATCCTTTGAATGTCAATTTGACTGAGAGTGAATTCAAACACGGCGCAATAACACAACCAGTATGTTATATCCGCTCCTTTTTTTACTCCGAATAGCGTAGCCGCGAGAATTCTGATGGAAGAATTATGGAAGGGTGAGGCGTAATGTTGGGATTGATTTCTCCTTGTTGATTGTTTGGTAGGATGGTGATAGTGATGATGATGATGAGATAAACAAACAATGCCCTTGTTTGACAAATCTTTCATCACCATTCACAGCTTACAATTCAACAGTTGTTACTTCCGATATATGCACGGCAAAGTCGCGTAATTGAAAAAAAGAGGACCTCGCTTTTTTTTTGTTCAAAAAAAGACGCGAATGAGAGAACAAGTGAAAATGCACGTTCAAATGTTACACAGGCTAAAAATCAGTCAGGGCATCGTAATTGTGATCGGGTTATTTGTTGCTGAATAAAAAAAAAAAAGTAGGGATATTTGTTTGCATAAAAGGCACTTGATTACAAAAAGTTGTTCAAACGCGTGTATAATCACAACACATGCACAATACCGTCAATTCTGCAATCTTGTGACGATAGGAGTGTTAATTAGCGGTACCGTAATCAAGCGGGAAGATGAGAGGGAAACTGCTGTGATTGACTAAATCTGCAAATTTATGCAACTTTGGGCGCTTTTCTGGCTTTTTAGATCAGGGTTCTTTTGCCGTCTGTCGTATGGAAGTACATAATCTCGGTTGTAGAATTCGATGGCTTCATACTTTTTTTTGAAATATTCCGTTCTTTGGCGGTAATGCCGGTAATCAAATTAACAACCAGCATAATTGCTTTTCGAGTGTTTATTTCATCGTTAGCGATCTTTGCATTCCGGGATGATATTGGGAGAACAATGACCTGAAACATGCCTAAACTAATAAACTTTAACTCTATAATAAAAGTCTCGTGTACCTCTGTCATGGACTTGACTAATGCGATGTACAACATACACTAGCGGCGGTGATTATGTATTATCCGTCTTTAGAATCACAATATGACGTTGAGGGAATGCCACAAGAGCTAGTTAGTGTGTGACAATTTAACTCCTGAATAGTAAACATTCCAAGCATAAATGATTTCTGTGTATGTGATTGTGTTGTGTGGCTGGAAAACCGACTAAAAATGTTGACTAATGCCAGATGAACGAAGAAAGGAGGCTTAAGTGTTGATGAACAAAAATAAAAATATTATTTTTTACAAAAAAGCCAAGTCGCGCCGCGCAATGCCACAAAGCGAGACGCGTTTCCTCAACAACTCTCTCATTTCGCGACGCGTTCCAGCAGTGAGACAAACAGGCAGGCAGGTAAATCGGGCAAAGTTGATTTCCAACCACCGTGAAGGCAAGGACCTGCTCATTTGCATGCGGGGAAAAAGCCACGATGACCAACAAAAAATGATCTGCAATCAATCTAGGAAAGTTTTCCTCTCCTTCTATACCAAATTGATTAGTTGTGCATTCCTGATTGCCGCGCTAATCAATTTAAAGAACAGAGAATTACCCGATACAGAATTGTCAATTCAGCCGATCTTTCTCCGATGACTTCCATGCACACAGAATCAATTTGGGATACCGGCAGAGCATTTGATTAAGAAAAGCAAATACACAGCAAGCTGACTCGCAAAAAATTATGGGTCAAAAAGGAAGGGGAGAGAGTATACAGTAAAAGAGAGAGTGTGTGAATGTGTAATGTTATGGTGAATAGGATACAGTAATTTTTGAATGAGAGTGTGATACGCTATGTATGATGGAGAAAAAGAGTGTGTTTTGAAATCTACACCATAGGTGCATTGGCTGTGATAGGGAACCGATTCAAAAGACTGGTATTACTTGCAAAGCTAGAGCCCGATAAACGATGAACACTCATACCAGAAGTAGCATTGCCATCTCTGTTATTGGCAGCCGACAACCATGATTGTTGAGCAGCATTGATCATCGAAGGTGTAAGGCTCAATTGTGCATTAGAAGAAGAAGATAGCCTTGACCTTGCACGTAGCGCTTGAGCTGCAGCAAATGACGATACCTTTGGTGTTGAAGCTTGTGAATCATTTTCAACATCCGGCAAACCTGGCAACGAATTGATCAAGATCGAACTTGGGGATGCATGTGATACTTGCGTAGATAATCCAGCTGATCGGGCAACACCCATCGGTCCGTGATGATGATTGATCGATCCTGTTGCACTGCTTGCTCGTGAAACTCGCTTGTTTGCTGTAGAAAAGAGTGGTCGGGTAGGCGAAGTTGTATAACTGATTGAAGACAACTGCAAGCCGGTACCGAATGCCGATCCATAACTTGTTGAAGGACTGAGGCCGAATGCGCTACTGCTTCTAGAAGCATTGGGTCGATGGGAAGATTGGTTCAAGTGCGGTAAAGGTGACACAGGAACTCCAGCCCCGCTGGTGTGGGAAGCTTGGTTAGCGGCCAAACTCAACGGCCTTAGCTTCGATAACCGTTCAGCTTGTCGTTCCTCGGGTGTAAGAGTAGGTTGCTTCTTGATTCTTGCATGATCGGGAATCATTTTCTGTTTAACTTCGACTTCCAACTCAGGCAAAGCAATCGTCTTTTCGTACGGGGTCAAAGGCGGAGTGAGGATACCGTGTCCGCCTAAGAAGGATTCTCCCATATCAATGTTGAGAGCTTGCAGCTCATTTCCAGACTTGGTCTTTGTAAGAGAGGCATTTTGACCTACATCAATGCTCAATCTAGCGCTGTGGCTAGTGAACCCGCCTTGTTGTTCTTCCAGCTCTTCCCGAATAGATTGTTTGTTAGCCATTTGTCTACTCGAAGATCTTCCATGACCCGTTAACGCTTGTTTAGCCTGATTTCTCTTTTGGATACTCTGTAAAAGCTTGGCTCTCTGGTCTTGTGCGTTCTCATAATCGAAAGCAGACTCTGCATCACCATTATCACTAGACAAGATTGTATCGCAGTAGCTACTTGCAATTGAATCACGTTGAACATCCCTGTTCAAGTTCAACCACTTTTGTTGTTGACCTTGATCATGTGCTTGGATCGATTGGATTGCATTCGTAGTATGATCCATCGAAGAAGCAGCGATCAAATTATATCCAACCGAATCAGCACTTGTCGAAGATGATGGTTCAGCATCGGCAAATCTGGGCGAAGAATTGTTACTCTGACGATGTTCTTCTTCAATCACATCATACGTATCGTTTTGCTTCGTTGATGATGGTCCTTGCATTCTCGACCAAGGGAAGGCTCGGTTGAATTCATGACTTTGTGAAGAAGATCCATAAGAAGATGTTGAATTGTTTCGTTCTAGGGAAAATGCTGATTCGCGTTGTGTATTTCTGTTGATCATTGCTTTTTGCTTCAACGACCGTTTTGATGCATTTGAGCCCTTTCGTTTGAGACTATTACTAGATCTAAGCACATCAACCGTCTTTTGACTTCCGCTTTGAAGACCAAGACCAGGATTGATCGGTGAGCTTCTTTCTGCTTCAATCGAGCTAGAAGACCGTTGAACGAATTGAGGCATCTCAATATCATCCGTTGACAAGTTCCATGTTTCAGTAGGACCAACAAATGAATTAGGTGTACCGTCCATGAAAGAATTGCTAGACAATGCAGGGCTCACACCAGGAATTGCACCCAATTGAGGGCTTCGAGATGCAACAAGACCGGTTTCTTCTACTTGTGTTGCATTAGGAGAGACACGTCCACCACTGCTTGCTGCACTGTTGGATGATTTTGACCGTGACATGGAAAGTTTTGCACGTAAATTCGATGCAAAGCTTGGCTTGTTGCTGATGGTCTTTTGAAGTCCGGTATTGTCAAATGTGTTCATCAAAGGAACATTCTTGTCATCAGAAGAGATTGCAGCTTGACATTCATCGATCAAATCACTTGGAATTTGAAGAGCGGGTAAATTCCTTGAGAACGGTTGTCTGTCCTTCATCGAATTCGAACGCAGATCTGAGGGGAACATCTCTTGTTCGGTAGTATGATCGAATGTCATTGTTGGGACTGGCATTTTGTGTCCTTCAGATGAACCTGATCTTCTGCTCTGATCACCATCAACTACACTGGTATGGATCGTTGAATTACCATCTTGAACGGCCGAGAAGCTACCCCCGTGGTCAGCCTGCGAGAAACTGGATCGATCAAGGGAAAGATCCAACGAATTTTCATTGCTTCGCAAGACAGGTTCCATTGATGAAAACAATGCAGCTGCACGAACTGCAGATTCGACACTTGCCCGCCCAGCTCCAGTCTCATGTGTTTGATCGGAGGGTAGGACTTCAGCAGGAGCCAAAACTTCAACCTTTTCTTCTGTCTGTTGACGAACTTCGTTTGCGCTTTCTTGGTAAAGAGTTCTTCTGCTGTAAGGTGTATAATAATCTACCGTGACCCTAGAAGGTCCTCCAGTGGTAGGCTTTTCATGCTTTTTTGGAGGTCCAGTGGCTGGTGGAGGAGGTCGTGATGACTTGGAAGCTTTCTTGGAATGCGATTTTGTGGAAGAAATTGAAGCTTTCGAAGCATGTCCAGCAGGTGCATGCACAACAGGCTTCGGGATCTGCGGTGCCCGTCTTGGAGGTTCCTCAAAGCTAGGTCCATCGCTGTTGAAAGCACTATCCAAAGCACTTGCCAACCATGAAGATTGTTCCATCACACTATTGTCTACCTCGAAAGGTGACTCTTGATTAGACCTCTGTCCACCAAATTCCATACCAAGATCCAGAACAGGCGTAAATGATTCACTACCGTCTATCGAAGCAGCCGGATTAGGTGAAAGTGACCTTTGAGGAACTGGTAAAACAGTGTTGAGAGAAGGAGTGGGGCGTTGTTGCAACGCTGCCGGCTGAGGAAGCTGCGGCAAATATTGTACTTCTTGCTGGATTTCCTGCTGAATTTCACCGTCAGGATAGATTGGCTTTCTACTGATCCTTATCGATTTGACCGAAGGTGCTTTCTGTGTGGGCTGCGATTGCGCTTTTTGGATCATATGGTGGCTATTAGCTGGCAAAGGCGGCATTTCAACTGACGCATAGGATCCCGCTTGTTGGCTGTATGAGCTGTAAGTAGTCGACATTCCCTCGGAAGAATGCGGGTAGGGTCCCGAAGATGATGTGAAGGAGTATTGCGAAGATGTCGAAGGAAGGGTGTGCATGATCCTGGCATGTGCAGAAGGCGGGATCATATTTTCGCGATAAGCAGATACACGTTCGCCAGACGATCTTGTTGAATCATGATGAGTCCATTGATTTTGTTGTTCGTTTGAAATTCTTCGAACATCAGCAGCCATTCGCATAGCAGGCGTCATACCTTTACCATCAACGACACCTTTTATGCTGGTCTTTGGCGTTTTGATCAAGATTGATTCACCAGCTTTTGCTTGAGGAATGAGATTTCTTCTCCTCCTTTTGCGTCGTACATGTAGAACATAAAATGTCACACCCACCACGCTCAATATCATCGCACCACCTCCAACAGCGATTAAAATGATGGATATCAGGGATATACTCGAACCGCCGATAGCGATATCCCTCGCCTTCAGGCTGACAATTTCGGGAGTCATCTTTGTGTATATTTTGTCGTTGAAAAGCAGTTGAAAGTTCAATGACGAATGCGATGGTCAGGTCGTAGCAATCAGTACATCATAGGTTGTAGAGTTGAACAGATAAGGAGTCGCGTTGAAATGGGAGAAAGACGTGATGATGAGACCGAACGGGAATGCAATTGAGGTGTTGGTAAAAAGAATGTAGCAAAGTTTGTTGATGATTAACGAATGTAATAATTAAACGATTGGCGGAATAGACGATAGCAGGAAATTGATGTCGAGATGGCGGTCAAGAGAATGATCGATATAGGGCCAAGATTTGACGTGAACAGATTAGGTTGATCGACAGTACGGCATACAGACGGGAACATCTGTGGAAAAAGAACCGTCGGTAAATTGACTATTCATTTGCCAGATTTATGCTCCTCTTCTTTCAAGGGAAGTACGTACAAGCCACATAGCCTTTTCTGGTCTTCTGGCTTCTTAAAGTTTTATTATAAAATGAAAGATTGAGTGCGCTTTGTGCTCTCCATTGTACAAGGCTTTAGCCCGATGTTAAAATTACCAGACCGTATTCATGACAGGTCCAATCACTGATTCTCATGTCATTTAGCCATGTTTCAATGAAGCGAAATTCAACCCTTTGCATAATTGGTAGGACTGGTATTCTGATCGGATCTTCTGGATGGGGGTACCTGTCGCAGGATCGTAGGCATAAAAAGCACGCCTATTGAACTGTTTCTATCTACCCTTCAAAGTAAGGCTTCCAGGCACCACCAATTAACACAACAGTTGGAACGCATACTTGATGGTAAGGGGAAAGGCATGAAGTAGGATTTTTGATTCTCCTTGCATGAACATGCATTCAACACAACACTTCCATCAATCACGCGTAGACGCGTAAATTATTGCATCATTTCAACTTCACGAACCACTCGTGTGGCTTTTGGAAGAAATGTACCCAAAGCTGACTAAGCACAGGTGGGCATTTCAGTGTAAAGGTTTGATTTTATGATTACCCCTATCAGATGAAAAAGAATGACCAGAGGTGAATGATATATAACATAATCATCCAAAAAGCAGGAACAGCCGATAAAGGGAATCGGCCGGCCGAATTGAACGTAAAGACTTGGCTACAGCTTGCCGAACTTGACGTTGTCACATGATTTCGTGTAAAGAAGTTCCGCTTATATCAGCGAAGGTGGTTCTAATTAAATCTATTTTTGGTATAAGTTGCTGTTGTGTTTTGAGTGCTAATTGCGCCTTTGTGGGCCCGTACCCTAGTTTGAAATTGATTGTTGTATTCAATTTGCCGATTGTGCATTCGACGGAGATGCGCGTCTGGCGTGCGTGCGTGCGTGAGTGCGTGAGTGGGTGCAACGCTTCTTTTTTCAATAAAATACGAATTCCTCAATCATTATTGCAAGGAATGCGGCAAGAAAGAGCATGTGGTGATCAATTGTTCTTATTCCTATACGCATAAGTCTTCTAGAAGACGGCAAACAGAATGGATGAATGAGACAATATTTTTCTATTACACTTTTCTGGTGAAGAAGATAAGATCTTATAATCTGACAAAGAGAGAGAGAGAGAAAGAGGGCATTTTGCCTTTACACTGAATTTATGCCAAGCCCTCCCAGAGTTTAAATTCTGCCATGAATTTTCACGCTAAACAGGGGATACCAAGCTTGAATGCAAGCCGACAGTCTGCCGACACGGGTTCTGAATTCAAAGGGGCTCCATATCAATAGTGCACTAGAACAGAGTATTTTAATACGACGCGCACTCTTTATTATGATTATTATTTATTATTTGCATTTACCCTTTATTCGCCATTTCAATTTTATTCCATCACGTCCTTTTATTCCGTCATCATCCCCTCTCCTTTCCCTCATCACCCTATCCATCTTCATCAGGAGGCCTGATCGTATTGGCTAACTGTCATCATGTCGTATCAACGCCCCCAAGATGCCTATATGCATTCAAATGCATCTGAATACGATCAACGTTATCAACAAGGCTCTTATCAAGATGAACCACACCAAAATGCTGCCGATTACTATTCTTCAAACCAATACAGATCTGATTCTCCAGCAAACATGCAATCAAAAGGATCAGAAATCGGCTCAAACTACGGCGATCACCAATACGTAGACTTTAGCCAACAAGGTAGCTACAACCAACAACCATATGGTGCCGGTGGCGCAGGTGCAGCAGGCTATGGAGCAGGTCAAGGAGCAGCATACAAGGATTACAGCTCTTCAGCTCATAATTTAACGGGAGGTGCACCAGGTAAGTAGTCTATTTGAGATTCAATCAGGAGATGAATTAGATGTCGGCGTAAAGGAAGATACGAGATGAGCCAATTTCGGCATTGATGCACATGAAATTTTATTACGATGAATTGCTCTGAATCAATCTCATGTATTGATCAGGAGGAGAAAGGTTTAAGGGGTCTGTGCGTACCTCTGATATAGAGTCGATGGTCTGTAAAAAGATTACATCCTCGTTCATCCTTTCCGGCAACGCGCTTCATTGTGCTCTCTCGAAGATCATCTTTTCTTCGTCATCATGTCTGGTTATCCTTACTTTGGTTACGGCCAGTCCTCACAGCACGGGGCTGGACAACCCGAAGAAATGGAAGAACTTCGGACATCTCATCAGGAATATCATAATACCCTTTACGGCATGTCTACTGCCAGTGGTTCGAACGTAGCACTAACATCAAATTACCCTCGTTCCCATCCTACAGCTGCAAATGCACAAAAATACTCTTATGCACCAAGTAAGAAACCCGTTTCAAAATGGATCAAGATTGGTATTCCCGTCGTTCTTATCATTATTGCCATTGGTGTCGGTGTTGGATTGGGTATCGGTTTGACACGTGGCGACAGTTCCGCGCATTCCAGTACAACAGCAACCAACGGTCTTTCTGGAGCAACCAGTGGAAATGAACCCTCTTATTACCCCGAAAATGTCCTTAACGCTGCCTCTGCTGCTGCCAAGAGCGGTGGCGGTGATGATTTGACATACCAAGGAACTGATTTATACGGTAACCCATCTTTCAAAAGCTCAGCAAACACTGCAGCTGCAACTCTGAACTCTGCAGCAATCGGTAACTGTGCTGCTGATAACTTCAATGGATCATTGACCAACTTGCGACCCCACCCTAGAATTATGACTACTGCTGCCGAATGGGACTGCTTGCCAAACAAGATTGCAAATGATGCATACTTGACTGTATGGAATTACACTATCTTCCAAAATGCTTCTGCATGGTATGCAATGCCTCCAACCAAGTACGTTACAGATGGTGGTATTGCCGGTTCTGGTATCTTGGATCCTGCTCGTGAAGTGCAACTCCGTGTCAAAACATTCGCTTATGCTTATCATCTTTCTGGTAATGACACCAAATGGCGTGACCGTGCTTGGGATGAATTGTATGCTGCCTCTGGTAATGACTCCGCAAATCCATGGGGAGCAGGCAACCCACCTACTCAAGTTTGGAACCCTACCCATTTCTTGGATTTGGCTGAATTGACTGCCGCATTTGCTATCGGATATGATTGGTTGTATTACGCATGGACTCCTCAACAACGCACAGCTTTGGCATGGTCTATTGTCACACAAGGTCTTCAAAATGGTGTCCAAGCATACCAACCGAAGAACGAATGGAGTTGGTGGCAAACAACAAACGGAAACTGGAACTGTGTATGTAACTCTGGTTTATTATTGGGTGCTTTGGCTCTCGGTAGTGAAGATCCATCAGGAACCGCTGCAACAAACATTATCGCCAACACAATTCCCAACATGAAGGGAAATTGTATGCAAGCTGTTTACGATGATGGTACTTGGACTGAAACCGCAAACTACTGGTACTTCGGAACGGATGCTTTGGCACGAGCATACTCTGCATTGATGACTGCAACAGGTAGCGATCAAGGATTGATGGCATCAAACCCTAACTGGCCCAAGACTGGAGACTTCCACATGTACGTCTCTGGTAACGCTGGTATGTTCTACTACGGTGACAATGGACCAAACAAGTACTCCACCAACGCAAACGGAATGTTCTTGTGGGGTACGATTGCACAAAACCCTTCTTATGCTCTCTTCCAACGTGATCGCGCTGATGCACCTGATCCATTAAGCATGTTCTGGTACGACACTCGCACAAAGGGAGGATTCTGGAACGGTCAAGCTCTTGATCAATACTTTAACAATGACGCGGGAACTTGGGGCTCCATGCGTTCTTCTTGGACTGATTTCTCTGGTACTTATGTCGCAATGAAATCTTCCAACGCAACTGGACATCAAACACACGGAGATTTGGACGCAGGAGATTTCGTAATTGACGCACTCGGTACCCGTTGGGCAGGTGAATTCGGTAGCGCAAACTACTTGAGCACAGACTACTTTAAATCAGAAGCACAAGACGCAGTCAGATGGGAATACTACCGTAAAGGTACACAAGGTCAAAACACTATTGTTTTGAACAAAGCAAACCAAGCTGCAAGCTGCAAGCCAGTCAACACCTTCTTAAGCACAAACACAACACAATCCGGTGATATCACCTTCACACCTGCTTCCACTGATACAGCTCTCTTTGTTACAGATATGAGTTCTTGTTACAACACATCAGCATCAACGGTTGTGCGTGGTATCCGTTTCTTGAACGGACGTCGTCAAGTTTTGTTGCGTGATGAAATCGCTTCAAATAGCGCTATTACCGACATTAACTGGCGTGTTCACACCAACGCAACTATCACCCTCTCTTCTGATAAGAAAACGGCAACATTGACCCTTCAAAAGCTCATTGACCCTAACGCATACGGAGGAGATTATCAAACCGGACCAAGCACATTGACCGCCTCTTTGCCAGAACAACAAACAATGGTTGTCCAGATCACTCAACCTTCAAATGCACAATTCGCTGTCATCAAACCTGATGAAACAAGATTGTACGGTACCGATCCAAACACTGCTCCAGGAGAACAAGGTGATCAACCAAACCCAACTGTTTCATTGTTGTACATCGAATTACCAGGTGGTTCGCAAACAACGATTGAAACAATTTGGCAACCCAAATGGCCCAAGGCTCAATCCGGTGATGATGCAGCACCAAAGGAAGTTCCATTGAACCAATGGTCATTGACAAGTCACAACTAAAAACTCACTATATAATGGACATTTGACGTGAAAATATTGCTCTTTTCGCGTACACAGTTTGCGAGCACAATCATTTTTTTCTTTTTCTATCTCCCTTTTGTCCTTCTCAGCACGATTTATTTTTTCTTCAGATTTTCCTATACAAACAAACAAGTCAACAAACTTTCGTTGTTTGAGATAAAATAAAATCGACTTTCTTTTTTTTTCTCTTTCAATGCACCCTCACTCTCTTTCTATATTTTGTACACAGGTCTGTGCTTTTCTTGCCTCACTATATATAATAATGCCATCTTTCAGCACTCTTTGTTTATGTGATAATGCGGGTTTGAAAAGTCCATTGAGATAGCATATTGTACGAGAAGCAAGAGCAAGATAAAGAATAGCTTGAACAAAAAGAGTCCAGAATAGAAGGGAAGAAGACGAAAAGGAGGGAAATGGAGTATAGAACAAATTTGAGTAAGATGATAACGGAAATGTGGGTTTTATACAGTATGTCTGGAGAATCCGAGTGCAACAGGAGAAAGGTGCTTGAAGGGAAAGAATTGAAAACGTACTTTTTATCCAGCAATGAGACGCATGAGCATAAAGATTGTACTTCCAGCAAAACGAACACAAGCCATTGCACCAACAAAGACGAGAACGAGAACCATATAAACTTTGCTTCGGGTTGTTCCACTTCCAGGATCAAAAGTTCCCGAATTATTTCCACCCAAAATCAAAGCTGCAAGAACACCGTTTGATAAACTCCAAGCAAGCAAAACGTCTGTTCGAATATTCCTATAGAAATCTAACCTTCTCAATTCTTTTTCTTCCCATCCTTCTGCTCCTTTGATGATCATAGGTCGTGTACGTAAGTTGTGTAAAGATTTATCGTATAGTGAATCGATATCAGCTTGTGTTGTTGGTAGCACCACTTCTACAACTCCGTTTTGATCTGTGCTGGTTACCGTACCCAAATCATTGTCCATCGTTGTACTTCCTTTTGTACCCCAACTGAAATCGTGCAAATTACAGAATGCATACGTGTTGAGAACGTTGATGTAACTTGGAGCAAGAAGCAAATATTGGAAAAAGCTTGTGATCAAATGCAAAGGATCCATTGCGATCACACTTGATAAGAAATAAACACCATACGTTGCCAAAACGGAAAAGACCATTTGACTGTAAATTGCATCATGCTTAGCATTTTTGATTGCTTTTGCAAGACACAAAACTGCTGCTATCAACATGTATACCGTTAAGCAAGCATATATGCAAGCAACCATGACGTACTTTTTATTACTTCCTTGTGGTCTATTACCCAAAGCCAAGATGAAACATCCGATCGTTGTACCGATATAAATGTATTGCACGATTGTGTTCCAAATTCCCACACCCTTTAAACCAAACGAAGGAGATTCCAAAGATTGACTCAAGATACGGAAGAAGATGTAGTAATTGCCCAAACTGAACCAAGCGAAGCACAAATTGATAAAGTTGTAAAGCGCCTCGATGATCAAAACGATCTTTCGCCAAAATCCATGTCCACTTCGAATGAATTGCATTGTATGGGTGAGCGAATAAACAGCAGCAAAGAAGGAACCATTTAACCATCTACGACGTTGACTGATGAATTCTGGCATTCGATCCGGCACATCGGTAACACCTCTTGCACTCTTTACATAACGTAAAACCCAATTTTCGTTTCGTTTTGCTGCCAGTTCAAAACAAAGGATACGATCTTCGGCAAGGTACATATTTGAAGTGAAAATGTCAGCTTCTGCACCGTGCATGGTTTCACCTTTGAAGTAAGAAGCAAGTGGTCCAAGTCCCATTTCATCATTTTGCAAAGCTATATAACGATAAGCTGAAAATGCACCAGGCAAAACTGAAATATATCCTGCAATACTTTCGGTTGTTTTGTCGAGAATGTTACTGATCTTGTATTCGAAATTTTGTGCTGCTACCAATGGGTTCAAAAGAGCAGGACCAACGCCCCACTTTCCCTTTACGTCTGCCGTGATTTCACCACAAGCACCGGCAACGTTTGAGTTTAGATCAAATGTTTTCCATAGGTAGTAGATGGACTTTGCTTCGGGTCTTGTTCCTGCATCGAGCAAGATGCAAACGTTGGGTTGCAAAACCGGTCCGAAAGCGTTGAAGAACCATCTATGCGAGTTGATCTTTTTCAAATTGCGTTCTTTCATACAGAAGATAATTTGTGTTGGAACCAATCCTCGTTCAGCACCTTTGAATTGAAGATTGGAATCGATTGACAATTGCGTTGTGTATTCGTAAATGTGTGCTTCTACTTGTTTTCCGTTGACCACATTCTTGGCAACACCTTCCTGATAAACACCCAAAGAGGCCAAAACGTCCAAAACACGAGGGTGAACTTTCTTACGTCCATCTGCAATAATGCACACAACCACTTTCTTCCATCCTTCTGGTCCCCATGTTCTACTCTTGTTTCTGGAACATAGATGAGCAATATTCTTCATCACACCGTGTAGTGTTCTTGTGAATAGGACTTCATCTTCGTTGTACAGCGTGATTGCAATAAAGATTTCCGTATGACGATTAAAGATCGCAGGCCTTAGGTTGAAGTTGGATGTTGCATAATCATTTGGATCGCAGGTAGCGGCAGTGTATCGCATACTCATGAATTCCTCCTCTCCTCGTCTGCTCAAGAAACTTTGTAATTTACTCGGGATTGGACAATCTAAGATCAAATTTCCTTGTGTAAGTCGAACGTTCTTCTTTGTTTTGTGACGACGCAATTGTGCTCCTCTTGCCGGTGCAGGACCAAAATGCATCGTTTCACCTGCTGCCAAACCAGGACTATGCTCGTACACCATATCATCACCGCCAACGCCGTAATAATCATCATGTTGAACGCTACTTCCTGCTCCGTACAAACTGTCGGCTTTTTCGTTCCCATAACCGTATCCTTGATAGGTAGCATCATCATCAATTGGTCTTTCGGTGTATGGCATTGCCATGGGAGTATGTGATAGCTCAGTCTTGTCATCGTACAAGCTCATCGGGGATGCATCGTAATGTGTTCTTTCATCGTATTCCTCTGCTTCAGGTGCTGCATATCCTTGTGCATAATCATAGCCAGCATTGATGTCATCCTGTTCGCCATATCCACTTCCATATCCAGCAGCCGATCGTGAAGTTGCAGCTGCATCGTATGGATTATTCATGGGTGCATGCATTCCATGAGATTGTTGTTCGGAGTCATAAGTAGGAGCAGGAGTTGCTCCACTTGCATCTGTACCATAAGGACTTTGCAAGAGTGATGGTAGATATGCATTAAGTGTTTGTGTTGCTGCAGGTGTTTGTCCACCGGGTGAAACGACAGATGGAGTTTGTTGATCACTTGCTCCGTTCAATGCCAAAGCAGCTTCTTCAAAGAATGCTTGACTTAGTTGTGGTACATGACCTAACCTTGCTTGATCTCCTGGATTATCGATGTCCAGCTGTAAATGTGGTGCATCATGATCGGGTGTATTATTGTACAAATAAGCATATTCTTCCTCTTGTGATTGAGGTGCCGGTTTCCTATGTGGACTTGGCATATTGTCTTGACCTTGTTGGTTGATAAATGATATCCAAAGTGATCCTCGCCTTGCTTGTCTTGATGATGGTCAAAGAGGATGAATGCATTGTTACTAAGATGCAAGGTCCATCAAATTTGTTTCAAGTCTTCCCTCCCCCTGAGAATTGAATGATGAACACTTGCACCGATAAGGTTAGTGTGCTTAATGATGCATATTATACTGATAAAGTGCCTTGTATTTGTTAGTGTTGAATGGCCTTCTACAATTCATACACTCTCAATCTGACGCGCCGAACTGTGAGTACAACTTCTTAACTACTTTTTGTCTCTCTTTCAAGCCGGTCTCTTAAGTGGTCCGATCTAACTGCATACTTTATCAAACAGGCTGTACGTATCATTGGGCATGTGCATCGGCGGTATAGGGGCTGATCCGATTTAAGGGCCGGGCAGTAAAGAAACAAGAATTAGCCCCTGAGTAAAAAGTGTTACTTTTGCAGAATAACAACACTAAACAACAACGCGTCAACAAAGAGGAACGTGTGTGTTTTGCATGTTATTTGTTTACACGTGATCACCATTCAAAATCCAACAGCGGATCCGTTAACGGTTGGGCGTATCTGATGCATGGCGATGGGGATGGATTCAGAATTTCGATCATGTAAGAGCGGTATAAAGAGGTGCTCCGTCAATAACGGCGGTATTCCGTTGCTTTAAGCAAGGAAAATTCTCAGAAGAAATGACAACAAGATGAAAAAACGTGAGAATGACGGCAACTGAAAACAATTTAAACGCTGCTGTTTGCTGTTTCTCCATATTCCCGTCCATACCATCCTGAACAAACCCGTCTCGAAAGTGATACTGATATCATCATTATGCGTTTTGCACTTGCTTACATCACCATCCTGCTCTTTGTAGCCACAGCAGTATTTGCACAATTCGACAATTTGATCGAAGGAGTTTCGGATATCAGCCAAGCAGTGTTGGAATTACGTGAAGCTGTTAACTCAAAACCATTGACATACTTTTCCGCATTGGGGATCAACTCAAAAGCCAAAGCTTTAATCTCCGAAATTCAAGATAGCGAAGAAGTTGTGAGCGAGATCAAAACAAACTTTACTATTGAAGAAACACAAACATTAATCAAATCATTGTATGTTGTCGAAAGAAGAGTCAATTATACAGTGATTGATTTGATCAAAATCAAGCCGCAATTGGAACAATTAGGTGTTCTCGGAATCGCGAGAGCAGATGTTGCAGACATTTCAACGGAAACGCAAGATTTGATCAAGATCATGTTCCCTCTCGTACCCCAAGAAATGCGCTCTCAAGCAGCTCGTTTGGCAAGAAGAGTAAATCATTCTTTAATCGTTTTGTGCAACGTCTTTGGTGTCAAATTCCAGTCGGCAAAATAGTCAGTTTGCATCAAGTATTGCATTGATGTTTTAGCAAGTCTTATCTTTCCAATTCCGGTATTCCTGCAATACCTTTAAAACTTCCCCTGCACGTACTCACCTATATCATTTTGTCCTTTTCATCTTCCGATTTCTTCTCATTATATCCATTATCTGCATTTTTTGATATTGACGTGATATTCGTTCTTACCTAAAATCTCCTGAACGTTCACCTCATGACATTTACAAAGGTATGCATGGGTTGGGAGGAGGATCGACAAATGATGAATGCGTGAAATGAACCGCAGTACTTTTAAACGGAGCCGATCACAGTTGTAGATGAGTTTTAATACACGATTTGCACCATTCAAGCCACTTAAGATGGGTAGAAGATTCGATTTGGTCAAATTACAGCTCAGGCACAGAGAACGCTTAAATACGGTACATGAATCTACATTCTTGAAGTTTTGCCTCATTGCTACATAAGATCTCAAGTCCAGATTTGCTGTCCTATCCATCTTCCAGATTCAGTAAAATCTGGTATAGATCACGCTCAAATCTGTTCAAGATGAAGATCGCAAACTTTGGAATCACCATCCTCGTTTCAGCTGTAATCCAATTTACTGCTGCTGTACCGACGTATAACGACGTCAAAGCCAGCATTGATCAAATCAGTAATGAAGTTCAATAATTTGCAGGTACTACCCCAACAAAAAGTCCCTTCACCACAAATGTTATGAGTACGTTCGAATCAAACATCATCGCAATTCAAGGTGTGTTTCAAGATTCCAAGACGATCATTTTGAACTATCGAGATGGTCATGCTCCAACAGTGACCAGTGATGAAGTGACCTCGATTATTCAAGCTATGAGTGGCACGATCAATCCTTTCAAGGCTATATGTGAAGCAATCGTTTTCAATGCAATCATGAAATTGAAAACGGATATTACCACTTTAAAAGCGAATGATGCCCTCGCAACAGATTTAGAAGCAATGGCTAAGGCGATCTCAATTTGGTCAACTGCTTTTACGAACATCATTGATCGTAAAGATATCAAGCGTTCTGAAGTGGCTACTGTTGAATTGGAAAATGCTTCTACTGATGCTTGCAAAGCATACGGTGGCAGGTAGGCAGCAACTCTTGGAAGAATGATTTCTGTTTTTCCCCCAACACCTTCTATTCTAACACCTCTTCTCAAATCATTTTCCACCTTCAACACTTCTAATCAAAATGATTTTTTTTGCTTTGCTCCTCACCATTGTTGCTTTTGCATCAATTTCTCTCGCAGCTGGCTGGGATGATCTCAATTCAAACTTGCAAAATATTCAATCTCAAAGTGCTACATTTGCTAGCACTCCAACAAACAGCGCAATCACTGCTCAAAGTGCTGCTCAAATCGTTAGCAATGCAAACGCATTGGCAAGAGTATTTGATGCAGCAAACTCAACACTTCAAGGATACTCCGGTACAATTACTGCAAACGAATTCGATTTGATTGCAAGCTCTTTTGTTTACTTTAGCAAGCAGCGTTTCAACTGGTGAAAAGGATATTGTTGCCATTGCAGCTACACTCAAGTCAAACAACGCGCAGGTGTTAAAGTTGGTACTGCTTTGAATGGTTTATATGCAAGTGTAAAAGCATTCGCATCTGGTTCGAAAGCGCAAGCTTCCGCTGTAAGGATTCAACACCAAACTGATAAATGGCAAACTGATGCTCAATGTGGTTGCAAGGCATTCGGTAAATGCTGAGAATAATCCACCTATTCGGCTAATTAAAGTATGATTAATGTCATCTGTCGTTCAAGCCACATATTTTCTGCACGAACGTAACTTTGTCACAGTCATGTAAGCAATAAGAGACAATCGTCCTGTCTTCCCGAGTATTGTCTGTTATGTTTTAAGAAGCCGTATGTCATGCTTTCCCATCCGATTGGCCGAGATATTGAACGTAATGTCGGCCGCTTCCGTTGATCCGAGTGAATGTGCATTTGACAGAGTGACAGGTTTCAATCAAAAGGTAGAGCGGAGCCGCAAAAAGAGAAAAAAGGGATTCCAACGCGAAACGGAGCGGCATCCTGACATCAACACAAGTCTCATCAGATGGACTTCTGCTTGAGCCACAATCGCAAGCAAACGGCTCCGAATTGGAATATGTTTCTTAATTTAAATCGGCAAACAAAAAGCTGTCGACACAACCAGACCAATCGGGATCCCGAAGTCTGAAGTCTAGACAATTCTCGGGCAAACGTCGTCGAGGTATTCGGCAAGAGATGGAACATGTGATTGAACGGCAAAAGAATGATTCAAACCAGGTATGAGGGAGAGAAGAAAGAACATAAATAGTCGACATTTTCGTCCTGATTTCACTTTCATCCCCTCATCATCTCCCATTCTCAAACTCTCCCAATCCAATCTCCCAAAGTCTCCCTCCTCAACTTTCAAGATGAGATTCTTCACCTACTTCTTCTTGGCCTACGTTGCAGTTCTTGCCGTTTGCGCATCAGATTACAACTCAATCAAACAAAAAGTTGATGCAATTCATTCCGAATGTCAAGGACTTGGCAATATTCCAACTGGCGGAATTACAATCTCGGGAGGTGCAATCATTCATGCCGATCTTCAAGGAGTTATTAACGTTATCGTAGAGGCAAAAGCTGAAATTGTAGCATTTGTTGGTGTTCTTACCGTTGTTGAAGTTCAAGCAATCGTGGCCGTTCTTGCAGAGATTGAAGTCTTGTTGAGCGTTTGCGTCAACTTACTTCTTACACTCGAAGTTGGTTTAGATATTCTAGGTTTGGGCGGTCAATGCGGTCAAGATTTGTTGGACCTCAATATTTCCGTTCAAGCATTCATTGAAGCATTCTTGGGTATCATTCCTTCTGGTTGCCATAGCTGTCAAAGTAGCGCATGGAACGTTTGCAACCAACTTGGAAACACTTGCACAAGCGGCTGTCATGGATACGGTTATTGCTGAACGAATAAGTGACGGGTAATATTCTGCAGCAATATTATCCCACTTTCATTACGAACGCCATAGTGACCTTATCCTTCCCCGCCGATGGACACTTTCTTCGAGATTACCTAGAATTAGTCAATTCATTCTTTTCTTCTTTTGGCCGTGTGATATAAAACGTAAGCATGATTACATTAACAAGTCTTGAGTATGAAATCTGAGCCGTGTGATCATTCAATAGAAGCTCCGCATATGCAGAATTGTTCGAAGCAGGAACAAAGGGTCGGCTTGCTACCACCCGTTGCATATACCCGCGATCCTTGGTGGGGCCTTTGATCGTAGTCACTTACGCCTTTTGCTTCTTTGTTGATCGGATTATCATAGCAGTTGCAGGTACACCGTTGTCCTAAACGAAGTTCATGTACATTCAGCCAACTCTCAAAATTATAAAAGATGACCACAAAAGGAAACAAAGTTTTACAGACAACCCATATCCAACTCAAACCCCAAAAAAGTCTTCTTAATCCCACATCAAACCTTATCATCCATCGAAATGAAGCTCTTTTACATTTTCTTCTTTGCACTCATTGCTTTGCAAGCAGTCTTTGCTACTGATCTTGCCTCGATCAGCGCAAAACTTCAAACAGTGAACAGTGCTTGCGACAAGGTCTCACAACTCAGTTCAAGCATCAAAGTAACAGCAGACGTTGCATCATCAATCGAAGCTGATGTAACTGCAATCGTTTCTGCTTTGGGCGATGCACAAGCCGAGATTAGCGCATATGTCGGTACATTGGCAGCAGCTGATGTAGACGCAATCATCAAGATTTTGGTCAAGATTGAAGTTGGTATCTCCGTTGGTATCAAAGTTATTATTGGTCTTCAAGCAGGTTTGAATGCGATCGGTGAAGATACCAAGCTTGGTGATGACTTAGCAAACCTTCAAGTGGCTATCAAAGCTTTCGTTGGTGTATTTTTGGGTAAATGTCCTTCTGCTTCAAAGAGTGATGCAAGTTCCGTTTGCAATAAGCTTCAAAGTGATGCCAAAAGCGCTTGCAGTGCTTATAGTTCATGCTCTTAATGGACGTTCGCAAGTAGTGCAGCATGAACTTCATGTCTTGCACGAATCGACAGACAGCTTTTATCGCTAGAGCTATCAATCAAATTATGCTTTATTTATCCACTTAGACTTCATTTTGGCCAAATGATATGATAAATGAAATTAGATTTCTCCTTATTTGTTTAAAATGAAGGAAGTTTCTATGAGAGATTAATTAATTTGTAAATAAACGACTGCATCTTCATAAACACAAGAGTTTATCCGTCATGGTAGAAGGATTCCCGCGGAAAGTGATCGGTTAGGATTGCCGAAAATCACAAATTAAACCGTTGCATGTTTGCACCCTAGATTTTCATGCCAAGATCGTAAATGTAAAATATTGTGACGGGGCAGCTTTCCAAATCACGGCGCCGTAGATTGACGCCATAAAAGCGATATCCCTGACAAATTGATCTTTATACCATTCTTCAAAAGAAAGAAAAAATATTCCGTTTCCGGCTTGATTTCACTGGTTGCTCCGTTGATATTTCAAACCGCGAAAATAAAAACGACGGAAGTCCTGCATCAAGAGAAAGAAAGAACAAAGGACAAGGCCAACGATGATGAAATGAAGCGGCCTCCTTGTGACTTGTAATATGGAAATGGACCTCCGTACAAGGGAGTGATCGGTTCATATGTTTTCTGCGCAAAAGAAAGAGATAAAAGGACCCTCCTCAACGGTTTTCTCTTCTTCCCTTCACCACCAAACACCTCCAATTGTCACCTCCCTTCCAATCTTTTCCAATCAAGTTTGCTCTTACTCAACCTATCCACTTTAACGAAACAAAAATGAAGTTCTACACCTACCTCTTGATGGCCCTTGCTGCCGTTTCAATGGCCATGGCCTCTGCTCCTGCAGTTTCAACGCCATCAACATTTGTTGAAATCAAAGCTGAAATTGATCTTTTATCAGACAGTTGCAGCAGTTTATCAAAAATTCCTGCTTCTCCAATCGTTTCAGTTTCCGTTGCTGCTCAAATTTCTGCAGAAATTCAAGCAGTAGTTGCCGTTTTCGTTGATCTTAAGGCAATGATTCAAGCTTACGTTGGTGTTTTGGCAGTTGTTGAAGTTGATGCAATCCTTGCCGTTTTGGTGAATGTTTCCGTTTATCTCAAACTTGCAGTCAATATCTTGATTGCCCTTCAAATTGGTGGTGCAGGTAACGATTTGCTCGATTTGCAAGTTTCAGTCAACGCTTTCGTCGATGCATTCTTGGCAATCGTTCCTGATGCATCAAAGGATTCAGCAACATCCACATGTCAACAAATTCAACAAACTGCAACAAAAGGTTGCTCCGATTACCAAACATGTTAATCATTTTCACTTTCAATCGTTACCTTGAACGCGCACGATTTACAAAACCATTTCGAATCAAGTTTCGCAGCAATTCATTCGCATCAATGCAGGTACAAAGATTCATTTCAAGTTCAATAAAGATTTCTCTTACAAGACATCCTGAAAACGCACCCAAGCCATTTGTTAATTTGCTCATAAATAATTCGATTGTTCATCTTACCCCTTTTCCAGATTGTGTGAAACTAAAAGTCATGTGATCTTTGTGAAATGATTTTGATGAGGCGCACGAACGATTCTAGCTTAATATGTTTAACAGTTAACAAATTCCAGCCAAACAATTCTCGAACGATAATTTTTGGCTCCGCTCTTGGAAGTGATAGCTACTACAGCGCTACCGAAGTTCCATTTAACTTAAGCGCAAGACTAATGAGTGAATGTCAATTTTGACAAGGATCTTCGATTCTCAGTCTCTTTGATCTTCTTACCGCACAACAGAAGCTGCTATTGACGGATTTATGCTAACCTTTTCCAGGAAAGCTTTCAGAATGAAGCAGACTCTCTTAACCTTATTTTTTCTATTGTTCACCTATGTTTATGCAACTGATTACAATGCAGTGCAAACAAGCATCAACTTGATCCTCGAAATAGCAAAAGATCTCCAACATGTTCCCGATCCATCGAAAGTGAATCAACAAGAAGCAGGTGATGTAACTTACTATCTGGAAACACTTACCATTCCAATCAAGAATAGTAAGGCTCAAATTCAGAACTTCAGTGGTGTTTTAGAATCAAAAGAAGCGGATTCAATCATAACGAGTATCGGTGTTATGGAAGCAGATTTTGCTAAAGGGATGCCGGACCTTACCAAATTGAAGACGGCTCTTATCGCTGCTGGTGCGAAGGAAGATATGGAGTATTATATGTTTTACTTGAACGATGCAATTCATGGCTTTGCGAAAGCATTGCCAAAAATCTTTCCAAGTCCTCAACAAGCAAAAGCTGCAGATATTTGCAGTAAACTTCAAGCTGAAACTTTGAATGCTTGCACTTCTTATTACAATAATTGTACATAGTATGTCATCTAGTTTCTCATGTCGGTGATAGCAAATGCTTCAATGAGCACAATCTGAACCACCTTCAACATGTAAGAAAGCTAAGTATCTTTTTGTTATATTAGCGTCTGACATCGTAATGGCAAAGTCATCAAGACACATCTTAGTCAATCACGGTTCCGCCTCATGTGATGAGCAGCTGAACTTTCGGCTCCTAGAGACTACATATCGGAATGTTGAAGGAGTCATCTGACGCCACAATCAGGTTTGTCTCATCGCAGTACCGCATACTTTGTACTTTAAAATGAGAAACATTGAGGGGTGTATCTTGAATTGATCTTAAATCACCATCAGACATATAAGAATGAGCGTGACAGTATCGTTGATTGCAGGTGCTATCTATCTATGTACGGCGTATTTCAGAGACCATAAAGGCACATCAAGAATTTTAGAGCTCATAGAGGACACTCAAAAACTACAAAAGACAGGCGAGGTCGATTCTTGCATGCAAAGTGACATAAGAAAGGTATGCAATCTTTTAATGTCACAGAAAACAACATCATTTGATGGAATGCATACAATTTCGGGTGCTTTATGTGATTTGATTAGTTTTGCGGATATCGAACGGCTGGCCTACTATGCAAGTATTGCCGAAATTAATTTCAATGCTGGCATCAACATAAACTTAAAGTTTGACCTTGCAAATATCAATTCGAATATAGATTTGGCGTATGGCTATGATTTTCAAACGCTAGGGCGCACGATCGTTAAATCTGGCCGAACAATCAATTCAATCGTCTTGTGCGATTCTGAAGATACATAGAAGCCAGCACGACAGAGGTATAAAATCTTACATTGTGTTGTGCGGCCACTTTCTGTGATTAAGTTTATACTTCTTTCGACGGTGCACACTTTCGAATTCCTTCTTTCTCAAAATGTGTGCGGACATTTTATTCGATATGAGCTGTGATACGACTCTTCTCGCACGAATAAGGTCTGAGAGCTTGTGTTTATTCTTTCTACCTTCCTTATGTACAAAATTCTTCTTGCTAAATAAGAAACATTCTCTTACGAGATGTAGCGTGATCTTAGCAGTTCTTCCGCCGCTTCTGCTTACGTTACTGCTGTCGTTGCCATCTTTCCAGCAAGTTCTCAAGCCGCTACAAAGTATATTGTTGGGCATATTGGTAGCAGTGCTCAGTCTACATGTACCGCTTTCGGCTCCACAAGCTGCTGATATGGCAGGCCGGCCACTTCTGATGAATAACAATCTTGGCGGCCATTGATCATAGAGGATACCGCACTTATGTGTTCATTAGCCTCAAACAGTTACATAATATATATCAGAAATACATCCTTCCATCCTCACTTGCTGAATTAAGTCTAGAACCGAGAATTTGTTTGTAGATCGATCGATAATGGGAGCTGCGCTCAACGGCTTACAACGGCGGCCTTGAGGCGGAGCAAACATACTTTTGTTGAAAACGGAAAGATATGTAACTTCCCTTTGTTTGTTTGAGGTAGGCGAGATGACCTAAATTGTAATCGCGGTAAACCTCTCCACATCTTAGACCATCCATCTCGTTGTTTTCATGGCGGTCGAAATGTGATAGTTTCTTCGGCTACCGAGGGCGCTTGTCCGCTTGAATTTGTTGGGAGATGATGCGTGGCAATGAAAGCTGCGGAGACGTCTTTGGAGCGGATAAGTTGGCAATGTGTCTGCGGGATTGCGAGGCTGTGATTATGTCCAAATGTTTTATTTCAGATAGCTTAATGTGGAATCCATCTTTGATGCAAAGGAATCAAATCGCTTAAAAGGGAGAGATTCTTGCCTCACTTTTTGCTCTCTTCATCATCATTCCAAACTCTCTTCAATTCTCATTACAACTTATCAAACACTAAATCAACCAAAATGAAGTTCTTCACTTTCTTCTTAACGCTCATCGCTTCCGTCACATTGGTTTGTGCAGCCGGTAGTGCTCCAGCAAGCTTTGATTCGATCAAAGCAGATCTTGTTGCCGCTCAAGCAGGTGCGAAAGATTTCGTCAAAGTTTCAGCATCTACCACAGTGACTGCAAACACTGTTGCAACAGTTGCTGCAACTCTCAAAGCAACTTCAACAGCTTTCATTGACGTTACTGCAAAAGCTTCTTTATTCCAAGGTTTATTCACTTCCGTTCAAATAGATGCTTGTTTAACTTTGTTAAGTTCAATCAGCGCTTCAATCAATGCAGGTACAAAGAATCTCGTTCAAAACAAATCAACTTTCAAGGCAATCGACGATCAAAATCAAATTTCTGATCAATTGGCCGCTTTGGACGGTAGTGTTTCCGCTTCTGTTACTGCTCTTGCTGTCGTCTTCACTGCCAATGCATCAGAAAAAGTTAAGGCTGTCGGTGAAAGTATTAGTACCGATGCATACAACGCTTGCCAAGCTTACGGTGGTAAGGCATGCTAGATGTCATAAGCAGATTCGATATTCAAGAATGCGACAGTGTCAAGCAATGGCAAGCATACCAAGTCTCTTCCAATAAGCCCCTAATCGAGTCTCCTTGCTGTATGTAGCCACTTAAAGATTGCTTTCAATGTCAATCGAATTATCTCGTTGAAACCGTCTCAGATGTTGTGATGTCCTATTGGCTTAGTGACTTAATGTTCTTGAGTAGCTGTTAGGATGTGACGTTTGAAAACGTATTGTTGCTGAGCTTTATTCGAACTTCTCAATAGTGACAGCGCTGAGAGGAGTATGTGATCTTGTGAATTGCTTCTCCGCACTGCTCTTGACGCCATTCAGATAACGATTACGTACTTCATCATTGCATTCCACAATTGAAAACAAAGGGAAGGACAAACATGTGACAAATTCTTCCAAAGAAGGCTGAGTATTTACTTCGTCGCATCTCCGCTCCCTTTATTGTGGCAATATCTTGCCATCCTTTGTGTGCACGCCATCTCAAGTAAGAGTCAACGCAAATCAAATTACGCGGGGCCTATTTTGATGCAGATTTGATATATAATTCGTGTGCGGAAATGCGAGGACAACACCATAAAGTCACAATTCGCGGGTGTGAGATTGAGAAGAAACCGTTGACGGATTTGATCATTATTTGAGAGAAGATGACTTACTGAAAGCTTAAAAGGCGGCCTAAACACTCATCTTTCTTGATCAGTCCCCCACTCGCTCTTCCAGCCTGCCTTCCAAATCTTGTCCCATTTGACCTTTTCAAACTCTCGTCGCCAAGCAACCATGAAATTCTTTACCTTTCTCTTATTGCTCATCGTCTCCATCTCTTTGGTATGCGCAAATCCATCCACATTTGATTCAATCAAAAGCAAGTTCACTGAAGCTGATACCGACGCTCATCGTCTTGCCTTACTTGCAGAAGCATCTCCTGTAACCGCAGATGCAGCAGCTCAAATCGTTTCAGCTCTCTTGGCCACACACAAAGATTTGATCGATGCAACAACGGAAGTTTACACATTCAAAGGTACCCTTACTTCTGATCAAAGTGGTGCAATCATTAGCATCTTGGTTTCCCTTCAAGCTTGCTTTAACGGTAGCATTCCGAAATTGGTCAACAACAAAGCTGCCATTACCGCTACTGGTCATGCTGGAGATGTTGCAGAACGTTTAGCCGCTTTGGATGGCAGTGCTGGCGCCCTCGTTGCTGGTCTTCAAACAATTGTCCCAGCAAGTGACAAACAAAAGGTGATCGACGTTGGTGGTAAGATTGGCACAGAAGCATTCAACGGTTGCACTGCATTCGATGGTAAAGCCTGCTAGAGGTTCGGGCAAGGATGGCGTAAAGATCAAATTGATCTCCGAACCTTGAAAATCTCTTATAACTTGTATCTCATTCTTGTGATCTGCAGTTCATTGCATTAAGATAGAATATATCCCCTTCCTACAATCGTTTTTGGTGTGCTTCACTTGGAGTGTTGTCTGATCCAATCGGCCTCACTCGACATTTCTTGTGCCGATCTGGGTTTCCTTTCTTGACTTGGATCTGGCGCCAGTCCACGTTCTGGCTTATGGCCATCCGTAGAGTTCTGCATATTCTTGTGCAGCTGCAAACCAAACTCTTCCAGATGAGCATAGATGATATCATTTGGTGTAAAATCTCCATCTTTACGTGGGATCACGTGAACGTGCAAGTGAGGGACAGATTGACCAGATTCTTTACCATCTTGAATAGCTACCGTACAAGCAGGTGAGTTTGTCAATCGTTGTACGATCCCAGAAACATCTTGTACTGCATCAAATAGATCCGCTAATTCGTTCTTTGGAATTTCTCCTAATCGATGGTGAGGCTTTCGCGGTATTAGAAGTACATGCAATGGTGCAATTGGCATCAAATTCACGATTCCGATAGTATGTTTGCGTTCAAGAAAGATTTGCTTCGAAACATCAAAGGTATGGAATCGGATCGGACCAGTGCCATTCGAAGAAGTTGAATCGGACATCATCCTCTTTCCTCCAAATGAATGCGAGGCTGGATTTTTATATTGAGATTGTAATGAAATGCAGGTCCGCCTAGCGACTCGATACAAAGTGAAGATGGTTGAAGCTGTCAGACGGCGAAATGCAATCGAAGTCATGCCCTATATTTTGAGAAGCTGAACTATCAACCATCAAATGCTACGTTTGAAAGAAAAGGATGCAAGTTGAACACTAAAAAGTGTTGTTCTCTTTACGCGTGAGATCGGCTCACTGTCCGGCTGAACATCAAATAACACTGTTCTAACGCTGAGACATTAAAGATCACTCTAACATAAATGTGGCTTAAGAAGTTATATACGTACCTATTTAGCACTGGAAAGAAGTATGTCCCAACTTGTCAATGAAATTCAAACGATGATAAGAAGCTGATATAAGAAGAATGCTCATCATCATTTCTCTAGCAAGGAAAGAAAAGAAGGGTAAATACAACTAGAATTGCCTCAGGTGAATACAACATTTGAAATGGCTGATACTGTACAGAGGTATATAAGATATTGAGAATACAATTTATCACCAGCACAACGTTGAAGCTACTTATACATTATATTGGCACGAGTACATGCTTATCGATGAAAGGCACAAGGTTGGGGTAATCTTGATATAATCGTTGTAAGAGTTCAGCGTGCAGTTCAGGTTGAGTGAAACCGTAAGAATCGTGTTTGTGCTTAACATGGGAGAAACCTAGTAGCAAAGAAAAAGTTTTGGCATCCGGTGCGTATATTGAAAGACCTTTCGATGAATACTTCCGAAGCTGTTGGGACTGCATTGCAGGTTTGTACGATAAATCTTGCTTGTCGGGATAGTTGAGATCACTTTCCTTCGTCAGTTCGCTTTCTATCGTTTTATAATACATGTCCTTGCTCTTAGTTCCTGTTGTCATCTTCTCCGTGTCCTTGTGTACTTCTGCTCGTTCTCGCAATTTAGGCTCCATGAGTTGAAATGTAAAGTCCATGGCTTCCTGAAGTGCGCTACATCTGCACAAGCATTCAAGCCATGAATCCCAAGCATTTTTATTCATTAGCTCTAAGAAACGTTCGCCATGCTGCAACCAGTCAAAGATTTTGATTGCGTCTGACAGACGACCGTTGAGACCGCAAATATCAAAAATGATCGCGACTGTAGCAGAACTAATCTCGACATTCAAATTGACCATCTGATCCCATATCTCTATAGCTGAATTAGACAAGCCTGCACGACCATATGCTTCGAGTAAAGAGTTGAAAGTAGGAACGTCGCCATTCAAATCGTCGCCGTAGCGTTTCACCAATCCTTCATGAATGATGACGATGACCTGCTGATGATACATACGCCATTTCGATCCAACAGCTTTAGACGCGCTTTTGCCATAATGATTCAGAGCGAATCTAAGCATATTGCCCCTTTTATACTCGTCTGCTTGCGCGAGATTGTCGAAGTCCGTCATCAGCTCCTCGAAAATCTCTACTGGTAGAGAAGGAGTGCTTTTTATGTCGTAAATGTCCCCTCTTATCAAATTGTAGAATACCCGAAACCAATCACGAGAGGGGAAGATCTTCCGAATTCCTCTTTCCAAACACCAATCACGCATTTTTTGATACTCTGCGAATGCTTCCCAATAATCTCTGAATCTCCGACATTTCAGTCTAGTACTAAGCAATTGTGACCGGTTGATGCTGGTAAGGCTGTCCATGCCTCCAACGATGTCGAGTAGTTGCTCAGAATAAGAGTGAAGGCCGAAAATGTAATATCGTTCGAATATAAGCTCAGTCACTCTTCTTGGTAGTTCCGGTAGTACTTTTGACACTATACGATAAACTTGTAGGATCGAACTTTCAGACTCGGGCGACATCTGTATGAAGAGTGGATCTGTTGCGAAGGATCCATGGGTAAAGAAATGCTGATGTTCATATCCCAGATCCAGCCACATCTCTCTAAAGCCCTGACCTGCTCTGATTTCATCCTGAGCGATGGCTCTGTCAACAAAACTTTGAAGAGCTGGCCATTCATGAACGTTAATGTTTTCCATTTGTAAAGCCGAATGAACAGACTGACGTAATTTTTGCTGTTGTGAATTAAGTTTGGGTTTTCCGGAAAAAGTTGCAGCCTGAAAGTTGCCTTTGTACCTATGACCAACGTAATCTTTCATACTGAGGTATCTTGGCACCTTTCCTTTATACATAGGAGGCGTAGGCATTGTGGAAGTCTGTCGGATTGACTGCCCTATCGACCTTTGTGTTGCCCGAAAGGACCTGTGTATAGACCTAACGATGAACTTTTGCAGCAGCATTCTCGTAGAATCAAGGGATCACCGTTACTTTTGTCATCGTTTGTGCATTGTGTATGATGAAAGATGGAAAAAGAAGTTAGCCAACATGGTGGAAGTCGAGAAAGATGAAGACAAAAGGATGCAAGATTCATTTTTAGCCTATTGTCAAATAGCACTGCTCTGGCGCCGAAGCACTAAAAATCACACCAACACAAAATTCCAAGTGAACAAAAAAAATGCATGTAAGCATAGAATACAAGCATTTGTAGCTACAACCTTTGTCCTCATTTCGAATCTTCAGTCTTCACACTCTTTTACATAAATTAGTTTTTCTCGCTCAAACAACTTCCTCTCACATCACCATCGCATTCTTCTCAAGCGGGTGTGATTGATCATATTTTTCGTGGTCTTTTTTGACCAACCCTCTGGGCAGCAATAATGTTAAATCTACCTTTATAAATCAACTTCTCAGATGCTCGTGAGTGTGACTGTGGGCACGCATCAAGTAACTTGAAGCTGGCTTATGCTTTATTATTATTCAAATGTGACCAGAAAAGACGATAAGTCAGAGGCTTTGCTATACAGGCATTCATGGATCAGACTTATACAAGATGACATAATACAAGAAATGTTGGAATACGCAGCAAGAAGGCAGTCCTTAATCAGTGGTGTAGTTTCTGTCAGACTCAACGTACAATTTATGGTGGGATTCGGAATGGAACGGAGCAACTCAGCTTATGCTCAAGATGATAATTGCACCAATGCAATAAGATTACAGATTGATTATAATATGATACATTCTCACGTACCGAATCCTGCCCATGTCAAGCTGAAGTAGTCAACCGATCCCCAAGAATTGACGCTGGCAAGATCATCCTTTCCCTCCAAACGAGCTTGTCGAATTTGACTCTCATCTTGATCGGGAGCATTCAAGGTGACAGTGCACAGCAAATGTGCTTTTTTGACCGCAGTCCCTAATCTTCCAGCAGATACCAATTCCTGTGCCGGAATGTCTTGCTCAGGCTTACATTGAATAGTTGCAGTAAAGTGTGAATGATAACGTAAAAGATCACCTGGATAAACATTCAAATCACCTCCAAATCGTAAACCTTTTGCCATATAGTATCCACGAGAACGTAAATCCTCAAAAGTAGCACATCGAGCAGCTTGCATAGGTGTATTGGGATAATGCCATAAGCCTGCTTTTGCTGCACCAGAAAGTGTATCGAACGCATTCTCTCCTACTTTCACTATCCGCCAAGGCAGTTCCAGCGAATTGGTTGCGATTGTGATAGGATGAGAAATTGTCTTCCATGCCTCATTTGTGGCATTTTTCTGAGCTGAGTCATCTTCATTGTTATCAGGAGGTGGTGCAAACAGGCCACTATTGTCATCTTCGTCATTCACTCCACCTTCCTCCATTCGTTCTTTACGTATCCGTTCCCTTCTTTGTTCTCTTTCTTTTCTGCGTTCGACTGCTTTCTCCTTTCCAGCTGCTGCTTTTTGCCATCTCTCTTTGCTCTGTTTAGCACTTTCGTGTAGTTTTCGTTTATTCTCCTCGATTGCCCTCTGTCGAGATTCGTGCCAAGAATGCAATTCTTGCTTTGAAAATGAATCATGCAAAGCAGAATGAGCAGCTTTATCATCCACCAGAACGGCGATCCCTTGTCGCATGAGATACACAACTTCTTCTTCGAACAACTGTAATGGAATGCCGAGAAAGACATTTTGTTGAGGTATTAAAGGTAAACTACCTGTCAACATTCCTACTACGCCATATTCTCGCCTCAATCGAGCAATCCATTCTGTCGACCAAACGAACGCATCTCCTTCAATGATGCTTATTTGAACACGATCTCCATTAATTTGTCGGCTGGTGCTTGCTTCAGCGGCCGAATTCATCGTCGTTGTGATTGGAGGTCGCTCGACCAGGATGAGGATCAAGAGTTGAAGTAAGCATTGTACAGATCTTCTTGAATTTTCTTGCATGCATTTTGAGCTAAAACTTGACTCTTTAGTCCGAAGTGTGGCCTTTTTTATCGCGCGTCAAAATGCAGACAGAGACTTAGCTTCACTTCTTCACTCTTACCAATCAATCATAATGCTGCTCTGACTGAATGCTAATAGGTAAACAAGACAAAGACGAAGCAAGGAATTAGCCACTTGAGCAGAACGAATCATATCCCTCAAAATGATTGATAAATTGAATTCCGAGGAATCGCTTCTGTCAACAAAACGAATGGTAAGGGAGATTGTGATCCCGCTAAAAAGTAGGGTGATCCAATGGAGCTGTATAAATTGTCAAAAGTTCGGTTGAAATGTCGTTGCAACTTTGGTTAGAGAGATGCTTTATTTGTTCATTCACCAAAATAGATCTGATCAAAATAGAATTTGACGCCATCCGAATTAATTTTGATCAATTCACCATCATGTACCACACCAAAGTATTGTTGATCGATCTTATTGCCTGGACAAGTACCATCAGAAGCGACTGTATACAAGATAAAGTGTTCTTCCGGAGTCCCAGGAGGAACATGAATCTTGAGAGTCTTTTTGCCGTTACGATACCAGCAAACTGTGTTTGTCAGATAGTATGTACCACTGCAATCATTTCCGTCTTCATCACAAAGTTCAGCGTACAATCCATCACCACGAGGGATGAGACCTTCTTGAACAATACTACCACGGGCATTCATGACGCGATCATCATCATCACGACGAAATACGGTCGCATCATTGATCGGAATGCTATCACGAGCCATTTGGAGGTTTGCAGTATTTGCACCCGGTGCTGCCTTGACAAACTTGATTACACCGATAGCCAAAGCTGAGAAGATGATTGGTGTGAAACGCATTTTAATCAAAGTACAGGATGATCGGAAGATGGGAAGGAGAAAGGGTGTTCTTCTACGTTTCAATCTTTCAAGACAATAGCAAGCTCCGCTCAGATCATCTGCATGACAAGTAGCATTTTTATACCGTATCCATTCCAATCACAATTCGCAAGTACTTTTGCGTTTTAGCTTGTATGCTTTGGCTTATTCTCAATATGCTGTGATGTGTAGGGCTACAACGTAAAAGGGGAGAAAGATATATTCCATTGAAAGGGCTCTGTATGTATGATGCGTCTGCACTCGTGTTGCCTCAAGCGCTTCCCTCGAAATAGAACCGTGTACCAGTTGATGTGACTGGGATAAGTTGACCATCGAAAGGCTTATAGAGGTATTGATCCGCTGTGATCTGATCCGGACATGTTTGACCGACGGATGTGGTATAGAGGGTGAATGATGAGCTTTGAATTGCAGGCGATGCATGAATTCGAAGTGCTTTTGTGGTGGAGTTCCAATCGAAACAAGCAGGATTGGTCAAGTAATGTTGACCGGTACAATCAAGTCCAGCTTCATTGCAAAGTTGAGCATAGATGTAATTGTCTCGTTCGAGAAGTTTTTCACCTTTTGTATATGCGTTATCACTTTGTCCGACATTACGCGTATTTTGCATAGGCGCACATTCTGCCACGATGAAGCAGCATACCATAACTGTTGATAACAAAATGGAAATCTTTGACATTGTGAAAATATTGGTGGACACTTAAGGATGATGATGGTAGTGACGAGATTAAATTGCGGTATTTGGCTTACAAGAGTAATAAACGAGCTGGAGTATGTGGAAGAAGGAGCATGTCGAAAAAGGAGTATGTGGAAGAAGGAGTATAGGGAAGAAGGAGTGCGTGGAAGAAGGAGTATGTGGTCATGCATGACGTCCCTGACGGGCAAGGGTCATGATACCGTAAAGAGCGGCTTATCTAGTGGAGATCGGGCCGAAGTGCTTAACACGTAAAGTAAGAATCAATGTAGAGGTAGCTATGAGAGGACAAAGTGAAGAACAAGGTACGATTCGTTCCGATCGACAACTACTTTTGGTTTGTCGAAAAACTAAACCAATGACCTTGAAGTTCGAGATCGATCACTTCACCGTCATATGGTTTGACGATTTCTTGCTTATTACCAAAGAAAGTGCCATCATCATACGCATCACAAGCAAGAAAAGTGGAATAAGAATGCAGAACAAATGTTCCCGATTGTTGTCTTGGGTAAGATTTGATACGAATTTTGTCTCCCTTTGAAACATCTTCATAGAAGCATTGGCGGCTAAACATGTCATGCTCAGTTGAACAATTATCTCCATCTTTATCGCAGAATTGCGCATAGAGAGCGTGAAGGGTTGAGCCTTGACGTTTCAAGAGACCGATTGGAGCATCTGGAGAATAATTACGTTCTTCAAGAGAATCGCTGACACCTTTGATTGGTGTAGCATTGACGAAGAGATTGGCGAATACGGCCAAAAATGACAAAAGAATGATTGCAAAGCGCATTTTGATCGAAGTGATGAAGTCAGTTTTGTACTTTGTTGGGTGCTTTTTGAGAATCATCCATAACATAAAAGCTGTATTTATGCCTTTCGTTTCATGTTACGGTCCGTTTTGTTCAAATCACAATTTCCGTGGCGGTGAAGCTTTATTGGCGTGGCTTTTGTGCAGCAAATGCATTAGCTTGGGAAGTTTTGATTCGGTCAATTAAACAAAGTTTATTCACCGATGTAAACACTTAATGCACCACATGTTCACTCTCACTTGTGGTTGAATGGTTGGGGTAAGTATATGACTTGACTCACAGCCACACTTCCATGCTCACTTCCAAAGTGACTTCACGGGCCCTCACTCTCAATCAAACTTTTCACAAGCAGAAATGCACAATAAAGGCAAAAGACTGAAAATCATATGTTCATTGTAAAAGACTGAAAATCATATGTTCATTGTCATAGGTACATTATCGCATAGAGAGCACTTATGAAAGCTGAATAAGAGACAGACAATGTGGTCAGAATTTCAGCATCTCTAGGATTTGTAGAAAGACTTTTACTGATCTACTCACAAAATCCATTCCACAAACTTCGTCACAAAATTTACATTCTATATATCCTCCCCCGATACACTTGCACGTACAGGGTGGCGGATCGTAATCGCGGCCAATAATGACTGCTTTACTTGCTTCAGAGCCATCACGGGCAATTTGAATACTTGTGATGACACCGTTTGGGGCAGCATTGACATTTATTGTAGAAACAATGACAATGATGGAAAAGAGAATCATTGAAAGCTTCATCTTTCTCTTATTTTTGTTGAATATGTGTGCAAGCTTGCTTTGGTGATGGTGGTTGGAAAAAAAAGGAAGCGTAAAGAGCATTTTTGCACCTATCAAAACGAACCTCAAGACACTTCTTTTGTCAAGTATCACATAGAAAATTGAACTGCCCCTTTCACTGGTTGTAGGTTGTCTTTTGTGCAGCAGTGCTTTTTAGCTTGGGAACTTTTGTATCGGCCATTGAAGAAAGTTTATTCACCCATTTGCACATTAAATGCACCTCATGCTCAATCTGACTTGGTTGAACGATTGGGATATATTTATCTTGATCACTTCACAGCCACATTTCCCTGCTCACAGCATAAGCATCTTTACGGGCTCTCACTCTAAAATCAAAGTCTTCACAGGCAGGACTGCAGTGTTGGAGGCAAGATCCTAAAAAAATCATATGCTCATTGTCATAAGTACACTATCGTGTTGAAAGTAGTAGTAGAGGTCTGGATTGGAAAATGAAGAAGAGGTAAGAGAAAGTCCCTCATAGATTTTTGGCTTTTCATGACTTACCCAATAGCCCATGGAATCCGTTCAACAAGTTACAATACATTTGTACAGACATCTTACGTGTGCGCCGCCGCAATGGAAAAGGCAATGACAGCGTGGCGGATCGTAATCTCGGCGAAAGACAAGAGCCTTGCTTTCTTCAAAGTTATCACGAAGAGATTTTGCATTCACGATGTCACCGCTTGGGGCAGCATTGACATGCATTGTAGCAACAATGACAATGATGGAAAAAAGAGCCTTTGATACCTTCATCTTTCTATTGTGCTTTGAATGTAATGTTGTGTTGATCTTTGTGGTGATGGTTGGAGAGTAAGAAAAGAATACAACATTCTTGCCAAAATCTCTGTCAAAAGCGAACCTCAGGAACCTTTATTCATTCACATGTCACATCATGTGTGACTTTCGCACGCTATACCTTGCATTGGAACATGTAAACCATGATTCATCAAGTGGAAGGGGGAGTTCAGTACACTTGAAAATATGAATTGTCCTATCCGTGTTTTGTCGGCAAATCGGCAAAGGTGGAAGTCATCATCTTTTTGTCCTTCTAGAGAACTTCACACGTAACCACGCAATATTCAGGACAGTTTTCGCCTCCAGCTTCCTTGCAGGGATTTGTGCATTTACAATAAGGATCAACATCACGGCGAGAGTGAGGGTTGACATCAGCTTTTGCACCGTCACTGAGGGCATATTTGTGCCAAACATCATAACCTGGTGCAGCATTAATACACTCCATGAGCGTTAAGACAAAGATGGCCAATACGAGTGCGCTTAATTTCATCCTGCTTCTTTGTTGTCAATGGTGTGGTTGTGTGTTGCGTGATTTGCTTTCGAAGATGCAGTAGTATATAGAAGAAAAGATCGTTGAACTCGAGGTAAGGGTGACCCTATATATGTAAGGTCGTGGTTTAGCCAATGAAATGTGATTCTATCTTTTCGGCTTGCTTAAAAGGATTTTTGGTTACTTACGGGCTTCATATAAAATCAAGATGTCAGTGCATCTCACTTGAAAATTGGCTAGAGAGATGCTGCGACAAAACAAATGACAAGTTGCGTAATCCCTGTAATGCATTCATGCTGCATTAATCTTCCATCGCGCGGTCTTCCTACGAGTCACAGCCACAAATGCAGCAGACTGTATCGTGCCCTTCAAGAACATGGGTCAGACAAATGCATGTTTTGTAGTTATCGCAGTGGTTGTGTTTATTCCTTTCACCGTACGCTCAAGAGTTTCTAATCTAAGTGCAATCTTTCAGACAGTCGAAAGTATGGAACAATTGATCAATTGGACAAAGACATAGGGGAAGTTTGAGTACTCAAAGGGAGGGAGAAAGGAAACGTTGGATTTCTTTTGGCGAGAAATTGATTGTAGTGGTAAGCTACAAAGGAATGATTGCTTCACCGTCTAATGAGCTTTCTTCTTCTTGTCATCATCACCTGCAACTTCGAACTTGAACCAAGTACCGTCCAACCAAAAGTCGATCAATTGACCGTCATAAGGTTGGTAAAGGTATTGATAAGAATCCGTGTCCCAAGCTTTGTCGAGGTAGAATGAATCGTATTGGTTTGGACTTGCGTGAATTTTGATCTTTGTCTTATCGGTTGGAACGTAGAAATCATCCGTGCTGTACAGGTCATGGTAACCATCTCCGTTGTTGCCATAGTCATCAGTGAATTCTGCCCAAACCCAATTGTCACGACGGTTCAGTTCGGGGGTTTTGTCATCTGCACGACGGTTCACTTTGTCGGCGCTCTTTACATCACGAACGACGTTGTTGGTAACTGGCTTGACTTCACGAGCAGCGAATTCAATATTGCTTGCAGCTTCAACACCGCGGTTTGGGGCAGCATTGGCGAATGTAGCAGCGCCAACAGCGACTGCAACGAGGAGGATGCTTGAGAAACGCATTTTTATGTTCAGAAATTGTGTACTTGCGAAGGAGAAGATTGAAATGAGGTGGTTGAGGGAAAAGGGATTCATTCAAAAGCTCGAAAGAGTGGTCTTTATATACCTTTACTTCCTCCACAAAACCTTGATGATGTGATTACGATTGCGTGCTTACGGACTTGGACGACCTTAGGGACCATTCATGCTCTTGGCATCATGCTACTACTGCTTTGACATGGCGCAATATTCAGGATGAAGGCTGCGGGATAAGATGTGCCCGTACTTGTTACAACCTCCTATGGCTTCTCACACGGATCACGATGAATCTCCACTTGTCGGTGATCCGGCCCTCGTAAGCCACAAAGCATAAATTATGCCGCATGCATGATTGTGACCAGGTGATACTCACTTTTGGCTATAATAGACGGTCTTGGTAACACTTTGGCCACCTGGACTTCAGTATGTATGCGTTTGAAAGGTATAATTATATTTATCGGCATTTTCTTAAGTCCGTATCTCATTGAGCGAGATACCCTATTAAGGATGGAATAATTCATGAGAGGTCACTCTGTGACTCATTCTTTGTACAAGACTGTGCTTAAATGTTCAAGTATTAAGCCCTCTTGCCATAATTATCATCTTGCTTGGGAACTCAATTGATCTGTGCATTTTATCGCTATATCTTCCATCCAAGTCTTATGTCTTTCGTTGTGTGGTCAAAGATGACTTTAAGAGGTTTTTTTTTTTCTCATGACCAAAGACAATTTGTAAAACTCATTCAGACAGTGGGAAAAAACAATTGATCAATTGGACATAAACAATGGGGAATTCTGAGTACTCAAAATGGATCGATAGAGAAAACGTTGATTCCTTATGAAAGGATCTGAGAGCTGTCAGCGGCTGCATCGAACGATATGTTCAAATTCAGCTGGCCTTCTTTTTGTCGTCACCTTCATCTTGAGCAAAGTTGAACCAATTGCCGTCCAAATAGAAATCAAACAATTCACCATCATAAGGTTGGTAAAGGTATTCATAGTTGTCGGAATCCCAAGCGTCTTGGAGGTAGAACGAATCGTATACGTCTCCACTGGCATGAATCTTAATCTTTGTCTTACCGTCTGGAACGTAAAAGTCATCGGTACTGTATAAATCATGATAGCCAACTCCGTTATTACCCCAATCATCTGTGAATTCTGCTCAAAGCCAATAATCACGACGTTGGAGATCAGACTTTTTGTCTTCTGCGCCGCCGCGGCGGTTCACTTTGCCGGCATTCTTGATATCACGAACAACTTTGTTGGTGACTGGCTTGAAATCACGAGCAGCAACTTCGCTTTCAGCTGAAACTTCAGGACTGAGATGTGGATTAAGATTATCGTCCGCGCAACCAAGGTCTGCATCTGCAACTGCATTGACTGGAGCAGCATTGGCGAAAGCTGCAGCACCGATAGCGACTGCAACGATGAGAATGTTTGAGAGACGCATTTTGTTGTTTGAAGAAGTTAGAGGTAAAGAAGAATGAGATAAGATGAATGAATGGAAATGAATGAGTGTGAGATGGTTGAGGGAGAAGCTGGATGAAGGCTCGAAAATGGTGCTTTATATACCTTTACCTCCTCCAAAAAAAACCTTATTGTGATCACAATTGCATGCTTTCTGAATTGAATGCGGGACCCTTTATGCTCTTGGCATCATGCTGATCTTGGAATTGGTGCACCATTGAGGTTGAAGGATGAGGATTAGATGAGCTCGCACTTCATCATCCTGCATCTTCTCACAATAACATCATCTCACGTCAGCATCTTCCCACATTAATCCTCTCACGTCATCATCTGGCCACATGAATCTTCTCACATTAGCCATGGCGAATCTTGACGTCTTTTTCCGGCCGCAGAATCTAGTTTGTGAAAGAGCAGAGACCAATTGACATTCACTTTTCATTCTACTGGAGGGAAATGATGGTAGTGCTACCACGTGGCATTACGATATTATGCAAATGGATGTATGCGCTTTGAAACTCTAACTTTATTCTGTCAAGTATTCAGCTGAGTCCGTATTGCGTCGGACAAAATGATTCATCGGCTTAGACTCACTCAAACGACTCAGCAAGAGGAATTGTTAACAATTGATGATTATTGAGGAGCGCTCGCGGTACTGACATGTAAAAGAGAAGAAAGGATAGAATACTTCATGAGCGTTAAGTGAATTAATAGGGCCCTTGAGAGGACATCTTGCTACTAAGTTCTCTTCGCATTCGAAGATGAAATTGGTTCAACAATCTACTGCCTGGCTGTCTATCAAGCTTTCTTGTCGTCGTCGTCCTCAACTTGTCCGAACCTGAACTCAGTACCGTCCAACCAGAAATCGATCAATTGTCCGCTGTAAGGGTTGGTAATGTACTGTTTTTCATAAGTCCAGACATTTTGAATGTAAAATGTTCCGTATGTGGTTGCAAAAGTTGAGTGAATTTTAATCTTGGTCTTGTCTTCAGGAACGTAGAACTGATCTGTGCTGTACAGGGAATCATGACCAAAGCCATTGTTTCCATCATCGTCCGTAAACTCGGCCCAAAGGAAAACAACAATGTCATCATCACGACGTGCGATTGCTTCTTGCTCGGCCTTGACACCACGGCGCTTAACATTGCCACCATTGAGACCACGATTTACATATTTGCCATCATTGATGCTGTATGTTTGACGGACAGGATCCGCGTTGAGATTGTCACGAGCAAATTGAATATTTCCTGCACTCTCAATACCATCTTGAGTGGGAGCAGCATTAGCCAATGCAGCAGCGCCGATGGCGAGTACAGCAAGGAGAATACTTGTAAAACGCATGTTGTTGTTTAGAGCTTAGTACGAGAACGGGAAGAATGGGGTTGTGATGTTTGAGGAAAAAAAAAAGTCGAAAGAAAGCTCAAAACAATGGACTTTATATACCTTTGCTTCGTCCAAACCTTATTGTGATTACGATTGCGTGCTTTCGGAGTTGGACGTCCAAGGGTGCCCGTTATGCTTTTGCAAATATACCACTGACGTGACGTATCACAACAATCAGGTATAGGCTGAGCCCGTACTCAATTTCTCAACCTTTCTCCTCATTTTGTCCGTGGAGATTTGTATTTGTCGGTAAACCTGCCTTGTAAGCCGAAAGGTCCAAATTACACCTTATGATTGCGACCGATTACTGGAAATTGTTGGTAACACTTTTACCGGATGCTGAGTTGCTTGCAGCATCACGCAAAGACATGTATGTGCTATGAAGATTCAAAAGGGTTCTACCGACTGTTCACTTAAATTCGTATTGCGTCGGATAAAGCACTTCTTCAGCTAATATTCTGTCAGAACTCAGGCATGGGGTTTGTGATTGATCGATCAATTAGTGAGGAGCGCTCGCAGTACTGACACGAAAAAGGGAAAATTGGATTCATGGGAGAAAAGAGAAGCGGAAGAGCTGTGAATGGACATCTTGCGAAACTGGTTTTTTTCAGATCTCGCAAGGAAACGATTCAATTTTCAAAGCTTGCCCGATTATCAAGCCTTCTTGTCGTCATCATCACGACCAAACTTGAACTCAGTACCATTCAACGAGAAATTAATCAATTCTCCGTCGTAAGGTGAGAAAATATATTGCTTTTCATTCTGGTCGTTCTGGATGTAAAAATCTTGAGAAGTATTCTTGGGAAATGCGTGGATTCTGATCTTGGTCTTATCATCGGGAACGTAGAACTGGTCTGTGCTGTAGAGAGAATCATGGCCATAGCCGTTGTTGCCATCATCATCAGTGAATTCAGCCCAAAGGTAAAACAATGGGGGAATAAGACGACGTGCGAGTGCTTCTTCTTCGGCCTTGACTTTACCACGACGTTTAACATTGTCGGTGTTGAGACCACGAACAGCATTTTTGGGCTCATTGATGCTGCGTGCTTGAGGGACATGATCGACATTGAGATTATCACGAGCGAATTGAACATTTCCTCCAACTTCAACGCCATTTTGAGCTGGAGCAGCGTTGGCGAAGGTGGCAGCGCCTGCAGCGACTACGAGAACGAGAATGTTTGAGAAACGCATTTTGATGCTTGAAAAGGTTGATTGAGCTGGAAGAAGAGTTTGGAGGATTGGGATCAAGAAGAGCTGGTGGATTTTGACGAAATGAATTGAGTTTCAAAGCAGTGTTTATATACCTTCACTCCCTCCAAATGGTTCATAAGATACGGTCTTGACGAGCATGATCGCGTGCTTCGACAATTGATACATGATGGTTGTCATGGTTGCAAATCTATTCTATACTCATATCAAATTCGTGCTCGCCCTAAGCAAATGACGAATAGTGCATCGGCCAAACCTTGAGATCAATAATCGTGCTTTTCTCTCCATGTGGCAGACTTTGAAGTTTTCCCGACGAAAGGATGATTGCGTGATCATGACAAGGTTTCTGTGGACTGATCTATGTGCCATCTAGGAAGATGTATGCAAGTTTGACGTGAATATATGCACCTTTTCATCCTTGATGTTTCGATCGGGTAAATCGGCGAACTTAGAGGGAGAAGCCCGTGATGACAGAATACTCCGAATAGGGACCACCAAGCGGGGAAAAGAGCATGTGGTTGCTTTGCGTTCATCACGTTGCGCATGAATTTTCTCAAGGCTAAAAGTCTGACCATGCTGAAAAAGGTTCAATGAAAGTATGACCGCGGATTACGACCTTCTACGCAACTCAGCCACGATCTTACACTTGCAATCTCCGTAAATTCAAGATTCTTTTCAGATCGATCACAGTCCTGCATTACCATCAAGTGTTCAAGTGAGAGCCTTGTCCCCGTGATCGTGCATTCAAGCCCGGGATATGATAAGCCATGGTAAGTGGTCAAGGCGCGCTAATTTATCAAAGCTTCCTTCCCTACGTGTTACTTTCTTCGCGAGCTTTATTTTGAAGGGTTACTTTGATGAACACTGCGCCAGCGCTGAGAATGCGCCTTCTTTTACGCCAAAAGAGACGTTCAATTTCACCTTGTAACCTTTCCACCTCTCTACATTCTCTTTTACCTACTTGCCTACAAACCTTCAAGTGACATCAGACAAGATGTTGTCATCTTTGCAAGGCATGAACGTACGTTCAGCTTTGATGCAAGCATTAAACTTCTTAACAGTTCTTTCGACCGCATTAAGCATGTGGAAAGGTTTATCCTACTTAACAGATACCGAATCACCAGTTGTGGTCGTTTTGAGTGGATCGATGGAACCGGCATTTTATCGTGGTGATTTGTTGTTTTTATCAATGCCAAACGAACGCTTTCGTGTTGGAGATATTACGGTGTATAAAATGCCACAAGCTGATATTCCAATCGTTCATCGTGTTCTCGAAGTTCATGATATGTGAGTATCAAATATTGTCTGTCATACAAACACACTTTCTGACACATTTCTCTGCATTTTCCTATAACAGCCCGGGAGATGAAAAGGATCAGTTAATCCTCACAAAGGGAGACAATAACGACCGAGACGATTTAGGACTGTACGATGGCCCACTTTGGCTGCGTCGCAAGAACATCATTGGAAAAGTGAGAGGGTGAGTAAAAAGTATGCGTGAGAATCCTGTTTGATAGGTATGCTAACCACATACTCCTCTAATTTACCTGCTACAGATATGCACCTTACGTTGGATACGTAACAATCTTGCTGAACGACTACCCCAAGCTCAAGTATTTGCTATTGGGAGGATTAGCTCTCTCATTATTGTTCTCAAAGGAAGGATGATAGCCAGAATAGACGCTGATGTGACTGATGCTTTTATGATGAAATGCATTGTATTGTACATTGTGAATTACGTGACATGAGACCAGGGTAAGAATGGGGAGGCATCATGAAGAGTCAGATAGGGTTGAAGGCGCTCTTCGTCCAGTAAAAGCTCGGAAGCGCAGGGCATCAACTTGTCTCCAGAGTTCAGCAGCAGTGATGCATCGCCAACCCATGTTTTTGAACTTGTCTTGCTGAAGTATTTGAAGCGTTTCACGATCTTCGACGGTATCCACATACAGTCCACCGAGTGGATTCTCAAACAAGGTTGGGTCAAAAGAGGCAGAGCTTTTTTGACAATTGATGATCACCGTTGGATCGCTAGAAAGCTCTTCATTGTCTACATTTGGCATCTTTCCGGCTTTCCATTGCTTGTTTTTACTGTCATGAGTAGTGCACAAAAGAGCAAAATGCTTGGCTATTTGGCGTGCCGATTCTACATACCAATCCACCTTATCATGTGAGTCATTGTGTGCCGATAGAACAACCATCCTTGATCGCTTGGTAAGATGTACGGATGGGCTGATCGAAGCAGTGATTGTGTCTACCAGTGCCTCCACCAACTTGTTGCTTGCCAGCCATTCGATCGACTGAGGTGCAGTATTGATTAATCGACTTTCGAGCGAAAGTGTGGATGTGATGCAATCAAATGTGCCAGTGTCTCTGACATTTGCATCGCATCTCATGTTTGGGAGCGAAAGACGGTCTCTAGCATCCCATGCAAGCCCTTCCGGAAAGTAGATGCCACCAAGATTGCCGAGACGCTTATCAGCGTGGTGTATTGACTGTTTTAAGCTATCCCCGTCCGTGCTCGAATGCAGCATCGTGTACGGCAATCCCATCATGTTGAACCAATCGACAAATCTTTGACAGTTTGATTCAGAGTTCATGATGGATAGAAAGTGTGCTTGCTGGACCAAACCGCTCAAATGAAGCGCTCTTTGAATCTCTTCAAACGTCATTGATGGGTTCCCCACAACACCTTCCTTGCTGAGTTCTTTTGCGATCGGATGTGTGACAGAAGCCAAGACAGGATTCAAGAAACGACTCATTCGGCCCAAATAGCTCATATTGTAAGCAGACAACGGCAATCTGTCCTTGCTTTCCAATCCAGAACAGAACAATTGTAAAGCAAAGTTGTCCGACAATTTCCCTGCGGTTCCAACTATCTTGACAATATCAGCTCCAAGCTCACCAGCTTTATTGTACAAATCCGTTGCACGATTCACATCCCAGTCAAATCCGCCCGATGTTGAAGGTTTCTGATCCCGCCAGGATATAAGCACAGTAATCTTTCGCAGTTTTGCCTCTTCAATCAGCAGTTGTGTTTGTGCAGGATCAAGACCCATTTCTATATCGATCACATTGCACCCCAATTTCAGAGCATGTCGTAACGATGTGAATAGCGCTTTTGCTGGTGCATCAGCCGGATAAGGATATCTGCCTCCTTGAGCTGGTGTTCGAAGTGTGAAGACTAGTGGATAGTCTGGTAAATGACGCCTGATAAGAGCAACCTGCTCAGACAAGTACGACAATGAAGGATTTTCGTACGCTTCAATGATATCAGCCTGTCCATTGGAGGCACCTGGATCATTTAGCAAATCCGCCCTAAGCTCGATCGCATCAGCGCCAAGAGTGATCAAAGGCAGCTTGTCGACATGTGGATGAAGATCGGCAAATGGCAAAGTGACCAAATAGCTCCTTCCCTTTGGCTCTGGCTTCCAAGGTAAAGTTTGGCTTTGAAAAGATGCTAAAAGCTGCACAAGAAAACGAACGAAATCTCTCTCTACAGCTTCAAATCGTAGACGTTCGGCTCGTGATGATTCCGCTTGATCTTTCGTATCCCTGTTTGATGCATGTCTCAGGACTTCTCTATCGGTAAAGTTGACAAATTCATGAGAGGAGCTTTCCCGAAACCATGGTCGCCTCCTTTGCCAGACCTCTTGTCCGCCTGCTACCAAGCCAGTCCATTTCGGAAGTCCTCTGCTATCAAGTAGAACTTTATCCAGTTCACGAAAGATGTGAATTACTGCGACCCTTTTCTCCGGTCGCAGAACGCCATCCTCTGATCCCCATGCCGCTTTGAGCAAAGTTCTATTGCATTCTTCTTCCACAACTCCGCCTCCGAGGCTGACAACGACGGGCTCTTTCTTTCTTTCTGCATGCTGCAGGAGCTCCTTCAATATGATCGTCTCACTTGCTCTGAATGCTGGCCAGCCATTTTGTGCTACGAAATCTTTTGGTGTATTTCCATATCGTTCAATGAACAAATCGTCTGCATCGATGAATCGTGCGTTCAAATGTTCTGCTGCTAATCTGCCTAATGTCGTCTTCCCTGCTCCTCGCATGCCCATCAAGAATAATGATGGTGCATCCTTGCGAAGCTCATCGATCGTAGATGCCATCTTTTTGTCATAGCATTGTGCAAATGGTAGGATGGATGAAGATGACAAAAAGGTGGAGAAAATAAAGCTTAAGTGAGGTTGAGAAGAAATATGATTTTAGCGTACAGTGGAAAGTCTAATCTAAGGCTAGCGCACGCAGATTGCACTTTCTTCTGCTGACATGAGCAGACGCTACTGTTCTTCCCTCCTCCATCTTTCATCGATCATTCTATCAAAATGTCGGTCAGTAGGATCGGAAGCTCTTCAAGAGTAACGCTCGCGACAAAAAGGGAAGTTCTTCCTTCCCTTACTCAGGCGAGAAGGATCAATACAGCTTGTACGCCTCGACAAATCATTTCTTCCCGAAGATCCGAAATTGCTTCAATTCGACCAACGATCAACAATACCTCAATAGGAAACCGTTCAATCTCATCCCTATTCAAGACAGCCACTCAAACTTCCGATGACGTGGTAATCGTTGGAGGTGGTGTTGTGGGCTTGGCATTGGCATGCTCGCTTGCTTCAGATCCGGCATTCCGATCAGCAAAAGGAAGTATCACCTTAGTGGAGGCATCACCACTGGACAAGCTACGATCATGGTCAAAGACGAAGCAATTTGAAGGGCAAATCAACGATTGGGAAAACAGAGCAATCTATCTTACAGAGGAGAATCGTGACTGGCTAGCGGATCTTGGAGTAGAAGAGTTTCTGCTGTCAAATCGAGTAGGACCGGTGCACTCTATGCACGTAACAGATGGCTTAACGGGCGCTGCTCTAGACTTTGACGTCTCGAATCCACATGATAGTCAGCTAGGTACAATGGTGGAAATCAGTAATCTACAACAAGCTATGCTGAGCAGGATAGAGGAGCTGAAGTCAAAATACGATATTTCCATTCGTGTTTTAGACGGAACAAAGGTTGAGATTATTGAAGCTATGCAACCGGATCAAATTGCAACACCATCAAGTTATACAGATGCCTGGCCATTAGTTCACTTGAGTGGTGATCACAAACCCATCAAAGCCAGATTACTAGTCGGAGCTGATGGAAACAATTCACCTGTACGCAAATACGCTGGTATCAAGGCGCAGGGATGGCCTTATGGACGAATGGGTGTCGTTGCAACAGTAAAGACTGCACAGAATCTGGCTCTACCATCCATCTCCGAGAGAGTTGCACATCAACGCTTCTTACCAACGGGGACGATTGCTTGGCTTCCTCTTTCGAACGACTCTGCATCAATCGTATGGACATTACCGCCAGACGTTGCAAAAGCATTGACTGGACTTCAAAAGCAATTTGAATCGGAAGCAAACAATGAGGTGTCGCCTTTAGCACATCTCATCACTGCCGCCTTTCGCTTGCCATGGGACAGTCTCAGCCCAATTTTGACAAGAATTGCGAGTAATGCGAGCCTTGAAATTCAGGATCATTCATGGATCGTACCTGCCATCCAAGAACAGCTAATGACGAGTGCTCTGGAACATGGGTCGAATCAGGATGTACCTGTTCCAGCTGCTTCGATCTTGAAAGGAAGTGTGGCTGGATTTCCATTGAAATTGTCACATGCTGAAGCTTACCTAGGCTCTTCCTTGCGTCAAACGAGTATTGCCGAAGCTGGAGCAGGTGCATTATTGCCATCAACTTTCCTACAAAAAGCGATTGAAGGAGTTTCCTCTGTTGCATCTGGGTTGAGTGGTGCACAAACAACAGCCGAGCCAGGTATTTCATCCATCGCTCGTGGCAGAACAGTATTGGTTGGAGATGCTGCCCATACAATCCATCCTTTGGCCGGTCAAGGTCTCAACCTAGGTCTAGCAGACGCTCGGGCTCTTGGTGAAACATTACTCGAAGCAACAGCACAAGGAGGTGATCTTGGAAGTCATACAAGCTTACAATCTTATCCACGTCAACGGTACATAGCCAATCAAGTAATGCTGAGCGCGGTCGATCATCTTCATTGGTTGTTCGTCACTCCTTCACCGCCTGGTAATCCGACGAATAGCATCATGGGAGATTTGATCAGTCGAGCTACTATCTGGGGTAGAAGTACGGGATTTGAAGTCTTGAATGAGTTGGACATCGTCAAAAAGGCAATCATCGGTGCTGCCGGTAGCAAACGTTCTTCACAAGGTTCAAACAAGCCTCGTACCAATCTGGATCAAAGCGCTTAATTTTTACTCAATGTGCAGGGAAAATGCCAGATTACTCAAATCTGTTGTATAATACAGTATAGAATTACGAAAGATGTACAGGTTTTGCAAATATGATGTACAATTCAATATTTAATCTCAGATTTCACACAGTGGCCTCATTCATCTTCCTGCGTTGGGCAGGTTTGGCAAAGGCTTGATTACTAGGTAGCATAGTTGAAGAAGATGCGGAGTGCATATTGGTAGTGTTCTTTCTTCCTTGAACCGATGCCACTGCAGCAGCTGTTGATGTATTGGCAATCAGGCCATCTTTGTTCGGCAAAGCAGCTCTCCTCCCAGTGGAGAATTGCATTTCTTCCAGCAACGCTCTTTCCTTCTCAGGTGTAAGGGTAGGCGAAGTCATTGGCTTTGGTGGTGCTTGAATGCGTAAAAGTGTTCTTGAAGCTTCAAAAGCAGCAGGACCAAAACAATGCAAATCTTGCATTGTTGAATAGATTCCTTTGAAATCAAAAATGAACCATGCAAAATACCTATATGTTTGTTCTCTTGCTTTTCGTTCTTCTGCTTCACTTGCTGCTGTTGCTGCGGCTAGATGCATTGACATTAAATGTTCTGTAGAATCTAGTCCTATTGCTGTTCTTCTTTCTCTTGGTGCATGCATCACCTGGAATGTACTTTGCTCGACATACTTTCCATCGTCTTCTTCGTGGTATCCTTTATCAGCACTGCTGCGTCTGCTGCTCTGCGAAGAGGTGGCAGTTGGAATCAACAAGCTTGGAGATGTTTCACGGCTTAGTGAATTTGGTGGGGTGACATTAAGCGAACTCACATGCGGAGATGAAGAAGCTACAGTCGATGTTGAATCTGAGATGTGAGACTTCAAATTGTCCAACGAGGGTGGTGGACCGGAGAATTGTTGTGGTGAAGCAGCAGGAGTATCGTTCAGCTCACGATAAATCTCCGCTTCCATTATTCGATTGTACACATTGATCGCCCATTCTGCTTCGGCAAATAACCATTCACGGGCTGAAGCGAATTGGAATGGCGTTCGTAGCAATTGTTTCACTTGCATTAACAAATAGATTGTATCTTGAGCAGATGCCAAAGCACGACATTGAAGTTCGGCAGACATTTCTTCAACTTCACACGTTTGCATCAGATTGTCGGTCCTTAACCGGTTGCATGCGTATCGTGACCAAAGCATATTGATAATACTTGTAGCATCGAACACAAGCTGTGACGAACCTTCCATCCAATTCTTCTTCACATCAATCTTCGTCCATGATGGCAGCAAATCCATCAACGCCAAGACGACATCATCATTTGCGATTGCTCGTCTTGAACGTTCGTAAGCCTGATCTTTTCGTCGCCTTCTTCGTGCCTCTGCTCGAATATTTGGATCGATTCCCAAAAGATGGTCTTCCATTTCTTCTGCCACGGCTTGATCTGCATTGAGCTGCGTTTCACGGATTAATTGAGTATATGATGTTGCCCGGATCTCAGACAAAATCAATTTCAAACATTGAAAGTCGAATGCCATAGACGGTAATCGTTTTCCGTCAGGCGATACTGCGATCACACTAGGATCTTGACATGCTTCTGACGGCAGCAAGATGCATTCTCCCGAAAAAGTGTTTGCATCTGTTGAACCCCTTCCTTTATTCTTCCTTGTGTTCATGTTGAGAGACATTGACAATCTGGGATAAGCAGTGATGTCGAATTGAATACGTTGAAGTGCATATATGTGCTGTTCTGAGTATTGAGATGTGGATGGCAATCCGCCAGTTTTGGTAGTCTTCTTTTGTTGTTTTGCTTCTTCGATTTGATCGAAAAGGCCATACTTTCTTGCAAATCGAATGGCATGATTTCCATGTGTCACACTTCGTACTTCATCACGAGCTTGATGGAAGAAGCAGCATAACATCGAATGAAGCCGACAGTGTAGTAATGCAGTAGGGCATTTGGCTAGACACAACCAATTGTATGGTTCGTATGTGGATGCTGATTTGACGGGATGTTGCTGTTGTTGCATCTTGATCTGTTGCTCATACTGATCCAAGGCAATCAGCTCAAATATGATTCCAGCGAATTTACGTGCTGATTTGATGGAATACATTGATTCGAGTACCGATTTACTCTTTTGTGATGTTTGTGTTAGTGATGCTGCTCCTGCTGCGATGAGGAAGACGTACAGGAATGCTAATTCGATCGAGCTTGCTTCCATATTGTTTACCCGATCATACAGATCATACATCTCCTCTTGAGTAACGTACGATCGTGTATTGACGAGCTCATGTTGAAACCAAGTATCGATCGCATACTTTACGTGTTCAAGATCTGGCAAAGCATAATAGCATTGTGCCAAACGTGGATTCATTCTGGCTAGTTGAGGTTGGGATGATTGGCCAGCTCCTGTGCTGCTTTCGCCGCCATACATGTTTGTGTTGCTGCTCAGACAAGATGTTTTGTTAGTTTAGAATGTCAACATCTTCTCGATAGTCGCAGAAGTAGTGATGTTCACGATGATGAGAAGCATTCCGAAGTCCTGATCAGGATCATACCTAAAAGAACCGGTTTGTACATGTTACGGAAAAGAAGGGATCCCTTTCATTGATTGTTTTTCGGACAATCCCGAGAAGCCGTTCTATAGATATACTTGATTTACTGGGGAAGTGCTGTCAAGATTATACCTGTCAATTACGCTTGTCTGAAAGCTTAAAGCCGAGGGAGGGATAAAAACGTGTACTGCTTGTTCCATGCTTCTTCCCATTCTCTCTCTTGCTCTGTTTTTTGTGTTCTAGACTTGAAGTTCAATCTTGCTCTGTTCTTCTTCACACAAATTAAGCTTCTGCAAGGCTTTAAAAGCGCCACTTCCACAAACAACATTATTGTAAGGGTACATCACCAGCAAAAACGCGTCCAAAATGAAATCGGTCAATTCTAGACCGAATAAAAATTTATCAGCTGAGTTTGAATTATTACAGTATTCAACAATTGCCTTTTTTGCTGCTTGTTGTATCGGATAAAGGTTCAAATCCGATAGAGGCCGCTCTCCTATTAACAATAAATTGTCTGAATTCACACTGGCAGAAAAATAGAATGCGAGTAAGGGAATCTTGCAGAAGATCATCCACAAATTACATGCTGTAGAAGTGCATGAAACGGTAGTTCGGAACACAAAGCCAACTGTATACCACTTTACTAATACAAGACAGCCATCAACTCTTTTGTGGCTTTGAAGGCCTCCCTATCCTTTTTCTCTTCTATAAAAGGGTGTATCGATTTGTGAAGGAAAGAAGAGCTCCTCGGGTCGAACTTTGTCATCTTTCTCAGGCACACCTCTCGTATATATACGAAAAGGATATCTCGGATCGGGAATTGGGCATGAAACGACATTTACAGCGTACAATGATATTCATTGCATGCATATATGCACAATCATAAACAATGGGTGTATGACATTCAGCTTAAGAAAGTTTAGAAAAGGCTTGTAAGCCAGAAGAGAGGCTTATCCTCCTCGCATAATGGTCAGGAAGGTGATCACATGCTCTTCCGGTGCAGTAGTACAACGCCAATAAGCAGCCTTGAAAAGACCCTTTAGCTGGTTGGATTGGTGAGGTGAGGTGACTGTGTTCATCTTTCCCTTCTTTTGCAGGCTTATGTTATGGCAAGTAAGGATCTATGCAGGGATTGTCTGCCATTGTTCTTACAACGAAGGCGGTAAAAATCATCACGTGTGTAACAGCAGTTCATCTTACTAAGCTTGATGGCTTTCTCTCTTCCTTCCGATGAAGCGAGAATGAATGCTCCCACGATTCATTTCCCACATTTCCCTTTGTTGTGAAGGAAGAAGCAAGGGTGCACTCCATCAGCCAAAGACATAATCTTCCATCATTTTTAGGAACAAAGGGAATCAATCTTAGCGTACAGTCAATGCACTTTGTCCGTGCGTAGCGTGATTTTCAAGTTTGATTTCCTCCTAAACTCGAACTTGGAACTTGTTTTAGTGTTTTCTTCTTGATGATTTTCTTCTTTCCAGCATGCTCCGGGACTCTAAATTGATTCACTATCTTCTTCATCTAAGACAAAAACATCGGCATTCTCAATCCTAGATCCGTTGTTAGCGTACTATTTAGGACTCAGTGATCTGTGATTAGTGTCAGTTAGTATCTTTTTCTGAAATTAATAATGACGGGTAGATGTTTAGATCGAAATGAGCTGAGTTGGTCCGTCACATTGACTTATTGTTATAGCTCCACAAGAAAGAGGAAAAGTATATAATCTGTCTTCCTACATCTCTTGCTTTTCCCGTTCATTCAAAACCTCTTCCTCTTCCCAAATTCACTACATACAAGATGCTCTTCCTAAATCGACTCATACTCGCATCCACATTTTCATTGCTCATCCTACTCTCACATACAGTACGATCAGCAACAGTTCCACAACAGTTGCACAACCTAGCAAATCGTGATGTATCGCAAGATGATATGATCTTATCAGCAACTATCACGACCACAGCATCCTCCTCAACTGCCACCACACCAAGTACCGAAAGCGCTCAAGAATCAAATGAAAATCGTGAACCTGATCCATCCAACGGTCTATTAGGACCTTGTGTGGTGAGTATACAAAAGCGAACAATTTTCTTGAATATAGTCTTTTTAACAACTCTTTGTTGTCCTCCCCCCCTTCCAGTATAATCAATGTTGCTGTACACCCATGGTCAAAGATCGATCACAGTGCTGGAACGATGTCACAACACCTTGTCCGGGCACAATGGGTCGTCGTCGTCGTGTGTCAGCAAAAGCTGCTTAAATGTTGTACTGGAAGCCTCACACACACATTTTTGCAACAAAATACAAAGAGAGTGTACATGATGATTAGCATGAAATTGTATGAAAAAAGAGAAAAGAGAAGAGAGATCATAAGACATGATGAAACAAAAAGAGAGAGAAGAAAAAGGTAATGATCGTTGTAAAGAAGCAAAAATGAAGAGAAAAAGTACTTGAAGTCATATGTGTTGCAACGATTGATGCGAAATGAGTTATGTTGTATATGTTATAAGATATGTATGAAAGCTATACTCTAGTAAGTACTGCTAGTACGATGAATGTGTTTGATGATCGAAAATATGCAGAAATCAAAAGAGGTAAAAGGTAAGGGATAGAAGAAGATTCTGTAAGAATCCAATCTTACGAGCGTATACGGGTACAAGAGAAGAAAAAAGAGAAACGCAATCTTTTGTCAACATCATCAAAAAGTGTGAAGGTGCGACACAAAGAAATCAGCACGAGCAAGCTAATGGCGAGAAAAGACAAATCACGCAGCAACTGCTTTTGCTTGAGGGGTATACGTATCGCCGCCAGTCTTTCCATTCGCGTTTGCATGGCCATTGCTATGGTTACCGTTGCTTTGTGTTGGACGTTTATTGGATGAATGACGGCTACGGTTTACCAATTGGAAATCATCATCAGCCACAGGTGCTGGGGATGGTGTTCCATTTGTCTTGGCAGCTGCAGAGGGTGCAGATGTGCCATTAACCTTTTGACTGTTTCCGGATTTGCCATTAGCTTGCTTTTGTTGTTGCTTTTTGCTAACACCACCTTCATTGGCTTGACCGTTGTTCGTCTTTGGTTGAGCATTTTGACTTTGTGCTTTCACAGTCGTGCCAGTTGGCACTCCATTTGTGGCAGCATTGGCGGCGGCTGCAGCTGCTGCGACGGATGCATGGGTTTTTGGAGCTTGAACAGGGGCAGGCTTACTCTCTTCTCCGGTCTCAACCTTTCCATTGACGGCAGGTGCATCAGCGCCTGAAGAAGAGGACTCGGCATCGCCATTGACGAGTGGTTCAGCCTTGACTGGTTTGACAGGTGCGGGTGCAGAAAGAATCGCACTGAAGTTCACTCTAGCAGGTGCAGCAGGAGTTGAAGAGGCAGAAGGCGAAGAAGCAACGGCGTTTGCATCATTGAAGGCAGCTTCAGCACTTCCATTTACAGCTTTAGCAGCTGAAGGCGAAGGGGATGTGCCACTCGGATTAGGTGATGCAAGGGCGGGGAAGTCATTGACTGTTGGCACACGTTGAGAAGGTTGAGCTGGTTTCTGATTTTGTTGGTTGTTGTTGTTATGCTTTTTGTTGGAGCGAGATCCAGATGCATTATTGTTGTTGTTGTTGTTATTTTTGTTCTGTAGACCATTAGCTTGAACGCTAGTCTTTGAGGGATTCGATCGGACAACACCATTGCTTTGTGTTGCAGGTTTGTTGTCTTTTGCATTAGAATTGTTCTGGTTTGATCCAGAAGATTGCGACTGCTGACGAGAGTGAGTGCTCTTTTGTTGTTGTGATTGCTGCGTTTGCGATGGTGGTTGCTGTTGAGTGGCCTTCTTATCGGCTTGTGGACCAGTCGGCGCTGACGCTGGAGCATTTGCGTTGCCTACGCTTGATGCAGCTCCCTCTGCAGCAGCCGAACGGCTTGCTTGTTCTTTAGAAGCTCCAGCCGATGGAGAAGCTTCGCTGACAGTACCGTTTGCGTATTGAGTAGGATACACCATCCGTTGCTGCGCATGTAAAGGGCGAGCATCTGTTCCATCAGCCAAGATATGAGGGAAGCGACATTCGTCACCATATTTGCATCTGCCAGATTGGAAGAAGGTGCATGGAGGTCTGTCACCGCTGTGGTTTCCTCTCTTGCCGTTGTAGTTTCCGTTCACACTGCCAGCAAATCCATTCATCCTTCTGACTTTTCCTGCTCCTTGCATCGCTGAGCGAGGCACGAATCCGTTTGCTGTTCCGTCCATCGTCAATCCGTTCATCTCTGTTGCGAGTTGGGATTGTGGTTGGAAAGGAACGGCATGATGGTGCAGGAAGGAGTTGAATGACTGCCTTCTGTGAACAGGTTTTCCATTGGCTGATGTAGATGGGTCTTCTGTAGCCTCGCCTGCAGTAGACGAAGATGGATCGGCATTCGCAGTCTCGTCTGAATTGAGGATGCCAGCCATGCTAGGAGCCTCTGTTGGAGCCTCAGCGTTCTGTGCTTCTGCTGGTGAATTACTTTGCTCTCCTTGTTCTCCAGCAACGATGTTCTCGCCTTCTACTGGTGCAGATTGTGTGAATGAGTCTTGAGGTTGGGGCTCACCTCCTTGTGGTTGACCGCCAAAGTTTTGTGGTACGCCATTGAATTGCGGCATGTGAGAAGGATGTCCCATAGGTGTGCCTGGAGGCAAGAATTGTTGTGGGTTGGCGCCATAAGGTGGATAAGGATATCCTGGTGGCATTTGACCATAGAACATTGGTTGCATTGGTGGAGGATGAGACATAGAAGGTGAAAGAGGATGACCTTGTGGTGGCATTGGTGGAACGGCTCCCATTGGAATAGGATGAGCGAAAACGCATTTATCACCATATTTGCAGTTTGGGAAATATTTGCAAGGGATCATGCGAGCAACATCTGGTGGTGGCAGATTGACTCCCGATTCTTTACGGCTGTGGTTGCGTCTTCCGCTTCCCATACCGTTTCCAGGTTGAAAGATAGGTGCACCTGCATGCATACCTTCCATTGGGAAGAAATGATGAGGGAATTGTGGTCCTCCAAATTGTGGTGGTGGCATACCGTATCCTTGACCAAAGTCTGCAGCAGGATTCATGTATGTGATTGTTCCATCTTCCATCTGAACAGGTACCAGTCCCTCTCCTTCGTTCATTCCATTGTGTTGAGGATTCTGATCGTGGCTTTCTCCACCATGCAATAAGCCAGCAATTTCTGCATTGTTCAAGCCATATCCTTGTTCCATCACTTCATGCTTCTCAGCACCGCGTTGGAGTAATTCACGTACAAGTTCTACCTGTCCATTACGTGCACTGTATGCTAAAGCTGACATTCCATGTACATCTTTTGCATTGATATCGGTTGTAGGTTCGAGTTCGAATAATTGATGGAAGCTGTCCAAATCGCCTTCTTGGCAAATTTGGAACAGATCTTTGTTGGACATGCTTTTATTGTCTGATGCAATTGTTCGGATCGAAATGAAGAAATGAGATTTGTACCCTTTTGTTCAATCAAAAGCCGAAATGACGACGATCAGCCAAGATGTCGAAAGATGAAATTATTTGATCGTGCGAGGCAGTATACTCTGAAAACAGGCGCTTTTCTTCGATGTCGTGCGTAGTAAAGATTTGAAAGAGAATGTGAGCTTCAGTCAAGACGTAATTGAGCTCTTTGCGATGACGAAAACGAAAAGGAAATGAACCGGAAAGACGAGATCAGACGGAAGATGAAAAAAGGGAATGAGGTAGATGGTAGAAGTGTTGGATTGATGGTTTGATTGATGATATGAATTGGCTTTCGTACAGTGCGTAGTCCTCAACGTACGTCACTCTCTCTCTCTGCACTTCACCCTAAAAAAATGGCTACTGCGTCTTGACTTTTTTTTCTTCTAGTCTGACTCGTGACTGATTTGAATTGTTTTAGCTTTTAAACGAGAGGACACAAATTCTGTTCCTGCTCTTACATCGGGGCTCAACCTTATCTAGAGTAAATACAAATATTAGTATAATTTACAGTATTCAGCCCAGACTATAAAAATAATACAAACATCGAGCATTATTTGAATAAAAAATATTCGAAATTTTCTTACCGCTGCTCAAATATGATCCGAAGCTAAAAAGCCATGCAAGTGCATCGCTAATCGGCTTTTCTCGCTTCTTCTTAAAGTCAAGAAGAGGTTCTTCTCACTTTCTCTTTATTTTTGGGGGATTGTCACACGTCTGGCACAAGATCTTCTTTTGAACGCTAAAAATGAAGGGGAAGAAAAAAAAAAAGATGCGAAGAAATAATCCGACTATCTCACGTGCCAATGCAATCAAAAAAGCCATTGCTCAGTGGAGGCAGCTTGCTTATATGATCAGGGCATACGCGTTTCTGGCCCGAGCGTCCGGATATAGGTGTACTTCCCCATGACCACTCTCACTTTCGTTACCACATCATCATACGACAGCAGAAAAGACATAATGGTAAGTGACCCATCAGGAGAGACAAGCAATAGGTTTGAAAAGATACTTACTCATTTTTGTGTACCTCTTACCAACAGCTTGTTCGTGTACGTTCGAAGGATGGGACGTTTAGATTCCCTCTCGAACCGACAGACGATGCTGCAAAGCTGATCGAGCAGGTGAGTAGATATGGTATATTGGTATAATCTTTGCGGTAATTAAACTGATAGCTGTCTCATTCTCCCATCTTCCAGGTCTTGCAAACCACTCAAAATGCGGATCATACCACTCTGACATTGTCGAATCAGCCGCGTGGTGGCGAGATGCGGGCTGAAGACTTGAAGGGAACAACGTTGGCCAGCTTAGGAATAGCACATGGGCATCTACTCTACGCTAACTACTCGGAAGCCTCAGCACCATCCACCTCAGCATCTGTTACTACTGAGACAGCCGGCTCAGGCTCAGCACCAGCAACCAGTTCGACAAATGGAGCTCAGTCAAATGCTTCAAATGGCACAGCTTCTATCACGACTGCAAAGAAGCCATGGGAGACTGTCAAGGAAGATGCAGTAGATACATTCTGGGAAGCACAAGATGGAAAGATTCCACGAAGTAAAGATCCAAAATTCTGCAGACATGGGGACAAGGCGATGTGCGACTACTGTATGCCACTTGAGCCTTATGACGAAAATTTCAGATTGGAAAACAGCATCAAGCATTTATCGTTCCACGCATATCTGCGAAAGCGTGATATCGCTACAAATAAGCCATCGAGATCGTACATTCCACCACTTGAGGAAGAAGACTACAATGTCAAGATACCTTGTCCTTCTGAACAGCACCCGGATTGGCCAGCTGGAATTTGTACCAAATGTCAACCATCTGCCATCACACTTCAACGTCAGCCTTATAGAATGGTCGATCATGTCGAATTTGCTCATCCTCAACTCATCGAAAACTTGCTCAACTTTTGGCGATCGACTGGGCTTCAGCGGTTTGGATTCTTGATTGGACGATATGAGCCGTATGACAAAGTGCCAATGGGTATCAAAGCTGTGGTTGAAGCAATCGCTGAGCCACCACAAGAAGGAGATGCAGATGGATTAACGTTGGGTGTACCATGGGAAGATGCAGGCAGAATAGAGAACTTGGCGCAGAGTTGTGGGAACATGTCGATCGTAGGTATGATTTACACCGACCTTTCGCCATTAGATCCTACATTCCAGGATCCAGAGGCAGCGGGCAAAGTTCTATGCAAGAGACACAAAGACAGCTTCTTCTTGTCTGGGTGTGAAGTATTGTTCTCGTCTACCTTGCAAAAGAGCAACCCGAACCCATCAAGGTTTAGTGCATCAGGCAAGTACAACAGCAAATTTGTCACTTGTGTGATCAGTGGAACGGAAGAAGGAGCAATTGATGTCAGTGCATATCAGATCAGCGAGCAAGGGATGGCGATGGTCAGTGCGGATATGATTGAAGCCAGTGTGAATCCAAACATTATTCGTGTTAGGCCTAGCGAAGGAAAGAGATATGTGCCTGAAGTGTTTTATCGATACAAGAATGAATACAAGATCGATGTAAAGGAAAGTGCAAAGCCTACTTTTCCTGTGGAATATCTTTTGATCACTGCTACACATGGTTTCCCTAATGAACCCACGCCCGTCTTTTTGTCTTCCAAATTCCCAATCGAGAACCGACCAGGACTGCATGATCAAAATCTCACCAAAGCACTTACATCTATCAACAGTGTGCTCGCAGGTCAAGAATTATTCCCGATTGGCTATGCGGCTATGCTAAATGATGCGAAAGGAAAAGGAAAGATGGATATCAATCCAGAATTGGAAACCGTTCGCGAAAAGCTGGTTGGAATTCTGAGTGATTGGCATTTGATCTGTTTCTTGGATACATGCGGTATATTGGATAAAGATGATATTCAAGCATTGTGTAAGGTGGCCGTTTCGCATGATCATCGAGTGGATCTTGATGAACTGTTGCAAAAGACAGGATGGCAAACTCTATCGGCTATTGCAAAAGAATCTGCTCCTCAACCACAAGATGCTGATGCTGAAGATTTGGCAGCTATAGCCGCAATGGACGGAGGAGGCAATGCAAAATCTAACCAACCGGGTGGTGGTGGAACGGGAGCGTATGCCGGTAAAGTGGGCGATGTACGAGGTGCGGTTCCTGAATCACCAAAGCGCCAGGCACCTGTCACTCGATCTACAGCTCCGTCTCATCAACCTAGTGGAAGTAGAGCAGATTCGCCTATCCTCTATACAGGATCGGATGAAGGAGATGCAGATTTCGATTTTGTGCCTGATGACGACGATGAATTGGATGAAGACGAAGACATGTTTGAAGATGCGGCAAGTTCGACTGCTCATGGTGCTTCTGCTACTAGACGAACTGGATCAACACAAGCAAGCAGGCCAGAATCGCCAGTTCATGTACCCGCACCGCCAGCAGCAGCACCACCTCCAGTGACTTCTTCTGTGAAAGCTTGTCCACATTGCACGTTTGAGAATGATGCAGCTGCAACTGATTGCGATGTTTGTGGCCTCCCATTGTGAATATGCAAAATCTATTTTTTTTATGTATCGATAATATAGACTCTTTACAATTACAATAAAAAAGATGTATTGATCATCTTCTAATTTGACCTTGTTGAGCGTGTGCAGCTCTGAAGACTGCGATAATGAAGGAAAGGATCATTACGCAACACATAACCAGCGCGACTATGATCCAAGTTGCTGATCTACTTGAGAAATCAACATTTGCAAAATCGCTCAAGATTAGAAGGCCAGCCAAAAGTGCGATTGTGTTAACGATCCACAGAACCAAAAGAACTTCACGTCCTGCAGTTGAACTTGTAAGTGAAGATTGAGGTGAAAGTGAATCTTTGAATATCCAAACAAATGCTTGTCTCCTGATTGAGAAGCTTGATATCAAACCGGCAATAATGTACAGTGCAATCCATACCGGATTAGAGGTGGTCTTTGTCGTACCGCCATCTTGTGTGAGGATAAAGATGTAGAAGCAATGAACAAAGATTGTTACAAGACATAGACCGATCAATCTACGTTTGAAGGTAGGTGTAAGTAGGATATCGCGGGTCACTACTTCGTTGTACGTCGGTGGTGGGTTCACTTCACGATCAGCCTCTTCGGAATAGAGCGGGACATTCAATTGTACATTGCCATTTCGATCGGATTGTGAAGTTTTGGTAGGTAGTAACATCGTGATATTTCTAAGCGATCTGCTTGGCCGGGTGCTATGAGTCTTGTTGAAGACCAAACAGATCACTTTCTTGGGGAAAACGATTCTTCTATCGTCTACCTGTGATTTGATCTTGGTTAAAAGGTATTGTGCTTAGCATTGCTCAGCATTACTCTTGACGCATACACAATTGCAGGAACAGATTTACGCTAATAACTGAGCCAAGCTAAAGGTACACACTATGGAAATCGATTGTGGGGCTAAAGAGTTTGACATGTTTCTACGATCCTTTCAAAGTGGGAGATATACTCATTGGAATGATCACATAATCCCAACCACCTATGTCTTTGTTTCAGGATATGATGTGCAATGCTTGATGATTAGCATTCCGCATTGACGTAAAGCTTTCAAACAATCCTCGTGACAGTTTTGCTGATGGTGTATAATTTTCAAAAGGTCACATGATTGTCTTTATGGTCACATGGCATTGCTCATCATTCTAGACATACAACATAGTTTGTGTATCTCGATTGTCGGGATAGAAATCGAGAAGAAGGCGGCGCCTTAAAAGTGATGGCAACCTGTAGCCCGTTTATTGGAAGGAAGGAAAGCGCGGCACGAGAAGAGTGTATGATCTGCAATTAAAACTTTCATCATATATATGCATTTCGGCGTTTCATTACGCCCACTAAAAAAAGGCGCACTAAGCAGCAAGTCATCCTCTGACTGAATGAATGCGCTTCTTAAGTTCTGCTTCGTGTTTGGCGTTGATCATTTAGAATTGCTCAACATATCCTCTTCAAGTCGGACTTCTTTAGCCTTTGAGCCCATCTCTTGAAACATAGTATGGCGTCTGTAAATGAATGCAGTCTCGGATTTTAACGTTCCTGGAAAGGTTGCATATTTACACTCTCTTCATAAACAGAATACATACGCATCATTCACCGCCATATGAGTCGGCTTGATAGAATCAATGACACGCACTGCCTCAGAAGGAACAATGTCTGCATGTTTCTATTCATTCATGGCTGAATTGGCGGCTTATTTGAGCACACAGTTTGAATTGCAAACGGAGACGGAAAAGTAAGGCAGAATGTAAAACAGTATATAGCCCAGCCCAATGTTAACTTTGACGAATTGATGAACCCCAGATGCCACCTATATTATTCAACAAATTGGTTGACAACCATTGAAATTATTTGACCCCTAAACGATCATCAATTACAAATTACAGCAAAGCCACCAAAACCTAACTCAAAAGAGATTACGCAACATTCAATCACTTCTCCCTGCAATAAAAATTGTTCCACCGGTCGGGAACATATCAAATCCAATCAAGCAAGGTACGCAACAAATAAAACCTGTGCACGCTTTTGGACAGCGCCACGCAGATCCTTTCCTTTGAAAGGGAAAGTGAAGTAACCATTGACAGCAGGATTGACATCACTCAATCAATCAAACAACAGCAACAAGGTGTTCTGTAACCGTAGGTAACCACCAATTGATACCATCCAACGTGATAAATCAATTCTCTTTCTGCTTGCAGAAGCAACAGCAACAACAACACGCGCACTGCACTCAAGCAACAAGCAGGCACTTTGACCGCTTCCAGTCAAAAATCCAATTTAGGCGTACACTTTACGCCATCCAATATCTACACACGCATAAGCACACAAGCGGAGGTGGAGTAAATTATTGCAAGCAATAGATTAAGGTACGCAAAGGCAAGGACTAGTAGCAGTATTCTCATTGTGTGCGGATAGAAGGATTACCTTCTTTGGTTTCCCGGCGGATCAAGAGAGAAAAGAAAGAAGAAATCATTGCTAGCTTGCTTGCTCGCTCGGATACATATCGTGTGGTATTGAGTACCTGAAACATTGATACATTGATACACACAAATCACATCAAACTCAAACATCCTTCTTCTTCTCTTCCATCGACGTGGATCGTCTGGTGTTCCTTGGGATACTGTTTTTGTTTTGATCGTTAAGCATAAAGTCGAAGATTATATTCACTCTTTTCTTCAATTTGGCTTTTTTTGCCTTTCTTTCAAACAATCATTATCTCATCAACACCCAACCACCTTCCTTTTACCTCTTTTTTTTTTCTTTACATTGACAAGTTGGCCGGTTCCACTTGATCTTTGATTTCCCTTTCCTTTTTCCAATTCTTTTGATCGATTTCGTTTTTGGATTCTTTTTCAATTTTCTTTTTTGGCAATCGTGGCACGTTTCAAAATTCAGCATAAAATTATATCAACATGAATCCAAACATTCTCTCAACCCAAATCACTTCAGTTGGCTCTGCCGAACAAATCACAGCAAAACGTGAAGTCGTAGTCAATACGGACGAAATGCGTAGTCGTACACGTTCTGCGCTCTTTCAAGCTTTGGCTTTACGCTGCAACGAATCGGATGATAGCAGTGATGAAACTGAATCAAATCACAGTTCAACAACGGCTGTTTCTGAAGAAGATGAAGGAAGTGATGAAGAATACAAGCAAAGCATCAGTCAAGATCAATATCACAACAATGTTCGTTTACCCAGCACATTCTCACTTCAATCCAATGCACATCATTTCGATCGCCGTGTTTCAAGTGCTTCACAAAGAAGCCCACAAGTGCAAAAACGTATTTCTTCATTGGCTTCCAAAAATGCAAATCGCAATAGCTTCCGCAATCGCCATCGTCCCGCTCCAATGGAACTAGCCTCTTCAACGCATGCAAGTATAACGCCTAGCATCGAAATCGAACAAGTATTCGATGATGATTCTGAGGCTCAAACTCAACAAGTGATCGGTAAAGTAACCAACCAAGCCTCTGATGCTCGCTTAGTTGCACGTACGAAAATGATGCAAGCTCTTGGACGCAACCGTTTGGCAAGTCTGAGAAGGAGCGAGAGTATGGATGTCTTGGTCGGTCAAACAGCTGACAAAACATCTCCAAGTAGCAATGCACGTTTGAGTCCATCTGCTCTCACACCTCTTCCACGTACGCCTGGAACTGCAGCACCAAGATCGCCAGGCACTGCATACCATCAAAGAAGCTTCAGTTGCCCAACACCACAAAGTCCCATGTTGCACAACTTTGGCGAAGTGCAAGTAATCGTTACTCCACCTACACCTCGACCTCAAGGCAGCCCAATCATTGGGGTATTCATCAAAGGTGTTCACAACCGTAAGGCAAACACAGACTCCATCACGGGACAACAACACTTTTGTGCATTTGACGATATGTGCATGAGCACAGGCAAATGTCGCACAGAGACAAAGCTGTCTGTTCCTGAATTCGAATTGGCACCAGGCAGATCCAAATTGATTCAAGCACAACGGGCACAAGCACTGGCCATGATTGCATGGCAGAAACATCAAGAAGCCAACAATCCTTGGCATAATGCGATGTTTGGAAATCAAGATGATGAATCTCCAAGCAAAGAGGCTTTGAATCAAGTTGGCCTGTTTGCTGAAAACCAGCAATCTCCAATCTTGCTTCCAGGTACTCCAGGTGCGCCAAGTCTAACACACGTTCAAGAAGTACGAGCGATGCAAAGTAGACATATGCTCAAGCGATCATCAGCAGTTTCGATGACAAGATCAACGCAACAATCCCAACCAAATTCAGCAGCCACGGTTACTCCTGTTTCTAGTACAAATGCAACCGTTGGAGATGCTTTACAATCAGCAAAAACCTCCTCTGCTTCTTCTTCTTCTTGGTGGCGTGAACCACGTTCGGCACCTTTGAGTTGGAACGGAAGTTCAGCAAGCGCATATAGCCAAGCAAGTGCAATGTCTGGCACACAACCAAGTCCTGAATCATCCATGGGTACGATGACACATTCTGCCTTTTCGATGGTTTCCAAGCCAGGCGGTGTAAAGAGCGCAGCTGATTCATCTTTAAGTTGGAGACGCAAAAGTGTTGATGAAGGTGAAAGTAGCGGAAGTGATGATTCAACTTGTGTGGCTATCAAAGGTGCTAGTCCAAACAAGAACGGAAGTCGTTCTGCCAGTAGTGGATTATCGAAATCTGATCGTCCTTACGTTCCACCGGGAAAGCGCAATGCTATGCAAAGTCAACAAAGTGGCTTGATGGGACGCAAAGAAGGAGTTGCAGCAGCGGAAGCAGCCAAAAAGGCTGAGATCTTACGTTGGAAGAATGAAACTGAAGCAATCCGTAGTGCTCCAGCTATTCGTAGCCTGGTAATCCCATCAAGCGTTATCGAAAGCACTGCTGCTTCCCATCAAGCCATTGCACGTCAACGTGCTGCCAGTAGTATGCTCTCTCGTTTGAGTCATCGAACTGCTCCTGCCGCTCCTGCCACTCCAGCATAAAAAATGCGTCTTTTTTTGATATCATCTTTATCGTCATTCTTTTTTATTGTATCCATGTAAAGTTATTTTAGTCATCGCTCACTTTTCCTTTTGCCATTCATTTGAAATTTTTCTCTAATCCGATTTCATCATCATTATCCGTTTGTGATTGCGTAAAGGGAAGGATGGTGTGTGAGGCCTAACTGTAGCGTACGGGCTGCAACATTTTCATCAAAATACGCACGGACTTTTGTAAAGAGGACGCGCAAACGCTTATAAGCGTGTAAGGTTGGCGTATGAACAGTGTTTGATCCACTTTGAAGAGCATACGAAGCTTCCTATCCTTGTTCAACACTTTCATTCATCTTTGGGTCATTCGAGATCATCATCAACAACTTAACGATTGATTCCTTCAAGACTGTCATAAACGAAGTATAACTCTTACACCTTATTGGCATCGTCACAAGTATCTCTTCAAGATGAGTATTATGGAATATAATGGAGGGTCCGTAGTGGCTATGAGAGGGAAAAATTGTGTCGCAATCGGTGAGTAGCGAAGAGCATCTTGGGGCTGATCAGGATCAATGACTAATGCGTGAGCCCATCATCCCCCACTCTTATCCCTTCACAGCCTCTGATCTTCGGCTGGGAAATCAAGCGTTGACCGTTGCATGCAATTTTGACAAAGTGTTCCCAATCACAGAAAGAGTGTTTATCGGACTTCCAGGATTAGCATCAGATTTGACGACATTACGTGAAAAGTTTCGATATCGTGTAAATATGTACAAGATGAAAGAAGAACGTGATATTCAACCAGAAACATTTGCACATTTGGTTTCAAGTACATTGTATGAAAAACGATTTGGACCTTATTTCGTCGAACCGGTGATCGCTGGTTTATCATCACCTGATGCACCTGAACCAAATGAGCCTTTCATTGCAGCTTCTGATTTGATCGGATGTTTGAACTTTGCCAAAGATTTCGTTGTTTCCGGAACAGCAAGTGATAAACTATTTGGTATGGCAGAAGGATTATGGGAGGAAGATCTAGGACCGGATGAGCTTTTCGAAACAATCAGTCAAACACTGTTAGGTGCACTGGAACGAGATGCATTGAGTGGTTGGGGTGCTGTCGTCCGTGTAATGTGAGTATACAATTGCGCATACTGGCTCGCATTGCCATTGGATTTCTTGTGTACACATTCTGACGCTTCTCATTTCTTTCTCCTATGCAGCACACCTGAAAAGGTCGTCGAGCGTGTCTTGAAAGCAAGACAAGATTGATGAACTTCACACACAAACTTGTACAATCATCCCCCACTACACACTGTAGCAATGTGATCATATCCCCGAAACGAATTGAAAGAAAGGCGCTGGCGCGGCGATTTGCTTTTTCTTGTTTACTTAATGCGATGTAGCAACGGGGGCTTCCGATCTATTGCGGCTTGTACATGACCTCAACCTCGCTTAATTCTCGGTGTGGACATGAGGCGAGCACTCATAGCCACGTTGCGTGATTGGTTCTCGGCTGCTTTGATTACACAGCAATGGTTGTACGCCAATCAACGTTTAGCCACGGGGGTGTGCAAACGGATGAATATGGTGAGTGGATAGGATGACAACCGCTCTTTCTCTCAACCATGATGATCAATTCATTCTGGCAAAGATAAGAGGAAGACAACCTTTATCTCTGCCAAACTGATTTCATCTTCTTCTTGAAGTTTTTCAAATCGCAAAACTTCTCATCATGGCGATTCAAAAGCACATTTTGGTATTGCACAAACGAAAAAAGCAAAATGCAAATGCTATGTGGGTGATGGTTTTGGGTTGTTTGACTTTATGTTCGATGACAACTCTTTGTTTGTTATTCAACGATTGGTCTTTATTGCCTCAAGCATATAATCCTAAACCGTTGATCCTTGGTGAAGCTTTATTTGATCTAAGTCCGGATTTATTTCCTATTCATCATCCTGAAATTGGAAAATGGGACAAAGCTGTCAATGAAACAAAGAAACGGACGATTCAATTGGTAAAAAGATGCAATGACTCTTCTTGTCTCTCACTCTTGAATCTTTTCCGTGAAGAAAAGAACGATCATCGACGTCTTACAGATGGCAGTAGTATTGAACAGATGCAAGGACAAGAAGAACGATCTATGTTTCCATCAAGCTCTGGTCTGGATTCATCAAGAAGCACGACAACAGATTCCACGGATGCAAGCTTGCAATCGGAAAGTGAAACGAATTCACCATCTACAAAAAAACGTTTGCTGGATTTTATCACCGTGCTGATGCGAAAAAGAAGTACCAATGACGATGCAAGGCCAACATTCAAAATGCAAAAAAGTCTTTCACTTGGTAGCAGTGAGAGAAAAGAAGCAAAAGAGATGAAGGAAAGGAAGAAATTGTTACAGGTCATGCCAACTCAATCAGAACCTTCTTCTCCTACAAGTGCTGAGCGTTTCTTTGAAGTTGAAAGTAAGCCTCGTAAATCTATTCTTATCAAGTCTAAATCGAGAAAGAGATTCAGACCAAAAGAACACGTCTCGTTTGCGGTACAAGAAAGAGTTCAAACCATTCGAAACCGGGTGTCTCCAAAACGAAATATCTTGTACAATGCAGAATCTGGTCAAATGAGAACGGATCTGAAGCCAGACATGATCACCCAAGATGATCATGCTTCTGAAAAGAAATCAAGCCAGTCCCATAATGACAAAGATCGATTGGTGAAAAGAAGTGGGCTTCCTCCTCTTGCTGCAACCAACCAAGATAATGCCTACTCTTTATCTCAATTTGAGAGTGATTGGCACGGGGATCCTAATAGACGTATCCGTACTTCTAGAAGATCTTCGAGACCGAATTCACCTGCAGCTTCACAAAACGAATCTCCAGGCAGGTCGATAGACTCTACGTTCCATGTCGGTCAAAGTAGAAGAGCTTCATATAACGATGTGCATGATCTTCTTTCTCTTCATCGCAATATTGCAGAACAAGACGATGTTCCACTTTCCCAATATGATACAGGCAGGCATGCTCGTCCTTCATCCAGAAGGATGGCAAGAACACCTTCACCGAAGCCCTCGCCGAGTATGGCTAGCGAAGGACGTACAGTGGAAAGAGGCTCTCCAGCACATGCTATATCTCCATACCATGAAAAGATAAAAGTAGAAGGTGGTCCAGGTCGTGGTAGGCGACATTCGTTTGACAGTGTTTCAGAAGGGTTGGATAAACTAGGTGATTCATCTCCTTCAACACCTTCTTCGCCTTTTTCTCCATTTGCTGAAGCTAGAAAGTCTTCTGTACGTTCCAGAGAATCTCCTCGAGCAAGACGTGTAAGCTTCGAAGGAACAGATGATTATCGATCTAGGGGATCATCAAGTAGTCCAAGAATCGTTTCCAATAGACGGGAAGGACATACGGAAGGTTTATTAGACGCTCTTCACATTTCATCAGTCGAGAAACGCAAGAAAGAACATTTTCAAAAGAGATCCGAATTCGGTGAAGAGGCAAGTCAAGCGATGAAGAGATGCTTTGGTTCAGATTGCTTGTCATCTCTGAAACCTAAAGATAAGCTTGACGACGTGGAATTATTGCCATTAAAGTCTAAAAATCTTGAGAATCGAAAATCGAAATTGTCAAAAAGCTCAAGTATACCTCCTCAATCGGACGTGGAAATGAATGCACCTCAAAGACAGACATTTTCCTCATCCACAAGAGCACAAAGCCCACTTTCTTCCGCAAATAGAGATCGTGATTTACGCAAGTATACTTTGATGAAGAATGTGCTCTCTCCTACCCAAGCGATCAAGTTGGTAAAGAGAGGGATTTCAAGTGATGAGGGAAGCATTAAGTCACATTCATCAATTTCTTCTGAGAAACAAGCATCGCCACGTCTTCCCAAATCAATCTTGAGGACGAAAGATAGAACGAAAAATGAAAATTCACAATTGAGAAGAGTGACATTTTCTGAAGAAACAAAGTTCACTACTTCAAACAAACCGAGACCGTCTTTTAGAAGAAGTGGATCGAGTTCATCAAAGCATAGAATGCTATACAGTACATCTAAACAGCCACGGCGTTCTTCAACTTTACCGCAACGGTCTTCAACGTTTGATGGCAGGATTAAAGCGATGCGAATCTCAGATCCCGCTCTTTCTGGCTCTGTGCAAGCGACTACTTCAACTGAATTAAATCGTAGTGCAAGACGACCTTATGTCTCTTCTAATACTCGATTTACAAGCCAGAAAGGAAGAAGTTCTTCAAGTATTGTTAGAAGATCCGATCGTACTTCTACAGTCTCTTCTCAGAATATCGATTCGCAAAGTTCAGCCTCAGATGAAACGTTATCAAGAAACAATTCTTCAGGATCAAACTTTAGTAAAAGAGCTGAATCCATTCATAGTCCGACAAAATCGAGTTTGCGACCAAAAGATGCGCCAAGAACAAAAGCAAAGAAGCATGTAACTTTTGGTGGTGAAAGCAGTATTGACATACCAGACCAACCAAGCTCACCAAGATCGCCTACAAAACATGTAACAGATATGTTTGCAACAAAGCCAACGGTGTTGTATGATGCATCGAAACAGCACCAAACTACGACAAGCTCTACAAGTCTGCATGTGCAACCTAGTGTCAGTCCTAGTACGACCTCTATTTCTTCAAAGTCGTATGGATCTAGATCATCCAGACCTAGTACGTCTTCTAGTCATTCCACATCGTATGGATCCAGAACTAAGTCCCGCGACCTTATGTCAAACTTGAAGAGCGGCAGAAAATACTACAAGAGAGATCTATTGGAAAAAAGAGCAAAAAAGCGTAAACTACGAACTGTACCTTCAAGTGAATCATTCATTCACACTGCTGATCATCATGCAAGATATGGCGCTTCAACATCTGCTGCTGCACCTACAAAAAAGATGAAGCAACAGCCGCAACTATCAGCAACTACAAGTGATCTATCACCTTCTAAACTTGGTTTTGCAGGTTTACATATCACTTCAAATGCCGGTTCACTAAGTACATCAAGTCGAGATAGCGTTAGCTCAAGACAACTACAACGTTCAGATTCTCTACGTTCTACCGGCTCTTCTTCCTTTCGCAGACTAGATTCAAGTCCACAACATTTTCACACTTCTCCTCAAGTTTCACGGCCTGGATCACCTGCTTCTCCATCAGCTCAACATGGAGAATGGTGGACTGGTGGTCATTCAGGCACTTCTTCTAGTGGTGGTGTCCCTTTCGTATATTGATAGATTCCTTCTCTTTTTATCTGTTTCTACTAGATCAATTGACATTGAATAATGAATGAATGAGAAAATTGTTTTGGTATTGCAATGCCAAGAAAAGTGGGGCAAAGTCAAAAATGCTCGATTGTGTAATACACAGTTATTTTTGGGCGTTCCTTGTTTTTCATGTCAATCATTGCTTCATTCTATTACGCCCCTTCGTGAAAAAGAACAGAAAATGTGGGATAAAAGTTGGATTTCATAATCGATCTAAACCTTGCTTCTAACCGTGCCAACAATGTTGCATCGTTTTAATCAAAAGAATGCTTTGCTGGTCATTGTATTTCTTTGCACTTCGTTTGTTTCGATGATGGTAATGTTGATCACATATCCCAAAACCGTCTGGATCGACACTCCCAAAGCTGGAAAAGTCGCGCTCTTGCATCTTCATAACTCCTTTGATGGTTTGCAAACTTTTGCTCATAGTCGTGTGGCAAGTATGGCAGCAAAGTTACATGTAAGCCAGAATCTCTACCAGGCACAACAACAAATGTCATCAAACATGAACGATACACATATTATTGATCCAGGTCATAACATAGTACAAGTACACTTTGCTGATGCCAAATAAACAGCAACTCATGAAGTCGACTACATTCATATGTCTCAAGCAAATCTGGCTGTACGAAAAAACGCAAGTTTCCTCATTCTTTTGAGTGTTTTTGTTTCTGTAATCTGTATACTTTCTCCAATTACTCAATGACAAGTATTTTGAAGAGGGAGAAAGCGGTGCTGAGTTGTGGGGCGTCTTGATTAGTACCTACCGAGCACGCACAGAACGGGGATACTGAGATGATATCATTGCTTCAGAAAGGCTCTGTAAGCATTGCCCCGTGAAACTGAAGGAGCAAAGGAAGCACAGCTCTTTGTTTCGCCCAGCAAACAAAATCCATGACCCGAACTCGATTTGGGGATAAACAATGCTTTCTTTGCGCATTTATAAGATGCATGATTTCTCAATCATGAATACCAAGGAGACAATATTCCCTGTTCAAGTCAAACATGGGCAAGATGAGTATTTTACCTTTGCTGCTTTTCATGGCTTTTGCTTCACTTATCGCGAAAGCTAGCGCTCCGGATGCTTTGATCAAAAAGCGATTTGTTGAGCAACACTTGGTCAAAAGAGCCGGTGAAAGTTCTGAAGGAAGTTCAAAGCAAAAGGGTAATACACAAAGTCGTGCCGGCATACTGAATATCAAAACTGATCGTAATCTCAGGCAATTGACCGGACATGCATTTAAACAAATGTTTACTTGTAAGTCAGGTATGGATTGTAGTCCTCATCAACCTGGTCCACGCTTGGTGACGCAATCGAATCGTGAAAAGTTGAACAATACCCCAAATGATTCGCCTTCTGGTTCGCCTCGCCGCGAGAGTCCATCTTTATCGGTCGAAAATCCATCTTCATCTAAGGGTAAAACAGAGCCTTCCCATCGTGCAAGAAAAGTATCTTTTTCAGAGCCTTCCCATCACGCAAAGAAAGTATCTTTTTCAACACTTAATAGCATGGATGCAGCTGCAGTCGAACTGGCACGAGGTGCGTTTCCTTCAGGTAGAATAAAGGATCATCAACAGTACCGGCTGGATACTTCCAAACTTGTAGACAAAAAGCTTGGAATGCCAAAGAAACAATCTACTTCGCCAAAGGAAGGACCTGGATCACCAACGGAAGAATTTGGATCGCCAAAGAAAGGACCTACATCTTTAGACAAGAGTGCCAGCTTGGACGATAATGCAAAACATTTGGCAAGAGCTCTCGTTGCACCGGGCAGTAGGGTCGCGCTTACGCAGCCGAAAAAGTTGCATGAAGGTGCATGAAAAGCATAGTAGCAGTCCTTCTTCTTCTTCTTCTTCTTCTTCTTCTTCTTCTTCTTCTTCTTCTTCTTCTTCTTCTTCTTCTTCTTCTTCTTCTTCTTCTTCTTCTTCTTCT